GGGGCAAACTGCCGTGAAGGGCTGCTTGAGCCGTGCGAGCACACTGGGGTTATCGCCACTGGTGAATGAGGATGTGGTGGTTGCTACGAGTGGTTGGCGCTCGGCGAGCGAGTGCTCTAGACTACAGAACGTCCAAGTGAGAGAAAGTCTCGAGCTGTGCGCTGAGACCAAGCCTCAAACACGGCATATGGTATGGTGGTTTGTCGCCCATAGTAAAGTCGAGGCACGTAGCCAGAGGAGGCCGCGTGAAAGAGATGTGCGATGAAGAGCACGACAGAATGAATGATGAGACGCTTGGAATTGTCTTTGCAATTTTATGAACATGTACAGCCGGCCATTGAGCCGGTCCCAGACGCTTTACTAGCGCCCCGGTCTATTCTTCAGCATCCGCGAATTCCTCCCGTCCCGGCTTCGAGTTCAGGTACTCGTTTCTGTTCTCCTCGTCAGTTACGCTCTACCGACAACTGTGGTCCGCCATATTACCTTTCTGTAGCCCATTGCATGGCCACATATGCAGCCACCAGGGGTGGGAGCCAGTAGAGAATCTGATGGGCGGTACGGCGAGCGACGTTGAAGACAGCGGCATGCATGGTGCCGGCAAGAGGGTTTTGCTGGTTGGCAGACATGGCGTATGTAATAATTCCCTTTTGCGTTGGGGAGCCTGGTCGCATGTTAGATCAGTGGCATCGCAGGGTATCTTCGATTCGGGGCTTTAGGGCGAGACGAGGTTCCTGAGCGAAGAGTTGAGCATCGACATACCAAAGTCGCCCCAGCTGCCTAGGTATCTATGAGAATGTTAGCCTGATTTGCACACAGACAATCGCGGCGCGAGCTCGTCGTCAACCGAAGAGGTACGTACTTTCCGGCCTTCGGGTCAGGGTGCGCGTTGGATCTGAGGATCCTGGTCGCCTGCAGGCGAAGAGCAGCGGTCGGCCTCATTGCGGCGAGAGTGTCCGAGCTGGAAGAGGGGAGAAGTGGGCGTGATCAGAAGAGTGAGGTCGATGGAGCTGGAAAACGCATCACGCCGCAGGAGCTGTCGGAAGCTTTCTTTGGGCTTGGCGCAGTCTAAGTCCGGAGGCGGCTTCAATGCATCATACAACTCTGCCTGGCAACTCTTTCTTCTGCTTCGCCCACAACTCCATTTAATCACCCACCCGTCGCTCTCGTCCGCGGACAGTCGACATGGCGGCTCCCAACATCCTCAACACCATCTCGCGCTGGGCGATCCCCGTCTTTGTTGGCATTTCCGTCGGTCAAGCCGCTCTGTACGATGTGAAAGGCGGCACCCGAGCTGTCATCTTCGACCGTCTGTCTGGTGTGCAAGACAAGGTCACCAACGAGGGCACACACTTTCTCGTTCCCTGGCTGCAGAAAGCCATCATCTACGATGTCCGCACGAAGCCCAGAAATATCAGCACCACCACGGGAAGCAAAGACTTGCAAATGGTTAGCTTGACACTAAGAGTATTGCACCGCCCGGATGTGCAGTCTTTGCCAAAGATCTACCAGGTATGTTCTGCCAGTCCAGACCGAGGTAGTGAAGCTAATGCGCGCAGAATCTCGGCCTTGATTACGACGAGCGTGTTCTTCCCTCCATCGGCAACGAAGTTCTCAAGGCGATCGTCGCGCAGTTCGATGCTGCGGAGCTGATCACCCAGCGTGAAGCTGTTTCCAACCGCATTCGCGCCGATTTGATGAAGCGTGCCTCAGAATTCAACATCGCACTCGAGGATGTCTCGATCACACACATGACCTTTGGCCGCGAATTCACGAGGGCGGTCGAGCAGAAGCAAATCGCACAGCAGGATGCGGAGCGAGCCAGATTTATCGTTGAGAAAGCCGAGCAGGAACGACAAGCTAACGTCATTCGTGCGGAGGGTGAGGCCGAGTCTGCGGACATTATTAGCAAGGCGGTTGCGAAGGCCGGCGATGGACTGATCCAGATCAGAAGGATTGAGGCATCCAAGGACATTGCAACGACGTTGGCCAACAACCCCAACGTCACGTACTTGCCGGGCGGCGAAGGCGGCGAGGGAAAGGGCAAGAGTACCAGCCTGCTTCTGGGTCTGCGGTCATAGCGAGCCCGTCGAAGTGGTGAGCAGCCGTGTGTATCGCAAAGACTAATTTCTACTGTAGCATTAGTAGCGGAGAACCAAAAAGGTACGACTTTCTCGACTTCAACCGTCAAATCTCTGCTGTTTGTCGTGTGATTCGAGCATTGATTATCGCTCAGCCACCGCACTTGACCTACTTGTTGAGACGCCGCACTGCCTCCTTCCTTGACGTTCTCAGCGCCCCCTTATGCCCTTCAAATATCCTCTCCCTCTTCATCACCATGCGATTTCGACACGCCCAGCTCACCAACTTCGAGCTTGTCATGCTCACGCGGCACACCTCCCAACGCCCGGTTTCGATCTGGCTGGGCTTTGGGCATCGAGCTGAATTCGTACTGAAACTTTGCAGATCTGAGGAACTTTGACAGAAAAGAATACAGCTGCTCGTGGGTGCAGGTCCAGCAGGTTTTCCATCATGGCTGGCAAAGACCGAACTCAAGACTAGATAGAGCATGGAAAGTATCCGGATGAGAGAAGCAAGGAGATATCAAGATGGTGTGACTCTAGTATTACAGATGATTATGTAGAGGGTGTGTGGGTATCGTTGTTCTGATACGAAGAAACAAGACCAGCCAGGCAGAACGTCGAAAGCTCTCGTAACGCCTCAATTGAGCCTTCTCTCCGACTACTTAGTTACGGCCTTGACCGGAGGCTTCTGGCTCGCGACTGGCTTCGCCGCTGGCTTGACAGGTTGCTTTGGCGTCACGCCGCCTGCTTTTGATTTCACGGGAGTTGGTTTCGTCGTTTTTTGGGATTTAGGAGTCGCTGCAACTGGCTTCTTCGCAGGAGTTGCGCCCGCTGCTGGCTTCTGTATCGTGGTTGGTTTGTTCGTTTTGGAAGCAGCTGTTGCGTTGGGAAGCTTCTTTACTGGTGTTTGCGTCTTCGGTGGCGTTGGCTTTGTAGCCTCAGTGCTGCCTGCAGGCTTCTTGGTTGCCGTGCTGATCTTGGCCGGCGTCGATTTCTGGGTCGTAGTGTTCTTCGCTGGTGTCGTCTTCTTTGGAGGTGGTGCCGGCTTGGGCGCTGTGGCTGGCATGAGTGGCGCGAAAGACTTCGGCCGAACTCCTGGACTGGTTTTTGAGGGCGGCAGCTTCTTCGGTGTAGATGAAGGGGTGGAGCTAATGGTCGAGGCTGCCCGCGATGGCTGTGGCCGTGGTTTGGGAGCTGACAATTTTGGTGGAGCGGCCGATGTTGTGCTGGCCGGCGCACTCGGCTTTCTTTGCAGAGCTGAGGGCGCTATGGAGGGAGCGCGGGTAGACGCCAAGTATGTCGACGGCGGCGTCCGCACTCCACGGAGGTTAGACGAGGTACCGCTGGAAACGGTATGAACAGAGCCTTGCCGATTATTCTCCTCGGTCTTCATCTTGTCCCAGAAGGTGCCACGCGCACCATACTCCAGTCCCTGACCCTTCTTGCGCTGCTCTGCAGCTTTTAGATCGGCCCAGAATGTCCCAGCAGGTTGTGAGGAAGAGCTCGACACGGAGCCATATCGACTATTCTCGATCCTTTTCAGGTCATCCCAGAATTTTCCCTTTTGGGCTCCGACGTTCTGTGCAGAGTTCGGAAGGTTTAGCTGACGGCGTCGCTCCTCTTCTTCCTTTATGGACTGCATAAAGTCCTTCCGCTGGCCCTTCATTGACTCTTTTACGGTCTGCTCAGGGTTTTGTAGGAATTGGGTAACGAAGTCGACGCGGTTCATCAACGTCGAAGCCTGAGGGGTACTCAACCATTGCTGGACGGCCAATGCTCCCTTCTTGAACGAGTCCTCTTGTTTGTCCTTATCGAAGACGTCGTCCAAGGTCAGGCCCCCAAGCGTGCTGGAAGCCGCTTTGACCTGTGTACCCGCCTGCTGGCCAGCCTTTTTGATGTCCTGAGTACCCGACTGCAAAGCTTGCTTGTTGAAATTGTTCCAGAAGCTCTTAGGTAACGCGCCATAAAACACTGCCAATATCATCGCCAGCACGCCCATCGGCGCAAATATCTGAAGGAACTCGTACCAATGACTAGATCGAATCTGAACCTGGGAATGTCCTGTGCCACGGGCAACTCTGCCAGACTTGTACTTGGTGATCCCTTGATCTGCCGGGAACTTGCCATCCCGCAGATATTTCTCAATCAAGACGTCCTTTTCTCGCCATCGAGCAATCAACCATAGCTCAAAAGCCTTGTCGTTGTGAATTGGAATGTCTTTGATCGCATACCGGCGCCAGTGCATGTGGACGCTCTTCGGTGGCCGACCCTCGAGATAACCCGCCTTCAGCGTGAAGATATCTTGCGCAAATTGACCCCTAGGTACGCCCTCGTATGCGATAGTGCAGTCGTACAGGTAGTCCACCGTTTTGGCGAGCTCTTGAAGACAGAACTGTAATCCGGTCATCCTCGGCAGGAGAGTGTGTTGCATATCCTTGATTCGAGTCTTCTGTGCCCAGGATGCGCTCTTTTCCCTGGTACTTGGTGCGAGATTTGTGCCCTCTGGGAACAGCAGCAGCCACATGGGGTCTGTGATCTTGTTGAGCTTCCCTAAAGCGTCTGCCATGTGCGGCTTATCTTTCTCCCAGTTGCGTTTCAGGAAAATGAACTGGCTTAGTTGCATACCCCACCCCACGACTGGAATCTTCTTCAAAGACTCCTTCAGTATGATATATAGTCGGCCATGCATACCATTGCAGTACGCAATCCACCACAGGTAAAGCCAGTCGGTGTAGATCTGATGGTTGGCCATCAATACAATCCTCTGGGGGAAGTCCAGTATCAGGTTGCCTTCACCTGACACGCGCAGTTGCCCCCTAACCGACTCATCGCCAGAAACAATGACCTTGGTCGGCGCAAAAGCCTGCGTCAAGGTCATAGTCAGCAGCCCAAAGGACTGCTTGGTGAACGCAATCCATGCATTATACCAGTCCTCATTGACCAAGTACAATGGCGTGCCGAGGAACTGCGAGAAGTTGATGGCCAGCGCTCCGGAGAGAAAATACGTCGAAAGAGCTAGCGCTCGTGAAGCGACTGAGTACTCGCCCTTCTTGAGGGGCACTTTGTCAGGTCGCTCTGGGATGGAGTCGAGCTTCAAGCCGGCGCTCGGGCGATGTTGTACCAGCGACATTATTGCGATTGTCTCTTCTGGAACCACCTTCACCCATGGTTTGCCTCGATGAGAAGCAAGCCGTTCACGAAAACCGATGCGAATATCACTCCGTCACAGCCTTGAGATCACCAGCCACAGATGGTAAAGCTTACTGCTCCGCTATCACGATTCGAGACGCAGCCAGGCCAGGCCGAAAGAAGTGGCTATCCATGCTGCCGGAGCTTGAGCGTGGAGTGGACGGGCAGCTCAAGCCGGCGCCACATTCCGGTCGCGATCTGGCTTGGTGCACTCATCTTTCGATTTCTAGGTAGGGGTCTTTGCGTGAGGTACGTATGTACGGCTTAGTTCGACAGAACGACAGGGATGTTGTGAGGGGCGTTGTGGCGAAAGCAGGAATTTCATGGCAGAATCCATGCACGTAGGGGTCCCAAAGCTGGGGGCTCGACTCCAACACCACATTCTGTGGCACCGCCACATCTCATATGACGTTGGCACTCATCGTGAACGGAACTCTACCTCCTGTCAAAATCACCGCCTTGTACTCTGGAAACATCATATCATCCCAAGCCTCAACATAACTGCTTGCCCTCCCCAGCATTCGGCGATTTAGTCTTCAGCAGTGCTGTAAGACAAACAACAAGGCCCAATGCCTAACATCTCGTTTGACATATTCTTCGACCAGGACTTTATCAACGTCACTGCTACTCGAGGAAAGACTGCACCCAAGGCCAAACCTGAGTGGAAAGTCCGTTCTGCTCCCAAGCTCCCCCCTAAGGAGAAGCCAGTCGACCACAGCGGCGCTGTTCGCCCCCCCACTCGACCCAAGATCAACGAAGGCCGGACGCAAGTCGGCAAGCCAGTTCCAAAGTCTTCTGAGACCTCGGACGCCGCCTCGCAGACGGGTGACGCAGCTCGACGCAAGCCTCCCAAGCTTGGTCCCAGCAAGAAGAACTCTGTTGCAGCACCGAACGGAAGCTCATAGAGCTTGAGAAGGGGTCAAGATGGCAACACAGTGGGTTCTGGACAAGGTCTCGGATGCTCTAGCGCCAACAGTATCGAACGCGGTATCGAGTGCGGGTGGCTTCGCCGGAGGCGCTGTCAATGCGGTTGGCAATAGTGTGACTGGAGTGGGTGATTCGATCAACAGAACGATCAGGACGTACGGGGATGGCGTCAAGGACTATGGTAATTCGATCATGGATTGGACGGCGGCCTCGGGAACCAGGGGTCCGACAGCTGCTAACCCTCTGGGCCTTTCAGGAACCAAAACTGCTGGGAACAGGGCGGTGACATCCCCGTCCGTCTATCGCCCGCCTCCCGCCTCGAAGAAGACGACGGCTCCGCCTGCGAAGAAGGCACTACCTGCTTCAGGATCCAAGCCGGCTCCTGCAAAGAAGTCAGCGCCGCCTCCCAAGACCACCGGGGCAAAAGCTCCTGCAGCCAAATCAGGAGCCAACCCTGGCGCTCTGAGACAGGCCGGACAGCCTCCTGTCAAGAAGCCCGTATCGGCAGCCTCGAAGCCCGCACCCAAGACAACGGCGAAGACTACGCCTAGGGCTGCAGCGAACAAGCCGGATGCTCATAAAACTTCCACTTATATGTCGTCTAAGGCGGCCTCAAACCCGATCGGGGTCACCTGGTAATCGGCATGGGCGAAAGCACTGCACTGCTGTCAGAAGCATCACAGAGATAGCGCGCTCGCTCATTTTCGTAAAGCGTATGTACACCAGAGGTGATTCGGAGTTTGACGAATTAAAACTGTTCAATTTACACCAAGTCATCAGTCTATTGTCTGATAGTATCTCGCCCGTAGCGGTTCTCGCATCTATCTATACGCAACGACACCATGACTGCAATAATTAATGCCGTCATCAATTGGTTTCGGCGGACCGTGCAACTCCAACTGGATGCAGCTCTCCTCATTGCGATCTTCACTCCCGAAACTTTCTATAGTTCGCAATCGCTGGCCCTCGGTATGACAAATGATGCGCGTACCAGTTCAGTCATCTCAGAAGTATAGACTACTACGGTAAGTGTAGTCCTCGTAGACATTCAGCCATGGCAGACATCAAACCATTCACCATCTCTGTGCCTGATGAGGCCGTCGAGGACCTCAAGACGCGTCTCTCGCTTGCCAAATTCCCCAATGACGAGCTCGACGGCGCAGGCTGGGACTATGGCACGCCGCTCGCCGTCGTGAAGAGATTTGCTGCGTACTGGCGCGATACGTACGACTGGCGCGTAGCAGAAGCAGAACTCAACCAGCATCCCCATTTCACTACTACCATCCAGTGCGACGGCTACGAGCCGCTCCAGATCCACTTCCTTCACCAGAGGAGCAAGGTTGAACATGCCATTCCGCTACTGTTCATCCATGGTTGGCCCGGCAGCTTCATGGAAGCGCTGAAGATCTACAAGCAGCTCGCAGACCCCGATCACCACAACGCGCCCGCCTTCCATTTTGTTGCGCTGTCCCTGCCCAACTATGGCTTCTCGTCCGGCTCGAGGAAAAAAGGCTTCGCCCTTGCGCAGTATGCAGAGACTTGTAACAAGTTGATGCTGAAGCTTGGCTATACACAATATGTAACGCAAGGCGGTGATTGGGGATGTAAGTGACCCTTTTACCTACTGGGACTTGCCCCTTCAAGCATCAAAGCCTCAGGTATGGCCCAGCACACGCTGCCGACGGAGTCATCAAGCAGCGAGAAGCGCCTCGCAGCTCGTCCCACATCCGACATCTACTCTTCATTCGCCGCGACGCTTCAATCATATCCCATCCGCTAACTCCACAGACTACATCTCCCGGGCGATCTCCCTCCTCTTCCCGGACAACTGCCTCGCCACGCACCTCAACATGGACCATGGCTCCCGTCCTCGCCTGCTCTCGAACCCACTGCTCTACGCCCAGCACGCCCTCCGACCGTACAACGAGCGCGAGCGCGCCGGCTTTGCTCGCAGCCACTGGTTCCAAGACCAGGGCTCCGGCTACCGCGCCGAGCAGTCCACCAAGCCACAGACTCTGGGCTACGCCTTCGCAGACAGCCCCGTCGCGCTGCTGGCCTGGATCTACGAAAAGTTGCATGACTGGACAGATGCTTACCCTTGTGAGTTTCTTTACTAACTTGCCCTTTCCATCTCCTTCCGAACCAACCTCCTCTTCTCGATTCTCCTCCAGCTCAGCGCACCCCTTCCGCAGCAAACCCATCCAATCCCCGTCCCCGTCTTTACTAACGAACCCTCCTCCACCACCTCCAGGGACAGAAGACGAAGTCCTCACCTGGCTCTCCATCTACTGGTTCAGCACCTCGGGCCCCGCCGCCAACGTACGCATCTACTACGAAGCCACGCACGAATGGGACAATCCGACCTCGCGCGTCACGCGCGAGCGCTGCCGCCAGTACATCCCGCACGTCAAGATCGGCCTGAGCCACAACCCGCGCGAGCTCAGCGTCTTGCCCAGCAGCTGGACGCGCACGCAGGGGAACGTCGTGTACGAGAAGAGCTGGGATCGGGGCGGCCATTTCTTCGCGTGGGAGAAGCCGGAGCACTTGGTGCATGATGTGAGGGCCATGTTTGGGAGGGGAGGGGGCGCGTTTGGCGTCGTTAGGGGGAAGAGTGGTTATGCGAAGGCGAGATTGTGAGAAGGAGAGAGGGAGAGAGCCGAGCGAGATGGAGATTGGCGGGCTGGTGTGTGCAGTTGCGTTTGTTTGTTGGGCATGGGGGAAAGCATGCATGACAGCAGCATGGCTGCCGAGGGTGGCAAGCTGAAGAATACGACACAGAAAACTCGTGCTCGCATCGACCATGTAAGGAAGCTCGAATTCGTGCCTGCCGGGACAGCATTGACTTGCACTTCCGCTTCCTTCGCACAGTTGGGATCATTTTTAGCATTCTTTTTCCATCTTCTTTGCGTCATCAAATTCATATCCAAAGGCATTGGTAGCATACGTCCAACGACCGATACCATATACATAAGATCAAACCCCCTTCCTTGGGGGTTCACTCCTGTTTTTTCGCGAGCGTCAAACACATCGCACGCTTTCCCCGCATTCCCACCTTGACAGTATGAGGCTTACAGCCTACAATCTCGCCTTGATCTCACCCGCCTGAGGAGTCGCCTCCAGCACGCCAACGTGTCCATCCCAGCCTGCCGCCCGCGCCACCATCTCCGCGCCCCGCTCCGCCATGCTCAGCACCGTCACCATAGGGTTAATGCTCGTCATGGCAGGGAACAGGCCGGCGTCACAGATTCTCAGACCCTGCAGCCCGCGCACCTTCATCTCCGGGTCGCACACAGCCATCTCATCCGCGCGTACGTCGCCCATTTTGGTCGTGCCCGCCGGGTGATACACGGTATGCGCAACGCGGCGTGCGTACTCGCTCAACTCCTCGTCCGTATTGACCTTGGGTCCTGGGCAGATCTCGCGCTTGATCCAGTCCTTGAAGGGGCTCTGCTGCGCGATTTTGCGCGCCGCGCGCATGCCGTAGACGAGAGTTGCGGCGTCATATCCGCCTGCGTCAGTGAAGTACTGGAAATCCAGAGCCGGCTTGACGGCTGGGTCGGCTGACGTCAAGTACAGCCGGCCCCGGGATCGCGCGCGTGGGATGTTGGGCGTCATGCAGAAGGCGTAGCCATCTGGCGGTGAGTCGTAGCCCAAGCGCTCGGTGTTGAGTGTGAAGGGGATTTGATAGCAGTGCATCATGACATCGGCAATGTCGCCATCGGGAATGTTCTTGGGGTTGAAAGGCGATTGAGGAGAGGCTGTGGCGGCCGCGTTGGGAGGCTCACGGCGCAGGAAAATGCCGGCATCAGAATCCATGGTGGTTTGATTGGCTGGCACGGGCTTGTTAAGCTCCCACATGATGATAGACTCGGGATGGTCTTGCAGGTTGTAGCCTACGCCGGGAATGTCCTGGACAACGGGGATCGAGAGCTGCTTCAGATCTCCTGCAGGACCGAGGCCGGAAAGAAGCATGAGGCGGGGAGTATCAACTGCGCCAGCACAGAGGATAGTCTCTGCCTTAGCGGTAAGAGTATACTTGGTGCCATCCTGGAGAGTGATATTGATGCCGGTGGCGCGGCCGTTAGATACGTTGACCTTAGAGACCCAGGCGTTGGTGAGAATCGTGAGGTTCGGCTTTCTTTCGTCACCGCGTAGGAGTGGATGGATATAGGCTACAGAGGCAGAAGAGCGGTGACCAGTATCTGGATTGTAGCTGACGGAGAAGAAACCGGCACCTTGGGTCAGGGAGCCGGTCTTGGTGATGTGCTTGTTGAAGTCGGGGATGACAGGGATGTTCATAGCTTTGGAGCAGGAATCAACCCAGTCCAGGCAGAGCTGATTGCGATGCCGGGCGTGGACTGGTTGAATAGTATTGCGGAGGCGGTGAAGGACTCGGGTCATCTCGTCGAAAGTCCAGCCTTTGGCACCTAGGGACTGCCAGAGGTCCATGTCATAAGCGAAGGAGCGGAAAGAGATCAGAGTGTTGTGAGATGAGCATCCACCGAGAACTTTGGCGCGAGAGTGGCGGATATGAGAATTGCCTAGGGATGTTCAGCAAGAAATAGGAGATTGGAATCATGATCAGATCATACCCATAGGCTGCTCGGTGGTACCATAGTCGTAGTCGAGCTCACCACCCAGTAGATTGAGCCACTGCTTCAAGTCAAGCACACGATTATCCATGAAGTCGCTAGGGCCAGCTTCGATCAAGAGGATTCGCTTCTTGGGCAGATACTCGGCGAGACGCGATGCCATGACACAGCCGGCGGTGCCGCCGCCAACGACGAGGTAATCATAGCTGCTGATATCGCTTGCAGGCAGCTGGTTGGTAGTCATAATGGCTGTGTTGCTGCAAATGGGCGTTTGGTGATCCGGGCAATTGATCGACAGTTAAGAGATGATTAGAAAGTCTATCTCGGCGTCCTCTATTGCTCCAATGCAGGGCTGTATTGTCGTACGACAAGACACGTGGTAAGGGAGCTCAGATTCACCGACCTTTGGCTTATTCTGTATAGAATAACAAGCTACGCTCGGAACCAGGGCTGAGAACTGTAAGCCAGAAAATTTCGTCGATGGTTAGAGAAAGGCCGGGCAGCAAAAGTGCAGAGCGCTCAGATGATATGCCGTCGTCGTGTGAGGTAGGGTTCCATCTAGCTTTTTGAGAATAGCCCCAAGACAGAGGCTGGGACGTGACAGCTCGATAGGCGGTGAAAAGTTTGAATGCTCCGTAGACGAGAGCGTTTGAGATCTGGAGCTCTAGCCCTTAATACAGGGACCACCAAGCTGCAGCTCGGTGTGTGTTGTCCAGTCATCGCAGGCCGGGACACGCGATATTCGGGGATGTCATCATCATCCTAGGTAAAGCCCAGCTGCAAGGCTTTTACAAGTGGAGGCCGCGAAAAGCTCTTCTCCAGGCTGAGCTCGGGCGCTTCGATCGGGAGGACTTTTTCGTGGGCCGTTGTGGTGCCGCTAGGCTAGTACCAGCCTAGACAGCCAGGAAGAGGGGCACACGACGCATGGCTAACCCCCGCTGCTGGCCGCCCCTACTGCTGTGTACTGTCTACCCGGAAGGTAACTTGACCTTTCCCCAGGGTTTCATGCATCAGCAGACTCTACTGTAGCTGTGACTGATTAGAACCGGGCGTGTCAGATATGAGCTGAAAATCTTTCACCTGGAGAAGTCCGTCGACCCTGGCGCTTCCCTGTTGTGAAAACGAGCTCTGGCTCGGATCCGGCTAGTGACCTGCGTTGCCTGGATGAAAATTCCTTTCCTGGTTGTTGAAGTACAAAAGTCTGACTGCTACCTCGATAAGAAACAGTACGTCCGTACAGTGATCAACGAGTGGTCTGATAATTGACGCTAAAGCGAACCCAGCGTCTGCACGAGGAAGGAGCCACCACTGCACCCACCGAGCTTGTGGGGTACAGATCTGTTCGCCTCATCTTTCCCTCGCACACGACTACCGAGCCGCCTTCCACCTCCATCATTCTACGAGGCTACGCCAAGCTATTGGGTCAAGCCATCTTCACAGCAACTCCATCTGAGCTCAAGAGAGACACACTTCGACACCGCATCACCATCATGACCTCTTTTCCTGACCGCTACACATTTCACTCCGGCAGTCCCCAACGGTCGGGCTCTGGCAGCAATACCTTCCAATCCATCGACCCATCTACCGCACAGCCCACCTGTACCATCCACGCTTCTTCCCCACAAGACATCGACGCTGCTATTAGTTCCGCCGCTGCAGCCTTTCCCTCCTGGTCCAGCACGCCTCCAATAGAGCGCTCGCGTGTTCTCTTGCGAGCAGTCGCTTTATTGCGCGCCCGTAATGACGAGCTCGCCCGCGTCGAGACTCTTGATACAGGCAAGCCTTTCTCGGAGACCTCGACGGTCGACGTTGTCACCGGCGCTGATGTCCTCGAGTACTATGCCAACCTGATAGCTTCTGGCGGCCTGAATGGGGAGAGCTTCCGGCTGAGAGACAGTGCGTGGGTCTACACGGCCAAGGAGGCACTGGGTGTATGCGCGGGCATCGGTGCTTGGAACTATCCCATTCAGATTGCTCTCTGGAAGAGCGCGCCATGCTTGGCAGCGGGTAACGCCATGGTCTACAAGCCGAGTGAGGTGACGCCGTTGCATGCTCAATTCCTGGCGGAGATCTATCGCGAGGCCGGTTTGCCGGACGGCGTCTTCAACGTGGTATATGGCGCCGGAGACGTGGGTGCGTATCTAACAAAGCATGAGATTGTACAGAAGGTAAGCTTTACTGGGCAAGTCAGCACGGGAAAAAAGGTCGCGGGCAGTGCAGCAGGCGAGATGAAATACGTGACCATGGAGCTAGGAGGGAAATCCCCGGTCATTGTATTGGATGATTGCAAAGTTGAGAATGCTGTGGATGGGGCGATGATGGCCAACTTCTTCTCGACAGGCCAGGTGTGCACCAATGGCACGAGGGTCTTTGTTCCGCGCTCGATGAAAGCCAGTTTCGAGAAAACATTGCTCAAGAAAATGGAGTACATCCGCGTCGGCGACCTTGCGGGCGAGAACACCAACTTTGGTCCTCTGGTCAGCAAGGCGCACTACGAAAAGGTTAAAAGCTACGTCCAGCACGGCATCGACAAGGATAAGGCGACTCTGATCAAAGGCGGTGTCGGCAAGCCCGCAAATCTCCCATCCCAATACGCCAACGGCTACTGGCTTGAGCCCACAGTATTCACAGACTGCAAGGACAACATGAAAATTGTGCAAGAGGAGATCTTTGGTCCCGTCATGACCATCCTGTATTACGACACGGTCGACGAGGCGGTGAAGCGGGCGAACAAGACCGAGCTCGGCCTCGCGGCGGGCGTCTTTGGAAAGGACATCAGCAAGTGCCACGATGTGATCAGGAGGTTGCAGGCGGGCATCACCTGGGTGAATACGTGGGGAGAATCGCCAGCCGAGATGTCGGTTGGTGGGTGGAAGCTGAGTGGTGTGGGTGTTGAGAACGGACGGAAAGGACTCGAGAACTGGGTACAGAATAAGAGCACGTTGGTCGAGATGGGCGGGGAGGTGCCCACTGTGTTCGCCAAGCTGGAGAAGGAGTCAAAGTTGTAGGCTGTGTCGTGTATCTGTGTGGATTTGGGCATGGTTGGGACCACGAAAAGGCATGAGGATGGATATATGATCAGATACCAAATCAATTCGTTTTGCGCAACATCTTGCCTCGGATTCACAGCTCACTGGTGGGCTCTATGTTTCCAGCAAGGCCTTGAAGTCTACTGTAAGCCCAATCTCCCAGATCAGCCCATTCATCCACGACCTCAGCTTGCTGCCCTCGAGACTGGTTCGCGTACTTCCAGAAACATTCATATCTCAGGTAGCTTTTGTAGGCAACTGACACAGAAAAACACACACACAACACATACGACACACCAAAACGAAGAAATACGTAGGTCATGGAAATCTAAGATTGTCTGAACATCTAACTTGCAAATCTGGGGTATCTTTCAATCAATCAATCGCTGAAACCAAACCACACGTAATTGTTGCACACGGCCGTGATTCTCGTCGCAATGCGTATGCTATGCAGTACACAAATTTCACTACAGCTAACCAGAACCAATGCCACACAAAAACCATTCTCTGCTTTGTCTCTCTCTCTGGCACTTTGTCGAACTGTTGCGAGCTCCTCTTCTCCGCCATGCACGTAAGAATGGGTTGCAAAGCTCTGCATAATCTGACTTCCCCTTCCCGATGCCGCGCTCCTCTGGGTCTTCATGCTTTTTCTTCTTCTTTGGTGTGTGTGATGCGTTCATCATTCAAGCACCAACACCGCTGACTCGGCGATGCATGTTTCCGAAATCGCCATCGATGGTGCTCTGGCGCACGGGAGGGAGGGATCTGCGCTTTTCGGGCGGGCTCATGCCGATGGCGCTGTCGATGGCGGCGACGCGTGCGGACATGCTGTCGGGCGTGAGCTCCATGTCTTCGTTGTCGGGGAGGTCTTGCTTGGTGTCGATGCGTAGCTCTTTGAGGGCGCCGCGCCAGCCGGCTGCTTTCTCGGTGGAGGGGGGCGGGGTCATGGGCAGTGGGGAGGCGAGGGTCTCGATGGCGGTGCTTTGGTTGGCGGGTGTGGTGTGGGCGATGACTGTCTCGATGGACTTGAAGTACTGGGTGAGGCTGTTAGTTCGGGGGGTCCAGAGGTGGAGTTGGGGAAAGTCGTCGTACCTTGACTGTCTTGACTAGCATCTCCTCCGTTGCGGCATCGTCGCAGGCGATCGTAGCGTTCGGGTGCATCTGTAGACAGGTTGCTGTCCACATCTGACTGACACCGCCCTCGATCGTCTTTTGTAGTGCAATCGCCTTGCTCGCCCCCAGAACGATCAGGCAGACCTCGCGCGCATCCATGACTGTGCCAACACCGATAGTTAGCGCCTGCTTAGGCACGAGTGATAGGTCATTGTTGAAGAATCTTGAGTTGGCGCGGATTGTGTCTTCTGCTAACGTCTTGACTCTTGTGCGGCTGGCAAGCGAGGAGCCTGGTTCGTTGAAGGCGATATGACCGTCCGGTCCGATGCCGCCGAGGAAAAGGTCAATGCCACCAGCTGCCTTCATGCGAGCTTCATAGTCGGCGCATTCGACGGCTAGGTTGGGGGCATTGCCGTTGAGAATATTCACGTTCGCCGGGTCGATATCGATATGCGCAAAGAAATGCTTGTACATGAAGGAGTGGTAGGACTCGGGATGGTCTTCTGGCAGACCGACGTACTCGTCCATGTTGAAGGTGACGACATTGGCGAATGAGATGCGGTGCGCACGGTGCGCCGCAACGAGTTTGGCGTAGATGCGCTCAGGTGACGACCCGGTGGGAAGACCTAGGACGAACTTGGGATGCGCCTCCGTGGGTGTGAAGGTGTTGATGCTCTGGATTATGTGTTCGGCGAGGTGGTGAGAGGCCTCGGAGGCCGTGGCGCGAATGATGACCTTCATGGCAATGGTAGATCTTCTGTGGGTAAGGATTTAGTGTCTCTCGCAGGAGTTCTACAGATTAATAGGCCTTGAACATTTGAGAAGGAAGCGCTGACAGGAATGAAAACAGGCACGGCAGGCACCGGCAGCCAGAGAGAGCATTACATAGCAGCCTGGTACCAGTGGGAGGGCAACGGCTGTGACATAGTTTGCATTTTGGTGGGCGCGCGGGCATCAAGTCACTGTCACGTAGCAGGCCTGCTGAGGTGCGGATGGAGCAGGCGATGGAGGGGCAGGACTCCGTCTGGTGGCCTGGGAGAAGGGTCGGCGTGCAACGTCGCACTCTTATCGAGAAATCCGAACATGCGGCGGCGACGGTTGCCATCATTGGATCAAGGTGTAGTCGAGGAGAAAAGGTGGAAAAGCCCTGCTGAGAGAGGCCATGGATTGGCTGCCGCGACTCAGAGACTGAATGGGGTTTGGCCCCAACGCCGAGGCAGCAACACGCCTGGACCCCGAGAGCTTTCCACTGTAACAGTACCGCTCTGTTGCTGCAACATCGTCATCTATGCCTTTATTCCCACTGCAACCGTGGTACTTTGCGGACATTCGCTTCATCCTGCCAAACCACCTCCTTCCGAGCGCGGACTGGGCCCGCTGAGAGCTCTTCAAAGCCCCCGGGGCCGGCGGGTCCCACCAACCACGTGCTCTCGAGGACATCTTGCCCGTATGAATTCATGGCCACCACGAATGGTGATGGGCCGCAAGGATGGGACGAAGCCAGGTAAGACTTTATCCAGCATTAGCCTGATGTCGTGCTCCCGACGCGTGCTGACCTGCTGCGCTCCTTATTTAGGCAGCTCGGCCAGCTTTTTATCATGGGCTTCGACGGTGTTACTGTATCTGAACAGGTGCGGACACTGATCGAACACTACCATGTCGGCTCGATCCTGTTGACAGCCAAAAACCTCAAATGTGCCGGCCCTTGTAGACTCGTAGTATGCGGTTCCAGATACTGACAGACCACAGCTGCCGCCCAGACAACACAGCTCGTACTTGATCTTCAGCAGATAGCCCACGATGCTGGACATCCCGTGCCACTGCTTATCGCCATCGATCAGGAGAACGGAGGTGTCAACAGCTTATACGATGAGGTCTACATCCGCCAATTTCCCAGTGCTATGGGTATGGCGGCGGCGGGGTCCAAGAAACTCGCAAAGGATGTCGCGCGCGCTACAGCTCAGGAGCTGAGCTCATGCGGCATCAACTGGATCCTAGGTCCTGTGCTGGACGTGCTGACCAACGCTAGGAATCAGCCTCTGGGAGTGCGATCTATAGGCGACGATCCCCAGGAAGTGTCAGCCTACGGCGTCGAATGCATGAAAGGATATCAGGAGGCTGGTCTGGCGACGTGTGGGAAGCACTTTCCATCGTATGGCAATTTGGAGTTCTTCGGTCCCCCAACCGACGTTCCAACCATCACCGATTCCCTCGAAAGCCTCAGCCAGAGTGCCCTCGTCCCCTTTCGAAACGCAATCGCAAGCGGCATTGATTCGATGATGGTTGGCGGCGTAGCAATGTCATCATCAGGGGTCAACGTGATGCACGCGTGTCTTTCGGAGCAAATCGTGCGGGAGCTTCTGCGCAATGAAATGCAATTTGAGGGCGTGGTAGTAAGCGAATGCTTGGAGATGGAGGCACTCAGCAGGAATATCGGTATCAGTGGAGGCACAGTCATGGCCTTCCAGGCTGGCTGCGACTTGATCCTGACATGTCGGTCGCTGTCGGTACAGGAAGAGGCTATCAACGGACTGAAGGCCGGCCTCGACAATGGCATGATCGAGCGCTTCCGCGTCCAGGAGTCGGTGCAACGTGTGCTTGCCATGAAGAGCATCTACACATCATGGGAAAGAGCATTCGCCCCCCTTGGCATAGACAACCTCAATCGTCTGCAACCCCTCCACACCGGTCTATCTACTGCCGCCTACAACAAATCCATCACGATTGTTCGCGATCAGAAACGATACCTGCCACTGTCAAAACTTCTAAGGACTGAGGAAGAGCTGCTCCTCATCACACCACTCGTGAAACCTCTACCAGCATCTGCCAATGCACTTCTCCATCATGAATCCTCAGAGCTCCCTATCACTGACCCCCACTTTTCCTGGGATCCCAATGCCTCAGTCATGAGTGGCGAAAAGGTCTTTCGAGAACTTGGGCGAGCGCTAGCGAGGCAGAGGAATGGCAAGGTTGCGCACACATCATACACAGCTAATGGAATCCGGCCAGTACACGAGACGCTAATCAACCGCGCTGGTGCTGTTATCGTCATCACCGCAGATGCTGGACGAAATAAGTATCAGCATGCGTTTGCGAAGCATGTTTCCATGCTGTGCAAGCTCTCTACGGGCCTGAACGGTCAAATGAAGGAGAAGCCCTGTATTGTAATCGCAGTGAGCTCCCCATTCGACTTCGCGGCAGACACGTCCATCGGAACCTACGTCTGCACTTATGATTTCACCGAGACCGCGCTCCAAGCTGCAGTCAGGGTCATTTATGGAGAGATCGCAGGCACAGGGATCTTGCCTGGCTCATTTGGACACAAGCACCAATCGAAACCCACACGCCAGCAATGGCTCGTCGAAAACTTCAAAGAGGATAGAGACGCTGCTGCACTGGACAACTTGCTGAAAGAAGCAGCAAAGGACGGCTCCGTTGCAGCTGGCCTTCTACAAGGATCCAATTCCAGTACGTTCCTTTTGCGCAGTGCGGCAGTCGACGAGTCGCATTTCGTGGTGCGCAACAGCACTACAAAACAATTGTTCGGATTCTGCGCCACATACTATTCCAAAGCAGCCGCCGTGGGCTGTATTGCCGCCATCGTGGTCGACCCTAGTCGGCGGCGACTCTCAATTGGTCACTCGCTCCACGACCGGGCTATTCGGGCGCTGCTTCAGAACAAAGGAGTAAAGAAGTTCCAGCTTGGAAGTCGGCTACCTAATGTGAGTAATGGTCTTTCTCTTGGGTTGATGGTGCTCTTGAATCTGGAATCTGCAATTTGTATCTCCAGCCTCCGGAAGCCTGTGCCAAGGTTGCAAAGCCAGTCCAGCTGTCTGCAGCAAGGTCTAGCAGCACATGAGTTGGACACTCCTAAATTGTGCCATCAAGAGCTAATCGCGAGGTCTATAGGTCTTCCTCGGAATCCCGAAAGCTGATACAGCCGAGTACAGGGCTGCGAGGCAATGGTTTGCCAAATTAGGGTGGAATGTTTCGCTTGCAAACACCGTTTATACCTTGGTTATTGATAATCTTGGGAGCTGGTCGCCACCTGATGGTCTGGGCAAGTCACTGTCTTCTGCCGATATCAAGTATGACCAGGTCTCCGGCGGCGAATATGCCATACCTGTGATGGAACACCTCAAAAGATGCGCCAGAAGCGACCTCTTGGACGTTTACAATATGGCACTCGAGAACAAGGAGGCCAGCAGCATCATTCGGGCCAAAAGAGCGACCGACGGCGCCGTTATGGGAACCGTTCTGATGCTAAGGGCAGACTCGAAGTTTGCAAGCTTCGCTCCTGGTCTCCTAAATAACAGCACCAAGGGCTGCATATCTGCTCCGGTAATCTCTCCTGCGACCAACGACCGGTATGCAATGCTGCAAGGACTCGTATTGCTTGGGGTACGGCAGCTAAAGAGACAAGGGGTCGCAACAATTGTCTTGGACAGGGTGAGCCGTTGACTGTATGCTGTGGACTACGCAGACGCTAACCAAGAGCCAGGTTCGAGATGACGCAGGAATCAATTACCTTTATGCACTAGGTTTTCAAGTCGCACAAACGTTCGATGAAGTCAGTGGACATGATCCTAAGCAGTGGACCCTGACAGCGCCAACCTGATACACTGGATCGACACAACGGTTTCCCGTGTCTCCTTGACTGCGAGCCTCAACTATCCTACCGAATTGCTTTTCGGCTTCGGATCCGAAAACGATTATGGGGCGGGGAGTCACTTGACAAGAGAGACCCGAACCCTGCCCTGTTATTTAAAGTCCAGGTTTGGGATGCCACTTGCATCTCCGCCCCCGGTCAGTGACTGTCTCACAAGGGTTGCGGACACCGCCCCTGAGCATTTACCTTGTACTACAGACGGCTAGCTGTGTATTACGAGCTTTCTTGCAAAAACAGGGACTCAGCAAGTGTCGAACATGGGAACCCGCGTAGAAGCGGAGAGCGCCCGCTCCATCGTCCTGCAAAGATGGGGGGAGTCTCAGAGGCCAAGAACCAAGACTCAAGACGCTTTCGATGTCCACCGCTGTGTGGTGGGCCGTATCGGTGGCGCACGTTCTATAGGAGCGGTGTCTACCGAATTATGTTTGACTTTTCCCATGAGCACAAATCATTACACTTTTCCTCTGGTGCCACAATGGCTTATCCAGTACGGCCCGGAGATCTGGGGCTTGGGTGGTGGCGTGCGCGGCACAGAAACGCTTGTTCCTGACCGCTAGATCGCTGATTGTCGATGGACAAGGAAGTACGCAAGGGCAGACTTGTCTGCGAGTCAGGACAATGTTGGCAGATAGTTGGACGACGTCGGTGGACAAGACATGCTCCCAGCTGTGGAATGACCCAGACCACGCAGGCCGGTCTTCGCTTGTGCGTTATCGAACGTGGAAGAACACTGGAATTGACCAGTTCTGGCAATTATGGTGGAAACATGCTTAGTAGCGATTGGTAACGTGAGTTGAGACACCCGAATTTCCGCCCGGTGCGCGGATAACGGGCTCCATCCAAATGCTGCTAAACCCCCGTGGGCCGCTCTGAAAGAGGCGCGAAGCGAACCACGGCTATCCATGGAGACCTGCGGGACGCACATGTTCTCACCTCTCAGTACTGATACGGAGGAATAGCTCCCGAGGTCTGTGTGGACTGAGCCTCTGAGGGGCCTTAGTGGTTAGTGGCTAGCGCTTGTGGGTGGAGGTCTCAAACTAGAGTACGATGGAAGCTCATTCGAAATTCCACAAGCTAACCTCTAAACCTCAGGCGCTCCGGGGGATACTAAAAGCAGTCAAGGGGTAATGCACAGATCTACTAGCGCGGCAGCATGGCCATCACGCTGCCTGTACTGATGGAGTGCGCACGTACTAGGGACAGACCGCTTCTGCTGCCTTTGCAGCTTTACCACTGTAGAAGATGTTGGCATGGTAGTCTGCCAGAAGCTTGAAATTATGACCGTCGGGAAAGGATGCAAGTGCACCTGGCACAGTTTCACGGTTAGGCCTTCCCACCTGAGCTAGTCAGTTACATTGGCCCCAGTCTCCGGTCCTTAGGGATTGGCAAGAGCAGCAGGTGCTATCATCCACGAACGGAAAATGACTTGATCAAGACTTGCGGGCAGGCAAGGAAACTCAAGCAAATGCAGACGCCCGCATTATCGTCATTACGGCCAACATCGTCATGCAACGACTCATTCGCATCGCGGAACGCTCCATGCTGTACGCCCAGCAGCTAGTTAGTGGCTTAACTGAAAGAGGCAGCTACTGCTGGTGTGCTCAGGCAGCGCTAAAGCCTAAGGCGCGTGTTCTGAGCTTCTAGAAGAACATGCCCCGGTCAATCGCAATCGAGTGGGCTATTCGGCTTCTTCCCCTTCAAAACAGTCCGAACGTGGCGCAAGATCGCCCGCCCTCTCCCTCGACTTCTCATCTCCTCAGCTGCCAGAAGCAAACATTGGTGTTTCGTGCTTTGCAGGGGCAATGTTCTCCAGCGGTGGCTGATCCATCAAGCAAAGCTCAGACTCTTAGGCGGTCGGAAACCCCGACTGTGGCCCACTTGACGGGGTCCAAACTCGTTCTCGCATCTCATTTGCTCGCCGCATCACTGCACTTTTGCTGTTTGCACCACTTTACTCGCACTCGTCCCTTCCCTCGACTGGCCGTCGCCTCTCCAGCGGCTGAAAGAGCCTCATCAGGCCCTGTCGCGCCATTCTCTCACCCCTCCCATCGATATCATCATCTTCTGTGGCGTGTGGCACGTATACGAAGCATGCTCTTGCCATAACCCCTCCAATACTTCCACCATTCCACTGCTGCGACGGCCATACTCGCCCTTGCTGACGCGCACGCTACGACTACCCCGATTTCTTGAATGGCTCTTGTGATGGACGGCTACGACCCTCTTTCGATGCCTTACGGCAACAGTCCCATGCCCTTCCCGGCAGGGAACATGCAGAACCTCGACTACATGAGCGTTCCGTCGGTCATGGACCTGCAGGATCAGTACTCCAATTTTGACTCGGAGCCATATATGAGGTGCGCACATATCAATTGCCATTCGTTATCCTTTCACTAACGGGCTCACAGCGATGACATGGGCTTTGCGCCGTCTCAGAGCCTACAGCCTCAAGCCATGATGAAGCAGCGCTTCTCTAGCTTCGAAGATCCGTTCGCCGAAGGCACGATCGCCCAGTTCGAGCAAATGCCAGGCGAAGAAAGCTCCAGTATCGATCGCGACAGTAAATACCTGAGCTTCTCAATGCCACAATACAATTTCACACTTCTGGACGACTCATTTAGAAGGTCGTCCGTCAATATCAATGCTCAACTTCACGGCATGTTCTTCCTCGCAGAGTCGCAATGGCCCGCAACCGCCGACACGCCCCCACCGCCGCCGGAGCTCACTTGCTACAGACGAAATCTATTTCAGATCACCGGCTCCGTCACACTTCCACGGAACCTGAGATACGTTTTCACCGATGACGGCTCACGGATACCTATATACGAGCTAGAATTGACCGTCTCCGCGACCGAGTCGGTGGAGGGGAACACCGTCAAAATCATCTCCGTCCCCTGGAAAACTCCTTCTGGCGGCGAAACCTCAAAACCCGAGGACAAAATCGAGCGAGAGCCTCCCAGCGTCCAGCTTGATAAGATGTCGGGACAGGACCTTGATACCGATTTTACTACGTTCCCTATCCAGTGGAAGCGACTACAGTTCCGCATTGCGACTGCGAACAATGGCCGACGGAAGGAGCTCCAGCAGCATTTCACTTTGCACCTAAAGATTCTGGCTTCTTTGTCGACTGGCGGTAAAATTTCAATAGCTGAAGCTCATTCTGGTGCTATCATTGTTCGCGGGAGAAGTCCGCGCAACTTTGCCGCCCGCAAGGATCTGCCTCTGAGCAGCAGTTCCACGGCAAGGAAGCACATTGCATCCGTCTCCCGAAATTCGACCACCTCGGTCCCACAAGTCACTTCGGCGCCCAAGGCCAAGACTCCTCCCGAAGAGGGCCTGCATATGGTGCAAAAATACGAAACTGAATCGTCTGTTCCCGAGCCTCTCCCGACACCCACTTTCACCACTCCAATGAATCCTCCTGGTATGCCATCGTCGCTTAGTCCAGAAGGGCAGACGCCGGCCTACGCCTTTACTTTTACGGCGGGCATGGGTTCGTCGGGGCCTGAAAGCCTTCATTTCAGTAGTGATGATGAAGGTGGTAGCCCATATCCTCACCAGCCGCAATCTCGACAATCCTCAACCAAGCCCCCGACCTCCAACCCTTTGCCGTCACCGGACCTCATGAACACTGGCAAACCCAGAGCTCAGACGCTCTCCGGGGTAAGTCCGACAAACGCCTTGGGAGAACTGCCGTCACAGCGACCTAGACTTCAATCACATCACACGTCTATGACTGCAGTTCCTTCTTCAGTTTCGTCGTCTCATGCACACAGGCCGGATCTTTTACACCGCAAATCTGGTCCGATGCTTAGCCCTGGCGGCGAGAGCGCTGACCAACTTTACGAATATTTTCCTCTACCTCTTGAAGACTGGCAGCCTCCTGTAGATGCCGTTTTCCGACCCCATGTGGTTCACCACGAACTCCCGTTCCCTCCAGACCCCAGGTCGCCCATGGTCGGCCGAGGCAGCACGAGCAAGCGGTACTTCTCGGAAGTCGCATAGCGAAATAAAAAGCATCATGATTCGATTTACGTTTAACAGGGATTGAGGGCTAGGGGCGCACTCATGTGAGCTGGTTGCTTTCTACGACAGCATTTGTGATGCAGGAAATCCAATACAAGAGAGCCAGCGCTCGACGAAATGATGATATTCGATGGATGTAAAGAGATACCCATGCGTACGTGGAGTATGACAAAAATCAATCAAATGAAGATGCTGTCTTCCCTGTTGCATTCTCGTTCACCGCTCGCGCCTCATCGTTGCCCGTTCTGTTTTTGCTTTCGGTGGCGGCAACGAACGCCAGCAGGTGGTGGCGATGACGCAACGCTGCTCACATATTTTGGTTCCCGCGACATTCACCACGTTCGTAACCACTAACTCTATCTGCATACTTTTTATGCATCCTTGGAGCCCAGATTTCCGCACCGCGTACGGCTTCTAAGCCTGGGCGATCAGCCCCTCTTGGCTCTGTGTCTCTCCACACAGAGAACCGAGCTGCAGACTGCTCGGGTTCATGGCAGCGAAAGCTGACAGTGACCCCAAGACCACGCTTGCTCATTGCACCAGATGGCATTGGTGCTGGCACCTCAGCTCACCGGCTGGGCGTGCATAGGCGCCCATTCAACTCACTCGCTTGGAGCTTACGGTTCAGCAAATAGATTCCGAGCCGTCGGCCACTGCCGATGGGACGTCATTTTATTTTGGTTGCACCCACAGGCCGCAACACTTGTTTTCCGCTATCTCTTGGGACCTGGGGGCCGTATTCGAAAAGTAAAAGTTCCCCTGATAAGGCCGTTGGGGCACCTGCCAATTGTAGTGCCGGGCGTCTGCCTTCTATCAGTGACGCAGTAGGGGTCTCTATCGCAAAACCAGGCGCCTTGTCATCCGCGGGCAGCCGCCGGTATCCTGCCTCGGCTGGCATGCTGTTGGTGAAAGGACCTCGTGTCGAGCGAGCGAGCGAGCTCTCTGATGGATTAGAAGTCCCGTGCAGCGGAAAGCACGTTTTCTCCCACTTGCGAGAGCTACGGATCACTTCTCCTCCTGTCCTCCGTCCACCGTTTTGACTCAAATCTGCTTGTCTCCAATCGAATCAGCGCCTTGGAAACCAAAGCTTCCCTTCCCTCCAAGCTTCAGGAGCTTGCCCCGGCCCAGTGCTCGGGCCGTAGACAAGTAACTGGATGATTTGAAGCCGGGCTGCTTGTGAATGGACGCCTTGCTTTACAGACGGGAGTCTTTTGGACATGTTGGACCGCGTCTAGCCTTACGCCGCCGCGGTCCGTCTGCTTGCTGCTAAGGCCATCCGCTGCCCCGCGTCGCCTGTCGTCTCGGAGGACTCCTCTTCACGTGGACAGCTCTCGAATAGGTGCTTGTTAAGCAAGCAACAACAGTCCAACACCATGTCCAGACGCCTTGTGACGACTGGACCCCTCCTTGAGATGGGTATATCATGGTAGGTGCTCTTCTCATAGCTGTTTCTGAACGATCTTTCCAGCTCTTCTCCCTCGTCCTTGTACCACTAACTTGTACTTCTTGATTCTTCCTTTGGCTGGATTATTGCACACCCGAAAGACAAAAGAAGGTTTTCATAGGCCACTGCTGGGATATATCTGGATGACCGTTCGAAAGCTTCAATTGTCCTTGGCGTACTTCTGCGCCACCCATTCCTCAGATGTTTGAGGCCAACACTAACCCTGGTGAGGGATCCGATGGCGAGCGCTGGGGTGGATCAAGCATTGACTTAGAGTCTCTTCAGCCTGAGGCTGAGGTCTGTACCTGTGGCTGCGGTGGCGACTGCAGTGGCAGATGCACGTGCTCGACTCGCACAGCCCAGACTGTTCACCTTCGCATGGAGGGCAGCCGGGTCCATTACCCAGGACAGGGCGGCAACGCTGAGATCCTTCCCTCCCAACCAGTGAATATACCCGAGAGCTCGGAATTCCATGGTTTCGGCGAGTCGTATCAAGGTCATATTGGCCTCGACAATAATAGCGTGGATGCCTCGCACCCCCTGACCCATTCAAACCTCCTCAAGCATACAGCTCACTCGCTCGAATACGAGCGCCCGAGCTACCTGGCCCATTGGCCGGAAGCGGAAAGCAACGAGCAGCCTCACGTCCTCTCCCGCGACCAAGGCATGGAGGACTTTTTGCCCACCGGAGACCTCGACGAGATGTCTCTCGATGGGTCGATGGAAGTCGGCCACGAGTTGACGAGCAAGTCGGCGACCATGAGCATGCTCAGCAAGTGGAGCCAGCCTCTCACGCGCTCGAGCCCAAATGCCAGCGTGATCATCGCTGAGATGAGGCATAGTTACATCAGCACACCATTGAGACTTGTTCCAGAATGCTCTCATGCACAAGTACAAGCTCATCTGTGCGGCTGCTACCATGGCTAGTGTACCCACCGTGCGTCAGCTGCGGGTATCATGTCATGTCGGAAAAGGGAACTTTCCCTGCTATGCTCGATCGAACAGGCGGGGAGGTTTCTGCTGGAACACCGTCTCCTTGGGTCATTTGCCATACAGACCGTGTATTATGCGGCTAAGACCATTCGCTAGAAGTGCCTGACAGCAAGGATGGCTGCCGGCTTGGTTACTCGACAGCTTGTATTCTGGGAGGGTTTTGTGAGCGCTTATATTCAGCGTGTTTTGACTGTACTACTATTCTCAACGACGGGAGTTTGGCGAACAGATTGGGGCAGATCTCATAGTCACATCAATGCACGCAAGTGCGACGTTATACTATTTCCTTCAATTGCCATCTTTTTCATCCACCGTATGTTCTAGGAATTTCACTGCCTGATGTGAGTAAACCCCCACTATTCAGAGGCAGCATGCCCCACACATGCCGCCGCACGACGCCAGTGAGGGGCAGATCCGCGACTGCATGAAACATTTCTTGCAGCCGGTGTCGCCGGCATTCAACATCAACATCTTGAGCTGCAGCTCAGCTTCACCCTTTTGCACTTGATAGTCTTCCCATATCCTCGATAGACCGAGATCAAAACCCTGCGGTCTCAACTCTACAGGTTCAGCATCTCCAGCCTTAGCTCTCCTGGTCCAGCACCACCCGACTTGCTGCTACTACGAGACTACGCTTCCGCCTTCCGCCTTCGGTCTCCCACTCTCCGTACTGTTCAACAACGGAAAGTGACCAGGCAAAGCACCACACGTTCTCGCGCCTCTTCCAGACCGAACTCTCCCCCCATCACACGCATACAATGGCACCTCCCACCATAATTGCCCCCTCCATCCTCTCTGCCGACTTCGCCGCCCTAGGCCCCGACTGCGCGCGCACCATCACAGAATACAATGCCGATTGGCTACACGTGGACATCATGGACGGCCACTTCGTGCCCAACATCACCTTCGGCGCCCCCGTCGTCTCCTCCATCCGCAAGCACGTCGACCGTCCCTCCCAACCGTCGTCGAAAGGCCAGTCCTTGAAGCGCGGCGCATTTGACTGCCACATGATGATCAGCGAGCCACACCGATGGGCCAAGACGTTCAGAGACGCTGGGTGTGATCTATACTGCTTTCACTGGGAGGCGGCGCAGGGGAGCACGGCGGAGGAGCCCGGCGTGGACGGCAGGAAGAAGACGAGTCCGAGGGAGTTGGTCAGGTATGTACATGAGCTGGGGATGCAGTGCGGTGTGGCGATCAAGCCGAAGACGGAGGCGGCGGTACTGTGGGACTTGTTGGACGCGGAGGATGAGAGGGATAGGCCAGATGTGAGTTTGTGATTGTCCTTCACTCCCAAGACATCCCCGCTAATGAAGTCGCAGATGGTGTTGGTCATGACGGTGGAACCAGGGTTCGGCGGCCAGAAGTTCATGGCTGACATGATGCCGAAGGTGCAGGAGATTCGGAAACGGTATCCCGACCTGAATATCGAGGTTGATGGCGGTCTAGGAGTCGGGACAATCGGGACTGCGGCGGAAGCCGGCGCGAATGTCATAGTCGCTGGCAGCGCTGTGTTTGGCGCGAAAGATCCCAAAGAGGTGGTGAGCGTGCTGAGAGAGACGGTTGAGAAGGCCGGGTTCGTGCAAGGTCGGTTATGAGCCTCGTATCTGGACGACGTCTACGAGTGTTCCTTGTTGTTGGACATTCAGGTTGTGAGGTCCAACTTGCAACTACGACATCTATAGCACCGCAAAGAGCATCCTTCAACTAGCCCAGGCCATCCACTGGTGGCACCAGAGAATCGCACACTCAGCTACACCGTATCCGTACCGGCTCCCCAACTGCGGCTTTGCTTGTTCTGAAGCCCTTGAGCTTCAAAACGAAAGGCCACAGAAACCAGCGCACGTTCAACCCTCGGCTCTTCTCATCTCCCGTTGACCAGCTCGCCGATTCTCATGACCATGCCCCTGCTTCTGTCCGTCCGCCGCAGATAGGCTCTTCACCAATCTATGCACCTCTTCTCAGCGCTTTCCCACCTTTTTAGCAGGCAACCAATCCGCTACATCTACGATCTCCCGCCAGTCTCCTCATCGAGTGATCTCATGGATCATCGAAAGGAACCCGCGGGCCTTACATGAGTCAGGATGGCGAAGCCTTCCATCGGACGTTCGCGAGCGCCTGGTACAAATGGACTGCAATCGGGCTGTGCAAGCTGTGCGACGCTACAGGAGGGACGAGTCATTTTCGCAACCAGATACTAACGGGTCGCTGCAGAAGTTGTTATCCTGTCGCTTCTCAAAAGGAAGCCACCCTGGATTAGATGCCTGTATCTGACCATACTCGTATTGTGTACAGGTCAAGACTAGGTACTGGAACTGTGCTGCGCATCCTCGAGAGTTCATCATGTCCAACCAGTGGCCAGTCCACAGGAGACTGTCGTGCGCGCCGGAAATTCGCTTTCTGGAGCAAAGTTCCCAGTCCGCTCTCATCATTCATCAAGGGGCTTTCGCAAATGTGAGCAGAGGGACAGCAAAGGTCGGCTCTTCGTAGGAATCATGCGGGAGGGCCCACCTGTAGTTATCATCGACGGGTGGGGTAAGGCCTCTTTGTTGGAGGTCTCCTCGAATCTTGAATGCTGGACGAGCCAGTCCGCCATAGCAGGACACAGACATATCATTCTTTCAAGGTCTGTTGTAACAGCAGCGACTCACGGAGAAAGGGAGAAGGGAGAAGGCCGATCAATATGAGAGCGGCCGACATCGAGGTCGCTTTGATTATTGCTGGAGGGCTTCTACAATGGTCAGCGTAGGGAAGTAAGACGCCTTCGTGCGATCCTGCAGGGCACCAGCAATTATCACAGATCGACGGCGAGGCCTTCTTGGGCACTCGTGGAGGCCTCCCACTATTATCGGCGGCGGCAGCGAGACCATTTTCATACACTCCAGGAGCGCACCAGCAAATATCAGTGACCGACAGCGAGGTTATTTTGGATCGTCGGGGAGGGCTCCCGCAATTATTCGCAACGGCGGCGAGGCAATCTTCATAAAGTCCAGGAAGGCACCAGCAATTATCACAGATTAACGGCAAGGTTATTTTGGTTAGTCGGGGAGGGCTCCCACATTTACTGGGGGCGGTAGCAACACCTATTTCATGATCTCAGGGAGGGTGCCCGCAAATATGGGAGGCCGGTCTTCTCGTCTCAATTTTCTACCTAGCTCGCCTCGTTATGCTCTATGTGCTGGCGTGCTATGTACAAGGCCCTTTCTATTGCCTGGCCGCTTTGCAAACCTGTGAGCTGCTATCAAAAAACCATCAAGACCGTTCCAATCCGTTCCGTTCATCACCAAAGTTGTGCGCCTTTATTTCGCGCCAGACGCCGCCACAGTATCAAGCGCCACCGCTCTTGTCGGGAGTGCCGTAGGGGTTACGGCCGTGGCCGTAGGAGAACTCGCCCATCTGACCGCTTGCTTCGTAGGCAGGGCCAGAGCGAGGAGTGGGAGAGGTTGGGTAGGAAATACTGCCGGTGCGATACGATTGGGGGGTGAAGCGGTCGCCGGGAGAGTAGGGGTTGGGGCCATTTCCCCGCAGGTGAGGAGGAGTGTAGATGTTCGGAGCACGGTTGCCGTAGCTGCCGACGATGGTGTTGTTGGCCAGGTTGTTCTGGGCGAGACGCTCTTGAAGGGCCGCGTTTGCGGCTGGCGAGATGCGAGCTGGGCTCTGCGCATAGGAGGGGTCGGGTTGACGGGGACGAGGCTGGTAGTTACGGGATTGGTAGGGAGGGTAGCCTTGAGGGTTGCGGTGGCCGCGGCGAGTCGAGTACTCCTTGGGTTCAATGCGAAGCTTCTGGCCTCGAATCCAGACGTCGGACGTGATTGCGTTGTCGGCTTCGAACGGAGTGTTGAACTCGATGAAACTGAAGCAGTTCATGCTGCCCTCGTAGCGCTTTCGGACGATGTTTAACTCGAAGATCTCACCGAACTGGGAGAAGGTATCGAAGACTTCAGTCTTTGAGACATCCTCTGGCAGTGCACCCACGAAGATAGACTTAGCGTCGATGTTGGTTCTAGCACGGCCAAGGCCGGTGACAATGGTGGTTCCGTTCTCAGAGGTGATGCGGGAGCGAGGCTCGACGCCGGTGGCCAGTTGGAGACGGTACTGATCCGTGATGTGATGGAAACCTCGTAGAGCATCACGACAATCAAGCCAGTAGACGAAGCGGACGTACTGACCTTTGAGGAGGCTGTTTGGGCGGCCACGAATGAGATCAGTAGAGACAATCAGCTCGATCTCGCCAAATTGACTGAGAAGGTTTCTAGCCTCGGGCTCAAGAACTGGACTGCCTCTTGAGAGATGCGTGATAATGACAGCTCGGTCAACACGAGCTTTCTCAAGACGAACTTCGCGGCCATTGATAATGGTCTTGCAACCATCTCGGAGAGCTTGGCTGGCAGAAGCAACAGTCTCGTACTGGATGATAGCGAATGGGTGGCCGGAACGATCTCGCTTTACCTGGATGTAACATTTGCCGAAGATGTCGAAAGCCTGGTGGAGGGCGTGCTGTAGCTGGTCGTCGGCCATCTCGTCGATAAGGTTGGCAGCGAAGATAGCCGCATCCGGAGGCAGTTTTCCTTGCGCATTGGAGGGGTCGATCTCTGTACCACGGTCTAAGCGTGGCTGGTGCTCGACTTCGCTGGTGGCGGAGATCATGAATCTTGGAGGGGACGAGTAACGGATCGCAACCTCGCCAGGGATCGGCGTATCGACCCGACGAGGAGTTCTGAAGACATCGTCGCTAGGCGACGCGCGCAGCCCCATTGCTGACTGGGTTCTGTGCGGAGCCCGGACGGTCTCGACCGAGTCCGAAGATTTGGTGCTCCTAGCATCGTCGCTGGTATCTGAGAAAATGTGTTAGTAAATGACTAAGGCTGATGGAAAGGGGGCAAGGCTGAAGACAGTGCTCATGCCAAGGCTGAGCCGCGGTCATGGATGGGAGAGCACCCCATGATCATGACCGACGACCAGGGTTTTGATGCGAGTAGAGGGACAATTCTTACCTTGGCCAGCTCGCGCACGAGCCACGATACCATCATCGATGGCTTGAGGGGACGACATCTGTTTATGCGGGTTAGCAAAGGTTCTAAAAGGCTGAGGTGGCTGCAAGGTGGTAGGAAGAACGGTGAGATGGCTACGCAGGCCAGAAAATCATCGTAGGCGGTGTGGCGATTCATTTGACGGGGCAGAGGGTGGCGCAGGTTGACAAACAAACTGCGCCAGGATGAGACTTACTTGAAATGATCAAGCCGGGGCCCGAATGAGGTGACAGAGTGTCTTGAGCAACGATTAGTTACCGAATTGGTCTTGCAAAGGATGCGTAGTGGTGTTGGCAGAGGGCGTGAGAAGAAAACGAGAAGTCGAGGGTGGTGGTAGGAAGGAGGAAGAAATGAGTGCGCGCAAAATCAGGGGGTTATTTAAAGGTTTGAGGTCACCGCAACGACGACGATACCCCGCATCGAACGAGTGACTGCGGCGACGACGATGACAATGAAACCCCACTTCCAGCAAGTGACCATGGCGACAGAAGCCCACAGTTCTGCGGGTGACTGGGAATCGTCTCGTCGTCACTTCAATCGAACATCAGCAAAAGCTCAGGGCCACCCTTCACCACGGGCCGACAATATCGACGGGAAGCCTCCTCGGACTCACAACAGATCACAGCCGTAAGTCTATACCGAGATTTCGACCCCTCAATATTGTCGGGCCCTGGGACAAGACCAAAAGCCTGACCGAGAGCACTAGGGTTGAACAATATTGACAGGAGTGCTCATTGTACTCACAAAAGATCGAAGCCGAAAGTTTTTGTTGTGAGTACGAGGAGCCCTCCCATCAATGTTGTTCAACCCTGATGAGCCCATCCAGGCCATCGGTCATGCATCAAAGAGGCCTCCTGTCCATAGCTTCAGCCCGGCTGTCAGCCCACATGAGGACCACAAGAAAGCCATCGGCCGAGGCAACTCAGGGTCAATCGAAGGCAGTGTCATCACAAGTTGAGCCAGACATGAAGTGAGCTCATAATGAAGACTCACGTCTCCATTCACGCAGGAGAAAAATCACCCCAAAACGTCACCACGGCTCTTTGATGCCACGGTGAACTCTTACCAACCATTGACTGAACAAACCATCATGGCTGACTTTCACCTGGTTCAGCCAACTGGGGAGGTGTCATGCTCAGAGCCAACATCAAACAATCGACCACATGGATTGGAGCAGGTTCAGATGAATAGCATCTCTTCTCGCAAGCACAGGCGAGAGATCCCAGCCTCAAAAGAGAAAAACTTGTGTTGAAGATCGTGCATGCTCAAAGAAAAGTCAGACTTACCAACCCCACCCAGGCCCCGGCACATACGGCCGAGGAACAATACAGACGTTGAACTGGAGAGGACCCCAGAAGATAGTACCGTTGTACGGACACTACCGGGTTGACTTTGCCCCTCTCCATACACCGAAGCAGGGGCTCCGTTGAACCCACCCGTGCCCTGCGGACACGAGCCTCTGGGGCCTCTAGTTGCCGGGCGGCAACCACAGGAGATAGAGGGATTTTGAAAACCTCGAGGAAAATGCCGAATACCAGCAACGCAAGCAGCCAGTATGTCCGACACCCCCTACCGGAGTGCAAGGGTAGAGGGGTTCGAACTGTACTGGCTGACTGAGTCGCCGGAATTTGACATTTCCTTCGAGGTTCTCAAGCTTTGGAGGCCGCAAAGCGGCGACGAGGAGAAGTGTGCCCATATCTGGGACTTTCTTCTGCTCGCATACGGTCAGCTGCTGTCAGGGGGCAATACTGGCTTCCATACAGAATTGTCTTGGTCTTTGTAGCCTTTTTTTGGCCTTTTCAAGGAGAGGGAGGTATCTGTGAAGCTGTCAGCTGCTTCTGTTGGATGTCTGCCTCTTGGAGAGGCTAGGAAGGTGTTCCATACCTTCGTTTTATTGAAGTGGTGCTGTTGCGCACGTTGTGCTGTGGAGATACAAGGGTAGGAAGTTTGTCAAGATCTGGCAGCCGCCGCAAAAATGTTTTGGTGCGCAGGCTGCAGCCTTTGAGCCGCTAAACGCTTTCTGGAACCATACAAACGCCGCAGGCTGAGGATGCGTCACAGGGCAGAGGAGGTGCCAGCCTAGCAACGGCTCACGTGACTGCAGCTGAACAGGGGGAGGGCCATGGTACAGAGCATAGCAATAAACTGGGAGAGGAACATAACAAACGAACACTTGACAGAGCAGACCATTCCAACAATCCACCGGGGAGCTGCGAAAGGACAGGGACATCGAGCGATACCCACTTCCACTTGCACGCCAACAGACCTGTCTGACCCATTGCCGGTGTCACCCTCGCGTATAAACGGACCTCGAAGACTCCGGCTCCATTGAGAGGCCTGAAAGCAAGTGCAAACGGATTCGGCCGAAGGATCTGCAAGCAAAGAACAGTTAGCAGGGCAGCAAGATCGCGTTCCAATATCGTACGTGCGGAGCAGCTTCTCTTCGTGTGCGGCGTCTCGGTAGAACTGCTGCTGGTGCCGGTATAATCACATCACGCAAGCAACACAGACCACACGGAGCAGTGAGCGCATGTTTCTGGAGCATTGTGAGGCAAGGGGCGTACACAACACCCGTGATATCGAGCTCGCGACGAGTACTCCTACATGGACAGTCTTCAACTCATCATCTGTTCTTAGCAGCCTCCAGGGGCTTGAACAAGTTTCCATGCTGAACCCCAGTCTGATAGCCTACTGTGTAAGTGAGGTACCGACACTCTCGAGTTTCCCAACGATTGACAGTCGATCAAAAGGAATACTGCGGGCGGCGTCGAAGGAACTGAGACCTACGAGCAAGGTACACCCGCCCAGGCAAGACGGACATTGGTTTCGTCACAACGGCAAAGGCTTTCGACAAACTACAGGAGGGATTGATGTTGACACTGCACGAGGCAAGAAGAAATCAAGGGTCGAAATAAGCTTCCATTAGCATCGAAGCTACGGGCGGCGTTCCGCAGCACTTTTGTGGAGACTTCGACACTTTCCTACACGTCAGGATCCTCGTCAGTCTCGCCGCATCTTCGCGGGGCATTTCGAGGTTCAAACACGACGGCATGTTTACTAGCAGACTCAACAGGACTCGAAGATAGCAGGAGGCAGCACACGATGTTTGCGCCGACGTTGCGGCGCTATGCTGCGCCAGGCTTCTGGAAGAAAACCAGTGAACGCTTTGCGCAGCAAGCTCGCGTAGGTATGTTCTTGCATTGACCAACTGGTGAGATGTTACTGACCTTGGCCGTAGCGATTAATCTGGAGGGCTTAACTCTTCCCATCAAACCGTACCCAATGCTCGATTTCGCCGACCCCGAGACGTCGACATGGATGAAGACTATGACTGACAAGCAAGTGGGCGGCATTTCCACCGCGGAAGTCCAGCACGTACCCGCCAATGTCTCAACAAATCCACACACGCCCGCACACATGCTCTTCCAGGGCAACATTTCAACAAAATTACCCGAGAACCGGCTGGATGTTCTGCGAACAGGGTACGCTGCATGGCGAAATCAAGATCTCGGAAACACTCTTTTCGGCGAACTGTTCTGGAACGTCGACTCATACATGTACCTCGCACTAAGAGTGAAAAGCGACGGGCGGAAATACTTCGTCAACATCCAGACTGACTCCATTGTGGACACAGATATCCACCAGCATCGGCTGTACACCAAGCACCATGCAGGCGCAGAAGGTCCGTCAGACCCGGGAAGGTGGGAGACAGTGCTCGTGAAGCTGCACGAGTTCGTCCGAACAAATCATGGTCTGGTCACAGAACCGCAATCAGAGATGCTGCGACAGAAAGTCAAGACTGTAGGCATTGGCCTGACAGATCGGACCCCTGGGCCTTTCAAGCTCGGCATCGCGGGCATCTGGGCAACGAACTTGAACGAGCGGGGGCAAGTTGACGGAAGAACAGGATGGCAAGACTGCGACACCGGCAGCGCACGCCTGCCGGAGGTTACAGAGGAGAAACTTGCACAGAAAGCAGAGGAGCGAAGGCTTCTGCCGAAGGAAGAGAAATCCTTCCGAGATATTATGCCTCAATTTGCGAGGTCGGGCAAGGAGCCATCTTCCACTAAAGACTGATTGCACAGCAAGAAGTTGATATGTATGATATGACGACCTTGACAGACTTCTTGTCGTAAAGCAAGAAGCTGCTGTTACACCTTCTCCAACGCCTGTTGCAGTGTCTCGCCTGTGAGCATATGGAAAGCTTCCTGATATTTCTCCGATGTCGACTGCACGATATTGTCCGGCATTTCCACGCCCTCCTTTCCCTTCAAGCCTTCTCTTGTCAGCCAGTCTCTCAGATATTGTTTATCGAAACTGTCCTGACCCCGTCCAAGCTCGTAAGATTTTGCTGGCCAGAATCTGGAGCTGTCTGGCGTCAGTACCTCATCGATAAGCACAACCTCATCCGTTCCTTCATCTAAGCCGAATTCAAACTTGGTGTCCGCGATAATGATGCCTTTTGTCTTCGCGTAATCCCTTGCAGTCTTGTAAATCTGCAGCGCCAACTCCTCTATCCGCTTCGCATACTTCTCGCCGACAACTTTGGCCGCTTCCTCGGTTGAAATGTTCTCGTCATGCTGACCAAGCTCTGCTTTTGTGCTCGGTGTGTAGATTGGCTCCGGAAACTCCTGAGATTCTTGCAGGCCTTCAGGCAGCTTCTTGCCGTTCACTTCGCCCGTCTTCTTGTAAGAAGACCATGCGGAGCCGGTGATGTAGCCTCGCACGATAGCCTCAATAGGGAAGACCTTCAGTTTGCGGACGAGCATGGATCGGGGAGCGATTTCCTTCGCGATCTCTGCAGGCAGCTTAGAGGGTATTGATCCAGATAGTAAATGAGTCTTGAGGCCGGGAATTTGTGATGTGAGATAATTGAGCCAGAACTTGCTGATCAGAGTGAGAACAGCTCCCTTCTGCGGGACGCCCTGCGAATATGAGCGGCTTCGCCCCTTTGCTGGCCACATCATAGACTTACATTCTTCATGATCACATCGTAGGCGGAGATTCTGTCAGTTGCGACGAAGAGCAGCGTTTTAGCATCAACTTCGTACAACTCTCGTACTTTGCCTGAGGCAATGAGGGGCAGGTGCTGGCCCAGATCGAATTTCACTTGCGCCATACTGTTGCTGCAGAGCTCTTACCTGATCGCAATAGTGTTATCGGCTCTCTTATACTCTCACGACGTTTCCACAAAATTTTCAGACCCAGTGTCGGCGAGGTCGGGTCAAGCCGATCTACTGATCTGAGGCCTTTGACCTTCCCACTTCGCCGTAGCCCCTGGCTCCGGTGAAGCTGGCGCGCCTTGTATGCCGCATATTGCGCGCCTGCCGCAAAACACCGTACTCAATATTCATCATTCTAGTCTATGTCTCGAGTAGAAGATGCCCGAATAACACTCGTATCATCCAGCAACCACAAACCCTTGCCATGAGCAAGCCCAGGGAAAATCCACGTCTCTCATTCACATCATGGCCCGCTTCCTAACGCCTTCGAAGATTGGCTTGCTTGTCCTGGCATTGATCTATGCCCAGGATGAAGTGCCGACGTCAGAAAGCGTGGCCGTCCTGACCTTCATCATAACATACGTCAGTCCGAATGGGCGACCACCCCACGCGCAAGCGGGTGCAGGGTACGACCCTGCATTGCCAATCTCCGCCTTCGAGAAGGCTCTTTCAACTCTTGCTTCTGTCATGCCTGGTAGATCGGTCTACGACGCATTTCTCAAACGCATGTGGTCAATCGATTGTTCACATGCACTGGAGAGCCTTATGGAGGGACTGCCTTACATGCTTCGCAAGTCTCGGGAGCAGATCATCCGGGACCGCGAAATGGGCATCCCACCAGAGCAGCAGACTGCCCAGATCATGAGAACATCACCCCTTGGAGCTTTCATTAGAAGATGCCATCTTGAGTACACACGACTTCAATTCCAAGATGCCACTGAGCTTTGGCAGCAATTCATTGCATATCGCGCGCCTACCCAGCAGCAATTCGAGAGAAAGAATCCCCCAATTCGACGCAATCTTCTCGACAGCAACTTGTCCGAGCTCGGCGTGGACTCGTCTCACCCGCTCGTACGAATCATGTACGGTGATCAGCTCGGCTCTGAAGATAGACCGCAGGCGTACAGCGCCCACGATGTGGAGAAGCTCCTCGAGTTCCAGGTCTGCGAGATGCAGTCCTTCGGCTCTCGCCTGCCGGAAGATATGCGCCACAAACTAAATGAGATGTCTCAGCAGGGATCTTCCGTTCCGAAGCTCGCGCATTATCTCAAATTTCTCGATTCTTGGCGAGCAGGAGACTATACTTCCGCCTTTGATAACCTCCATCGCTACTTCGATTACACAATGCAGAGTCGGGATCGCACGTTTTACCAGTATGCCCTGCTAAACCTCGCCATTCTCCAAGCCGACTTCGGCTGCTCCTCTGAAGCCATACCCGCGATGCAGGAAGCCATTGCAACGGCCCGTGAGAATAAGGACACGGCCTGTCTCAACTTCTGCATGTCTTGGCTATACCACTTCGGACGTACCTTTCCCTCAGAAATGAAAGCTATCAGGGACAGCGGTATCCTTGGAAATGAGACTGAGGGCCTCTCTTTTCTGAAGTCTCGCGCCAAAGATGCCGAGATGTGGTCGCTCCTCTCCACATCCTTCCTCAGCGAGGCCAAGCTCGCGCTCCAGCACGGCGACTCTCTGTCCTTTGTCTTCGAATCGATCACGAAAGCCGCGCACATCAATGTCTCTAAGGCCACCTCTAATGTCGCCGGCCCTACCCTCCTGATGCGTGCTTCAGCCTTCTCACGAATTGGCCTCGCCCAGCTAGCCTGGTCGTCTTCGGAGACGTTCCTTACCTGCTACTCCAGCGAAGCGCCGATTGGGGATGTTCTGAAGTGCACATGCCGTATGACTTCATTCCTCGCTCAACGAGGTCGCTATTCGGCGATCGCTGACACACTCTCCTCCGTCTCACCATCGACACTCCGTGTCCTGAAATACCACAACTACTGGACATTCTACTCCGGCCTCCTTAAGCTCCGCCGTCTCATCCGTCATGATGACCTCTCGGCTGCCGAATGCATCGCCACTCAACTCCAGGGCCAAGACCCTCCCGATCTCGAAATCTCCTTCTCGTTGACCTTCCTGCGCATTGAGCTCCTGATCGCCCGTGGCAATCTGGCCTCAGCGCTCTCACTCGTCGAGGAGCTCACCGATCGCGCAGCATCCGACAACAACGACATAATCATCCTATGCCGCTTGCTCAACATGAAAGCCCGCATCCTCACCGCTTCAGAGAACCCGCTCAAGGCCTTCTCCATTGTGACCCGTGCCGCTCAAATGGCATACCGTGCCCTCGCGCTGCCGGCCCTGTGGGAGGCCGTCGGACTGCTCGCCAACATCCTCAATGTCCTCCGCGAGTTTACTGCCGCCGCAGATTTGCTAAGCGCCATCTTGCCGCGCGCCCTGGAGTGTCAGGACTGCGAGCTGGCGGCGGCGACGTACAGCTACCTGGTAGATGCGGAGATGGGTTTAGCAGGCACGGAGAAGACGAGCAAGACCAGGCGGAAAGAGTGGGTGAACCGCGCGATGGAGCATTTGGAAGAGGCAGGGAGACAGTATGGATGGGCGGAGGACGTGAAGGGGCAGCTGGATGTGCTGTGGAAACGAGCGAGGGTGATGAAGTGGATGGGAGATGCCGTGCTTGCTAACGATACGGCGAGTTTGTACCTGGAGGTCAAGGCTCGGTACGAGGAGACGAAATTATGATACCACGATGGTCAGTTGAGCAGCACAAAACACAAGGGAACCCTTCGTCGAACGCTTAAAAAGCTTTGTTGTCGGCCTTCTACCCCACGATAGCAGCTTGGCTTATGTACACAACGTCCAGAGCCCCTTCACAAGACCTTGAACCACAACGGTGAAAGTTTCATTTCCCATTTTTGCGTCGAATTTAGGTCACCTTGTCCTTGTTGTGGTAGTTGACCTTGTCATTCCAGAACATGGTCTTATCGCCATCGCCCCAGAAGAAATTCTTGGTCCGAATGTTCTGGTAGGGGTACTCGACACGCTCTTCTAGGGGTGGCATGTGCTCCCAATGCTCCCAATGCTCGTTCCAGAGGTTATAAGCGTTGATGCTGCCAAGAATCAGGCAGGGAATGACGACGCTGTGTGTTTGTTAGAGGCATTTCGAGGGGTATATGGAGAGGGGTGAGGTACTAAATGGATAGTTTGCGCCAGAGACCTGCTGTCAGTTAGTCGTAGCTCGTCCAAACGATTTCGACTGATGCATACCACTTGTAGCAGCGGCGTGGGCCTTGACTGCTGCTCTCTCGCGGTTGAAGGCATTGTCTGCAGCTCCCACGAGCTTGTCGCCGGGTCTGGGGAGCTTCGGGTTAGCGGCTTCGGTGGACTGAAATCGGCGGGCGAAGTGGCTTCGGAGGACCGATGATCGGGTCTGCTGCTGCGCCATGCGCAGACCGAGGCGATGGAAGGACATTGTGCGCGCTGTGGTGGACAGAGAGAGGGGAGAGTCGTGTGCGAGGGAGCTTGTAGCTGGTGGTCTGAGAGGTTCTTGACGTTCGGAAAGACGAGTGGAGTCACAAAAGCTTGGCGTAGATCTGCTTCGATGAGGTCACTGGACTGCGCGCCGCTTTCGCGTTACAGGCAGTGGCGACGTGAGAGTGCTACGCTTCTCGTGGTGTCGGTCGAGGTGTTGCAAGTGTTTTCTTGACTCGGAGATGGGAGCTAAGGAGAGCACGTCAAAGGAGATGTGTAGCCATCATGGGCTTCAGAATTACCACCTGGAATGTCAACGGCATTCGCAACCCATTCGGGTACCAGCCATGGCGAGATAAGAAGACTTTCGATGGCATGTTCGAAGTGCTGGAGGCCGATATTGTGGTCTTCCAGGAGACCAAAATCCAGCGCAAGGACCTCCGCGATGATATGGTCCTCGTGCCAGGGTGGGACAACTATTGGAGCCTCCCAAAGCACAAAAAAGGTAGAGCAGATATCCGCTCGACTTGTATCTGACATGGCTAATGGAGCTAGGATATTCGGGAGTCGTCATCTACACCAAGAACGCTACATGCGCCCCAATCAAGGCAGAAGAAGGCATTACCGGCATTCTCACGCCGCCCAGCAGCAGCACCAGCTTCAGAGACTTGCCCGAAGACCAACAGATCGGCGGATACCCAACAGTTTCACAGCTGACCTTATCCGAAATAGATGCGACAACACTTGACTCGGAGGGGCGTTGTGTCATCCTCGAATTCCCTGCGTTCGTTCTAATCGGGACCTATTGCCCAGCCGAACGCGACGAAACGCGGACCGAGTTCAGACGTGGCTTCCTACAAGTCCTGGATGCACGAATCCGAAATCTCGTTAAGATGGGCAAGAAGGTCATCTGGACGGGAGACTTGAACATATCACGGGAGGAGATCGACACAGCTATGGCGGAAGAGATGATGCGGAAGAATGATGTGGATCCGGTTGGCTGGATTTCGACCCCAGCCAGGAGGCTCTTCAATCAGCTGCTCGTGGGCGGAAAGGTGTACGGTGAACGAGACGAAGGAAAAGAAGACTCAATCATGTGGGATGTTTGTCGCGGGTTTAATGAGGGGAGAGCAGGAATGTATACCTGCTGGGAGACCAAGGTCAACGCAAGACCAGGCAATTACGGTGCCAGGATCGACTACGTGGTATCTACTTACGACATGAAGGACTGGTGGGCAGACTCAAACATCCAGGAAGGTCTCATGGGGTCCGACCACTGCCCCGTGTACGCTACATTTGAGGATCGCATGGTGGTGGATGGCACGGAGAAGCATATTCTTGACATTGTCAATCCGCCCGGGCTTTTCATGGACGGTGTCAGGCAGCAAGAATGGACGAACAAGCTGCTCTTGCCAATGTCTGGAAAGCTCATTCCTGAGTTTGACCGGCGCCGTAATATTCGCGACATGTTCTCCAGGACGCCTTCGATGACAAAGACGAAAACGACCGAAGAGCAGCTCAGCACACAGCAATCCACAACATCAACAGCCACGCTCTCTCTGCAAGGGAGCCCGGAGCGCAGCAGGCCGGAAGCGGCCAACCCCCAAAACGGCAAGCGGCCTGCGAAGGCAGATCTTCCACCGCCTCCGGTCAAAAAGGCGAAGTCAACGCCGCAAACAAACTCAAATGGTCTGTCCAAGGGTCAGAAAAGCCTCAGAGGCTTTTTCACTTCTAAGACACCGCCTGCACCAGATAACTCGGTGACCGAATCACCGACGAAGACTCATACTCAGCGAGAACCCGAAGATGAAGCACCTTCCAGCGTCGCTGGAAGTGTTGACGGTGTGTCTGATCAGTTACTCGTGCCGTCCCCTTCGAAGACCGACATTTCAGTCAGCGAAGCCGATGTCGAGGCCGCCGAGGCTAGTAGCTTTGCAACCAAGCAGAGCTGGGGCAAGCTCTTTGCTAAACCAGTCGCCCCTAAATGCGAACATAACGAGCCATGCAAGACGATGCAGACGAAGAAAGCTGGCGCCAACCGCGGTCGATCTTTCTGGATGTGCAATCGCCCACTCGGTCCCAGCGGTCAGAAGGAGCGTGGCACGCAATGGCGGTGCGGTACGTTCATCTGGTGCAGCGACTGGGATGCGCACAGCGGAGAGCCTCCTTGACAGGGTCAGGGGACACGCGATGGCATTTTCACTATGCTACGGAGCGCGACATCGCCCCTACTCACGCGTCAAGGCGCCATCATGGAATCCCATAGCAGACGCCAGGCCAATACCGCGGCTTGCAGGGCAGTCGACTCGTATCGGTAGCCACTAGCAACCACGTTGGTTCGCTATGAAGAATGCGTAATGGTCTCGCCGTCGCGATTGGCCACCACAGAGACGCATATAGCACACCTGCAGAATCTCTCCCACGCCGATTGTCAACATTCCTCCACCGTAGCTTTCTTTCCTCACTCCGCTCCTCTGGCTCGCGCCGGCGGAGATACAGACACCCCGCGCCGCAATGCCTGTTTGCACCTCTCACCGCCCAGCACACCGCCCCCAATACCGCCTCCCAGCCTCCCTCTTGATCCTGTTCAGCCGCGCTATTCAAGCCACCCCGCTTCCACACAGTCATCACCAGCCCCCATCCCGCCTTCCGCCCTGTCCCCACCTCCACCGCACCCAGCCCTTGCTGCAGCGGAGGGGGCTGGAGGCGGTGTGCGCGGCGGTGTGCGCGCTTCCAGCCTTCCCCTTTTCGACTTTGGCGATTCCGCGCTCGCGCAGGCGGGCGGGAAGGTCGTTTGGCGTAGTGCGCGCCAAGGTTCCGCTCGCCCGCTTATCTTGTAGGCTTGTAGGCTTTCCTGTTCATTCGGCGACGCGTCACAGGCCGCGAGGGCTGCGGTCGTGGGGTTTAGGGCTTTTGAGGATGCTGTAGCTGCGATAGAGACAGTAGCGAAGAGGAATCATGGTCATTTTCAACACGTTGTGTTCATTTTTGGTTGTGTTTCTAGTCTGTTCTGTTCTGTTCTGCTATGCTAAGGTATGCTTCGCTATTCGATGCAGTGATGCGCTTTGCCAGAGGCGTTGACCCGGAGTCTGCTCTGTGCTGCGCTGTGATGTTGTGTTGAGATGGAGTGGAGGTATTCGTAAGATACTTTACTCTTCATTTTCTCATGCTGGACCCTGGTCATTGATATGACGGAAACGAAGATGAGCGTACTTCGTTGGTGGATGCCATTGACGGATACTATAGGCTGGAAAAACGTCCGATGCTGTAAGCGTAGCCGGTACAGCTTGTGGCGTCTCGATGTGGTGTAGGAAGGAGCCGATGTTCTCAACGGGCTGGGTAGGGCACTTGCTGATGTCCTCTCGAATGCTGCGACCATTCTTGAAGGGATTAGGTCTAGCAACGACGCGATCTGTGCGGTTTTTCAGCAGACGACGCGGAATTCGCTCTTCCCAGGGAGTAGACTTGTCGAAGTCGATCACAAGAGTAGTTTGTGCGGGCTCAACCCCGTAGTCCGTCGGAGCTTGCTCGATGTACTTGACGATATCCCGCTCTTCTCTCTCAAAGTCGGCAAGAATGCGCAGTCCAACAGCGGGAATCATCTGAAAGGATGACTTCGGGGTTGAGATAGCGCGGTTTGAGGGATCTTCTGGAGCGCCAGGAGCCATGTTGAGCAAGAAGTTCTCCCAACCGTGAGTACCAGGCTGATACAAGGGTCGAGAGTAAGCTTGACGCCTGACCAACTCGAGCTCTTGAACTTCATTTTCAACAATGTGATTGCCACAAGCCTCCTGGAACTGCAGCTCAGAATCGAGAGCGGCCAAAGCTAAGAGCTTGACTCGAGCAGAATCTGATGGGAAGAGAGCTGGATTGAGGAGAAGACGCTTGAGCTCGTGGATAATGAACTCCAGGCGATCTTCGTCCTCATCCTCATTCGTATCTTTGGCGAGGCGCACAAAAGGTTGCGCCATAGCTCGGAGCATCTCAACGCACAGATGGTGGAGATACTCGACGGTGCATTGCTCGATCACCACACCATCTGAAAAGATGTTAACATCCAATCCAGCTATATAAGGAAATGGAGAATACTTACTGACGGCTAGGCGACCTCTGGCCGAGCTAGCGCTGAGGGTGGACTCCATGTTGATATGTCGGGACCGCATGTATGGCTCTTTCGATTTGATGATATGCTATGCGTCGGGGATGCAGCAGAATGGTTCTTCGAGAAGGGGGAAGGAAGGGGAAGGGACTCACCATTCTGTATCCGAGCTTTTGACAATCGTATTGTCCCATAGACAATACCCCAGCCCCAGCATTGACCACCTTGTAGTGAATGACTGCGGGAAAAGGTGTAGGATGCGGACGGTGGCTGGATGGGTCAAGCAGCGACGTGAATGTCGAGATGGCAGAATTCTGTCGGCAGAATCCTGTGAAGCCGTCTTCGATAAGTATAAGAACTGAACTGCATTCTCGACTTTGTTTTCGATCTTCTGTCTGTCCACCTTTCTTTGTTGCCTCAACTCCGATCGCATCCAGCGCTGCTGCACTCCAACTCAAATCTTCTCCTGCTAGCAACAAGTACCTTCATACTGCAGACCTGACGCAATGAGCCACGACGCTCAAGTTCAAGGCGCTCTGGAGGCCTACTATGCTCTTACCCCAGACCAGCAGAGCATCTTCAGTCAGTTGTCTGCGACTCCATCCTCAGCATCCTCTCCACAAAGCCCCAGCTCCATCGACATGAACTCGCCCGCCTCGCATCAGAGCCCCCAGCCAGCCTCGCGTGCCGCGGTTGTTGGCGGAAGAAGAGTATCTCGATCAAGAGCACGACAGAGTCAGGCTGCGCACCACAAGAAGAGACCTCTCAATGCATTCATGGCGTTCCGCTGTTAGTAATCTATCGTACGCACCTTGCAATTGAACGACTAACATAAATAGCGCTCTACTCTCCACAACTTCCTGGTCTGACCCAGAAGGTCAAGTCTGGCCTCCTTCGGGAGATGTGGGCTGCTGAGCCAAGAAAGCCCCTCTTCTCTGTTCTGGCACAAGCCTACACCGACATCAGAGACAATCACCTCGAGCTTGTCCCGCTTGACAAGTTCCTCGCTGCAACTGCCCACCAGCTTCCGGTTGTTCCTGCAGCCGAGTACCTTCTCAAGATGGGATGGGAGCTTACCATCGTTGCGACTGACCAGGCCACCATCATCCGCTCTACCACATTCAATGCTGGTGCTGTCAACTCTGAATATCCTGCATACACCGACAAGTCTTCCGTTGACCTTGTCAATCATTGCTATGACTCTGGCGTGCTCCAGCGGTCGTCTCGTCTCGTTCAAAGAACGAGAGCTGGTGCCAATGTCATGGCTATGCCCATCGCTGCTGCTCCTGCGCCAGCTGCTCCAGCCCAGCCTCAAGTCACAGCCTTCGACGACTTCGATGTGAGTGCAGCCTCTATCTTCTTGTTGTGGTAACCGAGCTAACGACTTGCAGTGGGAAGAGGCGTTGCGAGAGCTGGCTGCTCCGGCAGACCCAACACCAGAGTTCAACTTCAACGACCCTATCATCAACCTCCGTCCTGACTACCACCCATCCATCGACACCGTCACAGCCGATCAGCAACGAGCCTACGAGCGTACCCCATTCGCCTTGCACTTCCATCCAGAGATTCAGCCGCCCGTCCTCGGCTTCGACCCAAACATGATTCAAGACGAATTCGATCCGTTCAGTTTCTTCGACCTCTCTGAGTAACGCAAAAGACAATGCGAACCTTCCTGCTCAGGATGATTTTCGTATTTTCGTATTACCAGCAGTTCACACATTCGGCACATTCTTAACGAGAACGCCGTAGACATCCACAGCCAGGATTCAGCCTACCCTTGCGTTAACGATACTTTCGCTACTGGTCAGGCAGGTCGTAGATGTATGCAACAAACACTTCGATTAGGTGGAACGAACACGAGCGATATGAGAACCGCCAAGGGGCCATCTGTTGGCTCCAGGGTTTGAAGAGGAACATGTAGAGACATTCCGTTATGGCAAGTACCAAGCTACCTACAAAGCTCAGAAAATCACGACCGTTATTATAGAGGTCGAATCTGAGTTCACGCATGCGGACTAGCAGTTCTGGGCAGCAACAGCAACAACGACCAACGACCAGCGCCAAGAGTAAACGGGTTACGTCAGTCACGTGCAGTCGACGCGGCGGTCGCTGCTACCTGAAGGCGCAGCCAGATAGATGCGCCATCTCACGCTGCAGTATTACGAGTCCTCCTCACTGTTTTTCGCGTCTGCCTGCCTCCTTCTAGTTTTGGCCAAAGGTTTTCAATTGACTGCTTTCCTCCCTTCCCAACGCTACACTCTGGCGTTCTACGTTCCAGGCGCCCACGAATCAACGAGCCGGAGGAGGCCGTCAGGTACCGGAACTGTCTACAGTGGCTTTGGGCGGACAGAAGCCAACATGTCGTACCCTGCTTTGGCCTCCGGCACTGGTCGAAACATTGATGCGTCGAGAACCGAATCTGACCTTGCCATCAACATCCGCAAAGCGACAAGCATCGAGGAGACAGCTCCTAAGCGTAAGCATGTGCGCTCCTGCATAGTCTACACATGGGACCACAAAAGTTCTCTGTCCTTCTGGGCAGGCATGAAAGTCCAACCAGTGATGGCCGACGAAGTTCAGACCTTCAAAGCACTCATCACTGTCCACAAAGTACTTCAGGAAGGTCATCCTGTGACCGTGAAAGAGGCGCAACAGAATGTTAACTGGGTCGAATCCCTCGCGCGCGGTGTCATGGGCGAAGGTCTTAGAGGCTACGGTCCTCTCATTCGAGAATATGTCTTTTTCCTCCTCGCAAAGTTGACCTTCCACCGCCAACATCCCGAGTTCAATGGGCTGTTCGAGTATGAGGAGTACATCAGCCTGAAATCGATCAACGACCCAAACGAAGGCTACGAGACCATTTCAGACCTCATGACTCTGCAAGACCAGATCGATACGTTTCAAAAGCTCATTTTCTCCCACTTCCGTGGCGGCAATAACAATGAATGCCGAATCGCTGCGCTTGTGCCACTCGTGCAGGAAAGCTACGGCATCTACAAGTTCATCACCAGCATGTTACGTGCAATGCACACCACCACTGGCGATGATGAGGCGCTCGAGCCGCTTCGCAGCCGCTATGATGGTCAACACTACCGGCTGGTCAAATTCTATTACGAGTGCTCGAACCTGCGGTACCTGACGAGTCTGATCACGGTGCCAAAGCTTCCTCAAGACCCTCCCAGTCTCCTCGCTGAGGACGACGATAAGCCTGCTCTACCTCGTCGACCAACGAAGGAGATCGAGAGCGCACCCTCGCCAGCCCCTCGAAATGGCGATTCGGATCCAAAAGACATGGACGACTTCTGGTCAAGGGAGGCTCAACGGCAGCAAGACGAATACGAAAACGAGCAGAGGCGATTGCAGCAGCAGTGGGAAGATCAACAACGGCAACAAATGCTTGCTCAGCAACAGGCGCAGCGCGATTTTGAGGAACAGCAGCGCATGCAAGCCGAGCAGCAAAGGCTAGCTCAGGACCAGCTGATGCGTGACCAGCTGGCTGCTCAAACCCAAGGCCGGATGGCCGAGCTCGAGCGCGAGAATCTCAACGCACGTGCCCAGTACGAGCGGGATCAGCTGATGCTACAACAGTACGATCAGCGCATGAAGGGTCTGGAGGAGCAACTACAACAGCTCAATCAGAACTTCCAGATGCAGAATCAATCGAAGGACGATCAGCTTTCGGCTCTTCAGGAGCAAGTCAACACATGGCGTTCCAAATATGAGGCGCTTGCGAAGCTGTATTCGCAGCTCAGGCAGGAGCATCTAGATCTTCTGCAGACCACCAAATCACTGAAGCTGAAAGCTGCTTCTGCTCAAGAGGCCATCGATCGCAGAGAACGGCTCGAGCGCGAGATGAAGACTAAAAACTTGGAGCTAGCAGACATGATCCGAGAGCGTGATCGAGCTTTGCACGAGAAAGATAGATTCTCGGGCACCCATCGCGAAGAACTCGAGAAACTCAAGCGCGAGCTTCGATTCGCCATTGAACGTGCCGAGAATGCTGAGCGTGCCAAGGGATCCGAAATATCTTCGATGCTCTCAAAGTACAACCGGGAAATGGCCGACCTTGAGGAATCTTTGCGCAGTAAGACGCGACAATTGGACCAAATCAGGTCAACACACAGCGAGCGCAATGGAGATCACGAAGCGGCTCTGCGTGAAAAGGACGATGAGATTGAGATATATAAGTCGGGCATGGAGCAGGCGCTCGAAGAGCTTGAGGAGCTCAAGTTAGGCAACGGCGAAACCGACGGTGCACTCGATGGCGCAATTGACGAGGTCCTCAAAGCCAATGTCAACAAGATCCAGGACATTGTTGACTCGGTGCTCCAAAGTGGTGTGCAGCGAGTGGACGATGCCATGTATGAACTAGATTCGCCCATGCAGGCCGGAAACCAGAATGCGACTGCGCCCTATGTCCTTTCACAGGTCGAGAAGGCGTCAGCGAGCGCCACAGAGTTCTCCACGGCCTTCAACAACTTCATCGCAGACGGGCCGAACAGCCCTCACGCCGACATCATCCGGACTGTCTCCGTTTTTGCGGCCTCGATCGCTGATGTGCTGTCTAACACCAAAGGTCTGACACGGTTTGCAACCGAGGAGAAGAAGGGCGACCAGCTTATCGACGCAGCCCGACAGTCCGCTCTGTCAACCATAAACTTTTTCCGAGGACTTCAATCATTCCGCCTTGAAGGCCTTGAACCTATGCAGAAGAGCGATGTTGTCATTAACAATAATCATGACGTGCTAATGAAGCTTCAAAAGCTTTCTAAACTTGCTGATGCTTTTGCGCCGAAGGGCACAAAGCTCAGCACGAGTGGTGATCTTGGGGACCTTGTCGACTCCGAGCTGACGAAAGCTGCCGATGCTATTGAGGCCGCGGCTCAGCGTCTGGCCAAGTTGAAGAACAAACCTCGCGATGGCTTCACAACGTTCGAGCTCAAGATTAACGACTCCATCCTCGACGCAGCTGTAGCTGTGACTAATGCCATTGCCCAATTGATCAAAGCTGCCACCGAATCTCAGCAAGAGATCGTTCGCGAGGGTCGTGGATCCTCATCGAGAACGGCTTTCTATAAAAAGAACAATCGCTGGACCGAAGGCTTGATCTCTGCCGCGAAGGCTGTCGCAACATCTACCAATACCCTGATTGAAACAGCTGATGGGGTCATGTCGGGACGCAACAGCCCCGAGCAGTTAATTGTAGCCTCGAATGACGTTGCGGCCAGCACTGCCCAGCTCGTGGCTGCTAGCCGCGTCAAAGCTACCTTCATGTCGAAGACGCAGGATAGACTCGAGCAAGCAAGTCGTGCAGTGGGTGCAGCTTGTCGTGCCTTGGTAAGACAAGTCCAGGACATCATCAAGCAAAAGCAAAAGGATGATGGCGAAGCTGTTGATTACGGTGCCCTGAGCGGTCATGAGTTCAAAGTCAGGGAGATGGAGCAACAGGTAAGACATAGGAGAACTTCGGCCCTTTATATACATTGTCATCTAACATCCAATCCAGGTCGAGATTCTACAGCTAAGGAACGCACTGGATGCAGCCCAGGCCAGGCTGGGCGAGATGCGCAAGATATCTTATCGAGAGGACTGAGAGTCTGCAAGAAAGCCGCGACATCATACCCCAGTAGGCAGGAAACAGGCTTCCAACAGAGTACCATACAATCCTGGCTTTGGCTATCCTACTCTACCCGATAACTTCTCATACGCCACTTCTGACTATGGTCCCAAACCAGTCTGCATACCCATCCATATTTCTGATTAGAGCGCCCAGGAGTGTACTACTTCTTGTTGGATGCTGTTAGCAACTTCTGTTGCTCGAAGCCTAAACATGAAACCTGTTCATTGATTTGAGCGGGCATTGTGACAATGAACTGTGCTCCGACAAATAGCTTCTTGGCAATATCAGGAGCCTATGGCAGTAGTTGAGTCCGCCGTTGTTTTATCACCGTTGAAAACTTCGTGTCAATTACGTACACTACCACACACTGCCATGCCGTTCAGAACCAGATATGTATGTATCGGGAGATCGACCTGGGTATCCAGGAGCCATCTCTTAGGTCGCGTTCCGCATTGCATTCTGCCCTTTGTTGAGATTCGGTGCGGGAGACATCCACAGGCTTTTAGCATTTCATTGTGGTTATATATGTCCGCATTCGGTCTTTGTGCCATCTGATGGGCTCGATGTACAAAAATCTAACGCCATGCTCGAACCAAAGCTTCTGCACTCCCGTCTCAGCCGGTGCCCCTAACCCCATTCACCTTCCAAACGCACGTCTAATGCCAACACGAGGCATCGAAAGCTTGTCCATGCATTCTTTCGTGATATCCATCATCGCCATTTCGCTACTCCAATTCTCGCATGCGCAAGGCCAACCCGTCGTCTCCCCAGCACCCCTCGAGGACGGCAGCGAAGACACACAACACCGCCCCAACGCCACCATGGCGTCCGCCTCTTCCGCGGAGCCCATGTCATGGACACCCATCGACCTCACAGACAAGCACGATGAGTTCCCGCACCCAGCCGCGAAACGCGCCCAGGTGCAGCCCACGGGCACCGACTTTAGCAAGTCCCCTTTGAGGTGCATGTATGAATGCCAGCGCAAAGGTCAGTTCCATCAAGAGACATTCCCTGCCTCAGTTTTTGCATGAACTAACGAGAGGGAACCCCAACAACAGGATGGACAGGCCAATGCATCCGCACGCTAGCGGAGGAGAACAAGTGCATCAACCGCATGTTCAGCGGAAGCGAGTCGGTCGGGCCGGACAAGGGCCTGTCTTGCACCATGTACATGAACTCGGGCTGCAAGGGCGATTCGGAGGATGGGTTCAGATACCCCGGGTGGGACAAGGACTGGAGCGTCGATCCGTGGCGAGGGGTTTTCAAGAGCGCACCGAAGAGTTGGAAATGCAAGTTTGAGTAGTCAGGGGGGACCAGCCTTCGGTGTACCAATGTTTTGGGAATTAATGCTTCGAGCGACGGCAGACCATGCCGTATCAGCAAGTCCCATGAATTAAGACTATACCCAAGAATCTGCTTTGGTCAGCTAACACTGCTAACACTCTCCTACACATCAATCCTCTTCGCCAGCCGCGCCCAGACTCACACCTCCACTGTCCCTACCCGTCCAATCGCCACTGCCCAGTTGCGGACTTGAGCCTGATGTTGACGACAGGTTGCTCGGTTGACGATGCAGTGACAGCGGCTTCCTCTTGATCGACGAAGGCGTACTAGATACAGGGGCTGGTATCCTCGACGACCTTCGATCGCTGGCAGCCGAATTGGTGCGTGCTGGCGGAGGGGGCCGTGGGGGGTCCTGGAATTCAGACTCGGACCTTTGTCGCGAATAGTCGAGATGGCCGTTGTTCTCTTTGTCTGATGGCGAGTCATCCCGCATGCGGTCGTATTGCTTTGTGTCCAGGTCACCTTGTTCTGGACTGACGTCGGAGGTGCGTGCTTGGCGCTTGTCACGTGACTCAATTATGTTTGCAGTGTCTATCACGGGCTGTTGGTAGCGTCTCTCGTCGAGGCCTGATCTCCTCTCCTCTTCAGTTTCTTCCTCGCCGTGACCGAAGAAGTCGTCGCGGCTGGCATTGTTGAATCGCTCAGCTTCAGGACTGTTGGGACCTGACTCCGTAGGTGCTTCAACAACCAATAGATCGTCCCCGTACTCACTGGTTTCCGAATTGTGCATCGTACTCTTTCTTCGCCGTCGCTCTGGTAGAGGAGGCGGCTTCGGAGAAGCTGATTTCGAAGTTGATGCCGATTCAGCAGTTTCAGGAGCGTCTGGCCGCTTCGGCAAGGTTGGCTTTCTTGGTATCATGAAGGGAATGTTCGACATGATAGTGTTTTGTTTACGAGGACCAGGAAGCGGCTGTCCTGGCGGTGGTAAGGGCTGACCTCGTCCCATGGGCTCTGAGGGAGGCCCACTCGGTGATGGTGTCTGAGGTGGATGGTCTGACAAATGATTGTCCTTTTGCTTATTCCTGTTCAGCACACCCCAGCCGAGTGTGCTCCATTTCTGTGCTGCAGCAGTAGCGGAAGCCAGTGCCTGCTTCCTGTCTGCAGCCGTTAGCGACCGGGCCGCTTGACCTAAAGCTTTGTTTGACTTTTGATCCTCGTGAAGAGACGATCGTTTCATTTCTGAGGGTGTGCCTGGACGCGACGTATGAGCCGAGGACGTGGTACTCCTGGTCATATCTACTGTAGACGCACGACCGGGCGCCGTCATACTCTCCACAGAAGTCTTGGATACATTGCTGTCTGTCCTGGCTTTCATAGCCTCAGCCATGGCCGGCTCCACCGGCGGGGAATCACCGAGAGGATCCAAGGGCGAGCCACTTCTTGCGGATAAGTCCTTGAGAATATCGCGTGCAGAATCTCTTTTTGGTGTTGAATCTGCCTCAACCTTGCCCGCATCGCTGTCAACATTGTTAGTTGTGACTGCGGGATCTGCAGCATTAGCGAAGGACATGGCTCGCAAAGCTCGAGGAGGCCGTGCTGGAGGGGTCTTGTCGCCTTCTGACGGCGTGACTTCAGGTACTGGTAATGAAGCATATGACTTGTTGTCGAGCCCATCGGTTGAGTTTGGATCATTGCCGGCAAGAGTTGGCATGCTGTAGTTGCGGTCGTCGACTGTGATAGTGCTCACGTCCGATGAGGCGTTATCTCCACTTGCTGACGTCTGGGCCTCGTCTTCTGGACTATCATCTTTGATCTCCACGGATGTGTCCGACTTCTCCCGTTTCCAAATGCCGCCACGGTGTTTCTGCCCCATCGTATCAAAGAATGGCACATCGTCCCAGAAAGGCATGACCAAGGACTCGGTAAAGACCTCTCTGATCCTGCTCTCAATAGCACCTAAAATGACGCTGTAGGTAATCTTCCGTGTTGAAACGATAGGCTCCAAAGCTAGATCTAGCTGAGGCATCTTCTCAAAGGTGAACCATATTCGGTTGCTTGGTGGTGGCTTACAGCGCACAAGCACGTGGCCTTGCACCCTTTTCAGCGTGCATGCCAATACCATATCAACCTCTCTCGCTCCAAAACGCTTGCCGAGGTCGATACGTGCCGTTGCACCAATCTCAATGCGAAAGCCCCCATTATACTCCACATCCGCTTCGGCGACACAGTCGCCATTGACGGTCAGATCCTTAAGTCGAGGGTTGGTGACAAAAGGGCCAGAAGTGCCAGTGTCGATTTTGCGAAGAGAGATCCTGGTAATGAAGGTCGGCTTCTTAACACGAGAGATCTTCTTGCTCAGCTTGGAGCGGATGAACTCCTCAAACTCAGGTGTCTTGTACGTAGCAAGAAACAGCCTGCCTATAAAAGCATTGAGCCACCTGGTTTGCAGCTGTTCCTCGGACGAGTGAAGCTTCTGAACTAGTTTGACAATGTACGAAGTGTCGAAATCCTCGGCGATGGGACTATCCACCGCTGTACGCTCTTGATTCTTGAGTAGGGCATGATAGAAGTCTTCTTTCTCCGATAGGTTCTCGCCGAAAAGGAAGAAGGGTAGAGAGGGCTTCTGAGAAGGATCCTTGGAGCGCTTCCGGGTCAATCTGATTGCATGGCGCTTGACCCACAACTCGCCTTCCGGGATGGGCTCTTCGTCGCCGGCGTAGATGTCGACGTCGTGGTATTCTAGAGAGATGACATATCTGACCTCGAGTTGTTGGTTATCATCATAGAGCATAAGGTGGCCGTGCCGCAGCACGACGAAGAAGATATTGTTGGCGCGCTTGATGTTCTTGCCAGCGCCGTCTTTCTGTGGCTCGATGGTGGGCTTCTGGGAGCTGCTGAACAGGCTTCGGTACATAGTCTGGTAGACGCTCGGTGACTCGGTAGCTATGGTCTCGCCGGCAGGAGACAGCCTATCTGGCGGCTTCCCATTGACACCTCCGGGCACCCATTCGCGGCAGACGGCGAAGTAACCTGCGGCCACGTCCGAGTCATGCTTGCGGTGGAACTTCTCCGCCAGGTCATCCGTGCCGGTCCTAAGAAGCAGGTCTTCATCCTCAGCTCGCTGGAGCTGGGCAGAGTCTTTTGCTTTCGCAGTCGATGACTCGTCGTCAGCTGGAGGGAGCGTGTAGTAGGCGAATGCGAGCACAGCGGCAATAAGTAGCGGGATGAAGGTCAGCCCGCCCAAAACGTAAACGAACAGAAACCATCTTAGAGGACCCATGGACAATAATTGGGCATGCTGGAAACCAGTGCGTCGAGTACGCCAGGCTCGTCAACGACAATACACAATCAAGAAATGCGGATGGGAAACATTGGACGACCTGCGTTGACAGTGTAATCTGGTCTTAGCCTTGTGATGTAGCCGGTTTCAAGGCGCGTCATCCGACACTTCGTCCACGCATCGCGCCTCCCCGCATGACCTCACCCTCGCCCTTATACGGGGCCCAGCATTTTACTACTGGCCTGGCCCGTTCACGATGCTGTCTGAGCCACGTCTTGGTTCAATGCCACTCATAGATACTGTTGGGCTCTATGTCTGTTGGCTACTGCAAGGCCCCGCGGCTGTCCAGCTGTTATACCGATTAGGTCGGCATTGGTTCTCCTTATGGCGAAGAGAACCTTCTTCATAACGCCGTGTCTACAACGATGCCAATGGGTATCATAATGCTGTTCATCCCACATCCAACGTCTTGTAGATGCTCATCACCACTCAATGCCTTCGCCTTCAATTTCCTGCAGCAATTCCATCACGGGAGCCAGCATCACCCCCTCGTTCCGCAGCGCCGCCCTTGCCCTCGTCCTCGAATAGAAGACTGGACAATCCTTGCTGTCGCACCTTACCTCCTCGTTCCATCCCACTCCTTCACAACTGCGACATATCTTCAGGAGCCCCTCCACTTTCCTCTCCGCCCTGACCACCCGCGACTTCAGCAGCAGGAGGCTTTGAGGTGCTTGCTCAACGCAGCTGCTGCAAATGGGTACTTCCGAGTCCAGGCTCCCGCGGCAGACCAGACAAGTCGACGACTTCATGTAGCTTTCGAGAGTCTTCTTCGACATGCCCATCTCCCTGCCATCATTCGTCATGCCCGCCTCGATACGTCGAATGCGCTGATACTTCGGCATCTCATCGTACCACTGCCGAACATTTGCACCAACCAGGTTGAAAATGCGCTCTAATGGTGGGATGAGGTTCTTGGAGATGTAGTACTCGGCGTCCAGCTCGGAGTGAGCATCGTTGAGCAACACATCTGGTGCAACACATCGGTCGATGAGTCTTGCTCCTGGTCCACCCGTTACCACCACATAAGGCACCCTTTCACCGTACTGCGGCTCGAGGCGTGGGTCCTCAACCATTCTTCTGGCGCTAATTAGTGCTCCTGGTGGCGGCGGGCCTTTGTCACTGTAGGTTCCCAACTTGACCTCTCTTGCGAAGCAAAAGTCTTGGATCGACACCTTGCCACGCATAATCTTTGCACACTGTGTTTGAAAGAAATCCTTTACCTTGCTGAGATCCGCAGTTCGGAACAACACTTTGAGCGCCATCTCCTCAATCTTCTGCTCCGCTGGCGTCCCATCCCGTCTCACCGTCTCGATGCCTTTCGCGTCAAACTCCGGCACCGTCTGGTTCCGGCTTTCGTACTTGAAGCCAACGTACCGCTTCTTCGCTAGGAGCACGCACGGATGATAAACCTTTTCGAACTTCAGCTTCACCGGGCGCGGGTTCATTCGAGTGATTGTCTCCGCGATATCCTCGCCGATATCGAACGCCTGCTCTCTCGTCCGACCTTTCAGATAAACGAATAGGCTGTCTGTATCGCCATACACGACCTCGGCGCCCCATTTCTCCGTCGCATGAATCACCGCGATCGCCTTTTCAAGCGTCTCTCGGCCCGTTTGAACAATACTATCCGCGATCTCGCTGCACGGCATTCGTCCAGAGAAGCTAGCTGACGTGTAACCGTAGGTAACGTTTGCGATCAACTTCAGTGCCAGCTGCCGATTGTTGAGCAGTCGCTGCAACGCCTTGTCGTCTTTGTCGACCTTCATGCCGCTCTTCACCATGACTCTGGTTTCAAGAATCTCACTCAACATTTTCGCGAGAAGACTCTTGCGAACTTCCTTTTTGACGTACATGATTCCGTTCGGCGAGATGTTCACGTAATCTTTCAAGAGGCCCAAGAGCCCTTCTTGTCGCTCATAATTGGTAAAGCCCATCTTGTTGGTTCCACGCCAATTTACCACACGTCCAAGGAACGTCGAATAACAATAGTTGTACGCAATCATAACAGAAGGGTACAAACTCTGAAAATCGAGGACTAACAGTGGACTGCTGTAGAAGTCGCTCATGGGTTCCATGACGAGTGGGAGACACTCCAGCGCATTCTGACCGCCTACCTGCCGGCGACTTGGACTGGGCAGCAGCAAATTCTCAGGCTTTGCAATGCGAAACATCAGCGATTCAACTTTGAACTGGCTGCCACGAGAGATCACTGAGTACCAGTCGACGCCGAGAAGACGAGCCTGCTCGCTCGTCCGTGCTACTAACTCGTTTGCCTCGAGAATCTCGAGGTCGATGCGCACGCGCTCACAAAAGTATTGCAGCACTCGTGCGCGCTCCCGCGGCACCTTCGATTTGTACCAGGCAGTCAAATCTCTGAAGCCGTAGTGGGGTACCCTCTTCTGGAGAAGATGAAATGTTATGTTCTCAAGCGTATACTGCAAGAGGTTCAGCTCACCCTTCATGGCGCGCCAAATATTGATGGTATGTCTGCCAGTCACTCTAATCGTGGATGCGTGGTTGAATCCCCATCGGTCCTCATCCTTACCGAAACGGCCGTGGCTCTGGGATTTCATGCGAGAGATCTCATCGCATAAGTTCATGTCGTACTTGACGCGACCACGTTCGATAACATAACCCCAAGAAGAGTTGTGCACCTCGAATCCGGTGAGTATGTCAGGGTCGTATTTGCGTACGATATCGACAAGCCTGGTGAGCAAATCGAGCTCGTTCGTCTCGGTCTCAATATCAATCTCGTTAAGCGAGCTTGCGGTCCGGGAGAGCTGCTTGGCGGAGCGTTCATCCTCAGCTAGAGCCAGTATGCCCATCCTCAAGTTGTTCTTGCCAGGAACATTAGGTTCGAAGTCCTCGGCATCATCGTTCTGCACGCACCAAAAGACACAAGCGACTTCATCATGCTCCGGATTGGGTGCAAGAGAGCCGCGTGTGTTGACGTGGACTTCGAGAGACATGGTAGACATGTATTGGGTTGCGTGTTGAACGGATGTAGACGACTGCTTTCCCGAGTATTTGAAGCCATGCTTATTCTTCTGAGTGGGCACGTCTATCTGGGAGCGCATTAATCGAGGTGAGCCCGGTGTCTGACCAGTGGCAGCGTTTGTCGGAAGGACCTTCTCTGCTGGCTTTCCCAAATCGAGCCAGGCAGTCACATCACTTGGTCGAGGTGGTGGCTCTGCTATAGACCAAAACATATAGCTGCAACGCTTGCGTCGCTGGTTATCGCTGATTTCTTCTGTGTTTCGGTCAAGCATTACTGGGTTCTTGCGGCCAAGAGTTGCTAGTGAAGTGCCAGAAGCATCAAAATCAGGGAGATACGGAATGGTTGAGCTCTCGAGCTTGAACTCACGGCCCGCATACTCGCGAGCCTGGTCTGGTACATCCTCCTCCTTTTTATAATATGCCTCCTGGTAAATTTGATCGGGCAGTCCTTCGCGTCGCATTGTAGAAGTCACAAAGGCAACCCTGGGCGGCCGCGTGTGGTAGACCAGGAGTGCGTTCTGATGCTGGAGCTTATGGAGCTCACGCATGCTGGCACGGCTCGGTTCCACTGTGAGCGACGGCCTGAAGGTGGCCTCGGAGCCCGGCTTTTTCGTTGAGACAGGCGAGCCCGTCCTTGCAGGTGTCTTCGCGCTTGGTGTAACTTCCTTTTCGCATACAGGTCGACCATCCGACAACTTTTGTGACTGGTCGCTGGCCTGGCTGAGCCGAGAGGGATCTTGCGGGTGCTTGACAACGGGAAAGTGCAGCGTAGAGTTCTGTGAGCTCTGAGATCCCTTCAGTAAGGCGCTGCTTCGCCTTTCGAGAGTTTTTGGATCTTGACTGTGCTTGGACAGAATGTGCTGTACGCTATTGTTGGGATTCCGACCTTCTGGTTGGCCATTGGAACCCTCGTCAATGCCGCTGTCATTAAACGGGTCATCTTCGTTGTCTGATGAGATTTGAGGAAGAAGATTATCCTCATCGACGAGAACTCGCCGCCGCTTCCTTGCCTTTGGCATAGGAGCAAAGCGAGTCCTCTTATTCGCTTTCCTTGCCCACATGTCGGTGAACTCAGGAGGGATTTCGAAATCCTCATCCCCGGAGCTATAAGCATCGCCAGCATTGTGTACGCCATACTTGTCATATTCAGTAGAAGAGATAGGAGCATCAGCAATCTCATGGCCCGCAATTGAATCCCCGTCATCGGCATATGGTTGCTTTGCTGGTGGTGTCTTAGATTCGAGCCTCTCGCCAGATTGATGTTGTTCCTCACTCGAATGTTCTGGCTTGCTCATACCCTGAATCACGTCTTCGTCTACTATGACTTGCCCTGCGTCGGCAGTCTCGTTGGCTTGACTTGCCGTCGATGTTCGTGACATGTTGAGTGGATATAGGTCTTCAACACTGTCCAGAGCCGTTTTCACGGTTCTCTCGAGTGGCACAGGCTTGAGATAGCTGTCGAAATGTAAATTCTGCTGATTCGCCTTCGCAGTCTCGCCTGCAACAAGCTGCTCGATCTTGTATCGATATTCCTGTTCGTGAATCCAACCGCCTGCTTCGGTCTCGCGTGGATCGGCTGACATGGTCACGAGAACCTCTGGAGGAAATGGGCTGCTGTTCGGGTCTTTCAAGCCCAGTCGTGCCTTTCGCCGCCGCGTTTCATCCTTCCAAAGACCAGCCATACTTTGCACCAGCTTAGCATCTAACGGGATGGGTTTGAGACGCTCGACAAAGTCGTGGTGCAGGGACCGAGGTTCCACATCGCGGCGATTCAGGATGTCTTGGACACATAGATCAACCTCAAGTGCACAATGACTTTGCTTCGGCAACGCGAACTCATCAGAGATGTTCTCAGGCAGAATTGAACGGTCATGCCACTGGTGCAAATCACTATCAACCTCGTAATAGCCGGGGACTGGTGCTCTAAACTTGACCTTTGCGCAGTCGATGTATCCACACCCATACAAGTTGTAGTCACACATCCATTGGGCAATGTACTGCATGTGGCTTTCGTATGGCTGTAAGACGCGCTTCATGATCGCTCCGTCACGCATGAGATCGGCCAGTCTTGTCATGTGGAGCGGGTTGAGCAGGTATATCTTGAGATAGAATTTGTAGCCAACATGGTAGCCATAGAACGGGACGCCTTTGACCAAGGAGATGTGTGCGACGTAGCGATGCTTGCCCGTGTAGATGTCCTTCCTATAGCTCACCGCTAAGGCATGATCGATAGAGAGGTGAAGATTCCGGATTGCCACCTCAACATCTGCAGGTTGTAGGCTACCGCAATACTCGACGTATGTGTACTGAAATGCTCCATGAATATGCAGGAGCACCCTCTGACCAGTTTCGGTGGCACCGAACACGCGGAGCACTGAGACTCGCGGGCGATCTTTGGCATTCTGAATGGCATCCGCTCGTGGGACAGGAGGATCGAACTCATCGACTGGCACACTCTGGTAATAGTCGATACAGTTCAAGCGAACCCGAAACGAATCCATGGTTCTACTGGGGGGCAACGCAGGCTCGCGTGTAGTGCTTGCGCCTCAGCTTCATTGCGAGCAGCAAGCTGGAAAGCGTCGTTGTTGGGACGAATCGCAAGACTGTGGAAACCAGACGTCGATGGTGGGGACCGAAGTCATCGTTGACGCGTGCTGAGGAGAAGGGAGGGTGGTCGTGTTTACTGCCTGCATGTTCCATCACATTAGGCCCAAGGCGGCAGGTGACGGCATCGCTCAAATTTCATGTGAACATCCCGCGTGCCTTCCTTCTTCATCCTACTACGACACCCTGCACCGCAACCTTGCGGATATTCTCGACTCTTCCGCCGCTATCTATGAGGTCCGACTGCCCTGAGTAGTCGTCCACAACGATGCCGCCGCCAACGAACGCCCCTCCGGCGCAAGATACTTCACGTAACGAATACATCCCCTCCTTCATCGCCTCTAAGCCCTTCTATGTCACCGACGACCTCGCCTCAAGCGATGCCGACTATCTCGAGCATCAACGTCTACACTCCGCCCCTAAAGATACCCTCGACAAAGCGAAATGGTACGACCGCGGCAGAAAGCTCGGCCCTGCCGCCACCAAGTTCCGTAAAGGCGCTTGCGAAAATTGTGGCGCCATGACACACAAAACCAAAGAGTGTTTATCACGGCCACGGAAAACGGGTGCGAAATATACTGGTAGGGATATACAGGCGGATGAGGTCGTGGACAGTGTGAAATTGGGTTGGGATGCGAAGCGAGATCGATGGAACGGGTACGATCCTAAGGAATATGATGCTGTGATCAGGGAGTACAATGAGCTGGAGGCTCTCAAGAAGGCCACCGCTGGAGACTCTGCTGCGGATACGGCCGGTAAGGAGGCGGATGTCGGCGGCGACAATGATGCCCGTTACGACGCCGAGAGCGACATGGGCCGCTCACAACCCACTTCCACACGCCAACTCCGCCTCCGAGAAGACACTGCCGGCTATCTCAAGAACCTGGACCTCGATAGTGCAGCCTACGACCCCAAAACGCGTACTCTTGACAACAGCACCAAAGACCCCACCTCTACCGATGGTGATCTCGCTGACCAAGGGTTTATGCGACCTTCCGAAGCCGATGCCTTTGAGCGTGCACAGCGTTACGCGTGGGAGTCACAGGAGTCTGGTGCTCCCGATGCTGCGAAGCTGCACCTGCAAGCAAATCCTACTGAGGGCGCTATGCTAATGAAGAAAGCCGAGGCTGAGGCCGCGGCCAAGAAGGATGCACAGCGGCAGTACTTACTCGATCGCTACGGTACCTCTACACCAGATCACTTGGGCGCTTCCAAATCCCAGTCTGATTCCCAAGCCCTCACCATGTCCAGCTCAGAAAAGGCCCGCAAACCAAAAACAATTATGTCCTCCTCTGTCTACACCGAATACGACGCAAGTGGTCGGCCGAAGAATGCCCCCGTCACAGTCGCCCGCAGCAAATACCCCGAAGACGTACATCCGAACAACCATACAAGTGTCTGGGGAAGCTGGTGGAGCAACTTCCAATGGGGTTACAGCTGTTGCCACTCCACCGTGAGGAACAGCTGGTGTAGTGGCGAGGAGGGCAAAGAAGCCTTCGCTATGGCCGAGGGTCGAAAGAGGGGTCAAGATCTGATCACTGACGGCACCACTGGCGACGGGGGGGACGCAGAGCCAGGTAAAGATGCCGATGCAGATGGGGCCGCTGCAGGTGATGCGAATGTGAAAGCGGCGGCAGCCAAGGAGACGAAGAAGCGCACCCTGGAAGAGCTGCAATCCGGCATCTCAGCAGAGGATATGGAGAAGTACAAACGCAGCAAGCTGAGTGGGGGCGATCCCATGGCGGCCATGTTGGGACGGGATGAGCTGCTTGAGAAAGCCCCTTAGGCGGCTTTGTGAAAAGTGCTGCCAGCGGCCACCCATCTGCATGTCATGGGTTGGGTTGATTGTTTCTCTGGCTTTTTTTTTTGCTGCGTTCAAGCGACTGTAAACCCGTGGCATTGTCAAAGAGGAAATGACACTCAGGACACTATGCATTTTGACGGCCGTGCCCAAGAACTCATGGTACGTTTGATACTCGTCGGTTCTCTCTTCTCGTTGACTACTGATACTTCACGACTCCCTGGCTACTAATGATGGGTCTGGCATGTCTCGATCTCAGCGATAGCCCTCAGCAGCCGAAGCCCCCATGACCGCCATGAGCAGCACCTCCACTATGACCAGCTCCACCAGCAGCGTGACTTGCAATGAATGTCATCCCGCCCACGAGCCCTGTCCCTCCACCTGAGTCTGCACGGCCGTCGCGCGATCTTCCGGGTGTTTTCGCCCGGGCTGACCTGCGTAGCCTTTCATCCTCTCTTATCTCGTCTTCGCCCATTCTCTCCAACCCCCTCACGCGCCGACGTTGGGCGTTCTCTTCGTGGGACTGGGCCGCGTCGTGGTCGCAGCAGCTCAAGCACAAACTCTGCCAACACTCGTCTTCACTCTTCTCGTCGGAATCTTGCCGAAGCTGTCGATCGATGTCCCGTCCCCGATGCTCGATGTATGGACGCAGGCCAGCAATGCCACTGTTTTCAAGGCCCTGTTCGTTGCTGCCATGAGTTGATAGTGGGTAAGTGCGAGGTTCACGCATCCGAGGAGAGCCGATTGAAGACATTGAGCGCAATGGGTGCTCCGCGGACGGTGATTGAGTCGTTGCAATCCCAAGCGCTCGCGGAGACCCAAGCGAAGATAGTGTGCGCAAGGTCTGTTCCCCATGCACTGACGGGGCCGCTGGAAACATCCTATCTACCGATTGAAGGGTGCGAATGGCTTCAGCTCTGCCTGATTGGTGCACCGAACCTGTCTCCGCGCGAGTCCGATCTACCGTATTCTTCCGTTCGGAGGTTGTTCTCGCCATGGGGTGCTGAGACAGCGTTCGTGGCCCCACACCATGCGCGCTCATCCTCCCGCCGAATCTGCCGCGTATATAGGTACCGTCATCTGCGACAGCGAGCACGCCGGGCGTGTCAGCCACAGAGACGCCACGGGGCAGAGACACCCTTGGGTGAAGATGGGTTGACGAGTGTTGAGCTTCGACTACACGCGATGCACCTAAGACGCGCTGCAGCATGTCCATGGGCACACTTCTATCCGCAGCTGGTGGTGAGCCCGATGTAACAGGTGAACTGACACTGGGCGAGCCCTCAGAGATGACCTCGTTGCTGGTGCGGTCGTTTCCTCGCATCCAATGGGCCAGAGCTCTTGCGCCTCGAAAAAGTGCAAATTCTGGATGCAGGCGGAGTTCCTGAGCCTCCTTGGTGCCGAATGAGGGCAGCCCTTCTGGCGTAGGACGACGCTCTGGAGGGGAACAAACTGGCCGAGCGGGCCCCGCAGGATTGACAGGTATGCCTCTGAGAGCCCGCGAGGATGAGGAGGATCCCGATGAACAAGGGTATGTAACAACCCTTTCCAGGCAGTCAAGGTTTGGGGCCGAGAAAGACTTATAGCTACTCAAGTCCGCTGGAGGTAAATGATCTTTCAATGGCCATGGTGTCGAACGGGACTGCTGTGGACGAATCGAGCGGATTGTCTCTTGAGGTCTGACTATCTTAGGTGATCTTTGAAGACTAGAACGAAGCTTAGGGGCGGAGGCAATAGTTCTCAAAGACCGAGAGTCGCTTCGTTCGAGGATAGTATCGAGCAGCGGCAGAGGCCAATTGCTGTGGCCGAGCGATGGACTCCTTGACGGATATGGAGTGTGCGACCCTAATTCGGAGGGCTCATTTTCGTTGTTATATCCATCCGAGTATGACTTAAGTCGGAGCACGGCTGGTGGTAGCCTCTAGCTTCTCAAGGATTCGTTAGACAGCAGTTCTTCGGCGGAGTCAACGCGCTCGGCATTGTAGATGGAGGAGGGAACGTATGGGGACAGGACATTCATCGTGGCTGGCGAAGATGATTCATGCGTAGCGGAGGAGGTGCTGCTGCAGGAATGAAACGACTGTGGCCGCAGTGTGGACTTGCAAAGACTGGACCAGACCTAACGAATCGGTCTAGTCTATGCTCGTGACGAGCTATCATACGTCGGAAAAGATGCTGATGATCAGGCGTAACTCAGATTGTGAAATGCTTTTGTACCACTGAGCTCCATGCTGGAGGAAGCCACAACCAGAATGCCCTCCAAAAGCTCCACTCCCACAGGCTGCGTTCCTGACCCTGTCATCTGGTATACACCATGGACTCTTGTCCAAGCTCGTAGAGGTCACTGTTCCTTGATCCAAAATTAAGGTCTATCCATGAATGCTTAATCATGGTTGCCGTTGCGCCAATAGTTCGCCAAAAGCCAGAAACACAAAGTCAATGTTTTTACAGTTGCCGTCGAAGGCCTTTGAGCGCCATCCGTTGTTTTGGTGCAGTTATCGTAGTCGTCATGATCGTCGTAGGAAGATTCACTGAGCACCCGTCGCAGCAATAGGCGGTAACTTTCGGGGGGTCAACTGCCCACTGTCCTTTCGCATCTGTCGAAGAATGCCCTCAAGACGACGTCGTTCTTCTTGCTCAGCCTGTCAGGAGTTAGCAATGCATTGCATTAAAGAGACGGGAGAGCATACCTTGTACATCTTCATCTGCTCGGCTCTGGTGTCTCGCATCATCTTCTTAAATTCGTTCTTCAACACCATGGCCGAGGTTGGATCATTGGGTGCGCTTTGTTTGACACCCATCCATTTGACTTTCTCCTCGTTAAGCTGAGATTCGAGGGCTTCGCATTTCTGCTCCAGAGTATCGATCTTCTCCTCGTACTTGTCGCGCTCTTTCTCGGCCTCTATGCTCTGCTTGGTCATGACTTCATAATCCTCGATAGTCTCCTTTAGCTCACGTTTCAGATCTTCAATCTCTTTCTGAACGGCGGGATTAGACGATACATCAGCAGCTCGCTGAGCTCTGGAGCCATACGCGCTGTCAAGATCTGCCCTGGCCATGGTGAGCTCGGTTGTCACACGCACTACTTCAGACTCGAGTCGTTCCATCTCGGATTGGCTGGATTCTAGTTCCTTGGTCTTCGATTCGAGGTCTGTCTGCAGTCTCTGCCTAGCCTCTTCATGCTGTTTGATTTGCTCTTCAAGCGCGACATTTGGAGTCTTCTGCTGTTGCACAAGAACGCTGTCTTGCTTGGCCTGGTCCACTTGCTCGATCAGCTGATCCACTTGTTTTTGCAATGTTTGCGATTCCTGTTCGCTCAGCGCTTGAAGCTTCTTCGCCTCCGCCAATTGATCATTGAGATCATGTATCTGAGCGTCTCGTTGGGCATCGGACTTGCTGTTGAGCTCCCGCTGCTGCTGTATTTGCCGGGTGAGTATATCTTTCTGTTCGACCAAGGAGTCTATCCTCTTGTTCAATCGATCAAGTGCGTCGTTGGAGAAGGCGAGTTGGGTCTGCATATCCGCAGCCTCTGGAGCTGATTGCTCCAACACAGGACTCCTGCTCACCGAGTTCGTGCGAGCAAGCATGTCTTGTAGACGGACATTAACGTCTTGGAGCTGACCTCCCTTGTCTTGCGCTCGTGGTGTATCGGCGCCCGGTCGGGACTGGGCTGCTTCTATAGCATTGAGCCCCTGCTCAAGGTAACCGATCTGGTTCTGGGCGTGCGCACTCCTGTCGTTTGCCGGTTCCGGGGGTGACTCAAAATGCTCCTGAGGGCCAGATTGCATAACTAAGTCATATAATCGGTTGGCCAAGGCGTTCAAACGAGAGGACATTTGATCCATCTGACGTTGATCCGGTCCGGAATTGAGGGGCGGTAATCCGGAAATGTGAGCATCTCGCACATAGTCAGGGACCTGGTACAGGCTCCGCTCGTCAAAATCGTTGAGGCCGTCTATGCCGTAAGTTGACCTGTTTCGGCTTGACATGCTCTCAGGGCTGTGGGGCAACTGATTCCTTCGGACATTCTTCTTGAGACCTCGATGGGTCATTTGCAGAATACCGGCCGTATGCTGAAGGAGCCGCATCTCACACATCTCTAATCTTTTTTCTTGCCCAGATAGCTCCTGCCTGACCTCTTCCACCCGCTTTGCGCTTGCAGCGTATTCATCATCGGCCCGGTTAGACGCCTCGGTGATGCTGCTTTTGCTGCCAAGGAAATTCCTTTTCCTGGATCTAGGTGGCGAGTGCCCGTTGGCTTCGCCATTCAGATCTATACTTGGTGTACGACCCTTCGGAGTGTATAAGCGGTTGAGTGACTGGGCGGCGTCGCGGACCTTGATCTCGAGAGCCAACTTCCTTCGAGTCGCATCTACTCTATTGCTGAGAAAGCTCTTCTCCTTCTTTAGCTGCTCCACCTCTTCGAAGGATAGAACCTCGTAATCCTTGCTGTCAACCATGGCTGTTTCGGCGAGCAGGTGCATCGCAACAGGATCGTGTATATTCAGCATGGCTGAGTTCCTTGGGTGATCGCCGTTCGACTGAGACATGTCAGCAAGTGCAGCCACTCCTAATGAACAGATATATGTACCTGGTCTTGACGAGGGCGATTCTCCTGAAAAGGGCCTCCAAGCCCCATGGGAGTGAATTGCGCAACAGTGCTGGGCGCCCGAGACTCTTCCACTGCTCCACTGTAAATCGAGCTGGGAACATATCGACTGCCCACCTCGTCCACGCTGTCGGCCGCAGACCGTCGGAGGCCAAAATTAAATGCTTGCATATTCCAAAATCTCCAATATTACCTCCATCCAACAACGATGAGAGGAAGCAACGCCAAACGTGAACTTGATTCAGGACCGGTTAGAGGAATGATGAAGGCCGTCCACTCGTCCTTATTGCAAGTTGTACGTCGATGGAGTATGCATGGTGCTGCTCAGGAGAAACAGAACTTCTTTCCGCGTGGGATTGAGGATCGAGGGATCTTGCGGTTCGGTGAGAGCTGAGAACGTTTAGGGGAACACAATGAAGTTGCAGTTACAGAAACACAGTGACACAAGATTGAACAGATTGCGCGTGTCTCTCTAATTCCTAAAATTGAGCAGGGCCACGGGCTTGTCCAGGAGATCCGGATGCGCGTTGGAACGAGGGTGCTCGAGCCTCGACCAATCTCAGGGAGGTGCTCCAAGCGCGGAATGAGCATGCTGACCCATCTAGGCTGCATTGGGCGCTAGTAGACTGGTTCGGCAGTCGCCCCTTGTCCATGGCTCGCAACTTCTGTGGCTCATGGAGCTTGTCGGCATGCGCTTCGGTGCTTAAGCTCCCGCTGGCAAGCCTAACTGGTCGCCGAAGCTAATAGTGTCGTGCTTCTTCCACTGTGACAGGGCCGCTATCCTCAACCAGTATGGCTCCTGACCCAGGCATCATCGTGTACGGAGTATCAGTATCTAGGGTCGCATTGTGCTAACGGCGCCCTCGTCGGTATCTCAACGGTCGCGTGCTAGACCAATCTTGCTTCTATGCCTCGGATCGAAGCGATAGGGAACAAGGACCGGCTATTCCAAGTTAATGTTGTGCCCCGCATTTAGACCTGAAGCGGTGGACGACATATCTATCTTCCTCAACCGCTTCTTCAACTACTGTGTGCGACGACGGTGATGAGGCGCCATGCCGTCAAAGACACCAAACCTCGCTCTGCACCAGAGCGCCGGGCCCAGCAGTAACATTGACATTGTCCCTTCAGCATCTCATGCGCCAATTCCGCCACTAAATCGATCCCTATCGCGCATAACCACTGCGTCAACCGTCGAGTACAAGCTCTACAAACGTCGCTTTATCGGCCTAGCTCAGCTTGCTCTTCTCAACATCGTCATCTCCTGGGATTGGATCACGTTTGCGCCAGTTTCTGATTCTGCTGCACAATACTTTGGTACCTCGGAAACCAACATCAATTGGGCATCTACCGGCTTTCTTTTCGCCTTCATTGTATCTACACCTTTCACATTTTGGTCCCTTCATCATCACGGACCGCGTCTTGCCATTCTTTGTAAGTTACTCAAACTCAGGAAACGTACACTAGCCAACTCAGTGGCCTCAAACTTCGACCCTGAAACATTGAGGAAGGCACGATTGTTTCTGTGTTCGAGTGCAGGGAATCCAGTCCCGCTTGTGGCTGTCCATCTGAGTTGCTCCCTTGCAAACTTTGAGGTTCAGACGGTTGCTAACCTGTGAATCCAACAACTATAGTCTCCGCCGCCCTCACTCTTGCCGGCAATGGAGTCAAGTACGGCGGCACAGCCTCCAACAACTTTGCCGTCATGCTGGTGGGCCAGATGATCATTGGACTTGCACAGCCGTTTGCTCTCTCCTCTGCCACCAGTTATTCCAACCTCTGGTTCAGTCCCGCAGGACGCACAGCTGCCACGGCGTTGATCTCCCTTGCCAACCCTTTCGGCGCCGCCATCGGCCAACTGATTTCGCCGTTTTGGGTGGGCCGCCCGGAACACATTTCTAGACTGGTCGGCTTCGTAGGAATTATATCTGCAGCCGCGTCTTCCTTCGCCCTTTTCGTGCCTGGGCAACCACCGACACCCCCTTCTGCTGCCTCCGCCTCTTCTTCCAACCAAAGACCTCTGTGTCCCCACGATGCAGACTGTCCAAGTGACCGCCCTGGTTCTGCGATATCCATGCTCACCCATCTGCGTGCCCTTTCTCGGTCGCCTGAGTTCTACCTCCTCGCAGTCCCTTTCAGCATCTATGTTGGCTTCTTCAACGCCTTCTCTTCCCTCATCAACCAAATCCTCTCTCCTTACGGGTTCAGCGAAGATGACGCTGGTATCGCTGGTGCGATCCTGATAGTCGTAGGACTCGTCGTTGCAGCAATTTCTTCGCCAATAATCGACCGCTCCCACGCCTACCTTCGCTATATTCGCCTTGCAGTGCCAGTCATCGGCATCTGCTACCTGATTCTGGTTTTCGCAGTACCTACCCGCTCATTGCCCTTCGTCTATGTTGTCTGTGGTGTGTTGGGGGCTGCATCGTTCGGTTTGGTGCCTGTGGCGCTGGAATTCTTGGTGGAGATCCACTACCCTTTAGGACCAGAGCTGGGTTCTTCCTTGTGCTGGTGCGGCGGGCAGTTAATGGGTGGGATCTTCATCGTGGTGATGGATGCGTTAAAAGGACGCGGCGGCTACAAGGGCGTTGAAGGTGCAATGCAGCGGAGCCTTACGTTCCAGGCCGTGCTAGCAATACTGGTGATGCCCCTCCCATTGTGCTTGGGACTCTTCGGTCGGCAAGAGAGGATAAGACGCCGACGTTGGGAGGTGGATCGCCAAGGAATGGGTGGAGAGATCCGAGTCGAAGATGCGGACGATTTAAGGCGCACCGCTACAGAAGAGGAGGAGCAACATGTCGAGGGTAGGGTCATGATATGAAGGTTCCCAGGGGACTTCTACCATGCTGGCTAGCCAGCTACGCTCCGGTGGGCGTTTCTGTTAAGATCTGAGACGAAAGATCTCCACGGATGCAACGATCTTCATCACCTCTTAAAAGGATATTAAGGCAGGATACTATACATGCTCTCCAACGACATTCTACCTACGTCCTCTGCTTTTCCGGCCGATTCGCAACAGGTCCGGCTGTCAGCATGGCCAGTGAGTACGCATCGACCGATGGTCGAGGCTACGTGCAGCTGAAGGTGCATGGCACAAAGCAATTTACATGGATGTCGAGGCATGCACCACCCGAATTTTGGTGGCCTCCGTGCGTCCCCAGCCCGCCCCATGCTTCTCCAGACCTCGTACAATGTGCGGTGAAGCTGCCATTGCTCGTATTTTTTCAGCTCAGCAAAGAGTCAGATCTGCACGTTCCTGGGTTCACGAAGCCGTTACCGGCTCGGGACGGTATAAGAATGTGATGCGGGTGTGTTAAATGGGTATCTCCTGCTGACTTTACTACTTCCCTTGAGTCCTTTTTCCAGACGATTAGATTCGCCGGACGCCATGGCGACCATCACTGGAGTTGTAGGCGCTCAACTCGTGGCAGGCACGTGAGTTACACTGCAACTTTATTTCCTCGACTTGCTATCCTGCCCATGACAGTCTCTCCTTATCGTCAGCCTGTCCCAAGATTATCAGAAGCAAGCTTACTGACCTCTCCTGTCTCAGTCAGGCATGGGAGAACAACAAGAACCAATATGCGTATTGCTCGGCCCTTTCCCACAACCGCAATCTGTTAACAACTTGCTAGCTCATCGACCTACGGCGTCGATCGCAACATGAACCCACGCCTGATTGTCGCTGCTGCAAACAAAGACGACATCAGGCTTGCAGTAAAGTATGCTCGCGAGCAGAAGATTGCCTTGGCGGTCCGCACTGGTGGCCATCAATACTCTGGAGCCTCATCTACAGCTGCACCGAACATCCTTCTCGATTTAGCCAATACCTTTACGGGCCCCGGGGACTTGGTCTATCTCCCGAAGAAGACCCCGGACGACGGTCGATCCTTCGTCTACACCTCGGTTAGCCATACGCTCGACCAATTCAACCACTTCCTTGGGAAGAATGGACTGTTTGTTCCGCATGGCCAATGCTCACACGTCCGGCTAGGAGGCCACGTGCAGACTGGTGGGTACGGGCAACTGGCCCGCAGCTTCGGTCTGTTTGGCGACCACGTACGTACCCTTGAGATTATTGACTCGGAAGGCAACGACGTCGAAGTCACGAAGGGCAGCGATCCGGACCTCTTCTGGGCAATCCTCGGTGGCAGTCCTGGAAACTTTGGTGTTCTGACTCATATAACGCTTGAGGTCCATCGCAATGAGGACTATGATGGTGCCATTGGCTTGAAGGCACTGTTTTTGTACGACAAGCAGCAATTGGTGCGCCTCGTAGGCAAGGTCGCGGAGATGGCAGAGGATCCCGAGTGGCCACGCAACTACGACCTTTGCGTAAGCGTGCTCAGCAGCAGCTTTCCACTCGGCCAGCTCATGTGGCCAGGCCTAGATGAGTCGATCAAGCATCGCGTTCCGAGCGTGTATGGCGACGACAAGGTCCTCGGATGGCCCAAGACCATCATCGTCTATGCACAGTGGGTTCCAATGACTAAGGGCGAGAAAGCAGACGACAAAGTCATGCAGTGGTTCCAAAACCTCAAGAAGGGATCTAACCTCATCCTCAGTGACGGCATCATGAAAAAGCCCATGTCAGAGCTGACACGTAAGTGGCTCTTCATGAATGTACGCGAGTTCCCGCTTCCGTACGTAAAGCGTACGTATCTCACGAATTCGACCACTCTGACAAAAGACCATTGGCCTGAGTGGGTTTCCGACCGCATTGACGAGGTCGTGGGGACTTGGGACAATAAGCTCTGGTTGAGCTGCCAGATCCAGTGCTTTGGTGGCAAATATAGCATGTTCACACGCAATGCCGACAACGGAACGGCATACAGCTGGCGCAAAGACACCACGGTAGTCCAGACACTCGACTGCTTTCACTGGAGCGTGAAACGCGATGCAGCCTTGGACTGGCAGAAGCAGAATGACCAGACAGGTATCGGAAGGGCCGGAATCTTTAGCAAGGAGGATCGTAGGGTGCTGTGGGGGAGCTATGGCGACTTTGATTTGGACAAGGTGTGGAAATCGTACTACGAGGATGAGGCAAAGTACAGGAAGCTAGGCGAGATCAGGGCGCGCGTGGATCCGGACGGGATCTTTACGCCGAACACGTTTGCCGTGAAGAGGGCGAGCACGACTTAGGAATCGCTGGTGGGACGCTGCACGAGCGTTCCGACCGAGGAACTGTGGCACAAACCGATCAAGAGATACACATTCATTTGACGCTCCGAAAAGAATAAGCATGTGAAGCATGAATCATGTCGCTGTCTGGTCACGCTCTGGATCACGGGTTTCAATTCATTACCGGAAGCCGTTCAGCATCAATATCAGGCTGGGGCTGAATCGTGCACGCCGGTACCTGAATATAGGCCCCGCAACATTGTGGTGAATCTTGTTAGAATTGCTGTACAGTCGTGGCTATTTTTGAGCAGGCATCGGCTGCTCTACTCGATGATAAAATCTAGAGCTCGTCCTCCCAACATTGGGTGGTTGCTCTCGCTTGGCGTTGCCATTCTGCCACTCCGGTAGCCTTTGACGTTTCATCGCCGGAGCCACTACAACGCTTCTCAGGCGCGGCGTAGGTCCGTATCTTCCGCGTCGTTTACTTGAGCTGCTTGAACAGCTTGGGTGCGGCACATTGAGCGGCGCAGTGCTGTAGATGGAAAACTGTACAAAGCACGAATCAGCAATCCGTTCTTTCGGGCGTTGCAAGCTTGACTTACACTCTTCGACGCAATCTTCCTTGGGGCCCTGCGAATCTGCGTCTTCCGATGCCGATGTGACGCGCTCGACGCACTCGTCAAAGTGGTGCTTGAAGCCGACGCACTGGGAGGACCGCGCGCACTCTGCAAGTGTTTTCGTCAGCTCATGTACTCGTTCCAAAGTCTGTGACCAGCTTGAATCTTCGCGCAGCACCCTACAGGCCATTACGCACAACGTAGCGCCGCACGTGGCACGTTCGCAGGAAATTCTTCTGGGAGGTGGCGTGCGCATGTCAGTAGCTTGAGGCATAAGCCTACTCGCAACCTCCGCTTCTTCATGCCTGGCAGCTCGATCGCGGATCTCAAAGAAACGAACAGGGACTCACCCTCTTCAAGCTTGGGCTTAATATCCTCAGGCTCCTCTTCCTCTTCCTCTTCTTCTTCCTCTTCTTCCTCCTCCTCGGCACCCTCTTCCCCGTCTCCAGACTCCTCCTTTTCGCCTTCGCTCTCGTCCTCGCCCTCACCAGAGTCCTTATCGTCCTCTGCCGGCGCCTCAGCGTGGGCCTCAGTTGTAAATGACGAGGTTACCGAGTCGTAGAGCTCCGAGAGGTAGTCGGTGATGCCCATTGTGGCGGTGGTGCGGAAGGATGAGAATTAGAGAGATGAGAGGGTGATGGCTGTTGCAGCTCCTGCAAGGGTGCTTGTATGCAGGTGCGTTCGACGGAGTGGTCACGGTGGTCAGCGGGTGCGGTCAACGGGGAGCTGCTGAAATCTGGTCGAGAAACTGAAGAAAGCTTGAGTGGCCAATAGGAGCAAGGAATTGGTCAGAAGCTAGTCCCGATTTGATCAGCTACAAAGTTGGCGTATTGCTCTTTACATGTGTTTGGAGAGACTACATTCTTTTGCGCATCTTATGGTCAGGTTTGTTTTATTTGTTTGAACGGCCGTTATAATGTTACAGAGCCCCGACGCCTTGCTCAAGCGACTAATCGAAACAGAACAACGAATAGTCGTCAGGCCGCGAATCTACGATCCAGCTCCTCCTGAACGCTCCTTTGCTGCGTTTCCTCGTACCCTGGAGGTGCCTCTGCTGGTGCTTCTGGCTGAGACAGCCCAGCACCTCCGGTCGGCGGCGCTGCACTTCTAGTTGGATATGTCTGCACTAGTTCTTGAGACGCTTCTGGAGCCATCCTGTCCGTAGCCGAGCTCTCGTAAGTCGGGAGTTGATCCAGATGAACCGACTCTAGGTTGACGCCCGCCACCCCAGCCTGGGGTCTGCCGTTCATGTTGCTCTCGCGTGCGACATCAACTGCTTGCTGCAAGCGCTCTTTGATTCTCTCGAAGTTTGCAGAGTAATCCGGAGCTCCGCCGTCGTTGAAAGTGATTTTCAATTCAATGTGATGTTCCTGCGGAATATTGCCTCCCGCGACAGGCTCGACAATAGCCACCCACGCATTAGGCCCAAACCATGGCAGTACTGTGTGCGTGTCATGGAGGTTGAGCAGTGAAGCCGAAAACGATTGAAAGTCTGGCCCGACTTTCTCCGGTAGGTAGACGATGCGCTGGTTGGTCAAGTACAGGACTCCGGCCGTACACTGAATATTTATCGGATTTTGCCCGGGATACGATCTTGGACTAGTCAGGGAGAAGGCTGTGCGAGGTGAAGATCGCCAGATGTGTCTTTCGCCTGGGAGAAGGACGAAATTGCCTTCCTGGTTACGCATCACCCAGTTGACGCTCATCTTGGCGGGGAAGGGTGGGGGGAGTGTCGCCCTTAGAACCCAGTATGCGAGTCTGCAGGATATATCGCCCAACCTGGAAATGATGCAGTGGTGACTTGATCGTATGTTCGATGTAGAGGTATCAGTAGTGAGGATGATGAACGTTGCCAGAAGGCAACCACGAAGGACGTCGAAAGTCAGGCACCGTAATGCCAAGACAGTGCCAAGTGGCAAATGATCCAAACGTGCCCTCGATTATTGACACGTCGCCTTCTCCGTTATTGTGTAAACACAGAAGATCTACACAGGTGTCACGCCGTTCAATCTTCGTCAGTGCATTGAGGAAATGCAAACTACACATTAGACCAAAATCTCCTCAGCATGGCCCCCACGCTTGCATGAATTGAACAATATGTTACTGCCTTATCATCAAGTCTCAGGGCAACCCCCAATTACTTGGTTTAACCGCTCGAGCTCTCTGTAAGCGGCGAGAAGCCGTTTCTGTGAATGCTTTTGCGCAAGATGCCTAAGCAGTTGCAACGGACCGGAAATTGCCTGAGAGGTATCCTCCAGATGTAGAAGGTATGGGTGATGTAGACTCGCACCTAACAGGACATACACAGCAATGACGATGGCATCAATGACCAACCAGACACACGCAAAGTCGCCATGCGGTAGGTAGTCGAAAAGGCTGAGCAATCGCACCGCATCGTCCACGTGACCCCGCATATCAAGCTCGCAGTACTGTTGCAGGTATAGCATCACGCTTCCTCGAAATGGCCCAATCCCTTGCAGAGCGCCTTGTAGCGCGAAGTAGGTGCTGAAGAATGTTGCTTCAAGAACCGTTAGATGAACGAGGTCGGATCGATGCAACTTATGGCGATATGCTTTCGGGTAGGCCTGAAAGAGAGGTTCCCGAAGCCGCCAGGCTGACAAGTCTGCAGCAATCGACTGGAGAGATGTCAACATCTTTTGGTTGGGAAGTGCATGTGAAGAGGCAGCGGTGCCGTGTCCAATTCCGACGAGGCGCAAGAGCCGCGCTTGAATCTTTGCGAGCTGCGCTCGGTGTCGAAAGTAAGGGAATGACTGCCGACCCATCGGCAGTATACCGGCATCCAGAGAAGAAGAGGCGAGCTCGTAGGTGTTTGGTGGGAAGAACACATTGGACGACCACTGACCGTTGCGGATGGCCAGATCCGTATCCATCATGAAGGCGATCCAGAACACGCGCTGAGCCTGGTGCTCGTCATAGCTGAGACTCCGCGAACTCAAGTCCAGCAACATGCGAAGTGCAGCAGCCAAGAGACTCCTTGTTCCCTGTGAATCTCGCGTGCCGTGCATAACAACAGCCATGGCAGTTATGTATTGAGCAGATGGCAGACTGGGCCTTGCCACAAGCATTCGCGGTAATGCGACAAATGTCTGTTCAATGAAAGACTTCGCGTTGTGGTCGTCCTTGTCGGACGCGAGTGGACTCATAGCACGCAGCCGATAGGCGATGGCGAGCGTCGCATATACGGCTTTCAGGTCAAGGCAATCCAGCTTCGGGTCTTGCGAAAAGACATTTCGGTACATGCTGACCAGCCTCTCCTCATCAAAAAGTGGCAGAGCCTTATTGAAATCCACTAAGTACTCCTGCAGAAGATCCCACGCTTGGAGCGCCGGGGGCAGAACAATCGGCAGCTGCAACAAGAACGCTGCCCCTTTGAAGTCGCCATCCTCGAAACCCTCGTCGACGTCATTTGGCTGTGTTGAGTCGCCGATGCTGCTTGAGAAAGTCTCGCGCAGGTCAATTTCAGGTCCTGTTTCCGGATTATCGAGAGCAGGACTGCTGAATTCCAACAGGGATTCTTCGAGTTGAATTTCGGGTCCATCTACATAGTCAGTCGAGCTATCGCCATCTGTTTTGCCGTGCTCGACACCGAGCTCACGTTGTGATTTGATGAGATCTTCGAGCTGCGTCAGGCGATCTTTCATGGCCGCGATCTCTGTCCTGGGGAAGGTCAGTGAGTAAGCTCAGGCGCGCTCGAGGCTGGCTTGCCCTTTCTGGGCCCTAAGGATTGCCTTTGGCACCGTGGTCTTGATACATTTGGTTTGCGACTGACTGCATGCTAAACAGGATTCGGAGCCATCCCTGTACACGCACCTACGCTTCCGGGCATGGCACCGATCGCAAGCCTGGTAGAAGCTTAGTACTGATACATTAGCTACGGAATGCAAGCATTACCATTGTAGCGCCTTAGCGGTCCGATGCGGCTCCGCGTTGTTGGACTTCACCTGCCTGCTTATTAGGCGCTCGTGGGAGAGCTGGACAACATGTCCTTGGCCTCTGAAAACAGGTATAGCTTGGACGGGTTTTCGTATCTCATGCTGTATCAATGGTAAGCGATTTGTCAGCGAAGTGTCGTGAAGAGCCGGTGCGGACGCCAAGGCCCCGCATTCAAGGCTGCGAGGTCAGGGGAATATTGGTGACTGACAAAGCTCCGATTGTTTAAGTTCGTTTCCGTCAAGAACGTGAGACAGAAAGGGCTTCTTTTAAGGGAGCATAGGCAAATATGCTGACGTCGAATGCGGCCGAATGGTCTCCATCCCGGCCGTGAAACGTGATTTGGAGGGTTTCTCGCAGAAACCTAGGTATGACTCCGGCGAATGTCCTCACAGATCTCCCTTCTGCTGAGGCATCAACCACGACATCTTTTGAGAGCGATCAAGACTTTATGTCAGCGAAGCAACGCACAGAGGTCGCCACACTGACTGTATAAAAGCAGTGGTGGTCGCGACGGGGCAGCATTTCCATTATACTGCATTCTGCTACCAAGACTATACTTGGCAAGCCTTCCAGATACACGACCATGACCGCTTCACCCGTGGTCCTTATTCTCGGCGCCGGGCCAAACATCGGCGCAGCAGTCGGCCGTCTGTTCAAGAGCAACGGCTACAAAGTTGCCCTTGCTTCCCGCAGAGTGACGGATGGGGCTGACTCTGACGGCGTCCTCAACGTTCAAGTCGACCTCTCTCAGCCCAGCACCGTCACTCGCGCCTTTGAGAAGGTCATTTCCGCCCTCGGACCGCCCGGAGTAGTGGTATACAACGGTATGCGACCACTCCTGCCCTTTCACGTCTCCATCGTGCATGAATCCTCTCCTCGTGTCACTTTACCAGCTTCTTAATCACCTTGCCCTATAGCGTCTTCAACCAAATTCGTTCCGGCCGACTCTCCTCTTGACCTTGCACTTGACCTGGACGCCTATCATCGAGATCTCGCCATCAACACTACTAGCGTGCTCGTCGCGGCACAAGAGGCCGTCAAATCCTTTAGTGGCCTGCCCGAATCCGAAGCGAAAACGTTCATCTTCACCGGAAACATTTTGAACACCGAGCCCATTCTGCCGCTGTTCAGTGCCGGAATGGGAAAGAGTGCCACCGCGCACCTAGTGCATGCCAGCTCGCTGGCGTATCGGAAGCAGGGATACAAGTAAGCCCCCCAACCGCTTCCCACGCATTCCACCACACCACCAACGGACATCGCCTTTCTCTTCTTCATGAACAAACGTACTGAGCTGAACTCCGCCCTCCTTCCAGATTCTACTATGTGGACGAGCGCAACGAAGATGGCACCGTTGCAGGCAGGAAGATCGATGGTGACGCGCATGCCCAGTTCTTCTGGCAACTCGCCCAGGATCCGCAACAGCGAGAGTGGCTGGCGACATTCGTGAAAGGGAAAGGGTACAAGGCGTTCCCCGGCACAAATTACGTGAAGGATGCCACAACATGAATCATGTTGTCGCTGGCGCTCCGTACCGGGGCACGACGAACGGCTCATTCCCAACGGACTCGCCAAGCATTTCATTGCCTGATGAGAATCAAGTGGAATGGTGGTTAATTCCAGTCTAGACGATCTTCAGGATATAGTTGAGAGCATTGACAATGAAACCAATCAATGTGATTGGCGTTTGGTCTCGGGAACATGGTCGCTTCTTCCGTGGAGTTAACCAGCAGTAGCCATACTGCAATTATATTCGGCAAACACATGTGTGCATCGTTCTCGAACCCCGGTTGGGAAAGAAGCCCAGACGAAGTCTCAGTGCGGAGGGGCAATCGAAGCAGGCCTGGTCTGCGCCGTGATGAGCTTATTGACAGCCCATTTCAGGTGGCACGGCACCCTGAGGCCGGGGTGGGAGATATGGGACAGTGGAGAGTGAGCATTATCAATGTCCTGTGCTTACTTGTACTGTGTTGATCCTCCTACACCATCGGCTGTACAGAACACTAGTGGAACCCGAACAGGACCAAAGCCGGGGTATCGAAAATGCCTGGTTGCAACTCGTCGGCCCCGTCTCCAACGCCCCATCCCAAGGCACATTTACGCCACAGCACTACCTCTAACCCGCATGCTCAACAATCTCGCTCTGAAGCCCCTTTCCATTCTTCGTTACAACAGTCCTGATCTGCTCCGGGACAGCGAACTCCTTGCTGTCACCCTCATCACCGCCCTCCTCATCGGTGGGGGGCACAACAATGTTAATGTTGCTACACTTGCTGCTGAAAATCTCGGTGCCTAAGCTTGCTGTGCTGAGATATACTTGTGCTCCGTCCACTTGATCGAGCAGGATCGTAGGCAGGAAGCCATCGACCTGAACAGCGAATTTCGGGGACTTGATCACATCCAGCGAGGATACGAGAGAGTCGACAACGATGGAGAGGCCAGTGCAGTTGTCGATTGAGATGGCGTTGGCCTTGCCGTCTACCTTGATAACAGCCTTGTTGCATCTGCTGATTAGGATACTGTGGTTTAGCTCCGCCTTTACCTGGATGATATCATTACCGGTGTTATCGAAGTTTTCAATAATCCACTTGCTGCCATCTAGCTCTTTCTTGCCAGGCTTCTTGGACCGCATCGAATCGGGCTTCTTGTTGGGAAGTGGGCTCTTGCCTCGCGACGTTGTAGACGACGACTGGGACGAGGTGCGTTCGGGCACAGGGGCCGAAGCACGGAGAGCAGGATTTTTGTGTGTCATCTGAGATTTGTCGACTTTCTTGAGGTGGGAAGTCACGGAAGCGCCAGAATTTATTTGGTCAAAGACGGCTCCCATGTCGCCACCACCGCTTTTGGCTGCCGGAGCAGCTCCGGGGGGAGGCGGCGGTGGTGCCGGTGCGCCGCTGTCGTCGAACGTGGGCAGTGGAGGTGGGGGAGGCGGTGGTGGACCTCCAGATGACTGCTGAGCGGAGGCTTTGGGGGTTGCAGTCCCGCCGCACTGTACCTGCTGCAGCGCTTCTAAGCAGTCTATTCCGTTCTTTTGGTTCCAGGTCAACCCGGTTGCGAAGTGCTCTTTGACGTAGGTGACCAGGGAGCGGAAGACCTTATAATATGCCTGGATATATTCAACGTGTGATTTGTCCCTGACACCTATTAGACTTGTAATGAATACAACAGCAGGTCGCTCTCACTTGTCTTTGTACTCCTTAAGTATCTTGTTCCCGTAGTATTGAGCACCACCTAACGTTTCACCCACAAAATCGGCAGGACGCTTTTCCACAATCCACGCCAGGGCCAGGATACCCTCCGCGACCGCGGAAAGGTGGGTGAACAGTGGGGAGGCACGGTTGGCCATTCGAATTTCATCGACGTTGGACGTCCATCGGTGCAGTTCAGTCATGAGTTCGGGAGGATCTGTATCTGGCTTCTTTGCCTTTGTCGTTACTAGCAAGTACGTTCGCTCTGCCTCAAACGCCGACCGAACGGCTTTTGCCTGGACGCAACTCAATCAGAAGTCTGTCAAAGGATGAGCGGCATACGCACCTGCTCTTCTACCAAACCTCCGATTTTCCCACTTGCGGTCACAAAGGCAGTCACATCATCTTCAATCAATTTGTCAAACTCTTCTATCGATCGGGGAAGAGGTTCTTGGGGTGGTGCAGGTGCCGAAGGAGCTTCAGGGAGAGGCACTGCTGCAGCAGCAGTCTGCGAGGCACCGGCTGCGCCGTTGGTCAAGGCGCTGGAGCCATCGGCTGATGTAGCAATATCTTCAAGGCGGGACGTGGCAGCTTCGAGTCTGCAAAAAGGCGTTAGCAGGCAATTCAGATAACGCTGGCGTTTCCCTGAATGCGCAGTCGCTCCAAGCATATATGCTTACCGCTTGATGAGAGTTGTAAGATTGTTCATGCTTCCCTGAGACGCCATTGCTGAAAACAAACGTAAGTTTAATGAGATTGAAAGAACATCTACGATGTATGCTGGATAATGAGTTGAGCTCGTCGCAAAGCATTCCCCAAGCTAAGGTAGGTCTGGGGGAAGCCTGAACACTCCTTGCCAAGCCCGGGAGCCTTGCGGCTCTTAGAATTGGAGAGCATCTCAATGCTATACGTCTCAGTCATTCCTAGCATTGGATTGCAGAGACCAGGTTTTAGAACTACAACTTGAATCTGGTCGTGACTATGAAGTCGAGACTCGGTTTCTGCACTTTCGGAATGTTTATCATTGGTTGAGTCAGCATGTACGAGCACAGTTAGACCTCCTGTCTGATATGTATAACAGATGAAATCGATTACGGAGATGGGAAGGTAGAGTCCACCATCATCGGTGGAGGTGGCCTCTATGCTGCCCTGGGCGCCCGCTTAGCATCTGGCGAAGCCAATGCTAGAGCTGTCTCGTGCATCGTCGACAAGGGGAGCGATTTTCCGCAGGAATTCCAAGCTCTTATCGAGACATGGGGTACGAGCTGTATCTTTCGAACAGATCTGGGTCGCTTGACAACACGTGCCTGGAATGGCTATGGTCCAATTCAGCATCGGGGTATGTTACCGATCTTCAAGGCGTAAGCTCGCTAACAGTCCAGCTTTCAAATATGTCACTCTCAAGCGCCGTCTTGAAGTAGAGTCACTCACTGATGAGCAAGCTCTGGCCGCCACATTTCACATGGTATGCTCTCCGAGTCGATGCATGAGCCTCGTAAACGGTCTATGGGAGCGAAGGAAAGCCCTTCATGCGAGCGAGCCCAGACCAATCATCATCTGGGAACCAATACCAGACCTATGTACCCCAGCAGAGGTCGACAATCTTCGTGAGGCTGCGAAATTTGTCAATGTCATCAGTCCCAACGGCGGTGAGTTGGCGGACTTCTTTGCAAGCGGATTGCAAGAACTCAGTCGAAGAGACATGGTGGCTTCGTTGTTGAAGAAGTGTGGAGACAATGCGAAACAAGTCGTTGTGGTGCGAGAAGGAGCAGAGGGTAGCCGACTGTACACCCAAGGTAAGGTACTGCATCTCAGAGCATACCACTTGGATCCATCAAGAGTCTTGGACCCCACAGGGGGCGGTAACACTTTTCTTGGTGGTCTCGCCATGGGTCTGAGCGGTATGGTCAACCCAGACTTCAAAGACATGTCCACTGGTCTTGGACTGGTGGCTGAGACCTGCCCGTCTCAGACGACATCCATGCTCACGGCTGTGGTGCATGCCACGGTCGCGGCCAGCTATGCCATTGAACAAGTTGGGGTTCCGAGGCTCGACCCCTCTGATCGGGAGTCCTGGAACGGACAATCTTATATTGAGAGATTTCACGCATATCTTGGACGAGAAAGGCCGCACATTGTTGACCAGTTGGACTAAGGTCATGGTTGCATACACTGGCCGTAGAGATATGGGCATATCTTCGGTCTTGCTCGAGTAAGTAGCAAGGAGTTGATATATCTACAACGTCGCATCAGCACGTGCTTCAAAGGGCACTTGACACCCAGTAGAGCTAATGCAAAGCATCGAGTCAGCCTTCACATTCAGCTCGTGCACCCCCGGGTCGTGACACGACTGCCAAATCAGCATTCCATTTTCTAGTACTGGTAGACCACATGATAACAGTACAAGGACGGAGATGTGGGATACTCGAAGCGGCCGTTGAATCTTGTCTGCTTGGAACGATGCCTGGGCTATGCTGGGTAGCACTCGCGGACTCCACGCACGCGGTCTTCATCCTTGCTGACTTCTGACGTCCAAAATCTGGCTGGACCACGTGGAAGAGATTACCCCCTGAATCAAGACCCACTTCGGCTCTTCAAGTAGGGTTCGGAGAAGCCTTCAGAACAATCTTCGAAGATCAAGAAAGGGAGTCACGTTATCAGGCGAGACATGTTGGCCTTTGATTGGGTGCTCAAGGAGCCATTTGACGAGAAGCAATGGCAGAGTAAATTGGTTACTGCGTGGCAATCTCAGGGCCCAGTGCTCGGCTTGCGCGGGCTGCGGCTTTGCCCGTTTCAGGATTATTCCAAGGCAGTGGGGAAGTCTACGAATTGACCAAAGTTGGGCTGCGCCCGGATGTTTGTTTCGAGAAACTGTCATCTGATATGCCGGTTCCCACGAGCTAACAGCCCGAGGCCCACTGTGAACCCCGGTTGTTCCGCATCCATCTGACTTGCGCAGAAGTAGGCTAGGCAGTTCCCAGTCGAGTCTGACTCCAGCTGCTGGCCGAGGAACGAGATAAACCTAACAATAATCCTGCTCTCCTTTTTCTCTCGCATTGTTCGAGTGTCGCAAGCTGCATGTTGATCATATCACTAGTCCATCGGCAACGTTAAACGGTGGATAATTGGCGAGCTCTCATCCCGAAATCGATCCTACGGCTGTTCGCCAGCTGCAGATCGTTGTCAATCTCGAGAAGTCGCTCTGGACCTAACCCTGCTAGCACGTTTTGCATTCCCAGACTCAGCATAGACCGTCCGCACATCTTCTCGCCCCTACCGATACCCTCATTGCGCCAAACCATTTGTGACAAGCCAAGGGAAACCTGCTAAAGCCAATTCAACCTTGCCAGCTGCCAGATCATATCTCGGCTGCCTTCCTTCTCCGACCCGCCGTTTCAGTCAACTATTGTCCAATATCACATACCAACTATCGACCCTCGCTCTCCGTTCCCGATCCCTTGAGTGCCCTGCGCAACTAGGATTGCCGACTGGGACTGTGACAAGTCGGCGATTTAGATTCGTCCATATTACGAGTCCTCTGTTGTTACCTACGATCTTGGGCCAAGGTTCATCCAAATCAATAAACATGGAGCGAAGATCTCTGGATTCAGAGCGCCCCATTATGGCTCCTAGCGTACGTATATAACTGCTCGCGGTTTCTGCGATACTAATCTCTGTGGCAGCTCACCTCAAAGCGAACCTCGAAGCGATATTCGACCTTTTCAGCCTCTCCCTCCTTCGCGACTGTTGACATGCTTCAAGAGTCAGGCGCGGCGCAACGACCCCTCAACGTGACCGCCGCTTCCGGAATGGCCGAGATCAAGCAACTCACCCAAGGCCTTGACAGGCTCGACAACAAGAAGCTAGATCTTCAAAGATTTGTTCCCAGCGAGAAGAAAACCCAAGAGATCAAGGCGCTCAGCGTAGGTGCAAAGCTGGACCGGGCTTTGGGTCATCGACTCTCAAACCAAGACGCCACTTTCAGCAAGAAGGGCTCACGACTCAGCATATTGGGTAACAAGCAGATCACCCCGATGTCTATGGTTTCTGAGAAGTCAGCGATGTGATAGTGGATTTACGACGTTTTGATTTGGACCATTTGCACTGCATGGCGTTCAGGGATACTGTCTTTAACACTAATGTGCACATGCACGTGGCTTTCTCGCCAGGATTTGGAGGATTGATACAGCTCGGACAACCTCAAGCATCAGTGGATGGTTTGGTGAAACACGATAGCTGTCGTGCGTGGGAGAATTTGGAGTCGCTCGTTCAGAAGCCCGAACAGAATGGTCGCAGACCATCACTTTTTGCTACAGTAGAACACCAAGAACATTGCACGGACGTCAGGTTTATCTTTAATTGAATTTTGAAAGTCCTCGTTCATGCATGGCTGTGGCGGGTTTTCAACAAGACATGAATGTCTTAACGTGCCGGTCTGGTCTCAGCTTGCCATACCAGCCGGTACAGGGTACACATGTGCTGCCGATAATTCATTAGCATCACCGAATACATCGCTCCTTGCTTCTTGAGAGAGTGCCGGGCTTCCAAGATCCGCAACCGCGCTCCGATGTTCTGCCTATGACCCTACACAAATCTGCAACTCAACGCGTCACCACTCAGTCGAGGTTCATTCTTGAAGAAATACTTCATCAAATAGTGACTGCTGACAAACGGTCAGGCCAACCACTGATTGCTATAGATCAGCCGCAACATCAGCTGTGGGGTATGACCGCTCCGCAGAATGCAATCGACTCGTTCCGTCGTCCACAGTGAACACAAGTCCCTACTCTGGGCCAGGATCGCCCTCCAAGCGCTGCTCCCACTAAGGGCCTACGAATGGGCTTTCAACCGGCCTGCCAGATGCTCGTTACCAGTGGATGTATAGTTTTCATTGCACGAATGCTTGCCAATCAATCACATGCTCCGGAGAACGGAGATGTCAACTTTCAATCACATTTCGCAAGACCGATTATTACATACTACCTATAGTCCAGTCAGTGACAGATAAGCAACCCTGTGCTGCTGCGCCCTGCAAGGTGACGAGGGGCAGCGGCACGCTAGCACCGCAGCACGAGAGCTAAGTCAAGTCAAGCTTAGAATCGCGAAGCTTACCTAACATCCAGCACGGTGATCCCGACTTTGCTAAACCCTTTTCTAGGGGGTCGCGCGAGGATGGGAGGGTCCGAGTGTTTGGAAAGCTCTTGATTGACCACCGACCACGGAAACGACATTGCTAATACGTGCTATACTCGTGAAATGGGGCTTCAAATGCAGGACTTGACAAATTCAGCCCTGCTCCCTGTTCCAGCTGCAGTTCACGAACGGGACATCTAGTCGGGCTATCTAGTCGGGCTACCTAGTCGGGCTACAAATACCAATACTGGGCTATATAAAAGGTGCTACTGCCGACCTTGTGTGTTTTCTCTCGCAATCAAGTGTGCAGCACATCTGACAACACATTCAAACATTCTCTGGTCAACTTCTTCTTGACTAACTCGCAGCTATCTAGGTAGCATCTACTATTGACATTACCGCCTGCCACTTCGTCGGTCAGGCACCATACACCATGTTCGTCAAGAAACTGGTGACGAAGGGTATTGCTTCTGGCGTTGGACTCGCAGCCGAAGCTCGTGCAGAGCACAAAGAGAAGAAGGCCCGAGCGAACAGCAGATCGCCTTCGCCCAATCCGCTCCGCGCCCCCCGCAAAGACGACAAAGTTCAGGAAGACTCCAGCTCCGACAGTGAGGACGAAGTCGAGCTCGCATGGGAGCTTGACGACGCTGCAGCTGAGCTTTCGGGACCACCTCCTGCGTATGAGGATATCGACAACGAGCCAGCGCCAGATCCCAAAGCCGTTGCACAAGACTTCCTGCGCCTTCATTCTGCTACCTCCCTTGCGGTGAAGCAATATAAGCCCCTACCCTGCCCCGTCATACTCCCGCAAAGGCGACCAAAGAATAAGGAACGTGGGTTCATTCGTGCGTACCCGCCGATCCTCCTTGAGACTTCTGGCATCGATCAAAAGACCTTCCTCGATTTTCTGGAAGATTTCGATAAAGCAAGCAAGGCTTCCCCAGTCTTTGATGTCATCAATCTGGCATGTTTTGCCGTTGGGTTTATACCTAATCCCATTGCGATGGCAGTCACCACAGCTGTGCAAGTGGCCAGCCGGACAGCCCAGGAGATGCAGAGCCGATACAGGCGCAACGGATACTTGGATCAGATCAACGAGTCGTTCTTCAAGCCTCGGGGCCTGTTCTGCATGATCATGACATTCAAGCCAGATGCCCCGCCCGTCTTGGGGATAAATGTCACCGCAGAAGACAAGGCGCTGGCAAAAGTGGCCTCTGAGCCCGATTCAGAGTTTCGTGCGAAGTTGAGTAAACTACGATTGACCTCCGGCACGGCGCAAGGCGAAGTGTCCCTCCCAGAGGCAGCGCCACTCGTCTATCCCGCCATTGATGCTGCAGTGGACGATTCCTCGGCCGAGAAGCAGAACTTCTTGAAAAGTTCGGGGGCATTCATGAGCACCTACCTGGATCGCCGCGCACAAGCAGAGTATGCCGGCACTCACTCCGAGTCGCAATTAGTCGCGCCCGAAACCGAGCGACAGTTCAAATCGAAGTACGCGGATCCAAACCATCCAATTCATAGCGGGACCATTTGGGGACTCGTGACAGCCGGCAAATTTGACCCGGTCAGAGATAAGCGAGCTCGTAAAGCAGAGAGAAGAGCAGCAAAGAGAGGAGTGGTGCTCACGGAGGAAGAGATTGAGAACGTGAAGATGGGCCGAAAGCTCGCTCCCGAAAGAGGCGGGAGGCGTAAGGGCCGTGGCCCGGTCGGACTGGTGCTTACACCTGTAAGAAAAGCGATGCAGAAGAACATACGTGAGTCATTCATCCCTGGAACACTTGTACCGAGCACTTCGGCCTCCCGGCGTGCATTTCATCGTCGATATCAATACTCTTGTGGAGGACTGGACCACCATCCAGACCAGCTCGAGCCTCCTTCGCTCCTACAGACCCCTAGCCCTGAAAAATGTTTCCTGGTCCCAGTTTGCTGATAATATTGCAGTGTATCTAACTATTGTAAACTTGCCGAGCGAGAGCGAGATGGCTGAGATTCGCCAGGAACTGGAGCGGGCGCAAAACCAATGAAGAGCCTTGCCCGGGTTGTTAGTCTTGTGATAATCGATACTCTACGATCTCTCACGTTAAGGGCAGTGACTCAGACGAACCTGGTCCAAATGATCTGAGCAGAGAACTCGGGGAAATCTATTAGATGTAGTGCAACAGAAGAGGGGCTTCCGTGGCCACCATGACGCACTCTTGGCGAGCGGCAACATCCGCTGCTCTCGTTGGGTGCCAGTGGTGGGCGACTCAGATTTTGTTTGGGGCCTGACAACCAGCCGCTTGGACAAATTTCATTGCAGACTCTGAAAGACCTTGCAACCTGCGGTCGCCGCATTTAGTACCTTCTTCCCAGGTCAAATATCTCAACCTTTCAATCCCTCACCGGCCACCTTCGCTGCATTGATTCTTCTCCCCCCAGCCTGTCTTCCCCGCTACAAACGCCGAGAGACTGCGCTGCGCCTATTGCCAATCGATAACGAGCGCCACCGACTCTCTAGTCGACTTTTTCCCAAACCCCACCATCAGACTACCCTTTTTCCTCGACACCCGTGAACATGCCTGTCACTGCGTCGAAGGCCGCTCGTATGGCCAAGAAGGCCGAGAAGGGCGAGAAGAAGACCGCCGCCTCCAGACTGTCGTCCAAGGCCGGTTCTAAGAATGCTTCCACCAACGGCTCGAAAGCCTCCTCTGTCGCTGGTGACGATGAGGCACCTATGCTCTCTGGAGATGAGGAGGACTCTGGAGAAGCTCCTGCCACCAAGAAGGAGCAAATGGACAAGGTTAAGAAGTTGACGGAGCAGATGGACAAGCACGGTCTGTCAGACCGGGTGACCACGGGCGTTCTCGCCTCTCAGGAGGCCAACAGAGACGTCAAAATCACTTCCACATCCTTGGTATTTCACGGCAAGGTTTTGATTCAGGACAGCATCCTCGAAGTTAACGCTGGCCGACGTTACGGTCTGCTGGGTGAGAACGGCTGTGGCAAGTCAACCCTGCTGAAGGCCATTGCTAAACGCGAGTATCCCTTCCCCGAGCATGTCGACATTTATCTGCTCAACGAGGGCGCTCCTGCTACAGATCACGGCGCTCTTGAGTGGGTTATTAAGGAGGCAGAGAAGGAGGTCCAAAGACTGGACGATCTGGCCGAGAGAATCCTCGAAGACGAGGGTCCCGAGAGCCCGACTTTGCTCGATATCTATGAGGTATGGTAGTTCATGATACTTTGCAGTCTATGCTAATAGAAAGCAGCGATCGGAGGCGATGGATCCTAGCACCTTCGAGACCCGTGCTTCCCTCATCTTGACTGGTCTTGGCTTCAACAAGAAAACTATCCACAAGAAGACCAAGGATATGTCTGGTGGATGGCGAATGCGTGTCGCTCTTGGCAGAGCTCTCTTCGTCAAGCCTTCGCTACTACTACTAGACGATCCGACCGCCCATCTTGATTTGGAGGCCTGCGTGTGGCTTGAAGAATACATGAAGAAATGGGATAAGACCCTGATCCTCGTGTCACACTCTATGGACTTCCTAAACGGTGTTTGCACCAACATGATCGACATGAGACAGAAGCAGCTCATCTATTATGGTGGCAACTACGATTCTTATGTCAAGACCAGAAGCGAGAACGAGACCAACCAGCAAAAGGCATACGTCAAGCAGCAAGACGAAATCGCCCACATCAAGAAGTTTATTGCTTCGGCCGGTACCTATGCCAACCTTGTTCGTCAGGCAAAGTCTCGTCAAAAAATTCTTGACAAGATGGAGGCCGATGGCTTCATTCAGCCTGTTGCTCAAGATCGTGTCTTCACTTTCCGCTTCGCTGATGTTGATAAGCTTCCGCCTCCAGTTCTGTCATTTGACGACGTGTCGTTTGGGTATTCCGGCAAGAAGGAAGACAATCTATATGAGAACCTCGACCTTGGTATCGATATGGACAGCAGAACAGCTCTAGTCGGCCCCAACGGTGTCGGCAAGTCTACTCTTCTTCGTTTGATGACGGGCAAATTGTCCCCTACCAGTGGCGTGGTGAACAGACACACCCACCTGAAGATGGGCCTGTACTCGCAGCATTCAGCCGACCAGCTAGACCTGACTAAGTCGGCTCTTGATTTCGTCCGCGACAAGTTCTCCAGCGTCTCCCAGGACTACCAATACTGGCGTCAGCAACTTGGTAAGTATGGCTTGTCCGGCGAGTCTCAGACTGCCCTTATGGGTACTCTTTCAGAAGGTCAACGCAGCAGAGTCGTGTTCTCTCTGCTCGCCATCGAAAGCCCCAACATGCTCCTTCTGGACGAGCCTACTAATGGCCTCGACATTCCCACCATCGACAGCTTGGCTGACGCTATTAACGCCTTCTCGGGTGGTGTCGTGGTAGTGTCTCACGATTTCAGGTATTCCTATTCTCTCGATCGCTACATGCATCATGCTAACACTGATTAGGTTGTTGGACAAGATTGCTAAGGAGATCATGGTCTGCGAGAACAAAACCGTCACTAGGTGGGAAGGCACGATTACCGAATACAAGAACCACTTGCGAAAGAAGATGCTCGCACGAGGCGCCGTCTAGATTTCGCCAAAATGCAATATATGGCGGCAGCCATGTTGACGACTTGCTTTTGATGATCGACAGAATTTTTGCACCAAGGCAATGCGTTCTTTTTGCATTGCGGGAGTTTAGATGTCCAGCCTACGGGCTGTCGCATGATGGCTTTGGATGACATTGACATAGATCTTGTGGTGGCGGCTAGACAAAAGCTTTACGCCTCTGCCGCGCCCACACAAATGAATAAGTATCGTGATTTTGACCATGGATAGCAACAGTCCAGAACGTATCGATTTAGAACAGCCGACCGCCCTATCGACGCACCCTTCCCCGTAGTAGCGAAGGCCAGCCCACCCTTCCTTTCCCCTCTGCTTCCCGTCTCACTTGGGACTCTCCCCCCACCCCTCAAGATTCTCAACCACGGGAATCCCGCCTGGTCCGCGACAGATGACCCACACGGCCTCTTCGTCCCCGTCGTTGACCTCCTGGTGCTCCGCGAACGCGGGTATCAGAGCCCAGTCCCCCGGCTTGAGATCCTGTCGCTTCCTGCCGCCTTCACTGACGATCGCGCCGTGCCCGGACACGGCATAGACGATCGTGTCTTGCGAGCCGTGGTGGTGCACGGCTGAGCCTGAGTGCGCTTGTGCGCGCATGAGCGTGCCGCAGATGTTGGGGGCTGGAGTTGGGGGGAGGGGGGTCAGCTTGGGAGGGTGTTGGGGTGCAGGGGGCGGATCTGGGTTTGGGTCCGGTTGCGAGGGGGAGGATGAGTAAAGGGGAAATGGATGTGTCCTTGAGAAGTATTGAAGTCTGGCAGGGTGGGGCCTCCAATTGGTGGTAGGCATTGCCCTATGGGGTGATACGTTGTAGTGATGCACGACTTACACATGTCCACGATGGCCGACTGCCTGATCATTCCGGTTGTTTGACCAGTGTTGGTCTTGTTGACATCTTCGGCCAGGGTCACCTTGACGGGCTTGGGAGTTGGAGTCATGGTGCCGAGAGTCAATAGTGCGGGCTTCAGTGGAAGGAAAGTGATGGAATTCAGGCAGTGAATAGTGCGCTAGCTGCTTTGGGCTGAAGACAGCTGCAGGTCAAGGCAGATGTCGTGATCGCAATAAGCTAAGGTGTACAAGAGTTTGGTGCCCGTCGCTACGTAGAAGTTCTACGGGGCGGACCAAGATGGGCGAGTCGGACGTCATAGCCGGCATGATCGTGCGGAGAGCTCCGTCGCACCACTAGTATAGAATCGTGACTGTTGACTGTGATTCTGAGGCAGCACTCCGATTCGAGCAGCCGAGTTACTGGTCCTCGACATTCTCCTACGGTGAGGAGTGCCAGCGACACACATGGTGGTTGAGCGCAATTTCATTGCTCTCGATCAGGCTTGCTCAACGCGTCGTCGGCAAGAGGTGACACGCAAGACTACAATTGTAGCTGCAAGGGCTTCACGCGTCTGTATGTTCGACGCGAAGTTTTCGTGGAATGCGGAACCGAATGGATAGGATCGAAGCTGCTCGAACGATTCGGGATCCTTTCGGCCACATTGGACTTTTTGCTTCAAATTGGATCGTGATGAACATGTCTCATTACGATTCTGGGGGTCGTGCACTAGGCGGGGTTGGAAGAACTCGAGTCTACGAACAGAGCACATGTGGGATGTTGAGATGTTGAAAATCTAATGGTGTGGCAACCCTGTCTGGTTTGGGCTGGCGCAAGATGTGGCCCATGTTCTGGTAAAGCCTGGTGAGCTCTCGGCTCGCCGACTAGCTGCTAATAAATATCTCAATGTATTGTACGCATCGATAGAGCCAGCAATCGGAGCCGCCGCGATCACTAATGAAGCGGCCACTATGGTCTGGTCTGCGAATAATCTCGCTTATGCCTAACATACCGGAGATCACGTGGATGGAAGATCTCGAGGATGATGTCCTCCAGATGTTCTAGAGTCGACCTAGTGGATCCTCGGATATGCTTGCCAAAAGACTTTGCGGAAACATTTGCAAGATTTGTAGGGCCTAGCTAGGGCCGTCTCAGCCTTTGGGTCATGGTAGCCGGCCACGGTTTGCCAATGAGAAGACTCAGAATCAAGGATGAAGTCACCAGTGCGACTTGGAAAATTGCTAAGCCTCAAGTTTCCTCCGCCGACGGAGCTTGCGGACGCTTCGCCAGGGGTGGCACACATCCAATTCTTGAGCCAAGACTTATGCCAAGGCCGACTCCGCAACACTCCAGACTTGGCGGAAAGCTTCGCTTCCGCTTTTTTTCCCATTCCAACACTGGTCAGAAAGGGGAGCGTGTCCGGACTTTTTACGGGCCCAATGCTTCTAGCCCAAAGATGCAGCCACCTGCAACGCTGCACAGCGTCTGACGCAGCGCCTCTCGTTAGCCCTCAGCCCGCTCGTGATCGGAAAACATCAATTGTCCCCGTGCCAGCTCGAAGAAGTAGCCATGCGACTTCAGGTCTTGTAGACCAGCCATCTACTGCTCGTCTCCCGGGCTAATGGCACAGCATGCCTGACCGCACATGGTCTGTGGGTCCTGGATCAGAGTGCCATTTACAAAGGCCTAGACTTAACACCAATGATCGTTATCCGCTTGGACTTCCAAGTCTTGCTGCCATTTTGCCGCTTTCGTCTGCCTAGGCGGAGTCCTGCCGCTAGTCTACAGGGACTTTGATGATCATGGTAAACTCTACTCGACGACTCCCCATGGAGTCGCGTTGTGCGCCCTGTCCCCGCATCGACCAAGCGTGGACATGGAAGTATTAGTTGCCCCGGACACGCTGATCCTGAGCTTTCAGGTTTCTCTCTCATCCTTCTCGACTGAACACGTACGACACATCTTCCAGCCAAGATGAATGAAAAAGCCATACACGACGAGTCCATTGAGCATTCTGGGCAGAATGGCCGCAAGTACTCGGTTGCTGCCTCCGGGCGCCGACGTTCTACAGTGGCAGAGTTGAACGCTGGCAGTATGTAGATTCATCATGTTACCAGTCCAACAAACTAACAACCCAACAGGAAACCTGGACGCAAAGTTTGTATCCGGTCCATTCTTTCAACTACTCATCTGACCAAAATGCGTACAGGATCTCCAATCCGCTGTCAGGAATTCCGCTGCCGGAACTGCTTGAAGATGCTGGTGCATTCGCGGATGAGTGTGGTCTGAGTGAGCAGAGGGCCTTGATGCAAAGAGGTGCCATGGTCGCTCAAAACCCTGGTTCGTTATGTCCCTAACCTACAAAGGCCATGTTTTACTGAGTTCACACAGGCAATTTCGAGCGTATGGACTTGCCGGAAGATGAGAAAGACGCATTGCGCGTCGAAGTCACCAGAAAGTGGAAGCATCCCGCGAAGCTGTACATCACAATCGTTGTCTGCTCCATTGGAGCTGCCGTCCAGGTAAGCCACCACCAAAACTCGAGTAGTCTCGTGGAAGGCAATGGCTCCAAGATCTGCTTGGGAAAGCCTCCTCGCCACACGATCGATGTCAACGTCCACGAGAACCCAATGGTGCTTCCGGTGGCTCCTGCCGCTGACCACTCAAATCCCTCTTTTACTTTTTCTGATGTGCAATCGGTGCTAACTTGTACGATAGTGAGTCTACCACAAGACGCAATACCGTCATGTGTCACACCGGGCTTTCCGTTCTACTCTACGAATTCAGGCTAATCATACCTTTCTTGCAACAGAGGCTGGGATCAGACGGGTTCCAACGGCGCAAATTTGTCTTTCCCCATCGCTTTCGGTATCCCGGACTCTGCAGAACTTGAAGACGGCTCGCCCAACCCCGATGCCGAAAAGAATCTCTGGCTGGTCGGCGTCATTAATGCGGCTCCTTACATTGCATCTGCGTTCATTGGATGCTGGCTTTCGGATCCTCTGAACAACTTTTTTGGACGACGAGGTGCCATCTTCATCTCCGCTATCTTCCTTATCTTGACCCCAATCGGCAGCGCTGTTTGCCAAACATGGGAGCAACTCTTCGTATGCAGGATACTTATGGGAATTGGAATGGGTCTGAAAGGGTCTACAACCCCGATCTTCGCTGCTGAGAACTCCCCTGCTGCTATCCGCGGCGCACTTGTGATGACCTGGCAATTTTGGACCGCATTCGGTAAGCAACGCCGTGGGAAAGCCAAGGTCGTCACTAACAACTTCAGGCATTTTCCTCGGTACCGCTGCCAATCTCGCTGTATACAACACGGGTGCCATTTCTTGGCGTCTACAGCTCGGTTCGGCGTTCATTCCTGCCGTCCCTCTCGCCATCTTGGTGTATTTGTGCCCCGAAAGGTCAGTACCAGTCTGTCCAGTTGGATGCATATGATCTAACGGTGGCAGTCCCCGCTGGTACATCAAAAAGCGGCGGTATCAGAAGGCTTACAAGTCTCTCTTGATTCTCCGCAACCACCCACTCCTCGCAGCCCGCGATCTCTATTACATCAACTCACAGATCGATATCGAACGTGAGATCGTTGGCGACTCCAGCTACATTCAACGATTTGGCCAGTTGTTCACCATCCCACGGGTCAAGCGAGCGACGCTTGCTAGCTGGACTGTCATGATCGCGCAGCAAATGTGTGGCATCAACATTATCGTCCGTGGCGTACCTTCCCCAACGACGATCTTCGCATTAACACGTTGTAGGCCTTCTACTCTTCGACTATCTTCGCCTCGGCAGGCGCTTCAACGGTGGAGGCCCTACTCGCCTCCTTCGGCTTTGGTGCTGTGAACTTCATCTTTGCCATTCCAGCTGGTAAGTCCCTAGATCTGCTGCGAAACTTGATGTCAGGGCCGTTCGATGCTCTAGAAGATTCATGACACACGTTTCCCGCAAACACTCCTATTCGCGTGACATCGTACTGACTGTTTGGCAGTAAGTTCCTCTAGCTAGTCCTCTCGGCGGGACTCAGCCTTTTGAAACCAAGTAGATCTCGTCAGGTCTTTTTGAACGAGGCGCACGAGCGCTCACTCGATTTTCTGACTTCCCCCTTCTGCCACACGCCTTTCCCACCTATACCCACAGAGGCTAACTCGCTGCCTCAGTTTTTCACTATTGATACCTATGGTAGAAGAACACTCCTACTGTTCACCTTCCCTCAGATGGCGTGGACACTGCTTGCCGCAGGCTTCAGTTTCTACATCCCACAAGACAGCAGTGCACATCTGGGCGTCATCGCTCTCTTCATCTTCATGTTCGCCGCTTTCTACTCTCCCGGTGAAGGGCCAGTGCCGTTCACCTACTCGGCTGAAGTGTTCCCGCTGAGCCATCGTGGTACGTAGCCCCATTCCAAGTCCCAAAACAATTACTAACCACCGAAACAGAGGTCGGCATGGGCTGGGCCGTAGCCACCTGCCTCTTCTGGGCCGCCGTCCTGTCCATCAGCTTCCCCCGCCTCCTCGCGGCTTTCACGCCTACCGGCGCGTTTGGTTTCTACGCGTAAGTCCCTGACTCGCCTTCCTCCTTGTCTCTCCCAACTAACGCCTCTTTCTCAGCGGCTTGAACGTCGTGGCCTTCGTGATGATCTTCTTCTTCGTGCCCGAGACCAAGCAACGCACGCTCGAGGAGCTCGACTACATCTTCGCCGTGCCGCTCAAGAAATTCATCTCCTACCAGACCGGCACGTGGCTGCCCTGGTGGTGGAAGCACTACGTCCTGCGCCAGAAAAACGCCCACCTTGAGCCCCTGTACCGCTTCGAGAGCGGCGTTAAGCGGGACTTGCATGATGTCGATACGAATGATGTTGAACGCACAGGACGGAAGGGAGGTGATAGTGAGTGATCATGAGTTGGGAGAATGGTTTGGTTGAGTGAAGACTGGACGCAGTACAGAGATGCGGACACTGATGAGAGAAGATCTAGACGCACTGATGTCGTCGCTCGTTGCTGGTGCCGGTATCGTGTGTAAGGACAATGTGCAAGTGATGAAAGCTCACTCGCTATCTACAGTCAAAGCGACTATATAGGTTAAATTGTTCATCACTTCGTAACTCCTAATCCTCGCCAACCTCGTCATCATCCTGTCGATCGTCTTCGACGTCCTCATCCTCTTCGGACTCACCCACGTCATCTGCTGCATCGTCCTCCCCGTCCTCCCCGTCCTCCCCGTCCTCCCCGTCGAAAGCATCTTCCGCCAACTCGACGGTTCCCTTGACGTCCCATCGATCTCCTTCAGCTGCCTGGCTAACGTATTTGACGAACCTCAACGTTCCTTTGTCTCTCAACACGACACTAAACATGTTCCAGCTCGGCGCATTCGTGAACAAGATGCCATCGTCCTCATCGTCTGCAGCCGTCTTGTACACCGCGGGATCGGCTTTCTTGCCCACTTGCGGCAGCGCTTTCGAGTGGACGGAGTCATTGTCGTCATCGTCGCCAGCCATGTAGACTTCCTCGCCGCCATACTCGGGAAGAGAGGAAGTCGACACTTGAATCGCGGGGTCCGTGGAGGCTGCTGTGCTCGAGCTCTGGCCCTTAGAGCGTCCGCCGTTAGTGTTGGCTTCAGCACCGGCTGTGGCGGCTTGTTCTTGCTCATCATCGCGCTCCCAGCCGGAGGAAGGCGTCATACTGATGGTGAATTCGAGCTGTGGCTGGTCGCCAGTGTATGGGCTGGCTAGGGCGTAGTCGTTGCCACGGCGGAAGCGGCGAGCAATGGCGTCCTGACGGACGAGGCTGCTAGGCTTGATGCCTGTGATGAGGGCCAGCCATTTCTTGAAGGCGTGGGAGTGGAGCAGGTCGGTGAGAATGCGGGCGATGGGAGTTTTGTCTTGGTGTAAGCTCTCGCTGCTCTGAAGGTAGGTGAATCTGTGTTTGTGTGGAGGGCGAGAGATCTTCCATTGAGTCGCCGTCCCGTTATCGGCAACTTCAATGTAGGTTTTCAGCTCATTCGTAAATCTCTCGCCGAAAAACCGCTCGAGCTGGAGAACGGATTGGGCAGTAAAGGATTCGGCGAATTGTTCTGTCATATCAGGAGTGAGAAAGCTGGGTGAAATGTACTGAAGGAGGAACGTGAGATCCTGTTCGGTGAGGATGTCTTCGTCTGTGTCTGCATCGTCACCTGGGTCAAGTTCTGAAGCTGTGGCGCTGCTGTTCATGACTACCCGAGACTCATCGTAGTGGCGGAAGTGTGCTTGGGGCTCGTCGAACTCATGCGCAGCTCCTTTCAACTGTGTCAAGCTTGATTGCTGCGCCTGCGCCTGCTCCAAGCCCTCTTCAAAGCCATCCTCGCCGGCCTGCGGTATGTGAAACCAGCCGCTGATGGCCATACGTATCCTCCCACCATCGTGCCCATTGTCTTTGTCCTCAGGACTGGCATGATAGACTTCCTCAACATCGTGGTAGCTCTCACCAGGAAGAACTGTAAAGAAGCTCAATTGACCAAAACTCGGAGCGATGTTTAGGCTGTGTTCTGCTACCGGTACCTTTATATCCTCTCCATTGTTGTTCTTCTTGACTTCTGTGGGGAACAGCCTCAAGCCACCGCCCCATTCTGCACGCCATGGTATGTCCGGGTCTGTCAGATACAAGATGTAGCTCACTCGCCGGCTACCAATGACATCGTCATGGCATAACAAATAGCTGCCGGGTGTATAGACATTGACTGCCATGTCTGTTTTCTCGCCGGAGAGCTTTCCAGCCCCAGTCACCTTGCTGACCCATTCTCGGAAGTCGGGGCTGTACAAGGCGTCTCTTAATCGTACGAGACTCGGAAGATGTTTCAAGCTCTCGGCATCGAGCTTAGACAGGTTTGCCAGATCGCCACTCTGGTGTATGCGGTAGATGTCTGTCTCTTTTAGAGTGAAATGGATGTGCTCGCTGATCTCGCTGCGGACGCCGCGCAAAAGGCTATCCTCGATAAGAGACGGCACAACCGCGTGTGGGTATGGCGCGGAGCTGTCGTAACCTCTGCGGTAAGATGTTATCACGGGCTCCTCGAAGAGGTCGGAGCGGAATGCGGAGCGGATGGAGGAAGCATTTTGGACGTTGCGCTTCTTCGGTGGCGCCGTAGGCGGTAGAGCCTCTGCTTTGCGTTTGAGGCTATCCACTGTCATGGTAGCAGCGAAGAGTGTGGTAGCAATACCTGAGCGGGCCTCTTCGTTCGCCTGGAAAGGGAACGTATAACAGTGGTATCGGAGATGAAGTAGAACATCGAAAAATTAAAGTGGGTCTATCCGCGGAGTGGTACGAGGGGTGGTCTGATTTGAGAACACGGCGTTGAAAGGCTTCATCGTCTCTTTCCACATGGTTGTAAGCTGGAGAATGATTAATGGAGGCGTCCGAGCGCGCTCATAGTACTATTAGCTATGTGCAAAAATGCTACTTGTAGGGATCCTTGTGCATCAATCGCATGGAGAAGTGATTATCTAACCCAGAGTCGCTTGAACAACATTTCGCTACCGCCAAAAACGATCGTGAATCATCAAACATGATAGGTTGGAGCTCCCAGAGCCATTTTCGATTATCATTCATATCTCTTAACTTTGCACTTCCCCGACATCTTGCCATCGATTGTTTATATTTACAGCTCCCGTTTCAGGAGCGAGCCCCAAGCTTTGGACATAGTGCTCTTCGGCTTGAGTTGCGCATTGGTACGGTCGTCCGCAGAAGGAGGTCGATAATATCTGTCGGCGTGTACTTGACCCCACGGGATATCTTCCTTGACCACCATGCTGCTGCGTAAGCCGAGTCTTTCGCGAGAACTATCGGGCCTTTTCTCGACGGCGATAACTCGCTGTACGGCGTCCGATGGGACTGATCTGTAGGATCGAATACTCTCATCGTCAGGGAGCCGGAATTCTTGTGCTTCGCCAGCCAGAAATGCAGCATTCGATGCAGCCGATGCCTTCTTCTTTGTCGTGATTGGCAGAGGCAAAACATCCGACCCTGATGCGGCTGGCGGCACTCTGTTACGCTGCAGTGTCGGGCCTTGGACCGTGATGGGCGACGCTAGCTCGTGGCCTTGCTGTACTGGAGTAACAGGAGAGCACTCCCGTGGTGTCAACGCGGGTGACTTTGTGTGGTCCGGTAGGGATTCAACAGGCGGTGCACTAGATACTCGTGCCTGATAAGCATCTTTGCAGTTCGAAGAGGTGCCCAGAAGATGGGCTGGAACTTTCGGTGGTGGGGGAATGCGGTCAGCGGAGACATTGACATTGGCGAGGCTCTTGCTCGAAGTCGATGTAACGGAAGGCGGTGGTGAGGACATAGACGACGGCCTTGAAGACTCTTCTGGCCTTTGCTGAGCAGCCAGATCTCCAGAGGAATTCACCGATTGTGCATAAAATCTATGCGGATTCGGGGCATAGGAGTTATGTTTGCGAGAGCCTGACGTTACGGACCGAGCTCGGCTGTCTTGTGAAGTGCCGCTATGGTCAGAACTTCGACTATTTGAGGCTCGAACGATGCGCTCAGAAGAATGCGATTTGAGGGTGGAGCTGGTCAAGGACCTGCGCTTCCCTGCCCGGGTGCGTTCCCTCTCCCGCTTCTCCCGTTGCTTGATGGCATCAGGTATTCCATCCCACTTCGCATTGACCTTTGGTACATGCTGTGGCATCTTCTCCATACTAACGTTAGGCACCTTGTTAGCGCTAGTTGAGCCGTGTTGAGCGGTCAACTGCGCGGACATCTGAGTGAGGGCCAGCTGTGTGGGCTCTTTAACACCGAAAAGCCCTCCGAATAGCGACGACGTTTTCTTGGGAGGCGGTTTGGAGGGCGACATGACCGAAGGAGGCATGGGCGACTTTGGTGGAGAGTCGTTTGCACCCTGATCATGGGATTGAGACGTCGATAGGCGCATATCAGGGATCGTGGAACCAGACTCTCGTTGAGGATTATCGGTGGAATGGCCTCCATGATGGACTTCTTCGATTGCGTCATCTTGCGGAACAGGGTTGCGATATTTGAGTCGAGGCACGCGCGCACCCTGCCAACCAACTTGGCTAAGACCTGTCGAAGTCGCCATTATGCACGTCGTAGCAGAGGAATGTCAGAAAGGGTGAAGTCCGAATCAGAAATCCATGCCAAACAGCTATGGAGAGAATCTGCAAGGTCACAGGGCAAGACTCGGCGAGGATGGGGTTCGCAACAATGTATTGTCTCAAATCGGAGGCGTGTGCGCTGGCGGAACGTGTAATGATACTCGACCTCTGAGGACCATCGAGAAAGCCCTGCGGTCTGCGAGCGATTAATGCTGAGGGTGGTGAATGGTGTTCAAGCGTGCTTCGACGGTTACTACAGTGGTATAACAAGAAGGAGAGTCTACTCTGTACACGAAAAGGCGTGGCGGCGGAGGTGGTAGTACGACCACAAGTACACGTGGAAGGCGGGGAGGAGAAATCAGTGTGACGAAAGAGCGCCAGCGGCTTCCAGAGTGGCGGAGCGTGCTCTTCCCAGCTATTGACATGCAAGCCACGAGCAAACGTGGCCTAGGGTGCAAGGGTCCCGCACATGACTGACAGGGTTCAGAGTGTATGTATGAGAGGACTTCTGTAAGTGATTGGAAAGTCTGATTCTCCCATGTACGCCATTCCAGGCCTCGAAGCGCCTACATACAAATTTCCGGAGCCGTCCCAGACCCCATCTGCCGGGACTAGTTTACTAGTAGACTCCAATCGAGATCGGGGCATCGCCTCGCGAAAGCGCAGCCGAGGAACCTTAAAGAGAAACCACCGCGGCCTTCCTGGTGAACCAGTGGAGAACAACTGTGATCCTGGGTGCCCCGGTTGTGACAGCAGATGATCAGCAATAGATCGCCGTCGCCGCTCGAGCACCGCCAGTGTTAAGCCTCGAAATCTGTGATATCAAAGTCTGTTGGTGTATCTCGTATAGACTATCAGCGTGCGGCTCTCTTCGATGGCCGCCGAATGGCAACAACCTGGCACTTTCACGTACAGACTTCGCTTAGTTGTCTCGTTCCGAGAAAAGCGGCCCCCACAAGCGAGACAGAGCTCAAAAATCGGATCGAGTACTCAACCCACGTTCCCACATGCACGTTTAATGCTTGACTAGAGACTAACTCGTCCATATGTTCTAGATGTGTGCCCATCCGACAGTCACGTAGGATATGTGCCTAGCAGGCTAACGTTCTTGCTGGCCACTGGCAGTAATGAGTTGAGTCTGAAAGGGAGAGTGCCCGTCGAAAAAAGTCTAGGGTTAGGGCTTGCCAGCTTGAGAGAAGACGGGCTCTTCAAGTTGCCTCCACAAACCGCTTTCTTCTTCCAACATCATCACCATCTACTGCAGCCTGAAACGCTCAACGCGCTGCAACATCATTCAATCTGGCTTAGTCTCAAGTATACTGGCCTAAGTCGAACATTAATGTTTGTGGAGCGCTGCTAGAGGCGCGTCTGGCTTACGAGCCCTTACTAGCGGAACGCCACTCGCGGAAGCACAATTTTCGATTTTGACATCTTCGGCTCCGTTCCATTGGGACGAACTACCCGCAGCCATTGTCTGACATCCGATTCTCAGTAACAATGGCTACCGAGCCGGACGCCTCACAGCAAGCGCAGCCACCTCGTCGGCTGAAATTGGTGATGCCCAACACCGCCTCATCCAGGCATTCGACTTCTGAAAGTCCGAACAGAGCGCCGACGTCCAGCAATAAGGCCTCGTCTGGAAGCCCAGAGCGTCCTTCCTATTCCCCAGTCACGCCAACCCTGTCAGAAGCCGCTCTACCAGATTCACAACCAAGCCATCCCGATTTGCAACAGGTGCCAGAGTTCATCGTCCCCCCCGAACCACTCCCGGTGAGTCTTGACGAGAACACAGACGCCATAGCCATGAGGGCTGCTCTGTCCATTCTGCAAATGCAGCGCCAACAGAGTCTGAGAGATATACGTAGGCTAGATAGGATGAAAGCTGCCGCCATCCAGGATCCGGAAGGGTTTGTCGAGCATTTGAATGCGCAAAAACTTTCGGCTGCACCCCGACAAGGCGTCGATGTTGATTACGATGACGATGATGATGACGATGACGATGCATCAGTGGAAGACAAGGAGGACACTCAAACATCGGACGCCAAGTTCCCCAGTTTTCCTACTGCACAGAATGTTGTCAGAGCTCCACCTATCGAATGGCACAAGTACGGCATTGTTGGCGAACCCTTGGACAGAATGCACGAAACACAGCGAAAGCACCCGGGATGGATGGACAACGGATCGACAGCATCACGGAATCTACAGCCGCACAATATCGCAGCACCGTACAAGCCTTTCTCCGATCGGCTCGATGACACGAAGAAGTAATGATTGAACGTGATTGATGAAGAATATGACTATCGTGATTCTCATATTCATGAACAGCATAGAGCATGGGTAGCGGCGTCAGTGCTATTGTCAACGAAGTCAGTAAGAGCAATCATTCAAGCGGTATATCCTCCTCTTCTGCCAGTACCTGATGATGGCTGATATCCTGGCTGATCTTTTCATGCCCAAGAATTTGCGTTCTCCTCTGTCATATCACAACCTGACTACGTTGAATGATCACAAAGTTTCGACCAGATCCCTCTTCATCATATAATGACCGCAAGCACTCATAAGCAGGACACAAGAGATACCCATGCTGCCAACGTCTATTTGTGACTGCATAATGAGAGTGTCTACCGTCCTATGCTACTTCCATTGACCGCCCCTAACACTAATCTGCACGTCCGAGACCCAAAGGTAGTCAACTACTGGAAACTTTAGTGAAGGCAATGAATGCTTGGCGTAGTTAGTGCTAGATGTGCCTAAGGTAAGCTTCTAAGCTTCGCCTAAAACGACCCCCAACTCTTCAAGTTTGTCATGACGCAGAGGGCAAACAATGACATCAACTCGCAGCATCAACCCCTCTTACTCGACACTTTTTTTGATGGCGATAATTTGCAGATAAGGACCACAAACAATTCGTACGCGGCAATTACGTGAACATTCTAATACTGATAGCACTACGGCGATATATTGTCGGACTTGACTAATTCCCTTGTAAGACTGTCTGCTTCTCGAACTCAACCACTTCGAAATACGGGCAGCAAACATACCAGGAATCATTCCCGGTCGTCCGGCGTTTCGAGTCTCCTACAATCCTCCAATATGTCAGCCCTGAGCCCCGACGAGCCGGCTCAGCCCACGCAACAGACCGGCCTCAACCAAGCCGGTAATCCAGCTTCGAAGACTGCAAACGAGGACGCGGCTGCTCGAACGACAGATAGCTCGGCAACCACCGAACAGCGGACTACCAACGATGTTCCATCTACTCACGATGGCGATGCTCGACCTTCGGCGCTTGGTTCAGGTGACACAGGTCCATTGAAAGAGCGCGATATCTCCAAATCAGACCAGCATCCGTATTCGAAGAACTCAGAACTGGATGGCGAGCAGATGCGGGCGCCAGGAGAAGGCGAGGTAGCAGAGGCCGTGAAAGGCGGTGGCGGTGGTGGGCACAAGGGTCAAGGAGACCTCATGGATGATATGGACCGGAAGAAACAAGAGCATGATGCGGAACTCAAGCGACGTGGGGAAAGGACCGGAAAGGAGATCGAAGAGGAGGAGTCCGAGGATTGGACCAACAGGAATGCAGACGTTGGAGAGGCGCTTGCTGGGAGAGGCACCAAGATCGTCCTTGCTCCGGAGGGTACGTCTTGATTACACATTTTCCGCATCAGATCATCCTACGTATCCACGAGGGCGACAGCAGCAGTCAGGGTCTACGAACACCTTCCTCCAAGGCGACATCAGGTCGAGAGTGTGCTACGAGGGAGTATGCCAATTATTTTCAGTCGCTCCTCCAGAGCCAAGAAGATACCCACAAGCAGCGTATATCGTCTTTCAAATCATCTTCCTAACAACTGATAATGCCCTAAGACTGCACTATTATTGAAAATCATGGCGGCTGCCTGAATACCATCAACGCAATCGGCTAGTTGGGCGAGGTACCAAGCGTCTCATCCTTGTCGCGAAACAATGCTCTTTGTCTAAGCCGTTATGAAAGCCGTTGTTCAAGTGTCGGGTTACAAGTACTTGGTACCTTCGTGCGTTTGTCGTCGAATCTAGGCTTACCATTCTCCTTTGTGATAGCATCCATTGCATTCGAATATCACGCATCCCAATGGCTAAGTCGTACCAGAGACATTACCCCTTAAACCGCGGCATCAAACGCACGAACCAGTCGACGACAATCAGACACACAACATTATACAGAGCACAAAATCCTCCCAAAGTCGCAATTTGAAAAGCTCCATTGAGGCAAGCCATCAAGGTCCAAGGTAGTGAACGGAAAATGTGCTACTTTGGGCTATCGGTATTTTCCTGTGGCCACGCTGTGCGGGCCACGAACCCTGTTGGTGCGTCGCCTGGTTGTCCCATCTCGCGGAAAGAAGAGTCAAAGCGGCGTTCACTGCGGACGCCTAGTCTGACCAACAGTCCCTCCTCCACACCGAGGACAACGATCGGCAGCTTCGAGTCCTTGAATATCAATGCCAAAGAAGAGCAGCCTCCAGATCCTGAAACGCCATGTGAAACGAAAGTCACGCATCCACTACACACGCGCAGGATTCTAGCACCCTGCAAAAGCTGCTGGGCACGAAGCCAAAAGCGTCTAAGCCAAATCGAGGATGCCAGTATTCTCGAACTCCAGAAGACCTTCCTAGAGAAGGCAAGGAGAGACAAAGTCATCTTCGAAGGTCGCAGACCCAGACAATTAGAACTGCTTGCGCGCAGAGACGCGGAGAAGAGGGAGGAGACCGTACCCCAAAAGCTGGGTTCTGCGGAGTCCACCATGGATTCCTCCTCAACCTTCGACCACATGAAGGACATGTGGAATAAATCTAATAAGTCAGAAGTGCGGACGTCACTCAAGGGCTCGTATAGCAGGGCGCGGAAGAGGTTTCGAGAAGCGACAGAGAGTCTGGAAAACACAGACTCAGCGTCGCTGAACGCACCTCCTCATGAAGCAGTGGGTGTAATTGTTCGAGATGAGGGCGACGATTTGTGAGATAGGGTCTCTGAAAACAGCGTCATGACTGTACTGCTCATTACCGTTCTTGAAGATAGAGCCACTTCGCCAAATGCCATGGCTTCATGGTTAGTTTGTTGTACCATCAGTCCGAATAAGTAATTCTATAATCCTGCGTAATATTGGAAGAACCGACAGATCCTCAACCGTTAACAGCACTCCGAGCCAATCACAGTAGCCTCAACTTCAGAGGGCAGTTATGTCTTGGCGTTCTGCACCTGTCCGTTGGAGCTTGTCTACCGCGGACGAAGCTCACCCCACGACAAATTGCGCCTGCGCTGACCTCTCCGTGCCGCGCTGATATATCTGCAACAGTCCCCGCCGCTTCTCGAGTGCGCAGGGAGATAACGTGCGACCGCCGCACTCAGGTCTCAAAGCGGTGCTGGGACACAGCCTGCCCTCGTATCCTATCTCAAGCCAAACCGCCAATATGCCTACACCAGAGTCCGCATCCTTCCTAAAGGCGAAGCCGACGGTTCCTCCTACCTTTCATAATGTCGACATGAAAGACCATGCCGCCGTCGTTGACGCGCGCGATGCCATTGTTCGAGAGCAGTGGGTGCAGATCATGATGAAGCGACTGGTGGGCGAGGAGCTGGGCAAGTGCTACAGAAAAGAGGGCGTCAATCATCTTGAGAAATGTGGGAAATACAGAGGTAAGCTATACAGTCAGAGCACCCCGCGACGAAACTTCTTGCTAAGCTCTTGAGTACAGATCGATACTTGCAGTTATTGAAGGAGAACAAAGAGAGGGGTTATATGGGCCAGCAATTCAACTACATTCCCGGTGTGGATGGGCCGGAAGGCGGTCCAGAGATCAAGACAAACTTCCCAACACCGCAGCAGGCATTGGGTTCGAAGGGCACGGATCATCGGAAGGGAAACACCAGTGGCGATGGCGGCAATACCTTGTACTAGTGAATAAGCAAGAGCTGCAATGGGAGGCGTACCACGATGGTTGTACATATCATGGAACGAATGAAACGATTGTGGGATTGAGAGACCACATTCACCAACAATGCTAACAGCCCATGAGCGCAAGCTGACTGGAACGCTCCCATTCTTGCACTACTGCATCTGTGCCAGGTTCCGATCGAAAAGTGTCTATCCCCAAAGCTACGGCAGTCACGGCGGGACCCAACCTTCTCAGAAGAGATCGAAGCAGTGCCTGCTCATGTAAGTGTGAGCTCAGCCCCAGCTAGTGATGCAATGTGCTCCGAGGCTTTTACGTTCAGCGGCACTACAATGCAAACAACGAAAAGAGCATGCTAGAACCCAACAATTCAACGCGGCGCCTCGTTCGCGGCAAATGCTCCCGGCTTTGCCCCTAGCCTAGCCCGTCCTTCAACGCAATCAGATCTTCACTCCCTGGACCACTTCACGTGAAGGCACACTTATGGAGGCTGTCGATGGTGGTGATGATGCCAATCCCGTCTACGCCCTCCATGAATTTAGGTTGCTCCTCTTCCGCCGTCCGGAAGAAGGCAGCAACGGAGGGAGCCGTGTTGGCGGAGGCGTCTCAGCCACTACTAGCTGGGTGTGCAACGTCAGTAAGGTGCCCAGAGGAGCAGAGCGAGGAGGTTCTGAACGGCAGAAGGCGTCTGCGAAGGAGCCCCGCATGTGTTATTGCAAACGACAAGAAGACAAACCTAATCATGCTGGTGAAGATGCCATGAAATGATCTACTGATGGGATGATCAGCAGCCAGTGGCAGCAGGTTCCGCAATCGACTTGCCATTGATGGTACGGAGACTACAGGAGGCCGATAGATGGCCCTCCACAGCCGCTGACAAAGGCAAAGACCAGATCCAGGTTGTGGCCTACCTTGAATGCCCGCCGTATCCTCAATAGCTGGCACTAGGAGCCGGCGTTAGGCTCACGAGTAGCAGCGCGAAATATTCTACAGCATCAGAGGCCTGTTTGAGAATCTCTAGAGAAACGTGGATTGTGCCAGAGCCAATCTGTTTCTATGATGGGGGAACGCAGAGTGTTTTCTCAAATCGCCCCAACTTGCTCTCTGAGGACGTTTGAGGACTGTCAGCGGATACAACATAAGGATCGATTTAGCGAGACAGTGATCTGTCATAGTCGTGTCAGTAAATAACAATCAATGCTATCTCGTTTACTACATCTTGAAGAGGGGGTTGGGCTGCGGGCTGGGACACAACCATAGTTAGATGTCCAGGCACATCGTGCCGCAGGCCGAGCTGAGGTGACTAACACCGTCTAAGTCCGACAGGGCTTGGCATGTCTTCAACGTCAGGTTTCATTTCCATATCGCCTCAGACGTTAGGAATCCGTACCCGAAGCAATCATCGGAAAGCGTTCTGCTGTTGTAGCGCAATGCTTCTTCCGCGAAAGAGATCTCGAGTGCAGCTAGCAGGGACCAACACTAGTCAAACGCGGCGTAATGGCCAACGAGGCCGACCGATGAAGCCAGCCAGCGAACTCGCCGCGCCACGCAGACTTACACGACAAAAAGAGCGCGCTCTGCATAGCCGATACCAGGAGCTCTCGACAACACGTCCGCTGGACAGAACACCCTCGGGACTGGAGTGCCTACCAACTGAAATCATTCAGCACATCTTCTTCGACTCTCTAGAGACAAACTTGGCTCTCACTTCTCGCACACTCAACCACAAGCTATCTAATGAAGCGGTCTTCAGGAGCCTCCTCTTGTTGGCATTCTTCGACTCCGATCAGAATGAAGACGAAGCAAGCGTAGAAGAGAAGCACTTTCTCCCTGCCAAATACCGGTACCTCGATGGCAAGCAGCGGGCGAACCTCCAGCTCAAACTCTTTCGCTTCAGATGGTGTACGCGATCCAGAATAGATGGATGTATGCCAACTCTGTCGCGTCTGTCGATGGTGCAAGCATGGCATAGCGACAAATTGGACGAGCAGATTCACGGTCCAGCTCCAAGCGAAACGGACACGGAGCTTACGCCGTCTTTGCCTGACATCGATGATCAGGCCGCGATGGACGAATACTTCTGTGCGCTCAAAACTTCAAAACTGTATGAGAGATTGCGAACGTCCTGCGATCGACCGTTGACGGATCAGACCGGCGACCATGATACACTGCCATTCATCAGAATTTCAGTAACAGAATATCGCGGCAGGAAAGTCAAAGTCCGGAAACACCTCCACCCAGTGCTAGGAGCTCTGGCTATTCCTGATTATCTCCTGGATGACACATCATGGACTGATGAGAAGCTTTCGTTCCTCCAACTGCTTCAACAGGGTCTGGCTTGCTCCGTTCATTACCATGCCCCCATGTTTTCCTTGGACGCTTTATTCAAGGGCATGGAGAGCGCGATAAATGGGAGAAATTTAGACGCCCTCTTTGCCCTGTCGAACCTGTTTTCGCAGATCGTGACGAGCGGCTGGTTGGACCCCAATGACAGGTGGCAGACACCTCGAGGCACTCACAACGATCTCCGGCTACCGGTCAGATTGTTTCACCTAGCGGCGAAAATGGAGACGGCGAGTGCTGAGTTTCTCAGGTTGTTGATCCGAGCCGATGTCAAAGCCATACCGCAAGACGATAGCGTCCTAACCGCCTGGGCCATCAGAGCAGATCGAGCAGAGCATCCCCTGGGAACGTGGCTGCTGAGACTACTTGAGGGCTCATCCGAAGTTGGGAATGTTGAATGGCCGTTCGTACGTGGTGCCATATGCACTTCCTGGAAGTATAACGACAACATATTCGATGAAAACCGGACTTTTGCCGATGACCAAGGCTACATCACAGACACAGCCCTGAGATGCTTGTGCAAGACTGATCGCTGAGGGTCGAGATGAGCCTGGGTCCGGGAGGTCTCGTACGATCGTGGACCCCGAGAAGCTTCATTGTGCCAGAAGAGATCCTACGATCGCGCAGTTTTTGGCCACAGAGATCCTTTGGTAAAAGGGATGCGCCCCGTGTACCGGCTGGGCCTTGATAATGCCACATCGACACGAGTTATCTCTACAAGTAGGAGCATCTCTTCATTCCACGCCTCTTTGAAGCTGCAACGGATAGATGGCTGCTCTAGTGAGACATGAAAGGTAAATGATTCTATCTGGTAGTCGGCTTGCCTCGCAGCCTCGTCAACTGCAATATCTCCCAGCTGCCTTTGAAGACCTCAACGTGGCACCACCACTCAGCCATTCTAAGTAAGTGACGACCATGGCTTCACCACTAACCCCGCTTCTCATCGAATCGTTTGCGCGCTGCGAGAGTCACGAATTGTTCTATTGCTTCTGCTTTTGCATTCCTCTCGACGACCCTTGTACTTCGACTTATTCCATGCATCCCCATCCCTATACCCTCACCCCCATCTCCATCATCTCCGAACTAGCATCATCGTCCGTATCGGCGGCAGCATCTACATCCACCATCCCAAGGCTTGTTTCCTAGATCAGTATGTCTGGCGAGTCCGGAAACATGTCGAGGAATTCGGTCACCGTCTGCCCTGGCCCGCATCAGCCTTCTCAAGGTACGTTACACCTTTGCGTTCTTTGCAACCTCTCTCGTCCATAGACGATCCTAGGGTCTAGATATAGCTTCTGAGTCCACCATCCAAGTTGTCGGCGCGGAACGCAAGCGCTCGTCTTCGACTGCTGGAGACCTACCGGAGGAACATCTGTCCAAGTACCCCAAGATCTCTCATGACGCACAGGAGCAAGAAGAGATTGTTGAAAATGCCGGCTCCGTCACTATCATTCTCGACGACTTGCCCCTGGATTATCTTCCGGGTGCAGATCTGACAGTCTTCTGCAAACACGGCATATATTGTTCTGATGGAAGATGCGAAAAGTTACACCCCAGTGTGTGGTACGATATGTGCGAGCACTTCCCCAACTGTAAAGAGAAACATTGCCGTTACTTCCATCCCCCCTGGCGAATCAACTACGGGTGTCCATGTAAGGACTTCTTTTTGGTGGCGGAAGAATGCCGCAAAGGACGCGAATGTGAAGACTATCACTGTGTTTGGCATAATGCTACTCCTTCGGCTGAAGATTGGGAGAAGTATAAGTTAAGGATGCCAAACCAGAGGTACAATGAGCTTTACGGTATGCTTGCGAACAACCTCGTCTTATGGCAACACAACTGATTTGAGCATTGCGACTTCGTGAAGGCCGACCACTCGCCGCGCATGGGCGGAGGAGACCCTCAGACACAATTGACACAGCAGAGAATGGAGGCCGCGAGATTTCGGGTGATGGACAAAAGAATATCTGCTCGGGAGAAGAAGCTGGCCGAGGAGAAGAAACAGGTTCAGAGGGACCTTCAGCATCAGCATGGCCAGAAGCGTAAGCGCCACGAAGAGCAGACCGAAGAAGCCGAGGGCAAGAGCAACAAGAGACAGCGTGTCGTCGGTCCTCTATCGAATACCGTCCCTACTTCCATTCCAGCAACCTTATCGAGAAAGCGAAATCGCGAGGAGCACGAAGAAGAGAACGAGGTGGCAGATGCACGCCCAATCAATACCAAGCGCCAATGCCGCGATCGAGTACCAGACAATAAGCGTACCCGCTGAGCTTCACCGTCTGAGAATCGCCCGACTCCTTCTCCCGCCACATCTCCTGAGCCACCTGCAGTTTTCTCGAGGAGCGTTTCCTAACAATCCATGCCCTCTGGAGCTTCTTCGCCACCCCAGCTCGATGCGACAAATGCTGGCACGGTCCCTCGGTGCGCGACTCCTCTAGCCCCTGATGCTTCAGCCAGCGAGTCCTCAACCGTTCCCAACAAGCCTCAGGCTGTTCCGCACACATCTCAAGCCACTCCTGCTCGAGTTGTCGGAGTCACTAAGTTGATGGAAGAGTTCATGGTGCATCATACAGCTTATGTCAAGGCTCCGAGAGACAGCGATGAGAAGAAGCGTCTGTTTGCCTAAATCAAAGCCAAGATCCAGCTGCGTGGCTTGCACTGCCCACTCGAATCCGAGAAGAGAACTATTTGGAAGCGCTTCTTGGGGATCGAACTACCTGAGTCGTAATCATCCGACGAAATTGCACGATGCTGCTGTTATATCTAGCGCGGACTCGACCTGCAGCACACGACGTTCCGATCTCTGAGAGGACTACGACACACTGGTGGCGACGAACGACTACGACAGCGACTTGAGCTGCTAATCTATGGGCAGCATTCTGTCTTTTTCTTTCCACCCTGCGTTTGGGTTTGCGGGCTGCGTTCATGACACGACGATCACCAAGAGATTACTGACCAAAAAAAGCATGAAAGAACAAAGACCCAGAAAAGTATGAAAAGGTATGATATGACCAAAAAAGTTGAAGTCGAGCAGCATAACAGGGGCAAAGGAGACAACGATAAAAATGGTTTGAAAGCACGCACCTCCGACAAGTGGGAGGGCAGAACCGGGCGTCAAGCCTAGGGAAAGCATGGGTGAGGGATGCTTGGGGCTGACAATGGCATGTGGGTAATTGCGGAATCAGCCCTGAGAGAAGCGAAAGGAAGGGGAGGCCGCGGTGGACATGCAGCTTAGGAGGAGTGTTTTAACAGATCTTGGCTCTTTTGGACCAGAGCTGAGGATGGATGGAAGGGAGGCCGACGGAGTGTAAGGAGCTCGGGCGAAGTCCCTGAACTGGCACAGATCTTGGACCCTCGGGGCTAGACTCATTGGAGATGGAGGATGGTGGCCAATACGGGGCATGTTGGTCTTGACTGTGGCTCGAAAGGAACGAGCACGAAGGGCGTGGCTCCAGTGTGACCTGCAGGACATTGGGAACGGAGGTAGAGACAGGGGTAGAATTGGATGTATCTTTAGCTAAGCCAACAGTCACGATTCCCTGTGCCACAAGGCTTGATCGTAACACTTGCGAAGTCTTGATCTCGTTCACCGGGTCAAGGCTCTCGGACAGACACCCCACTGCCGCCTTCGGATGTGCCTTCTGCTGCTTACTGCGTGCGACTGAGATCGGAGGTTCGTGCCTATGGGAGGAAGAAGCAGCCCAAGATCGGATCGCCCGAGTCCGTAACGAATGAAAGTTGTACATGCTCGAGTCTGAATGACAGGTCAAAGTCAGCTGCCACGAGGTGATACCGAACAAGACCAATGCGACTCATCGATGGTTGTGAGTTGGACATGATCCGGAAGGCAATTTATTCTGCATTACCTGCGCTAGTCAATATGATAAAGTACTTCAGGTTGTGCTCAGGAGCCATAGCCTTGTGGTTGAGCACGAAGGCGTAGCGCTGTCAGGCCGTGCCTGGCACTTGCAACGCAATGTTTCATGCTTGTCCAGGCCAGATTCGATCGGCTAGACTCCTCACGAGCTTTAGTTTGGCGATCATATCCTTATGCTTGACGGCGTTCCCGCTACTGTGGCTAGCAAAGCCACACTGCGGGCTGACACCACATCGGTTCAATGCCTGCTCCTCGCTCTCGCCAGTGCCCTTCACCATCCATTTCACTGCCTCGCGAACTCGGGCCTCCATTTCAGCTTCGTCTTCCAGTTTTGGGAACTTCGACGTGATCACGCCTAGGATCACATTCTTGTCCTTGGGGAGGTACTGAAGCGGCTCGAAACCACCTGCTCGTGCGGTGTCGTACTCGAGATAGTAGGTATGCATGTTGAGCTCCTGGAAAAGCTTTGTTGCTATACGGTCGTACCCGCCTTCGCTGAAGTGCCGACTGTTCACAAAGTTGCCGCGGCAGAGATGCACTCCCACGTGCATATCCGCTGGGATTTTCGCGACACAGTCGTTGTAGAGGGCAATGTACTTCTGCAGAAGCTCGTCTGCGGAGTAGATGTTGTCTGGGTCCTTCTTCCATCCCTCGAGCATAGCTTCGGAGCAGAAGTCTGGAACGGTTAGCTGAGGCTAGTTAGTCCTAAGTGGCCACTCACAGGCGAGGTTCGGGTCATCGAACTGGACGTTACGAAGGCCGTGCTCGTACAGAATTGAGAGCTCATCTTGGTACGCCTTCGCAATGTCGGCAAAGTACTCATCATCGTTGGCATAAACGTTCGAAGGATAAGCGCGCCCCTGCTTGTACCGCAGATGATACCAATTGGGTGCCGCTAGAGTCAGTTTGAGGTCCTTGACATTGTCGGCGGGAACTAGGCCCTTGAGGTAGTCGAATTGATCGGTGTATGTGCTGCCCTTGTGCTTGATCTTGCCGGTGCAAATAACAGTCTCACCTGGTTTGTAGCCCGCCTCTGTGAAAGCAGCAATATCAGGAATGTACATGCGGAAAAGGGACGCTTCTGGTTCAGCAATCTCTGTCATGCCCACGAGGCCAGGCCAGAAAGATCCCCAGAACATATGCCGGCGGTACTCTCCATCAGTGATGCCACCTAGGGGAACTAGTCAGGCATGGGCTGGCGAGGGGCATTCTGCTGAACTCACGGAAACCTAGGTCCTGCTGGATCTTGACTATATCCTTGACATCTTGGTCCTCGATAGCTTTGAGGCTGGCCTCGGTTTCCTTACCAGCTTCCCAAGCATGGCGGGTATCGAGCAACTTGTCAGTCCGGAGAAGGGAACCAAGGTGCTCCGCACGGAAAGGTGGGTTGCGGTGGAGCTTGGAAGACATAATGATAGTGGTAATAAGCTATAGATCACTCGAAAGTACGGACAGTGTTGTTTGCTGCGTCTTTGCTATTTGAAGAGGGTAGAAAAAGAGGAGTGGTTACACGGCGGCTGGCAGGAACGATCCAGCCCATTTGATCGTGACCACTCGATGGAGTAACAGCTCAATTTTCACTGCCGACGTGCCAATGCTTCGCATGAATCGAGGAGGAATCCATACTGATGTCGTTCTCGCTAGATACCCCACCTGTGCCCCTCAGCGATGGGCAAGTGGTGGGTAACCTCCTGCCAGGATGTTATTCGGCTTTCTCAATGCGTCCAAGTGGCCCTTGTTACAGCCACTATGCTATCTTGGCGGCGAAGGCCCGGCCCATCAAATCGTTTCGACGACGTACACACCTCTATCACAATAATAGTGTCACCATATCGACACCTAAGGATCCAGTTATTCAAAAGACCACACTGGCGGATTCGTCAAGGCCAGCTGTAGAGTCGACGACTCTAGCACTGGTTGAAGGGCCGCGCGGAAGCATCTGAGGACCGAATGCCTCCATCGCTATAGATAGATGCCAACTCACCGGGCTCAACACGCGAGTGCGAGGGATTTTCGTATATACGATGCGACAACCACGACCATCACTGCAGCTGCTCGACCTGCCAAACGAAATCATCGGCCATGTCTTCGCTTTCTTGGACTCAATGCCGCCTTCGCTTACGGACGTCATGGCGTTACCGGCACGGCCACAAGTGCAGCACGTCGCATCTACGCCACTGAAAAAGGCGTCGATACTGAACCACCGTCTGCGAAAGATTTGTCTGCCGTTACTGTTTCGTCATATCTTCATATCATCTGTCGACCGGTTGAGCAGTATATTCGCCTTTGCAGTCAGCAACGACCTCGCCTTACATGTAGCAACGGCACAGATCTATCTTCATGGGCCTTCAAGCCACCAACGACCCGCCTGGTGGATCCGTCTCCTAGAACAATTCCCCAGACTGTCCACGCTCACCATTACCGCCCCGCCTAATGTCTTCGCAGAGGTGGTCAGCCAGCCCATCAAGCTCTCCGATGCGTGGGCCTTCAAGATCCCGTTCCAGACCATTCAGCTCCATTATGACCCTTCAACTACAAGCAGCACTGCGCTAGATCACACGTCTATTCTTCATGCGCGACCCTGGAGCTCTTTTCTAGTCAACGAGTCTTGCTCGCTTCTAGCCTACACTACATACGAATACTTCCTGCGAAGTACGCCTTCGCCGCTATGGCCGGATCCAGCACACAATGTTTTACACCTGCTGTGCAACATCAGGTCGTTTTCATTCGTTGCAATATTCCCCACCTACACCCATGTAGCTCAGATTACCGAGATTATGAAGAACTGTATGCCCAGGATCGAGGCCATCACCATCAAGCTGCTACCGGATCCACAGAGCACAGTTCTCCAAGACATGCTCGAGGCGAGTGGGCATCACTTCGATGTCAACGATCCATGGAATGAATTTGAGACGAGCTTGACGCTGATAGGATCGGCGGTGGTTGATCTAAGCGGAACGGACGGGCCGGACAGAAGCCTAAGAGAGCTCAGCATGCCAGATGTGTGCATAACAGGCCTCAAGGACACGATCGAGGAAGGCATTACGAGATGGCTGACAGAACAGCCTGTGCACGGCTGGGCATATCGAGGCCAGGGGCTTTGGAGACGAGATCTGGCCTCAGAAACAGCTGAGACTATCACACAGTGACGACTTCGCCAGGCCGAGATGTCATGCATCAGGAGGTGAATTGGGCCTCGAAGCGGCTACATGTGCAACAGCGTATACAAAGTCATCGACGCTCAACGTTGCTTCGAAATTCAATGCGTGTACCAACAGCATCGTGCATCCGTCTCCAGATGCCCATATCATGGGAGTTGATCCACTGCATGTAATTGATGCTTTCAGCACGGATGCTCGCGTGGCAGATACGTCGCCATGTCAGGTGCCGCAACTGGAGAGAAGTCTCTGGACTCCTAGACCAACAAGACCTGGACCTACTTTGCTAGGAAATGACTCTTGAAATTCGCTCTGGCCAGGGTCTAACCATCAGCCTTCTCAGCCAACACGCAAAGCGAATCCGCCCCCTTTGCCCTCATGCTGAACACCTTCAAAGATACCAGCCAGCTGTCTCTCATCAATTTTCGGAGCCTCCCCCCTGACAGGTGCCTGCGGAGTTGGTAGCCGCCTCCGCTTTTCCAGCCCGGCTTTGCTTGGAAACGTGGGGAACATCTCCTTCGGTTTGGCGCGCGGCTCCTCCGTGAAGTAGCGGTGGCTCAACAGCTCCTCCGCCGTAGGACGATTCATCGGGTTCAGGCTCAGGCAGGATGCCAGCAAGCGCAGACCCGCGGAGGAGAGATATGGGAACTTACTTGCGTTGAGGCGGGAGGAGAGTTCGGGTGTTTTAGCGAGAACGGGGTGCAGGGCCTTGGCGTTGGGGAGGGAGCGGAAACCGGGCCACGAGGAGGAGGTGGGAGTCCCCAATAAGGAGAAGATGAGGGAGAGTTGATCGACTTCGTTCTTGCCGGGGAAGAGCGGGTCGCTTGTGAGTAACTCGGCGAAGATGCAGCCTAGGGACCAGATGTCTACGGACGAGTCATATGATGTGGTACCGAGGAGTAGTTCTGGTGGACGGTACCACAGAGTTACGACCAGTTGAGTGAGATGTCGGGGAGGGGGAACCGAGGTGTAGCGCGCCATGCCGAAGTCCGCGAGCTTGAGGGTGCCCAGGTTATTGAGGAGAAGATTCGAGGTTTTGAGGTCTCGATGAAGGATATGTTGAGCATGAAGGTAGTGGAGGGCGGAAGTGAGTTGGGTGAGCAGCAGTTTGGTTTCGGACGGTAGGAATGGTTCCGTGAGGGTTGAGAGAATGGTCTTGAGGTCGTGCTCGAAGAACGGCATGACGAGGTAGATGCTGGTGTGAAGGGTGGAGTGGTTAATACGGGAATGTATCGGCGCTTTTCAGTCCAGGGGATGCATGACTTACTCTGAGAGTGACGGCCCAACAACGACTTCAAGAAGAGATATAATGTGTGGATGAGAGCAAGCTTTCAGGGTCTGAATCTCCCGAAGCCCGGTAATAGGAAAACCATCGCCCGGAGCATTGTCAAATTTGAGCTTCTTGAGTGCCACGATGGTACCAGTCGACTTAGTCCGCGCGCGGGAGACTTTGCCGTAAGAGCCTTCTTCAATAGCATTCAGCAATTCGTACTCAGAGATCGAAGCACTGGGTCCAAAACCGCCGGCGGGCAAAGAGACAAGGTGCGCTTCGGGTGCAGCAGGTGGCGACTGAGATACACGTCGTCGCTTTGAAGGGCGACCGTCATCGTCTTCCTGTCTAGTATCTGCTTGAGCCGCAGGTGCTTGAGCGGCGCGTCGTGCTTTCTCTTCTTTCAGGCGCTTCTTCTCTTGCTTCTCCTGCTTCCGTCGCTCTGCAACGACGGTATCTTCTTCGGTCGAAGCCCACCTTGAGGCCTTGGTCGACATGTTGGCCGCGGGAGTGATGCTCTGTTGTCGCGTGTCAACAGCGCGATCGCATGGTGCATGTTGAAAATTCACAGCCTTGCAGGGCATAAGTATAGCCTCGTCGGAGTTGCGGCGGATTCAAATGACCGACTGACGCAATGCCGGCGATCAGTCGTGTGGATTTCTAAGATCTGCGGAGGACTGCATAGGCCACGAACCCACCGACTATCCTCATCATTCTTGACAGCTTGAAGAACTCTGTTGTGTCGGCAAGTATGGGCAGTCTGGGCATACCATCGTTCCAGGTACGCGCATACACAGGTCATAATCGTAGAGTGACTGACAGAACATTCTCAGACCACTTTCGCAGTCCCCCTACACTGCGACAGCTGCGTCCAGTCTGTGACACAGGCACTCAACCAACTAGATGGCATAGACAAGGTTGAAGCCAACTTGAAAGACCAGCTAGTCCTGATCGAAGGTACAGCAGCCCCCTCCGCCATCGTTTCCGCCATCGAATCTACGGGCCGGGACGCGATCCTGCGTGGGAGTGGCTCCTCCAGTACAGCCGGCGTTTGTATCTTGGAAACACATTCGGCCACGGTTAGCGACCCTGTCCGGGGTCTAGCACGAATGGTACAGGTGGGTGAAAACAAGACTCTGGTCGACTTGACATTAAAAGGAGTCTCACCTGGGACATATTATGCCACAGTGCGCGAGCGAGGCGACATCTCCCAAGGTGCTGTTTCAACGGGTGGAATTTGGGAAGCAATCAAAAAAATAGGCGGCTTCGACCAAGCTGCGCGACAAGCACAACCGCGAGGTGTGTTCGGCAGCGTTCGGGTAGGTCAAGACGGGCGTGGCAATAATTTCCTCGACAGACCAGTGGCTATCTGGGAGCTCATCGGCAGAGGCATGGTGGTGTCGAAGGAGATGGATGGGCCGTTCTTGAAAGACGACCCTGACACACTTGTGGGGGTCGTTGCCCGAAGTGCTGGTGTATGGGACAACGATAAAGTGGTCTGCTCGTGTTCAGGCAAGACTGTCTGGGAAGAGCGTAAGGAGCAACAAGCCCAGGGAATGCTATGATGAACCAACGGCGGCAACCAGACAAGCATTCGCTCCCCAAAATGCCGGCACCATGCGTCGCATCTGACCTAGAATGATCTGCACATGCAGCTGGTCCATCGACTCAGGCTGACTTTGGTGTAGGGAAACCCTACTCTACCCCTGAAAGATGCATCTGGGAGTGTTTGAGGAAGTCCAAAGCCGTGGCCTATGGTAGGCAGTGGTTCAGCGGGCCAATCCGTGGGAACAATGTTGAAACTGCCCTCTTACGTGTCACAGACGTTTCCTCGCATTGTAGCAGCTCGTTCGGGTTCCGTGGTTCCGGTTGTGCACATGTTATTGATGCATCCGATGACAAGCCTTGGAGCCATTGTCGAGTGATGCTGGTGCTACTAGTGGTGCTACTACTAGTGGTCTGCATCTGTTCACACCATGGCGGTGACAGCAGTGCGACTAGCTCTATTGTCACCAAGGTTGGCCTATCCCAGACCAGAGAGGGGATCGGTGCAGCCGTACCACTAGCCTGGAACACAACACCGATCAGTCGATGGCCCCCTGAACCATGCACCAGCCGCCCCGAACAAGACCTTAATTCTCTGGTGTGAGGCAGCTTTGGACTCGCCAATGGAGCCGAAACAACCCCACCTAACGTGAGTATCGATACGCGTGCGCGGGCCCGGGGCCATCAGGGCACCACCCCCCTCTCTCGTCCCTTCACCTGCCTCCCTTCCGATCACAAAACTCAGCTGCATTCCCCTTGCTTTTCTTCCGCCAGAGATCAAGACGACATAATCGTTGCCCTCAACCTTCATTCTTAGCAAGGGCTGGTTCTCCCACATTCACTTCTACATTGACTTGTAATATTGCTGCCGCTGGCACCCATTCAATTCTAGTGTTCTTGAATTTCTGACCCCAAGGCCGCATCTCCAAGCGCCGGCCAATCGCTGCAGTTTCTCCGCCAACAGCACATTGGCGCCTCTGCACCAGACCTCGACTTTCACCTCTGCAGGCGCTTATGTCCCTTGGATCTCTAGCACCAAGACGACTCTCGCTTTAACAAGGGTCGGCCCACGCCAGACTCTGCGATACCAGTCAATCTTATTTTCTGGTTCACCCTGCTGCATCACACCACGGTCCTAGCCAACCATCTAGGTCCACCAAGCCTGCGCCTACGCTTTTCGTCTCATATATCCCCGACCCCGGCTCGCGTCTGCACTCCGAAACGTCTTACTTGTGGCACCAGTCCTGTTTGCGAGGGTGCACTTACTTCTTTCTACGCAGCCTGCTGGCCTACAGTAGTGTCATTCTCCTGCAAGCCGCCGCCTCTTTCCTATACTGACACGGCAACTCAAGCCGCAATGTCGTTGAAGCAGGTGAGCTCGCAACACCTTTATGCTATCCACGGCCCATGCTGACCGCTTGACAGGAAATCGAGACCTGGGTGCAGGCACTCAGTCACTACGACCAAACCGAGTACGAAGAATCCTTGAGGGTCTTCGACAACATTGCAGACACCTCCCGAATATTGTTTAATTGCGGCGTTATTCATGCCACCATCGGCGAGCATGAGAAAGCCGTGGAGTGTTATCAAAGAGCGATCAAGCTAGATCAATACCTTGCTGTTGCATACTTTCAACAGGGTGTCTCGAACTTTCTTCTGGGCGACTTCGAAGAAGCTCTCGCCAACTTCAACGACACATTACTCTACTTACGCGGAAACACATACATTGACTATGATCAGCTGGGGCTTAAGTTCAAGCTATATTCTTGCGAAGTCCTTTTCAACCGTGGTCTGTGCTATATCTACTTGCAGCAAGAGGAACCTGGACTGCAGGACTTTGGCTATGCCAGGAAAGAGAAGATGACCCCGGACCACGATGTGATTGACGATGCTATCAAAGAGAAAGCAGAAGTGAGACTATCTGACCGTTCAACGTAGATGCTTGCTGACATCTATACAGGGCTACACGGTTTTCAGTATCCCAGTAGGGGTTGTGTACAGGCCCAACGAAGCTAAGGTCAAGAATTTGAAAACCAAGGACTACCTTGGCAAAGCCCGTTTGGTGGCGACCGCTGATAGTGCCAACACTGGTGTCGGGTTTGCCGGTGCTGAGCGAGCGCAGGCACTGCAAAAGGCAGATGCAGCCAAGGATGATCGACCCGCAGAGAATATCAGCTACGCTGCCACAAATCTTGTCCAGAGAAGTCTTACAAGTCGAGTAGCTCGCGAGTCCAGTGCGCCACCTGTCATGGGCCGCAACGTCTTTCCACCCACACCACCACCCGAGGCCGAGAAGCCTCGCAGTGGCAGTCGCAACAGTGGTGGAGCTCCCTCCAACCAGAACAATCTGCCTATGCGATCGGCGTCCATGCGCAACCCTCCCAGTAACATGATGCCGCCACCGCCACGAGGTCAGGGTGAGCCCAGGCCAGGCATGCTTAGTCGATCCCAAACGTTTGACAACAACGGAGGCTACGCCCGCCGGTCGGGCGAGCCTAATATGCCCTCGCCCAGAGCTAGCTATGGAGAGCCCCAGTACATGGAACGACCAAGAATGGGGACTGTCCGCGGAGCTTCGGAACCACGAGGGGCGCGACAGCCATACCCTTCTCGATCGATGTCAACCAGAGCACCGGCACCTGCGCCACTTTTTCGCGAGCAGCCTCGAGCACGCTTCGAACGAGATCAAACCCATGACACAGTCGATGATGTGTATGGGCTTTATGCTCAGTCTCGGTCGAGAGACATTTACGGCGGACCCCGGGGTTCGCAGGCGCAAGGTAGCCCGTATATGCTTGACGAGGTTGACGAAGATGATTACGTTGATGATACAGAAGTCGGACCAGAGGATATGGCCGGATTCGAACCCGTTTTCAATAACCGATCGCCACCTCAATCTCGCATGCAGCCTGCGATGTCGGTCCGGCAGAAACGGGTGGAGATGCGGAAAATCCGTTGCAAAGTCCACGCAAATGAAGACACTCGTTACATCATAATGCAGGCCGATGGACTCGTGGATTTTGGTGAATTTGAAAGCAAGATCCGCGAGAAGTTTGCTGTCAAGAGTGCTCTCAAGATCAAGATGCGAGACATAGAGGATGGAGACATGATTACCATGGGCGATCAGGATGATCTCGACATGCTTCTGCAGCACGTGAGAAGCCAAGCCAAGATGGAGAAGAGTGAAATGGGGAAGATGGAGGTTTGGATTAAGTATTAGGGGCCGACATTTCTACAACTTTGATCTGCAAGGATCTTTTCAACATTTTAATATTGAGCGTGGCGCTGGACAAGACTGGACGGGAACATATGGTACATGAGAATCTACAAGAGAGGGGGAATTTGAACATCTCGGGGACACCCACACGCTGCATGAGCGTATCTACTCGGCACCCGCATAAAGTGCGCAGAGACAGAGAACATTGGCTCCTGTGTTAGGTAAACAATGAACGATTGATATGACTATACTAAGTACAAGAAACTCCTCGTCTGATGTGTTTACGTTGTGGCCGGGCCCGCCATATGCTCGGCACTCGGATCTGGCCTCTTCAGAGGATCCCAACAGTACACTGCGTCCTGAAACAGCCTGTGACATTACAGTTGTTGCCCAAGAGTCGTTGAGGAATGTGAGGCTGAGGTGTGGATGGAGCGGTCTCAGATGAATAGCCGGCGTGAGAATGGGAACATGATTCCACCAAGGATTTCCCCTTTGTCCATAAGACTCAGCAGAGTATGATCTCGGAGGCTAAGATCTGATCTACATCGGCGATGGATCGTGCCTTCCCCGCAGAGCGCACCCTTGCTGCTTCTGATTTATGTGATGTCACAGCCACATACGAACAGCCACAAACAGGTTTGCAGCAGCAATGACGGCTGCTTGAGGCGGGAGTAACGGGGACCTCGTTGTTCGTGACCATATAAGGATGAGCCTATCGTTGGGGTTATAGATTGTGCTTGGAGTGTCGTAGTCGAAGCAGTCAAAGCGATCCGGCACACAACCAGATTCCAGACCTGCAGCACAAGACATATATCGGAACAATCACACAATGCCCAACACACGATGTACGTCTGCTCTCCCATGGTTGCAGCTGCAGCCATGCACCGCCACACGCAAGCAAAACTACTGACGTACCATCACCACAGCGGGCACTCAAGCCACGACAGAGAAGACGGATTCTCTTGAAAAGGCCGAGGCAGCCAAGGAGAAACAATCAGGTCCATCCGCAACCGAGGGAATGGTTGGCGGAGACGAGCTAGACAAAGCCATAGGCGACAAGGGCGGGAAGGGCGTCAACCCTGAGGTGACAAGTGCAGAAGACGACCCGCTGGAAGAGGCCGAGGCTACGAAGGAGAAATAGAATGCAGCCTCTCTGGATTGCTTGCAAAATGAATCTGCAGACCCTTGTCTTGACAATGTCTCAGTGTTGTAACACAAAATATCAGGCAGTGAATGAACAAACATTTGACTCCACAAGTAAAGCTTGGCGAGTTGGTACCTCGAATTCGGACCTGATGCGCAGCAATCATTTGACTCCCTCGGACGAATCTAGCTCTGCAGTGAATCGGTGTTACTGCCTTCCTCTCGGTATATCATGACAGCTTCTCTGGCCACGCCTCTGCGGCGCATCACTTCGGCTCCAAGATCATCACTATTCACAGCATGTCGACCCTCAACCCGCAGCTTCACGAAAAGTGGTCTGCTCCGACAGCAACCACACTCGAATGTCGCCCAGCGAATGTACGCCGATAATGCAAAGAAGAATCAGACAGCAATGATTTATGGCATAAGCGTCTGTGTAGGGACTCTTGCTCTTGCCTATGGTTCCGTGCCACTGTACAAAATGATCTGTCAACAAACTGGTTGGTCTGGTCAGCCTGTTAAGGCTCACGACAACGGTGGAGACCCGGCTGAACGACTGCGACCCGTCGAGAACCACAAAAGACTCAGGATCAAGTTCAATGGCTCGGTATCAGATGTCATGCCCTGGAAATTCACACCTCAGCAGCGCGAAGTTCGCGTGCTGCCTGGGGAGACTGCGTTGGCTTTCTACACCGCGACGAATAAGAGCGAAGCAGACATCATCGGCGTTGCAACATATTCGGTCACCCCCGCTCAAGTCGCTCCGTACTTCAGCAAGATTCAATGCTTCTGCTTCGAAGAACAAAAGCTCAACGCAGGCGAGACCGTCGATATGCCCGTCTTTTTCTTCATCGATCCCGACTTTGTTAATGACCCGGCGATGCGCGGCATTGAGACAATAACGTTGAGCTACACGTTCTTTAAGGCGAGGTACGACAAGAATGGGGTGTTGACTACAATACCGCTCCCACAGGGCATGTAAAGTTATGGATGAGGCTCATCTTCTCTCCTTCAACCACGCCACAACAGCCTCCGTTGACTTGTCCGGCGGGAAGACGGGATACCAGACTTTCAAGATCTGGCTGTTCTCGATCGCCAGAGTCACCCGCTTGAGGAGCTTCCCGTCATCCCAGTCAAATGTCGGCAGGAGTAGCGCTTGCTGCAGCCTAAGATCCTCGTCGCTCAGTAGGTCATATGGTAGATGCAACCGCTCGTGCACTTCAGCCTGATACGACGGCGACTGAGTCGAAACACCAAAGACTTGCGAGACCCCCAAGCGCTTAATCTCGGAAAAGGAATCACGGAAAGAGCAGGCCTGAGGCGTGCAGCCGCGGGCGCCGGGTATAGCGTTCCAACTGTCAGGGACAGTCTCTCCTGGGGCAGCTTGACGTGTTAGAACTCGGAAGGCGACGATTCTGGACAGCCTACCAGTTCGAGGGTAGCAGAACGCAATCGTGAGGCCTGGTTGCTTGGACAGATTGACCGTCTTGGTTGGGTCCTTTGCAATCATGAGCGATAGATCTGGCATCGCGGCGCCGGTCAGATGTTTGCAGGCTCCATCGTCTTCGGGGACCGGCAGGTCGCCTGGGTAAGTCTGATCTACGGCGGCCGTCAGCATATCAGTGACTCTCAGACGTTGCGCGGGACCTAGTCTTACGGGCCATACTCGTTCTTTTGATGAAGAAGTGCTACCCGTCTGAGATGCGGGAGTGAGCAGCGGGTCGACTAGGAACTACGTTCTTGATTTGAGACTCGACTGGCCTCCCACCTTGGCGAGTGTAAGGTATTCAGAGGAGGTTACCAGACACGAAAGCCCGTCTTGGCGATGTCTTTGCTCGCTGTATATATGTATCACCACTGTAAATTCTGAATAGGCAGCGTCACTTCTTCGGCATTCTCTGTTGGCGTCATTCTCCCCGGTCCCGCGAGGGGTTCTAGAACTCTCCCACCAGCTTTCTCCAAATCGCTCCTTATTGGCTGAAATGCACGTCCTGGTCAGCTTCGTCTGCTGTCTGCATAACATAATGAAGCGCTTCGATTCTCATCCAACACTTCCATCGTAAAACGCAGCTCTGCATAGACAGCCCCCATCATCCCCCGCCAATACAGCAGAGCTGCACACGGCATTGTATTGCGTTCTACAGCGAAGGCCTTGCTGCCCGTGGTAAGTCTACAAAAGCAGTATCCGGTCAGGTGCACATGCAGTAGCCCTGAACGAGGATACAAATTTGCTGGGACTCAAGCCTTGCGACTTTTTGTCAGGCAACCAAGGCAAACAGGGCGTCTATTGGTAAGGACAGACTTAGTCTCGCGCAGGAGGATGATAGGCGGCTGAGCCTTCACTTGTCGATTGCGGCGGCTACAGAGCACGAATAGCCCTGCACAGAGATGGGGCAGCTGGCAGAACGCTTTGGGCTTTGCGAAGCCGGTCACTCGCACTTACACTGGCAGGGTCTAGATAAAACGCTTTCGAGGCCCGGCTGGCGATGCAGCAGCGTGTACGCGAGGCACGGCGAGGGCAGTGGTCAGCGCTGTTCAACCGCGATGCGATCACTTGCACGGGTGTGCTTGAATCAAAGGCACTTGCTGTTTTTTTGACTGCCTGCTGAGGCAAAGTCGTATCATCATTGGGTGGATCAAGCTGTTTATACACCACGACGAAGTGTGTTCTAGATTTGACCCACTGGCAAACCGCAAGCCGTGGCCAATTCCCGTGTCATCTCCACGGTGATCGAACCACAGATCAAGACTGATGCATGTACTGCAGCTTCCCGCGTTGGACTGACATTCCTGATTGCAGAAAGCCAATCGATCCACACTTCCACCGCGCCCCTGTAGCATATCTCAGCTTACAGCGCGAAAGCGGCGGCAGCAGCAACGGCGCCGGCCAGGAGACCCATGCCTGTCCGGACGCCGGCGGCGCCAGAGTCACCGGTGGACGAGGCTTCCGCGCCCGTGGCGGTGCTGCTAGAAGAGCCGCTCGAGGTGGCCGACGAGCTGTCTGAGGAGTTGGCGCTGCTCTCAAGGGCACCGAAAGTGCCGCCAACGACAGTATCGTCTGAAGGTGACGAAGAGGTGGTGTCCGCGGCCGCGGACTTGTACGCGTCGATTGTGTTTTGTTCGCTGCGAGGGCGTGCATTAGCTTTCCGTACTGGTGAGGCCAAAAGTCGGTAAGGGGGGAGGATACTCACGTAGGGTTGATGGCTAGAGCCATGCCTCCCTGGCAGTGCCGGCCCACGCTGCAGAAGAACCACATGGGGTCTGTGCTGTTGACCTCGAAGGAGAAGACGTCGCCGTCAGAGGGCGAAGAGCCAGAGTAGATGCCGCCTTCCATTGCTTGACAAGGGTCGGCGAAAGTGGATTGGGCAATGTCGTGGCCGGCGCCGAAGGTTACGGCGATGACGTCGCCTTCGGCAACATCGCTGATGGAGTCGGGGTTGAAGGTGAGGCCGGGGCCGACTTGGACCTCGTGGGTTGCTGAGAGGACGGTGGTGGCGAAGAGGAGGGTAGAGGCTGCCAGAGCGTACTGCATATTGAATGTGCTTGGGTGGATGTTGGTGCGTTGGTGAGCTGGTGAAAAGAAGTGTATTACTTTAACGTCGTCGAGACGGGTAAAGGCAATTGAAAGGTGGTTGGAGGTGGTTGCAAATAGGAGTTCGAGAGCTGGGCTGGAGAAAGGGTCTCGAGAAACACGAGGAACAACGCCTTGCTTTATAGCACCTGAACCTAGCTCGTATTTACTCCTGAAGGGTGTCCCTCAGCTATACTTGGAGCCAAGAAGGGGCTGTCGCCCCCCTCCGGGCGTCCCTGGCAGGTCTGACTGCTTGAAACGCGCGTTTGGATTCGGCAAGTAAGCCAGTGGACAGGATCTGGTCAGCGCAGAAAGGCAGCGACTCGTTGCACAAGCAAGTTGGCACACACTTGCAAGGCCCAGAGCCATGGAAAGCGTGAGACAGCGTAGCCGTTTGAGCATGGGTTCTCGGATAGAGTTCTGACCAATGACGGCGGTGGAAATTAGCCCAAGCATTTCACCTTGCCAGGGGTCGAGAAAGGGGAAAAGAACGATGGCTACCCTGTCATAAGGCCCCTCAAACGTCAGGTGTCGCCGTTTCGCGGGACCCTGAGCGAAGTGCTGTACACCATGCCTCCTGGGGAACCCTGAAACCCCAGACCATAAGTGGTGCCTTGAAGATCCGAGCCGCCGATCCGGCCTGCTGTCCCGGAGAACGAATCCGAAACACTCGCTAGCAGCTAAGGGGTGGCTTTGACTTCGGATAGGGCGGTAGCAGCTGCTGTGAATGTGCTGAGAAGTGTGACTTGGACTAATGACATGCTGCAGTATGACCAACGATCTGGGTATTGGTTCTCTATGCGCGAAGCTGTACCTTGCGCCGGGATGGCGTGTGCGACCATCGTTCAGCAACCGTAGCAGACAGATGCGGACCGAATAAGCCGCTGGACTACAGATCGTGCTGCTGTGCTGTGTGCAGAAGCGACTGAATGTTGCTCAACACGTGTCTGTGTGCCCTGGGCCGCAAGGTGGCTGTGCATAGCCCGCCCAGACAGTGCATGTGGTTGCGAACCAGACCCTTGAAGTACAGCTACCAAGTCTCGCCTAGAACTCATTCGCCATCCCTTTCAATTTCTCTGGAGTCTTAAAACGGTTGAATGCCGCTCACAAATGGAGATTAACATTTGCAGTACGCCTAGATTTAGACGCCTGCAGCTGGAACGACCATGGGAGCAGACACCCCCTCCTCCGGTGGGAGGGAGTTTGTCTCTCCAACAGAGGTCGTGACATGGGTGCTCACTATCTGTTGCGTATGAGATGAGAGCCATCCCAATGTGAAGTCGTTCATGCTTAGCTGGTTCGCATTTCGACACTTATCGTGAGGCTATGGCGCGCACTGGCATCTGCCACCATAGGTGCTTGGCACATAGCTCTTTTGCCGGTGGCTCACGTGCGAAATCTACGCCGGTGTCACCAGCGTTGCTGATGATCAAGTTTATCCCAACACCGCCTATCCAACCCCAACATCTGAGGATGCTCAGCCGCCGCACCTCCAAACGTCCTACGTGCCTGGCTTGAGTGGTACGAGCAATGCGACCCAGATCAATGCCTTGCTTACGTAATCAGAGCACATATGTATCCTCTCACAGTCGTGGAGATCCTTCAACTTTATCTCTTGGCCGTGGTCACTGATTCAAACCGTGCTCTGCGATGCTCGTGGAATAGTCGCCGTTCGAGGGAAAATGATACCTAGAAAAATGGTCTCGCAACATCTTCGCCGTATCGTACAAGCCTTGACGGGCGGCTGTCCACGCTACAGTTTCTCTGTGGCTTTTTCAATTCGAGTCAGGTCTGTCAGCAAGCCTTTTGCGCCGACTGCGTCGATCGTGTGCTGCGATGCTCTAAAAGCTATGCCAAAGTGCCGAAAGTTGCTCTTCCAGACTTGATAGACAATGACAGTTACATTTACTAGCAGTCAGGCGCATGTTGTAGAGGCTGTAACGTTCGATGGCCCGCAGCGATACCCTCTGCCGGATCCGCAGAGAGACAAAGAGCCACGTACAGTTGAGAAGCAGTCAACATACTGGTGTGCTTTGCGGTCGGCTCTTCCCGTCATTCACTGCCTGAAAGTGGAGCTTGCAGAACTCTATCCTAGAAGGTGAGATGCAAGCCCTCCAAGGTCGATACCAGAGCATCTGTTGCTCTTGTAAGACGCTCAGGCACCCGGGCGTGAAGCGATACACGGGTCTGAACTAGGTCATATTTCGCAGTTCTCGCCGTGCACGTTTCTGCCCCACAGCAGGCAACCTGATGGCCAGAAACCTTGTTTCGTGCTGACGCCGGAACCTGCCTGTGTGAAGATGCTAATTCGTGTATTGGAAGCTGTTGGCTATTTGGAACAGCAGTGGGAGTTTTCAGGGCATAGCCACGACTTTGCGTTGATGGCGAGGGGCTGAATAGGGGAGATATGAGGCAGTGAAAAATGCGCTAGGCCATTTTCGGAAGTAATCGTGCGAAAGCATTTTCGTTCAATGCTGGAAGGTAGCTTGGTGGAGAGAAGCCTTCGAGAGGGTCCGATCACGTCCATAGTAAAGCTGAGAGTTCTTAGCCGTGTTCTCTAGGCCGTGGTAGGATCCCACTTGTTGTGTTGCGGGAACTTGCTGCTCAAGCTGGGGTTAGCCTCGCAATCCGGGAGATGCTGGGGACACTTGTCCTGCGCGAGAACGTTTCCGAATACGCACATAGCGCTAGCTTGGCTTGGCTAACATGAACGTCGATGGCTGTGGGATTATGGCTGAGCAAAGAAAACAAGGCAAGCGGACTTGACCTAAGGACAGATCGACGGCAGCTACACGCCATGGCATTCAGCCGGGCGCGCGCAAGGCACGATCCTGCAAACCCATCGATCGCTTGACGCGTGATGTCTCCCACAAGCGATTCGAAACAAGGCAAGCCGCGTAGATCCAGCCCATCTATTTGATCGAAGTACCAAGTACATTCTTGCCGCAAGCACCGAGTTTGCCCTATAGTCCTGGGCATTGGCTTGGCGCTCGGAAAAGCCGCCTAGGTGATTGGCCGCAGCGATGGATGCCTTCCAACATCCCAGATGCAAAGTCCGCACCTGGGGCGTGGTAGTGGATCGTGGATCTCCACACACACACATCAGCCAAGGGAGATGTAGCTGTAGAAGAGAGCGCGTCACATCGACTAGTGGCTAGTTGGGCTCGAAGAAAACGTACACAGTGGAAAGACTGCCGTCTTGCCCGAGTGCGTGCCGCCATGGAGCTCGGAACATGTCCAAATGTGATTGGTGTTGCGCGGTTCCAGAGGTCGATCATGAACTTCAGATGGTCAGGGAAGATGGGTGCAACATTGCGATGACAAGGCTTAGGGATGGATGCATATAAACCTACACGCAGGTCCCGACAATGCGAGGTTCCTATAGCAAACCCGTCCCATAATCGCCAGTCACAATGTTGTTTCAGAATATCGTGCTCGGTGCCTTGAGCCTGTGCGGCTACGTTGCATCAGCAAGTCCGCTCGAATTGCAGAACGGCCACACGCCTACGGTCAACCATCTGGACCGCCGTAATTCCGCTGAAGTCTCCTCGCAGCTCGAAGGTCTTCGTGTGCAGTACTCCCTGCCCGCCCTCGCGATCAGCTTCAACGACGGCACCGGTCTCAACCAAGCACATACCGGCGTACGCAAGCTCGGGGATCGAACGAACGTCACGGCCGACGACGCTTGGCCACTCGGCTCCAACACAAAAGCCATGACCGCTACCATCGTCGCACTGCTGATCCAAGATGGGCTGCTAGCCTGGAATACCACATTGGATGAAATCTTCGCCTCTGCCAATCTCACCATTCAGGATGCGTTCGTCAATGTGACTATTGGCGAACTTGCGACGCATCGTAGCGGCATCACCGGCACATTTGGCGTCGACAATCCGCCCCTGCTACCGTCACAGATGCTCGAGCTGTACGAAATGAATGCCACCTTGGGCCGTGCAGTTGCCGTGTCAACAGTCCTACTACTCCCGACCCTTGGCGAAAGAGGGTCGTATCAATACTCGAACAATAACTACATCATTCTTGGATTTGTGATCGATGTCGTCACCGGAGAAGCAGCTGAAGATGTCATCAGCAAGCGTCTGTGGGAGCCACTGGAGATGCAGTCGGCAGGCTGGGGTGCTGTCTCGGAGTCAAATGCTACGTCGGTAGAGAACCCATGGCCGCATCTATTGAACCTGACGACGGCGGAGCCTTATGCGTACCACCCAGAGTGGCCTGTCGTGTTCAGGGACCTTGCCCCGTACATGGATACCGCGGGGGTGGCACATATGAGCCTCGCAGATTATGACAAATGGCTGCGGCTCCATGTCGACGAGGATGCGCAGCAAGCAGTGGGCCTCGAGGCGGTGCAGCTGGAAATGCTCCACACGGCCTATCATGGAGAGGACGATGAAGAGGAGGCGGAAGGGTACACCTATGGAGGCTGGATTCGCGTAGTCGAGGGATGCCCAGGCGCGGAAGACAATGGCTTTTGCCTGGTCCACACAGGCAGCAATACCATGTATGTGACCTATGCATGTATTGACACCGGCGATCGGATAACGGCATCCGCCATGACAAACGCGCCATATGCCGGTGGCGGAATTAATGGGACGACAATGGCTGCGGTCATGGTCCTCAACGGCACAATTACGCTGTAGTTGGTACAACTCTTTCTACCCACAATTCGAACGCCTTTATTCAGCTGGCGGCCAATCAACCGTCATTTTATTGACCTCGAACTTTGGCTCGCCCATTGTGGGAGTCTCGATAGCGTAGCCTTTGCGCAGCAGTTGGACCTCGACCTGGCGGTACTCAGGGTCCCGGAAGAGAGCGAATGACAAGGTGTATCGCGCGTGGCTGGGAAAAGTCTTCGAGAGCAGCTCAGGATCCTCAGGCATGGGTTCGTCAGCGTTGTAAGAGTAGCCAGCCTCCTCCTCTTCGACCTGCATCCGCCTTAGCGTAAGTAACTTGACCAGCCTCGCGTCCCAATGCCCCTCTACTCCACATTTGTTCAGGACCTGTAAACAGCGTCTCCGTAGATCAGGGTGCCGACAAAAGCAGCCAATGACGAAGAGGGGTTGAATGATGCCTATGTCCAGTGTGATCTTAGGCGACGTTGATACGAGCTCCTCACAAATGGTGATCATGGTGGAGAACTGTGGCAGTAGAACATCAAACACCGCCTCATTGCCGATATCGAGGGCAGTTTTCGTGACGACTGTGAGGTAAGAATGCATCAATCGACATGCAGAGTATCGAGAATGCGCTTCCGAATGACCAGAGGACGGTCCCAACGCTTTCAAGGGTCTGAGCGCACTTTTGTCAAAGATGTGCTTCCAGTGTCTGAGTTCACATAGTAGGCGTTCTTGCTCCAAGATGGCTTCAGGGGATTTTGTGTTGCTCCAGAACGCATTGCTCCCCGGATCTGTATGGGAGGAAGTGAATTGGTAGAAGCTGTTGTGGAGGATCAATAGGAACCTCTCGGCATCCTCTAGACCGTCAAAAGCTTCGAGTAGACTTAGCCCACGTGGTGAAGAGGGGTTGTCAACCAGTTCAAAATGAGGCTTGGAACTCCCAAAATTGACGGACTGGATATCGAGGGATGCAAATTCGAGCGCGAGCTGATCGAGCGTACTGACAGGTTGAGCTTTGATGGACAAGCTTGTGGTCGCTCCTGGGCGGGATGATTGGAGGATGTGGCGGCCATTTTGAAGGTGAATGAGTGCTTCCCGATAGCGACCCTGCAGGAGATCGCAGCCGAGGAGAATCAAACACCCGATGAGCACGTATTCTGCATGTTGCTTTCGATGATCGAGCAAGTGCCTGCGAAGGAGCTGGACAGCTTTGTAGTAATGGCTGGTGACAAGAGCATGATTGTCGTGGTCGACCCGGGAAACCACGCCTTGAATCTGCTCTGTGCGAGCCTTGTGAGCAGCCGTCAGGGCCAGCAGCGCATGAAGAATAGCAGGCTCCTGTTCAGCGCTGGCCAAAACCGTACACGTCCAGAACTTATTGCGAGCTGAGAGTTCGTGCACGGTGCTCCGCCGGCAGAAGTCGTAGGCAATGTGGTCAACCTCGTCCAATTCCACCATACGCCTCAGAGTTCGGTAGAAGATAACACTGTCAACTGGTCGTAGCTGTTTGGACAAGGCCTCGCTGTTCCTCACCACTCGCTGTTCGCAGAGAGGCACGAAGATCGAATAGCCTTCGCATTTGAATCTGGCTCGAGCACACCTCAAGCAAGCAGGTTTCGTTTCGTCGCATTTCAGCTTGCGCACTTTGCACGTGCGACAACCAGTGCGGACCTTTTTGTACGGCATGAAATTCTGATCAATGTGGTACGGGTGGCAGAAAGACAGGCAGCAACGATTCGGCAAGTAGGAAGCGTTCTTTCCCCCTGATTGGTCCGCTGATGATGCTTGACCCGCATCTACGTTAAGGTAGGTAGCTATAAGTACCTGACAGTATGCCATTAGAACATCCCACCTTCACTTCTTCTGCTGCATCAGCCAGCGCGCAGCATGTCAGAGGTACCTATATGGTGCCCATCCACCTAGGGTCCAAATCCAGTGAACCTTTCCGACCTCTTACCCTTCTCGACGATGTTGCCGAGGGTATACTCTCGAAGATCCTGGACTATCGTTGGGCTACACGTACTCTACCTTCGCGTGCTGATGACCATGGCACTGAGTTACAGCTGTGACTGTCACCTCAGCTTGCCAGGTTCTGTCCTGTAGGAGTCGTTCCTCGAGGCCGCAAGGCTGTGTGCCACCCCCATGAACATGTGCTTCTGCTCCGCCTTGATCAGTCTGCCTCTCCTCCAAGCGGCTGTATGTTCTCGTGAGCATTTCAACTGCGGTCATCCATGCTGGGTCATTGGCGGGTCGTCAGATCTGGAGGTCGGTCCTCGAGTCGTAGCAGCAAAGCCTCGGCTCCCATGAGCGATGGACGTAAAGCACGCCCTGTCGAGCCAACGAGGCTGATTCTCGCAATCTCCAAGCGATCCTCGGGCTATTCACACGCCTGCGTAGTTTCCGAGCGCATGCAGAGATCTTAAAGTCTTGACATCAGGCGACAGGCGGCTTCTGTCCATACACAATATAACTTTACTTGGATCAGCATTCCATAACCAGTTTCACGATGCAAAAACTTACAAATGGTAGTAGCTGTGGATGTGCCTATCCTTAGCTTCTTTCCTTACCTCGGTGAGGAAGACTTCGACTTCTTCCCGGGTCCAACCCAGGGCGCGCGTAAATAGCATCGTCGTGAGTCCCGAGATGCCATCTGTCATATTGACCGTCTCGAACAGACCGCATCTCTTCAATCTGGGGTCTTTAGGCCAGCTCCCCACAGGGAGCTTGAGTATGTGCTGTTCAACATTCACAAAGCCTGCTTCCAGCATTTGCTGCTTCAAGAACTGTGGTGCCCTTGCATCAGTGCCGAAATTGACGCCTGGCAGCTTTGAATCAGTGAACAGACCAACAGAACGGTTAAGGGCACTCACTGGCATCGAAGAAATTTTTGCCCCACTTGTACAAGGCATGGTCCTCTGACAGAGTGCCATCGTCACTGAGGAACCAAGGATGCTTCTCGTGGAATTCGCACCAGCCGCCGGGTTTCACAAAACTAGAGATTGATAAGCCTTGGTCCGCTTCGTGGATGACAGTGCTTACTCGAAGCATTGTCTGACGAGCTTCGGCCAGTTTCGTATTGCACAGACGAAGTTGCGGTTGTGGATATAGTCGAAGGCGCTAGGTTCCCAGGTCCAATCGGCCTCCGCATCATCAATCTCAAACCTCAGATTGGGCGGCAGCCAGTTTGGCTGGATGGCGCTTAGATCAGTACCGATTACTTCAGCGCTTGGAAACGTATCGGCGAAGTCAATGGCCCAGATGCCGGTCCCCGTTCCCAGGTCGAGCACTTTCTGTACATCGGATCGTAACGGGGCCCAAAAGAGTCGATCGCCTATCAAATGAGACATCATGGCATGTTGCATATCTAGACGATCCGCCTCATCCTCATCGTTTGGAAATGCATACTCTGCACCGAGTCAGTCGAAGTCAACGACGGCCTGTTAGACTTGCGCGCTCTGCCATACGAATGATATCTCCGGCCATTCTCCCAGACACCTTTCGTGATTGCGGAGGCCAATGAGGTCAAGTCACTATGGCTGGATAATGTGTCAACAGACGCAAGGATGTCGTAGGTGTAGATGGAGAGGGGTACATTGAATCGCCGTAGGCGGAGTCGCTGTCACCACTAGACTGCGAATGTAAGTAGGAGCCAATGCTGACTGATATAGTCCAGACACGAACCTCGGCTTCTAATCGCTCGTCGAGACCTGGAACTACAATGTGCGACACATCAGGTGGGTGATTACTTCCGGTGGGAGAGGTGCTCTGTCGTTGCGAGCCAGAATCAATTGCTGGAGCATGCGCTCCAGATGTTTCCATCTCGATCAGAATCTAAGTCGAGGAAACACACGAACTTGGTGAAAACGGGAGCTGGCCTGCTTATGACCACTCGTGCGGCAAGTTCCATAGTTTTCAACATTCCATGGAAGTGGACCGGTCGATAGAGTTGCATTAGGGCCGGCCTAGAGTCGGTCGACATCCACTTTACTTTTAACGGCGTCATGTTCCTATCCGAAGCTCAAACCTGGCCGGGAGAGACGGTTTCAGCACGTAAGCACGAGTGGAGAGACACTGGGAATCCCACGTAACAAAAACCGGCTCGGACACATGCACGTTTCGTCGAATGAGGAGTCTCAGTCACGCAAACCCCAGAGAACAGAAACAAGGGCAACAAATCAAGACCAGAGGCAAATGCTGGTGGCTTTCAACCGGTGATCTGCTGGCGAGTAATGCTGCTAGAGTCAGTGGGATCTTGTCGTCGCACGAGAAGACAAAAGTCTCGAGGCCGAGAGAGTTCATAAGCCAAATCTTATGGGGAAAAGCGTCCCGTTCCCGGCTCCAGGTCGCCCGAGCCAAGTCGCAGCTTCCGAAAGTCAGACCTAGTTTACCCCTCCAAGTCTCTGGTCATGCAACTAGTATCTTGTCGGCATATTCATTGCCCCTCTTCTCAGTGCCACTTGGTTGCCAGCGAGCACAAATGTAATGTCGGTAGCTAACTGAGCAGGAAGCACTAGCGCGCGCCTTCCCGCGCTGCCGAAGCGTATATATCACTTCCCCTGGTGGGTAAACCCCACGCCCCGCTGCATCTTCCTTGAGATACGTCTACTTGAGTATCTGCCGTGTGACTTGACTCGCCTGTCCCTTGCTTTCCGGTACAGAAAGTCCATCCGTACAGGCCAACGCAGAAGGAAAGCCAATGGCTGACACAGCGAAACCACCCCATGTCCTCATCGTAGGCGCAGGTAAGTTGCTGATCCGCTGGGTACAAACTTTACACCCTCCCATCTGGCCGCGTCGCTGGTTTGCATCGAAAACATGTACACAGCCAGCTGACGAGGACCCTCAACAACAGGAATTGTGGGCCTCCTTATAGCACAGGGTCTGAAAAAGGTATTGGTCACACAGCTGACTGTAATAGAGCTAATTCGACGCCCTGTAGCACGGCATCTCTTTTGAAGTCTTTGAAGCCGAAGTATCGGAAACACATTATCGCCCCCGAGAATGGGGTTGCTCCGTCCAATGGGGCCTTCCGATGCTTCAGGACCTCTTTACCGCTGAGAAGTACAACCGCATTCACACAGCCACGGTAGACCCATATCACGTACCTGCAGACCCTGGTCATCTGCCCACCTTCAACGGTGCTACTGGGGAGCTCCTCAAGAACGTGCCCTTGTTGCGCATGTATCGAATTTCCCGGCGCAGGTTTCGTGCCTTTTGTGCAGAGGACATCAAAGTACAGTACAACAAGAAGCTAAAAGATGTCAGCTACTCTGATGATGGTACCTCAGTAACAGCTTTGTTTGAGGACGACTCACAGGCGACCGGCACCCTCATCATCGGCTCTGATGGTGCCCAGTCGCAAGTTCGTTACTCTGTCTTCGGTAGTGATGGTGGCCAGCCCCAACGCGTGCCTTTCTCTGCAGTCAATCTGCACGTCTGCTACAACGATGCCGAAAAGGCACTCTTCGTGAGGCAACACCATCCTATAATGCAGATGGGCATTCATCCCGACGGCTATTGGCTTTGGATATCCATCCAAGAAGTACCTGACCCCGAGAATCCTGCCACGTGGGTCTTTCAGCTGCAATCGACGTGGAACGCTGTCGAGGGCGAGGAGGTCGCAAGCCTGGAGAACCTGAAGCGAAGAGCAGCCACCTACGGGGAGCCTTTCCGCTCGGCAAATCTGTGGATCCCAGAAGGGACCCCCATCTATGAGAACAAGCTAAGCTACTGGGTACCGACCCCATGGGACACTCAGAACGGGCGTGTCCTCCTCGCTGGCGACGCGGCACATCCTATGACATTTCAGCGTGGCCAGGGACTCAATCACGGCATTGCAGATGCCAGAAGCTTCGTGGCGAAGCTGAAGGAGGCTGTTGATGGAAAGATGACTGTAGAACAGGCGGCAGCCGAGTATCAGGAGGAGATGGTCGAGCGAGCGGGGGACGAGGTCAAGACAAGTAAGGAGAACACCGAGATGCTGCACGACTGGGCACGCATGGCCGATAGTCCCATCATGCAGCGAGGTGGCTATGCCAAGGGACAAGAGCAGACTCCGGCACCACCCGTCGGGGCCAAGGCATGAGGTTCCGGGCAAGTGCCAACTGCCAACCTTCCACGGGGACTGCATAAATACGTACCATCTGTCCTGTGAAATAGTCCTGCATTATGCACTTGACTGGTTACACAGCTCCTGCAGTGGTTCTCGCTTCCCGCATCGACGGCCAGATAATGGCGCGGTCGACCAAATAGACTAGATATCGTGGACCTCCAGGATTCGCTCGTTTATATTCGCCTACGAAGCCGGTTCCGACATCGCGCGTAGCCCACAACCAGGATGTAGGTGACTTTGCAACAGAACAGTCGGTCAAGCCGTGGCCCGACTCAGACATGTGGTGATGTCGCGCGTAGGCAGGGACTTGGAAAACCGCCCACTTTCTCGGAACGCCTACACCCTCTACTGCCACGCATCGGGGTGTCCAGCCAGTGATCTCAAAAGTGCAAGCGACGCCCACCACTAACAGCAACCACCCCCTCCAAGCCACCGCAACAACCACGTCGAGACATGGCTGCCGCACGTTCCCCGTGCCATCTCGTGGGCTCCTTCCCCGCGTCGGACGCCAACACCGCCTTCACGAAATGCTGCAGCGCCCTCAAGGGTAAGCTCCGATCCGTGCCAGACGGCGAACCCGGTATGTTGTTCTCAGCCCTGATCCCCCATCCCCCTTCCCTCCTCCCTTCCCCTCGCCTGGATATAGCCCTCATATCGGCGGCCCCCTTTCCTGTAGATTCCTAACCCGCTCACCTCCCCCCAGGCTGGCGCTGGAACTTCACCATCGGCCTAGTGCAAAAGCTCGCAGTCGCCAACCCGGCCTTGGGTCCTATCTGGCGCGAGTATGATGCCAATTACGATCCAAAGCCCGTGCAGGACATGGCGGAAGAGCAGGTGTCGGCCCTGCTGCAGGCGATCCGGGAAACGGACTGGAGCATGGGGTACGACGCGGACGCCAAGGCCTCGTATGCGACGTTCGTGAAGCTGCGGGACGATGGCAAAATCGACCAGGGCGTCAAATTCCAGGTCTGCTTACCTGGGGTGTCGAGCTTTGCTATCTTCATCAAGCCGGCGTTTCAGTACCTAGTCGAGGATCTGGTCTACGAGGTGATGAGGAAGGAGGTGCGGGCAATTGTGGAGGGAATACCGGCTGAAGAATTGGCTGTGCAGTCCGACATTGCGAGCGACTATATCAAGTGCGAGGTGCAGCGACATCCGGAGTATCTGGAGGCACTGCGCGAGGATTTCCTTCCGCCGCAAGAAGACGCAATGGAGCGGTATTCGAAGCAGCACGCTGGTCTCCTGGATCTACTGCCGTCGGGCGCTGAAGCCGGGCTGCACATCTGCATGGGCAATATCAACAACAAGCCCATTCTGGCGCCGCAGACTATGGACGTGATGGTGAATCTGGTCAATAGCATCGCGGCCAAAACGAGCCGGAAGCTGCAGTGGGTGCATTTCGGTGTGCTGCCGGAGTGGCAGGACTCGAAGATGTATGAACCGCTGCAGCGTCTAGCGATCAAGGATGCGGCGGTATATCTTGGCTTGGTGTATCCTGATGACGCCGAGGGGGCCAAGAAGCGCAAGCAAAGTGCTGAGAAGGTCCTGTCGGATTTCGGGATATCGCCTCCTTGCGGGCTGGCAAGAACTTCAGAGGAGGGAGTTGAGTCAGTGTTTGGTATATTGACGGCATTGAGTGCCGCATCGTGATGGGCGGGCCTTTGATAAGACTCAACACGACTATTTCGGGCGACAGCTTGCAGGCGCACACCCGCGCGCTTTCAAGATGGCACAATCAGATAGCCTGGTGGGCTTGACAAGGCTCAGCGCAATTCCAGCCACCTACAAATGCCGGATGTGGGGTCGACGGGCAATTGAGGGCGTTTCCCAAATGGTCAACAGCAGCAGCGGTCCTGATCGCTGCGTGAGCGCTATGCAAGGCCGTTGCTTCTTGCGAGGTAAGCTGATGCAACAAGGGCGACTCTTCTTATTGGCCAGGCTCCGGTAAAGTAGACCTACCTTTTTGCTATAAGACTTGTCTCTGTTAATTTTTTGTCGCGGAGCCGTAGCACTTGACATGGATCATTAGCTGCACCCAATGACTGCTCAAGTACTGTGCAGTCGAATAGTGTTCAATTACTCCACGGTGGGATTTAGCCCTGTTGCGCTCAAGCTTGTTCTATCTGGCTTGGCACTTACCTCGGAACAGCATATAAAGCTCGATCATTCTGCTCCCTACTCACAAGTTCAAGAAGACGTCCCGAACTCGCGTGCCATCGATAACTGACATGGCGGACTCGACACACAGGGCCAGATTGACTCCATTGACTCTGCACACGTTTGCAACAGCACCGAATCCGGCCAAGATCGCCATTGCGTTGGAGCTGCTTCAGATTCCCTATCAAATCAAGATATGGGAATTCGGCGCTGATCCCGACAGAGGAGTGAAGTCGGCGAAATTTGCGCCGTTGAGTGAGAACGGAAGAGTTCCAGTCCTAGAAGATCCCAACACAGGCGTGACTGCATGGGAAAGCGGAGCGGTAATGAGTTACCTTCGTCGGCTGTATGACAAGGAGGACAGAATTCTTGGACTAGCAGGCAAGACTAGCGACGCAGTTGTATCGGAGCAAGATCGAGTCGATTTCGAGAAGTGGGAGCTGCTCCTGTTGACGACGGTTGGCCCAATGAGCGGGCAGTTGGTCTTCTTCACGTGAGTCTTGTTATAGCATCGAGACGCGTGCGCCATGTCTCTGACAATGCTTCTAGACACTACCATCCGACGCAGATCCCGGATGCGATCGAGAGGTACGCACAGCAGGTGTATCGCTGCTACGACCTGCTCGAAGGCCAGCTTGCCAAGTCAAAGGGCAGGAGCATCATACCCGGCGGAGTCACCGCCGTTGACCTTCATTGGATCGTGTGGACATCGCAGCCACATTTTCTTGGACTGTCCCTGGACCGATACCCGTTGATGCAGAAGTGGATTAGCAACATTGTCTCGATGAAAGAGGTGCAGAATGCTTTCAAGAAGATCCAGGAGGCAGCAATAGCAGCTGGCACAGCAAATATGGATGCAGACGGCAACATCAAAGGTGCAGACCAAAGCTTGCTGCGAGCTGTTAGAGAAGGCAATTGATATGCACAAATTCGAAAATGTCGAAGAGATGGAGATTGTCCGGTGCGAGTGAGGCCGAGGAGGCGGTTTATCAGACTCGACAGATTCCACATCTGTCGCGCGTTTGATTGGGCGTCACGTCGACCGCGTCTCATGTTCCATAGGCGTCTCCAGGATAACTTGCACCACCCGTACGTTATACCACCATTCCGGCGCCTGATCTTCCACTTTCAACTCCGTCCATGTACAATGACTACCGACGGTGACAATGTCGATTCATATGCTAGGAGTCATCTTACTAGCCAACAAGCCAGGTCAAAAGCCCGCCCAGCCCGGCTCTTGGCTGCTTGGCCTTTGCTCAGATCTTGACCGTCGCATCTTTCCTTCTTATCGGCCACCTCCTCAGTATGAACCGCGAATGACGTGCGTCATATCCGCCGTTGATGTCTCGTAGGGTTGACCATGTTGCCGCGGCGAAGACTGTTCTCCTTCGTCGTGACAGCCCTTGTGATATGTGTCTTCTGCGCTACATATGACCGCCATGCTGTGTCCACGTCCCTCAGAACAACCACTGAGCAAGCTGCTCCGGATGATGAAGCCAGTCGAATATGCAAGCGACACAGATTCCAACCCTTCCTCAACCCAGGCGCCCGCAAAGTCTACGATCTGTTCATGATTGACACGGAGCTGGATCTGCTTGAGATTCGCTTGAATACCCTGGACTCGGTTGTCGATTACTTCGTCATCATAGAATCAGCTCAGAGCTTTACGAAGGTCGCAAAGCCTCTCTACGTCTCCGAAAACCTTGGACGGTTCGACAAGTTCAAGGACAAGATAATCCTCCATGTCATCGACTTCACCAACTTCGGAAACACTTCGGAATGGGAACTGGAGAGCTACTCACGCAATGCTCTCTACACAGAGGTTTTCCCAACCCTCAAGGACTCACAGCGTCCCACACACGGCGACGTGATCCTGCTATCAGACATCGACGAGATCCCCAAACCCGAAACCATCACCTTTCTCAAAGCCTGCCAATTCCCCGAGCGCACCACCATCGAATCCAACTTCTACTACTACTCTTTCCAATGGAAGCACGACGGCAAGCGTTGGCTCCATCCACAAGCCACCTTCTTCCAAGGCGACCGCACCATTTTACCCCAAGACCTCCGCGGCAGCGCCGGAGCGCAATCTCGTGTCATCTACGACGGCGCATGGCACTGCAGCTCCTGCTTCAGCACGGTCGCCGAGGTGCAGAAGAAACTCGAGAGCTTCTCCCATCAGGAGTTCAATCAGCCCGTCTTCAAGGACCCCGCACAGATTGTGCGTCGCTTCAGGAATGGTGTCGACATTGCCGAGCGCCCACTCGAGAAGTACTCGCGCATCGAGAATAACCGCGACTTGCCGTCCTATCTGAAGGACAACCCAGGGAAGTTTCCGTGGTTCATCAGTAGGGATGCACCAAATGCGAACTTTCTGGACTTTGAAGGCGAGGGCGCGAAGAGTTTGGAAGAGTGGGTTGGGCCAACGCCCGTGGTCTGGCCGCAATGAACGAGGACAGAACTCAAAAATATATAGAATTCTAGAACATGAATTTCGATTTGACATGAATCTAGGTGTTGTATTCCTTTGACCATGCTATGCTTGACCATATCTTGTGAATGCTGCTGCTGCTGCTGCTGTCGCTGCTGCTAATGCCCTAAACCAACGCCTGGCTACTGCCTTCGGCCGCAGAGTGACCGTTTATCCCGCTCTTTGAACAAGCAAAAATGTCTCAGACCAAACTTCTGCTCACGCGCTCGCCGTCACTGGCACGCCCACTTCGACGCCGCCAGCCGGCTTCTGCGCATCCACCTCGACCACAGGCGCCGCCTGCACGGCTCTGCCCTTCCCCTTGGCACCCAACCGGACCTCCTCCATTGTCCACCCCCACTTCGCCTGCTCCAGCCCCATCCCCCTCAGGAACTGCACACCCTCACGCCACTCGGCGCGCACGCGGTCCTCGCCCCAGCCCAGCCTCGCCCCCATGCTCTCCACCACGAGCGGCAGCGCCTCGAGCGCCGCCTCCGCGTCCAAGAAAGCCAGACGCGTGCGGCGTGCCAGGAAGTCCGTCGCCGTCGCCGCGTACTCGTTGCGCACGCAGTACTCGATCTCGCCCTGCGTGATGGGGTACTTCCTGCTGACGCGCTCGGTGCTCAGTGTCGCGACCTCCCAGGCGCGGTCACCGTAGGCGCGCGCCAAGTGCGCGGCCACGTCGGCGTCCAGGCCGTACTGGCGTATCAGGTCGATGTACAGCGTGTTGCTGTAGCCGTGGGCGCCGAGGATCTTCAGGTGCTGCGTCTGGCAGGCGCCGTCGAGTCGGCGCTCCTCGTGAGCGGCAAAGTCGCCTGAGACGTCGACGGCGTGTTTCGGCGCCGTGGGGCGGAGGTTGAAGACGGAGATGGCCTCGTCCACAGCGTCTTCGGCCATTTGCCGGTAGGTGGTCCATTTGCCGCCGGCGCAGGTCAGGAGGCCTGTGGGAGAGACGGTGACAAGGTGGTTGCGGACAAGAGACTCGGTGTTGGCGCTGTTAGGGTCACGCATCAGCGGCCGGATGCCCGACCAGGCGGCCAGAACGTCGCTGCGCTGGAGGTTCACGGCCGGCGAGAGGTATTTGGAGACTTCCTTCAGGATGAAGTTAATGTCTTGCTCTTTGGCTGTGGGCGAGTCAGAGACGGTGCATGCTGAGTCGGTGGTGCCGGCCACGATGTTGCCTTCCCAGGGGAGCAGGAACATGACGCGGCCGTCGGAGGTGGACGCGTCCAGCAGGCCGAGGTTGTTGGGAGGCCCAAGGTGGCGGGGTAGTACGACGTGAACGCCTTCAGACGGAGAAACCAGGTCCTTTTGGCAAGGGTTGTCCATCTGCGTTATAGCATCGGCGAATGGGCCGGTGGCATTGATGACACCGCGTGCACGAATGGTAAAGTCAGAGCTTCCCGCTGGGTCGCTGCCGTCGCGGCCAGGGATGAGGTCGCGGACCTTAGCACCACAGATTCTGCCGGACTCGGACTTCTCGAGAGAGGTAACCTCGAGGTGGTTGACTGTGGTTGCACCGTAGAGGGCGGCAGTAAGGGCGAGCGACACATTCATGCGAGAGTCGTTCTGTTGGCCATCGTAGTAGACAAGAGCGCCGACCAGGTCCTTCTTGAGCGTGGGAAAGGCTTCCAGCGCTCGCTTCTTTGAGAGGAAGTACGAGGACTCAAGGCCTTGGCTGCCGGCCAATAAATCATAGGCTTTCGTGCCCGCCCAAAAGTATGGTGCTTGCCACCACTGCTGGATGGGTAGAAGGATTGGTAACGAAGACGAGAGATGTGGTGCCGCGTTCAGAAAGTTCTTTCGCTCTCGCAGTGCCTCCTTTACGAGGCAGTATTGTCCATAATCGAGATTCCACACAGCCTTTTCAAGATAGCGAACGCCACCGTGGACGAGTTTGGTAGACTTGCTGCTTGTACCGCTGCTAAAGTCGTCTCGCTCAACGAGCGCGACTTTCAGGCCTCGGGTGGCCGCGTCAAGGGCTATACCTGAGCCGGTAGCTCCTCCACCGATGATCAGCAAATCATAGATTTCTGAGGATTCGGAGTTGGCCTTTCGTAGGTCTGATATCTGCTCTTCTCTAGACTTGATCTTTGGAAAGCGCGGTGGTGTTATATCGCCATTAGGAGATCTCCTTAGGGCTGATATGCTAGGTCTCGCTTCGTCTTTCGGCTTAATCGAGAGGAGGAACGCTGATCCACCTGTTATAGTGACAAGGGAGGTCACGCCCAGTGACTTGAGCAGGACTTTGGAGCCCGCTCGAGCCATGTTGACCACTAGGGGGCGAGCTGTTTCCTGTGTTCAGGGCGGAGGATATATACGAGGATCGGTGAATGGGGGCAACGGTTCGGTTCAAATCGAGGAGCGTTATATTCGCGTCCTTGCTCTGCAATCAGTGAGAGAGGTTTGATGGTGAGTATTAGTAGTGCAATCGTCTATACAATGAGTGTCAATAGGGATGCACGCGACGTCCCGAGCATGAGATATATAGGAAGAGAACGCTACTCCTGCCAACAAGAGGTCTTGCAAAGTCAGTCAAAGCAGGACCACCGCTACGGTGCGGAGGGCCGAAGAGACCCGCCTCCATATCCGAGAGCAGGTGATGGCGGAGTCCACGCATGGGCTCCAGCTCCATCTAGACGTCCAGTGAGGCCGTCTGCCGAGCGCATGTGATGAGGGTTGAGATTAACGTGAGAGTTGTGCAGTCGTGGAGTTAAACCGAGATAGTATGCATGTCGGTGCAAGAAGACCGCTAGTTTCGGTAACGTTTCACCGAGCGCGGCAGCTTCTGCAGGTCAGCAGAGACGTCTAATCTTGGACCAAGCACGCAACAGCCGGACGGCTGGAATGTACCATTGACCCGCAGAAAAGCCCCGTAGCTGTTGGTGTTTGGATCCACCGGTTCGGTGCTCTTCGGTGTCCCTTCCCAGAAGTACCCAGCAGCTTGTGCAGCCACGCTTTCGTCTCGTGGCAGCGGGTGAGCCTAACGCACGTCGGGAATGTTCCGCACACGTGTTGGGCGACCGAGGCTTCGTGAGCTGAGGTCTGCCCACAATGAAAGATCACTGTCACGAAGAGGCTATAACTCCTATGACACTGTGTAGCTCGTAGGTATGCAACAGTGGCCACGTGATTCAACAATGGTGGCCAAGGCAATCGTCAAGGGTTCTGCCGAACATCGTAGCCTCAGCATCAACACTCCCAGGTCGCGAAAGTATCTTGCTTGAGCAAACACATGTTCTAGAGCAACTGTTGGAGGAAGACAATGGGGCTTTATGTAGTGATGCGGACTCGTATTCTGTAACACTTGTCACATGGGGTTTGGGCGTGCTGGCGGAAGCTCGAAGGGCTCCGCAGCTAGTTTACGTCCACGAAAGAGCACAGCAGCAGGGTTTGGAAGGAATTCATAACGGCGAATAAATTTCAATGTCTTGACTCTAGAAGCCTATCAACATCTCAAGCCTGGTGCCCGTCGTGCCGCCGACTCCACTGCTAATATGTGTGAAAATGCAACGACAAGTTTTTCCACCATTGGCCCACCCACGCCGGGTCCTACTCGATAATGCGCCTGTCTCCGCCTGAAACTCAATGGTCTTCACAGTCCGTTGCTGCTGTATTTCATGACAAGGTCGTCAATCGTTTAAACATAGGTCTCGCTGCGAGTGTTGGACCACACGTCGCGAGTTGGGCGGATGAAGCGCTTGAGGCCCATCCATGGGGTGTTGATCGGGCTGTCGCCTGTGAAGAGGAACACATCGTAAAGCCAGCCACCAAAGGTGCAGCCGAAGAATGGAGCAACCATAGGAATCTGACAGTCTCATTAGTACAACAACAGAATCGGTTTATATGAGGTAGAACATACCCAGAAGTAGTATCCGCCAGCGCTCCAGACCTCGTGGCCATAGCCGAGCATATAGGACACGAGACGAGGGCCAAAGTCACGGGCCAGGTTGATAGCATAGCCAGTTTCCCAGCCGAAGCATGCACCGATGCCAAAAATGACTGTTTTGTGGTTAGTTTCTTGTTTGATCTGATTAACACGGGATGAATTTACCGAAGAAGAGGGCCAAAGGGGTCAACGGGCCGGCACCAATATTGCCATCATCTTTAAGAGCGTAAATGCAGAACATAAGGATGGTCGAGGCAATGAACTCGCTGAAGAACATGCCCGTCCTGGTCATGAACTCTGCAGGATAGGTGCAGAAGATACCGGCAGTGGCAGTCTCTGAGAAACCGGGAACAGTCCTGATGTTGGAACCACCCTCGAACACATCGATAGCTGATTTGTAGTTGCCGTAGACCACTGCGGAAGCGGCCATCGCACCCAGGACCTGGGCAATCAGGTAACCAGGGAATTTCCTCCATGGGAACTTGCGGAAGACGCAGTTGGCGAAGGTGACAGCGGGGTTGATGTGAGCTCCAGAGATTCCAGAGGCGTAGACACCGAGCATGACACCCAAGCTGTATCTATTAGTGAATGTATAGGTTACTCAGATGGGGCGTACTTACCCCCAGCCCCAAGAGATGGACTGGTAGTCACCCTTCTCGCCACCGCTCAGCACAACCTGAGCGACGACGCCATCACCAAAGAGAATAAGGATGAACACGCCGAAGAACTCGGAGAATGGCTCGCGCAGAGTCCTTCTAACGCGGGGCCACCAAAGATCGGGATGAGCAGGAACTGCATCATCCTGGGTGATTTTATGATCGATAACAGGACCGTGTTCGGCATGCGGTGGTGGTAGAGGAGTAATGGGATACTCCTTGGAGGAAGCGTCCGACATCTCGCCGTGTTCTTTGTGGTTGGCCGTGGCGTAGGTCTGCTCAATGCCCATGGTCATGTAGATAGCAGTGGCGAAAGTGCTAATGATGGGGATAGAAGAGTGTTTGAGCTGCGCACGTGGAGAAGGATGGGTTCGTGGGGAGTAGTACCTGGGGAAACCCGAGTTATATAGAAATGAGGAGGCGGAGAGGGTATTTGCTCGTCAGCTCGGGGTGCTCGGTGTAGTGTACCTAGAAAGCTGGATGGACCCCGCTTGTAGGCGGATGCGCAAAACAAACCAATAATGTCAGCTGCTCATGTAACTTTTGACTCTTCAGGGTTCTCGGCCGCTCGCTCATACGAAAGCGTGATTGACCACTTGGCCCCTGTTGCGAGTGCCTTGCATACCCTAGCTTTACCATGACCAGCTAGGTATCGTCCAAGGGCAGATCAGACCACATTCAGCACCGTTCGCACAAAAGGGAGTTGGCCGCCGGACCTTCGAGAAGCCAGCCACAGGGTGCTGCCCTCTGGGATTCCAACCCCGAGCTGCAGAGCCGCGGAGGCAGCGGATGCGGGAACGAATCACTTGACTGCGCTAATAACGACATCCGCGTGTCTCGGCGCGTCTCAGAAGTCAAGAAGGCCTCGATCGTGTATAGCCCATAAAGGGTAATCGCGGCTGACATGACCAATGGATCTCTCCAGACTTCCCCAGGCCCAACTGGCCGGCTTCATTCATCTTCGTGAAAATCACAAGGTGCACTCCAGAACACGGAACTGGGATGGCAGCTTTGTAGAGTTTGGAGCCGAGAGGAGTAAGAGGAAGAATCTTACAGATGCGGATGGAGGCGATGTAACGTGCTGGTGCAGAGAATTCAGCAGTTGCAGCCGCACGTAGTTCGCGTGGCGAAGGCTGAAGAGAGATTAAGCACAACATCTAGCCCATTAGGGCTAATTTGTCCTAATTTGCGAGCAATATTGGCTAGACCCCGAATAGCGGTATTGCTGTCAATGCTCGGCTGCGCATCTGGCCCTTCAGGAATTAGGAGCTTTCTGCTGTAGGCATCTGGCCGTCCTAAAAGCCGCCCCTGCGTTCCCCACAGCTGACCGGCGGGGTCGGTCCTTGGCACGGCAACCTCGGTGCTCAAAGTCCGTTAACGACAAAACCACATTATACTAGCAAGACTCCATGCCATGCACCTCAAGTGCCTGGACCATGTGCAAAGGCGGAATCGATGCCGAGCGTCTCGCTCATGGTGTACCTGCATACGAGTATGACCCCGTTTCCACTCCTCCGGCCCCTCCTAGTCCGAGCTTCATACCCGTTTGCGCGGTAAACTAAGCTCCAGAACCTCCACGAGCAACTCACGTGTACATTAGCGACAGTGGACACTCGGTCATGAAGACCGAAGCTTACTGACAGCCACCTGGGGATGAGAAGACCGAGGTGCTTCAACGGAGTCTATTCATTTCGAAGGTGGATGGAATCTCGACAAGTCACTGCTGGTCACGAGAGGTCCCCAGCTTTCTCCAGAAGTCGAGCCACATGGAGAGGTGAGGATAATTCGAGTACTTAATGCAAGAACGTTGCCTCCCCGGACCCCGTGCATCTATCCCGTCTATCCCGCAATTTCAGTCTTGCCACATTCTTGTCAATTTCTTCGGAATACTCGAAAAAAACCATCGCTATGGGTAGTGTCGCAGAATCCTTCATCGGGTCAATCGACCAAGGTACCACCAGCAGCAGGTTCCTCATCTTCGTGCGTTCCCTCCTGTCCACAGAAGGGGCGTCTCTAACCTGCATAGAACAAACACGGAGACCCCGTTGCGTCTCACCAGATAGAGTTTAAGCAGATCTACCCACACCCTGGTTGGCACGAGCATGATCCCCTAGAGATCATCGATTCTGTCGAAAAGTGTATCGATGGCGCAGTTGCAGCCTTCGAGCAACAGGGTCATTCCGTGAACAGCATCAAAGCCGTCGGCATCACCAACCAACGTGAGACCACCGTGGTCTGGGACAAGACTACGGGTGAACCTCTATACAATGCGATCGTCTGGACGGATACGAGAACGCAGGCCTTGGTGAGGAGGCTCAAGCTGAGGCTTGGTGCAGACAAGCTCCAAGACCTCTGCGGTCTTCCTCTTTCAACATATCCTTCCGTGGGCAAACTCCTCTGGTTCATCGAGAATGTGCCTGCAGCAAAGGAGGCATACGAGAAGGGTAACCTCTGCTTCGGTACCATGGATACATGGCTCGCCTTCCGACTCAACGGCGGTATTAAGCGTAATGTTTTCGTCACCGACCCCAGCAATGCATCAAGGACCATGTTTATGAACATTCACACTCTCAAATACGACGATTCCTTGATCGACTTCTTCCGTGTGGACCCAAGCAAAGTCCATCTGCCTGAGATTGTCCCGTCTGCAGATAAGACCAAGTATGGTTCACTGGCGTCTACAAGATTGACAGGTGTGCCCATCACCGGATGTTTGGGCGATCAGTCTGCAGCACTGGTGGGTCAGAAAGGGTTCAACGAAGGCCAAGCGAAGAGCACTTATGGAACAGGGTCGTTTCTGCTCTACAATGTTGGTGAGGAGCCTGTCATCTCGACCCACGGCCTCCTGACTACCGTCGCCTTTGACTTCGGAGGCAACACCAAGCCCATGTACGCCCTAGAAGGCAGCATCGCAGTGGCCGGATCGAGTGTCAAGTTCATGGTCGACAACCTGGGCTTCGCTGAATCGTCAAGCAAGATCAGTGCGCTCGCCGAAACGGTCGAAGACAGTGGCGGAGTGACCTTCGTAACTGCTTTTAGCGGTCTGTTCGCACCCTACTGGATCGACGATGCTCAAGGCACCATCTTCGGCATTACTGCGTACACGCAGCGAGGGCATATTGCCCGTGCCACGCTTGAGGCTACCTGCTTCCAAACCAGGGCGATCTTGAACGCGATGGAGAAGGACAGCAAGAAGGCCCTCACAGAGCTTGCCGTTGACGGCGGTATGTCTAACTCGGATCTGACTATGCAGGTAAGTCGCTCCCTGGTACCACCCATGTCCCGAACCAAACAGCAGGCTGACATAATTACAGATTCAGTCCAACCTCATTGGTATCCCAGTCAATCGCCCTGCGATGCGCGAAACCACTGCCCTCGGCGCAGCTATTGCTGCTGGCATCGCTGTGGGAACCTGGAAGAGCATCGATGAGCTCAGGGAGGTGAATACGCAAGGTGCAACTATCTTCAGGCCTGAAATCCCCAAAGAGAACAGTGACAAACGTTTTGCCCGTTGGACCAAGGCCGTGGAGATGAGCAAGGGCTGGCTCGGTGATTGAGCAAGAGCAGATCATTGACTTCACGGTTTTAGTCGTATAGCCAGGCGTTGTTGGGTCTCTCGGAGTGCAAGAAAATTAGTCTTGAGCATCAAATGATCAATTTCCATCAGAGGTCGACTGTGTCGACGAGCCTCCTGATGAGTGAACATGTACACCACCAGCATTCCGTCCTGCAACCCTCAGGCAACCCTGCATATGACATGCTTCTTTTCCGCCTTCTTTTCTTTCTGGAGCAAAGGCAATGCGGACGAAGGCGGGGGTCGGTGGGGCCAGTCAGCCAGGGAAGAGGCCATCGGATCGCCTATTGGCTAGACAGACTTTGCCGCATCCGAAGCACCGACAAGTCCTTTTTCTCATTCTCGAGCCTTTTGCTTTTGAGATTACTCACTAGTCAGGATACCCAGACCTAGTGCACGTCTTGTGTTGTGTGCTTTGCTTCTGCAGCTGCCACAGGAAAAACCAAGGGTTGATCTTGCGACAGTCGGCCCGTCGGAGAGGAAGCGCTCTGGTAGACGGGCGAACCAGAGGCGTTTCCCCATCTCGCTTGCGTCGGGCACTCAACACCGAGCTCACCCGAGCGAACGTTACTTGCTTACCACTCCCCAGACCACATTGCGAGCACTCCCAACGAGCAGAAAATCTGGGGAACTGCCTCTCTCCGCGTTGCTGCAGACTTGGTCTTATCAATACCCCATTTTTCGTCTCCGTCTGGGGTTGTTTGACCCTCCTTATCATCCGTTATGGCGGAGCAGAGGCATGAAGTCGCCACGGCGAATGCGTCCGCCTCGGAAAGCGAGCTCAGCGATGATTCTCAAGGCTCGAGAAACCCAAAGAAGCGTAAAAGGAACCAAAAGATATCGTAAGTATGCGCGCTCCTCCAACCGATGCTGCCGCTGACCAAGCCTCTCAGGTGCGAGCTATGCAAGGCAAGAAAGGTATGTAATGCTCGTTCGCTTCCTCTTCTCGGCGAAGGTGGCTTATTTCCAGTCTCAAAGACTACTCCCGTCTATCGCTATCTTGGCACCTATCAAGCCATCATGTATCCAGCGATGATGGTCTAATGCTAAGCAGGTCAAATGCGATCGCGCAGAGCCATCCTGTGGCTGGTGTTCGAAAAACAACCGCATCTGTGTCTACCAGGAGCGGAAGAAACCTGGAATGCGAATCGCCTATGTCCACGAGTTGGAGGACAAAGTCAACCGCCTGGAGGCCATGCTCAACTCTCTTGGCCGTCGGGTAGAGGAGCACATCCACGATCATGACACAGCCGTCCAAAGCAAGACGTCGGCAACATACAGCCAGCCAGGCTACACGCCACTTTCAGATATATCACGAGAAGCCGTTTCGCAGAACATCAGCAGCCCCACGACAGATTCGTCGTGGCAATACTCCAATGGGCAACGTGATTCATCCCGGCTTCTACCCGAACCCATGTCAGTGCGCTCTGTCGTGGACACACCCGACATCCGTTCAACGACTCGGCCGAGGTCGTACACAGCATCGACAGTGGCCACCAGACCTTACGCCATTGGGGAGTCAGATCTGCCTCCTTACGATGTTGTCTATAATCTGGTCGACCTGTTTTTCAAGCACGTCAATCCCTGGTCACCCATTCTCGATCGAAAGACCACATTCAATGTGCTCTTTGGTGGTGCTCGCCTTACGGAAGACGATCGAGTCCTCCTCAATGCCATCGTGGCCACGACCCTCCGCTTCTCATCCGATCCACGACTGACATCAGCTTCTCGGAAGCAATACCACGACACCGCCAAGACCAAAGTCCTCTTCCACTGCCTAGAGAATCCTTCCATCGGATCCATGCAGGCTCTAGTCATCCTTGCCATCGATACCATCGGAACTTCGTGCTCGCTCCAGGGTATGAACTTGCTGGCATTTCTCGCCCGCTCCATTACCCAGTTGGGAATGGGCAACGAGAAGACGGTCTATCTCGGCGCCCCTAATTACACTCCCGTGTCTAACCTCCACCTCTCTCATGCCCCTCAACCACCCTCCTGGATCGAAGAAGAAGGACGCCGTCGGCTTGTATGGATGCTTTACATCCTAGATCGCTACACAACGATCTCCACCTCCTCAACGTTTACCTTTCCCGACAATGACATCCACCTCCGACTTCCCTGCACCTACGATCTTTTCAGCCGAAACGCCCCCGTCTCAACGCGCTGGCCGCGTGGGCCAAGTCCGTCCAACGATCCACTATCCTCATCACCCTCTCACCTTGGCAGCTTCTCCTACCATTGCGAGGTGCTCACCATCCTCTCACGTGTGCACAACTTCCTCTCCGCGCCTCTCAACCTCTCTTCACCTGCCGCGATAAGCCACTGGCGTGCAACGTACACCTCGCTTGACCACGAGTTGACCGCGTGGCTGCACTCCCTGCCAGGCGAATATGGCAAGATTTCCCAACTCTGCCACTCAGACCCCGGCAGCAAGATCTCAAACTGGATCATGCTACACGCTGCGTTCGTGACGGCCGTCATACGCCTACACTCTGTCGCCGGTAAGTTTCAACTTGTACAAACCCTCACTTTTGTCCGATGAACTTTCCACACCCACCCTCCCCCTTCCTACATCCTTACAAACCCCCATTCGCTAACAACCCCGCCTTCGCAGCCTACCCCACCATCTCCAGCCCCCACTTCCCCCCTTCCCACAACGCCCTCCAACGCTGCCTCGGCGCCGTCGAATCCCTCCGCGAGATCGCTACCGACACCATCGCCAACAGCATGCTCGACCTGCTGGGCCCGCCCTTTGCCTTCAGCCTCTGGACATCGGCGCGGCTGCTGCTCGTGCACGCGGCGACGCTCGACTGCGAAGTCGACCCGAAGATCCGCTTCTTCATCAGCACCCTCGAGGCCATGGGCCAGTACTGGCAGATCGCGCTGACGTACGCGCGCACGCTGGAGAGCGTCGTGCGCGAGGGCACCAAGAGCTCGCACAGCATGGCGGGCAAGAATGTCGCGAACGGGGAAGGGGCGCGCAGTTTCAGGGAGATGCGCAGGGTGGCGTGGCGGACGGGGAGGGGGTTGATGGGTAGGAAGGAGGGGGGGTGGTGGGAGCAGAGTCGAGTCTTGGTGCCGGCCGAGGGAGAGGTCGAGGCGCTGGATGTTTTTGGCTTCTTTGATTATCCTAGGGTCGTGTCGGAGGAAGAGAGGGTGGGTGGTAGCGGGCAGGGGACTCCCGTGCGGGAGGTCGCTGGGGTGCAATCTCCTGTATTTGCTATGCCCCAGCGAGAAGCGGATTGGCTCAATTTTCAGCCGCCGCACGAATGAAGCGGTATGGTGCTCTGGGAAAAGGTCGCGCATGGTTGACGTTTTGTTATTGGCCTGCAAAGATGGGCACGACGGAAGAGTGTACAGTATCAGGATAAGTTTCAAAGGAGAGGTGAAAGTGCGTGTTCGGCTCACTGTAGCCGTCGCGACATACGGTTTCAAGATGCACATACCTTTGAGCACGCCGGTAGGGGGGCCTCAATTCTGTACAGCGAAAATGTAGCTGCACCTGGCATGGTAGCTGGTGCGCCATTTACTACAGTTCACTGTGGCATTGGCTCACAAGAGCCACCTACCGTGATGTTGGCTGTTGCTCATTGGTCTGCGGTAGGGAGGACATCATTCTTCAAGATGGGCCGTCGCTGCGCAGGGCCAGTGTGATCAATTTTGGCGCCGTGCTACCCGAATGTGACATCGGTGGTGTCAACGAGGCCAAAGTCAAGACAGCATTCTCGGGTTATGGGCGTGTTCTTGACCCTCAAATGCCTGCTTACCTGCCAGGCACTAAGATTCAACAGCGGGTAGTGTGGAAAGATGCAGGAGGAGTGCCCGCAATATTTGCAATGCTCACGATCATTGTGATGCATACCAGAGTCTCGCGTTCTGGCCTGGTGATAGGGCCTCGAAGGCTGTCAGACGTGGGAAGCCACCGGCGACAGCCCGAGCGAGAGACATGGTTACGCGGACGGAACGGCAAGGCGGTTGACATAAGCTGCTGACCGGTGTCAATGCGCCTTGGGATTCAGGAACGGAACGACAGGTCGTCCGATGCTGTTTCAGGGACAGGTACGACGTGTTGAAAAGATACTCAACGGCATGACTGTCAAGTAGGAGCTGCCTCGGCAGCGTCCTGCATATCCGAGGAATTCTTGTTAGCCGAATAGAGTGAACGGTGCAAGCGCGGGGTCGGCACAGAAACAGGGCGCAGGCACAGATCTCCAAAGCTGGCTTTTGTCTAGACGCAGGACGCAGGAGACGGGGAAAATGGCGGTCGATTCTGCAGGTTGAAGTCACCACAATGGAAGCGACGTGCATACCTGGCTGCTGTCCCGCAGCGACCCTTGCGGAAATGCCATTTCCAATACTCGGTTCCCGCGTCAGGTCCGAGGTGACTCCGCATAGAGAAGCGAGCGAGCCGGCGTTCAGACAAAGCAAGGAAGCGTGACCTCCAGTGCAGTGGCATGTCATTTCCCCACGCTGCTGTCACGGCCTCAGCCTTGGGCGCAGCCTGCAGCGACGTGAGTGGCGGCTAACAGAGTTGACTTCCTTGGGCTGCCACGCGTCAAGGGCGTACATTGCGCCTGCAAGGTGGACTCCCAGACGCAAGGTGCGTTGCAGCATGTCCTCTGTGCTTCCGAGTCGGAAATGCTGAAGCCTGATGGGTGTACTTGTTATGGTGGAGAGGACATTGTCGCAGATTTAAACTTTGAAGAAGAATGGAAGCATTCCAACGCAAGGGGTTTTTGCAGTCATGACTGTAACCGGATTAAGGCCATGGCAATCATCATCGAGGCCGCCTTTTGGGAGCGGCTACGGTGCCCATTAGCTCCCTGGTAAAGAAAGTTAGGGGTGCATCCGTGCCCTGGCAGTGGCGCGAGCCCAGGCCCCAGCAGCTCCCCAAAGGTAGTAATGCGCGACCGAAGGGCCTCGTATTGGGAGCAACGTACGGTGGTCCAGCGGCCTGGAGTGGCCGATCATGCCGTGCGTAATTTTGGCTGAGCTGAACCTTTAAGGAGATGATGGTGGGAAGCGAAAACGAGAGTGCATGCCCGATTTGACGGGTGTGTACCAAGTACATGAATAGTACGTACATTGCGTGTTGACGGACGGTGGGTGGTGGCGGCGTGCGATTGGGCGTCCGGGCTAGCTAGGCTTTCGTAAGAGCGGTCATTTGCCTAGCAAGGGCACACTACATTGAGAACGCTCAACGCAGTATTAGGAAAGCTGAACACCGAGAGCTGCATTATTTTGCCAGGAGAGGCATAAGCGAGGAGTGCTTGACATCGTATACCGCACAGATCTCATTCCATTCTCGGTCAGAAAGAACCTCGTTCTATTGTAAGCCCTAGGTCCGGATGGTACGGAGAGCGTAGACGGGCTTACCATACCCACCGCGGCAGCAACCGGCTGGCGTCTGAAGTATAACTTCAAACTTACCAATCTGCCCAAATATTGTCATGATGGAGATCGAAAGTTAATCTAGCTCTAGGCAGAGAACGACGGGATTTCCCATAGTGAGGTGATGATGCGTGGAGAGACATGATCAGCTGTCCCATCCTCGGCCTAAAACGAGGCCAGTCGACATGGTGGTCAGATTTGAAATTGGTACCGACTAGACGGCAGAATGTCACGCCAGGGTACGGAGAAGTGGCATCATGAAATGTATGACGATAAGAGTCCAATGTCATTCAACCTGTGAAGTGGACCTTTGTCCTGGGTATGGAGAAAGTGGTAAGATGCTGAGTGCTGTTGTCCTTTGGTTTTGGCAACCTGTCATGCAGTGTCTGATAAATGATCCTGCGCTGTCCCATACCATGCCATGCCAGACAACGAAAACTCCCGATGCTGTTGGGTTTATGTCAGTTGCCAACCCGTTTCTCAGCCGGTCCGGGTTGGCTTGTAGTACATTGCATAATTCATTCCGGCTCTTGTATCACCCGATCCAGCTCTTTTGAGCCCCCCCGGAAATGCGTAAGGTTAAGCCAAAAGCAACTTTTGTGGTAGCAATAAATCAGAACAAATGAGATCCCTACGAGGTTGCTCCCGTTGAGCATCCCCGCGATGCAAATGCTTCTGGCACCAATTTCTGTCACGCGGTCCAATGTGCGCAACAGCAAACTCCTTCCAACACCTTGCCAATCATGATCTTGATATCATGCATCGATGTCAACTGCTTTGCATCGAGACTCTCCTTCGGATGGTTCTGGTTTGATCGAAGGCACCAACGTAATCACGCAGGTCACTGCGGGCTTGATCTGTCAACTTGGTCTTGGATGGTGACAATGGGGGAGAAGTAGACAGGTCGGACGAGGAAGTGGAGAGTGAGGTCGTAGAGGTCTGCCGTCGAAAGTCGTAGGCGGGAGGAAGCTGGAAACCCGAGCCGGCCGATGCAGTTGACCGGTGGGCGTATGTTTGACGTGTGCCGTTGTACGGGCTGCTCGAAGATTCCGATCCCGTGTACAGCTCAAGCTCAGCTATCCGACAAGCCTGAGAACAGAACGTGGTGCCGTTGGTCTGCCGGTCGCAGGAGAGGCAGAAATCACCAAAGAGCTCCGTAGCAGCCATGTTGTACTGACGTATCGAATTGAAAGTGTGTTGCTTATGTAGTTGAGAGGGCCAAAGCTGAGGGCTTGGAGCAGTAGATGCTCAAGCCAAATGTTCAGTTGTATAAATGAAGACTTGTTGTAACGGAACTGGGCACGACTGGAAGGTCATGTCCAGAATCCCTGTGACAGACTAACAAGTCGAGTGATGGTGAAGTAGTGGAACGAGAGATAGCCCTTGGGGAACGAGGCAAGATAAAGAAGTCAAGACTGGAGAAGCAGGTGGATGTGGCTCGACGGCAAGAGCCTGGTATGAATTAAGCCCGAAGTGGATTAGGCAGCGTCAGAAGTTGCACTTGGGACATGTCAAAATGAGGGTCTAACAGAGGCTTGGGATCATGCACAAGACAGGATGGAGGAGAAAAGGTCATGGGTTTCGTCGCCAGCAATGCGCGCGTGCATGGGGTGGTCCGTACAGGTGGAGTGGGGAAGCAATGAGGGACCCAGCTAAGCCGTTCAGGCGTGAACTATTGGTTTGACCACCTATTTCCAGCAACCCCGCTCAACGCCTGAAGCGTTGCTTTTGGTAGCCGTACTCCGTACTGTATGGTACCTGCTGCCGCCTTGCCTCTGCCCGCCCGGTGCCCGTACCGTACCACGCTACCCGCAGGAGGCAGTTCTCATTGCCATAGGCTGACGAGAGTCTCACGTTCATCTCGCCGGATAGTCTGACGAGAGCCCACAGAACGGTGCCAAAGACTCAGAGAAGGATCCGCACACCATTTCAAAAAGATCAGCTGCTGCTTCACCCCAGCACTCATTATCTCCGACAAGCAATCCTCGTCCTCTCAAGCCAATATCTTACGATCAGCACTTGACACCCTTACGCAAGCTGGAGCCATACCTGCAACAGCATAGCCCCCGAGTTCGTAATGAATCCACCGTGGGCGCCTCGAGAGCACAGACCGGGGTAGGTAGCTGATTCGCTGACCTCCCACTTCTTCAATTTGGGCCTGCAGAACGCATGCCAACCTGCTCGACGGTGATTTGTTCTGCTGGCGTGGGGTGGTCATTTCGCTTGCCAGGCTTTTGTATCTATCAAAATGCCAGAATTGAGGACCCTTTGCCCACCGTGCGGCTGCCACATGGCTCAACTGGCAGCATTCCACCGGCTTCCATTCGACAGTAAACCACTCACGGACCTCTCTGAGAAGCAAAGTCGAGGAATGTTTCTCTCATGCGAGCTCCTTGAGCACATGTCTGAGAACGTACATGAACGAGCATTCCTTCGAAAACCATCTGCGACCAAAACGACGAGGATGACCTGTCAGGCCCGCTCACAGATCATCTCTCAGACCGGCATGGCTACATCTCTAACGAATCCTCGTCGATGATCCCCCAGTTGTCGCTGTCAATTCGCTTGCGCGCTCTAGCGTGCCGTGCCTTGCACCACCACCATCAACACCATGCTATTGTTGTATTAGTGCCACGGCTATGCCCGTTCTTCGTCCGACATTGCAGCCCCACCGTCCCCAGCTTTTTGTGGCCAACAATCCTCCACTGTGCAGTGAAACGCTGTCATCTTGCAGCCTGTGCCTCAGAACCATGCCTGCCCTTCGACACTACAGAAAAAATCACTCATCGATCTGCGCCTAGGCTCTGCCACTGCGTGTCCTACCTGAAAATTTTGCAAGTGGCGAGTTACACGTCTGGTCACATCACCCCACGCCGCCCAGGGACTAAGACACGGCCTGGTTGCGTGCTCGCTCCAGAATGGCGCCGCCGCCATCTCCAGATGTGGACAGGATTGGCAGTGCGACACCCCAACTTTAGCGATCGCTACAGGCGACCGGCTCTCCTTTGCGCCCCCAATCACGCCAATTCAACTTCTTCCCCAGATTTTGTATGGTCAGTATTCAAGCCACATTTCCTGGGGCTATTGGTTTTGCGCTTTGGGCATCGGCGTTGCACATGACTCGAATGGAGGGTGTCCGTGCAACCTGTCGCTACCTAAGCTACTACAAGAGCGCCCGCATACGATAGTCAGAGATAAGGGATCCCGCATGCTGAAGTTCGAACAGGTGGATACCCTCACATCTCAAGAAGCGCTCCGCTCCGTTTCGAACGCTTATCGTCCTCGGCTGCTCCGCTTCCCGGACACTTGTCTCTGAAAAATCTCCTGCCACGTATCTGCCTCCGGATGACGCTACTGCGCACCCAGCTGCAGATATTGAAAGAGTACAAGCAGGACAATAAGACAGCTCTAACCTGCTACGATGCCTGCTGTCGAGGCCGCTGGGGTCGCGGGACTGCTAGGTCCAGGCAATCTCTTCTACGGTCGTGACTGGATCTGATACAGAGTACCATGCACATGTACCATAGGTTTGACCCCATTCTAATCGGGCACGGACCTTATTCCAAACTCTACCCTGTCCCACCTAATCAATGTTATTGCAGTGTGACCGCTGGCCTCCCGAGCCAGCCAGGTGTCGAAGTTGTGTCGTAGGTAGCTCGGTTTCCAACCCGCCTGCTTCTGATGGTCAATGATTCATTGCGCAGCAGACACAACGACAGGTCTCACGTTTCTGGATCTTTCCTCTGCGCAGAAATTTCCCTATCGCTCTGTACAGGGAAACAGTCACCATTGTTGACCACTGTTGCTGCTGGGACTTGCAGGAAGACATCCTCAATCCATTACCTAATACGACTAGACCCTGGACGAAGGCCTAAACGCTCGTATTTCTTCCCTAAAGGCTTCCGTCAGGTGATGTCGGCTCGCTGTGAGGATGTGTCCCTGTGTTTGCTATCCATCATCTCGTGTGATACAGAAAAGCGATCACCTGCGGTTGTGACGTTCGTCCCTGTAAATGCTGAGGCTCGACCTGGCCATGGAAAAGCGGCCCAGGTTCGGCTTCGGGTTCGTGGCTCCAGGTTAATCGGCCATATCGGGCGATTAATCCGTCCTCAGGATTCATTCTCATATGGCTATAGTCATTTGCCTCCGAACGAGGTTGGTTCGTGAGCTCTAATTCATCTTCATGTTTTCGGTTTCGGCTCTAGGTAAGAATGAAGAAGCTATATGATTCGCTCCTCCAACAGGACTCTAGAGGAACCGTATCGCTCCCTCAATGCCAAGAGCTGGATCCTGGTGCGGGTTTCTCATCGCGACACAGATGATGACCATTGAAGGAACGTCATGCATCGGCTTTGCCACATTCATGCCAGGCATATCCTACTCACTTGCTTGCTTGTGCTGACTCTTCGCGGTGTTCGCCACTCGCCACTTGATGTGGGCGGCAGAGGCTGCGAAGAAGTTACATTGCGATATCTGGCGTTGCATGGGTGGGAGACGATTCCGTACCGAGGTCCAGAGGCCTCCTGTCCCGGTCTGGCATCAACGATCGTTGCATCACAATACTGCGGAACCGTGTTACACAGCTTTTCGGCGGTTACCAGCAAACCTCATGATCGAGGTTCAACCCGGTCCGTATCCGCCACCCATGTTTCGGCGGGGGCAGTTTTGCACCACCAGTAGATCAGTCACCTGGAGCTATCAGCTCTGTCCATGACCTGGTCCACTCGTTCGACTCCGCACGTTCCACTACTTACTGCAACTTTTGGGGTCAGGTGACAAGGCAACTGGACAGGGTCGTTCGCAACCGTTGCAGCCCAACGGTCTGGATTGCGCTAGGACCTTCCAGTGAAGGACTCTTCGTTCGAGTCCGCGGTTGTTAACGCCCAATCGACGTCAGACATAGTGCCGGGCCCACGCCAGTCTTCCCAGCAGAGAATAAGCTTAGCTCCCATGCTTATACACGGTGATCGCGCCGAGCCGGTGACTGGCCGCTGAAGCTCTGATGCAAAAGGTGGGACCTTGTCAGCCTGGTCCGCGCTGCACCCACTTTACTGCTTCCTCGACATCTGTGACCGAGAAGCTTGGTCGTCAGCTCCATATAGGCAGAGAGATTCTACCATCAACCACAACCATGCTTCACTGAAGCCTGTTGTTGATTCCGATGAACCTTCGAGTACTGTTAGGACAGGGGGTTTTGATCTAGTCCTCGGCTCTTTTGCTTTATTCGGAGCTCTGAATCTTCGATAACTTGCATGTTAAGTCCTCAAACTTGCCCGTTCAGGTAAACTGACGACAGATTGGAGGTGCAGAGCCTGGAATAAGGAACACTACAGCCACCGCGATGCAAGAAGGTAGGCGCTGACGGACTTTCGTTCCGGCCCAACATGCAAGACAAGAGAAGCATCTTGGCTGTAGGCACTGCATGACTGATGCGCATTCAGATTCAACGAGTACGCGAAGAACGTTCTTCACAAACCGACCCCCGGGGTGAACAGGGGACCGCAGCCTTGTGCCTAAGCGTCAACGCCAAGAAGTCAGGCAACGAACCTGTAGCTAGTCAACAACCCTTTGCTTCGGCGGATCAGTAAGCGCGAAGGAGAGGCCGATGATCAGGCCATGTGTAGTCTTGGGTTAAAGTGGTGTGCTCCCGATACAGACTTTGTGTGAGTCGGACCTCGTATATCCCTTGCAGCTTTGACAAGCAACGTGGTGGCCCGCATCGTTTGCGGTAGGCCTTTGACTCATCATACCATATCTAGCCTTTCTCTATAAGCTCATTCAGGGACCTCGCATCGGTGTCAGCCTCAAGTATCTCAGCGCATATGTGCTCGTAGCCACCGGTGCGGCAGCAGCATCGATCCGCCTCTGTGACATCTCGTGCGCCGCCAAACGATTGGCACTCCGTTCCTGGTACGACCTGCCATCATTGCAACCGCCTGCGGGCATCACCCCATCTGTATGTAGGAGAAAACCATCAGCCAGCGCGCCGGCAAGGCAATCCTCGGCTATCGTCCCATTGGGTGGGCACTGCGTGCGGCTTGGTTCTCCCCTCTCCTCCCCGAGACTCGGATCTCCAACAAACGCCAAGTTTCTGGGGAAAAGCCCGCGCAGCAAAGAGCCGAGGGAAGCCGGGAGCTCTAGGGCCACTCAGGGCAGGTATGGTTTGCCTTTTCGAGGCCTTGACCAATAGTTTCGGTGGCTCGTGGTCCGGCTGAGTGAGGGGCAGCGTGTACCACACCTAAACTTTCCCCTCGGACGTCCCTCCGGAGCATGAAAGGTATATATGTATGATGAGGTAAGATATTGTGTAGCTCGTTCATCTGCTTCAAGAACTTGAACTGTATCTGTAAATTAAACCCAGAAACTGTTACATACACCTACCCTACGCCAAAGCATTCCGCTGCATCAGATTCATCATGCCTCCCGCTACTATGCGCGCCGTGGTGTTCAAGGGTGACTACAAGGTACGAGCATGGCCATGGATGTAGAGCACGCGCGGAACCTGCTGACACTTTTCAGGTCGCTGTTGAGGACCGACCGTACCCCAAGATCCAGAAACCCACAGACGCAGTCCTGAAGGTGACCAGCACCGCCCTCTGCGGAAGCGACCTGCACTTCTACCGTGGCCACCTCAAGTGCTCACCGGACTTTGTGTGCGGGCACGAGTTCGTAGGCGAGATCGTGGAGAAAGGCGACTCGGTCTCGAAATTCCAGATCGGCGACAAGGTCGTGGTGCCCTTCTACACGGCGTGCCAGAACTGCTACTACTGCGTGCGGGGCCAGGCCTCCCGCTGCAAGCACGGCGAGCTCTTCGGCAACAGCGTGCCCGCCAACACCATCGACGGCGGGCAGGCCGAGTACGTGCGGGTCCCGCTGGCGGACACCACGTTCGTCAAAGCCCCCACCAGCATCCCGGAAGAGATGCTCGTGCTCATGGCCGACATCTTCCCGACGGGCTACTTCGCGGCCTCGCGCTTCCTCAAAAACCTCAGTGACCGGGACCGCAAGGAGTATACCACGGCGGTGGTCGGGTGCGGGCCCGTCGGGCTGTGCGCCATCACGTGCGCCCTGACCATGGTTGACACCGTGTACGCCATCGACTCGGTCCCCGAGCGCCTGGAGGAGGCGAAGCGCATCGGCGCCATCCCCATCAACCTCAACGACAATCCCGCTGAGAAGATCAAGGCGGCCAGCGACGGGCGTGGCGCCGATGTGGTCATGGAAGTCGTCGGGCACGCCGACGCGCTCTACCTGGCTTTTGACATGATCAGGCCATGGGGCCAGATCAGCTCTATTGGCGTGCACACGGAGAAATTTGAGCTGAATGGTTTGATGATGTACGGCAAGAATGTGACGATGGCGTTCGGGCGGTGCCCCGTCCGCTCGATATTTGAGGACGCACTGGCGCTGCTGGTGCAGGAGCAGAAGAAGGTGGCGTTCCTGTGCGGCAAGACCATGCCGTTGGAGGAAGCGCCCAAGGCGTACGAGGATTTTGAGGCAAGGAAGGTGAACAAAATTGTCTTCAAGATGGGCGGCAAGACGGGAGAGGCCATTGCGGACAAGGTGTGAGAGGGTAAGGGATCAGCATTCCTACTTAGCCCAGGTATCTCGCGTTACATCGTAACGGCATCAATGCTACATTGTGCAATATCTCATGGTCATGCCATCAACTTTGCCAATTCTGTTGTCAAGTTTCTCATCGTACCAGTAAGGACACTGAAGACCAACCTCGCCGGCACATAGACCTGATAGAAGTACCAGGACGGTAGTGGATCCTTGAAGTCATACAAAGCCTCCTGCCAGAAGCTGAAATGTTTCACAAACGCAATTGCCGCGCCAAGAACGTAGAAGAGATTCGTGCGCAGCGTAAGAAGATCCAACATGGGCAAGAGCAGGAGTGTATAGAGCGCACTCCCAAACGAGTACACACCTCGCTCGTGCCCAGGCTGGATGACTGGTGTAGATATTTCATCGTCGCCACTGATGAAACCATTCGCGCTGCGGCCGAAAACCGAAACATAGCCGCGGACTAGGGCAATAGAGCCTTGTAGGCCGGTGAAGAGTAGGATCGGTGCGTCAATCGTTGCGCGCCCAGCCATAGGGAGTATTCGCTTTTCCACGGCCTGAACGTTAGGTCGCTCATCAGCAGCGAAGTCGATTGTCAAGTGGCCACTGTAGGAGTCTAGTTTCGTGGCGAAAGCAGACACAAAGTGCATTATAGCGATATTGAGCGCGGAGGAAGGATTGACGATGGTAGACACCCTGCTGTCTGTGAGCGCACATGCAACAAATGTCTTGACTTTTCCGTTGACGATGATGGCAGTACTTCGGTAAAGATCGCTGCCCTCCGGAGTCTGGTCAAGACGAAGACTCGAGTTCTTCAAGATCTTGACCCGAGAGACCTCATCGTACGTCTGACTAAGTGTACGGCGAGGCAGTAGAGTTGATGAGCGAGGGGTGACTGTGCCATTCGTGTCGCCATCGCTCAGAATATATTTGCGCTTGCCGTTGGATTGATGCAGAATCTTGTGGATTTCGTTCCGTGTCTTGACCTCATACGACTCGGGAACCGGGAGGCCGTTGTCAGCGGCAAACTTGAGGAAAGTCGACGGCTTCGAACAGATCATTGCATTGATAGTGTCTGGAACGAAGCATACACAGTCCGTCTTCTGAGTGATGATGCTCTTTGCCTGGGCGAGCACAAGAGCTGGAGTGTCCTTACTGCAGTCGATCCAGAGCTCAACAGCTTCCTTCTGGATGATGGTCAACAGTTCTTGTGCATATTCGGAGTAGCTCTCAATTGTTGGAGTATGTTTTATCTGTATGTATTTGCGCACGGCGACGGACCACCGAACGTGAAGAGGTAGAAGGCTTGTTTGAGTTGCAGCCAGACTGACATGGTGGCCAGTCTCATGGAAAGCTCGTGCAAGTCGTAGAGCATAGGGACTTGAGCCGGTGATGAGGACATTGCGGGCTTTGAATCCAGGCATGCGTCGAACCAGGGCGCGCAGTGCCTTGCGGCACGAAATAGCCAGGATCACATAATTGAGGCATAGCAGGGCAGTCGAGACTGGCCAACATGCAGCACAGAGCCCTGCGAGCACCACGCCCTGCAGAATAGTCAGGTTAGCCATGAGATGTGAATTATGCCTATGTTAGCAACATGATAGAGACCTGAGGATTAAATTCATAGTTTGGAGTGCGGCTATGAGCCAGTGACGCATGCCGGTGAGCTCTCCAACTAAGCTTGTGCTCCCGAGAATCTCAACGCGTCAGGAAGCATGTCGTCATGCTGCGGAGGAAATCCGATCTGCACTTAATGAGGTGCGAAACGTCCCAGTCGGTCTCTGAAATGTTCTCGAAAGGCAGCAATTTAGAGGGCCACAACATCGGTTTTGATTGAACGGACAGGTTGCTAATGTTGTTGTCGCTATTGCTTTGTGGTTGACGGGCACCTTGAGGTCTCGACGAGTCGGCCGATCCAACTTCGGGAAGGAGATGCCGGCTGGCCTGAGCGATGGACCCCCAAGCGAGAGCTCAACAGCGCTAATGGCGAGTGATCTCCAAGCGATCGCTGAGCCCTACCCCGCTAGAGAGACCGCCCAATGACTATCATGCCCGGCCCGTACTGGCGAGGTTTGGCAGATCTTGATTGTCTTTTGCTACATTTTTCTCACACCAGGGACGCGTGTGCGTGCTTGGATGACAGCTGGACGACAGCTAGGAAAGAGCGCAGCAAAATTACTATGAGCCATCATAGGTTGTCCGCGGGACCATTCTTCAGCTGGCGTCTCACCAAGTTGCCGGGCAATTGGACCAAATAGACTTTCTCTAATCGCGGGATGTGCCAATGATTTGTTATTGACGATTCGACATCCAGCCTTTGGTTGTGTTCGATCCTTCGCGACGATCATCCCCTCTTCCACCTCCAGTCTGCGTGTCTTCCGCACCTTTTGCGCAGTCATCCTCCGGTTCATCGCTCCCTCCCATCGACCCTGCTTCGACTACCGCACCCATAATGGCGGGTCAAGCTGCCTCGTACTACCAGATGCCCGACCAGCCGCACCCTCAACAAGGGTACGGCTATGGCTACCAGCAGCCTCCTGGACCGCGACCTCAGGGCTATGGGCCCCCTCCGGGTCCGCCTCAAGGCCACCAGCAGCTCGCGCGTCCGTCGCAGCAGCAGCAGTTCGAATACCAGGACCCAGCCAAATACAACCAGCCTGCGCCAACGTATCAGCCACCGCAAGACTCGAAAGAAGGGTTCGATCAAACTTTCAAGATTCAGAAGCCCAAGTTCCACGACCTCTGGGCCGGCATCCTCTTCATCGCAACATTCCTCGGATTCGTCGCTGTGTCGGGTCTGAGCCTGTACCGGTACTCGCGCTATCACAGCTTCAACGGAGGCGGGGTCTACGGAAGTCAGAATGATTTCTCTCTCGATACAAATACGATTATCCTCTTCGTGGCGGTCCTTGGTATAGCGTTCGCTGTCAGCTGGATCTACTTCCTCATGGCCCGCATGTTCACCAAAGCCTTCGTCTGGATCACGGGTATACTGAATTGTGTATTTGCTGTTGCGACGGCTGCATACTACCTATACCTCCGTCTATGGGGTGCTGGTATTGTGTTTGCCATCTTTGCAATTTTCGCCATCATCTGCTTCATCTCGTGGATCCCTCGGATCCCATTCGCGGTTGTGATGCTACAGCAAACCATGGATATTGCGCGCATGCCCAGGGTTCACGTCTTTGCAATCTCCTTGATAGGCGGTGTCGTTGCTGCTGCCTTTGCTGCCTGGTTCTCGGTCACACTTGTCGCCATTTACACGGCCTATATGCCCGGGAACTCTAATAGCACTCAGAATCCTAGCTGTACAGACGCCGGCTGTTCCAGTGGCAAGGTCATTGGATTGGTTGTCTTCGTCACCTTCGCCGGTTACTGGATCACCGAGTGGATTAAGAACACAATCCATACTTCCGTCGCTGGGGTCTACGGCAGTTGGTACTTCTGCGCTGGAAAACCCGGCGGCATTCCAAAGGGCAGCTCCTGGGGTGCCTTCAAGCGGGCCACTACCTACAGCTTCGGATCTATCTCCCTCGGAAGCTTGATTATCGCGCTCATCAACATGATTCGCCAAGCTCTGAGCATCCTTCGCTCGCAAGCTTCGCAGGATGGCAGCATTGTGGGTACCATTATCTTCTGCATCCTTGGCTGCGTGGTTAGCTTCATCCAATGGGCCGTCGAGTTCGTCAACAAATACGCCTTCTGCCATATAGCATTGTACGGCAAAGGGTACTTCGACGCCGCGAAAGACACCTGGAGGATGATCAAGGATCGTGGCATCGACGCTCTTGTCAATGACTGCCTTGTCGGCCCGGTCTTATCCATGGGAGCACTATTTGTTGCCTACTTGTGCACACTGTTCTCCTACCTCTATCTCGAGTACACCAAGCCAGCCTACAACGAGGACCGAACTTTTACTCCTGTCATCATGGCCTTCTCTTTTGTCATTGGACTCCAGGTATGCCAAATCTTCACAGAGCCAATTGCCAGCGGTGTCAACACGATCTTCGTGGCTATGGGCTGGGATCCTCAAGTTGCTGTCACAGATCACCCAGAATTCTGGAACAAGCTGGTGCAGGTCTATCCTCACGTCCAGAACGTCATTCATTCTTGAGATGGAGAAAACCATTCGCGAGCGGCAGCCGGTGCCACAACGACTCGTCGGGCTGTTGTAACTCACACTGATCAACTGCATCGGGCATTCAGCTTTGGCTCATGTTCCGACGAGGCTGCAGATGCGTGGGGAAACCTCTCTAGTGCACATGTAATCAAGCAGTAGAAGCTGCCAAGCGAGGCTGATGACAGAGCAAGCCGCATGAGGTTGGCGAGGTTGGGATCACAGCAAGTCTCGTTACATACCCGGAACTGTACAGTAAGATAGCCACGAATAGATTGGATCGTTCCTGTTCATGACTCCTCTGATGCTCCTTGGACAGCCATGAAGTGATCGTCAACATGTGGTTCGTAAGGCTATAACGAGGCTTTGTGGCTAGAACTCAGATGGAAGGGGGGCGGTGGTCAATACGCCAAGTGGGGTGGCGTGGACGCCTTGAGGATTAATCCCTGTAGCTGCAGCTCCAGCTGTACACCTCCCGTGCGGACAGTCATATACCTGTCCACGCCTCGTGTACTTCTACTTTTTTTGATCAACTTGACTCTTCGCTAGTATGATCTCCAGTCTCTGGTTTGAAAGCGCTTTCTTGCACACAATCGTCTTCTCCCTCGTTATGACTCTTGATGCCGATGGAAGGCATATCCTACTAGCTGCTGACTCAACGGCCCTCGAAGCTATGTAGGATGCGCAATACCATGGTAGTGAGTCTAATGCTCGTCTAGGTGTCCTCTCCAGAGTGAAGCTAGCAGACTTCGCATTTTGACGACGGCATTGTGGCTCATACGCGCCAATTCGCCACGGTGGCAAAATCCGGTCAGCTCGTCCGACCATGGTACACTCGTTGCAGAACAGAGAAATGTGCTGCAGAACCGCCATGTTCCAGAAGACGGTCGCTCGGCGGCTACAATGCTGTGACAATCAACGACGTCTAGACAAGATGCGCCTGCGCTCAGGGGACATCGATGCGACGGTGGATTAGGCAATCAGGGCGGGTGCCAAGAACTTCCGCCTGATCTCCGATGATCAAACTTGGACCGGTGGCCAACATGGCAAGCAGGCCGCTGCCTGGCCAGGGCAATTGGCCCGGTCGTTCTTTTGGGCATCGATCCTTGCTTTTGTCTTCTCAGGTAGGTGCCGTGGTCAGTGCCAACCAATCGTTGCTTTGGCCCCTCCCTGCCCCATGACTCATTGTGCCTTACTTTTATGTGGTCACATGTTGTCGCGACGCAGCAGGCGCCACTCCCGGACCTTGCGACTTGCCTTCAGGCTCCACGCGTTCCATGCCGCGCCTATCTCAGTCGCTTGGATCGCACAATTGTACAAAGAGTGGCCCCCATATTAGAGTAACTTCCTCCAAGCGTTGTGTGGCTGGAGCGACGCCCTTGGTTGCCTTCCGTTGGCACGTGGATTTGGCTAACTAAGTCCTCGCCTTCGAGTCACTGCCCACTCGCTGCTTATAGCTAGGCATCAGCCCAGCATAATCCTTCTTATCTCATACACGCCTGGTACTTTCGCTACATCGCTCGAAGCCCCATGAGATCCTTGCCGTCTACATCAATACCCGCATGGCCTCAACGGCGCACTCGAAAGCGTCGCGCTCGCCGCCCGACGACGTTCTGACACCTCCGAATTCGGCACAACTATCTCACGCAGTCCCCGCGGACGCCATGGCATCTGAATTGCCGATATTGCCACAGCAGCCTCATTTTCAGACCCGCTCACCAACCGCCGTGCGTCGGCTGTCACCACCGCCACGTAACAAGCAGAATGAGATCTGCTGCACTCACGCCGAGTGCCAGGGCAAGAATGTTACCTTCCGTCGGCTTTGTGAATGGAACAAGCACATGGATAGACATGAGCGGCCTTACAAATGCGAGCACCCGAACTGCCAGAACGCCCTAGGCTTTACATACTCAGGTGGTTTGATGAGACACCAACGCGAAGTGCACGGCTTGCATCAAACAACCAAGTCTCGCCTCTTTTGTCCATTTCCTGACTGCGTCCGCAATGCATCAGGCGAAGGCTTCTCCCGCAAAGAGAATCTTGAAGAACACAAGCGACGCCGTCATCCCGATTCAAAGCTTCCTGAGGCCGAGTCTGTCGATCATGGCCCCCAGCACAAAAAGCGGAAGCGAATCATCACCCCGCTGCCAAGTGACAACAGCGTTGAACCAGAGTCCACAGACGCTGAGTACAATGACGATTCGTCGATTGTTGCTCCTGCTTTGCAACCTTTGGATGACAGCCCCGTGGTCAAAAGACTTAAGCAAGAGCTGCAACGAACTCGGGAGGAGCTACACAGAATGGCCAACGAGAACAACATGCTACGAGCACAGGTAACACAATACTACGACCTGGTGCAAACGTTTCAGCCCCAGATCTACAACGTCCATAACGGTGCTCAGCCTGCACATGGTCTGATGGCGCAGCCTAGTGGTTACACCGGTGTTACTAATCTCGGATATCCCAATCTGCACTCGGCTTACAAGAAATAGCCACCACGGAAGGATCGGCGCAATTTGATTGAACGGTTGTATTGCATTGATACCCTGGCATACATCACAAGCGGATTTCTTACTTTCTTTCACACTTTCCACTCTGCAACGAAGAAACGACATCATCAGACACTCTAGACTGCGCTGCTACACCGAAATGGAGAAGAGGAGACGTCGCATTACTGGGTTTGGGCATTATTGTTGAGACATGGAGGACTCACTACTTCCGTATGTACTGTACTAGCATTGGCATTCTGGACCACCACTTTTCCTGTACACATAGCTACTTCGATGTGACCATACGCGGTCGCTCTCTAGGGTGGATCGTGATCATACCTAATGTCGCAGGCAGCAGCAATATGGCTGCCTGGTCCCTCTCTCCTCAACCAAGATCTGCCGAACTTCTGTTCTTACACCCACACACTAGTGTCTACTTACCTGCCTGTTTGTGTCCATCGGCGCTTGCATGCGCTTGCATGCGCTCGCACAGGCGCATATCTCACACTTCTACTCGTGACACCCTAGACATCGCTCTATAAGTCTAAGATAGTATCAAAGCCTAGAGCTTACAGGCTAGTATCGTAGGGCTGATTGTCTGATGGTCTTTCCGTATAAAGCTCTCCTATTGGCATTCAGTATTCTTCTGGAACACAAGTCATGGATGAAAGGTAGTCTCAGCAGCCTCTCAGGGACTTACAGAACCGATCAGTGAGGTTGCGAGCCTGGGCAAGGCTGTCGAGCTTCTGAGCCCACGCTAAATTCACGGAGAGCGTCGCCGATGCTAGGGCACCCCCTGGAAATGCTGCCTCGTCTTGGCATTTCGCCTGTTCCGGCGAAGTTTGATCGCGAGCTCCCCGGTGCAAAGCAGAGGTACCAATGTAATGAGTCTCAAGCCGCGCACGGGGGATCTGTTGATCCCGCACTCCGCAGCCAAGATTGTGATACTGAACATCTCCTCTTTCGCATCGCCGACGCGCCGATCCGAGTGAGGGACTAAATCCAAAAGCGGAGTGGGGTGTGGGGTTCCCACACGGAGCGGTAAGGTAGCGCCTTCCTTCCCCTTCCATGCCCTCTTTATCCCCTTTCCCTCTCACGATTCCTCTCTTCCTCCTCCTCTTCGAAACTGTCAAACAATGGCAGCTGAGGTGGGGCAGGTCTGGACCCTCGAGCCACAGCCTGCGTGCTTGCAGTAGCGGCAACCACAAGGCTCCCGCAACAAGAAAACTCAAGCCCTTTAGTTATGCCCGCTTGTACAGTTGCACTACTGTGGCGCTGGGGTTTTGCCCGGCGGGACTGATTGCCAGATGACAGATCCCGGTCCCCGAGCACACAAAGAGCTGGGTTTGAGTTCGATGCGAACAGAATGGATCATGGCGGACCCCGCAGCCCGATGTAAAGAACCTGCTCATTGCGTTCTAGTGGGCTTATCAGGCCAAAGGACTCGGTATATGCAGCAGCGACGCTCCAGCTTTCGGTCTGACAGTATCACGGGGTCCGCCGGAGTCGCCGGAGTCGCCGGAAAGTTCGACCTGTCAAAGTGTGCTGGAGTCAATGTGAGGTTGTCATCGGTTGTCCCAAGTTCCGGGCCCCGAGTTGTTAGCAGTGATTTGAGACTCGGGCCCGCGACTGTGTCTGGGGTGTGACTGTAATGGAGTCAGAGTTCTACACAGACCATGAAGCCAATGTGATGTAGACATACTTTCGACTCTTTGTGCATAGGGGCTCTAAGCTGAAATTACGCAAGTGGACGGATATACATCACCCGGCCAAGAGGCAGCGTCAACTAGTAATCTTAGATTGATAATAATATCACTATAGATTCAGATGGTCCTCGAGCCTATCTTTGGACGTTGATCCGTTGCAAATTCTTTCCTCCAAGCGCCTGTGGTATCATCGTAAGATTCTTCCTCAAAACATCAATTGAAACCTCTTGCTCTTCTCTGCATTGGGTGTAGAGGAGAGCAGATGTCGGTGAGAGCGTCGTGTGCGGACATGGTGTGTTCTACAGTACACAAAACCCCCCTCTTGTAGCGGGCACCCGTGATCCGCATATACTTCAACCTTCCAAAGCCTCGAAATCAAACTCATCGTCAATTGGAATCGTGATTCCCTTGTATGGTCCCTGCTCCATCGGTGGCACATCCAAGCTCTCCCCAGTACTCGTGCTGCCATTGTTGCTGCTTGCGCTGAAAAGGAAATCGTCGCTACTATTGATGCTCTCGCCACTAAAACTCAACAAGCTCTGCGGTACGGGTGCTTTGCTGGAGAAGTCCATTGTTGGCAGGTTCCAATTGCCATCATTGATCCAGTCGTTGCCAGCCATCGACATAGGGGTGTGTGCTGTGGGGCCCATTCCGGAATTCCCGAAGAGCTGTGCATTGGAGGCATCGTAATTGGTGAGAAGTAAATTGTCCCAAGACGCATTCGCGATCGTAGGAGACATCTGTGAAGGTTTCTTTGGCGGTAGCATAGTAGAGCTGGAGGTACTAGTCTGCGTGTCGCCGCTCAGTTCGTCTCCGAGTGGGAAGTAGTCGAGGTTGATAGCATGATTGGCATTCAAAGTGGCATGATGGGCAACCTGGCCAGGCGATGGAGTAGCCATGACTGGAGCGGAACGAGTTGATGAAAGCGAAACAGTGCTACCTGCGCGGTGCTGAGGAGACATGGAATGGCTCATGCCAGTCTGAGGAAGTGTAGCACGTCGGGGTTCCTCGGGCCTAGGACTGCCTTTAAGACTGGAGAAGCGGGAGGCGATGGCTTGCAATTGCTTCTTGGGAGACTTGCCAGACTTTGGTATAGGTGGGGATGGAGCGGGCATGGAGTTGACGAGCTTGGCGGCAGGAGTATCAATATCGATGTGCTTCGGTGAGGAGGTGCGACGACTTTGTAGTGGTACAAAGGCGCTGGCGATGCGTTGAAACTCCGCATGAGAAGACTGGCTCTCGCGACCGATCATTGCCAATGACAACTGTAGAGACTTCTGGTTGTCTTTGACGAGTTTGCTGTCCTCATCCAGGTCGATGGATTGCCAGAGAATGGAGAACGCTGAAGTCAACAGGAGTGCCTTCTTGTTGAAAGGGAAGGTGTAGTTCATGCGTCTCTCGTCAAGCAGGTCTAGGATTTGGAGAGTGTGCTTGCCAGCAGCAGCAAGAACGATCGTCGCAGCGGCTTGAGCGCTACCTGTGGCGTGGCAGAGTAGGGGACGGTGGATCAGGCTGCGTACAAAGAAATATGTCAAGGACTAATGAGCGTCAGTGAACAATCCTGGGAAGTAAAAGTCGTACTTACCAGAAGAGGGGAGCGGCAGCTGACAACGTTGGTAGACGGCTTGTCGTTGTTGAATCTCAGACGAAGATGATCCGGGAGTTCTTCCGACCATTGATCGAGCTCGTCGGAGTAAGCATGAAGCTTACTGACAGATAATTGATAGCTGGCTTTTGAAGAATAAAGATCTTCCAGGGCCCTGGACAGTATGCGGGTGGCTCGGAACAGAGCTAGAGCACTGGAGATCTTGGTCACCTCTCCAGGCAAAGCAGGAGAGAAGCCTGAAGTGCTCAAATTCTCGTCGTCGACATCGGCTGGGTACTCGGTCGTGATGTCGGCTTCGCGAAGCAGCATAGGTGAGCCAGTAGCAGCAGAGGCAAATTTGTCGAGAACATATTGGCACCAAAAGACCTTTCGACGTACTTCAGCATCGAAAACACCGAGGGTGTGGTACTTGTGAGCCTGATGCAGACCAAGCTCATGGCACATTCCGACAGCAATGCCCCGGTGGCGCGAAAGTTGGGTATAATCGCCACGCAGAAGATAACATAGTTGAGCCAAGACATGAGACTGGATCGTCGCCGTAGTCGGTGTCATGGGAGAGGAGTACATGGCTTTTCGCCACTGATTCTCGTAAGTTGGACAGCTGGTCTTGAGTTGGTGACCACACGACAGTGCCGAGATTTCGAAAATGAGGAAGAGTTGAGCGATTGCCTGTTTATTGCTTTGCCAGTTTCCAGCGTCGGGTCCTGCGAGATACTGTTCATAAACTCTGAGGAAGGTTGGTCTGTGCAGGACTGGTAAAAGTGGCTGCCATTCCTGGAAGAATAGATTGATGTATTGGTCGGATAGAATGCGTGGAGGTGTTTTCGAGGCATTAGTCTGAGACTGTTTGGCGGTATTGGATCCCGAAAGAAGAGTGGCGGAGGAGATGTTTGCAGGACGTTTTTCGTGTTCTTGGATTTTCTGCTCGAATGATTCGATGAATGCTGAGGCTGTGGAAGTGCCGGTCGAAGGAGCGTCATGTTGTACAGGAGCTGGAATTTCGACGTAAAGGATGTCCTCGCGCGGCAACTCAACCTCGGCTTTGACTTGAGCAGCGTTGGTTGGCGACAGAGAGCAAGACCCTTTGCGGGAAGCCGGCGAGAAGCTGTGGAGGCGCGAGAGCATATCGATCTTTTCGTCTTTTTCGTCAAGCAGATCTTTCAACTCACGGCATTCCGCTTCCAGACCACGCACTCGATCCTCCAAAGATTCAGTGTAGCCTCTTGGGAAGGCTCTGCGACTCAGCTTGTCACTGGTCTTGCACTCGAAGCCAACGTTGGCACACTGAGTACAGCAGGGTCGAACGCCGTCACATCGGATCTTCTTACTTCGGCATCGGTCGCAAGCTTGTGCTATCCTGTTCTGCGTCGAGCTCCCCACTCGAATCATCTTCATCGGTAGTATGCCAGGCATGGCGGCGGTGGTAGGTCGTTCGGTTCGTGGGCATAAGCGTGGGAATCAAGGCGATATCTCTAACCAAGTACTGTTGCGGGGTTCGGGGTGGACGATAATGGTGTTGTGGTAATCTGGGGTAGAAGAAGAAGGTGAGTTCAGGCGAGAGGGGCCAGGCATAAGAAGGTGTTATGACCGCATTGGAGGAGGATAATCGGTGGTTGAGGGTCAATGGGAAGTTTTCAGACGGTGTTGGCCCTGATTGGGTATGGGGGGCCGCCACGGGTCCTGGGTGAAGTCGAAATTCGAGAAGAAGGGATTTGTCCGGGGTCTGGAGTGTCTGGGGGTTGTATGGGTTGAGTTTTCGTCAGAGCAGGACGGGGGGCAATCGATGGTTGGATGGGGTGCAGGGTACTCTCGTGCAGCAACAGGAGCCCAGCGTTTTGGCGTCGCTTGACCCAAACCTGTACAGCCAGATCCTCTGAAGCAGGCGATTTCCGCTACCCCGCAGGGATACAAGGCAATGCAAGACGCACAAACGGCCCACTACGACGCACTCCAGGCCAATGCCGACGAGGAAAGATCGTCTGCCAATCATTGCCGGTGACGTGATCCATTGCGCTATGCTGCTAACGGTTAGACCTCCATTTACCCGTACCATTTCGAGCTCCTCTGCACCCCGATTCCAGCATGCTACAACCATAGTCTCGCAGCAGTTGGCCAAACTCTCACGTTCGGATGGGATAGCGGATACAAATGTGTCGTGCTTCGTTCCAGCGATCTTCCTCTGATGCATTGGAATCTGGGGAAAGTCTATGTCTTAGCCCTCGAGCCGAGTGCTCTGGAGTTCTGGTGGTCAGCTCGTGTTGGGGCAACGTCAGCGCCGTTGGCACAAGCACTCTTGGATAACATCATGCCACGGTCATCGCCTCGCTTGCACGACAGCTTCTAGACATCAGCCCTAAGCAATCGCATTTTCGGAAAGAATGGCGTCCCAGTACGATTCAAAGACGACGTGCTCGGGAATTCGCGGGTTGCGGATCGTAGGCCCCAGAAAACCCCGATCTTCCCACCGTGCACATCCTGCAAGCCTTCCAAGCATCTACTAGTCAACCCAGCCAACTCGAAGGGTAGCTCGTTTGACGTGTAAAGGCGGCCAATCAAATGCATCTCTTCTGTCCTATGCACCTCAGAAGCGTCAACTAAAGTCCTCCTCGTTTCCGTCCCGCGAACTATTTACAGTCTCGTGTTTCCGGGAATCCACACCGAGATATTCGCGAACAGCGGCACCACCCATCAAAGTCCCCTTCTGTGCGAAACAGTCAGCCCAAACAGCCCTTGCATGAAAACTCGGAAACTATCCGCACGGGGCCACTCACCTCCGTCTCCAGATGCTGGAAACCGTCCGACACAAGCTCGAGCTCCAAGTCTCTTAAGCGGCTGACAAGCTTCCAAACCGATTCACTCGAATCGGATTGGTCGCGTGCTTCAAGAAATGCTTGCTCTGTACCTGCCAGTGCCAACCCTTGTTCCTCTAGCCGTTGCTGAATCAACACTGTAGCTCTCAACACGAAGATATCCCGGAGCTGATCGTTCATCAGAATGTCCTTTAGCTCACCCGCCGCAAACTCGTGGCCTTTCCATGAGGCCTTCAATTCCTTCTGGCCGTCATTAGTTTGTGCCACGCGAAAGTCAAGTCCATCTTCCTCGTTGATACAGGCCCACCAAACGTAGTTGCTGTCCCAATCAACCTTCCCCGCATGATTCACGAAGATGCGAACACCTGGAGCTTCCTCCGCATAACGAATCTTGGCTATGCGAAGCGGGTCGTCCTCCGGCATGGAGAGGTTGAGGAACATTTCCCTTGCGCTGCTCGCCCCTTCCTCAAGGAAACCATAGGAGAACACCATTTCCGTTGCACCTCCGACACCATACATGATTGTAATCTCTTCACCACTGGCGATGCTCTTATCGTCGCGCACAACAAGGACTGCGTTACCATCGTCGTCCACCTCGAACCGTGCATTTGATCTGTTGTCCGAGGCGTGATTGGCCATGTCCACAACCGGCACCATTGAATCGCCCACGCCGCGTGGCAGTTCCAACGCCCTCGAGCGGTATTCAGCGTCGGCCAGCTTCCAGTCGTCCATCGTCAGGATTCCGTTCTGCTCATCCCACCAAGTATCCCTGCACCAGGGCACAGTAGACGTTTCCTCCCTCAATTGGTCGAATTCTTTCTCAAGGCTGGTGAGCTTCTGCTCTAGCGCATCCTTCAAAGAAGTTCCGCTGAGAAGTGCTCGCTCTGCTTCAGTATAAAAAGTCGGCAGAGGGATACTCTTTGGTAAGAATTTCACGTAGTCGGCATGTGGACTCTGCTTCGCACCGGTCCGGTGCTCGTTGTCAGGGCTGCCCATCGTCATCTGATATAGCAAAAAGACTAGGATGAGAAGCCTGGGCGTCTGCATTGCCAGTCAGTCTCGTTTCTTAGACCTACCTTTCGGCCCTCGTATTACAATTCAACCTACTTTTGCAAATGATTCGGCGGCATCGAGAATCGTACGCAGCGTACAATCGACTTTTGCACACTGATCAACTTGGCCACGTGATACAATCAACTCACTAGGCACTTTCAGCAGGATAGCGCCAGCGGACACATCGCGAGTAGCAACAAGTCCGCCGCCCTTGCTGTTACCATCACTATCCAAGATGTTCCGGGTGACTCGAGCAGCTGGTAGCTGGATATCATTCAGTACTGCCCAAGCCGGAAGGCTTTCCGTATCAAGATGGCCGTAACGCATTCTGGGAGTGTTTAGAGCGGAAAGCGCTTCTGAAGCGGCCGCTGGTTTCCCCGTGTATGAGAGTATGAAGAATTGCAGAATCGCGGCAAACCAACCTGCAGTCATCCAAGTCAATGTCGAGTCGAGCAAACACAAGGCTTGGCATATCGATGCCAAGACTGTTCACGTGATTCGCTACTCTGAGCGGTGCCGCCATCTTGACTTCTCCAGATATCCTGCTCGACCTCCATACCTGATGCGGGGTGACTGTATAGAATGACCATCCAACACTGAGCTCTGAGGCACATTCATCGTGACCGGCCATTTTGATCTGACTAACGTGATTGATCTCACCTTCTTGGTAACGTACCCCTGTCCACATTCACCCAGATATCATTAGTCAACCTACACAGCTCTTGCCCTGCGGCAGCATGATCAAAACGATTGCGGAAGAAGTCTTTCATGAGTGACAAAGATGTGTCAATAATGACCCTACTGGTCAGATAGCAATTCACTGATAAGGCTCCCCATCCGCCCCGCTTAGCGGCCCGCTGCCAAGTGCCCGGCCAGGAACGGCGGCGTCCGCCAGTATTGGCATTGACGAAATGCCGGGGTCAGCGGGAGATATGGACAGTATCACAGGCTCTGGATCGCTCATTTGAGATGGAGTTCTCCTCGGTGAGTAATTGGATCGTCAAACACGTTTCCGCGCTGCTTTGCTTATTTCTGTGCTTGAACATCCCCACGGGCATACTACATCCAGCTTGGCTCGCCTGCAGATTGAGCTCGGCATATTGGTAGCCAGTGTTGTTCGAGGCTGTAATCACTTGGCCGCTGCTTGACAGTCATGGATTGCGGTCTGGGGCAAGCCGTTATCGTCAGGTTCCGACGGCAAAGAAGCACGCGATGTATCCTCCACGCGAAATAAAGATGAAGGGTGCCGACGGCGGAAGGCTTTCAGAGCAATTCTTTAGAAGCCTCCAGACTCGAGTCGACAATGGCAGATGAATCACCCGCTAGACCCCCTCTGAGCCAGGGCTTTGGCTATGGCATTCTCATTGGACTTGGCCTTGCCTTTGCTGGGTTCATGATTGGCACGACTTGGGCTCTCAAGCGTTATCGAAGCGAGCTCCAGACCTCCGAAGTCTTCAACACTGCAGGCCGCACTGTCAAGAGCGGCCTTGTTGCCTCAGCAGTCGTCTCCTCCTGGACCTGGGCAGCTACTCTGCTTCAATCTAGCTCGGTCGCCTACCGTTATGGCATCAGCGGCCCATTCTGGTCTGTCAATATCGGTTGATCTTATTCAAGTGCGGATCTGACCTTCGTCTCAGGTATGCGTCTGGTGCGACCGTCCAAATCATTCTTTTTGCGACCCTCGCCATCGAGCTGAAGCGAAGGGCGCCAAATGCTCATACTTATCTCGAGGCGGTCCGTGCGCGATTTGGGAGAGCCGCCCATCTGGTGTTCTTGACCTTTGGCCTCATGACTAACATCCTGGTCACCGCTATGCTCGTTGTCGGAGGTTCAGCTGTGACCGAATCAATCTCCGGTGTTCCAACAGAAGCAGGATGCTTCCTTATTCCTCTAGGAGTTGTGCTCTACACCATCTTTGGTGGCTTGAAGGCGACCTTGATCTCAGACTATACTCACGGTCTCGTCGTTCTGATCATCATCTTCCTCTTCGCCTTCAGTGCGTATGCGACAAACGCAAACCTGGGTTCGCCGGGCGCTGTCTGGGACGCACTCGTAGCAGCCTCTGAGCGTCATCCGGTAGATGGTAACAGAGGAGGCAGCTATCTCACCATGCAAAGTCGTGAGGGAGCTGTATTCTTCGTGATCAACATTGTTGGCAATTTTGGTACTGTGTTCCTCGACAACGGGTACGTCTTTCAGCTGCCACTACTGGCAGGTCACGCTGACTCCAATTTTCCAGCTATTACAATAAAGCTATCGCAGCTTCGCCTGTTGATGCATTGCCAGGTTACATCATGGGTGGTCTCTCCTGGTTCGCTATCCCTTGGCTCTGTGCCACGACAATGGGTAAGTTGGGCCCACAAGTAAAGGTGCTTTCCACCTAATGAGCTCTACTAGGCATCAGTGCGCTTGCCCTGGAGAACAACCCAGTCTTCCCGACCTATCCACAGCGCATTCCCGAGGCCGATGTCACTGCAGGTCTCGTGCTTCCGTATGCTGCACGCGGCCTTCTCGGCACCGGAGGAGCACTTGCTTCCTTCTTCTTGGTATTCTTCGCTGTCACATCCGCCTATTCCAGCGAACTCATTGCAGTATCCTCAATTTTCACCTACGACATCTACCAGACCTACATGAATCCCAAGGCTTCCGGTACATTGCTCATTCGAATGTCCCACGCTGCGTGTATTGGATATGCGTTGTTCATGAGCGCTTTCGGTGTCGGTCTGTACTATGCCGGTATAGGTATGGGCTACCTCTATCTCATGATGGGCTGCATCATCTCAAGCGCCGTTATCCCAGCCACGCTCACCCTACTCTGGAAAGACATGAATTGGATCGCGGCCGCAGGGAGCCCAGTGCTAGGCTTGGCCTGCTCGCTGACAGCCTGGCTCGTCACTTCCAGCAGAGACTGTGGTGATCTGAGTGTCGCTTGCACCGGGTCCAATTATCCTATGTTGGCGGGCAACGTCACAGCGCTTCTGAGCCCACTAGTCTTCGTGCCGGTTTTGACCTACGGCTTCGGCCGCCAGAACTACGATTGGGAGTCCATGAAGCTGATTAGCAGGGGCGATGACTCCGCGCTCATTCGTCGAGCGAGCCTAGAGCCCGAAACTGTCCACGAGTATCGGGACTACACAAACGATGAACAGGAGCAGAAGCACTTGATGAGGGCTGCCAAGATCGCCAGATGGATGACGGTGGCAATGACTCTGTGCTTTCTCATCCTCTGGCCCATGCCACTATATGGCTCGGGTTACATCTTCAGCAAGAGCTTCTTTACGGGTATGTTTCCACCCATCACCGTGCACAAAGGCCTCAAAACTAATCTGTCTGCAGGATGGGTTGTTGTGGGAATTATCTGGCTGTTCTTCAGCACGTTCTGTGTTGGAATCTATCCGCTCTGGGAAAGTCGAAGCACCATCGCACACGTTACGAGGGCGATCATGGGCGATCTCACAGGTAAACCTATCGTGCACGGCAAATCGAGCACCGTCGAAGTAACGGAAGGTCACTCTTCTTCCACGGACAAAGAGGCTGCTACCAAGACCACCAAAAACAATGAAGCGAAAATAGAGCCGTAATGGAATAGTCCTAGGTTGACACGGAAAATAAACCACTTGTGGGGAGGGGTATGTGCGTTTCAGGTCCAGGAGGAAGGGCAACCGTAGCTTTGCCTCTATCTATCCAGGTGCTTTGGGGCAACTCCTTCAATGTTTGCCAGTCTCGTGGGGGTTCCCGTCCAGAAGCAGATACGATCGATTTCCTAGTCCACAATTCGGTCAAGCCTATCTGCTACGTACTCCCATCAAGCTGATCACGATGGGCCTGTGTTTTCTGCAATGACTCTGCGCAGTAGATCGGTATCAAGGTACGCTCTCACTTCCTCAATCGTCTCGCTCGCGTCATCGAACTTGCAGATCCAGCAGTACTTTGAAGCTGTCAGCTTTCGCTTTTAGAAGTGAAGAAAGAGCCTTGCTTGCCATACGGCTTTCAGGTACTGTTTCACGTACGACTGACTAGTACGTATCTAGTTTGCAAGGAGGCAAAGAATCGTTACTTACTCGCATATCGTACTCCATTCCGTTTTGACACTCAGCGTCGATGGCCTTCATCTCGACCACCGCGGTAGTCTTGCCGTTCTCCACAACGGAGGTGATGACATTGACGGGCTGTATACGGAGAGGTGCTGTCAGGACGTCGCGGCCTAGGTAGGAGACGGTGGCATCCACGAAGGCCTTTTTGGAATTGTACTGCAGGCGTGTTAGGGGTCGGCGGTGTTGGGCATTGAGGCGAGCAGGGAATCTTCGAAGAGACTCCAGGCAAAGGGTCCAGCTACGCGACCTTCGAAGCAGCTCGAACAAGCACTTACCACGCCTGAGATGGGAGTCGAGCCCATTACGGTCCAGTGCACTGTTGATGATACATGCTCCCAATAGCGCGCGGAGGTCTCCGGTGAGGAAAGGTTACTGAAGATATCCCGGACGCGGTCTGAGGAGACCGGCATGGTGGTATTCTTGCTGGGCCACAAGCAGTAACGAAGCGAATGTAGGGAGCAGGCTATGGAATCTGGGAAATCCGAGGCAGTGAGGCAATGGCAAGGTATCAGGCAGTGAATGAGGGGTCGCACGTTTATACTTCGATGATGTGTTTGGAGAAAGCAGCCTCCCTGCCCTCGTAAGGAGTGAGATAGCATCATGTGGTTAGTGACGGCCGCAAGTGCATACTATAATTCTGGCATTCTGGTGTTAAGTCCTTGTCACGTCCTCCGTCGACCTGGGATGCGGCCTAGCCGCGGGGAAATATATCTACCGGCTGGCCACGGCGGATATAAGGGGCATGGATACACTACTACTCTCAGCAGCTATTGGTCTGATAGACACGCAGTCGACAAGACTCGCTGCTGTCTGTGATTCGAGTGAATAGTAATAATACGGCAGCTAGGTAAAAAGAACTGGAAGGCGGGAAGGTGGTGGCTTCGCTGAGGAACATTGTCTTTTCTTGCCGTGAGTTTCCGTGGAATGTGGCCCACCATTCTATGTCCGCATCCCGACAGAAGCTGGAATCTTCCACTTTTGGCAGGGTACTAGCTGCTTTGAAACCTTGGCCAGCGTCATTGGCATCGCGTCGCAACGCGCCTCTCTGGATCTTCTGTTGATCTGCTTGACAACCTCTGCTTGCACTTCGCGCCAGTGCCCACAGGGGCTTCCTACTCAAATCCGCGATGGACGGCATACTATACGACACCTCGTATACTGCTTACGCAGTTCCTCAAGCCACTCCTGCACTTTTCGCGCTCCTATCGGCCTCCCCATCGAGGTTGAGCGACCATGCTAATACTCTGCGCGAGCATCTCTCCGCTGACCGCGCCGCCTACGAAGATGAGGAGGAAAGAGAAAAGATCGGCGGTCTACGAGACTGTAAATTTGCTCCTCTGCAGCGACACGAGGCCGAACCACAGGGTGTAGCGATCACGCTTTTTTATGACAAACTGTCCTACAAGTTTGTGCTGTACCGAGGCACTCCATCTCCCACAAAGGCACGAAGCAGGAGGGCCGGCCACAAGAAAGACGAGAGTCTGCCACTGCTGCTCATAAAAGCTACTTCATCACTCACTGCACGGTTTCTTGCCTATCTGTCGCTGCACTTCCATGTGCCCACTATCGCACCACTGAAACTCCCGGTAGGGTATCTAGCAGACGTATTGGATGTTTATGTCGACGGTCTCGTGGATGCGCATCGGCCTGTTGCTAGCGATTATGCTTTACTGGACTTCTTCCGAGATACCGTCGGCGCTATGAAGCTGACTATCTCTCTTACCGATGCTGAAATCGCGAAGAGTCTGCGGACCATTGATGTGGATGTGCCGCCGGAGACACTGTATCAGCTGGTAGTCGAGTCGGAAGCCGGCACGAGCTTTCTGGAAGCTCTTCACAAACACTTACACGCCCGTACCGGACTACTGCTGCCTCTTGCTCCAACGTATCCTGTTCGCCGATCCCAAGACAACGATAACTTGGAGCAAGACAAGACAGAACCACCACTCAAGCTCTCCAGAATTGGGAACGCTGCTTTCGCATTGAGCAGCGAGGGACGGCTGAAGTTCAGCTCCAAAAGCATGCAGGCCGTGGACGCGGTCCCTGGCATTGATAGTGGCGAACACAATGTCGTTAGAAAGGCGAACCAGGATCTGCTCGATTCACTAATCAGAGAAGCTTTGAGCATGGCCGATACAGACTGACTGTGGAAAAGGATATCGAAGGACCCAATTGTGGGGTCAATGACTGAAGACACTTGTCATTACCGAGCCCGCTTTCTCGGTTCTATTTTCTCCTCGGACGACCAACACAATGCTCGCTGAAAGCCAACAATAACGCCACACACGATGCCAGTGCTAATGCTACACTAAAGACTCTGCCTTGGGAGGACAACCCGCGACAACCCGCTACGAGCGGCGTTCATCCATCACCATTGTAAACATTGTCGAAGTTCTTCGAGACGCCTTCCACCATTTTCGACACCTCGTCGATTTCCCTGCTCAAATCTTCGACGTTGCCCGCCAACGCTGCAACTTCATCGAATTTGCGCCTCTTGTTGGCATCAGCGATCATCTCCTGCACCATGAACTTCTGCTCTTCCAAGATGATCAGGCGCTCCCGCAGTTGTTTCTCCTCCGCTTCCAATTCCGATATTCGTGAGCTTGTCACGGAGCTGATGGACAAGGCTGAGGACGAATCGTGGCGCATATGATTGAAATGAATGCTTGCAAGAGCACCTGGTGGCTTTTGCCCATTTGCAAGCGGCGAAGGTCCGCCGTTGGAAGGCTGCTTGGAAGTGCCGTGCGGCGTTGCATGCTTTAGCACCTTGGGCAGAGTCTTGAGCGGCAGCATGTGCAGATGCAGGAACTGGCTGGCGTTCTGATAAATGGCTTTTTGCAGTTTCAGCTGCGTGGGAGACTGGCTCGGCATGTCGCGGATCCGACGTGCGGCAGTGTCGTACTGCGTGAAGCTGTCCATCAGACGTTTGCGGGTGCGAGATGCGTCCGCGATCTGTGTGCTTGTAGGTGGCGAATCCGGGTCTTGGAGAGCTTGCAGCAGTTTCTGGAATTTCGGAAGGAGAAGTCGGATCCCCCGCTCGAATTGCAGCAGGTTGCTGTAGGCGCGTGTGAATGTTGTGATGGCTGGCGTGGCCAGGCTTTCTGCGAAATCACGGTGGGCAAAGAGTGTGTGGTTGCATTCCTTGCAGAGGCGAATGTCAAGGGGGATAGTGCTCGGTGCGTTGGGTTTCTCTGTGGATGGAGGACGGTGGTCAGCTGGATTGATCAGTACGAGATTGGTGGTGTAGGAGGGAAGCGCAATGCTTACGCGATGCAACGTTGAGCGGCAAGATAGTCGAACATCCTGTCGCAGGATCGCCACACACCACCTTGCCGCATGTCCGGCAGTGGTGCCGCCGGAATGTGTATTGAGAGAAGTCCTGTTGGCAGTATGGACAACGCGCAACGTCGGCATCGTCTTGCCACGACACGACACTCTGCTCTAGTGCTTTCCGTGGGTCGTTCTGACCCCATGATAATGACCAGCGCTTGTTAGACGCCTGTGCCACCTCTTCAGGCGGGTTGGCGAACAGCTGCGTCAAACGAGTAAGACGCTTCTCGAGCCGCGAGACCTCCATCGTCTCTTTATCTACTTTCTCCTGCCGCTTCCGCTTGAAAGCCGCCATGTGGTCCCTTTCCAAGCCGTGGCGATCGTTGTATCCCTCCCGGCTCTTGTAGCACGTCTCGCACACCCTCAGCCAGAATCCCCGTACAGGCTCATGCTGTGCCGATCGTGACAGCTTCATCTGATACATCGTGTGTTCGTCGCAGAACAGCTTGCCGCAACATCTGCAATTCACAATTCCCGTTGTCGTTGATCCCAGCCTCTTCCCGCATGTCGGGTCCGAGCAGTTGTCATAGCCAGACCTCCTTTGCCAGTGATCCTTCCTGACCACATCATCCGGATCCACGACCTCTTTTTTCACTTGCTGCTGAGCCGCGATGCCCGGCGCCGGGCTCTTCGTACCATCTCTCAACACGGCAGTGCCTCCACTTCCGCCACCTGTCGCAGATGTCATCGCGGCGCCCATCCCCGCGCCTGGCACCGGTGTGCTGCCCCTCCCCACATCGTAGTTGCTCTCAAACACATCGAGACCTTTCAGCTTCTGGTTCAGGACCGCCAGCGGCTGGAACTTTTTGGCCTTGCTCATCTGCTGCTTGAACCAGTCTGTGACCTCATCCTGCTCCTGCGGCTCAATCTCCTTGTGTACATCGTCGAGGTGGCGGTTCAACTGCAGGAGCGTGACCATCTCCTCGTTGCAGATCGGACACACGAGGCGATCAGTGGCGTTAGAGAAGCTGCGCATGTGTTGGCCCGGTACGGCGCCATAGTCGGTGGAAATGCGTGAGGCGATGTCCTGAGGGTCGGTGGGCGTGGAGAGTGATGGCGGCGTAGAGGAGCCGCCGGTCGGGGTCGGAGTGGAAGAGAGGGAGAGGGAGGAGCCGGAGGGCGAGGCGAGATTATTATGAGGTAAGGGCGAGGATATGGGTGGTCTGGTGCTTAATGAGGTCGCGGGCGCGGCGGCTGCTGCGGGTGTGAGGCCAGCTCCGCTACCGAGGACTCTCCCGCCGCCGATTGTGCGCCTCGACATGGCTTGGTGGAGTTCCCATGAAGATGCGTGTAGACGACCGTATGTCAAGAGGGAGTGTTGCAGTGGAGGGGCTGGATTGGTGGTTGCAGGATGCTGCAAGGGTCGAGGCTCTGTGGTTACGAGGCCGCCTTGGCACAGGCGGTGGCATTGCCTTCATCGTCCGAGCCTGTTCCGTTGGTGTTACTACCCACAACCACACTGTAGGTTAGAGATGTAGGTTACGAAGCGACACAAGAACTGTAAACAAACTACTCTGGTATTGTGAATATCTCATGTCTCATCACTCTCACATTCCGTTCATCGCTCTTCCTACCATGAACCAATCCCTCTAGAACTCTATAAACAACCCTGCCCCGACTTACGACGTTTTGCCAGCGTCCTCCTTGAGACTCACAATCCGGTTGAGAATCACTTTGTCCTTTGTCGTATCTTTGTCCATGCAGAAGTATCCTATGCGCATGGCCTGGAAACGCACAGATTCGGGACCGCAATTCTCCGGCTTCGACTCACCGGCCTCCTGAGGCCACGGACGACGCGCCTCTATTTCATTGAATCCGACCTCAACCATGGCGTTCGGGAAGATCTTGAGACTGTCCTCGCGAATGTCTGCTAGGAAACTGGGCTCGACGTCATCTGGGTTATCTGACTTGAACAGTGGGTTGACGATTCTGGCTTCAGCCTTGACGGGGGACCTGTGCGCTGGCGACTCAGCTACCCACTGGATGTAGGCTTTCGGTTTCTTGAATTTCTCGCCCTCTGGAGGCTTGTCGTAAGTGGCGTGAATTTCTGTCACAAGACCTGTTGACTCGTCTTTGGTGAAGCTTTTAGCGGTGATGGGGAACGGGACTTTGAGGAGGCCGACTGGTTTCCCCGGTGCCATGCGGAAAAAATCCTTGCTGTCCTCCTCTCTAAAGTCATCGCGATCGATGTACACCGTCTTGGTGAACGGCATCTTATGCAACCCCATATCTACATCCTTGGGCCCGAACGCGTTCTCGATCTCCTCGATGTAATCGTCAGGAAGGTCATCAATGATGACCTTGATTGGGTCTAGTACTAGCATGAGCCGCGGAGTGCTCATTTCGAGATACTTGCGTACCGACTGCTCGAAGCGCACGATCTGAATGTTGATTTTTGCTGTGGTGACCCCGAGCTCATTGACGAAGGAGAGAATTGCTCCTGGAGGGACACCGCGACGTCGGAGAGCGACAAGTGTGTAGAGTCGGGGGTCGTCCCACCCGCTTACGTACTTGTCGTCAACCAGCTTCTTGATTTTCCGCTTTGAGAGGACCGTGCCGCCGATGTTGAGTCTGCCGTACTCTCGCTGCATTGGCTTGTGGGGGACGTCGACGGTGTTATTGAGCCACTCGTATGATTCGCGGGATAGTATGAACTCGGTGGTGCAGAGTGAGTGAGTGATGCCCTCGAAGCTATCGCACAGACAGTGAGTGAAGTCGTAGGTAGGATAGATTCTCCACTTGTCGCCGGTCCGGTGATGAGGCTTCTCAAGAATACGATACGCAACCAAATCCCACATCTGAGGATTGCCATTCTTGAAATCATCGGTCTTCATACGTAAGAATGCTTCGCCAGGCTTGTATTTGCCGTCTTTCATGGCTCTAAACTCGGCCAGTGATTCTTCGATCGGACGGCTTCGATGAACACAGGCATATCTGGGCTTCTTGTTCTTGACATCTGTGCCGCCTCTCTGATCTTTGAGATCATCAGGGGTACAGTGGCAGACATAGGCTCCATCAACACTGATCAATTTCTCTGCAAGTTCATACAACTTGTCGAAGGAGTCGCTCGAGTAGGTGATCCGGGCAGGGTCAAAGCCTAGCCAGCGCACAATCTCCTCGATCTTGACGAAATAGATCTCCTCCTCGGCTTCAGGGTTGGTGTCGTCATACCTTAGGTTGCAGGTTCCACCGTAATGTCGGGCGAAGCCAAAGTTGACGGCGATGGCTTTGCTGTGGCCGATGTGGAGATAGCCGTTGGGTTCTGGCGGGAATCGAGTGCAAACGGTCTCATCTTCGGGACGCTCCTTTCTGACTCCTGCCAACCAGCCTTCCTTGAACATTGCATCGGGATCCAGTGGCGCCGCTGGCTCAGTTTTGGCGGGCTTGGGGGGCTTGACGTTAGCCGGCTTCGCGTTGGGATCCTTGGGTGGCTTGGGGGCCTTCGGTTTCTTCTCTTTCTTTTCCTTCTTCTCGGTAGTCCCTGGAATGTTCTCTTTGACGACCTCCTTGACGCGCTCGGGAAGCGACTTGTCGGAGCCGGCTTCTCCCTCCATCTTTGCAGTGCACGTGCAGCTTAATGAAGAGATTGCTCTCCTGTGCAGGTCAAGTCGGCACTATGACCGGCCCTTGAGGCAATTTAGACCGGATCGAAGCAGAAACGTTAGAGTCAATTGGTCTCTTTTCGAGCACGATAGGAGTTACAGATTGAACGAAGGGTGAGTCGAATGGGTGAAACTGGTTCTGACTGATATCCAAAATGCCAAGCTCCAGCCTTGCCTCTGAGTTTCAACAACACCTTATCGGATGAGGACTAACGTTAGTCCGAACAGTTGCATCCGTCACGGCGGACGCCTCCAAATGATGCCACTTGTTCCAGAAAAAGTCGCGGAACTTCGCGCTTCTTCAGTCTTCCATAGACATACTTATTCCTGTTCATAGCACTTTGCTGTTTCGAGCGAGCTCTTGATTGAGGCTTGTTCATCGCAGCCATGGCGTACTCATCATCGAAGCTCGTGAGAAACGAGCAAATACAGTCCGCTAGCCTCCACAATCCTCGACCTTTATTCCTGCGACAATACGTCTGGCCTTTCACCATCCTGTGGCCCGTCTTTTTTGCGATCTACCTCAACGAAGATTACTACGATGACTACATCGATGGAAAAGAGTGGACTTTTGTCTGGATCGCAACCATTGCGACGCTGCAATCATTAGCGTGGCTCTCCACGAAATGGAGCGTCGGCATTGCAACATCGTTCACTACTTACAAAGCCTCGTCAGTTGACCATGCTACCTTGATCAAGGTTATCCCCGTTGTAAACTCGGGCACGCCTGAAATCTGCAAGCTTGAGCGCGAGCCGGACGGCCGAATTTCTTTCATCTATCAGAAACGCCGGTTCCTCTACAACTCAGACCGGGACTATTTCGCACCTCTTACTTTTGCCTTGGATAAAGAAGAGAAGCCTCTTCTGGAAGAATTTCAGCTGTCAAAGGGTCTCACTGAGGAGGAGGCTGCGGAAGTCCATCATCATTATGGAGACAACACATTCGACATCCCAGTTCCTACGTTCACTGAATTATGGAAGGAACACGCCGTTGCTCCCTTTTTTATCTTCCAGATATTCTGTGTCGGTCTTTGGCTGCTCGACGAATACTGGTATTACTCTCTATTCACCCTTTTCATGCTGGTCGCGTTCGAGAGTACTGTTGTCTGGCAACGCCAGCGAACGCTCAACGAATTTCGAGGCATGTCTATCAAGCCATACGACCTCTGGGTCTATCGTGGGCGCAAGTGGATTGAGATCAAGAGCGATAAGATTCTGCCTGGCGACTTGGCTTCCGTCGGTCGGACCGGTGAGGATTCTGGCGTTGCTTGCGACATGCTTCTTGTGGAAGGCACCGCTATAGTCAATGAGGCTATGCTCTCTGGCGAAAGTACACCTCTCCTCAAAGAGTCGGTTCAGCTTCGACCGGGCAATGCCCGCATCGAAGCAGAGGGGCTCGATAAGAACGCATTCCTCTGGGGTGGAACAAAGGTTCTGCAAGTTACTCACCCTGCTACCAGCGAGGGCGGTGAGGTCTCGAAAACTTTGGCTTCTGGCGTTCCTAAACCTCCTGACAATGGGGCTGTGGCAGTCGTCCTCAAAACAGGCTTTGAGACCAACCAAGGAAGCCTGGTCAGGACTATGATCTACGCCACTGAACGCGTCTCTGCGAATAATGCCGAGGCATTGTGGTTCATCCTGTTCCTTCTCATCTTCGCACTTGCCGCCTCATGGTATGTCTGGCAGGAGGGCGTACGCAATGATCGGAAACGCTCCAAGCTGCTCCTCGACTGCATCCTCATCGTCACCAGCGTCGTCCCACCCGAGCTTCCTATGGAATTATCGCTTGCTGTCAACACAAGTCTCGCAGCCTTGAGCAAGTTTGCCATCTTCTGCACCGAGCCGTTCCGCATCCCGTTTGCAGGTCGTGTGGACGTTGCTTGCTTCGACAAGACTGGTACGCTGACCGGTGAAGATTTAGTGGTCGAAGGCATCGCAGGCCTCACTCTCAATCAAAACGGTGTGCCAACGGGCCCTGACGGAGCTCAGACTTCTATTGTTAAGGTGCCACAGGTTGGCATTTTCACCACTTTGGTACTCGCTACGGCTCATGCCCTCGTCAAATTAGACGAAGGCGACATTGTGGGCGATCCCATGGAGAAAGCCACCTTGAATGCTCTGAATTGGTCGCTGGGCAACAACGACACGCTCACAAGCACGCCACCCTCGAGGAACAAGCAAGCTCCGTTATCGGGCTCCGCCAACCATATCGTGCAGATCAAGCGGCGCTTCCAGTTCTCGTCTGCGCTCAAGCGACAAAGCTCTGTAGCTATTGTTCTCATGACCGACCCAAGAACAGGCAAGAAAGGCAAGGGAACATTCGTCGGTGTCAAGGGTGCGCCTGAGACAATCCGTAAGATGCTGGTCGAAACTCCACCGAAATACGAGGAGACGTTCAAGCATTTCACTCGCAACGGTGCCCGCGTCTTGGCTCTGGCTTACAAGTATCTTTCCACGGAAGGCGAGATCGGCCAGAAGCGCATCAATGACCTCAAGCGCGAGGAGGTGGAGTCCGACCTTCACTTTGCCGGCTTCCTTGTCTTGCAAACCCCGCTTAAAGATGATGCTATTAAGGCCGTTCAAATGCTTAACGAGAGCAGTCATCGTGTGGTCATGATTACCGGTGACAACCCGCTCACTGCTGTTCATGTTGCTCGCCAGGTTGAGATCGTGGACAGAGACTGTCTGATTTTGGACGCCCCGGAGGATGATGATACAGGTACAAAGCTTGTCTGGAGAAGTGTTGACGAGAAGACGATCATCCCAGTTGACCCAACCCAAGATATAGATCAGAAGATCTTGGAAACCAAGGATCTGTGCCTCACCGGTTATGCACTCGCAAAGTTCTCTGGGCAAAAGGCCTTCTATCCGCTATTGCGGCATACTTGGGTCTACGCACGCGTCTCACCGAAGCAGAAGGAAGAAATCCTGATAGGCCTCAAGGACCTTGGCTATACTACATTAATGTGTGGCGACGGGACAAACGATGTTGGCGCGCTCAAACAGGCCCATGTCGGTGTTGCCCTACTCAATGGCTCTCAGGATGACCTCAAGAAGATATCTGACCATTTCCGGAGCACGAAGATGAAGGAGATCTACGAGAAGCAGGCGGCTATGATGAAACGCTTCAATCAGCCAACACCACCTGTGCCCGTTGGCATTGCACATCTATACCCACCTGGGCCGAGCAATCCACATTACGAGAAAGCCATGAAGCAACGCGCAGAGGCCAAAGGCATCGATCTTGACGAGAAGGTCAATGGCAGTGCCGAGAATGGTGCTATCGAAGAGATCGTGTCCCCCAGAGCCCAAGCATTACAGCAAGCCAACCTTTCGCCTCAGGAGCGCAAAAAGCAAGAGGCTGCTCAAAAGGCTGCGGGATGGGCTGATAAGCTCACGACGGGCATGCTACAGTCGGAGCTTGAAGATGCTGAGCCTCCCACGATCAAGCTTGGAGATGCTTCTGTTGCGGCTCCGTTCACCAGCAAGCTTGCGAACGTTATTGCTATCCCCAACATCATACGCCAAGGTCGCTGCACGCTCGTCGCTACGATACAGATGTACAAGATTCTTGCTCTTAACTGTCTGATCAGCGCCTACTCCTTGTCGGTTATCTATCTCTCCGGCATCAAGTTCGGAGATAGCCAAGTCACCATCAGCGGGATGCTCATGTCGGTATGCTTCTTGTCCATCTCTCGCGCGAAGCCAGTCGAGGCTCTGTCACGCGAACGTCCCCAACCAAATATCCTCAACATGTACATTCTCGGGTCGGTCCTCGGGCAATTCGCTATTCACGTGGCAACACTGATCCACCTTTCGAACACTGTCTATAAATTTGAACAACGGGATAGTGAGGTGGATCTTGAGGGAGAGTTTGAGCCTTCGCTCCTCAACAGTGCCGTCTATCTCATGCAACTCATTCAGCAAGTCTCCACGTTCGCTATCAACTACCAGGGCCGACCATTCCGCGAGAGCATCAAGGAGAACAAGGGCATGTACTATGGTCTGCTTGCTTGCTCCTTTGTGGCTTTTGCCGGAGCTACAGAGTTCATGCCTGAATTGAACGAGCAGCTCAGTCTGGTCAAGTATCCAGAAGGTTTCAAGCCGACTCTCGTCGGACTGATGGTCATTGACTACTGCGGATGCTGGGTTGTTGAGCAGGTGTTCAAGGCTCTGTTCAGCGACCTGAAGGCAAAGGATATTGCTGTCAAGCGGCCTGATCAGATGGAGAGGGATGACAATCGCAGGAAGGCAATCGTGGAGAAGGCAGAAAGGGAGCGCATTGAGGCTATTGAAAAGGCACGGGGTGTTGCCAACAACACTCTTCCCGCGCGCAAAAGATGAAGGGTGGACAGTGCCAAACTTCCGTTGTAATATAGACTAGAGAGCGCCTGAATACTATATCTACTGCATATTTCTCACATAGCAGGCCGCTGAATGATAACTTCAGTACACAAATCCGGCTCAAACAGCTCCTGCTGTCGATCTCAGGAACTCGGATGCGGGGACTCGGTGATGAGGCGGCGAATTTCGTCGTGGGTCGAGTTTGCCCCACGGCGAGAGTTAGTGGTGGTAAGGCAACAAGGCGCCCGCTGTCGGTGTTATATACCTACATAGCCGAGTCAAAGAAGACTCCAGTGTCAATCCAACTCCCTTCCACGGGTCCGAGGAATGCAGCTTCACGTGCACTCCTCGAGGAGGGAAGCCGCAGCCGAGGTTGCCAAGACCAGCCCCTGTCAGGAGGAGGACGACTAGAGCAATGTTCACCGTTAACAGATCAATGTATCTACTTTCTTCATAATCTAGTCTCAGTACCGCATTGATATAACTTCTCCGCGCGAGAGAGGAACAGATTTTACTACACCTGTCTGAGGGGCAAACATGACGCGACAGCGATCAATACTCACCGAGGAGCACGTGCGAGCTCTCAAGCCAGCCCTTCGCGCCTACGTCCTCTGTTATGCAGCATCTACGGGCCCAAGACTCTTTGGGTTCCTGAAGATGCTTCGAAGGCGAGATTTGTCCATGGTGCAGAAGTCGCGTGTTCTGGTCACGATTCTGAGGACTTCTACGCAAATCAACCGCTTCCCAATTGCGGGTGCTATCCTGGTCGCAGGACCCACCATCACAACCCGACTTGTGTCTATCCTACTGCGACTGCTTTCCAGCAGAGTAGAAAAGGCACCTGCGCGTTCATTAGACATGGACTCGCTGTCTCGCCTGCGCTTTCTGTGTACCTTTTTGTCTGCGTGGCTTGCATTCAATCTGCTCAATCGCGATAAAGAGTGGGCTTGTAAGCGTGCACGTTCGAGGGGTGCGATCGAGTTTCAAGCCTCCAAGACCGAGTCTCCGAACAAACACTATCTGCCGGATCCGAGCTACCGGCCAAGTTATGCAGGCAAGACCATTGATTTCACCTTATTTGCTCTATGCCGAGCACTTGACGTCCTTGTGATCTCGATGTGGACTCGGACAAGATCGTCACGACACCATCCAGAGCATGCGGCACCGCGATTGGCCAAGCTCGGGAAGAAGTTGGTCGACCCTTGGGTCTTTGCCACCTCGGCCTCCATCATCATGTGGAGCTGGTTCTACTCGCCTGAAAGACTACCACGAGCTTACAACCATTGGATCTCAACCGCAGCCGATATCGATTCAAGACTCATCACTGCGCTGCGACGGTGTCGAGAAGGCGAGTTTGTGTATGGGCAGGACAGTGGTCAAGCTCCGCTGCTCATGAGTCTGTGTGATGAATTAGGTCTGCCGCAAGCATGGGGTGATCCTTCGAAGACGATTCCGATTCCGTGCGAATTGTACCACTGTGGCAGAGGCAGTAGCTGTGAAATTCACGGCTTATCAAGATTCATGAACAGCTTCAAATTCTCTATGGAGCTCTACCTCCCTTTGCAGCTCCTTACCAAGATCACACGACCCGGTAAGACGGCTGTCCTAGCAGCAACAGGGGCAGCGGCTCGCTCTTCATCCTTCCTGGCCGCATTCGTCTCACTGTTCTACTACTCGGTGTGCTTGGCGCGCACCCGTCTGGGACCGAAAATCTTCTCTCCAAAAACCGTGACAGCTCAGATGTGGGATAGCGGACTCTGTGTGCTTGCCGGCTGCATGGCTTGCGGTTGGTCCATACTGATCGAGCAGCCTAATCGAAGGCAGGAGATTGCATTCTTTGTCGCACCCCGTGCCCTGGCAACTTTATTACCCAGAGTATACGACAAAGCTCACCAGAGGCGAGAGCAGATCGTTTTCGCTTTGAGCGTCGCCATCGTCCTCAATGCCGCCAAGACTGGACCAGATACTGCAGTCAGGGGGGTGCTGGGACGGGTCTTACGGGGAGTCCTCAAGGAGTAGACCCGAGAGTTCAAGTCTCTCGGCATACGATTTGCTACATACAAGTTCTCGTATTCGATGCTCTTGTGAGCGTGCTCTTGCGAGGCTGCTGAAGAAGCACTAGGGGTCGACAAAATTGGCAGGAAGACTCCGAAGCTCACAGCAGACTGCCGTCCAAAAGCCTCGGATATGTAACCGAGGAGGGCGCCAGTCAATCTTGTCGATCCTTCATTGTGACCATCTGGAAACCCGAGAGGCCTTCACGTCAATTGTGTCGGCATCTGGCAATCAGCAACTTGGCAGCCGACGAAATTGGTCCGCGAACCCTTGGACGGGGCATTATCGTAACAATACCAGATATGTGCGAAGTTCATGCCCCCTCGCTAAACCTTCCGCCAACACGCCGCGCTGGGAAATGCGTCGGATGCCATTGGTGACCCCAACTTCCGGGGTAACTCCAATGGTGTGCGGGGCTGCATAACCGATGTGGCTCCTCTGCTTAGGCATATCAGACTCACCACATCATCTCGCATACATTGATAAAGCTGCAGTCATTCGCACCTCCTGAGCCCTGAAAATGTCAGCAGACTCATCTTGTTCGCGAAAGGACCAGTGACTGTACGCCAAAAGTGCACTGAGCTTGCATACATCATGGCACTCTTTATCCTAACTCTCGCCGTTGCCTTACTGGCCTCTGTTCTATATGCCGTCGTTTTCGTTGGCCGCCGCGACCGCCGTCTCCCACCAGGTCCGCCAACGCTTCCAATCATTGGTAACCTCCACCAGATTCCAACCAAAGGCAGTTACTTCACCTTCACCAAATGGGCGAAGCAGTATGGAGGCATCTTCTCTCTCAAGCTCGGACCTGGCACCGCCGTCGTCTTGACCGACCGCCGCCTGGTCAAGCAGCTCATTGACAAGAAGTCTGGAATATACAGCAATCGACCGCATTCCTACGTCTCCCACAACCTCATCACGGGCGGTGACCACATCCTGATCGCCCATTATGGCAAGATCTGGCAGCAGTATCGAAAGTTCATCCACCAACACTTTATGGAGCGGATCGTGGAAGAAGACCACCTCCCCGTGCAGCATGCGGAGGCATCGCAGATGGTGTATGACTTCATGACGCAGCCGGAGCAGCATATGCTGCACCCCAAGCGGTACAGCAACTCCATTGCCATGAGCACCATCTGGGGCGTGAGGACACCCACGGTCGACACGCCGCATATGCATCGGCTGTATGATATGATGGAACGCTGGAGCGTAGTGATGGAAGCGGGCAACACGCCGCCTGTTGAACTGTTCCCTTTTCTACATTACGTACCGGAGAGCTTACTAGGCAACTGGCGGCAACGGGCAAGTGATGTTGGCGATGAGATGAACTCACTCTACGGGGATTTGCTCGACCAGATCTACGCTCGGCGCGAGAAGGGCGGTAAGATGAAAACTTTCATGGACCGGGTTCTGGATCAGCAAGAGAAGTTGGAATTCAACAGACACCAGTTGTACTTCATGGGCGGGACCATGATGGAGGGGGGTTCGGACACGTCAGCGTCGATACTGCTTGCGGGCCTTCAGGCGATGGCAAAGTGGCCAGAGATCCAGCGGAGAGCGCAGCAAGAGATTGATGCCGTGGTGGGTCAGGATAGGTCACCGACGTGGGACGACTACAAGAATCTGCCTTATGTGGCTGCCACGGTAAAGGAGGCGATGCGCTGGCGGCCAGTCACGCCGCTGGCCTTCCCACACTGTGTGGACGAAGGTGAGTCTTGGTCACTTCTAACCAAGAACTTTCCAGCTAACTCGCAGCAGACGACTGGGTCGACGGCATGCTCATCCCTAAAGGTACGGTCGTCTTCATCAACGTTTGGGGCCTACACCACGACGAGGAACGGTTCCCGGATCCTGAGCGATTCGATCCCGACCACTTCAAGGGCGTCACCGCCCTGGCCTCGGAGCTGGCACAGTCATCCGACCCCGATGACAGGGACCACTACGGCTATGGGTCCGGCCGCAGAATGTGTCCCGGCATCCACCTCGCGGAGCGGAACATGTTTCTGGCGTTCGCGAAGCTACTGTGGGCTTTTGAGTTCAGTCCCGGTGAGGACGAGCATGGGAGGCCGCTGGAGATCGTCACGGACCCGGCGACTGCATACTCTGAGGGGTTTCTGGTCTGCGCGAAGCCCTACCCGCTGAGAACGGTGGTGAGGTCGGGCGAGCGGAGAGATACGATTATTAGAGAGTATGAAGAGGCGAGGCGGGATGTGTTTTCGAACTACCCTTCGTAGCAGACTTTACTGGTGGACTCGCAACGGACTTGTCGCCACAGACAATCTTCCACCCGCCATAGTTTTGAGATGTTTCATTCACCAGTGCGCTTTTCTACTGTCGCAGTTTTCGACGCATGAGCAAACATGGAATACCCGGATGTTCACATGAGGACCTTCGCGACTGCCACGAAGTGGGTCGAGGAGGGTCGCCGCTTCCTCCCGACGGCGTGACAAACACATCCTCACTCCTGCCGTTGAGTTTCATAAAAGAGCCAGCCCACAGATGTATATACATGGCAGGCTGCCAACAACCAGCCGTCAACAACACCCTATCGTCGTCAAACCTTTTGGCCCAGAAGATGAGCAGTTCCACGAAATGTCGAGCGCTGCCTTACCCTTCGCAAGTGTACAGGATCGAAGCCGTGAAGAGGCCAGATCAACGACGGGGTCCTCCTGACAACAATATCATGAACCCCTGCCATTCAGACGAGAAACTGTGGTGCCCTCCGTGTGACTCTATCAACGATTCCTTCCGAGTCGAACATTCCGATACAGTCCTCATCAGGAACGTGAAGGAATGGATTTATTAGAAGCGGTGGCACAGGCCTCAGACGCTCTTCCTCACTCACCGTTTGGAGTCCTACAGATGCTACGGAGAATGAAGCTGCGCTGGGCAGCCCTCCCTCACTCAATACGGCTGGACGTCTACCACTTGACCAACTCCTGCACTTTGATGGGTAATCCGCTCTTCATCGAATGGTTGGCGCCAACGCCTACCAGCACTGCATTACCACCAGCTCGCAGGTAGGCTGCGCGCTTGAACTGATCCTCCTTCTTGCCCACCAGCACGTCCTCGAGCAGCACTGGATCGCCGCCACCGTGGCCACCAGACCCCTTCTCAACGTCTACCACGTACGGCTTGTCCCACAGTGGGTATACGACAATCTTGGTCTGCTCGACGCCGCCTTGGATGTAGTTCTTCTCCAGGTCGCCCAGGCCCTGATTGGTAACCGCCTCGCCACCGGCCGAGTACCCGCCCTCGACAACGTTGATCTCGATGCGACCCTTGCTGCCATTGAAGACGCAGCGGTAGCCCTCCCAAGGCGCGTACGCGTACGTGTTGTACGTCATCACGGCGCGGTTGCTGTACTTGATGATCATGGACAGGTTGTCCTCGATGGAGATGCCATCGGCGAAGCAGTTGCGGTCGCGGATGTAGCCGTCCTCGTGCTCGGCCTCGAGGTACAGTTTCTTCAGCTGGGCATTCTTCTCGATATTGATGGCGAAGGGGTCGCTCTTGGCCTCGTCGTTGTTGAGGTAGCGCTCGCCCAGGTTCTTGACACCGCGTCGCTCCGCGTTCTCCCGTCCGTAGAAACGCAGGTCGCCCAGACAGTAGACGAGCACGGGTTCGGTGTCCATCCAGAAGTGCACCAGGTCAAAGTGGTGGATGGACTTGTGCATCTGGATGCCGCCGCTGTTGGCCTTGTCGCGGTGCCAGCGCCTCATGAAATCGCTACCGTGCGCACAGTCCAGGATCCAGTCCATATGCACGGTCGCGATCTCCCCAATGGTGTCCGAGGCAATGAGCTCGCGGATCTTGGTGTGGTGTGGCGCATAGCGGTAGTTGAAGAGCACACGGATCTGCTTGCCCGTCCGCTTCTCGGCATCGATCATGGCCTGCAGCTTCTCCTCGTCAATGGTCAGAGGCTTCTCCGTGATGGCATCGCAGCCCAGTTCCAGCGCCCGAATACAGTAGACATGGTGGAATTTGTCGATGGTGGTCACGATGACGACGTCGGGCTGCTGCTCGGCCACCATCTTGTCGAAGTCGCTTTCTTTGTAAGTAGGCAGTCGCGAGCCGCCGAGCTCGACTATTCGATCATTGGCGGCGTTCATGCGGGTTTGATTGGTGTCGCACAGGCCGACGAGGGTGGCAACATCGCTGTGGTCATTCAGGATACTGCTGTAATAGAAGGAAGAGCGGACGCCGCAGCCGACGATGGCGTAGCGTTTGAGCTGGACGGAACCCATATTGTGCGGATGAGGGGGGAAGGGATACTGAGGGTGAAGAACGATCCACAAGGTGTCGAGGTGCTCTACGTGGTTGAATGCAGGCGAATGGGCTCTTTGCCGCGGTTATATACAGGCTGTTGGCTTGTATCAGGGCGTCAGACATCTCAAGCCCGTGCAATGAACCCCATCGTACACGCATCAAATGGAGAATCCTGTGCACCTCGTTCCACCAGCAGCGGTGGATTGGATCGTTCAACCACAAATGAGACGTCCTATGTCAAGACATAAGACGCCACGTTTGCCTGCACAACTCCAACGGGATGCAGGATGTCCTCTGGAGACTCGGAAGGGGGAGCTGGGAGGTTGCCGACCCCGTCTAGGGAATGTCCCGCCTGCGCGCGGTTAAATGCCAGGTGTACTGGGTGGAGTCTAGCTCATGTTGCTCGGGCTCTGTCTCGATACGGCACAGTGCTTCGGACTGGATTTTGAAGTGGCCAAGGTGGATGCTCTGCGAGTCGTCCAGGTGGGATGTGTGTGAGTGTGCTGCTCTACAACCTTCTGGAGTGACAGTTCCATATCCTAACGTCTACGGACTGACTCTCGAGCATTAATAAGAAATGCCAAATGCTTTTGCAGATAGAAGCTGAATGACCCCGGGAATTGTTACAGCGTGGTATAAAACTGCTTGGGTCCTTTCCCAGAACCAGACAGCCAGCTTGTGCTCTCATTTATATGTGGGTTGGAATACTCTGTAGTGCAGCGAGCGTAGCTGCTCTCTGTCCAACGCAATGATACCGACCGATCTTCCTCAGTCTTCAGGTGAGTGTTGTCATTCTCCCGTGCGCTTCTTACGTAGGAAGAGTCCTCTTCGTGGCCCGTTTCTATCCCGTTTCTATCCACTGCCGTACACATTGCTACGCCGTGGTTGCTCTGATATGGTACTCACCTTCCCGTACGTGAGGTCCACTGACTCTGACGGTGGTCCCTTCGCGATGGATGACGGCTTTGCTGAAGTTTCTGGCCGACAAATTCTTCTCGGTGAATAGAATGTCAAGCTCCTCAAAGGTCCGACCACCCGTCTCTGGAAGTCTAAACCATGCCCATGCAAGTGACAGCACAGTAAGTCCACCAGTGAGCAGACCTGTCCTGCCCTTCCAGTCGCCAGCGTCTGGGTTCAGGATGTAAGGGCTGACGGTGGAGTTGATCACACCCAGAATTAGATACGTGCCTCGGGCAATGGCGATTGTTTTTGAGCGGAGCCGGGTACTGGACACCTCACCGTTGATGACATAAGGTAGAGGACCGATCGTGAGGCACCAGATGCCAAACCAGAGTAGGTATATTGCGGACAATGCATATCCAAAGCCAGCAGTCTGGCGGGCCAGGGCAAGAAAACCGATCAAGAACATGAGAGCTGCCAAGACAGCAAGCCCCCAAAGGAACAGCTTTCGGCGGCCATAGTTTCCACTGAGTGCTGCCGAGGCCAGATTGCAGACGAGATGGATGCCGCCGATGCCGAGCGTCATCTTGAAGGAGTCGTTGGGGCTCAGTCCTGCCTGCTGGAACCAGTATGTTGCGTAACCTTGAATCACAAACCCTGATGTGACCTGGATGCCCCAAGAAGCCGCGGCAATTTCTGTCCGCCTCCTGTCGGTGCCAGTGAAGCAGGACCAGTACGATGTACCTTTGTCGATGTCCTTTTCGAGGTTGTTGGTTTCGATCATGAGGGCCAAGGCCTTCTTGGCCTTTTCCTGTGCAATCTCCTTGTTCTGAGCCGACGACAGTCGCATTATGGACTTCAATGCTTGCTCCTCACGACCTTTCCGAACCAACCACCAAGGACTTTCTGGACAGAAAATCACAATGGGCAGTATCAGGACAGGCCAAACCCATTGCACAGCAAAGGGGATGCGATAGGCCCATTGATCCATGCGGGTGTTCAGACTGAAGATGACGGCGAAGGAGAAAAACTGGCCAATGCCCCAGCAGCAAACAATCCAAGTCTCTAGGTAGCTGCGCAACACGAGGGGCGCGACCTCGGATGAAAATGCAGGGGCGAGGGTAGTGAACATACCCCATGGGACACCACATAAGATCTGTCCAACGAACAGTTGTTCCACGCTCGGTGCGGTAAATTGAATGGATATCAGGCCGGTGAGCGCAATCATGGCTGCGATAAGGATCTTTTTATGGCCGAAGCGTTCGGTGAGGGTTGCGTTGAGCCAGATGCCGAAGATATTTCCCACCCCAGTAATCATACCCAAAGCCATCTGCCAACGGGGATCCAGCTGGTATTTTCCGGGAGAGCTTTCATGGCCATATCTCTGCTGGAACGCGGGAAAGGCAAACAAGCTACCCATCAATGCAGTGTCATACCTAGAGCACGTCAGTGAGATCCAAACGTATGGGTGCTTACTGACCCGTCCATGATAATGCACAAGCTCACGACCCCTGACCAAGCGCAAGCCTTGGGATAGCGCTTGAGGGCCTGCAAGAAGGTGGTGTTGTGTTCATCCTCAGTTGCAAGGAGGGCATCCTCGGCGAGGTTGGCTCGATCCTTGGTGGGCTCGCTACTCACACTGTCGACTTTATCAAGACTCTCGACATGATGCGAGCCTACTTTGTCGTGATTGGCGGCGGTCATGCTGCGAGTCTTGATGATTTGATGGTGATGCGGATGGCTTGGATGTCAGACCGTCGGGAGATATGGACATACTTATTGACCAATGTTGGTGTCACCGCCGTGGATCAGGCTCAGCGGTGCGCGAATCCTAAACCCCATTCTGGTCGGTATGTCGGGCGTGGGGACCACATGGACGACAAGAGTTGGCCACTCGGTTAGGCGACTGTACACCCACATGGCTGGGGATGTTGCATTACCCCGTGGGGATCGCGGCTAGCCATCGCAGGCTGAGCGTTTTCGGGCAAGCCTCTCCGGCATCAAGTTTTTCGGACACTGTACCTGCTGTGGTGACTTCAGCGCGACGAATGCCATCAGAGCCACGCGACCGTGCGACGGCTCGTGTGTGAGTGGCACAACAAAGTGCGCATCGAAGCATTATCTGTACCAGATGATTGGGGTGTGGCAGATCCGTTTGTGTAACTTGACAGCTTTGTAGCAAGGATTTTGGCCTTTGCCTTCCTCTGCTCTCTTGGCAAGGCAGGTGGCAGGTGGCAGGGACCACGCCCACCGGACTTTGAAAGCAAGTGCACAGGTGGTCTGGTCGACTCCCCTGGTAAGGTAGCAATGTAACAGATGATGGATGTGCATGAGGATTGCCCTCTTTGGGTCGGCATCTTCCCCGCAAACGCACAACTGCCGCCCGCTCGGCGCGACTCCGGATCGGGGGTTGCCGACCACCATTGACTCGTTGCTTTATAGAGGTCGGATCTTCCCGACGCAGTCAAGGCAATTCTGAAGCATTCAATGCAAGTCGATGCCGCTCTGACAGACTGTCCAACAAGAGCGTGGGCCGCATGGAGTTGGTATGGCAATCTTCCGATGCACCAGTTCGGAAGCGCACGTCACAAGATGAGTCTCTCCATGCAAAGCTCATTAGAAATGTGCGTCCGTACACTAACAGAATGCTGCTCTACCCTGCTCAAGCTGCCGATTCAAGAAGAAAAAGTGCTACCATGAACATGACAAAGCATTGCTGGATTCGCCCCAGCGGGCCCAGGTCAACACTCGAGAGTCAACGCCCGGGGGAGGCCGTGTCAGTGATTATAACCCGGAATCGGTCCTGGCGGCACTTTCGAGTGGTCCAGAACCAATTGCCACTGTTGAACAGCCTGAACCAAATCCCATCCCCTCGCACTGGCTACGAGGCTTCGCACAGGCAGGCGCTCAAAGTCCCACTTCTGCGCACAGAGCACGCCGCCAGTTGAATTGGTACAAGCGACACAGGCGACGAACAGCCCCCCAGCAGCGCTCCGAACACTACCAGAGGTATCTAGAGGAAGTAGGTGCGGTGTATGATTTGCCAAAGACTACGGTAGATGCTCTTCTGCCCATCTACGTATCCCTTCTCGATGATCTCATTCCTGTTGTTGATGCTGCCCGAGTCTATCGCGAGCACAGCAACGACAAAGCTTCCTCATGCTTGGTGCGAGCTATCTGCCTCGTCATTTCCAAGGCCAAACAGGCTGCTCCGTTCCTGAGGTTGCGCGCCGATGGACCAGTTCTGCCGCCTCTCGACTTCGCAACCAGTTTATTCACAGGCCTAGACGCAGCTGTCAAGGCAGAGCTTGAGCTCGACCGAATCACCAAGATTCAGGTTCTAGCTCTGATGCATCTACACAACGACGGCCTGGCCGGCATGGACCGTGCTTCCGGCCAGCTCTCACAAGCAATCAATGAGGCCTGGGCGTTGTCTTTGCAATGGAAGATACCTGGCAACACGGACCAGGAACAGTGCGACTATCTGTGGTGGACCTTGCGCAATCTCGATCGCTTGAACAAACCAGTCCAGGGAGCAGCACCATTCATAATTGACGATAGCGATATATCCATCGAGCGAATCGCCAGCAAGGAGGAGAGCTACAGATCGCAGGTCATGGACGTCTCTCTAAAACTAGGTGATCTCATGATCAAGGCAACTAAGGTCTACAAAGCTAGCTCAACCGCAAGAGAAGATGACTGTCACAACTTTCCCTCCTTCTCTGATATAACATCTGATGCGCTTCTCGGCAACTTCCACAGCGCACATCGAGGCAAGCTGTCCCATCGTCTTACGTCATGTATCCTAACAACAGCTTAGCGTACCTTGAGGTCTCGTATCACATCGCCGCGATGCTGTCCTGCAAATACAGCGGACCTGCCACGGTCCACTATAACCGACGTCTCGCCTCGGCAAAGCGGATTCTCGAAATCATTTCCTCAGCAGGAAACGACAACCTGCCTCCCCTCCCAGTAATTCCATATGCAATGTCAATGTCCACGACGATGATCTATCGAGCATTCAGCGATAAACAAGAGACACTCGACACTACCCTCCAGAACCTCAATCGTTGCTGCGAGGCCTTAGATGTACTAAGCCGCCGTTGGACTAGCGCTAAAGGCATTGCACGTCTGGCCAAGCGCCTGGTCAAAGTTCTTTCGCGTTATGAAACAGCACAACACAAGCTGAACAAAAGTTCAGAAAGGATCGGCACTAATTATGGGCGTGATCGTCCCTCTACGGCGGACACGGACCAAGGACCACGTCCCGGAGGTCAATCGAGCACTAGCACTCTTCCTACATCGCTGCACCCACAAAATGTGCTCGAAGCAGCCCCTAGCGACCTCGTCGACACAGCAGAGCTAACCTTCAACCCTCAGTCAAACATGGCAGCCCAACGGCAAGAAGATTGGCAAGCGCTCGATGCCTCCTACACCCAGCTTGACCGAGCGTTCAGCGATTTGTACGACTATGGAATGCCCAACGCATTTCGCGACCCTGCCACATGGGAGATACTCCACTACATGAATGAGGAGGCCAGTTCTACTGGCGGCAGCGATTTTCAGGTTCCGACTTACTTCTCACCAGATATCGACTTTGGATATACAGGTATTGGGATCAATGATACCGGACATACAGAGCAGCAGTAGGCATAGTTTCGGGGAAACGATAAAACCCCAAGAAAGAGCGCCAGACTGTGCCGATTTAGCGCTACGATTGCTCTGCTCGCGCGTTGGATTTTCAGGCAGTAAAGGTCTTGGCACCATCGCTCGCGTTGCCTGCAGGGCTTGTAGGTGCCGAAGGCTTCTACGATGTAGTGTTTGATCAGAGGGCCGCGTGTCCAGCCCATGGAGCGGCCGATGGAAGTGCACAGATTCCAGCCAGGTGCTGTAATGCAATACGTTAACAAGCGTCGACATCGCGCCGAGTTGAGGTAGTTGAGCCGAGTGTGGGACTTGATCGTGCGTGCGAAAAAGAGATATAAATTATACGACTACGTACCAGGCGCGGAGTAATATATACGGTCCCGAACACCACCCGAGCGACTCAACCACATCACGTGATCTCTTTGTCCGATGTTTGCTACAAATCAGAGTGAGGTATGCTATATCAACCCATCTTGGGCACCTGTCAATTCTCTCACTCCTTTATCTCATCTGACCTTGAAGCTGGCCGAATCATTCCTGCGCCCGTGACAAGAGCTGCTGACTCAGCAGAGTTTACTACGTAGGTCCCACCATTGCACAAGAAGCTCAGACCTACTTTCTGAGATTCCGGAGGAGCTAGAATTGGCTTGAGTCCCTGCCATCGTTGTGATCGACAAGCTACCTTAGCCATCGATCGTGTCTGACTCACAATCTCCAAGACTGTGCCCTGACTGGGTGTGGCTCAACGGCGCCAATGTTCAGTAGGTGCGCCCCTCCTCCCCTCCCCTAGCCTCATCACGAACCAAATCGCTGACGATAGTTATAGTGTAGCAAAGGACGGCGACTAGTTCAAGACATACACTCCGATCTCCTCCAAAGTCACCGCCGGCAGCCCCGCCATGCCAGGCGACCTCCTGGATGTCATCGGCATAGGAACTGTCGAAATCCCAACTAAGCGTTCGCCAAACCTATCCGGAACCGCTGCCCATGGCTCATTGATCCTCGACAATGTGTTGCATGTGCCCAACGCCTTGTGCCATGGGATTGGCCATCCTATCTTTCACCAAGGATACAGTGTGATGACCCATTTCACCGACAAGTTCTTGGGGACCATCAAGGATCAGAATGGCAAGAATGTGGCATTCTTCGATCCAAACAAGAGATTGTTCGGCATCAAGCTGAGAGAGACACCCCGGACCTTCGACCTTTGGGGCCGTCAATCATGCGGGTGGGCGAGGGTCAAGAAATGGCTCTCGCTATCGGCTACTCTGGCCCGCGGAGGAGAGACAGAAAGTGGCCAATTTCCTATTTCAGCAAGCTCGAGAGAACACCGGGGCTTCTACCAGTAGTGCACAGAACGGGCAGCCTTCAAGCAACGACGACCACTATACAGACGCCGAGAAGGCCTTCCTCAAGAAGCACTACGGCAGCGAGCTCAAGTTTCTCATGACCCAAGGTCTCAGCATCTACAAAGACGAGCGTCGTGAGGACGGCCGCCAGATCCTCCGTGCATTGATGCAGGATGAGGACGAGGATGGCGAAGACGACGAAGAAGGTTCCGAATTCGACTTCACCGGCCACCAGGCCGACTACAACTTCACACACAAACAGCTCGACTGGATTGAAAAGAATTACAAGAACTCCGAGAACTTCATGATCTCGTACGGGCTCAAGTTCTATGATAACGATGATCTCCACGAGGCGAAGGCGATTGCCAACGCAATGATGAGAGACGATGACGACTGAAGGCGGCGGCGGCGGCATTGCAAGTCTTGAAGTATGATGCGACAAAAGTATCGATGATTCGCAACACAAATTTTCTCAACACGTCGGATGCATTCTCATACGGTATAGGTTCTCGTTCAGGGGGCGTACAGATTATGACCAAGAGTAGCATCTCACACGCATTGTGAACGTAAAATATTGACCATCAGCAATTTTATGACCGCTGCATTCACCTACAGTATGATGTCGCATCGGACCTATATTCGTCTCACCACCGGCGCTCGTGCACCTCATCCGAAGCCGCTGAGTTATCCCAGTCATCAATATGCTCCCAGGTTAATGCCTGCCCTTGGTCCATTCTGGTTCGTTATCCCACTCGAAGTCAGCCCAGTCATCTTCACTCAAAGCAGCATCTTCATGTTCGATCTCGGTGATGCTCTCGTATCCAGAAACACTGTTCTCAACTTCAGAGCTATGGACAGACGTTAACTCCAGGCTCGAGAGATGGTCCGGGAAAGGGCCGTCTATCGGAAGACGGGCATCTGGTGCATCTTCATCGAAAACGTCGGCGAGGCCCAAGCTTTCGACTGACTCTTCTATCGAGGGAACGGGGTAATGCTCATTATGGCTCCTGTCTAGTCCAAGGTTCTTGAGCCACAGAGAAAAGTTGTCGGGGTCAGGTACTTTCGCTCCGAGAAGAGGTGTTCCAAGGATGGGCCAGCGACTTTCGCGGTAGTCCACCTGCCACTTCGGCCAACCAAGATACTGATATTGGTACAGCCTGGCAGGGACAAGAGCCATACAATCAGGTGTCGCACACGCTGCAAAGTCGACAGTCTCCGCGGGCAAGACAGTAGATCGATGTGATCTAGTGTCAAGTCGAGCGCCGAGGCATTCTGAAGGAGATATCACCCAGTTCGACAACTGGTACGAATCTTGGGGTCTACAAATGGTAGCCTCGAAAGAGTCCCACCTTCGTTCGGTCGTCTCGGGATCGTCGTCGACAAACACATCTTTGAGGAACCCTATACTAGATTCCTTCCGTGTGAGTCGATCTGTGTTTCCCCTTTCCAACGTGTCAGGCAGGGTTGGGAAGATTAGCTCACAGTCGACACCGCAGATGTCTTGTAAGCCAGTTCTGGTGTTTGGAACAGTTGCCTTCGAAGCCGATGGGTCCTGCTCTGCATTGCAGAATACTGATGTCGGGTTGCTTGAGGCCTCAAAGCCACATAGACCAGAGGTAGATGCTTCAGATGGCGGAAGTTCCGCGACTCCCCAGTCTGATGGAATGAGCCAGGGCAGCCGAGGGACGTTGCAGAACTGTCTTGCGATCTGACAGACTGATCTCTCCATGGAGCACAGCAGGGTTGGAGCGGAGCTATCGTGCTTTCCGGCTTCTTCAAAAACGAGACTGCCAGCATCGCAGCTTGGGACACCAGCTTCAACCGTGTTTAGGTCACATGTTAAGAGGAACGCACTGATACGTTCGTCCTCCAGACTGTCATTGGGCAGCGTGAACAGTTCATGACTGCGTTGGTGGTGCAGCAGAGGACTTGGAATGTGGACGCTATTGAGGTTGGGTGCAAGCTCAAGAGGAATATCGTCCGATTCATCAATGTGAAGGACCGCATCATCATCTGGCAGTCGAACTTGAGTAAGCCCGGGTGGGGAGTTAGGAATCGAAGGTAGCAGCGGCGACCATGAGAGGACAGGAGACTTGGCTTGGGAAGTCAATGGTGGCGAGTTGGGGATGGAAGGATATCGAGGCGACCGTGATCGATCAGGGGGACTCGGCACAATAACCTCGGGTGCGGCAAGTTGCGGTGAATGTCGACCTGGACGTGGAGGGTGAGTAGATCTGAGATGGGCTTTTGGATCGGAGTCATTGAGGTGGCATGGCGGAGGATATGTAAAGGTGACTTCGCTGTTTGGTGTCGTTGGTGGGGGCGACAAGTCGTGATTGAGGACTTCGTAGGGATTTACTGCCATACTTAGTCGGAATCGACAAGGGAGGAGCTCGCAAACCATCGTGGATGACATTGCTGCCTACGTGTATATCTGGATCCTGATGGTAGCCATGCTCCTAGCAGGCCTCAAAGCAGTTGTCGAGACCAAAGCTCAAGTCTCTGATCTGCTTCTTGCGAGCGAGACGATGCCCAGGATGGGTCGGATCGGTTGGGAAGAGCACGCCAGTGCGGGATCTTCGCAGAACGTGACGCTCACGCCGCCGAGACTTGCGAGAGGAATCGGTGGTCTTTTTGGCGACAGAGGGCATTGAATGAGCAATTTAATGATACTAAAGGATATTAGGACGAATACAAGGTGTTGAAGAATAGAGTGGGAGGTCGCAGTGAGCTGAAGAAGAATTGGCCTGACTAAGTCACTCCTTCTCCTGGGAGGTTCCGGCGAAAACGCACGTACGCAGGAGGGTCCACATCTCATAGAGGCCTGGCAATTGCGACTGTAAGTTGGAACATTTAGTTGTCGTAGACTGGATGTGTCTAAATTCTACCAAATAGTATGAATGTTGAAGGTTTCTGTGCTCTAATATCAAACGACACTCCCTGGCTGTATCGGTGGTTCGTGCGCCTTTCTCTTTACCTTTTCCACCAAGCTTTCTCGGTTCTTCTGCTTCTCTGCTCGCTTGCTTGCACTATCAGATTTCCCGCTCCTCTGGGTGTCCTGGTACTTGAGCTCTTCCGGGAACTCCTCCTCGTGCCGCTTCTTTATTCCTTTCAGCGCCCAGAAGTTGTAAAGGCAGAAAAGAGCAAGAGACACGCCTGCGCAGCTTCCGGTAACTATGGCGGCGATCTTTGCCGTCACTGACCATACACCCTCCTGGGCGGAATAGACATTGACAACGGTAGAAAGGACGCCGGCTAATGAACTCATCAGCGTGGGCCTACCGCACAGTCAGCAAGTCACATAGTGGTTGAAAAGATAGTGCACGAACAGAAAGACTCGGTTGATCAGCCACACGTAATTCTTCCTCCATCGAAGCCAGAGCCAAATGCAGCCGAGCGCTCCGATACCACTCAGGAAGGCACTGACGTAGACTAACGGCACATTGTCGATAGACTTAACGACGGTGTTTGCAACTTGCGAGGCCTCATTGTCATTGGCAGCCTGGTAAGCTTCGCTCTTCTGGAGAGCTGTGAAAGTTCCTGGAATGACGAGAAAGCCGGCGAGTAGAATCCAGCCAAATGCGGCGGCGAGGATGTTGTGGAGCCTTGGTATTCGGTCCAGATGAAGCAGCATTGCCATACTATATCTCGTCAGCAACAATCTCTTGACAGACATGTGCTTGGCCTAGGACTGCACACTTCGTGATGACATACTATTTAGTCTGTGTGGTTGGAACTCGAGTCAGTGGAGGTCGCGGTAACTTCGCTTTGGAACTCGAGGTGGCCGTTGTGTCAGTCCGTCGAATATTCGTCTCTACAGACCCAGGCTCCGAAAAGACAGTAAACACCGTATTTGGCCTCGTAGGGACTGACTTTGCAGGAGGGGCTGGAGCTTGCTCATGATGACCAATGTACAGCGACTCCCGTCCCTTCTCGACAAAATTATTAAGTCCCTTCATGTCACAGAAGTGAACAGGTAGAACGGCCCCTAGAGCACGACTGTTGATTGAGATGAGCTGTGAATGCTGTATTTGCAGCGGAACAGAAGTGAGGAACACGGCCGAAGCACGAAGTAGTATTAAGAGATTGAACAGATTCACGACACCAACCTGGATATCTATTCTCAGCTTACCACACCCGCGGCCGCATCCATTTCAGGGACAGGCACGAGGGCCCTAGAACATCGCTTGAAAAACTGTCAACCACGCCCATTCCAGTCGATAGGCGAGGCCGCCGGCGAGAACCCGAGCGCGCGCCGTGAGGTCGATTCGCTTGAGTATCGGTACGCAGCTGCGGCGTGACGCAGAAACCTATCAAAGTCACCAATTACAGAGAGCAGAAACAGGCACCGCCTGGTACTCGCAGGGTTCTGTTGGATTGATAGGGTGCAAAGAGTTGGCAGATCCGCGCTCGCATCAAGCTGGTTTCAAGCTGGAAGACGGCGCTAAAGATGGCGGTGCAGTTCTGGCACGTGACCGACGTCAGCGGCTTCAACTCCGCAGCCTTTTCCCAGCTGTCACTCACATGGCTTCATGGGGCATGTCGATGGTCTCAACAACGCTTTCAACCTGGAGCACGTGCGGCCAGAACTGCGAGTATATGCGACTATACATGGTGTGGCTTTATTTGGCCTTGGTGTTGCCGTTCCCGCCTCCACGCACTGATACTCATTATGCCCTGTAGCCGAAGACTTGCTGAAGAGGCGGCTTGTGGAGGGAAACAAGAGTGAGTGTCTTAAGATATTGGAACAGCTACACTGTAATACCTGCAACGATGACGCTGCTACTCCTACCCCTGTAGTATTTGCCTAGCGCTCCGTTGAACACCCAGTGATCTATGCCGTGGCAACGGCTTTCAAGTTCTAGCCCTCTGACCTCAAGTCGTGTACAGATCATTTCTCCCCAACGCCGAGCTGAACGCTGCATTGTAAGCCAGAAACCATGCTTCCATAACCTTAAATCCAAATGTCGCAAAAAGTGGCCGAGATCAAGCCCTGTGGGGCGCAGCCTTCAAACACGTCTCTCCTCGTCGTAAACAGTGACATCGACAACATCCCTAGGGTGTTCCTGGGCCTCTTCCGCAGCAAAGCAAGGAAGAATCGGCTTCACATTGGCTCCCTCGGCTCTTCCTCGAGGCACAAAATACAGCTGGACAACACCAACCAAAGCCATGGCGCCAGCACCCCACCAAGCTAGTCCTGTGAATCCCATCTCGCTACCCCAGCCGTAAAGCAGACCCGCAACCGGAGGTGCAACTGTCCGACACGCGGCGCCAGCAGCCGCAGCCAACCCGTTGATCCGCCCAAGGACGGATGGCGAGATGCTCGCCTGCTTAAGCAAGATCAGCAGAACTGGGTAGTCAAGAATAGAAAGCAGATTGCGAATAGCGAGGCAGGTATAGATGCCCGGTAAAAGAGCGCTTTCGGGTAGGAGGGCCAGATATGGAACGATGAAATAGGCGATTGGGTGGAGGACCGTCACAAGGACGAAGACCCGAAAAACACCAAGCTTGTCGGCGGCGAAAGGGAATATAACCGCTTGGATGAAAAGAGCAATGAGACCGTTGATGGACATAATAATGCCGACATCTCGCGTGCTCATTCCGAGGCCTCCAGGGACGTGGAACATGCCCGTGGAGAGAATGGAGATTTCGTCGGATCGCTCATCTTGAAAGAAAATCGGCAAGAGATGATCGTAGCACATACTGTGGTATGAGAAGATCCCAAGAGCGAGTGTAAGCATAGCGACTTGGGGAGTCAGCCATTTCTCACGCATGCATGTCTTGTCATTTTGCGAGCAGACTGAGGTGCCGTCTGGGTGGATTTCCCACTCCTCTTTCTGGGAAACCTCGACCTCGTTGAAAGTTCCATACGATTCTTGTCGTAGGTCGATGCCTTGGTCGGCATTCGCACCGGCACCGGTGATCATTGGCGTAGTCTCGGGAAGGTCGTGGTGAATGGTTGGGTCTGCACCTTTGCATAGATCTGGGTGAGTCTCATCAATGATAAGGTACCCAGCAATAACACTAAGAAGCATCAAGCCCGCACAAACAATATTTGGGAGTGCCCATGGGTGCCGACCAAAGAAACCGTGCTTGGAGAAAGTCCCGGGATATGCATGAGCCGGATCTGCCAACAGTCCTCCAATAGAGGGGCCAACGATAGTACCGACGGACCAGACGAATGGCATGACAGCGTAGGCCTTGGGCTCATGTTCCGGCTTTTTGATGAGCTCGCTGACCATGGTCTGAATGACGCCTGAGCAATCTTTAGCGTTGTTTATAGAACTGGAGTTTTCCAAGCTTACCAATGTTGCCATTGAGCAGACCACCAAGGATTCTGCCGAACAAGGCCACAGCGAAACTTTCGGAGAATCCCACGACAAGGAGCGATAAGATCGTCCCGCAGCATCCTAGGAGCAAGACAGGCTTTCGGCCGATGCGATCGGAAAGTGTGCCCCACCAAATACTTGTGAATGACTCGGCGAGGGAAAATGCGGCGATTATGATACCGCAGTAGAAGGACGCATCGCTCTTGCTACCAAATTCGAAGCCGATGACCATTCGCCATGCATACGGGAAGATGGAGGTGATGGCGATGGGCTCCGCCAACCGACATAGTGCTGTCACTGTTAGCCAGAGTCGTATGCTTCCCAGGCGCTGGACATACCTAAGACAAGCAGCTGGACGTAGGGGAAGTCATCGTCTCGCGAAGAGTGTCTTGTTTGTGTAAGTCTCATTTTCCTTGGGAAGACCACGATCTTACGACCAGCTCTTCTGCACACGAGGTCGGCCTACGCAAGCAATCGACGAGCAGGAACGAGTGCTGAGGAGGCGCGACGTGATTCAGATCACTGTTAGTAGGAATCGGCCAGGAAGAACAAGAGCTCGTTGATAGGTATAGCAAAGACAGGAAGATCGAAGAGAAACGAAAGAGGCTCGATGGCAAAAGGTGGGTGAAAAGGGCCAGTTGGGGGGGTTGAGCCGTCGTGGCAGATGGAGATAAAACACAAGGAAGACACAACCAAATCAGACGGAAGAGGTCAGCCGAGCAACAGATAGTGGAAAAGCATGAAGACTAAGCGATAGCTGGTGCTTCATATCAAGGTTCCTGCAGGCGGTCAAAGCCTTTTCACTCTGAGGACAAGGCCAGAGGAGCGGGTGCCGGAGTTCCAGGCGCGGCAAACGCCTGAATCCTTAGCGTTTTTCATGACTAGTGCCTTCCGCGATTCGCCGGACGGATGTCGGTCGCAGCTCTCATTGGTGCAACTGCACGAAGACATTTGGAGAAGGCACGATGCCGGTCACTCATGCAGGCACAGTGAAGATCCTGGGTAGGCTGCAGATCAGCTGTCTGGCCCTGCCGCTGCCTCGACTTTGTTGTGCTCGCAGCAGGCAGTGCTGCTGCCCGTCCACTCGATGCTACATCGAAAATTTTTACGTCAGAAATTTTCACATGTTCGCTGCCCCTCCCCACTCCCACTTCTTCTTCCACCATCATCCATCGCTCCCTTACTGCTTCTCTGCTTCGTTTGAGACCTCCCTCAATGCGGCTCTGCGCACCACCACGAGCCACCCCAATGAACGGACATTTTAATCCGGACCTAAGCCCAGTGTCGTATGGTTCACGGAGGCTAAGCTAGCGCATCGATCGAGTTAGCTCCACTGTGCCCGACAATGGTGGGACGCTAAGCGGAAAATGGCAGGGGTTTCCATGTCATGGTGGGGTTGCTGTCGCTGCCGCCCACGACTGGAATGCTGCATGGCCGACCATTTCCCGCAGCACCCCCTCACTCCGAACCGGTTCCAGACCCACCGCCAAACTGTTCTCGTCTGACGATGCATGTGCTCACCGCATTATCGTCTTGAGACTAAGTGTAAAGACAAAGGGTCGGATCGTTGCTAAGAGTCATCAGCGCCACATCGTCGATTGTATCGCTAGTGACATGGAAGATGAGAGGGTAGGCAATTGCACGACCAGCCATGCAACATGTCTGATCCATAGCCGACAGCCGTGACGCAGTACCGTTGGACCCTTCGATAACTTCCGGCTGAGCCCGCAACGCATCTCCGTTTATTGACAGGCCCGTGACAGTTGAACTCGCCGTTGAACCCCGAACCAGCCATGCTCAATAATGCACCAGTGCCTGTCTCATCCTCTGGCTCTCATTCATCATGGCTTTTCTCCGAATCGGCTTCTTGCTTTCGCCCACGTTGTAACCCTAACTCAATGTCGCCCCTCAGTACTCGAATCACCAGCATAGATCTGTCCTTGCCAACCGAATCCCTTCCAACATCAAAGCAAACGTTGATCAGCGCCAGTGCTGCTACAAAGAGGTAAACATCCCCTCCCCGCACCGGTCGCCACCATCGCCTTTTTTCGCCAACTTTCAGCAGTGAGTCCACGCTTGTCCTTGCAGCATACATCGAGTTGCCATGGCCGATGGATCCTGGGTCCAGTAACTGGAAGCTGCCGCCCATCAGACCACCCAGGAAGAATCGAAACTGAGGCAAGAATGCACGAGGTAGAATCCATTGGAAAAGACAGATTGTGCCCCAGCTTGTGCCAATAGCCCCTGTGATGGCTGCAGAAGTCTTCAAGATCTTCTTCACCAACCGGTCGAGCTCCTGCAACGGCATCTTGACAAATGCCCTTATTTTCAAGAGCGACATGGCACTGTAGTATATGGTGAAGAACTTCGCAATCTTCGGAAAGCTCAACAGGATTTGCCTCAAGTACGCGATAAAGCAGCTGGTCTCCTGAGGGTGAATGAGCGCACAGCTCAAGTGCTGCAGCGCTGGGTGCGCTCTGCTCGTTATTGGCGAGATGATTGGATCAATCGATGCCGGCAGGGTATTGGCCACCTTGGGACGCAAGATAGGTGACACAAATGCTGGCCATCTCAATCTTGCCATCTCAGCCAGAGCATCGCTGATCTGGTTGTAGCTCGGCCATCTGACCTTGGGTGAGAGGTTCTCTGGTCGCCGCTGTATATACTCGGGCGTATTCTGTATGATGAAGCTTCCATAAGCCTGGGGGAAGCAGTCCCTGTCAAAGACGTAGGCGTGCAACAGTTGACCCTGAGCAAGCGCAAAGAGCACCCAGCTGCCAAATGGATTGCGCTTCATATACCCAGCCGCATCGAGGACGGTGTATCCAATCTCTAGCGCACGCGAGGCAATGTAAATCGCAATGGTGAGCCGCAGCTGATCGGACGGGAAGATTCCCAGCGCGAGCCCAGACAGGCTCGCACCAATGGCTGGTGCGAGCTTCGAGGTGAGAGCCGCATACACCCTCGGGTATCGCCGCTCGATGTCCCGAACCTTCTCATGCAGTAGCTGCACCCGGAGCTTGGAGAAAAGCCGGAATAGCACTCGATGTAAGAACAGCAGTGTCGATAGCGAAAGCGCCAGCCTCGTCTGCGATACCACTAGCGGCTTGCGTGGCTGTGGATGCGTGAGCTTCGCCTGTGAGCGGGCAGTAACGCGGTCTAGGACCGTGCCAACCAGTTTCAGGGAGAGCGAAGTGGTGATGAAGACACGTGAAGCAGATCGAAAGGCAGCGGCGTTGAAGCTGTCGCTGTCGCTGCTGTCACTCTTGCTGTGGTTCTGGAGATGGCCTTGGCGCGTAGTGTCGTCATTACGATTGGGCGCGTCGGACAGGTGATGGCGCAGAAAGACGCGTAGGTACTCCTGCTCACGCGGGGAGAGCACCAGGCGAGATGGCGGAAGGGTCGCCATCATTGATAAGACGTGTGGAAGAAGAAAAGGGAATGATGACTGGTGACGGAGGTTCGTCAGCTAAGATGAATGAGAGCGAGTTGCCGAGGCTTGTTCGATCTGTTAGATGCAGGCACCGGATGCTCTACGCTAGTGCCATGGGATTCCATATGATACCTGCAGCGGGTGAGGTCTGCGCGCAAGGAGCGATCTTAGGTCGTCTTGGTGAAGAGGAGGATGAAACGAGCAGAGAAGCAGCATGTAGTCTGCTCAACCTTTCGTTCACGTTGCCCCCATACTCCACTTTCCCCTTCCCCAATCCCCGCTAACCAGATTCATCCATCTCACTGCGCTGCAAGATCACCTCAACTTCGCCTTAGCCAGAGCACGTTCACCTCAACCCAGACCCGCCATTCAGGCATAACGACAGACACCACCCACTCCCAAGATGCGCATCCCGCCTCCTCTCCTCGCCTTCCTGACCGCCGCCCTCCTCAGCACAAACGCCCTCTCCGCCCGCCTCTCCGCAACCTCCTTCTGCAAATGCGTCTGCTTCAACAACAGCACCATCATCGCGCTCAACCCACCCGATAACAGTAAATCCTCGCACTCGTCCCTCAAATTCTCGCGCACCGTCCCCGCGTTGGCCCCCCGGGCGCCGGCTGACGAGAAAACCGAAGACAACCCGAATAACGACGAGGAGGCGAAGAAAGATGCCACACACCACCACAAACCTACCTGCGCCGACTGCAACCGCGCGTTCTGCCTCTCGCAGGGCCTCAAGATCTGCGAGGCTGCAAAGGAGGAGGACGTGTTCGCGACGTGCTTTCGTAGGTTTTTTCTGCAACCCCGGCTGGCCCTATTTTCATGCAATCAATGCCTCACTACCCCTCAATGATACACGTTTCAAAGTCCTCATATCCTACTTTCGGAACCCAAGATGCTGACAGAGTGCGATTTACCAGAACGAGACTCTCTAAAAGACGAGCTAGTGGTGATACTCTTCGTAGCCTGCACGGGCGGGCTCCTGGCTTGGGCGCTGGTGAAGCCGTGGGTGCATCGCGTGCGGGCGAAGGGCGTCCCACCAGCAGTACCCTCCTCGCGGCCGCGACAAGGAATACCCACCGTTGCAAGTGGCGGTTCTCGAAGGAGGCCGGGCTCAGGCGCGACGAGAATACGAGACGCTGAGGAAGAGGACGAGGAGCTGCTACAGCCTACACGATGAAGGAATCGTGTCTAACTTTTTCCGTTTGGCTATTTCCGCTCATTACCGCTGCTAGAAGTGAAAAAGAGGGGGTATCAGGTCGTTCATGTTTCCCGTTTCGTGTCGTAACCATCGTGGTACGCTCACGGCCATCCTCGCCGCCTTTGGAGCCAATTGCCCGCCCCGTGCCAACAAAAAGTAATCTGCCTACCCGCCCTCCATCAAAACCGGGGGATGTCATGCCAGGCCATCCTCCGCCGGTCACGCCAGCCGGCTAATTTTGGTGTCCGTTTGCCAAGCCTCGTAGGCTTGCAAGTTGATGCTGAAATCGCTCACTTTTGAGATGTGGGGTTTGGTCAATCGCTAATATTAACGGAAGCGAGACTGCCACATGGCTGTGCAGCCTCGCGGGAACAGGGGTGGTCACCACACCAGCTACTGCTTGGTTGGCAGCAAGAAACTAACTCGCTCGCGTCGAAGTTCCCCATTCTGGACGTATTCGTGGTATGCGGCAACGTCCCAGGCGCTAGAGTTGGCCATTCTCTGCTTGTTGGGGACAATTCGATTTGACACGATCTTGGTTCGCTGCGCCTCACGCTCGCTGATGACCTCGCGAAGGAGTTCCAAGCTTGCATCGCCCCACGTTCGATGCGATTGGTGATAGAAGAAGACGAGGTCACGGAAGTCTACGTTGACGAGGATGTGAGAGGCTGCTCGATCCTGCGGGGAAGATGTAGATGGAGCAGCCTCGGACTGAGGCGAACTTGGTGAGAGCTCAGTGGAGGATGGCATAGAGCCAAAGACCATGGAAGCTAAGGCAGGGTTGTGCTTGGAAGGCCTCTCCTCGAGGTTGGCGAATCGAGAAGGTAACAATGACGAAGTCGAGATATCGTCAAACCTGAAAGTCTGTGGATTGATCTGTTGAGCGCAAAATGAGAGAGCTTGGGCTTTCCATTGAGCTGCAACATTCGTCCAATCAATGAAACCACCAGTGTGCTTCTGGTTGACACCGTTAGTCATGTCCTCCGCTTGCTTCATCAGCAGCTCCACAACGTCCCAGTGAACAAAGTCACTCAAGAGCATCGAAGCCCGGGCGACAATGCCATCGATACCCAGCAGGAGTCCAGACATCCAGTAGGAAAGGATGTAGGGCAGAAAGTTGATCCTGGCAGATTCGGTAGTCGGGAAAGTACTCTCAGCGGTAAGAACTGCATCAGAATACAGAAACCTCAGTGCCGCCTCAAAGGCGTGAGGCACAAGAGGTACAGGGGCGTAAAGATTAACGACGTTGCTCGAAGGAGCTGCAACCTGCCGTGCCACCGTTGCCTCCATAAGAGATCGAAGACGTGGGCTTCTCAGAAGCATGATAGCGTGGGCATATGTCACGAATGGCGGCCCAACGCCACCAGTAACAACGACGGCCCAGTCAGCCCAGCTCTTGGTGTGGCTCATTTGCAGCAGGTGCTCGGCCACTGAAGCCAAGCGGGACGCATTGGGAGATCCATTTGCGCTGATGGTGTCCCCGGCTCCATACGGCAGGTCTTGTTCTTTGGTTGCAGCCGCATTCGAGGTTTGATCGCTGGTTGATCGCCTCGTGTCAGCTGCAGCACTGCCGAGGCTTGTTTCATCGGCGTTCTGCGGAGGCAATGTCCCATCGCTGCCATTGAGTAGAACCGGCGCTGATTGGCTAGGGTTTTTGTTGATTGAGGTCGAATGCTCCGCGTCTGTGGCGGAAATGAATTCTGCATATGCTGGCTGACCAAACTGCCATGTTTCGTACGTAGCGACACCGGAGGAATGTGTGACGATGTCCTGTCTGTCGGAGATCTCGTGTGAAACTTTGTCATCAGCCTGCGTAGCTCCACGCTCGCTCAAGGTCGATGAAGGGCTCCGATCTTGAGAAGAAGGTAACTCAGTGTTCTGCCCACGAGTAGTCGCAGGTTCAGTCCAGGTATCATTGAGCTCGGCGGGTGTTTCTTCGGTGGGCTCTACCTGCGCATTGTCTCGGGTATAGTCCAGCTCGGCTTGGGAAGGAGACTGAGCTGACCCGAGCTGATCAGCGGAACCACCGTAACCGCTACTCGACTCATCCCTGGTATCGCCAGAGGCCTCATGAATGCGAGGAGATGCCGCATCTCCAGGCTCGGCAACGTGGGCTGTTGGGGTATCTTCGCCACTTATTGATGGGGGTTCGTATGCGGTCGGCTCATCAGCTTTGGACTTCTTTGCTACGGGAATGAGAGGGAGGGCAGGCTGAATCATGCCTTTCTTGACCTGCCGCTGAGCTCGCCGAGAGGTAATGGACACCATGGTGAACAAAATCCGAGGAGCTCAGGTTGTAGTCATTGGCCGAGGGAGTCATTCGCAACTGAGATTGAACCTCTATCCGATCAAATGAATGGACACAAACAAGACGCAAAGGTGCTTGTCTGTTAAGGTACAGCACAGTGTGGATAAGAGAAAGCCGCTGCCGACTGTTCAACGATCTTTTCTTTTCACCAGGACTGCATCTTTGGGTTCGGATGAGCAATGGACAAGTGAGACCCCGCTCTGCAATCATTGCTTCCAGCCTCATCGAAGGGCGGAGTTACCTAGATTTATGTCCTTAGAAACTTACCTCTTTCGGCTAAGTAGAAGGCTGACTCACGTGCGCCCGCGCTCCAAGGATGCATTCACATTTGCCTTGGTAGGTAGCTAGGAAGGTAGCTAAATATCGGCCTCTGGGTACCAGGCGAGATCTGGTGATAGGAGCCGAGTGTACCAGACACTTTCCTGCTACTGCGATGGAGGCTCATGTAGTCGGCATCAGTCAGCCGGACTCTTGCTATGTCTCCACGGAATTTCACTTTCCCACCGATCTCCAAGAGGAACGTGCTCAGATTGGGTCAGCCAAACCACATGGCCCCGAAAGTGGTTCATACAAGATTGATAGGCAAATTCAACTCACATTCCCATGCAAGAAAGGTAGGATCCAACACCTAATCATTACCCGTAGTGTGGACTGAACCTTCAAAGCCATAGGACGAGACTTTCCGTAAACTCAATTGCACGGAACATTACGATTCGTTCATAAATAAAATGAATGGCGTCGTTGAGCGCTGATACGTTGCGGGGTACGGAGTAGAGATTAGTAGGGCTTGACCCCAGCTGTGCTTGACGCATAGGCACGAACATGTTCAGGAGCGGTTTCGACGCGCTAAACGCTGCGCGACCGCGTTCAAAGTTCATCAGGAAATCACCTGATGGCTCCGGTCAGTAAGCAGCTCCGCGGTGCTGATCTCTTTTCGAATCATTATCGGTAATACCATTTCTTCATCGCCCAGCGGAATTCTAAGTTCCATCGCAAAGGCCCAGAAATTGGCATGAGTGACATCAACATGCCCAAGAAAGAGCAGAGAGCATTTGTGGGAAGCGAGATTGAGAGCCAGCAAAACACGTGCGATGCTCCGATCTGTACTGTTTCAGGCTTTCTTCGCACAATTGGTACTGCGACCGAGTGCAGCTTGTTCAATTTCAGCAAGGTGGCGCATGTAATGCTGGCCCTGCTCACGAACCTGGTCTTGAGCCACAGTCGGTGCCGACCGTCGTCCTGCTCCGATTGTGACCATATGCAATGGCATTGGGCGACTTGAGATTGCCTGGTAGCCTTGCACATTCCTGGCGAATCAACAAGGCAGTATTTCTCCGATATTTCTTGTAATGTTATCCCTAGAGGGGCATAGCGTCAGGAACAGACTTCTCAGGGGCTCTTAGTCCCACGACTTCCGACATCCGATGCACTTTTCCATCACGCTACCCCTGGGTTTTTGGTTTCACGAGTCCGCTTGGCTCGGCCAGCTGCGCGCCTAACAGCGCAAGATCAATCGCTTTCCCCTAACCTTGGGCCCATGGCAGGCTTTTCGTCAGCTAATCGATCAAGCGAGCGACCGCTGCTGCACTGGGCTGCCGGCTTCCTGTTCCACGACTCAAGACCGAACTGTGTTGGGCACGATCGGCTTGCATCCACAATAGTGTCTGTCTCTTCGGTACGAAGTGCATACCGATACAGTTTCAAGGAAAGAGAGTCTGGTTGAAGACAGCGTTCGAGCAACGGGCGGCAGGATAGGAGTCATGCAAACATCAGGAGTACGAGCGCATACTGTGACAAGCACAAGCCTTTAGCATCCCTGATCCCGGCTGTCTTTCGGGTAGTTGCCGCTATCGGACGGCCTGTCACCTGCAAGTTGTTGACATTGTTTTTCATTGCTTGCTTTCCTGCATTTACGGAGGTATTCGCTCCCATTCAGAACACACCGGGCCCTTGCCGTCTTTTGGCCCGTCATCGCCTTCCTTGCCCACTGGTGTTCCGAAAAAATCTTGTGTTCCAGTGATGCATCACCAATCACCTCGTTGCCCCTTTCTTGCTTCCGATTCACCGTGACCGCGACTAAATGCTGTGTCTTATACAGCATCACTATCATACTGGAGACTGGAGTACAGAGTAATCAAGCATCCTTCATTCGTCCCTCTACTACTCCGTAGTTAATAAGGCTCAGAGTCAGGCGACCTCCACTCTCCACCGCCGCCCAGCTGTTAGAACCTTCGTTAAATTAACTACAACTGGCTATACGGCTCCAACTTAGTTGCCGATAGTCAAACGTCCAACGCGGCGGATCCACGCTTCCTCACCCCCGTCGTTTTCCACGACTTGCACGCGTCCACCGCACACGCCTTGCCATCTTGGGACTACACTCACTCCCACAGTTCAGCTTGTCCCTGCTCGCCGACCTTGCCTGGACGAGGATCTTCCTTTTCATTCTGCTCCATCAACTCGGAAGTCATTACTGCCTGCAGGTCAAGCATCACGTTGCCCTTGAGCCTTCGACGCTGAGCATCCTGGCTCTTCCACTCGTTCATCACGATTCCAATTCCGTCAAACCGCGACCAAACCGGACCTCTCCTTGAATCCTTGTACAGACTCTTTCCGATCGATTCGCGCCCACTTTGGCCATTTCTGCTCGTCCCAGAACTTCGACTTCACTTCATTCCGTACTTCCGTTTGCGACCACACCTGCCTCTCGACCCTCCACACTGCCGGCATATCTTTCAAAACACCTCGGACTAGAAGAGTGTATCAGATTGCGCAGCAACGTCCGGTCAGGTTGAGCCGAATTCGAACTTCACTTTGGACCACCGTGTGCACCAGTACTTCACTTTCTCTCTGCTCGGCGAGCCGGCGTTCAAGCCACAAATTCCAACTCCGATATCTTCTCTTACCGAGGACCGCGAGACATTGACTGTTGTATGGCGCAGTGCGGCCAGCCCCCCAACTAACCTACTACCTACCGTTTCCTAGCGTCACCATGAACGTCTTCAAAAGAAAGCCTAAGGACAAGGCCAGAGATAAGGACAAGGAAAATGTCGACCCGTTCACCTCCGATGCCAGCAGTTTCTCTGCTAGTGCGAAGAAGTCTCGTAGCATGAAGCGCAAGAACAAGAACGCGCCGGAGCCGAAACCAGAGTTCAACCTTTCCGCCGCCCTTCCAGATTCGAATGATTTCAGAACAAGTCTGATCATGCCTGGACTGTCGGCACGGTTTAGTATGCTGAAGGAGCAGGATGATCCTAAATCTCTTCTGGGGAAAGCAAGCGATGACAGCGTCCTTTTCCCCAAGAGGGCATCCCGGATGAACCTCTTTGGGCACGGTAATCAACTTGCCGACATCGCGGAGACCGAGTCATTACACTCGATCCCAAAGCCATTCGCACGAGACGAGAGGACACTGTCGATGTCCGATGGGGGTTACGGAAGCGACGACGGCGGCAGCGTTATGGGCCGTTCGCGACCTGGAGAAGGCAACAACCTTTTTGGTGGCCGCCAGAAGGTATATAGGGTAGCTCCAGGAGCCCCAGGGCAAGGAAAACATCTTTACGACGACGATGTCGCCAAATCCCCCTATCAGCAATGGCGAGCCGGGAGGTCGCAAGAGCAAGTCAAACTGGACACGGAACCTCGACCCGAAAGCGCTCCTCGAGACTCGGAGGAGGCGGACCAGGTCCAGTCTCCGATGACAGCTTTTAGCAAGAACCGGGGGACGACATCCTCGACCATGTCGGGGCCGTCAAACAGGAGGACATCTACAGCTGCTACCTCAATCGTCACATGCGATTCTCCTATTCCTCGGCAGAACAGTGGTCATGCTCCGAACTCGAAAGTGCGGTCCTCAGACGGCTACGAGAGCAGTAGTGTCTCACGAAACCCCTCGTCAAATTCTCGCAAGGACTTCCCTCTCAAGGAAGCCGCGGCCCAACCGCCTATGCCATCTGCATCCCCCCTCGGAAACCGTCTCTCACAATCCAAGAGTGCTATCAATCTTAAGGAGAGATACGGCGCCCCTAGCCCGGTATTCTCGACCAATGCGTACCGCGCCAACAGTCCTCCCCCAACTGGCCAACCAATGTCGTCGCTGGACAATGGTGTTCAAGAAGCTTCTAAAGGCGCACTCATGCAAGCGCGTCGATACCAGACAGCGTCCCCAACACATCAAATGTTTGACGAGGACGACAATGTATATACCAGTAACCTTCAGCCTAACGACCGTGGGAAGGCTACTGCCATGGGCCTTTTCAACCGCCCTCGTCAACAGTACGACGAGCAGCAGTTTTTGCAGCGCCAGCGCCAAATGCACGAGGGTCGATCATCACCAATGAAGGCTGAAACCCCCGACCGTGTAGCCTCCCCAGACGTCAAACCGTCTGCTCTAAATCGTGTGGACCACGCCGCCTCTGCGCTGTCCAACCGTCGACCGTTCGAGAGACAGTCGCAGGACTCACAACAAGATCAGGAGGTCACTTCGCCGCACGCAAAGAGCTACGAAAACGCGACTTCAACTATGAAGACGGGCGGCGAAGAAGACCGACTGCAGAAACCTTCCTCCGCACCAAACGCATCCGGAAGCAAGGTCAAGGCTCGGATCGAGTCACTCATCAGGCGCCAGAACGCCGAGCTGAATGCTATGGAAGTGGACTGGCAGCCATCTGCACCGACAAGCAGAGAGCGAAAACCGTCTGCCAACTCTTCGAACTCTAATAAGAAGAAGCCTAGTAGTCCGTTCCTCAATAGATTCGACAGCAGTGACGACGAATCTGAGGAAGCCGAACAAGAACCACAGCGAGTTTCCAGACCGAGGATCGCTCCTGACGATGTGCACCCTGCCCTCCGCAACGGGACACACGACTTTGATTTCGGCGAGCAAGTGTCTCCTCGCCCTGCTCAACGACAGTCCAACGGCTCTAACAACCCCCCATCACTCTACGTGAATCCCGACGCTCCTCCTGCAGCTCCTTCGCAGCCGGTTGCTGAGGATTCGCCCACCCTTGGACCTAATGGCCTAGGACTCAGTGGCATGATCCGCACGCATCTTCGCCACGACAGCGACCGATCTTCCGTATATCCTCATTCCCCATCCACTTCCAATTTCCATTTCTCCCGCACCTCTCGCGAGATGTCTATGGTCTCTACCTCCAACACCATCAATCCGCCAGAATCTGTGCACAGCGACCCTTGGGAGTTCGACAATGCGCAGCAGCAGCGGAAACAGCAGCACCATCAACAACAAGATCGCATTAGCCCGCGCAAGCACGCCGAACTGGCAGCCTCGGGGGCCGTAGAGGCTGCGGCTCCTACAATGAGTCAGAAAGCTCAACAAATTCTGGGACACGCCGCTGCACAGCGTACTCAAGCTGCTGTGGCCGCGTCTTCCTCTAGCAAAGCCCAGCGCATCCTCGGAAATGAAGCCCCCGGCAACAGTAGCGCGGAAAGCATTACCTCCCCCCGTTGGCCCCCGACAGCCAGCAGCTTCGACCCGAACAGCAGCAACGAGACTGTCGAGTCACGACCTTGGGGTGCGCAAGATGAACTCTATGCGAATGGCCAAAGTCATGTTCGTAACCTTAGTTCAGAGACCCAGAAAGAGCGTAACGACTTCGATGCCGAGCTCGCCGAACGGCGGCGTCGTATACAGGAGGGTCTGAACAAAGGCATGTCGGACCGCGAGCGCAGCATGAGTCCCACAGCAGCCCGACAGTCGAGCGAGCAGCATTCGCAGCCTTTCCCCACGCTCAAGCACAAGAGCAGCAACAAGGCCATGAAGATGCTGGGCCTGGGTAGTGGTGGGCCGACCGGACCTGCTGAGTTCCAGTACCACCAACAGCAGCGTCCACCCCCACGTCATTACAATAGCAGTGACAACGAGTACGACGATCCTCCTCCGCGGGAACGCCAGTGGGGCCCTCGCTCTGGTGGTCGACCTCCTCCTGCTCCTAGTCAGAGTTACGCTTCCGGACGGCGCACGCCGCACGAGTCAGGTCGGCGCACTCCAGCTGACGGCCGCACAACACCCCACGGCAACTCGAGCAACGAAGACTTCGAGCGTATGAGACAACGCTCCGCTACCCCCAACAGCGCTCGTGGTGGTGGTGGCGGCTATGGCCGCGACCGTTCCGGATCAGAAGCCGCGGAGCGCAGCAAGAGCCGCAACAGACAGTATCGCGAGGAAGACGCCCACGGACCGCCTTCACATATGAGGCAAGGGATGTCGCCCAGTCCTCCCCATGCCAAAGCGCCGTATGGTGAGCAGAGGCGTATTCCAGAGGAAGGCAGACGAGGTCCAGGCTACGAGCGTTCACCCTCTGCCATGTCTGGGCGTGCAAGAAGCAATAGCCGTCCCGGCCCACCGCCACCGCAAGGGTACTTCGATTCGCGCACGGGACCTCGCACGCCCGTTTTGAATGGGCCTGGTTCTAATGTGGGCCCCGGCCCTGCTAGGGAGAAGGAGCGGGAAGGTATGATGCCTCCTTCCACGGCCTCAGGCCTGGGCGCTGGTGGCCCAAGTCCTGCAGTTGGCGCCCCCCGCCCCTCGCCTCGACCTCCTCAGCCTCCCAGTTTGGGCTTGCCTGCATCACCCATGCCTTCCCAGTTCCCTGGTGCGCCGAGCCCTGCCATTTCCAATGCATCGGGCTTCCCTACCTCACCCGCGCCTACCCAGACCCAAGCTCCAGCTCCCAGCGCCAGCAACGGCCGTGCTACTCCTAGCATCGACGCTGGCGGTCGTAGTACACCAGCTGGCTCTCGCCGGCGCATGACCGTCAACAAGGCCATGATCAGCGAGCCCACTCTGATCAGCAGCACGTCTTCCGTACCGCTCGTCGGACTTCCCGCCGCGGCAAGCATTGCAGCCCCCGGCACAACGGCCATGGGGAACCACTCCTCACCGAACCTGCTCACGATGGAAACGCCACCCGTGCCAGCCATGAACCCGCGGCGGCAGCGCGGCGGCGGAGCGGAGTCGCCTGCCCTGGGCCTTCCTTCCGGCATTGGTGGCTACGGCGGCAGCCACTCGGCTCAGCCGAGCCCAAGCTTCGGCATGCCCAGCCAATTCGCGCCCAGTAGCGCGCTTGATGCTGGGCTCGGAGTAGCAGTGGGACCGGCTCCGCAGGGGCCGCCGCCGAGAGCGAAAGGGCGGTTGAGGAAGATCAGCAGTGAAGGGGGGAATATGGCGAGTAAGGCTCGTCAGCAGGCGTTCATGGCGGAGATGAGGGGCGAGGCGGCGAGGACACCTACGTTGGGTGGATTTGCGAGGAGTGCGACGAGTCTGGGCATGGGGCCGACTGGAGGGATGAGTGATAAGGAAGGTGGGATGTTCTAGAGGAGAATCTTTGTTGTGTTCATCGGGGTGTCTCCCATTAAACTTTGACTTTCAGGAGTGTTTGATCTGGTGGTAAGGATGGGAAAACCTCCCCTTTCTGGATTCAAGAAGATGGACGGACCAGGATGTGACAAGGGGATCGGCCGGCCATACAAGTGATACACCACCTTTTTGTTCTGTTCCTTTTTTTCTTTTTTGACGACACGTTACGCAATTGACGCCACAACCTTTTCCTTTGGGAGGAAGAGAAGAGGTCGGGTCGGGGGGAGGACGATACCAACACAAACGCACATGCCACTTTTGCGATACCGCTTTCTATTCTCATTTTCCGCGCTTTTCGGGGGGGGAACAAGGCCAGCAAGACATCAGAAAGATCCTCTTGGGGAAAGGAAAATATAGGGAACTTGGATCTAAAGGGCGACAGCAAAAGAGCAAGTTACCTCTCTGTTGATCACGGCCGCGCACATTCGGGATTACGTGGGAATATTGTATGTGGATATTGAATATTGGATATTGGATATTGTGTACTGTGTACTGTGTACCATCAGGATTCTGGGAAGCAGGCCAAAGGAAGGGGCCTTGAGACCGCCTCGATTCCAAGGCACTGAAAGAGAGAAAGAGAGAGAGACAAAGCAAAGTTGAACCATGATTAGTGGTAGTGGTATGTTTTTACTTTTACGAAATGAGACTCTTTGGGCCTGGCGACGGGCGGCATACTTGTATGGTGTCTGAATCTTTGCAGTTGGTTTTTTTCTGAAATGGGATGAAGAACGATTTTTGGCGGAAGTCGTTTGGATTGCATATCATGTGGTATTTTCATCTTGATCATTGCGATATCACGCCTTACTCAAGCCAACCTCACGTGCCTTGATTTGTAGCGCAAGGACCAGGGAGTAGTATCTGCACAGTGCCAGGTTGCCACCCTAGATGGGTCAGTCTGGGCGGCGAGAATAAGGAAAGAAAGGAGGGTTACTCACCATGAACCAAAAGCCCGGATGACCACTCGGTCTCCACATGGTCCGAAACTCGCCCTCCTCGTCGAAACCCCAAACATTCTTAGTCCGATCTGCGAGCTCATCGCCCAGAATGGTGCGCGCCTCGCTCCGCATGTTCTGGTACCCGGTGGCAAAGATGATTTCGTCGGCCTCCAACTCGGAGCCGTCGGCGAACTTGAGGCCGTGCGGCAGCACCTCCTCGATCTCCTGGCCCTGCTTGATCTTGATCTTGCCCTCGATGATGAGCTGGCTGGCGCCGACATCGATGTAGTAGCCACCGCCGCGCTGGTAGTACTTGATGAAGAGGCCGGCGTCATCGGGCCCCTTGTCGAGCGCGAAGCCGGCCTTGGCGAGGCCGTCGAGGATGGGCTTGTCTTTCTCCTGCGAGAGCTTGGTGATGGTCAGCTGGATGCGTTTGAGGACCGACATGGGCGTGCCGTGCAGCCAGATGTCGGCATCGTCGGTGGGCGGGCCGTCCTGGCTGTACAGGCCGCCCAGAGCGATCTTGGTGATGGACTCGGAGGACACGACGCACGTGGTGGAGCGTTGCACCATGGTGACGTCGTAGCCGTTCTCATAAAAGGTCTGGCTGATGTCGTGCCCGGAGTTGCAGCAGCCGACGATGATGGCTTTCTTGCCGTTGCCGTTGGGTTTGGCACCCGTGAACTCGGATGAATGGCAGAGCCGCGAGCCTTTGAAGTTCTCCATACCTTTGATGGTGGGGAAATTCTTCTTGCCGGAGTGGCCGGTGGCTTGGATGATGTGACGGGGATGGAAGGTGCGGGACTGCTTGCTGCCGTCGGGAAGAGTGCGTTCGATGTTGACGGTCCATTTCTGCTCGGCATCGGACCAGGAGGAGGAGGTCAGCGTACTCCGCATCCAGACGTTGAGCTCCAGTGCTTCGGCGTAGAAGTTGAACCAGTCGCCCAGCTTATCCTTGGGTGTGAAGATCGGCCAGTCTGGAAGCTGTTAGGTTGTGTTATGGGAGATGATGGGCGGTGGGATGACTCACGCTCGGGAAAGCTCATGTATGGCATGTGGTCATACCAGACCGGGTCATGAAGCACGAGCTGATGGTACCGATTGCGCCAGTTGTCACCAATTCTCTCATTGCGATCGACGATCAGGGCGTCTACCCCGACGACTTTCAGACGGGCAGCAGCAGTGAGGCCTCCCTGTCCAGCGCCTACTTATGCATTAGACTGGTGAGCAAAGATGCGGGAAGCACTTACCAATGATAAGAACAGCCGGCTCGACGCCAGCTTCATAGTTTTTTTCGGCGGCCCGGCGCTCTACCCAATTCTTGCGATCAGGCTTTCCGCCATGCTCAACGCCATTCGGACGGTTGTAGTTGGTGGCAGGCTCGTGGCCTTTGATCTCCTGCAGTGCGGTGAAGAAGGAGAAGATCTTCCACTTGCCGTTGTCCTCCAAGAGTCTGCAGCTACCACGTCCGGTGCCGACTTTGGAGTCGAAAGATATCAGGAACTCGATGCCTTTGGCGTCGCCGGCGCCATCAAAGGGTGCAAAGTGTGGTGCTCTGAAAGTGTTGCCTTCCTCAATCTGAACACCGGTGAGGTTGCAGCCATGCTGAGTGAGTTGGTCCTTGATCTTAGCTTGGCCCTTAAAGGTTCGGACGTCCCAGGTCAATGCAAGATGATCACGCCAGTAAGAATCCTCGGCGAAGAGCTCGGCGACGGCAATGACATCTTCCTTGCTCAGAGCTGCATTGAGGGCATCGACAATCTCCTTGGCGATCGGGCCCGGATCAGCCGATTCAGAGCTAGTTGCCTTAAAACTATGAGGTTGAATATTGAATGAGCCGGCCTCGAGTCTCTGGGAGGAGGGCACGCCACTGGCTTTCTGAGTTACAACTGCTGCAGCCATTTTGATTTCCTTGGGGAGTGCGGCTGAGTCCAGGGGTCAAGATCAGGCTTATATATCCATAGCTACCGCTCTCGACGAAGGTCTGTCTATTTCGGAGTGGAGGTCCGTTGTCCCCGGAGGGGTTCTGGCCATCAACAAGGCTCTATGGCGGGGCAAAGGGTGGTCACTCGCGGGGACTACCCATCATTTTGAGGCTTGGGCGGAACACGAGGCGGGGTAACGAGTGGCACGCGTTGTGATTGCACGTTGCTCCAGGCTGACGAGAGCGACGACTTCCTATTGACACGTTAGTCGTGGACATTGTCAGCTTGCTCTGATCAGAGTTCACTGCTCGCTCCAGAGCTGTCTGATCGGTGCCATAGGCCTTCGTGGACGGACAAGTTGCTGTCGGCGGTTTGGCGACAGGTCGTTCAACCCCACGACTACCCCAATCCTTGAATGATGCTGCGGGGCACCGTGGTCCGAGATTCTACAGCGGAGAACAAGAACTGAAGTATCTGTGCCGCGGGCTCAGGTAGGACTTCCTCCCGATGGGTACGGCTGTCCTACGAAGAAACGCACGGCTTCACGCAATTCCCCAAAGTGGTATCCCGTGAAGTCCCACCACATGGAGGACGTGAACGTGTTCCGGCCAGCAAGCAAGGAAGTATTCCGCGGGCAATTGGAGAAAAAGGCGTCCTGAACTGTCCAGCCTGGAGGAAAGGATCTGGATATTTTGATGTACATTCCTTTCGAGCGGACGAATGGTTCTGTACTTGCAAAGTATTATCGTTATCTGGTACCAGCAACGCTAGGACGAACTACGTGGCAGATTAGAGCTATTACAATAAGAGATGAGGATCCGTGCTCTGACGCATCGCCCCAGCAGCAGTGGGAACCACAGTGCTTTGACATGTCGCTTTGTGATGATTGGCGAGGGATGATCAGCGTCGCCAACGCCCGTGCGTAGTCGATCTATCATACCAGCTCGTGTCAACGTGCGCGACTCGGGCCAAAACAGAAATGGAAATCAGATCCCGCACCGTTGCTCTTAGTCACAGGTGGACAATTTCAGAGACAAGTAGAAAAATTTCTGACCTCATAAAACATCTCACTCCACGGTCATACCGAAAGAAAAATCTTGCCGGCAGTTTTAGGACTAGTAAAACTACGCACGTTGTTTGGCTGCGATCGGCAAGCCACAGCCGCTCTCCTTGCTCTTAGGTACCTCCGTAGTGGCAGCTGAATGCTGATTTGTGAAACGGCGAAACCGGGGCGGCGGCAGCGGGTCGTGTAGTAAGTGGGACTGTCAAAGGGTAAGAATGTTTTAGGCTTGTTCAATCGCGCAGAGGTCCTGTCTGCTGTCGTTGAACGGCTCCGAGACGATAGCAAGTGGTGCTGACCATGATGCAAGAAATCATGAGTCGTCTCCATCTTTCTTGAAGACATGAAAAGATCATATTCTTGCTCGCGATCTGGTAGTGATCGTGATCTTCGGCGCAGCATGAAGCGAGTTCGGTTTCGGAGCCATTAGCGAAAGGAACTTGGGGGTCCAGTTTTAGGGGGCAGTGTTTCAGGGGGAGCACGCCCGCGATTGGCCAGGTGATGATTGAGCCGCAAGCCGCAAAACGCGAATCCCCACCCGCTGGGTCCATGTCGTACTGTGCCAAAATCGAACATCCAACATCTTTCCACGCACACCGACAGCACCCTTCTCCTTTGCATCTCCTTGAACCTGCTTCAATTACCCTCTTTTTCTGCTGCTACACGTTCTGCTTCAACCTTTTCCTGACTTCTTAGTTCCACCTCCTTACCGCGTTCGTATCACCGACCCTCTTTCACGGCATACGCCCAGCCTTGTACACCACCCGCTGCCTTATTCCGTTTTCCCCCTACCTTGTTGCGGGTTCGACAGAATTTGGGGGGGCATCCACACTCTTGGTATCCTCAATCGTCCGGTCTTTCCGTATTCAGCATCTAAAATATCACACGCTCGTTTTCCATGTCGCAGAGAGGCGACCGCAGGCACTTCTCGAGGGAGGGTTTTCAACCGCTTACACACCACTATTCCAACGACAACAACATGCCGCCGCCTTCGCAGCCTGCCAATGATGTTACCATCGACATCCCCTTGACCAAAGTGACCAGCAAGAGCACCACTGGGGCCAGGAAACCGACCTTTGGAATGTCTCCCGTCTACTCGAACAACCAGAATCCTCCACAGTACGATGATGCTTACGACGAGAAGCACGGCGATTCTGCCACGCCGATGGGCCGAGGTGGTCGACGTAGAAAGATGGAAGCCGCTGGCAAGAACTCTCGCGATCCTCAGGACGGCAGTCTCACCTGGGCCGGCAAGATTTACTCCACCATCTACAACTTCTCCGTCATAACGCGGTACTTGCTCTATGTCGTGCCTGTGGCCGTCATCATTGCTGTACCACTGGTCCTAGGCGCGACCGTCTTCCCCGACGCCTCGATTGGAGGTGTCCCAATGATGTTCTTCTTCATCTGGGTCATGATCGTGTGGTGCTTCTTGTGGGTTAGCAAATTGGTTGCCCAGTTCTTGCCCTACCTCTTTCAATTCTTCTGTGGCGTTGTCAGCCCAGGCACCCGAAAATACTCGGCCATCTTGACCAACCTCGAGATCCCTCTGTCGCTCGTTGGCTGGGCCATTGCGAGCTTGGTCAGCTTTACTATCATTGTTGGAACTCAGCGCACCCCTCCGCCAGACTCTGCTACAATCTCCGGCTGGGCTTCTATCGTGCAGAAAATCCTTTTCGCTACTCTTTTCTCTACTCTCGTCCTTCTGGTGGAAAAGACAGTCGTGCAGCTCATTCAGATCAGCTACCACCGCAAGTCTTTCGACGACAAGATCAAGCAGTCCAAGTACAACATATACTTGCTGACTCTTTTGTATGACGCCTCTCGTGCCCTGTTCCCACCCTATTGCGCCGAGTTCGCCGAAGAAGACTACACGATTAGCGATACACTTGATCTGGTCGGCAGTGGCAGAAACAGTCGAGGCGCCCACAAGCGTTCCGGATCTAATACTCCTGCACGACTCCTGCAGAATATTGGTAGAGTCAAGGACAACGTCACCTCTGCCTTTGGCCAGGTGGCTCAGGAGATCACAGGCAAGAAGACAGTGTTCAACCCAAATTCCGCCCACTCGATCATTGTCCAGGCTTTGGAGAAGAAGCATTCAACTGAAGCATTGGCTCGCCGACTCTGGCTTTCGTTCGTCCTCGAAGGTAGAGACGCCCTCTATCCGGATGACATCGCCGAAGTTCTTGGTCCCGACCATGCAACCGAAGCTGAAGAAGCATTTCTTGCCCTCGATGCTGACGGCAACGGTGACATCTCCCTGGAAGAGATGATTCTCCGCATGGGTGAGATTGGCCGGTCTCGACATGCTATCACACACAGCATGCGCGACGTTGACCAGGCCATCCATGTTCTCGACAACCTTTTTATGACGGTGGTATTTGTTGCAGTGATCCTCATATTCGTTGCCTGGCTGAACTCAAACTTCTCCACTACGCTGGCGACTACTGGAACGGCACTCCTATCCTTGTCCTTCGTTTTCGCTACTACAGCCCAAGAAGTCCTTGGCTCGTGCATTTTCTTGTTCGTCAAGCACCCTTACGATGTTGGAGATCGGGTTGACGTCAACGACGAGCATTATGTTGTGGACAGAATCTCACTCCTCTATACTATCTTCCGACGTGTGAAGGACCATAGACGGACGCAGGTTCCCCACATTGTTTTGAATTCCCTCTGGATCGACAATATATCTCGAAGCAAGGCTATGCGCGAGCAGCTGAGCATCTACGTGAGCTTCGACACCACTCTTGAAGATGTCGAGCTTCTCAAAAAGGAAATGGAGGCTTTCGTGGCCGACAAGGACAACTCTCGTGATTTCCAGCCCCAGGTCAACATTGAGCTCACCGGTATTGCTGAGATGAGCAAGCTGGAGCTCAAGGTTGAGATCATTCACAAGTCCAATTGGGCAAACGAAACGCTCCGTGCATCTCGCCGCAGCAAATTCATGTGTGCTCTGGTTCTGGCTCTCCGCAAGGTTCCGATCTTTGGACCTGGTGGTGGTGGCGCGCCTGCTGGCGACAAGGCCAATCCTACCTACTCAGTGGCTATCTCCGACAGCGAGGCACGGGAGAACGCTCAGCAATTCAGTGACGACAAGGACAAGGCTCGAATGGTCCCTCTCAACTCGAACAAGCCCTCTGATGACGGCGACCATGGTCATTCGTCGTCGAACGACTTGCTTAAGGTCCCAACCGCCGGTTCTATGCAGAAGGAATCTGCGGCTCTGCAAGGTCTGACACAACGTAACGCGGCAAGTGATCCGGCTCGCGATCGAGACGAGCGTCAGGAAGCCATCGAGGAGGTCCGTGGCATGCTGAGGCACGAGTCTACAACGGGACGTCGAAGACGCTCGAACTCGGCCTTGTCCCCAACCACGAGCTCCAATGCACGTTTTGGTGCCCAGACCATTCCCACTGTTCCTGATGCTTCTCCGATGGAGCCTGCGAATGGTCCAGACCAAGCTTCTCGAGTCAGCTACTTTGAGGATAGCAACTACAAACCTGCCCCACTTGTTCCCAGCAAATCACCGCAACAGCAGTATCCCTATGTTCAGCCCCCTCCGCCAGTTGTGCATAGCGGTCCCGGTCCAGCAACCTTGGCTGCTCAAGGCCGTCACGACAGCGCCCTACTCCCCAACTCGCCACTGAACCCACAAAACCAAGCGCACCGGGGGCCTGGGTACATTCAGGGGACCTCGTTCCCTCAGCCACACCCGTCCCAAACCTCTCCTCCTCGCAACCAGCAGCGTCCTCACGAGCTGTCTACGGACAGTCGGGATAGGAGCAACAGTGCCGGAAACCGCAAACCCGTACCCGGCATTGGTGAGATGAAAGATCGTCTGCTTCAGAGCCCTAAGTAATCAGTCATGCTCCAGCAAGTAGCAGAGGTCAGGGAAAGGTTTCATTTCTGATTTTCTGTGCATAACGACCAATGAGAAACAACGAAATAATGTCCTGAATAGACTGGAGGCAGAACTGGGAGGTTGATTGCATATTCGACAGGTCTTTCAACATAGGGCCTGACCTGAGCATGCGGGATATGCTCGTATCTGGCGCATTTGTGCATACATTGATGGCTTAAGGAAAGCCATGCAATTAGGTAGAATCATTAAAGCATAAAGTCTATTGGAATTGCTCAGCGAGGACCGGACATAGACACGGTGTTTGTAGGTAGAGCAGATATCAATCAATGGATTATCTGCTTGAAGGCATACAAGAGAACATCGGAACAATAGTTAACCTTGTCTTAGGTAAGACACTGCTGTGCTGTGCTGTGCTGTGCCGTGGCGTGCTCGATTCTCTCCTTCCGTTGGTCTTCTTGATCTGTTCGCTCACAGAGCCTGGGCTGGTGTCTCGGGTTTTCTTCGTTGGGGGCAACTTCAGTAGATGATAAGCTTGGCCGGTAAGTCCAGTTAAAATCTGCGTCGAGCTCACGTGGGCGCTCACCTCCCCCGTGCTGCTTTAAATGTCAGCGCACCCTCGCCTCACCTTACACTCACCTTACACTCACCTTGCGCTCACCCTCGTCCATCTGCCACACCGTCGTCAGTCACACCCGGTCCCACGATATGCTCTATCGTGCCTGACTACAAAAGAGACGTTCTAAAAATGGCGTGACGGCAGGATCTCGTTTTGTGCACCTACTGTCTATATCCTATGAAGACCCGTTTCTAGGACTGTTTAAGCCCACCCTTTTTCCTCTCTCTTCTTATATTATACATATTACGCTAAGCCACCAGTGTTCGGTCTCTAGCCTATTAAGATCACTTTAACTGAACATGCCTGCTTGTGGACTACCTCTGACAAGCTGATAGCTAAACCTACTGTAGACAAACTGTTACTGGCTCATACTAAAGCCAATGGGCACTGGTAAGAAGCACACAAGGAGAACAACCAGCTCTGTAGCTGTAAGAAACATGTAAGCAAGATAGAAAAAGACTAAGACTGAACCCTGAAACACTATGTCCTGTAAGTATAGCTATACACGGTAGCGATTCTCAAGCGCTCGGTCTCGGATGCGCTGCTAGGCTTTGGCCGGCAAAGTCCACACATATTTGAATATGTCTCGGTCCATGAGGGGTACCATATAAGTCACGCGCGCAAGTATTTTAATGCCCTTTCCGACACAGTGGCCTGATACCCTGTTCACCCAGCAAGCTTACATGCATAACAATACCAATCAACAAGTTATTCCGGACGGTACCGCTCTTGTTCGTTAACCACCCAAGTCTTGATTAGCACCGTAGGACCGCACCTTTTAGGGTGCTCGTAAGCCTTGCCACACACGTGTTTTGCTGCTGACACAATTCCGATGGTTCAGCACAACGGCCATTGGCAGGCCTTCACCCAGGCGGTACCGTCCGAGCAAGTGCAAGTTTCTAGGGAGAAGGGCTTGCGGCTTGCACCGATGGTCGCTGCGCTGGGGAGACTGTAGCAGCGGAATTATTAGCTGGGGTTTGCGGTTGATGAGCAGCTGGTCGGGCTGGTCGGGCTGGTGGAGGGAGCACAGACGATGTCGTTGTGCTGCCACGAATGGGTGTGGAAGTGATGGGTCTCGAAGCGGCACTGGGGAGGGCCGCTGCGTTGCTATTGATGCTCGAAGCTTGAGGGCTCACGGGGAGGCGAGCTTGCGGCAGGCTCGGAGTTGCTGGTCTAGTTTCCGGTGTAGGCGCCGGTGGAGATGATGGTGGCGTAGGGTTGTTCAACACAGTCAACTCATGTGACGGTCGAAGACGCAGTGCTCCGCTCTGGAATACAAGGTCCGGCATGTCAGGATGGGAAGGCAGCCATAGGGGCATGCCTGTTGTCTCTCCTTTCCAGCTTTGATCGTCGCCATATCCCGCCGCTCGGTAGCCCAGACGTGACAGGCCAAGAGGTCCAGTTGCAATCCATTCTAGCCGTCGCTGTTCATCGCCCCACCAAAAAAGCGTGCGGTCGACTAGCCACTCTATAACAGTGCCAGCAATCCATAGTATGAAACTCAATATCCCCAGAACCTCAATCCCGAGCAGATTGAAGTTGGTAGCCCCGGCGGGCAGGCTTATGCGCTGGGACGAGCACTGCGCCGCGGCCGCGGAGTTGGCTGGAGGCTTCAATGCTTGTCGGACTTCTGGGTTCTGCGGCGCCGCCGCATAGTCGACAATAAGCTGCTGGAGCTTCGCCAAACCGGTGGCGAACCAATGCTCGGTCTCGATCCGCCATTGGTCGGGGGGCAGTTGTTTGGTCTGTGTAGTGCTGGCGACGCTCAAAGACGCCTGGAGTGCTGCTGGACCCCGACCGTCGACGTTGTAGTGCGTGCTGAGTGCTGCAGAGGCTTTGACGATGCGTTTGGCCGTTTGAAGTTGCATTTTTGAAAGGCCCAAGTTAAATATTTCCCGAGCCAGGCGATAGGAGCTGACAAGTGGTGTACACGCCTTTGCATCATACTTGCTGTTGCATATCTGATACTGGTCGATACAGCCTAAGACTGTTGTGTAGTACTCAGGCGTCCAGAGTGTCAAATTGACGTCACCGGCCGTGGAAATGTACTGCTGGCCGGTGGCAAAGATCGGGTCTTTGGTAGGATGTCGATATACGATATGGTCGCCGTTGACAAATATCAGTGTCACGTCTGCATCTTGTCGGCTGGCATCCCAGAAAGTGACATTGGGAGTCCAAACGTTGAACGGTGCGGCGCCAAAATAGGGAATTGACCTGGCGAGCTGTTAGATCATGAGCATATGATATAGGTAGCTAATCACTTACGCAATGTCATACTGCATGTTGTGCTCTGGCTTCCAGCTCGAGAATTCATAGGTCCAATTGCTAACATAGCTGTCGTTACTACTGGCTTCCCCAATTCTTCCATAATAGAACCGATACAGACGCGTGTCAGCCGGCCAGATCTGTTGGTCGGTCGTTTCGTTGTAGTTGACGACCTCAGCACGACCACGTGATGACACGGGGGAGCATGTTGTCTGTTTGGTGAGGAAGACCCTGTCTTGCACCGGGGCGTTTATGCCGAGCATATCTGACGAATCGACTAGCGTTGCCGAGAGCCTGTAAGGGATGGAATCCACAAGGCAGGTGTGGTCGCCTGCGAAGGGACATGCAGCGGAGGCATTCTGGACATCGATTCGTCTTTGCGTGAAGTAAGAACATGAAGACGTAGGGTCAATATGATCGATGTAGCATTGTCTTGCATACTCATCAGCTCTGATAGTGTAGTTATTGTTGACGGCGCGATAAGTGAACTGTTCGTCCGGGCTTGTGGTATTGAGAAAGGCGATGTCACCACAATCGCCGGTCAAGAGTGCTTGATCGTATGAGCCGCGTAGGGGAGCCCATATTGTACTAGCCAAGATGCCAGCTACTGTCCATCCAGCGAAGTGAATGAGGCAGACTGGCAGTGCGATCCAAGGTATTGAGACTGTGTAAGGGGTTCGATGTTCCTTGAAGAAAGTTGACCAACGCCAGTAGTGGGTGACCAAGTCTTTCAAAAGGGTCCAGCCGCCATCGCTGTTCCGAATGAGTATACTGCGTTGGTCGTAGCAAGCCTTGGAATATATTGCACGCCTCTTCCCTAGAGAAGGCAAGCCACTGCTACCTTTATGCCAGTATATATGCCATAAAACCAGCCTGACAATGTTCCAGACTTTTGAGGCCACAAAGGTGACAATAAGAGGCAGAGACGCTTGGAGAGTAGCTGATTCCGCGCCTCTATAGGTAATAAATTGGTGTCCGGTTGTGTGGTCTGTCCAGACCTTGCCGATCAAAATGCCGGCAGGGGACATTTGGGTTAACGCTGGGCGAATGCTTGGGAGAAGCAGAGGGAGCAAAGCCACCTGCTGAGCGGTACAATTTTGTCAATGTCGAGGAGCTGGGAGATCGTGTAGCACCGCATGGACGTACATTATATACTGCACTTCGACTACACTGCACACAGCCATGGTCCAGATCGCACTGCCTTACGCTGATCAACGCCTGGCGAACCACGCCTTTCCCTCGTTGTCAATGATCAGGGGATTGTAGCCATCGTGGGCACAGAGCTCCACACTGGCTGAAACCTGTTCGAACGAGTTACCGCCTCAGGAGGCGGAAGCCTTGAATTTGACATCCCTTGCCGACAATACGAAAGAGCCCTTTGAGGCTGAGCCCCAAGGTACACTGCGAGGTACTCACGAGGCAGCATGGCGGCAACAACCACCCTTCTCACAGAGTCTGGTGCTGATTGGAGCTTGGATTGGGCCAATTTTCGTGCTGCGACGATGCCTTGACCTATCGACGACCTGCGAAATGTTTGATGACGATCAGGTACGCTCTTTTGCCCGGCCTCAGCAGCGGAGCAATTGGGCGGTCAGTACCCTCCGCATGTGAGAGAGAGGCCCTGGTTCTACTCAGGGGCATTCTTGACAGCGGCTGGTGCGGTCGGAATACGAGCTATCATCGGACCAAGGCGCCTGTCCGTCAGTTATATCAGGGCAGGTCCTTCTCCTATGAGCACTTGTAGCTTGCAATAAACTGTCGAATTCTCGCTTTGATCAAAATGTCGAAGATGAAGTCGCTCGTCTATATCAATGTTCTTTCCGGCCTTGCAGCCCTAGCCGCCAGTGAGCTGGTATCCCCAACCATAATCGATTACTCGCAACTCACTGCGACGATCTCAGCCAAATACTCCGCATTCACTTACTGTAGCAATCTGCTACTCACCTGCCAGCCGACGGTTCAGAGCTGTGCTCAATCGCTCTGCGCTTCGTGCACCAGCATCGGACAGGTGGCGATCAACAGCTGTTGTGCGTCTGAGCAGGATTCGCTGAAAGCCTGTTTCAGCGCTGTGATCGCAACTGCAAATCCTGCGGATTACCAGACTCAGCCATTGCCAGAACCTACCTTCACATCTGATGCAGGCTTCGCAGCATGCATGAACATCAGCAATTATTCCAGCCTGTGCGAATCCCTGACGCCAGGCTTCGCAACGGAGACGGTTTTCCCTTTCCAGGCCCCTTGCCTTTGTTACACAAGAGAGGGCGACACGGTGGCTTGGAAGCCAGACGTCTATGATGGCTGGGTTTCCGCTTGCAATTCTCATCTGTCGCTCACTCCAGCAGTCACCGCACCATGTCGAACCGCAGGAGACGTCGTGTCAAGGAACTCGGAGTACACTCGAACAGCGACTTCGACATCCTCGTCGACCACAAGCTCCGAAACTGCAAGCACAGGAAACGGTCTGCGTACAGGTTATCAGGTAAGGTGCATCTTCAAACAAACAATAATGGAAGGTCGCGGAGCTGACGCTTGCTAGCATTCAAGACTTGCAATTTGCTTCATAATAGCTTTCGTGGTGGGCGCCTCATAGTCGTGCTCGTTCTGTTGAGGCCACTACAGCCTGTTTTCTTGTCCACGCAGTCGAGATAGTACTATCACTCACGTAGCTGCCGGTAGACTCGGGACCTATGAAAGCTTGATAGCCCGGGGCATCTTGGCAGCTCTTACAGCCTTACGTAACACACCTAGGTCCACAAGAAGCGACTGATCCAGCCTCGAACCACAATCTCCCCCTGGGTGCTGACCAGTTGTGTGTGTCCGCGCGCAGATGACCGGCACAGCATGCATAGTATGTTACATTCCTACAAAGCTCTCCCTTTACCTGCTGCATAACGCCGTTGATGATAGCATCAGGGGCATGACCGTGCTCACTGCTCACCCACACCCTGCTGCTCCTCGATGTCCCTTTCCAACCCACCCAGCAAATCCAACACCCCGTCACTCCCTGCACCCTCACCTCCCTCCTCAGCCTTCCCAGCAACTCCTTCCTCTACCTCCTTCCCCGCCTCCACAGCCTTGAAGCCTCCAATCTCCCCCTGCACAGCCGCCTCCCGAAGCGCCTCCTCTTCCCTCGCCTTCTGACTTCCCGCCACACTAACTTCCTCAGGCAGCACGCCCTCCACGCCAGTGGCAGCCTCAGCAACGACCTGCTCCGCCGTCGGGATTTCGACGCCCTGTATGAGGAGCGCCTTCGCTGGCCGCAGCGGGGTCGAAGGGGACGGAGATCTCTTCTGCTGCCTCCCCCACTACAGGGTCATTGGCTGGCATGGCTGGGTCTTCAAGAGGCTCGGTAGTGGGTGCTTGTGGTTGGGACGCGATAGGCGTGTCTACACTTGGGAGACTGCTTGTGTCGACGTCATCTGCGAGAGGAGCAGGATCTTCTCTGGGCGGCGGGGTGATTGGGGAGGGATCGAGGGTCGGCGAAATGGGCGGCCGGGGCGAGGGCTGAGGGAGGGTGGTGACGTTGGAAACGAGGTGCGCTGGAGTGGCTGTCGAGGCCTCCGCGATGATAGCGGCTGGTACATCTGAGACTGGGACGTCGACCATGGCGATGTCGTCAAGTGGTACGGACGTAGGTGCGAGGACTGCTGGCTCAGCGGCTGTTGCTGGGATGTCTGTAAGGTCGATCGCTCCTGCTGTGTCTTCTGCAGCGCCCATAGCGACTTCCTTGGATAGGCTGCTTGGGACTGCAGGGGCGTTGAGGCCGAGACCCATGGGAGCAGACGAGGTTGCGGTGCCGCTTGCGGACGGCGTGACGCTACCGGACTTGGGGGCTTCGTTGACTTCGTCTTCCTCGCTGCCGTCGCCCTCGCTTTTGTCGCCGCTGCCATCGCCGAATGTTGATACAGGCCGGTAGAACAGGTGCTGTCTCGCTCTGAACTCTTCTGGGGGCTAAAGAACAAGTGGTGCCGCCCATGTTGGGCCGAGATGACTGCCTTGAATGGTTCCAGCTGGTGGAACTTCTTTCCTCCAACTTGTCGACGCCCCTTCTTCCCGCGCCAACTCCTTCGCGGACGAAGTATCGGGGTCCCCAACGGGTTCAGCCGCTGTAATTAAGCTCTTGATGATTCGTTTCGTCTCCTGCCAGGTTTTCAATCTGTTATCTCCCTTGGCTCCTCTAGCAGCTATAATCGCCTGCCAGTCCGTCAATACAGATGCAAAAGAAGGCTTTTGTGTCACCAGGATGTTTTCTGCTTCAATGCTAGCATGCCTGTCCTTACGTATAACGGCGCCGCTCGGATGATCAACCCGGCTCTTCCCGTAGTAATGGTCATCAGCCCGAGGTTGTGAATTAGTTGGTCGAGTCCCAGTGTTAGTCAAACTTCACCTCCCTTACGGCTTGTCAATGTCACGTTGGTTGGACAAACCGACTGATCCTAGCTCTGCACTGAGGCTTGCGACGCTGAAGCAATCAACGCTATTCCCTCACCTACAGCATATTTCTCACTGGCCCAACTTGGCTTCTACACCTCCAGGAGCAGACTAAAAGCAGAACAGCGATGGTGCTGCAGCGTGTACTCCTGCTATCCTCCATGTAGCAAGACTTCTGGATCAGTCTTGAAGATTGACCAAGTGCGGTCAACTGATCTTTCTAGGGTAATTCAGCTCGTGAATATCTAATTAGATCCCTTACTATTATCTCACATGTAAGATGTATTGAGCGGTGAAGGAGTTGTCATCAGAGCAAGGGGGGCGAGGATGGGCGCAAGCGGTCGGGTGGCGTAGGGTCAAGCGATGCCTTCACACCAAGACGATCGTCTGTACGAGCGGAGATTAGTGTGCCTGATTACGTCCCCAACAGCTGGTCACAAAGTCATCAAAGAGGACCGAAGCGGCGAGGCAAGGGGATGACAGTGAATCTTTAACTGCCCACGGCGCATGTGTATAGACCTTTAAAGTGCGGTGGTACCGTGATGATGGCTTGCGGTAAAAAATAGTAGGTTGGCCGAAAGGCCTGTGGACCCAGAAAAGGTATGGCTAGGTCTACCGCTTTAAAATGCTACACAAAGGAGACTGGCACCAGATGAGCCTGCTCACCCTTGCACAGCCTCTCCTTGGTGGGTCGTCAGGGCGTTGCTGCCTGCGCAGACCGACCAGTCACCAACTGCGCCCAGCCGTCGCGCGACGCGGGTGAGGGGTGGGTGCGCGTAAGGCGGCCTCACCCTCGTCCCAATGCGGGGTGATCTCGACGCAGGATTTACCCTACTTGGCGCCCAGTCTCGACCAGAACCTGCCACCCTCGCAGCACTAGCCGATGCTGCATCGGAGCCTGCATGCTGTGGCATATCTTATGCCTGACACTCGGCTAAGGTCAGCACCCTTGGCGAAGAACGACCGCTGGTGGGTATGCGAGCTGGGTTGGCGGCAGGAGATGACTGACTACGCGAGGACGGGAGAACGAAGACATTTATACGGTAATGGACTGTGCTTCGAACACGGATAGGTTCGCGAACATGGTGTCGTCTAGTTGTACCGCCATCGGTGTTCAGGTAGGTACAGTTAGCTAAGGGAGGACACAGGCCTCAATTGCACCCTCAACTCACCACGACCTCACCTTTACATCACCCTCAGCTGCACCTGCCAATGTGGCTTTCCAAATCCTGGATCTCTCCTGCCTGCTAACTTGTGATGTCACCCCAGGCAGGTGCTTTGTTCCTGCTTTGTACTCTGTCTGCTCCAATATAAAAGCAGTAACTCGGATGTTTTTCTGCCGCCACCTTTTCCCCCACCTGCATCCCTTCAGTCAATCCCATTATCGACGAAAGGCGCGTCTAACTTCCAAGTCGATATCCTAGGAGCCTTGGAGAAGGGTTCTAAGAGGAGCGGGTTGTTATGGCTTCCGATACCGAAGACAAACCCATGACCAGCACGAACATCATTTCAACACGATGCCACATCCTCCGCCTCGCAACGGAAAGCCTCCATCTCATCTGCCAAGAACTCTATGAAGACGACGCTTACGACTCCTTGGCGAGTCTGCGGTTGACTTGTCGGGGTTTGGCCACAGTTCCCGAGGAGTACTTGTTTCGAACGGTGCACCTGGATCGGAGGATGTCTAGCATCCATCACCTTGTTGAGCTCTCAGATGAGCCACGCCTTCGCCAACACGTCACGGGAATCCGCTTAGAAGTGGAGCTTATCCATGAGAACTTGCGAGAGGAAGAGTGGCGCAATAAAGTCCAAGCCTACGGCACCCGTACGGTCGAAAGTGACTCGAGCGACGACTGGTCGGGAAAGCCTAAGCACGATGCGCTTCTGGCGCAAGAGCGGGACTCGTTATCCGTCGAGGAAATTGCAAAATGCTGGAAGCGGCTGCAAGTCGGGATGACCGAGCAGGAAGAGCTGCAAAAACACTCCATGTCATCCCTGATGGACATGCTCACGCCAGCATTCGCCCAGTTGCCTGCTCTCAGGTTCTTCACGTGCAATGCAATGTCGCTCTCAAAACATGTGACGGAGAGTAACAAACTCAGGAGACTACAGGGGGAGACTTTGACTTATCCTCCACTTACCAAGGACCCGCGGCCCGGGGACGTCTTATTCATCACCACGTACGCAACAGCATGCTTAGCTTCTCTTCTCGACGTTCGTCCGGAAATTTCATCGGTCAGCATGGCTATGTTTCCATGGAATGTGTTGGTGAAACTGTCAAACTATTGGCAGTCTTCAAGCAAATCGCCCGATTTGTCAAACCTCACCTCGATGCGTCTGTACACCATCTGTCGCGAGCCCTTCACCGATACCACCCAAGCTGAGGGTATGGAAGCCATTACCACAATGCTATCCACTGCGCCAGATCTAATCCAATTCAACTGGGGACATGGACCCGAATGCATGGGACCAGAAATTGACGACTACGTCAATTTGCAGATTCCCAATTTCTTTGATTTCGATGAGCCATGTTTGCTGGCGAGCCTAGATCTCGGAGGTGTCTCCTGCGAGTTCGATGAGCTTTACGAGCTCCTTGATCGAGTCTCAGGCAGCCTCGAATCCTTGGATCTTGGTTCGATGTCGCTAAATGGCGGTTATGGGTTCGATATGTTCAACCACATGCACGATTCAATGGATCTGTTCCATTTCGGCATCCGTGGACGTCTCGAAGACTGGGATGGAGTGCGGGGACGAGCGTGGGACCCTGGCAGCATACAAGGTAAGGGCAGCTTGCTCAAACGCCTAACAGACTATGTGATCTGGGTTAACGAGAGGGAGCCGTTGCAGTCTTCGGATGAGGGAGGATCGCCTGGTGTATGGATGATTATGAGTGACTCTTCTCTGAGATACGATTCCGTATATAGCTAGATTCAAGCAATGATTGTACGAACATGGCTGGAGAGGACAAGTCTGCCGCAGAAGGGAACCAGAGCGTTCAGAGTGTTAAGCTAGGGGTCGACCTACAGGACGGCGGAACAGCGAAAATTCGTGTGCTATGGGTGATACGATCATAGCATCTATCAAAACGGAGTATGGAAGCGAGCTATTGGCTGTGTAGCGTCACTGTATCAGCAGGAATCAACGATCATGAGATAACAGTCAGAGCAGATGTATGAAAATGTCTCTAGGACCGCGAAAATCGTTATCTTGCTGTTATGAGTCAAAGCTTGCTACACACATCGAGAGCCGCCGTCCGGCAGGATTTTGAAAGTAAAGGACTGTATAGAGACACACTTCTTCTGGGATTAGTCTAGTCGAAACTCGGATCGATACTTCATATTGAGGATGTGCGCTTCCAGAGGCAGCCGAATCACTTGGAGCAATGCTCTCGAACGCCCACACAATGTCTTCCAATGGCTCGAACACTGTCAAGCACCTTGAGAGCCGCTTTTCTCTCGAGAGCAGGTGGTCGTCCCCTTTGTAAGCTGTGGGAGGGTCGACTCCTCATCGCATCTGACTGACGCTTCCTTCTACAGAGACGTAGCCAGCAGACAGCCCTTGCTGTCCATCTCGGCCATAGTTTCCTTCCCACAAACTGTCTCTTGAGCTTCTTTACTCATCTCTCCATACCAGATTCGCGAATCTACCTGATGTTTCTTCCTTGGCCCCGGCGTGGGAGTAGCCGATTCACGGTAGTGAGGTCTCTCGTATGTCGATACGGGCTTTCCATTTCAAGAAGCCGGGTCGGAGACGCTTAGTTGGTTCGCTCTGCTGGTGGTGGGAGGGAGAGGGTGGCTTTTTTGCTGAGCCGACCCAAGCAGGGTATGCGCACCACAGCCAGGAGGCTTTTCAAGTGTTCCGCCCCGTAGATCCCGGTTGACGGCTCTCGGCTTCTGGATCTCGTTCTCCTTCATCGTCACCACGCCAGGTCGTTCGCTTTCATCTTCGATGAGTACAGCGGCTGCTGCTTCTGCTCTTCAGAGATAAGGTTTTCACCATGTAGCAATCATACCATCGCGGCACAATTCTCCATGGCCCTCAACAATCACACCTTCTTGTTACTCACGCCCGCCCAGCGCTCCCTCACCCTCGGACCCACACTAGCCTCGACCTCCCCTCCTCCTAAACCCCCCGGCCCGCCCTTGCCTCCCGCGCTCGTCGCCGTCGCCTCACCACCCCATCCCCACCCCTCACCCACACTCCCCACGACCCTCGCAGGCCTGCCACCCACCACCGCCCCCGAAGCCCACACACTGTTCGCCGGTAGCACACTCCCATCCAACACCCGCACGCCTTCTTTGATGACCACCATATTCCCCACCACGACATTCGCACCAATATGCACATGCGACCGTATCTCCGCCGCGCGCACCACGCTGCCCGTCCCGACGAAGACGTGCGAATCAATACGTAAAGGGTAGTAGACGGTCATTTGCGCGGGCCCGTTGGGGGTCGTGACCGTGCTGAGGCGCGAGGGCGGGTGTAGCACGACGCCGGGGGAGAGGTAGACGTGGCGGCCAAGGTGCACCGAGGTTTGGTTCTCGGGTGCTGCGGCCGGGGGTTTAGAAGAGGGATCTGCTTTGGAGGGGTCGGCGGTGGAGGCGGTGCGTTGGTGTGCGTTGCTGCTAGCCGACGGAGTGGTGGCCTGCGCTGGTCGCACCAGGTCGCCGTGGATGACGACGTCGGATTGAATGACGCATTTGCCGGCGAGGATGATGTGTTTGGGCCCGAGGATGGAGGCGCGGCGGGAGATCTTGTTGCCCGTTTCCTGCGGGTGGGTTCAGTTAGGCTGGGGTCGTGGGTGGAAATGGGGGCACTTGGGTGCGGACGGGAGGGGGACGGAGGGCACGCACGGTCTCGATGTACTCTCCGCGAACGGAGGGTTTGGGCGGCATGTTTGGGGATCAGATAGTGTGGATTCGTCACATCTGAATCTAAAGCGAGGACAGCCTCGAATTCGACTCGTACAAGCGGAATGTTAGCTGTACTGGCATATTCGGGACCCAAGAGTTTCTGGCAGCGGTGACGCGGTGGACGCGACGAGGCTCCGATGGGGCTTGGCTCCGGGTATCGGCACCTGTACTAGTACAAGCTTGCAATTCACTGCCTGAGATTCACCAGTCACTGCTTCGTCCCCTCCATCTTGACATAACCCAAACTATACACATACAGACCACCACGGAGCAAGATCTGCCTCTGCTTTGGTACTATACACTCATCATGAAGCCGTATATCCTGCCATTCCTTGATCTCATGTTCAAGTCCAAATGCTTCAACATCGCATCGTTGCAACATTGCCCTTTGATGCAACACCATCATTATGCCTGCTAAAACGCCCAAAAATGCCAATGACCCAATGCTGTCATCAGGTAAAGTCCACCGTATTTTGCTGTCGGCCTTCTCGGGCCAACCGGGCCTGTGCTCTCTCTGCCCTTCTTCGTCGTCTGTTGTTCGCGTACTCGGAAGGACCGCTCGTTTCCGTTCCTGGACTTGTGATGCTGCCTGGAGGACCGAGATTGCTGGTCGATGCTGGTATGGGCGGCGGAGCGGGGACACTGTACGACTGGCCTGTCCGCGGATCAATGCCCTGCGTACCAGGGGTAGGCGGTGTAGGATACGGCATGTGTATCGGTGGTGGTGGAGCGGTACTTGGCCCGGCAGCCGCCGCGTTCTCCGCCGCTTGTTGAGCCTCGATTGCTTCGGTTCTCCTCCATCTTTTGTCTGCAGCACCCGTACCCATGGTGTCGGCGTCATCTCCACTGCTGAAGCTCGAGTTTCTCCTTCGCCTACCGGCTGCTGAGGCCCTTCGCTCTCGTCTTCGCTGTGCAGCCTGCTCCTCTTCAGTCAGCCGCCGCAGCGTGACGTGTCGGCCGTCATTGTGCATCTTGACCTTGACACTTACCGGCGGCGACTCTACCGAGTCCACTTGCTGGTCCTGGCGCCGCCTTCGATTGACAGCTTCTGCGCCAAGAGCACCAGCAGCTGCCCCTGCTAAACCTGCGGCAGCTTCGTTGCGGTGGCGGTGCTTCTGTCGGCCGGAACCTGTCGTGTAGACATCGCTGCCGGATGAATTGAAGCTGTGGGCTGGCGGTACGGGAGGCATGTTGGGTGGTGCGACACCTCCCGGTCCAGGATTGACTATGGTAGGATCAGTGCCAACCGGCCGGATATGAGGGCGATCTGCGAGTGCGGAGGCCGCCGCTGCAGAAGGAGTTCCTGCAGTGCCTGGCACAACGGGCTCTTCCGTAAGGCTCGACATGTCAGACGCCGTCTGGCTGCCTATGCGGTTGTGTCGGGATCTTCGAGGCGGCGCAACTCCATCGCCAGAGTACTTATGCGCCGAGTTGGCTCGAGCTAGCCTTTCTTCCTCCAGTCTTTGCTTGCGCAATTCTTCCGTCCGTCTCTCTTCCTTCTTCTGCCGTCGGTTCTTGAACAGCTGCCGCACAGCAAAGGCGGCTCCTCCTGCCGCTAACGCATTGCGAAAAGTATTGCCTTTGCGATCCTGCCTTGACGGAGATCCAGACATGTAGGAATAGTATGAGTACGAGTCGTCGGATGGTCGCCGACCTGGCGTCATCGGAGGCTGCGCAAGGGGATGGTTTGGTCGTACATGCCCTGGGCTGGCTCCCGTTGGAGTCGTTGGTCGGTGCGGCGGGAGCCCCTCCTCGACTCTTGACATCGAGTCCGATCCAGTGTAGGACGTATTGCCGCCTAAGGGAGGCCGGTAAGGCCCTGCATCCGATGCATCGTCGCGATCGCGTCGCCCGAACAGCTTCTTCACTGCAGCGACACCACCAGCAACAGCACCGACCTGCAGCAGACGAGTGCCGAAGCCTGTACCTTGCTTCTCGTGGTGCCGTTTCTCTGCGTCGCTATCCCACCAGGATGTGCCACTTGTTCCGCTCGTCCCACTCACTTCGCTATCAACGACATCGTTACGGTTCTTTTCGCGGTTGGACCTTCTTCGCCAGAGAGCCGCTAGACCCGCGGCACCAGCCCCAGCGGCCAGCCACTTGCCCCAAGAACGGCCCTCCTCCTTGGGCGGTCTGTTTGTAACGTGCTCCGAGTAGTAGCTGCCCTCGCTTCCTCCATAACCTGTACCATACGGTGCACCACCGTGTCGTTCAATGCGGCGGCCAGCAAGCCATTCAAGAACGAAGTATGTCACCACTAAGGCAAGGGACCAGAGGGTATAGAGAACAAATAAGAAGACAGGGGATCCGTAAAGCGTGAGGCCAAGAGGCACTTGTGCAATTCCCAGCAGCGCAGTTGCACGTCCTACCCATGAATGCAGCATCAAGCTCAGCGGCCAGTGAAGCCTGTTCTTCTTCCTGTTGCGCCAGAAACAGCCATTAATAGCTTCAAACCATAGGAGGGTGTACAGCGCCACACCAATGCCATGATGGGGATTGCTTAAGCTCCGTTCGGGCCCAACTGCGACGAAGCCCAGAATAAAGGCGACCGTGGCCAGGAGCAGCGAAAGTATTGACAGCCAAATGTGTAATCTTCTTGCCCAGAACTCGTGTCGTCCGAGAAACCGATGGATTAAAATAGCGGCTGGTATGAGGCCGAGGAATGTTATGGCAGCGATAATGCCGTGGGCTCTGATCAGACCCTGATAGCCATTTAATGAAAAGAAGCGATTGCCCATTCCTACTTCCTTGTCAGTCGTCGCATACACCCTGCTTTGCTGTGCTGCTTACCATTATATCGCATGGTCGCAAAGTTGAGGCCGACCAGGTTTGGTAGCAGGAAGGTGTTTCTCCCCGCATCCCATGTGCCGTCACCGACATGCATCGTGTCTGAATTGTACGTGCTGCTCCCTGGGGGAGCGAGCTCCGACATGGCTGCGTGTTCTCGGAGGAAATCCTCCAACAACTAGAGATGGGCGACCATGCACGAGGGGTGAGAGGATGTTGTTGCGCGGACGCAGTCGAGTCAATGACCTTTTTGTTTACTGCCCAATTGGAGACGGAGTAGGCGGGGTAGATTGGCAGCGATTGGAATGGCCAGGACTTTGTGATGTCGAGGTTGTTGCTCAATGTTCAGTATCGATGCGATGTTTGATAACCTTCAAGGATCTTTGAGTATCCGTGTGCTGGCTCACTGATAGAGAAATGCCCAAGCGGTCTGGAGCAGTGGAGTTGACGGCCGACAGGTGTGTCGCCTTGGTTTGCTCAATGCCAAGGGCGCTGGGGGGTTGCCGGGTTGCTATGGCACCAGATGGGCCGAGCCAACGCACCGGAGCACCACCCCTCGTGAACCCTCTGCCCAACAACCTAAGCTTTCGCCTATCACATCGTGGCATCCCTCTTTTGACCCTGCGATGTGGCCATGACGGTCATGAGGCGCATCCGCGACCATTCCAGAACGAAGCCTGCTGCTCAGTAATCCTGGATCGTGTCACAGCCTATGCCTGACCTTTCCTTCTTATGAAGCATATGCGGGCATGATGGACGAACAAACTGCCCAGTTTCTGCGGGCGCTTTCAAGGTGAGACTCTTCTGAAGCATGTCCGCCATGTCCGGGTCACGCTTACGGGTCACTAACAACGATTGCCCATTCCAGACTCTGTGGATGGATATACACTCTTTCCTGGAGTGCTTCATTCTATCCGCAGCCATTGCTCAACTGGAAGCGCAAGTCTACGCATGGTCTAGCCATTGATTTTCCTCTGCTCAACGTCGTGGGCTTCACCAGCTACACCATCTCGACTGCTTGCTTTCTCACCTCTAGGGTTGTCAGAGAACAGTATGCAGCCCGACACCATGGTCTGGAACCGACCGTCAGGCTCAACGACCTTGTGTTCGGGGTCCATGCGATCATTCTTGTGACCTTGACCTATACACAGTTCTACCCTATGCTATGGCGCTTCCAGGTCTCCTGGCGTCAGCGAGCTAGTGCACCTGTCGTAGGACTATGCTGGGGCTGCTTTCTGTCGGTCATAGTGGTCATGCTGCTGATCTGGTATCGAAACGGCTTCGGCCATCAGCAGGCACTGGACTGGGCCTGGATCGACATCCTGTATACCCTTGGTTACATCAAGCTCGTCGTTACCTTTGTCAAATATATCCCGCAAGCATTCGTCAACTTCAAACGAAAGTCGACAGAAGGGTGGTCGATATATCAAATCCTCTTCGACCTGACAGGCGGTGTGCTCAGCATGGTCCAATTGGTGATCGATGCCAGCTTTCAGAGCGACTGGAGTGGTATCACCGGCAACCCTTTGAAGTTTGGTCTCAGTGTGGTGTCCACGGCGTTTGATCTGCTTTTCATGGTGCAGCATTATCTCTTGTACCGCTCACCCGTCGGCCAGGTGAAGGATTCCGAGCATGAGCCACTCTTGGCAGAGCCCGGCCAGGTTACGTGAGCCCCCACGATTTTATTCCGCAGGGAGACTTCGTTAGCACATCAGGTGGCGGCATGGATGTAATACAAGTGAACCACTGCAGCAGAGCCTTGAATGGTGTCGGTCTGGCTTCGGCCAAGCGAGCGCCGCGTGGGCCCCAGAAGAGATCGATAGGGTGCCAATTGCAGAGGAAGTCAGCCACGAGCCGGTGGGATCGTAGATCATTCTTCTACGCGGTGGAGCTCCTACCCTCAGTCTTACAGATTACTAGTAGTTGCGAGAAGGGAGAACTCGTCGTGTCATTGGAGCGTCCACATCAAGTACGCCCGGGGATCTCATTTGACTCCGAGGCCAAGGCATCTATACGAAGCAAAGGACAACCAGCTTGTTGGCGCACCAGCGTCGATGCAGCCTCGCTGTTGCCTGGTTATGGGGGGTAGTCGGCAGTTGCTTAAGTGCTTACCACGTTGCACTTGGCCGAAGACTGCAAGTGCACTACCTACGGCATAAGTTCAGCGATGAACGGGCGCGGTTTGAGGCCGACGTCGGGCACGAGGAGGCTCAAAATGTCAAGTCCGGAGTTGACAGCAGTGCAGGTTGAGGACTGAGCGAGCTTAAACTAATGCAGGCCAAGCGAGGTTGACCAGCTCTGGCGCTTGAGGACCCCTCCTTTTAGGCCCCTCACCCCCGTCGCAAGATGATGCTCCGTGTCGGCGACTTGGCCCGTGGCCCATGCATTCTTTAGAGCCTCAGAAGTTGCTGTAACTGCTGCATCACCCAACCTGCAGGCTGCAGTTTAGCGGGCGTCGCGGCTCACAATAGGATGACCCGTCGCCCCATCTCCACGAACTTGCATCCATCCAGTGACCAGAGGGCATCCCACCCTCGTCTACAGGTATTGACCAGTCAGACTTAGCAAAAGTCGTCGCCTCCGTGCCGCTTTTCGTTCGGCACGCACGCATCGTGCCTGTCACGCCGATCGTTGCCGCGAGGGGCCTCATCGCGGGGGGTCTCAGCTGTCTGCCTCGCGGCTCTCAAAGATTCTAGAACACCTCGACACCCATCACGAATAGCTCTGTCCCGGAGCCTCTTTCTTTTGCACACTATCTATAGCACTGCCTCTATGTGGCTTCTGCAGCACAATAGGCACAATGCCTCTCTGACGGCCTGACAATTCCCCCACCTTGCCGCCGATTCCGCACTTGATTGTGACGACGATAAAAGTGCACCTCCCCGTCTTGTGATCCAACCTTTCACATCCCTGTCGACCGCGCCCAACCGTGTGGATGTTCTGGACTTACGCCTCGATTTGTCTGGCTGTGCCGAACACACTCAGACCTGTGTGGCTGTACTATTTTCACACCTCGCAGCCCGTGTCGCAAATCCGGTAGTAGAGTGAGCCTCGATTAGCAGGTTTGCTGTCATAAGCTGGACTTGTCAACCCGTTCGTGAAGATCGAGAGCCCTACTTTTCTCAGCTCGCTCTGCCCATCGACACCGTTTTCAGCCTCACTTTTATCCTCGAGCAGAGCCTCTCATTCCACGAACTCAATAATCAGAGGTACGTCCGTCGGCTTTTCTTACTTCACTAGACACCTCTTTAAGTCAAATCATGCCACTGCTTTCCCTTTGGCCATCGTCTGGCCCGCAGCACCATCGCTGCGAGGGGAAGTTCCGCGTCCTTACTTCAGCTAAGATGGATCTCTGGACTTTGAGGCTCCCGCATGCCTGCCGGCGGTCCAGACCTCCAGTCCGTTCATGGTCTCCCAATTCTCTCCAAAGGTTCGATTTCAGCTACTCGCGTCGTCCTACTTTGTTGGGCGCATCGTATTCACTAGTACCTTGAGCCTCTTTCATGGCTTTGCTGCCCATTCTGCTCTTTGTGTGCTCACCTTTCTATTCGTTGCTGCTGTCCCGACTAAGCTGACTCACGATTCGCAGTGGAGTGTGACCGCACCGTCGATCGTACCAACCCCCAGCCCAAGCCCCAGTCCACGCAATGACAGACTGCTAGGAGGGGCAGGGCTGCAATGGTCTCGTTCACGTCTCAAATACTGCCTGCAAACCGGCACTGATGGCATACGCCAATGGCTACTGAGACTTCGGATGACTATTCAGAGACGTTGGCGGCCCAAATTGCAAGGCTGAAGAGCCCAGGACTGGAGGTGACCGAGGTCAAGCTGAGGCACGTATCAGAATCGCCGCCTTTGGTCTCCAGGGACTCGTCGGCCGTTCCGAGCGACGTCGACGAGAGCGGCGGACCCTACGAAGATCGCAAGCCGGGCTCGCAGGGCGATTATGTTCTTTTGAGTCAGTTGGCCCCAAACAATCCCGACGCTGCAGAGCATGCTCTAAATCATGCGCTCCCCGTTATAGAGAAGAACAATTCGTCCCCGCCCAGGCCGATGAGCATTGACCCTCCGCGATCAACGATCGACGCGGCCGATGAGGACCATATCCCTCACTCAGACGTCCTGAAGCAGGACCAAGATGGAGACTTCAGGCTCAGAGCAAGGAAGGAGTCGTTAGAGGGCGCTCTGTGCCGCAATGGAGGTCGACTGTCGCTGCAAGATCCACCCTCGCCCAATGCTGAAAAGAAACAGCAATACGACATCAGACCGCCTCCGCTTAGGCCGTCGCTTGCACCACGGCAGGAGGGATTCGTGGAGGACTCCCTTGCCAAATCGCCGCTACTCTCCAAGTTCACGATCGATGAGCGCAATGGCGACCCCAATAATACCCTAGCTGCGATGCAGACGACGTCTCCTCCGAGACCGTCAGTTGGCCCACAAGAAGGAAGGCAGACGTTACCGTCCTTGACCACCGCACTCAGCGATGCCGGCTCTCCATTCTCAGCGCCGTCCCCCTACCTATCTCGTTCAGCGTCCTCAACATTCGGGCATCCACTGTCCTCGATCTCGTCAGCAATGTCACCGCCCAATTACTCTTCCAATCCTTCGCTGTGGACAACATCACGCAAGCAAACCAATTCAACATCGACCCCTTCTGATTACGCTGCCTCGGCCTCAACGCCGCAATCCGCCTGGACAACCCAGTCACCCGCTGGCTCTCTAACGACGCCACTGAGCAGCACCTCATCCCACCCAGCACCGCCGCCACCATCTGCAGCCCAACCCGGATCGATAGCAGAGCCCACCTTAACAACAACGGCCAGCGGTCCCCTCCTCTCTCCCACCCACCAACCCCTCCCATCAGACCACAGCGCCAATTCATCCATCTCCATCTCCTCCCCGACCGCCGCTCTCTCTACAGCTGCCGCTGCCCAAGCCGCGAGCCTCAATGGCATCTTCCGCTGCTCCATGCCTGGCTGCACGGCCGTCCCCTTCCAGACACAGTATCTCCTCAACTCGCACATGAACGTGCACTCCGACCAGCGCCCGCACTTCTGTCCGGTTAGGGACTGCCCCCGTGGCCCCGGCGGACAGGGCTTCAAGCGGAAGAATGAGATGATTCGGTATGTTGTTCCCTTGTCGTATACTTTCTCCTCCGCCCCTTTGACATGGTCCGACGTCGACGGTCGAACTGATAGTTGACAACGAACCAACAGGCACGGTCTTGTCCACACCAGCCCAGGCTACACCTGCCCCTTCTGTCCAGACCAGACGCACCGATACCCACGGCCTGACAACCTGCAGCGGCATGTGCGCGTGCACCACATGGAGAAAGACCGCGACGATCCCATGCTGAGAGAGGTGCTGGCGCAGCGTCCTGAAGGTGGCGCAAGGGGTAGGCGGAGACGCTTGGGAACCTGACCGCGGCAAGCTTGTACTGATGACGGTGCCATTGGCTCGTCGCCGCGCGGTGGGCATCTATCAACGGCACACACGCGAACAGAAGGCTCCGCTCGGTCAGAGACATGCAGAAGGCCAAGGGAAGGGGCCAAAAAAGCTGTGGAGGAGGAACCTAAGCATGGCGTGGTTCAGCCAATTCGTTTCGCTCTGTATACTTCTAACACGCACGAAACCTAACATTTTACGACCGATGAATGACAAATCGCCGCCGCCGCCGCCGACGACAACACTTTTCTTTTGACGATCAACTAACGCATACGGGGGCAAGGGGTTGAAGCTACTAGCGTTTTTTCCTTCCGATTTGCGCAACGGGCAGGCGCGCAGACGAAGAAGAGACGCAGATGAGATGAGGGGCGCAATGCGAACGCCGGCGCCAGCATCAATGTCCAAAATGCTTTACTAAAGGGAGTTCCGAATGAAACGGCCCACGGCCATGAGCTCACATAGGGTGGTTTATAGACATGTCCCCCACCACGTTTTTTCAACTATTCTTCCCCCAAGTTTGGTGGTTCCAGCTTTTCGGGCGTTACAAGGCCCAGCGGATCCAGTACTTGTCTTTTTGACTTGACTTGACATGGTAGAAGAAACGCGAAGGGAATAAGTGGAGAGAGGAGAGGTGGTTGTTATCGGTGCTTCGGCGAAGCTGGGATGGGATCAAATCGATCTTGTTTCGTGGCAATGCTCGTACACATGAACTTGAGTTGGCTATAATGAGTCCCGAGGCTTTGTGTCTCTGTACGTTGTGTGTGTTGGTAGTGGAACGGTTTTTACACATAGTAGTCTAGGGGTTTTCACACACCAACCGACTAATACAGTAGAAGTACAGCTGTGCTCACATCTATAAACACACACTTGACTTATGCCGACCGACGGCTACTCCTCATGCATTGCATGCAACTACACCATTGGCCCCATCCCACCACCCTGTGAAGGCATCAAGGCTCTGACGCGATCCATGAGAGAACCCTCTTTCTTATCCTCTTCCACCATGGCCTGAATTTCTTCCACTGTGTTGGGCTTCACCGTGCCCCACACCTTCCAACCTTCATCTTCTCCTTGGAATAAAATCTTCTGCAACACGACATACTCAGTCAAGGTCTTCTGCTGGTCCCCCTTGCCATTGTTGAGGTTGTACTTCTGTTTTGACGTGATGCGCACAATGACCTGCCTTATCAGTACATCGTTTGAGACGGGCAGGGCGCCAACGACGTCGTTGACGACTTTGTACGCCTTCCCCGGCATCCACGAGCACAGTGGCCATGGTGGCACTTTGCTGCCCAGCACTGGCAGGCCACCGTAGCTCAGCAACTCCCAGTGTTCCTGGTTTGATGCTCCCGACTTCGTCGCGCCACGACGCTCGATGCGGTTGCAGGCCTTTGTGGCCAGGCCGGTGCAGCAGTGGGCGCGTAGCCAGTGCTTGTCCCCTGCAGCGATGGCGGTGTTGAGTTCTCGGTGTAGTGTTAGAGCATCTGTGATGCGGGAGGTGAGGTGCAGTGGTATCGGCCGTTTCCGTAAGGAGGCGGTTGAGAAGACGCGGAACCCTTTTCGGCGAGTCCAGGCGAGATTGTATACAAGACTGTACGGGTTGGGCGTTAGTCAGACGTGTGTACAGGGTGGGAGGATTGGCTGCGGTCATTGATATGAAACCCGCACGGAGGGGAAGGGAGCCACGAACCCGAAATTATTCATGAATGGCTTCTTGAAGAGCATCCATAGAATGCGCAAAAACAGCGTCGGCTTGGAAAAAGCAATACGGAGATAGTCGACGAGCGGTGCAGCAACGAAGGTCTTTGGGAAGAGACCCACGTCGCCAGGTATCTTCGCCTTGGTCATATTTTGCATCTTGGACGAATTGGCTTCGCCGACCTGAGCGGCGACCATTCTGGATATCTCGTTACCAGATCTTCGCCCTTGAGTCGCCGAGGAGGCATGGCGACGAGAGGCAGTGTTGGAATTTTGCGCTTTGGCCGCAAGGTTTACGGACGCTTGCACCATGCCAGCGGAGGCGCATCGTGAGCAAACGCGGGATCGAGTGGCAAAGCCAGAGGGGATTTGGAGCGCGGCGCGCATTGTACGCTCCATTTTGATGGTTTAGGGGATGCGTGTGCGCTGCTGTGAGGCTTGTAGTTGTCTCCAGGACTGGTGTGTGCCGGGTAGGGAGGAGCCTCAAGACAGGACGGCTAAGACCATGGCAGCTGGCTGGAAGAGTATACGGAGATGCGCAATGCTTGGTCCGGGCAGATCTGTTGTAGCCCCGGCCCTTTTTGGTACGCTACCGATGCCGTCGCAAGTCGATATGGATGAGCTCTGGCAGACTGTCGAGCGCAGCCATGAGGTGGAGAAGAGCAGAAGCTAGGCGCTGTAATTTATATTACGAGTGATACGTAACGCTAGGACGTCTCCGGCCCGATGATTACTGGCCTCCGAAATACCAATACCTGCCCCCCTGCTTCCACCCAGTCTCGCCTGTCTAGAATTCTAGCCGCCAGAGATCATCGAGCCGGACGTTCGATTCAGCAAGTCCTCCAGTGACAACAATGACAGATCTTCCGGGCACCACATCTGCATCAAACCACCCCCGTGCAGGCGGTGTTTGCCCGCTTGCTTCAACCGCATGCCACTCCTGCGACTGAATATCGAACAACCAGATATCGCTCAACATTTTCCCCGCGCCTGCATGCCCAAGATTGCTAGGATTGCTCTCACCAAAGAAAGTAACAAGTGATGGCTTTCCTGCTACATTCAAAGCTTGCAGACTGCACACGCTCCGGGCAATAGGCCCAGCCTTGCCGTCTGGTGAATATGAGATGGTCGTCCAAGTGTCAGTGGAGGGATCGTATGAATCAAGTGCACCGCCCTGCTCGGTGTTGCCGTCGAAGCCATTCATACGGTAAAGATGACCTCCAGAAAACGCTATCGATGAACCTCCTCTGGATGGCGCAGGTGCATCCGCCAACCTCTTCCATGCCTTGTTGTTGATGTTGAATGCCCATAAATCAGCGAGTCTACCTTTCTCGGGGCACCCGGCATGCACATATATCGTATTATCACCATCGGATGCCATGGCGTGATAGCTTCGTCCCTCCGGATAGGCTGCTTTGGTGTCGCTCGGCCACAGCCGAGTCCATTCCCGCCTGAACGTTTCAAGCACCCACAGCATCCCGTGCTCCTCGATTGGCGCCATTTGAAGGCCACCGCGGCCAGAGAACATATACATATTGTAGCCTAGGGCGGCTGAGGCCGATCCAACCCGTGGCGGTGCGGTGTCTGAGGTGGGTGTGATGGTGTCGATAGAGGCATGATCGCCTTAACATCAGGCGTCAGGCAGTCCACCTGAGGATCTGGACTTGTTTGGACTTACTCTGCAGGTCGACGATATTGACATTCGCATCAACAGGATGCCGCGGCTGAAGCTCACCCCCGTAGATGTAAGCGTTGCTGCCAATGACCGTGAGACATTGCGACGAGCGCTGTAGGTCCGGCAATGCCATCAACTTGGTCCATGTGGCAGTCATTACGCTATATTTGTGCCCAAGACTGGACGATTATGGTAAATAGATGGCGCATGGCTTGCCTTTAGTATCAACGAGTACCTTGGATTTGAGTTCGATAAGGCTCGTTGGGCCATCTCGTACTTATGCGGTCATTGCCGATAGCGACTGGTGCGCTGATCTCGGTGGGGGTTCTTCCGACACTCATGCAGAGCCACGCTTTTCACCGCAATTGGCTCGCAAAGCATCACTACTGCAAGATCGGCAGGCATATGAGCGTCAAAGAACCAGCCCTGCAGAACCAGCAAGAACGACCTGTGATGAAAGTCAATGCTGTTTACGATGATACGGCCTTGCCCTTGTTAGTTCGGCAGGAAAACTCCTGCATTGTTTATTTGTGTATCTTCAGATCTATCCATTCTACAGCTCTCCAGACATGGCAAGTCACCCAGCAGACGAACCTACCCCGCAGCATGCCATCGAGCACACCACCCGGTTGCTCACAGTGGAGGACGATGATATTTCCACTGATCATGTCCGGCCCACGCATGATATGGAAGAAGAGTCCGGTGTGGATATCTCTGTCGCCTTGACAGCCACGGCCAGGAGGCTGTACGTTTCACACTTCCTCTCAACGTGGAACACGCGTGTGTTCGAGTTTGGAGCCGTTTTGTATCTGGCGGCCATCTTTCCCGGGACGCTGCTGCCAATGTCGACCTACGCTCTGTGTCGTGGCTTGTCTGCTGTGGTCCTTTCTCCAGCGGTAGGGCGGTACATTGACTCCGGCGAGCGACTCCACGTCGTTCGGACATCGATCGTTGTGCAGCGTATCGCAGTGACTTTGTCTTGCGCTCTTCTTTGGTTGATGGTTATTGGCGTGGCCCGTCAGCGATGGCTCAAAATAGCCATGGTCGGAGTGCTCTCCTTGACCGCTTGCGTGGAGAAACTATGCTCCATCATGAACCTGGTAGCAGTTGAAAGAGACTGGGTGGTTGTTGTCGCAAGAGACTCAGCGCCAGCTTTAAGGACCCTCAACTCACAGATGCGTCGAATCGATTTGCTCTGTAAGCTTGTTGGCCCTTTTGCCGTCTCTTTAATCGACGGATATTCGACCGAGACCGCGATCCTCGTCAATCTGGGCATGAACTTGCTCTCACTGCCATTAGAGTATTATGCAATTAGAAGGGTGTACAGGAGCACGCCAGCCCTGCAACTGTCGGAGCCGAGAAGCATCGAGGCGAACGAGGTACAATCATGGAGTCAGTCACTCATGCAGGTCCGCAAGCAGCTATGCGTATATTTCGGCCATCCCGCGATGAGACCATCCTTGGCGGGGGCGTTGCTCTATCTGACGGTTCTTTCCTTCTCTGGCCAGATGGTGACTTATCTCCTGGCCGTCGGTTTTACGTCTATACACGTAGCTATAGCAAGGACCATATCTGTCAGCTTCGAGATCTCGGCAACGTGGCTCGCCCCATGGGTCATGAGTTGCGTGGGCTCAGTACGAAGTGGTATCTGGTTCCTCAGTTGGCAGATGCTGTGCCTTGCTGCAGGAGTCACGGCGTTCAGCCTCACCGGCGACCCTGCTTGGGCTGCTATTGGGCTCGTCATCGGCACGATTCTCAGCCGTGTGGGTCTATGGGGTTTCGATCTGTCATCTCAGGTGATCGTGCAGGAAGAGGTCCAAGCAGAATATCGCGGCTCGTTTTCCTCTATCGAAGCATCACTGCAGAACGGCTTTGAGCTATGTTCCTTCGCGGCGACAATGGTCTTCTCGCAGCCTGAGCAGTTCCAGTGGCCGGTGTTACTAAGCTGTAGCGCCGTCTACGTGGCGGGCGTGCTTTATGCTTGGTTTGTGCGGGACAGACGAGGCCACCTGGTCCACTTCTGCGAGCGAACGGATTCAAAGAAAAGAATATGGCATACCACGCACCGCCGCACTGGGCTGCTGAGTGACGATTGAAGAGAGGAGCCTGTGGACTACAAACATCGTTCGCGACTAGCTGGTGCTATAAGGAGCCAGCATCGGGTACTCCGTATCTAGCCGGGAAATTAGACTGCGTTTCGGGTTTGAGAGTGCCTAGTAAACCTTGCCGTTCTGGTCATGGTGTTAGATCCAACATCTCGGTGTCCGCGAAAGCAGCCTCGGGCGCGGCCATGAGCTGCAAAGGTTAGAGAAGCCAGATGATTCAGGACTCTCCGAGCTTGAGATTTCGATCCCCAACACCTGGCTAGCGGAACGGGAAAGCGCCACGATGCACATGCATGAACGGTGAAGCTTGGAGACTCGCGGAGCAAACGGGCCCTGGGTTTCGACTTGCATCGACCTTCGCATCCATGTTCTAGAATTTAGTGAGTTAGTAATTCCGAAATATGGTGCATCAACGGCGTCCCACACTTGATCAAATGTAGAGACGCTGCTCAACGCGTGGTTTTATATGCCCGAGACTGCTGTGACAACGTTGAGTCAACAGGGCTTGAAGTAGTTGTCTACAGCTTCCATGACGTTTGACCATCATCACTTCAGCACATCTTCTAACTTGGTCCGTTGTCTTATGCATCTGCATCTGCATCTGCATAGAGATGGCAGACGTCGAAGGGGAGGCTTGGCGATGACGGAAACGGACTAGTGCATCTGCCCCTTGAGAACGAACGCCGCGAAATTTGAGCCTCAACTTCTTCGCCTGCTCATCCTCGTCTACTCTTCCCTGTCTTTGTGGATCTTGAACCATCAAGTCTGAAACGGCGACCATGCTACCTGGCCAAGTCGCGCTTCGTGGCTCTGCACCCTAGTGGTTGGCTTGCAGCGCAGCTCGTGTTTCCTACCAGTCACAATGCACCTTGCGGTCGAGTATGACTCCTTGAAACAATCCTCCAGATGCAAATCCTGCGAAATCTGCCCTGATCTTTTTGTTCATCTCGGGTCTCGCCAGCTGGTCCGAACGATCGGCCTAAAAGTATATACGCTTATTAACGTCACATCGGCGGCGCTCGCCCAGACCACGCGCATGTTGAGTCCCTCTGTCCAGTTCTCATTGTTTGAAGCTTGGCCATGTCCGGTATGCTCTTTGTGCCAAAGCCCCCAATTTGGGGTCCGAAAGGCGCCACTTTCTTTGATACCGCCTGCTGCCATGACCATCCTCCTGTCGGCGTGGGCCTTTAATCTCATGGCTGCAGGCTCCTCAAAGCACACCTCAGTATATACAATGCCTCTCCGGGCAACGGTACGTACTCTTGCTCTCCCCAGTCCTTCTTGACCACTTCCATCCAGTACACTCGTTTTTTGTGTTGCATAGAGCCTGTCCCTGCGAGTCGGTGACTCTGCATTCGTTCTTTTCGCACGCCCGGATCGTGCTAAACTTCCCACACTCGTTTTCTCTATCGTAACAACAGCCACTCTTTTGAAACACTTCCTACCACAGCGCCAGCAGCTCCCACGAACCATGTCTACCCTTCTATCATTGGGCCTCCTGGCCGCCGCAGTCTCGCCAGCTGCCGCCTTCTGGCGCCTCCCCTGCAAAGCCCCCGTCGTGGTCGAGCGCACGGATCCCATTGTGCAGCCTGGCGCCGTCTCACGCCATGTGCACACCATCATGGGCGGCAACGGCTTCAAGCCCAGCATGAATTACAACGACACCCAGGCTTCCACCTGCGCCTCGTGCACCGTCATCGGCGATGACTCCAACTACTGGGTCCCCACCGTCTACTACAGACATGAGGACGGCTCTTTCGAGACCGTGAACCAGCTTGGTGGTGCCACGGTCTACTACCTCCAGCGCGCCCCCCAGGGCAAGGAGATGAAAGCCTTCCCCGAGGGCTTCCGCATGGTCGCTGGTGACCAGTACAAGCGCTCTGGTGGCGACGACGTCACCACCAAAGCCATTTCCTACGCCTGCCTGGACTACAACGGCCCAGCAAGGCCCGAAACGCCAAACTTCCCCAACTACAACTGCGCCAACGGCCTCCGCGCCCAAGTCTTCTTTCCCTCGTGTTGGGACGGTGTCAACCTCGACTCGCCCGACCACAAATCCCACGTCGCCTACCCAGAGGGCATGAACAGCGGCAAATGCCCAGACACGCATCCTGTGCACCTTATCAGCATCTTCTACGAGATCCTCTGGGAGACCAACAAGTTCGCCGACAAGTGGTACGGCAACTCGCAGCCCTTCGTCTTCTCCACCGGCGACCCCACAGGCTACGGCGGACACGGCGACTTTCTCAACGGCTGGGACGTGCCCCTACTCCAACAGGCCATCAATACCTGCACCGCCGACAGCGGCAACGTCGAAGACTGCGCAGCCTTCAACCTCCGCCCCGATAAGCAAGCCGAGGGCTGCACCATCCCCACCGTCGTCGACGAGCCCGTCTTCGGCAAGCTTGACGCCCTCCCGGGCTGCAACGACGTCACTCCCGGCCCCGACCCCGCCCCAAAGCCAACAGATACCTGCACCAAGGGCGCCACCAACCTCAGCAACGGCACCGCCTCCACCGGCCCCAGCGTCGACGGCTGGAACTATCTGGGCTGCGGCAACGACAACTACTACAACCGCGCGCTGACCAAAGCCAACACCGCCTCGGACGACATGTCGAACGAGAAGTGCGCCACCTTCTGTGAGGGCAAGGGCCACAGCATCGCCGGCACGCAGTACGGCCGGGAATGCTACTGCGACGACACGCTGCGCGACGACGCCGCGCCCGTCCCCGGCGTCAACGGGCTGTGCAAGATGCCCTGCTCCGGCGCCGCGGACGAGATGTGTGGTGGCTATGGCACGCTGAGCTTGTTCCAGAAGGCCGGTGCGAAGACTACGAGGAGCATGAGCAGCGAGGAGGTGGTCGTGAGGAGACATGCTGGCTGGCATGCTAGCCGCGCGAGGAAGGCTGTTTGAACGCTGATGGAAACTTAGGAGGAAGTAGAGAAAATCTTTTAAAAGGGCCGGGCACGGGTCTGAGGCGAGACTCCGGCCTGTAGTTGATTGAGGTTGGGTGGCCAGGCTGGGTGCTTGAGGTTGCATTATTTTGCGCGTGGTCCGCTTCATCTAGGACCAAAAAAAGGAGACCTTCACTTCGATATCAGTATTAGCTTACAACACGGGGTTTTTCCACCTCTCTTTTCAGATGGTTCTCAAAGGTTCCAGACGGTAGGGGACCGCGCTTGAACGGAACCAGCATAATTTTGGAGCCCCTTGACGAGATCTCAAGATAGCAAGAAAAACAGTTTGGCCAATTTCGGTGGGAGAAAGCCCTTCAGCCACTTCAATTGATTCAAAAACACTTGTAGCGGCCTTAACCTCTTCTATGCATTCAGATATGTTTGTAGGACACTCTAGCTCGTTCTGCCTCTTGTGTTGACAAAACACGTTCGTTGGCCGCGTTTACTCCGGTACTGCTGTGACTACAAACTGCTGCTCCGTAACTCAGCCATTCGTAAACATCGTGGATGTCGTGCAGTAGTCTCCCATATGGATATTTAATTTCGTGATGTCGTGAGCCCATCTTTGTATGTCTTGTCACGCGTAGTTGGTCGTTAACACTCTCGCTCCTCCTTGACTGTCAACGACAAGGCAAACTTCCACCAGTCAAGCTTTCCTCTCAATGCTGCCATGGTAAGCAAATCCTTGGAATAGACCGCAATCTTCACGTCAGCAAGTTTCGAAATGTCTGGGTCGCCTTCGAGGCCCAAGACAACCAGTGTGTCTAGGTTGTTGGCGTTCTTTGCGGCGCTTTTGCTCGGAGCTGATTTCTTGACCTCATCGGCACCCAGCACAGTGGCCAGCTTAGACAATTCCTTGGCAACCGTGGGGGTGACGGCTTCTTGCAGGCGCTTGGTCAGGTAGACGGTAGACCCAGAAAGCAGGTGCGTAAGGCCTTTTCGGCCTCTTTCAATCGCGTCAGCCAGATTGAAGCCCCATTCTCGTTCGCGGTCAGGGTCTTCCGGCAAGTAGCGGCTAGGCTCAAGAAATCTGCTTTTGCGCGTCGAGTCAAGGAGCCACTGCTCTGTTACGATGACCTTCCCTGTGGAGATAGCGAGAAGAAGACTTCCAGATTTCACGAGCGGTCCGTCGCCTACGCACAGCACATCTGCACTGACGATACTCTTTGTGCAAGATCCGCCCATCTCTTCGAAGTAGCGCATGATCTTCTTGTGCCCTTGGTCTATCGTTGTATTCCCTGCCATATAGACAATAGGTGCCCAGTCTGATATTGTTAATAAACTCGTGGTAGCGGTGCTGATTGCCTTCCCGCGGTGCTGATTGCCTTCCCGCGGTGCGATTTTGTAGTTGGCAACGCTTTGGGTGTAACATGGGATTGTTTCTTCTTCCTCTTACGCATATACCCAGAGAGAGTCGTCTTGGGTGCGACCGTGATCGTTTTGCCTTCGCTGACAACGTCGTCGTCATGCTCACTGTCTCTCTCTGGAGTCTCAGGACTAAGACGAGCCCGTTTTTGTACACCATCGCCGCTTGACGACTCCCATGAACGTTTTATCGACCGTCTAGAAGTTGTAGAAGCACCGTCATCTAGGATTATCGCTGACGTCGAGGCGGAGAGAAGTACGGATAAGCACGATGAGCCGGTATCTGTATCAGGGTCGGGGGTGCAGGGAGACTCTGAATCAGCAGCCGTAGAAGCTGAGGCTGCCAGGATTGGGCACGTCTTCGTGCTGTTAGGGGAGGTCGCTGGCTGAGAAGGTGCCATTGGTTCTAGAGCATCCGATGGTAGATGACGTGCCGGTAGGGGAGGAGGCCGCATCGAATTGTGCACGCTGCCACGTTCATCTTCCCAAAGGATCTCCCACCGTCCAGCAGGGGTCAGGAAGTGATCACCTTCTCGAATGATGATGCTATACTTGCTGCCGGGTACACTCTTGGGGATGTCGAGATGAGAACCGTTGTTACCGAGGACAGTGCATTCGTCATCCTCGAAATTGGTGAGAGCAACGACTTTGCTGCCCGACCCAGGGCGAACTTCTAGAGAGGTTTAGTGAGATAAGCACAGCGTGTCCACGTGTGAGAGAATCACCAATCTGAACTCCAGAAGATGGAGCTGCCGACAAAGCAATTGTGCCTTGCACAGGTGCAGAGGGGAGGCAGAAATTTCCACCCTCAATCGAAGTCAATACGCGCTCACCAGCAGGGTCGTGAAAGGCAAGAAAAACACCGAACATGGCAACAACAAGTGATGAAACAGGAGATGGGCCAGGATGAACAAGGGTTAGCGGATCATTGACGGCGAAGACATTGGATGGCGAAGGGGACCAGGCCGATGGTAAAGACTCGTGCCGGCTATCGACATGATTTGGGCAGGCACTTCCGTCAATTACAGAGATTCTCGGTACCAATCCCGAGGCACACCTTCCTTCGTTCTTCTGCCAGGTTCATAGCAGCTCAGATGCATGTCTGCTAGCTCAGTGCCATCTGTCGTAGCCTTTCCGGCCCTCTTGAGCCAACACAGCAGTTCACGATCTAGATTTGGCAAGAGACTGACGGCGTTGTCCAACATGAGATGAAGTGATTGGACATTCATTGATTAGCTGGTATGCCGAGTACCGCCCGCTTCCCAATCGTGAACAATATGAAGAATCCCTTACTATTGTTCTTGGTGTCTCACTTACCCGTAGGACGAACGAGCAACGAACCGAAGTCGCCTGTTGCGTATTGTGCCTGAGCACAGTTGACTTCAGAGAACGGTACCGGCACCACATATTACAATCCTTCCACGTCAAGACCGTAGCTATGACATCCTCTTGCTGTTCGTCGCAGACTAACCAAAGTCGACCCTCCTTCATCAACACTCAGATTCAAACAGCACTCCAAACCTGATGGACGACGGCAAACTTGCCTCTTGCACGATCGAAGTGCCCTTGTTCCCGACGCCAACGCGCCTTCCAGTCAATGGCTTCAATGGGTCCTTGCACGACATCCTCTTTTTCACCCCCTCCTATCGCCCCGACCCGTACTTCGCAGACCCCTTCAGCACGCCCATCACCTGGTCGATGATTGACGCCTATGGCTCACGCGTCGCCGTGCATGCCACAAGCCGTGGCACCTGCTTGGGGTTGCTACTCACAACGCTGCTCTATGTTCTGTTCATCACACCACAACAAAAGCGCTGGAAGCGTTTCCACATTTGCCTCCTTCTTGCTCTCATCACCAAAGTCATCGACTTGCTCATCATCTGCGCCACGGCAGCCCTGCCCAATGTCGGCTACTATCCTTCTTATCCTTTCATCACCAATGATCTCACTGGCGGCTATTCGTCAAGCTATCTCTCGTCCACGCTGGCCCGCGCGCTCCTCGACATCATCAGCACGCTCTGCATGTTCGCGTGCCTGTACATCCAGGCTATCGCCACACTTGCGGCATTGCGTCTGACACACCGCCGAATATATTGGTGTTTGAACATCTACCTCCTCCTCGCAGCCGTGGCTGTCCTCCTTACACGCCTGTTGCTATTCGTTACCCGAGCGTACGCCCTGTGTCGGCAGACATCCACGCCGGGTCTGGACCTTGTCCGCACTGACAGGGCCAACGTAGCCACCAACACGCTCGCACTGCTTAGCTATTGTATCGTCGCCATCTGTTCCGTGGGCAAGATCCTGCGGAGCCGGCGCAGTATACTGCTCCATGATGGAGGCAATAAAAGCTACGACAGTGCGCTGGCGCTGATGGCACTAGTACTGCTGGAGAGTTTTGTGGCACCGTTAGTCTTGACGGTGATGTACATTATGCAAAGCACGCGCGCTAGTTTCGCCACAGCAGAGACGTTCATATTGCCAGTCGTCCTGGTAGTTCTGCCATTCGGGGGGTTGTTTTCTGGAACAGCCGCATCAGCCGGACGGCGAGAGCAGCAACCTGCCAGGAACGGACGTAGAGACCGAAACAAGCCTATTACGGTCCCATCGATCGGCCCGACCATGCAGAGCGGAGGGTTTCCAGGATTGGAGTCGGAGAGGCTGGACTGTGGCTCAAACCAGTCGAATGCAAGACGTCTAGGGAATGCGCTGAGTACGGCGAACCATGAGCTGGCTACTATCGACGCACTGTAAGTATTCGCTCGACGCGTCATGCTCCAGGAAGTGGGGACGATGTAGAGCCATTGACGATCCGTCGTGGGGGCATCCAGAGAGGTCACCGCTGTGCCATCGAAAGTCAGACATCTAATGAGCAGAAAAACTTGTGTCGGGCCGGAGATCTCGAACTCGTCACTTCGTATTCTCATTGCTTGTGTACCGTGCCGGGGCATCTCAAGTATCTCAAGCACCAGCCCCACCCACCTGCTCATCTTGCACCCTCCTCTTAACCACCCTGACCCACCGCCTTCTCCTCCATTCTCCCGTCCTCAGGTTTCCATACCGTACAGCCTCCTCCCAATCCTTCTCCCTTTTCTCTTTCTTGCTCTTCTTAGCACTACTCTTCGCCCCGGGGCTTCCAAAATCGTAGTCCCCGTACGCTAGCCAGACTTCCTCCTCACGCCCACCACTCCCCGGCGGAGGCGCCAGATCCCACACCCACCCGCCGAACTCGCCCGATGCATTGTCCTTGCGATTTCCGTCTTCGAGCTCTGCGGATGGTGGTTGCACGACTCCATACTCGACGCCGACGACGAGACGCTCATTGACCCATTCGCCGGCCTCGAGATCGAGCTCCCATTTCTTGGAGTGCCAGTCCCAGCCGTTGGGCGGAAGGACGTCCTCGAAGAAGCGGGTGCCGCGCGGTCGGTCGCCGGCGATACGGGCGGGCGAGAGCGGGTCGTAGGGCGTGGGTGTGAAGAGGTGTGGCGTCCATTCGGAGGCGGAAGAGGAGGAGATGGAGGAGAGGGGACGGTGTTGAAGCTCGAAGATCTCGACTTCGCGGGTTTCGGGCGTGGTGGAGATGGTGATGGTGCTGAGGGAGGTGATGAGAGGATGCAGGGAGGTCGGAGGTGAAGGGAGAGGAAGGTTGAAGAGGGCTGGGATTTTAGGTGCTGAGCGTTTCTTGGAGGACGAGCTGAAAGGAGAAGTGGGGGAGAGCAGGGTCTTCTGGTGCTTGATAAGCCAGGCTTGAACGGTTGGATGGCCTGAGAGAATGACGGTGTAGCCGACTATGAGGAGTATGAGGCGCCAGGGGAGCAAATGCGACGTGATGAAGAGGACGAGGGTGAGCGCTGTGAGATACAGAAAGATAGTGGAGGAAAGAATCTCATCGGAAAAATTGGTCGCTGGTGCGATCAGAGCAACAAGGGTGTCGTGAAGGTTGGAGAAGTCAGCCATGGAGTTCTGGAGATCACGCATATTGCGGAAGAAGTCTTTCGAGGTTTCGGAGGCGGGTTTGATAGTGCGGGCAGGAGCGATGGCTGGACCGGCATAGGTGGTGTAGTAAGGCGTGGTGGCCGAGGTGGATGCTTGGGGTGGTGGAGGAGGATGTCGAGAGATGAAAGCCGGTACCATAACGAATAGGAGAATGATTGCCAGCGGCACGACGACGAGCAGGTATGGGTTCAGGCAAACGAAGGTGTATGTTGCTAGTAGAGAAATGGTGTGAGATGGTTGTCGCCAGGTGAAGAGGCGGATAAGACGGTTTTGGAAAACGAAGACGATGCCAATTCGTGCATTGAAGCGCCGGAAGTTGTTGGTCATTAAAGGCAAAGAAAAGGCTGGTCGTTTAACGTATTGGGAGGACCGCCGATCGACCGAAGAAACATTGTCGCCCTCATCGTCAAGGCTGTCTGTGGGAATGACTTGGCCAAGGAGTTTGGTGAAGAGGCGATCCTGCAGCGACTGTCTTCCTTCTTCTGCCTTCTCAGCTTGCTTTTCTTCAGCTTTGGTTCGTAGCCTTGATGGCGAAACCGACTGCTTGAGTCGCCTGGACCTGCTGGCGCTGGCTGTCGATGCAATTGACTCGGCATCTGAAGCAGAAGTGTCGATGTCACTGCCTGGCACGGCCAGCAGAGGAACTGGCTCGTCACGATTGGCGAAAGCGTCGGCCGTGAATTCATCCATGTCGTTGCTATAGCGTCTCAAGGACCTCTGATGACTTCTCTGCTTCAAACAATGGACAAGTGACGTTGTTTGTCGAGCACGTGATGATGGAAAGACAGCCGGCAGATGCGGAGCGGAGTTTGGTGGGGTGCGTGGCTAATGGTACGGCAAGATCTTTGTGTGGCTCTGGGTGGCTTAATCTGGCCTAAGATACTAAGGTTTTCGGCATGTTTTCTTAGCCCAGCCAGGAGCCAGGAGCAGGGATAGGGGATGGAATTTAAATGCAGCATTACGGCGTGCAAAGAGGACTCCAGAGTCGAACCCCTTGTTTCTCAGGTATGCTCTGGATACGGGGTACTTGTACCATTAAACGAGTATCCGTACATGGCAACGAGTATGCACACCGCATCGTTGAGCCGAAGCAAACGATTAAATTAGCGAGATAAGCCCGTGCAGTAGCAGCTATTTTCTACTGTCGCCATTTTGAATTGTGTTCTGATCGACGAATTTGCTGGGCCTTCATGGCACGGGCGGCTGAGCACTAGCGACCCCCTGCAGGCGCTGTCATTGGGGCGAGCCTGGGTCAAGCCGTAGACCCGGCTCAGGAACAAGAGAGCACGGCAACCAGCAGCACGGCTAAACCCAAACTGGTTCTCCCTAAACTGCGGCGCTCGTGTACTCTGTACTCCCTCACCGTTCGAGTTTGTTCAGGTGATTCGAGTGAAGACGTTCAGTGCATCAATTCAAGCATCCATTGTGATCTGGACCAGATCCTTCGATCCCCCTTCTTTGTCCCCCGCTCACCCATTTGCGGCGGCCACCGACGACCCGCTTCTTTCACGCGTTTCTCCTCGATGCCGCATCGATAGCCAGCGGCGAGATCCAGGTCGCGGCGACTTGACCGTCCTCCTGTACCATCATCCTCCTGTCAATCATGGCGTGAGACCGCATACGACTGCTAGGACTTGATATAAGTGGTTGATTCCGCTTCGCCATCATGCCTTTCAGGTCCAATGCATCTGCAGGCAGCGAGGGCAATGGCGCTAATAAGAACACACCTTCGTCCACAGGCAGATCGAGGGTGACAAACGTCAATAATGAGGGAGATCATGGTGGTACAGACCCAGAGCCAATCCCAGCCACCACGACTTTCCGAGCTGATCCCGCATCTGCAGCCCAGCTAGCGTCTTCCACCAGCACGTCCTCCCTGCATACCTTTGCTTCTGCCCAGAGAGCAGTTCCTCCTTCGGCATATCATGGCCAAAATGACAAGCAAGGTGCGGCCGCGAGAAGGAGACAGTCGTCAATCCCAAAAATTCCCATGGGCCCTCGGCCGATGGATTTCTCGACCGGCAAAAGGTGAGCCAGCGATCGTGCCTGCAATGTCGCCCCAACGCAACTAATTCCTTCCCAGGTCCGCCAGCAACTCGGCAGTCCCGCCAAACGCTGTTAGGGGCGCCTCCGCCGTCGCTTCCCAAGATCCTTACACTCATGAATTCAGCATCAATGACATTTCTCGCTTCAGTTTCGCATCAATAGCTCCTCAGCACCATCAGCACCATCACCACGACCGCGAAGACCTCCCCGAGTACGACAGCTTCCTAGAGCCCACCTTTAATTTCGACGACTTTCACGATCACATCACGACTTCCGAGCCCAACCTCAGGGATTTCCCTCTCCCTGGCGGTGTCCGAGGGAAGCCTGTAGCTGAAGAGCCCCTTCTGCCCAACTCTCAACCATCAAAACAGTCCACACAGGGTGCGATTCCAATCCCTACCAGAAAACCATCCAATAGTACACAATACACGACTCCTATCAGTCGGAAGGCATCTACTGCCTCAACGACGTCACGGATCTCTAACAAATCTGACTCGATGCAAGGCCAAGGCAACCCAACCCACCAAACCCAGTCCATCCTACGAGGACGTCGCCAGAGCCAATTCCCTCCGAACGCATTTAACAATCCAAATGCGAGCTCGACAAGTGGCTCCAAGGCGCCCCGAAAATCGGTCGGTCCAGGGACTTTTGTTCCCCCGGATACCAAGCCTGAGAATGTGAAGCGTCGGCCCAGTGTTGGTGGCAGGAAATCAAGTTCGGACAGCAAAACGGGCTTGTCGCTCCGTCTGGCAACCAAGAAGGGAGATAACGCGACGGAAACTAAGTCCCCAAGGGCGCTTCGTGCAAAATCATTCATCAGCGGAAAAAGTCTAAGCTCTAATGACTTGTTGACGCCTTCGAGAAGTCCTGAAGGTAGCCGGCCGACCTCGTCCTATGCCCCAAGTACCCCAAACCGACGCAGCGGCACGCCTGGTCGGACCACGACTCCTGGTACCAGCAAGAGAATGTCTGTAATGCCGAATCATGCTTCTGGCCTGGGGGCCCGTACTATTAGCCCCACCGATGCTAGAAGGCTAAAGCGCATGTCTATCGTGCCTCCCGCGCCTCCTCTCCCCCACAGCAGGATATCCCAGGCTCCTCCAACACCAACAGAGCCAATGCCAATGAGGCCGCGCTCAACTGTTCAATCACCCGCTACTGGGAACCGTAAGAGCTTGACTCCCTCATCGTCGAGGACTACTCCGGACCCAAACCGGAAGTCCTACAGCTCAGGTCAGTCGCTGTCATCTGCTACGAGCTATGCTTCCTCCGTCCGCAATTCGGCATCTTTGAGTGCCAGGCTGTCACAAAATTTGAATTCGTCCCGTTTACCAACCCCGAAACCGCGTATTGATCTATCAGGTGCAGCACCGATCGATGCCGAAGTTCCACCAGTCCCGGCCATACCAAAAGCATACGAGTCTCCTAGCAGCGAGTTCGATCAGCCATTTTTCTCAGCACGATCGTCCAGCCTTCCTCCATTTGACTCGCCCATCACAGGCAGTCCACATGTCACCAATTTTGAGACAGCTATGAAGGCTTTGGAGACTCCCCGTGCACCCAGCCCGTCTTCTAGAATCTCACCCAATCTCCCGATCCCGGAACCTGAACTCCGGCAGAAGCCACCTCCTAAGAACTCGAAGAAGAGCAATCCATCGCTCCGCTTGCCGCCACTCACTCTACTTCCGCTAAGCACGCCCACTGCTGCCAAGATCAAGGCTTTCAAAGAATCTAGAGCTGAGGCTGCTGATGCTCCATCTACGCCACCACCTCTTCGCAACACGAAGACGCCGAGCACCCCAATGACGGCATCAAAGGCGAGCTTCTTCACGAGGAATCATCGGGCAGCGGAAGAGAGTATCATGAGAAGCAGCACTTCGCACCATGCGCTTCGGCCTGATCCACTGCTGTCTCCACAGGATGAAAGCCCAAGTCTACCGGTCTTTAGTTTCGAGTCGGGTTCGGTCCATGATCGGGGTATTTCGCCCTTCGTATCATCTTCTTTGCCAAAGAACGATGATCTTGCAAACTATATGCGGCCTAATTTTAACACGGAGCTCAATAGAACTGTGCAGCCAAAGTCCAAGCCAAATGGGCCGCGTGCGCCGAGTTTCTCTGTGACACCGAAGATGTCTTCTGAGCCCTCTCCAGTTGAGAAATCGGAATCGGAATCCACTGGATATCTCCGCAAGAAGCTCACCAAGAAGAGACCCGACGCAAAGGCAGAGGAGAAAGTTGTGGAGCAGGATGTCGGCAAGTACGACAACATGCCACCACCAAAATTGCCAGCTTCCGCCACGTGGTCAAACAATCTCTCAACGGCATCAAGTCCCGTTCTGATTCAGAAGCCTACTACCTATCTTCGTTCGCGCCGCCAGACATCGGATTCGAGTAACACTTTCCACTCTCAACGCCAAGAAAGCATTGATAGCAACATCACCCATGTGTCAGGAGCTCGACCTTCAATGGAATCTGTGCGGTCTTTCATGCAACACTCCAACCGCTCTGGATCACTTTCCAGCGCTGTGCCTCAGCAAAAGCCTACTCCGAAGGCCCAGCCTCAGCCTCAGCCTCAGCCTCCGACCCCGGTGCAAGAACCCCCTCTTGATCGTGACGACATGATTGCTGAAGATGAGATGAAAAAGCTTGCATCGAAACGTAGAGACTTTGAATCGGCGGCGCGCGAGCTTGATGCACTGAGGAAGCGTGCCTGCCCAGCCAAACGGATGTCAGCAAACACTGCATCCCAGCTCCACAACCTCAACATCTTCGAGAGGGGCGAGATTGTCGACTATCCCGATATCTACTTCTGCGGTACGCCACGGTCTCGGAAAATTGTTGGCGATCCGGCCAACACTGCAACAAACTTTGGCTATGACGATGACCGAGGTGACTACAACATTGTTGAGGGCGATCACCTGGCTTATCGCTACGAAGTCGTTGACCTACTAGGCAAGGGCAGTTTCGGTCAAGTCGTACGGTGCATCGACCACAAGACGGGAATTTTGGTGGCGGTCAAGATCATCCGGAACAAGAAGCGCTTCCACCAGCAAGCACTGGTTGAGGTTAACATTCTTCAAAAGCTCAAAGAATGGGTAAGTCGCCCAAGATGGCCAACGACCATTTGACTGACAGATTTGCAGGACCCGCATAAAAAGCACAGTGTTGTGAGTTTCGATCAGAGTTTCTACTTCCGGGGTCACCTTTGCATCTCAACCGATCTACTGGGTATGAACTTATACGAGTTCATTAAAGCGCACGACTTCCGTGGCTTCTCCTTGAAGCTGATTCGCCGCTTTACGAAGCAAATGCTCAACAGCTTGATACTCTTGCAGAAACACAAGGTCATTCATTGCGACTTGAAGCCTGAAAATATCCTCCTGGCGCATCCGGTCCATTCAGAGATCAAGGTGATCGATTTTGGGTCCAGTTGCTTTGAAAATGAAAAGGTGTACACCTACATCCAGTCTCGCTTCTACCGATCTCCAGAAGTCATTCTCGGCATGTCTTATGGCATGCCAATTGATATGTGGTCGATCGGTTGCATCTTGGCTGAGCTTTTCACTGGCTATCCTATCTTCCCTGGTGAGAACGAGCAAGAACAGCTGGCTTGTATCATGGAAGTCTTTGGCCCACCTGAGAAACACCTGATCGAGAAAAGCAGCCGAAAGAAGCTGTTCTTTGATTCGATGGGCAAGCCCCGGTTGACTGTCTCAAGCAAGGGCAGGCGGCGACGACCCAGTTCCAAAGATCTCAGACAAGCTCTGAAGTGTGATGATGAGGCGTTTCTGGACTTTATTACAAGATGCCTACGATGGGATCCTGCTCGACGAATGCAACCTCACGAAGCACTCCGACATGAGTTTGTCACCGGAGTCAAGATGACCTCTGCCAGTCGTCGGAACCTGTCTAGTGCGGTAAACTCTCCCATCAAGAGAATGAACTCAACAACTGCTCCTAATGGGACTCGACCGTTGCCGCAGCCACCGTCTTCTACATTGAAAGTAGTCACCAGCCGCCAAGAACCAGCCACCTCGCCGAGTAAGAGCGCGCCTCGACGGCAATCGACGGCCACGAATTTGCAGACAGGAGCTCAGAGGAGCAGTGCGACCCTGCCGAGGGTAGCAACATTGGCGCAGCAAGGTCGCAGCAGACCTGACCTTGCCACGGCGGCTGCACAAGCCAGCCTTGTGAAATAGATGTACGACACGTGTTCTAAAAGAAGGATGTATGATTTGAGGGTTTCTATCTTTTAATTGACGAACCACATACGGACGAACATATCAGCAGATGGAACGGCGAGCGGCTTCGGCCATGGATTGGTTGGCATTCCAGTGGCGGAATCCAAAAGTCGGTTGCAAGAGACGACTTGGATCGTTGGGCTTGATTTTGTCAGCACCTTAAATTTTTATACCCTTAGCTTCACTGACAGAAGCTCGTTTGGCTGTATCGGGAGGGTTTGAAGTGAGTAGGTGAGAGGTGAGGTGAAGTAGAGGAGTCACTCCAGACAGGGAGGGAATGCGTATACAAGATCAATACCTTTCTCCTTCAAGGGTCGTAAACTGGGCTACTAGATTGGCTCTTCTGTAGAACCTCACCTGGCCTGGTGAATTCAAAAACTACCCCAATGTGTCGGCCACGAACTCATACCCAGGCATTAGGCCCTTGGACCGCCGAGTGACTCATTCCCGTCCAGCACGTTGAGGTCTTGGCACTGCTGCCTGCTGCCACCGAGCATTATATAAACCCTCCTTCCTCCTTCTGCCTCTCTTACCTTTTTTCTTCTTCCAGCTTCCTTTGCCAATCTGGCTTAGATCAAGTGTAGTATCTGTTCTTCCGTAGCTTAACAGCTCGGATGTGTTCTACGGAACACATAACACAAAACTGTTAACTTGTTTTTGAACTCGCCGTTGGTCTGCCCATCCGCTGAGCTTGCTTGGTGGAGGGGCGCTGGCATGGTGTCCGAGGCCTTACACTGCTGCCTTGTGATGCTGAGGCCTGGTTTACCTTTTCATCAACTGCTTTCTTCTTTGAGAAGAGGGCATTGGGGAAGAGGATGGTGGTGCACCTGTCGTGAGAGGAGGTGGACTATGAGATGGACAATGAAGGGAAGGATAGCGAAGAGCAATAGACATGCCTACCGTGGCCGCAGCTGTCATTAGGAAACTGGATGACATTCATACTGTATAAGACACAGAGTGATAGCGAATTGCCGTCATCGTTAGCTGTCCGTACCTTGCATGCGGCTCTGCATGGTCGACTGTGCCCAAAAAATTTCCCGCAGTCTATCTATCATTTTGGACTTTTGGCTTGCATAACTCATTTCGCCTTCTTTCAGCGAGTCAATTACAACAGCAACGGAACGTCTCGTCGTGTTCCTCTGCCATCCAATCGCTCTCCTACCTGCATTCTACCCGCGTCGCTCATCCTAATCTTTCATCATGGCGCACCCTACCCCCAACATCGATCCAGCAATCTTCACCACGCTCCAAACCAAGATCGACGAAGAATCCTCCATCCGCGACAGCCTACGCACCTTTACCGACTCCCTCGGCCGACAATCCCGTCTCGTCACCTCCCACCTCTCCCGCATCCACAACGTCCCCTCCGCCGCGCTGCGAACACAGATTCTCGACCCGGTGACCCCCCTCCTGCAGCAACAAGCGCAGACCGTGCAGGAACTCGCCCGCACGGCCTCCCAATACCCCTTCTACAAGTACAACGGCCTGTGGGCGCGCGAGGTGCAGACGGTGGTGCAGTCGCTGCAGCTGCACGAGTGGCTGCTGTCCAACACGCTAATGTCCCTCGAGGACGTTGGCAAGTTCTTGGGCGTCGCGGTCAACGTCAAGGACGAGGACGTGTTTCACGTCACGATCGAGGATTACCTGCTTGCGCTGACGGGTACGGTGGAGGAGCTGAGCCGGCTGGCGCCCAATAGTGTCACACTGGGAGATCTGGGAAGGCCGCTGCAGGTGGGGAGGTTTGTCAAAGAGGTGCACGCGGGCTTTCAGCTGCTGAATTTGAAGAATGACAATCTGCGCAGGAGGGCCGATGGCGTCAAGTACAGTGTCAAGCGGTGTGAGGATGTGGTGTATGATCTGAGCTTGAGGGGCTTGGTGCCGAAGGATGACGAGGGAGGTGAGGACGTGCAGAGTGGAGGTGCCATGAAGTTATGAGGTACGGCAGCACGACCTAGAAGGGTTTGGGCTGTGGATGCTACGTGATCTCTGTTTCACAAGGAGCCCTTTCGCGAAGGAAGGACAATCATGGTGGAAAGGATTTGACTCTGAAAGAGGCAGTTTCGGCGAAAGATCAATTCATGGCAAGGTCCAGGCGGAATTTCCTGGAGGATAAAAGTACCTAACAAGATACACGCACAGGTGGGAGGAAACTGTTATTCGATACAGCTACCTCATATGATACCGTGACCTCGAGAGAGGCCAATGCAGGCCTGTTCAGTCACTGGGTTTATGTTCCACCTTGGAAATTCCCGTTGTCATGCAATCGTCCTCTTATGCTCATGCCGAACAAGTCCTCCAATTCCATTGTTGCGCCTTGCCATGTCTTCCCAAGAATGAGCTTATGGCTGAGTGGGCTTCTTGAGCTCCTCGCCGTCAACTCTCACGCTGCTGTCAGCGGTAGCAGGTTCCCGGAGACCACTGCTGCTCTGGGTGCCCAACTTTGCGTTGACGCCACCGCTGCCAACATTGACCGTTCTCTGGTCGGCGGACTGCAGGTCTGCACTCGCTCCGCCGATGGGCTGGTCCGGTAGGGGCAGATTGGCCTTGACGCGGTCAATCTGCTCGGTCTTGGATTCTTGTTCCGAGAGCATTTGCTGGAACCATTGTTAGTGTGTGGTCTTGAGAACGACCTGGAGAGGTGGGAACGGTACCTTTAGTGCTGCAGCGTCACCGCCCTCGGCCATGCTAGGCGGGTTGCCGCCGTGGAACTTGGCCTCCTTTGCTTCAAGGTTGCGGACATCTTCCGCGGTGACGTTGAAGTTGTTGTCAGACATATTTGCTAGATTAGGTGACAAGGTAGTTGCTTATTGTTTTGTGATGTCTAGGCTTTGTGGACTGTTGAAAAACGCAGATATTGAAGAAGCACACGAGCAGCGCAGCAGCAAAGTTCTTATTTGTGGTTGTGCGAGGGGGACCTGGCATTTTGTCGGGGCTTCCTGCGTCATCGAATTGCATCATGTGCGGGTATGGAAAACATTTCCGTTAGCCAATGACGTAGTCCAGGTGCCTGAACTATCAGGGGCAGACACGACTAGAATCTTCCCAAGATCGTCTTCGACATTTGCGCGGAGACTTTAGAAAACGTTGCCCATACAGTGCTCATAGTGGTACCAATGTTGAACAGTTACGGAGGCCTTCCGAGAATATACAATTCATCTCATTCGTTCGCAGACAACAGTGTTCGGCTCACATGTTGGTATTCGTCATTGCCTTGTCATTTTTCTCAAGCGCCTTCACGCAAGCGGCACAGGTACCCTTGACTGGCATTACGACTCGTCTTCTTCAAGTGAGTGCTTCCTTGCTGGAAGGTCGCATCGCCTAAGCTCGATCCTAGTTCGACGACATTGCCACGACTGCGGGCTGGGGAGACTTACCCTCAAATTATAGCCATCTATCCTTCAATGGCTTCCTGGCTCTTCGACCCAGTGCTCCAGAGCTTGAGGGTACCATATCTGAGCATGACTTGAACTGCGCCGCATCATCACCAAATGCCGTATATGGAACTCGCTACAATCATCAAGTGCCAGCGACTCCTGAGATCAGCCTCCTACATGACTCGAAGTTCTCTTCGTTCGCGTTTCGATCTTTCAAGATCAAGCCTTTAGATTTGCCGCCCTTCTCTTATGCCGTGTTGAAATTGAGAGGCATCCCCGCTCAAGGCGAAGCACTGGAGTGGAGTGTTGACTTTCCAAACGGCTTTCACGACATGTTCACCGTGAAAATTGACGAGTTTTCAGGCAAAAGCTGGAGAGGACTCGACAGTCTCCAGATTACAGCCGATTTTGTCAGTGGCGACCAATATATGGACTGGGAATTTTGCTTCGACGACCTCGAGGTTGCTCTCGAGCGTTAACCTACACAGATGTTGGGATGTGAGAGAACCTTGCGATGAAGAATTGAAGGCCAGATATGCGAACCAAGAAGAGGCCTTAATGAGGGTGTTCATCAATGGCTGACAACCTTCGCGTGTGCAGCTTCGGTGGCCCAAAGCGCGGCTCCGGATCGGATCTCTGACCACGAATACGGTAGAAGCAAAGACCCAAAAGACGTGGGTAGCTTCACCTACCTCAGTCTATCAGTCACTTAGAATTCGGGCTGCAAGATCGTGGTTGCCTCAAAGTCTACCACAGCCAATCAGATTCACCAAAGGCTCGCGGGCGTGAGGCAAGCTCACTTGCAGAGCCCCAGACTTACCTTCCTCCTACTTGTTGTCATTCCTCTCTTGCGCACTATCTTAATCCTCCGCACCCTTATACTGCTCGCCTCAGTCATGCCTACTGTCACGCTTTAGCTGAGTCTGTGCTATCTTTCATATATTGTCGTCCAAGTCACTCATGCCGCCCCAGCTCGCTGGGCAGATCAAAAGAGACATTTCCAGATACATCAGTACTCCGTTCGAGCTGTTCAAATCTCTGGAGAACGCCTTCTCGGGCTTGGGGTCTTTGGTATGACCACATTCATCGTCTGTGTAGTCATCCTTGCCCGATGCCTCTGCGGCCCGGCTGCTGGGGATATAGAAGATGACGAAATAAGGCGGCGAATCAAGCGAGAACTACAGCCGAGAGGCCACGGTCGCAACCGTGTCGTAGCGTGGATACTTCGGCGGACCTATTGGCACAGCCACACCAGATCAAGATGGCGATGCTTCATCGATGCTCGTCGCGATCAAATCCATCAGCTAGTCTACGGCCACGACTTGTCGACCTGCCGGGAGCCCGAGCTCCCGCCTATCCACATTGCCAGTCCATCAATCACATCCATCGATCTGCCACGAAATAACACACCTACAACTTCCCCAGAGTTTGGGGGCAAGGCAGCCTCCCCCACAAGCCCTCGGCCCTCTCGCGACCGTGCAAAAGCTGCAGCTCGCTACATAATCTCACATGAAGCACGCGAAAGCCCGTTGTCGAGAGACCTGCCAATCAACCTCAAATCACTACCTATTGCTCATCCAATAGCCACGAATCCGCCACAACGGCATATCTCCTTCGCTCCAGTCACCGGCGAACGCCCAAGAAGCTCCCTCACTGCCATTCGCAGCCTTCCATCGTCCCCGAAGCGTAAATCTCAGGAGGACCGGAGGGTGATGGGCCCCCTGTTTTTAGAGGCCTCAGAGTGGCCATCTGAGGGCCCTACAGGTCAAGACAAGGGAAAAGCTCGTCAAAGTCAACCCGTATCGCCTTCACCAACCGCAAAGCACAAAGAGAGATCTGCTCTGCCAGTCCCATCAGTACCGAACACACCAGCCATGCAGCCTGGAGAAGAGCCGAGCAGTACTGCGAATTAAGAAGGGTTTCAGATAGCGGGCAATGGCGAAAATTATCCCTCCCTCTTTTCTTTGTTCCTTGTCTCAGCCATGCGAAGACCAGGTAGCTTACCGAAACTGCTCTAGACAACATCTCGGGTTCTCTATGGTAGGTCTCAGATTGAGGGCTGCTTCAGGTCACCACCGCTTCCAACATGACTGAACCGAATTGCAACCACGAAACCTATAAGACCTGCTTGCTCGCAAGACGGATCACCATCAGTCCTGGCCTTGACAGTCCAATCGCTGATGAAAGTAAAAGTTCCAACAAACTTCCTCATCCCAACAGCCATGTTCATCGGAAGATCCACTTTTGTCACCAGCAACGTCTCCGTGGTTGGTAATTGGACTTTCCCAGTGACACGAGCAGACTATTTACCTCATAGCCGCCGCGATGTGCCCCATCTCTCCGACAGTAGCAGATCCGGTATCATCTTCGGAATTCTTGCCTCTCTCGTTGTGGTCGTCCTCTTTGGTGTGTACTTGGTCAAATGGTTCAAAAGAGGCGAATGGAGTCCCTGCTGCACTCAAAGCCCATCGACTCCTGCTGATATACCAGGCCAACCAAATCTAGCAAACCCAGATGATCCGAATGACAACAACGAGAACGCCTGGCCTAGACCGAACTCTACAGAGCATGCCAATCAAACCAGCAATGCCGGTGAAAGCCTCCTCAATGTCGGAAGCACTTCACAGGCTCCTGTCCTTGCTCTTCACAGCGTTCCAACTATGTTGAAATCAGGCCATCGAAAGAAGTCGCCGTATGTTCAGCCACCCCTTTACACAGCAGCCACGAGATCGATGCTTCATACTGAGCGACATGAAATTCGGCCAACGGCAGTACAGCCTGTTTATGACCAATCGAAGACTCATGCCGTGTCTGCTAATCTCCTTGCCACTCGAGACAGACCAAGTACACCGCCGGCAGCAACAGCATCCGATATCAATGAGAGTGTGCCATTGAGTCAACAGCCTAATACGATAATGGTGCCCGACGAGCCACCTCGCCTATCCGTTCTTCGACCGATCTCGGGGTTTGTGCTTGGGCCCAAATTCCGCAGTATCCCTTCGGCACAAATTGCGGAAGACGCTTTTGGGCCTAATAACGACGCGGGCGATGCAGCATCTGCCCCTTCGCCAGTTGGCAAGGAACCTCAGATCATGAACCTGAATCAGCAAAATCGAGCCGCGATTCCAGGGTGCGCAGGAGCAGTGAGAGGCATCTGTACACAGAGCAAATGTCCAGGCCTCAGCTACAACAAGAGGCTCAACCTAGTCGTGTGCAAGGCTGAAAAGTATGCGGCCCAAACTTTCTGACTGCAATTGCTGAGCGGCCTGCTGGCAGAGGTGACTATGGCGAGCTTAGAACGAGGTCTCGTCAAGGACAAGTCTAACGTGAGACGGTATTGCTGTCGGTCATGGTATGCGCGGAGCAGACTGTATCGCTGCCGTTGAGCAAGAAGAGGTGGGAGGTTGGGTGCATGCGTCCGATTACACGATGACCGACGAGAGAAATCAAAAATCAACATCGACAGACATAGACGAGCGGCTGTAGCAGTGTTGGCAAATCACAATATAGACAAGATGAAGCGGGCGAGACCAGCCGAGAGCTGTGTGTCCTGTTCTGTTAGAAAAATGACTTCTTCCAAAGACCAAAAACTCGACTACTGAGATCGCGCTCAGTAGTTGAGAAACCCGAAGGTTTTCTGACGGATTTAGATTCACACACGCAGTCTCTTTTGTTTTTGAGTGTAACCGACCACTCTTTAACTTGATCATAGGCATCGAGGGATAGGAGGAGGATTTGGACCCGCTAGATGTTACCACTCGATGCGGGAAGCCTTGACCTGAGGCACTCTCGAAACAGAGCCACTAGCGGTGATTCCGGTGCTGGTTGTCGACTATATTTTGAGAACAAACATAACTATCCATCAAAATGAGATGTTGCTATGGCCAGAGGAAGGGGGAGGTGAGGTTGGTGGTGGCTGCCTTGGCTGGGCAAATGGTTTGCCTTGCTTTCATCAGACGAATACTACTGGCAGTCTAGCTAGAAGACGATCTTTTTAATCATGCCCGCAGAGATATCTCAGCCTGTTCGTCTCAAATAGAATACTTCCTCTGTGAAGTTCCGGCATCGTCCTCGCTGGAAAAGCCTGCTTGCGTCCGCCAGCTACCTCCATACCAAACCGGTCGGGTCGCCTCGGGTACCGGAGGCGTCGTCGGCGTCTTGCCAGCGGATGCAGGCCCTAGCGTCCTTGCTGGAAAGTGCTGGCGCTGCAAGACCGCCAGTTCATAGCCGTGAACCATACTGTCGTAACGAGGCAAACCATCACGGCTCTGGCCATCGACACCCCGCTCGACATCTGCCTCTGCGCCTTGTCTAGCAGTCTCGGCGAATATGGCGGCTCTACGTCGCGAGAAATGCGTGCGGCGAGCCGTATAGATATCCTGTTGGGCCATTACGGCGTGAGTGCGGGCACGCCGTCGGAGATTGTTCAGGAGGCCGATCACACCGAAGATGAGTCCTGGGATGACGATGACACCCAGGACGACAGCAGCGATGATAGCCCACCCGACGCCGATGGTCTGAGCACTCGAAGCGAAGTGACCGCTGTTGGGAGCTTGCAGGGTCGGACCGTTTGTCGGAGCCGTGGTGTTACTCGTGGCCAGGGTGGTGTCCATGGCGGCTGCAAGTTGTCGCGGAAGCTCTGAGTATCGCTGTTTCGCGCGCGGATCGAGGACTTGAGAAGGTGTGGGAGACGATGGTGGCGACGATAGAGCCGTACTGAACGTAGACGAAGCCGTATCAGGGCTTTTTGGTTTTTGGAAGGTGATTCAGAGGCTGGACGGTGCAAATTGTTTGTTTTGGCTAGAGGTAGATATTCAGCACTTTCAGACCTGCTTACAATCAATTCAATTCGACTGTATATATGTGAGCCTTCAGGTACTCAATAGAAACATATGGTACTGCTGCCTGGGGCTATTCCCAAGGGTGGCACTAGCTGAACCAGATATTCAGTCTCAGCCGCTGAGTACCTCATCCAGTGTCTGAGTACCTGCTCCCACTCACGACCTATAAGTATACCGTTGAATAGTAGATTGCTAGACGCACTTTATTTCTCGTATTCACCAACAATATCCGCCGTCAAGCCAAAATCACAGGTACCACTTCGCTGTCGACATTTCACTGAACGCCACTGCCTCGTAACCTCCCACAACCAACAAACTCCAGCCCAACAAACATGTCTCCTTCATTCCACCCCCTCATCACCCTCGTTCGACGTCTAGTACGCAAGACCACACCCATCCGTGGTTCCCAAAACAAAAAGCCCCTCGGTCTGCACTCCACAATCCGCACCAGGAACCGAACGGAGACCGCCCTCCGCAGCGCCAGCTTCTCGCCCTCGTCTGCAACCTACCCCAACCGTGAGCGTGACTGCGACCACCACGGCTCGGACTCCGCTACCAATGGCGCTGACAGCACGCCAGCAACCTCGACGCCGTTCCTACCAGCCTGTCCGTCACTCCACGCGGGAGGCAGCAGCGCATTCGCGACACAGGCGGATCCGGCGTGCCAGACGTCGGCGTCGCGCATGCGCGCCTGGCAGCTCAGTGAAGCGGAGCTGCTGCCGAGGGAGATGCGGCCGAGAAATAGACTACTGTGCAGACGGTGGGAGGTCAGGGTTGTGCCCGAGCGGGTGTGGGGCTTGGAGAAGGTTTTGGAAGTCGACGAGGAAGACGAGATGTGGAAGGCGGAGGAGGAGGTGGTGGGACTGTGGTTGAGGGGTCAGGAGCTGGACTCGTGAGAGGGGTGATCGTGGTGTTATTGGGGAAAATAGAGTTATGTATAGGAAACTGAGGTGTGAGATGTCGTGGATGCCTAGTAAGTAGTACGTCCTTGCGCTAAGTTTTCGTCGGTACACAGCATTTTCAGACAGGTTCGCGACAGAATAGCTAGGCAACAATGACTCACGTTGCAGGTGCAGACCTGGTCCTGGTCCTGATTCCTGGAATCCACTCGACAGTCCTGCTCAGCTGCTGCAAAAGGTGATGCCGCCGTACTAGCTCCAGTCGTTGCGTCAAAGATAGAAGGACGCACTTGAAATCGATGGTTGTGCACCAGCCTGCCGGCTGCTCTGGTAGCAGTATCATTACGTCTCCATTCTTTATTCTGCTGAACAGCTAAGACTGTTGATTTTCAACTTAACTCTGCCTGCTTCATGATGCGTATCCAGCCATGCAGGCTAGACTCTGTCCAGCGGCTGTAATGAGGCCAAGGATTCCGCTCGATAACTCGTCTAACAAGTCTTCACGGCAGGGATTACCGACAATGCCCATAGGTTCACTCCACACGTGGACTCAGCGCGCAGACCCCATTGTTCCTCCCTCCTCCAAGCAAAGCCGAACATTTTGCTGTGCCCGCTCCGAAACCCCAAAGTCATGGTCTGCGAAACCATCTTTCATCTCCAGACATTGTTTCGCTGCTGCTTCTCACAGTGGTCATAGACTTCTGAGGCTCGCGGGCCTCATCGAAACCAAAGCCGATCCAGTCTCTCTTCTTCTCCTGAAGCCTTTTCATTGCTTGCAGGGGAATGCCGGGTTCGCCGTCCAGACTGGTTTCACGTCCATTGCCGTGCTTTTGTGCCTGTTGTGCTCGATCGCTGCCCCGGAAGCACAAGCGCCATAAGGAAGACATGGTTGCGATTGAGATTCGAGCGTGACTGGCGAAGGTGACTGTGGAACGTGAAGTCGTCTTAAAAAAGACCCGGAAGTTGTTAGGGTCAGGAGTTTTTGTGATCACATTGACAGTCGACAAAGACGTGTATTCGATATCTTCGTCGAGTATGCTGCCATATAGTTTGTAAGTCGGTGGATGGAATTGAAGTGCGCCGCGATGTTCGAGAGTACTTGTACATTATGACAGCAGGAACAAACACCCTTTGCGTGATTCTGATAAGTTTGAGATGGTTAGGCAGCATTATAGATTTTCGTGTTTATTTGCAGCTCAGCTGAGTACTGGAGGTGCTGAACCACCGGCATCGAAAGTGGAGTTCGGGCTGATATCTCGTTACGGTAAACAACACTTTGGAGTTGAGCATATGATGTAGGCCTGAGCATGATGTCAAGCATACATGGTAGTAAGCGGAGCGTCAAGTAAAGACGAGATGGCTACAAGCTAACTATCAAGTAAAAAGGATATGTTGAAGAGTGAACAAATCGTCGAGCCTGTTGGGGTGAAGAGGCCTACGAGCTGCCGGCGGCCACAACTTGCTGAGGACAAAAGGCTCTCAAATTTCTTCCGGATGGCATAACCAGCGATTTGAGAATACCACGTCCAGCCATTAGTTCAAGTCTGACGCGCAACATTGTCGCTTCCGGTGTGTATTGTGCAAATCTCTCGATGACAAAGTAAGAGTACCTCCAAGCGATAAGCATGAATGGCACCTTCTCTCCTTTTCACGATCAGCCTTGCCTAGCCGCCAAGACAGCCTTGTCCGGGTCCTTATCGATAATCAGCGCAGGCGGGTCTTCGAATCTTTGGATTGACTTCAGTTGCGAATGTGAATTTGCGCCCTCCCGCAGCACTGAGCCGACAACCGGGCTTCGCGCAATAGACTGCGATGAAGTTGTTCACAGAATCATTCGACAAGAACAGATAGCCCCCGTTCCCCCAAAATGCCGCGCGACCCTCTCATCGGGCTGGTAGGGAAGCCCTCGTCTGGGAAATCGACGACATTGAACAGGTGGGAACCTTCGAGCGCAGTGTAGATGGACACACTGACCAGGACGCAGTCTGACAGACGCGACTTCCAAAGTCGGTGCGTGGCACCAATATCTCCCTCATATGCAACCATCCGACTAACCGATCTGCGTAGGCAACTTCCCGTAGGTGCTCTGGTCCACCTGTCTGCCCCGCGAAACTAAGATCCGGACCAGATTCACGACGATCGACCCGCAACGGGCTATCGGGTATCTTCAGATTGATTGCGCTTGTGTTCGACACGACCTAGCCGACAAGTGTCGCCCGAACTACGGTTCCTGCGTCAACGGCAAGCGCTCCGTGCCCATTGAGCTGCTCGATGTCGCCGGCCTCGTTCCTGGCGCACATGAAGGCAAGGGCTTGGGCAACAAGTTCTTGGACGATCTCAGACACGCAGACGCACTTATCCATGTGGTCGACGTCAGTGGGACGACTGATGCCGAGGGCAAAGCCACTAGGGGATACGATCCAAGTGTCGACATCGAGTGGCTACGCGGCGAGATTGTGCGATGGGTTCAGGGAAACCTTATGGATAAATGGGGAAGCATCAAGAGGAGGCATATTGCGATCAAGGCGAACGCGGTGGAGACATTGCAGGGCCAATTCTCTGGGTACGGCTCAACCAGCTCGATAGTCGCACGCTGCCTGGATCGCATGGGATTGAAAGAGCCGCTCGAGACATGGGACGATGCAACGATCGAGAGAATGGTCAACGCTTTCGTGGACGAGAAGTTCCCCACCGTGCTGGCCCTCAATAAAATCGACCACCCCGATGCAGATCGAAATATCGCCAAGATCGCCAAAATGGTAGCACCTGAACGGATGGTTCTGTGCTCTGCTATCAGCGAAGTGTTTCTGCGCAAGCTCAACAAACAAGGATACATCAAATATCGAGAAGGCGATGAGTACCTAGATACACGAGAAGACCTGATTGAACAAGGTGACGAGGATGGTGGCGGGCTGAAAGAACTGGATGAAAAACTCAAAACGCGCATCGAGAATCTGAAAGACATGGTGCTGTATCGCTTCGGTAGCACGGGCGTGGTGCAGGTTCTAAGCCGGGCAGCTGAAGTCTTGGGACTAGTACCCGTCTTTCCGGTCCGAAATATTCACACCTACGGTTCAGGCTCGAGCGGCGCAACGGCCGTGTTCCGCGACTGCGTCCTTGTCAAAAAGAATAGTACTGTCGGCGATGTTGCGAGGAAGGTGATGGGCGACGCCCCCATTGCATTCATCGAAGGCGATGGCGGCAGACGCGTCGCAGAAGAACAGCTGGTCAGCGTGGGCAAGAACGACATCTTGTCGTTTCACGTGGGCAGATGAAATGCCTCTCCATACCATGCGCGACCAAGCGATGCAATTTTTGATACAAAACAAGCCCTCCGTGCGATGCGGAACACAGCCCTCGAATTTCAATGACCTTTCTGCGCCGGTCAGCATGTTTCGCAAACCCGCAGCAAGGACAACTCACGCTCCCCCGTTCCGAGTTCATACCAATCACTGGCGTCGGTGCCTCCGGGTGCTCCTCCTTGGCCTTCTCGTTACTGTTCCTCTCGTCCTTCCTGGAAATCGCCCCGCCGCTCGACGTCTTGGTGTCCTGATCTTTCCCCTCCTGGAACTTCTTCATGCCCTCTTGGGACGCGTCTCCTTGTACGTCGTGACGGTCGCGCTCGACGGCGTGGTCGTCGCCGGAGCGGCCTCCCCAACCCGGCCGGGAATTCTGCGTGCCCTTCTCTTGTGCGTCGGTGGACGCGAAGAGGCGCGAGGACGCAGGCGGCAAGCGGCGCGGGGACGTGCGTGCCGCTGAGAGGATCTGTGGAGCTGGGAGGCGAGGCATGGTGAAAGTGTGTGGTCGAGTATGTCGAGGTTCGTTGGACAGAGGGCCGAGGTGTGTCGGTACAAGCTGCAATGGTTTTTGGAGTAGATGGGACTCGAATATAGAAGGTGTTGCGGTTTGAGGATGCCCTAGAGATTGAATGGACCTTCTCAATTCCACACAGCTTTCAGGTCCTGCTGCACTTGCTCCTGGGGGTGCTGCGCAAGAGCCACGGTCGTGATGTCACTATGATCCTTGGAAGCTTATCGATAGTGGTTGGGTGTGTACCCCATACTTTCTGCTCCGGGGAGCGCGAGGCGGGTACCTGCATTTCCATTTCACAAACGGTAAGCATAGTGCATAAGGTACCTTTTAAACGATAGAAAGTATTGATCCAGAAGTGTTGGACACGCTGCCGCCGGGGGACAACAGTGGAATTAGAGGAATGATGTGCAGTGTAAGGTTTGAATTCTTTTTTTGTGGCATTCGACGTAGCCGCCTGGAGTCTGTGTATATGGCTTGAAGATGCGAGTTTTATAACGAGAGTTCATGCATCATCCCCAACGAACGGCATCAACCGGCTCACAGAGGAAAAAGGCATTCTGGAGCATTGGGACTTGAAAGTTCCAAATTACTCTCCGGTCCAAGCATCCGGGTACAAGGTCCCGAACAGCTCTACGATGCCATCGTTATCCAGGCCCCTCGTGAGACCCAGTTGAAGGAATATTCTTGCGCGAACAGGATTGAGGAATCCGCTACCGATCACCCACTCTCGCGTGGTCGCGAAGCCGGTGTTGACCTTGCGACTGGCAACGATGCTCTTGCCCGTGGCGTTGTGGACCTCCTCTGCCGCCGCACGGGCGTCCCTGCTGATGCCGCCGGCGCCGTTGCCGGCATAGACGATGCCCTCTGCACCGTTGTCGGAGGAGAATTGGAAGAGTTCCGGGTTCATGTCCTGGTGGGAGTAGAGGATGTCGACTTTGGGCAGACTGGTCAGACCGGAGACGTTGAAATATTGCTTGCCGGTTGCTAGTGCCGCCGAGTAGTAGAAGTAGGGCACCTGGTTGATGTAGTAGCCCAGGACACCGGCGTCAAAGTTGTGGAAGGTGTCCAGGGCATTGGCGTGCGTCTTGGTGGAGTAGAAGGCGCTGCCGATACGGTCGCTGAGAGAGATCATGGCACCTCGGCCGCGTGCGTTGGGGGCAGTGGCCAAGATTACGGCTTGTAGGACATTGAGCGGTCCGTCGGCGGAGATCGCAGTCGCTGGCCGCATGGCTGCCGTGCATACGATGGGCTTGTCGGTCTTGACCGTCAGATCAAGGAAGAAGCAAGTCTCTTCCACCGTGTCGGTGCCGTGCGTGACGACAACGCCGGAGATGTCGGATTTCTCGACCTCGGCTTGGATCAGTTCAGACAGTTCTAGAAGATGTGTCGCATTGATAGATCCCGAGGGCTCGTTGGTGACCTGGAAGGTATTGATGTTCGCGCGCTCCAACAGCTCCGGGACGGCCTCGAGGACTTGCTCAACGCCGAGGCCGACCGAGTAGCCACCCCCCAAGCCCCCAACGGTTTCTGTCGACGAAGAGCCGACGCTCGCAATGGTACCGCCGGTGCCGAAGATGGTCACATTCTGTAGGGACGAATTGTATGGTCTCTCCCCTTCCTGACGAGTCCAGAGTTGGAGGTGAGCTGGGTTAGGAGAAGCTCTAGCCAACACAGGCAGAAAGCACAGCAACGATTGAACCCTCATTCTGGAAAATATTCTTATGGCAGAAGTGCTTGACGAGGCAACTGTGGCCGTGTAGTGGCCGTCCAGTGCTGGTCATATTTATAACCCTCTTCTAGCTGCGAGACCGGCAGGTCAGAGGACTGGTTCTGTTCATATTTTCGCCTTGGCTGAGCACACCAAGGTACACTCGGCGACTTTGTTGCTTCAGAAGGAACCCAAATCAGTTATCCGGAAAGACGGTAGGGCGGACTAGGTGTACCGAAATCGGTGGGCGAAGAGACCACGGACCGCATTTGCCCACGACTGGTAGCAGTTCTCCGTGCACCAACGTTGCGTGACTTCGCAGAAAGCTGCGAGCACACTGGTCTCTTATCTAGCCAAGTATAGGCGGAGTATACAGCCAAGCATAAGCGGGTGTACCAAGATACTTAGGCAGAAGGCTGGAGGGCGTGAGGGCGTCTTTGGCTGGTATGAGGTCACCATCCCAGCCATCCACGTGGATAGTCGAGTCAACTCATGAATTCTTGGTCAATGTCTCATGACATATGAGAATCTGAAATGAGGTCTCAGCAAAGTGTATCATCTCAGCACAAGACTGGGTGAGGTAAGGACTGTTGTAACCGGTTTCGTGCTTGGGCAACGGTGGCCCTAGCGGCGCACTTATGCAGTTCAGTACCTGCACCGGATCCGCGCTGGGGTTTGTTTGGGGACGCCCGAGTATCGGGTACCTACCAAAGGTACCTCTATAATGGGGAGAAGATCAAAAGCTATCTCCACCTAGCACGTGGGTGGTGTGTAAGGAACTCGCTACTCCGTACTCCATACCGAGGTCTATGCCCAGGTTCTTATCGGGGCCAACCAGTGTTGACTTCTCCTGGTCGAATGCCAGCTTCAGTAGCTGCACGTCACGCTTGTTTGTTGACTCGGTCGGCCTCGACCACCAGGTCGTGCCCATCGCCCCCATCCTCCGGCGGCTCTTCATCGACCCTGCTCATCTTCAGACCCTGTACCCTGTGCCTGAAGCAAGAGTATGGTGTGGGATTTCGATCGAAACACATTCGTTGGCGGCCCAAGTCGCAGCAACAGTGTGAGGCAATCCTTTCAGCGCGGGATCCTGCCAAAATTTGGTCTTCTGCCGTACTCTGAGGTCAAAAACCCAAGTATTGCTCCTATAGAGTTGTCCAGCCTTGCATGCTGATCCCTGTGGTCCAATTCTAAATCGCGGAGTCGGTCCTGGCTCTGATACAGGGAGTTCATATCCCCGAAAATCGATTGCTGTGCTCTGCTGACGTCTTCAAGAGCTGACGCCAGATCCGGCATTGTCGGTCCTTCGCTGTACGCAGCCAAGGCCGCGTTGGACGCCAGAGTGCTCGAGTTTGTGCCGGTGGTTGCGACCGAAGTCTGGGGCTGGGGAGTGGCACCGCCACGGTGATGGGCTCTGGCACCGTTGGCACTGCGGATGTCGTTGCTCGGCTGTCCTTCTTGCCAAAACGGCTCCCAGAAGCGACTGAGTGCCCCGCGGTCGACTAGGAAGGTGCTGCGAAACTGTCGCTCCGTTGATGCTTCCGAACCTTCGCTGAATGATGGACCGAACATGATTGTCTCCTCATCTGAGTAAAAAGCTGGGTCCGTGACTGCAGCATGCTGCGTGGCACCAGCTCGGGGATCCGACTTCTGCATATCCGTTGACATAGGGTCGGAGGAGCAATTGTGGAGGTCCTCCAAATCGTCGAACGGAGCCTCATCCTCGTCGATCGGTGTATGACAGGTGATGTGATCGGGGAGGACTGCGGTATGGTTGGCAGTAAGCAAGTCCGGCGCTGACTCCGCTTTCCGCTGGGCGAAGCGTTGAAGCTTTCGCGGGTCAACGAGCCGGCCCCATATCTCAAAGGTAGATTCCTTGCCATCAGACTCCCGTCTCATATACTCGACGCAGAGCATGGTGCGCATCTCACTGTCCTTGATGTTCTTGTCTAGATTCCACTCCTTGAATTTCCTCCGAAATTGCCTTTCTGTTGCCCGGAAGCCATGATCTTCGTCAAGAATCGTGCGCACTTGACCAACGGTCAAGTTGTCGTCGGAGTATAAGCTTGTGATCAGGTCTCGCCGTTGCGCCCATGCTTCTACCGAATGTCGAGGCTGGGGTTGGGCTCGTCTCGAAGAAATTGAGCGCGGAGGCATGTTTGACATATTCTGCTATCCGTTTGATCGTAAAAGCAGGTCATACTTCTTCGCGATGTGAAGGAAAGACTCGGCGAAGTCATCTGCACAGGTAGGCCGAACGGCTTGATTTAAGCTATCAGAGCATTCTACAGCTTCTACAGCATTGTGGACACAGCGAAAGCCGTCGAACGCAAAGCGACCGGCCGTCTATCTTATGGCCGCGTCTCACCGCAGCACTGCCCCTCACGGCACAGCCTCAGCCACACGCCACATTTGCTACCCACGTCACTGGGGCCAATACGCAGAAACCCAGAGAACGCATAAGGACCGTTTCATATCGTCGCGAGCCTCCATCATTCTACGTAGAACGTTGCAGAGATCAAAACGACAAAATGCTCAGATATTCCTGGAATTCAAAGCGACCAAAGAGGCAGCATAAAATTGACTTGGACCACGCCTTCAGCATGGAGCAACGTATCTATCCATCTTGCTCTTCTCTTCCACGTATCTCGAAAACAACAAACAATCAATACACATGGCACCCCAGCACCATCCATCCGCTTTCGGGCCTCACAACTTCTCCAACCTATCACTTCCCCTAATCAACGCAACTCTGGATCACGATCCCACTCAGCAAAATGGAGTTTCTACCGACGCAACCGTCAACATAGCATTCGGCATCTTCTTGGCCATCCTCAATACCATTGCTGTCGTCGAAGCTTGGAGACAGGCTCGACAGCAGAAGCGACAATCAACTGGCCATATCGAAGTTCACCTCACCATGTACCCGAACTACCCTGTCAGCAGAGCGCTGATGCCACGACCAATGCCGGTCGTCGTGCCTTTGCGGCCAACACCAGGCCGTGGAGGACTTGTCTGGTCACACATGTCACGAAATCGTCAAAACCAACATTTTGGGCTTCCCTCCTCATCGACCGGAAGTGGAGTTCCCATTATCATTGGCCGCACACCTGATCGACAAGGAGTCTTAGCCAGGTGACACCTGGTTGCGATGCTGGTCATGGAACCAAGCAATAGAAGCGCATCGGCGTGCTTGCTCGGAAGAGGAATTTGATCGTTCTTTGGACTGACGACCTTGTAACACTATGGGCACTTGTCCATCGGAGCCATGTCGCCCGGGTCGGCGTTGGGCGAGTTCCGGGGGCAGCTAACAATTTTGGTTCGCTCACGCGGCAGGTCTTCGCTACAGATCACTCGGACGGCGAGCCTAGTTGCATACAGCTAGTGGTCACACAGATCTGTAGATTGGGCATAGCAGCAGAAGATGATGGTCTTGGTACTCACCACATCTCCTCCCCTGCAGCTATGAGCACTACCGACAATACTTCAGCACTCGAAGATCTGGCGGATGCGATAGCAAGAGCGGCCACGATTATCGCCTCGTGCCTTCGCAATTCCACCTGACGCTCCCCAAGACGTCACTTCTGCCAAAGCCTTCCTTCTCGAAGCCACCTCCAGCTTGCAACGTCTTCTCATGTCTCCTACCGATTTCCATCTCCAAGCCACCCTCGACCTTCAACGTCTCGCCAGCTGCCAATGGCCCCTGAACTTCTGCATTTCAGACCATGTGCCGCTAGAGGGCTCTATCTCCTACGACGAAGTGGCCAAGCTTGCCGACGTCCCCGAATCCCAGCTCATGCGCCTCGCTCGCCTGGCAATGGCCAGCGGTCTCTTTCACGAGCCCATCGCAGGTCAAATTGCCCACACCCCCGTGTCCGCTGGGCTAATCTCTAATTCGCCGCTCTATGACAATATGCTCTTCCTGACGGAAGCTAATCTTCCCATTGCCAGCAAAATCGTTGAAGTGACGCGTGCGGCTTAAGACCATCGCTCTCAAGATGCGTCTGTTTCATCCATATCCACATCTCACATTCCTGCCGACGAAGAAAACCTTGTGGCCACTTCGGTTCCCAGGACAGCCCTCCAGCTTGCGCACGCAATACCGCTCTCCTTTTTCCCTTACCTCAGCAAAAACCCACAGATAGCGCAATGCCTCGCCTCTGGCATGCGTAGCATCTCCGCTACTGCAGAGACATCGCCTCTTCACCTATCAAATTCATACCCATGGCACGATCTTCCCACGAATACGCATATTCTCGACCTTGGCGGCTCCCATGGGCACGTCTCAATGTTCCTGGCTTATCATGTGCCAGTACTGAGGTTCACGGTGCAGGACTTGCCGCCTGTGGTAGCTGCGGCAAACCCAATACCTGCAGAACTGCAAGCGAGGGCACGCTTTCGGGGCCACAATCTCCTGGCGGCTTAACCAAAGGAGAGCTACGAAGAAGTGCGGGTCGACAAAGACTGTGGCGATGACTCGGCGTGGGATGTAGCGGACATGCTCCTGATCCGGCAACGTCTCAACGACTGGCGGATGCAGCCGTCGTGAGAATCCTGAAGAACCTCGTATCCTGCTTGGTGAGACCGCGTGCAACGCTTCTCATCCAGAACATCGTTGTGCCTCCGTCCTTCACCACGTTTACGGAGAGTGACTCTTCGGCCAAAGGCGAGGGCAACGGTCCCGCACTATATGGCACGGGCAGTCGCGTCGAAGCACTAGCACGCACCCATGACATCGCCATGCTGCAGCTGATGGATGGTGCAGAACGGGACCGGCGAGCGCTGCTGGCAGCGGCTGATCCACGGCTGGATATCATCAACATGACCAAGCCGGAAGGTGGCCTGTTGAGCTTGCTTGAGGTGAAGCTCCGGGGATTGAGCTGAGAGCCGGACCAGAGGACGGCGGAAGCGCGTTCCTGTGGTTGTTGTTGCTGCCGCTGAATGGGGTGCAGCATGTGCTGGTTCCTTGTACCTTGACGAGCGAGGGTGTCACAGGGTCCAGCCTCTAATGCAGTAGCAACGTGGTGCTTCAAGCTATAACTGCATCTGCATCTGGAACCGCGACACGGTGACCAGCATTTGGATCTCTTGGCTTCGGTCTATCGGCGCTATGGCAGGAGAATGCTCCGTGGCCAGAAGTTGGCGCCGATTTTCAGATCCGTAGGTAGGATACCGTGTGGTTTCATGAACAGGAAGGACTACACGTCCTTGTTGACGACGGCAGTGTATCCAGACCTTGATTGCTAGTGGGACGAGAGCGACGAAAGAAACTAGAAGAGTGACGACGACTATGACCGCTTCGGCAGACAATGACATAGTGGTGGTTCCAGTCGAGGCTGAGAGGTATGGGACTGATGGCAGGCTGTCCAGAAGATAGAAGTTGGGTTGTCCATCGCGAGGAGAGGAACTTATGTGTCATCTTCCCATAGCAATGAGAACATGAAATACGAACATCGAACCAGTCCTGCTGGGAGGAGCTTGGGACAGAAGAGCAATCAGTAGACACAATCTGAGAGTGGTGCTGATTAAAAAGGGACAGTGCGGCGTTCTCTGGAGGGGTAATGTCATGGAAAGAGCACCAGGCAGGCTGGGAAAGCTGTCGCATGCTAATCGGGATTAGCTTAGGGGAACCCGACAATACCGATCGCTGCGGCCGGATCAGGAGCAGCGGTGTGTTTGAATCACATCGGCAGGCTGGGCCCCGCCAATGGCCGTCAGGAGCTAGACATGCGTATCACGGTACATGTGCAAGCATCGAATTGCAGGCGTACACATCGACGTGCCGGGCGATCAGCATTTGCTGAGATGCTTCCGTTTACTCCGGTCACGGTGTCTCCTCCTAGTCTTGCAGATGTTCTTGTTCTTGTTCTTGCGGCCTAGCATGCTAAGCCCTCAGTCTGTCAGTCAGGCGGTCGGTCAGTCGGTCGGTCGGTCACACAATGAGAATGCTCCTCCTGACTCTCATCCACTTCCCCCCTTTTCCGGCCGTTCGTTGCGCCTTCGCCTCCTAAACCGAACCTTCAACCCATCCCACCTCTTCCCATCCCACCGCACCATCCCCGCAAAATAATCATGCACGGCCTCGACCTCCTCCCGCCCCGTCTCAAACAGCTCCAACTCCGCACCAAACCTCCTGAAGATCGTGGCCACGATGCTGTACAGCTCTGCATACCCCAGCTCGCGACCAATGCAGTCGCGGCTGCCCTTGCCGAAGGCCGCGAGATACTTTTCGAGCTTTGTGGCCGCGCCGGTGGTGGGGTCGAGCCAGCGCTCGGGGAGGAAGGTTTCTGGGTTGGGGAAGATGGTGGGGTCGCGCTCGATGAAGAGAGCGGACATGCCGACGGCGGCGCCGGCAGGGATGGTGTATTGGGCGTAGGTGAGGGGTCTGGAGAGCACGCGGGGGAGGCGCGAGTAGGCTCCTATGGATGAACTTTGTTACGGTCGTGGGCGTTAGCCTTGACGTGTGTGTGTGTGTGCTATAAAGGCAGGGCTGTTAGGGCAGGTAGGGGTAACGCTTACCGGACCGACTCCTTAACAACAGCGCGGAGGTAGGGAATGTTCTCGAGGGTCTGCCAATTGGGGATCTGGGTGGGATCGGGGATGGCTTCGTTGAGCACCTCGACCAGTTTGTGCTTGATCTTGGGGTGGGCCAGGATCATATAGGTCATGTGCGTGAGGGTGGCGCCTGCGGTCTCGAAGCCGGCCGCCAAAAGACTGTTGGCCTCGATGCTCAAGCGACGCAAGGTCTTCTCTTCAGGCGGCAGCACGTCGCTGTGTACGAGTCCGGACAGGATAGTTGCGTCCTTGCTGGCATCACACTTCTCCGAGTCAACATACAGCGCTTCCATGGTCCATCTGTCGATCTGGGCTTGCATATCGACGACTTCAAGCGCTAGAGGGCTCGTCACGGCTGTCACCCATCTCGGGAGGCCCCCGATGATCTTTAACAACACGGGGATCTGTCTGATCAGGGGACTCAGCTCCCAGAGACTCCGCCAGGAGGCGTAAAAGCTCTTGCCCCAGTCTTCACGGTCAATGAGGCCCAGTGAGCGACCGAAGATGAACGCGCTGATCATATCTGCTGATATGCATCGGTAGGCATAGAAGAGCGAGACAGGCTTTCTCGCCTTCTGGCAGTCTTCCATGCGTTCTGTGAGACGGTCAGAGAGGCTTTGAAGATGGTCGTGGAAGCTCAAGATGGCTTTTGTCGAGAAGAAAGGCACGAGGGATGCTCGACGCAGCTTGTGCACGTCGGAGTGAATGCAGGGGAAGGTCGCCTCGGGAATGCCAAGCATGGAGTAGAAATACTGGTATTTGTCGAAGCGATTCGACATGTTGTACAAAGTGTTGTACCATGAAGAGTCTAAGACGTGCAGCTCGTTGGGTCCAATGCGCACGATGGGCCCTGTATCCATGAGACGAGCCGAGTCAGCTCAGGTGCAGCAGCGTCTGGGGAAGTGCCATTCCTTGGGAGAGTGGTCCCGGAAGAGATATGCCTACCATATTTCTTGTGCATTTTCTCCATCTCCCAAAGGTACCGTCCTTGGTGAACGACATCATAGTAGCCCTCATACAGAGTTGTGATGGCCGCAAGCTTCGGGCCCGGAAATTTGCTTAGTGGATGGAAGTACAACCGGTAGACAGCATTTCCAACCAGGCCAGCCGCGAGAATCAGGACGGCCAGGCCAGTCAGCGTTGCGCCGTATTCACTGAACATAATGAGTGCCATGCCCGAAGGAGAGTACCTGATGGCGCCGAGTATCGGGGTTCTTTGTCAACTGTTGCGAGGTAAAGAAAGCTTCGATCGAAGATTGGCCATGCTCTTGATCTGGCAAAGAGGTTACCCACAAGGAGGGGCATGAGAGCCAGCTGCCGGGCTCAGGAGCCATCCAACCGTGGGAGACGCAGGTTCCAGGCAGATCAACCAGTGGGGATAGCTTTAAAAGAACATTTTCATACCAAATGCAACAATGTCTGCGTGGCGCAGGCCATTCGCTTGCATGAAGGATTGCACTTCACCGACCGTGCCGAATGCGTCACGCAAAGGCCATTGAGATCATTGGCGGTCGCGCTGCAGCCGAACATGGACTTTGCCAGTCAGGGTTGCAGCTTGCGGGCCCGGACACATTGTTCGCACGCAGCTTTCAGCCAGCAGAGCAGATCCCGCCCGTTCTGCCACGGCTAGATGCCGTGCGTATGTGCTCAAGGGGGGATGGGGCAAGCAGGACTTGAATCTTGCCCAAACGATGAAGTCCAAATACACCTCTGGATATTCTCCAGTCTTTCAACGGCTCGGGCCCGCTGAGTTTGGCACTAGTCCGAGCTCGACCGTCTTGATAAGGCGCCTGTCACAAAACGCTCCAGCAGAAGGCATTTACGTTAGGTGTATGCAACAACCTTTCAATGAACAAAGCAAAGAACACTAGATACTTCGCCCACTCCATTGCATTTCCCCGCTATTTAACGCTTCAGAGCTGAAAAGATTGCTCCTCGCAGATACTCGATCCCATACATCCCCCCACCATACCATTCACTCTTACCGGAGCGTCCACCCTAACATTTTTTCAAAGAAACGTCTTTGTCGCTATAGCAAAAGTGGTATCATGCTTGATCTGAAAAAACAAAAGGGCATTTCATAATCGTCGTCAGCTCTTGGTGTTGTTCCTGTTCCAGTCCCTGTTCCTGCAGCCTCGTGGCCGACTTCCTCGGTCGTGTTCTCCTCTCCTTCTTCCTACGCAGGTTGTAGTAGCATTGATTACAACGCCCTTGTGCGTATCCCACTTATTATCACAACCAAATATCACCACCCTCGCCGCGCTCCCACTTGCGCCAAGCAAGCCAGTACGCCCGCTCCAGATCTTTGACCCATCGACGAGTGTCGAACAGACGACTCTCCCACCGTCCTTCCCAGAGCATGCGCCGGATCTCCATGAGTCTGCCCTTACCCATCCCCTCTTCATTAACTTCTCCCTCTTCTGTGGTTCCCTTGCCTGCATGATCATATCGCAGGCCCGAGGCCAACTTCACCGCCCGTTGGACATACTCGGCCTCGCCCTTGACGCCTTCCAACTCCTTTTCTCGCTCACGGCTCATCTTTTCGCCGTTAGCCGAACTTCCAACCACGAGCTCCTCGCGTGCCCTCCTCCCGTCCTCGGTGTCAGGCAGCGCACTACAGACGATGCTACCAGCCATTCTGCTGCACATCTTGTATCCCCAGCGGCCCCACGTCACAATCGGCGTGCCACTCCACACCACGTCCGCCGCGGTCGTGTGCGCGTTGCATTCCGGAGTGTCCAGAAAGACATCCACAACCGATGCTCGTGTAATATGCATGCCCTTGGCTGCCACGTCGGTAAACACCACGCGACTCCAGATGTCATGCCCAGCCCACTCCTGCGCATAACCCAACAAGTTCTGCTCGCCCAAGTCGGGGAAGCGCAGGAGCCACAACACGGCGTTCGGCACCGCCGCTAGGATGCGCAGATACATGCGGAATGTGCTGGGGTCGATCTTGTACAGCTGATTGAAGTTGCCCAGAATCACGGCGCTGTCGCTCAGTGTGGGGAAGAGCTCCTTGCGCAGCTTCCACCGTTTTCGCTGCTCTTCACGCCACGCCGCGTCTTTCTCCTCCTGCGTGCGGTCTGCCCGTGGAGGTCCTTGGTCCGCGTCTGGTGCAGACTGCTTGTGGTCGACGCAGAAAAACGTGTCCTTTGCAAAAATCACATTCTCTGCGTACACCCAGTCGTCACCGTCTTCACAAAGGGCGTCCGGACGGAGTCGATCTACGATCTCGACGTTGCGGCGCCATGGCGAAAGCGTGGAATGTGGCACGGAGATCTCGTCTGCCAGAACGAAGTCGCACCATTCAGCTCCGAGAGTGCCCGCGAATCCCATGAAGGACATCTGAATCGGTGCAGGGCGGGCAGCGAAAACTTCGTTGCGAGCGCCACGTGTGTAACCGTTTAGGTTTATCAAAATATGCACATGGTCCGAAACGATCTGCTTGACAAGACGCTCGACAGACCAAGAGGAGGCGTCGTGGAACACAGGAACTTCACGCTCAATTTGCTGTCGGTGTATGCTCTGGTCGGACGGTGTAGTGGCGTAGCATATTGCGTGGACTCGAGTGGGGTCGTGATAGCCGAAGATGGATTGCATGAGGTGTGCGAGAGGGTGATTGTTGAAGTCTGAGGACACGTAGCCGACAACGAGGTGTGGTCGTGGAGGTGGCGGCGGTGGGAAGACTGTCGGGGGTAGCCAAGCAGAACGAAGCGTGGAGACGGAGATGCGTAAGGCATTGCGCTGAGAGATCTGGCGGACAGATTTGGCGGACAGTGGTGTTGTGAAGGTGTGAAATGGTAGCACTGTTGGCGCCGAGGGCGATGAGAGCGTCGACGGGAGTAAGGGTCGGGCGTAGCGTTGTTGAGGATACTCTTTACCCTGCTTGTAGCGGTCCTGATACCACTGCCAGCCAATGCGGCGAATTGCCCGTTCGACCAGTCGAACAACTCGGGAGCCTTCCCAGGCTTTGCCACACCATGATTCTAGAGCTTCTCTCAGCACACCATCGAGGGTGCCGTCGCTCGACGTTGCGGAGAAATTAAGATGTGCCGTCAGTTGGCGACAGAGATCGTTAATCACGGTTGGATTGAGTGTAGAAACACCCCACGTCTCGCCTTCCTTGAGCTGCTTTTCAACAATCTCAACCACTCGATTCATCCAGCCGTAGCCCTTGGTCGCTTCATGCAGGTAGCCACTGTCATTGACATGAATGCGATCGCGTTGGCCGTTTTCGGCATATATGCCGCCACGGCCATGCCAACTGCAAACCGAATTAAGAGCCGTTGCTAGGCCACACACAGCCTCTGCAAACCCCGGGTTGGCTTGCACAGCACGCTTGTAATAGGAAATTGCATCCGATACACGACCTTGATCCTTGACAGCGTTGGCAAGATTGGCGAGGGCTATATCGAAAGTCGGATCACAGCTGACTGCATTCTCGTACATCTTAATGGCAGCACCCAGCTGCCCAATGTCTTTGAGCAAGCTGCCAAGATTGGTGTATAAATGGGCGTGCTTCGGGTCCAGATTGAGGCCGTAGTTGTAGTACAACAGTGCGAGGCTCACGCCACTACCAGGAACCACGCCTGGAACGCTGCAAATATTGCTATTAGGCAACTCACTCAGTTTCGGCGCATGTACGCTGTTCTGCACACCAGCGAGCAGAATACCCACATTATTGGCGGTAGATGGGCTGCGCTGTAAGGAAAGTGAGAGGTAGTAAAGAGCCAGGATATCACGGGTGCTGGTCGTTCGGAGCGAACCGACTTCTGTCGCGCTGGACATCGCATCCTGGTAGATTTTGGCCAGCGACAGCAACGAGTTGCTGGTCGTCGACACAGCAGCCTTTAATGCAATTCCTTGCACCACAAATTCAAGTCCTGGAAGCTGACCAGAGGCAGGAAACATGCTGCGTGCTGTAGCCTCAGCCTGGGTGGGAGCTAGTAGAACTGGATGTCGGCTATCCAGCTTCGCTTGGAGCTCATAGCTGTCGACCACTCCTCGGAGGCAAGCGCGCAGGATCTTCCGAATGAGTCCTTTGATGCCAGCTTTACGCTGCCCAGTCGCAATCAATATAGCGTCCTCGAAGGCGCCAGCGGCAGCACTATTCTTGCCAAGCGCATAAAGCATGTTCCCTTTAGCGTGAATCAACGCTAGCATTCGTCCGTTCTCTGACCCTGCAATCGCATAGCCACTGCTGCCATAGCCTGGCGCAGACGGCTCTCTCAGCAATGTATCGGTCAGATCCGAATCATAGTCGTACTGAGCCGAGTCGACCGATGGCAGAGTGCTGGCGGTGGCGCCTGAGGCGTGGCTCTTGGCATCACTGTCTGCATCGCTTGCTGGCTCTCCGAAGGGTCCCTCATCAGGCTTGATTTTGAGTGAACTCTCCACAAACTCGATAAGATCTACAGCCTCCTTCGCTCGTCGCGTCGAGCAAAGAAGACCGATCAAATGCTCCACAGCTTCGAAATAGCTAGGACGAAGTGTGACGGCGGCTGACCAATACTGCAGGGCTTCGTCTCGCCTATTGAGTGCAAAAAGTGTAGCAGCCAGATTTGACATGGCCTCGACATGCTCTCCGTCCTGGGCAAGAATAAGTTGGTACCATTTAAGAGCCTTATCGTAATTTGCCAAGCCATATGCTAAGCAACCAACAAGAAGCATTCCGTCGACCCAAGGGACAGAAGCTTGACCACATAAAAGCTCCATCGTCGATAGTGCAGACACAGCCGCATGTCTAATGCTAGCGGCCTTTTGGTTTGGACTCGACTGGAAAACCGTCGAGTCCGATATTCTGCGGAAGTCCTGCTTGAATGGCAAAGGACCGAAGGGGGAAGCGGACTGATTGTGGCCTTGTTGCATGAATCGCCCATGATCCGAAGCGCGTCGGTGTGGGGAGTAGATTGCAGTCTGCGGTCGGGACGGTGTGTCATGAAGAATGCTGTCTGCTTGGGCAGTCGACTGTGACCGGCTTGAGGATGCTGTACTTGCTATGCTATCGGAAAAGTGCGAGCCCGACCGCTTCGGTGGCTTGGGATAAATTGTCAGCTTATTATTCGACTTGGCCAAGCTGTTAGCAGGCCCCGACTGATGCGAGTCTCGAGCATTCTTCTGAATCACGGCCAGTAGCTCAGTGTATATCCGATTTGCCCAGGTGAAAGTCTTGTCCCGGAAAGCTATTGTCTCGGACTCAGCGGTTGGTGTAAGACCAGGTGTATCGATGGGAAATTCGTGTAAATACCCAGCAGCTTCCTCGTAAGGACTTTGTTGTGGGAGCTTGGGAATACTTTGATGACCTCCATACCCTAGCGAGGGATCTAAGTTAAACGAATGCGGCGCTTGGAAATGTTGATGATAATTAAGATGGTATGCAGGTGGCTGGTAGTGCATCGAATTTTGCGATTGAGTAATGAAATCTGACGGAAAGCGGCCAGGTTTTCTCAGGGACGGCGTGGGATGAGGCAGCGCCTGCGAAAAATATCCAGACTGCTGATGTAGCCTGGGCCCATAGAATCGGTCATCTCGTATTGACGCCGGTCGATAAGGATTAAAGGTTCCATCTGGCCAGTATGGGCCGTAGTGTTCCTGTCCGGCCGAGGCGGTAGGACCAAGGTAAGAATGGAGAGTCGACGGCAGAACTGTTGGTATTCGGGAGCCCGGTTGCAGGTAATATCGCTGGGTTGGTAGGCTCTGATTCAACACCGAGTCCAGTCCACCCGGAAAGTCCCACGCCGGGGGCTGAAATTGAGACGAAGACGGGAGAAGAACCGGGTCTGCGCCCAAGTGATTCGGGTAGTGGTCCATTGGGGGCTGCGGAGGCGGTAATGCATAGTGATAAGCCGGGCTGTGTCGAGGTAGGTTCGGCGATGATGACAAAAGTACATGTTTCGAGGCAGGAACCTGAACATTTTTGTCGACGGTATGATAGTCCTTCTCATATACAGTCCCATGGGGAGTCTTTCGCTGCCGCAGTAACTCGTGTTCGGAATAACTCAATCCACCACCTCTTGACCTCGAAAAACCTTGAGGGAATTGTTCGGCAGCAGGCATGGCATATTGGCGAGTAGATATCCGCCCGGGTATTCGAATATCGCGTCGCGATGGATCCATAGGACCAAGTGGGGGACGCGGCGGCGCAAGCATGGCCAGAGAAGTCGAGTGGCGGGTCGATTGAAATCAGGATCAAGGTTGCGATGTTGTGCACTGGTGTTGGGCTAGCAACAGGTCTGAACAAGATATCAAAAGGCAATACTGCCTGTTTGGTCCGTCTCTTGCCCGTTGTCTCATGTTGCTGTAGTCAAGCCGTCGGCTGGCGACATGTAAACGGCGGGGATGATCCAGCACCAACTCTTACTTGTAGATCTCAGGCAAGACGGCGGTCTCGAAGCCAGGTCCGTGCTCGGTGATGTGCCAGTCGACGCAAGGGATAGCAAAATGATTGCTCTCGGACAACAGGGCTAAAGAGTCCTTGCTGCGTATGGACGGCTTGGCGGATGAGCTGGGGAACTGCAGGCTATACAGTGGTTTTGGGGACGGGTGTACGACCAAGCGGAGGGAATGCGGGCGATGCAATGTTAGTGTCTGACGCCGTCGAGCACGTTGCTTCGAGAAGGGGGTGTGAATGCGAGATCAGGACCTTTTTGTTGCAGAAGCAGAGCAGCGGTGGCCCTTTTGGTACGGATTTCTGTGCTAGACGCCCAATGTTTCTCTGGTCTGCCTGGCTCCCAAGTTGCAAGGTTGCAGGTTGCAGGTTACAGGGCTGGTGGAGGCTTGGTTAGCCACTGACCCGCTGTGGCTCTCCACAATCAGCGTTCTGTCGCTCGGATAGGCGTGAGCTAACACGGCATGGGTGCCGCCACCAGGCCGCTTGTGTGACAGGGGGGCCTAGAAATAGCCAACAGCACGAAGACAAGGCCAGGGAGGAGCCCGCCTCGAAGCACCTTGGTGCCAACAGTGGGCTGCGATCAACAGTAACTCTTCTGCTTATTCTGCAGAGGCTGCATCACACATTCTTCTTTTGGCCCGTCTGTTGGTCTTCCAATGTCGCGCTGGCCCGGAATGTTCCAGGGATCATAATCAGCCTGCAGGCTCGTGGCCACCCAAAGTTGTTTCTTTACGACACCGTCAATTGGCAACCTCCGCGGCAATGGGCGAAGGAGAGTATCTGCTGGCCGCATCGCAGTTACTCATCCTGGCGTCACGAGATCTGGTGCAGCCCCTAGTCTAACACTGTGGAACACGTCGCCTTCAGCCTCCGTAGTGAGGCAGACTTTCATCGGCCTTTCAAACTTCGGAAACGGTTCTGTCAGATCTGCCCATCCGACATGCCATGATAGAGGTCATAGAGCTACTCCACCTCCGCTGGAGTCCAAGCTTTTGGGTTATTGACGATCCATCATAACCAGGCACTCGTTAAGCGAATCACTTTTCCCCAGCTATGCTTGGGCGAGCACGGGCTGCCAGTTCTACTGTTCGAGCTGCGTAAACTTGCGGCTCATTACAAGGGTCGGACGTGTTCGACAACCCGTCAAAGCAACGCCTGATGCAAGTACCAGGAGACCAATGCACCGCAATGTACCTGAAAAAGGCGCCGAAGGCGAGTCTGCACGACCTTTTGCGGACTGCGAAGCTGAAACAGTTCTGACGCAACCCGTCCAATGGGTGCCTGCTCGGAAGCCCAAACTATTGAGTGCTAGCGAGGCTGCAACTCGCCTGCCAGCCTTGGTCCTAGTCCACTGCGCGGAGACGTAGGGTGCTGGAATGCTGGGACGTGTTCGCTTGTCTGCAGAAAATTCCATCAGGTTCGGCCGATGGGAGCTGCCAGACAGGAAGGTAGGACAGTTGTGTTCATAATTTCTGACGGGTCGCCGATAATGCAGACGCGTTCCCCAGCAATACCTTTCCGCAATATGCGAGCTAGCTCATAGCGACAGTAAGACGCCCAGTTATACGCGTTCGGCTGCTGGTGCCGAGGGGTATACGCTTCGTACTCCGTAGGTGGATCCGCATGGCGAAAAGGACGACTGCCCTCATCATATTAGGCAACCAACCCCTGATTGATGCATGTCAATTGCAGGTAGCATCCGCGAAGCTGGCGTGTCTACGGAGTACATCCCAAATGCAAGCTTGAGTCGCTCGGAAGGAGTTTGCTGAAGACGCCGCTCCGAGCTTTGTCATGCAGGTCGATCAAAACTAAGCTCACCGACATTAGACCTAGCGTCCGCCTTCCCCAGATCCTGTCGTCTGTTAGCAGATCGCCGACCGTGGATCGCTACGGCTTCGGCGAGATCTACAATATCGAGCAATATGTCGTTACCTTTGTTGATTCAACGGGCCGTTTATGATTAGCCGCGCTTTTCCCTCCTCTAATCAAGCACATACAGCACCTCTAATAAAGAAAGAAATGACGGACTCATTACTTTACTGGGAAGACTCACCGTAGATAAGACCTGTGAAAACAAACTCCTTGCCAAACATTGCATGTTTGGAGTAACAGACCAATTGATGCCATGAGCTACGTGCTGTACCTTCACAATTTCATTCTCGTCCCCACCACGCGCAGGAGAGCGTAAAAAGTACAACATAAGGCTTGTCATGGTGCAACAGTGAAAGATCAGAGACTGGCTGACTGTTACGATATCCCCGCTATTTTTGCTCGCCGTGTACAGGCATTTGACCTTCGATATACACGCTCGATAGTGCGGCTCTGCGCACAGAACTCCGTGAGCTACTCGGCCTTGCGGGCCAGACACCTACGTGTCAAGATCCTTCTGCCACCGGCATCGATACAGCTCATCTGATCAATGGTTACAACTTCTATGACCGGCACTGCCTCCAGTATCCGTGCGCTGCGAACCTTTCCTAGACTCAGTTTCAAGGTCATCATGAACCTCAATGACGATTGAGACGCAGTCTTGCTGCATCAAGTCAAGCCGTAGATATGCGAGAAGCTCTACGACTTCTCGCTAGGTCTCCTTCGATCGCCAGAAATTCGTTGCTGGCTCGTCATCTGTCCTCACAGACTGAGATCGGCAGGTCGGCAGGCCGCATGCTGTGGAATTTATCACTGCATTCCTGATCGGCGACCTCATGTGAACGATTCCGCGTGGGCTCATTTCGGCTTGCGCCAGAAGTATTGCTAAGTGCCTGTCAGTAATCATATCACTCTATCGGCAGTTGGGAGAGTAGGTATACCTTGTGTTGCTTGCGACAAGCCCGCAAACCTGGCTTGCGCAAATCGTTGACCACAGCTGCCTTGCGGAAGTCGTCTTGATCCTTCTCGGGGACGTAATAATACTCGCTCTCCAAAGCTTTACCAGCGGCATCCTTGCCCTCACGAGTAACTTCACCAATACACTCCGTCTCGCTGATAATCTCGCGCAGCTCACGCTTGGTCAGAGTACCTGCATCTCGAGGTAGGTTGCCTAAGATTGTGGACAGGGGAGTCGAAGACAGGCGCGAGTATGCGAGTTGGTTGATAATATGAGACTTCACATCGAATTCGAGAGTTGCAACGCCAGCCTTTGGTCGGACTGGGGAAGTAGCAGCAGCCGCTTCCACAATACGACGGGGGCTAGTGACTGTAGAATGAGAGATGGGGTCGGATGCATTCATTGAAGCCATCCGGGCTTGCAAATTGGCTCCAAAGGGGCCGAATGAATGAACAATGGGATCATTCTCTTCATCGTTATCGTCTGAGAAGCTCTTCGCATCCTCTTCGAGCAGAGATTGTGACTTAGAAGCAGGAATGTTCTGAGACAAAATCTGGGTGGCCTGGGTAGGGTCGCTCTGAGCCAGGATCTGGCCGGAGTCCTCTCCAGATTCGGGGTCCTCATAGATCTCAACTGTACCGGTGATATGGCGGCCAGTCAGGAGGGGCGGTGACGAGGGCAATTGACTCTGGAGAGCTGGCGACGGAGAGACTGGAGACATGGGCTTCCTCCGGTTCTGAACGGGACTAGGACTTGGGGGTGTCGAGTGCCTCATCATAGCCCGCTGCCTCTTCGATGGTGAAGGCACATCTTCCTCATCGGACGACACGGGACCGAAGTGAGGCTTTTCAGGCCACTGGATAATGATTCGGTTGTCGTGCACATCGAGCATGATCTCCAGATCCCTGTCATCCGACTGGAAGGTCTGGCCCTTCTTGACTTCGAATACCTGAGACTTGCAGTGGACCTTGATACCGTTCCATCCTGTGCATTCGATCTCTACCTTCTCTCGATCCAGACTGCTGGTAGCTGGCTTGTAAGTTGCAACGACGTGAACCCTTGAGACCAAGCGGTTTGAAGACAGTTGATAATCACACGATGCGCTGGACCGGCCGATTCGAGTAGGCCGACCATCTGCACTGAGATCGATAGATGGGACTGCAGCTAACGGTGCACGCTCGGAAAGGGCCGAAAGTGTTCTCGCAACAGCCGGTTGACTAGCCTGGCCGCGGATAGGTGACGACGTTAGGATATGTGTAGATGAAGTCGGTACTGGGGTGGGGTATTTGGCGCGGTCATCGAATTCATCACGAGTTCGCTTCAGAGGTCGTGGAAGGGCTGGGGACGAGAAGGGTTCGAAGGCTGGCAAAAGGGCGGAAAGAGGCTTCTCTCTGGACCCTACTGGAGAGCCTGCATCTTTCTGTTCGAACGACGTTGGGGACATCGTGGCAGTCGGGCAGTCCGAGAGATGAGGCGGGACCTAGCCTGGTCGCGCTCAGGTCGCGTGCCAGGCCACTCAAAAGGTGATCCCGCTGCAGCGGGAGCTGTAAATGGTAAATTCAATAACGAAGACAAATGCAGGCACTCTAGAACAAAGAAATCAAGAAGCGGTCGCCAAAGTGGTCGAGAGGAGAGGAAGGGTGGTTGTGAGAAGGACAGGAAACCTTGCACGCTGCACGCGTCGAGGAGTGGAGCGGTCGCGCTGCCCCATTATTGCCGCGCTATGTAACCGCCGCCACGGATTTTTGAAGGATTGCCACGTAGTGACGTAGACTAGCACGAAACAGAGATTTGCTAACGCACCGAATTTCTGCTGTTGAAGTACACAGGTTGATGGGTAGCATAAGTTGTTGCTTGAATAGATTGGCTGTGCTATAGAAACGTCCTCATCTACTACGACTGGGCCAGGCAGGGGTACCGCCCCGATGCGTGTGAGAGAACTACGCAGAAGCTTTACCCATACAGCTTTTCTGCAGTGCTCAATTCGAGCTTGCTTTAGGAGGAGGCACAGCTCTTGTGAACTGCGAATTATACAAGAAAGCAACAGAGGACGCGGTTTGGAGACGCGACGAGTGGGCCCCGAGGCACGGCTCAACAGCCTTGGCGCGGATCTTCCGAATGACCCGCATTTTAGCCGCAGCGGAGAACTTTTTTCGACTGAGGCAGTGTTTGCGTTGTGCAGTGAACTTTTCCTCGAGTTCACTCTGTCAGGCTGCCAGAAACAAGTTTATCACCATGTCACTGACTACACATGCTGCGAAAGGCTCCGCGTCCTCGACGCCCTACCAGCTGGACCCAGAACAGACGCTTAAGGCCTCCAAAGCGCTGCTCGACCATCTTCGCGCGGAAACTGAACGTCTGCAAGCCTCCGCGACCAAGCAATCGCTGCTCAAAGGCGGTGATTCAGACTCAGAAGACAACGAGTCAGCCGGAGACGAGACACCGATCTGGTTGTCTTTGACTACCAAGCAGCACATTGTCGACAAGAACCGCCTCAAGCCATCAAAAATCACCGTACCTAATTCCCTGAATACCTCTCCTGACCTCAACATCTGCATAATTGCAGCCGATCCCCAGCGAGCACTAAAAAATGTGATTGCCGATGATAGCTTTCCCTCTGAGCTCGCAGCGCGCATCACGAGAATCATTGGTCTCACAAAACTCAAAGCCAGGTACAAGTCCTTCGAGCAGCGGAGAGCATTGCGAGACGAGCACGACATCTTCCTTGCCGACGACCGGATCGTTACTAGACTTCCGGATGCCCTAGGAAAGGTCTTCTACAAGAGCACGTCTAAACGTCCTGTGCCTATCCGCATAGCGGATCTGAAGCGAGTCGATGGAAAGCGAGTCAAGCCCGAGAAGAACAAGAAAAAATCAGCGGAGGAGAAGTCATCAGCAGTCTCTAGTCCTGCTGTAGTCGCAAAGGAGATCAAGCGAGCTATAGATGCCGTATCGGTACATCTTAAGCCAGGGACTAATGTTGCTGTTAGGGTGGGTCTTGCGTCTTTCTCGCCCGATCAACTAGCCGACAACATCAGCATCGTTACGAAGAACATCATCGAAAATCATGTTGTGAAAGGTTGGAGAAACGTAAGAAGTATCCACGTCAAGTCACCTACGTCAACTGCGCTGCCGATATGGTTAGCCGACGAGCTGTGGGCCGATGAGGGGGATGTCCAGGAGTCAGGCCCAGCTATTGAGGTCGATGGGGAAACTCTCAAGCGGAAGCGGAACCAAAGCTCGCACAAAGGCCCTCAGGCAGGACAGAGGAAGAAGGCAAAGACTGGCGAGGCTATTGCAAACGCCGGTAGGAAGCAACGGCTGGCTGCAGAGAAGGAGAAAGCATTCACGAGTGCTGCGAAAGCTGTCATAGTATGATGAAGCCACGAGACATCAGGTACAGAAACAGGTAGCTGTCAAATCCTGGCACCACTTCCATCAGACGGACTCTTCCGTGATCCGCTTTATTCACTCTATTCTGTGAAACTCATGTAAGGCTAGGACCCTCGTGGGTGGAGGGGCTATCTCGGTCTTGGCATTAAATCACCGCCGCTCCCGCAGTCGCAGGTTTGCCCTTCAATGGTCACTGTTCATTAGCGTAACAACAAGAGCCTTGAACATTTCTCAGGCTACGCTCCTTCTTGGGTCTGGCATCTTCATTTGGCCGTCATGCTGTTAGGGTGCCCACCTCCATTCAAAACTCGCGGCCCACTATGGATCGCAGACGGAGAAGTAAGGGTGACTTTTCTCAAGACAAAAGTCCAGACTAACGCGTTCAAGGAGAGTTGCGCGACCTGAACATTAAAGCCTGGGAAGGCTCAAAAGGTATGTAGAGAATGACAGCAACCATTCATGGCTCCACGACTAACCTCTCGCCACGACAGACCTGTTCCTCGTTGCAACCTCCCTAGACTCCTCTCTAAAGAAGAATACCGCCTTCATAAAGCGTTTGCGGACTGGGATCAACGCTACGGGACAGTCTACGCTTCTGAATGAGATCAAGATCTTGTCCCTCGAAAAGTATCTATCCGAAATCATCTCTGCGACCGCTGAAGGTCTCAGTAAACTCAAGACGACAGTAGAGATCGCCGCAGGAACCGAAGTCGTCAGTGCTTTACATCAACGCTTCGGCCCTTCAGCTTTCACCAAGCAATTGGCATGGCTTCTCGGAAGAGGCCTTACACCGCCCGACAAGACGCAAACAAAATCATGGACGCCCGAGGAACGCACGAGAGAAGAGAGAGAGCGACTTGCACGACACCGCGTCCTACTCCGAGTAGTGACCGAGTTCTGGGTCTGTGGCATACTACGCGGGCTGGACGACGTTGAGAGACCAGAAGATGTTTCGACAAAACAACGAGATGGCCCCGCCTCAGACACTGGTCGTAATCAGAGCGGCTCGAAAACCGGCTTAGCGACAAACGGGATCAGGGCGGACTTTGGATATGACAATGATCCGTTTCCTCTAGAGGTGCTGAAGGAGCTTCTTGGACACGATCCCGAACATTCGAATCTGACACTTGCTGTCTTGTTCGTTAAGAACTTCGCTTGGGATGTTCTCGGTTTGAGAGCACCTTCGGACGAAACTCGCAAAACCGTTGAAGCAGATGGTGCTGTCGTTGAGGACTCCAAGGACGGCGCAGAGAATGACGCTCCCATTATTGATGCGAACCTGCGCCAGAGATACGTAAACGTACTGGATCGCTACTTGAAGAGCGTGAAGCAACACATTGTCCGAAGTCAGACACAACTTTCCAATCAGAGTCGACGGAATGCTGAAGCATATGTGAAAAGCGGCGAGATATTCGAAGACCGTCAAGCACATTTCGAGAAGCAGATCAAGGCACAAGAAAAGCTAGTGGCCAACGCACAGGTTCTCTGCGACGTTCTCGGTCAGGAAATGCCAGACTTGTCAGACAAAGATGGCTCTGATGCTCCAGCTGCTAGCTCCGTTGGCATGATCAAGACTGGAGAGTACTTAAGGGGCTCGAGCGACGGCGCGGGCATATGGGAAGACGAAGATGAGCGGCGTTTTTACGAAAATCTCGTCGATCTCAAAGGCCGCGTACCTGGGATCCTCCTTGACGACTCCAAGAAAGCCAAGGTCGATGCCACAGAAGAGCCTTCTGCCAAGACAGAAGCTGCGGAGATCACGGACAACGTGTCGAAGAAGACGGCACCCGATACCGACGATCAGTCCACTGCTATTGCTAACAAGACCGTGGGAGCCCAGGTCGATGCCCTGCTACTGCGCCTCCCAGAAATGCAGAGCAAGGAGCAAGTCGACCAAGTGGCTCTTGATTTTTGCTTTCTGAATTCGAAAGCCTCTCGAAATCGTCTCGTGAAGACTGTGCAAGAAGTCCCAAAAGGCCGAACGGATCTCCTGCCACTCTATGCTCGCCTGGCAGCCACTCTGGGTCAATACATGCAAGATGTGCTTCAAGGTCTTGTTTCGCATTTGGACGACGAGTTTCGGAGTCTGCAGCGACGGAAGAGCAAAGACTTCCTGGGTCAAGTCCGCATGATCAACATCCGCTATCTTGCTGAACTGACAAAGTTTGGCATCGTCCCAGAACACGTTATCTTCCACTGTTTCAAAGTCAGCTTAGACGACTTTTCACGAATGAACATCGAGATCATTGCCAATCTGCTTGAAAATTGTGGCCGGTACCTTCTACGGAACCCCGAAACTACGACGCGAATGACATCGTTTCTCGAGACCCTTGGCCGGAAAAAGAGTGCACAGCATTTGGGCCAGCAAGAGCGGATGTTACTTGAGAACGCCATGTACTACGTTGATCCGCCCGAGCGAGCCGCGATTCAACAGAAGGACAGAACACCAACAGAGCTATTCATCCGTCAACTTGTCTATATGGACATGACAAAACGCAACTATATGAAGATCCTGAAGACGATCCGCAAACTCCACTGGGAAGAGACGGAAGTAGTTGCCATGTTGGAGAAGATCTTCAGCAAGCCAGCCAAAGTCAAATTCAGCAACATCCATCTTCTTGCCGTCCTCCTCGGTGCGCTGTATCGCTATCACCAAGACTTCGCTATTAGCGTCATCGACAATGTGCTTGAGAATATTACTCTTGGTCTGGAGCAGAACGATTTCAAGTTCAATCAACGAAGAATTGCCGAAGTCAAGTATCTAGGCGAGCTATACAACTACAAGATGGTCGACTCGGCAGTCATCTTTGATACACTCTACAGGATTATGACCTTCGGACATGAGGGAGGTAAACCTGTTCCTGGAAAATCGAGCCCGTTCGACATGCCTGATGATTTCTTCCGTATCCGGCTCGTATGCACGGTTCTGGACACTTGCGGCGTTTGTTTCGATCGCGGCAGTTCTAAGAAGAAACTTGACTTCTTTCTCACCTTCTTCCAGTACTACCTTCTCACGAAAGAGTCCCCTCCCATGGAGATCGATTTCTTAGTCCAGGACACCTACACCATGGTACGCCCTCAGTGGAAGCTCGTTACGGATCTTCCCGAAGCCGCTCGCCTCTTTTCAGAAGCTATTGCAACCAATTATCAGCAGCAGGCCGACGGCAAGACCGCTGCGAATGATGATGAAGACTCGGCGTCAGAGGATGGTTTGGGCGACGACGATGTGGGACCGGAGGCTGATATTGGGCAATCTAGCGACGAGGCCGAGGTGTGTACAGCAGAACCAGGATGTTGGTGGAGAACTAATGCTCTGCAGGTCATTGGCGATGAAGACACAAACGAGGAGCCTGATGTGGCTGACTCCGATGAGGACGAGCAGATCATTGTCACGCGTGAAGAAGAGCAAGTAGATCCGGAGGCTGAAGCAGAATTCGATCAAGCATTTGAGCGGATGATGGCTGAAAGCCTGGATTCGCGCAAGTTCGAGCGCAAGTCGCACTTCGACGTCCCTCTGCCGATCCGAAAGGTCCAACGTGCCACGATGGAGCCTCTTGAGGAAGAGAACGAACCGCGCATAGCGAGTCCACCGAACACGATGGCCTTTTCTCTGATGACCAAGAGAGGCAATCGCCCGCAGGTAACTTGCTACTATCTTCAGCTTCTACTGATCTCGATGCGAGGCTGACACCCACTAGACCCGTACTATTGAGCTTCCCTCAGACTCAAGCTTCGCCGTATCGATGAAAACTCAGCAAGAAGCTGAACGCGAGGAACAACAGCGAATCAAGAACCTCGTCTTGAATTATGATCATCTGGGTGATGATGACTCCCGTGACGGTACAGATTTGCCTAGCCCCATCTTTCAACCCAGCTTGCGTAAGAGCTCCTATGCTAAAGGATCCCAATTCAGGACTCGACCCGCCAAACCCAGCTCTCAGCCGTGCTGAGAGATCTTCTCGTCATGCACCGCGAGCCCGCAGGCTTAATCTCAGCGACGTTGACTGGTATGATTGTCCGGCTGATGGGACGCCCTTGGTCGAACCCCTTTACTCGCGGCCGTATTTTCCCAAAGAAGCCAGGCTAATAGAGCATCCCCATGCACAGGACATAATAGCAGCAACATTCACGATTGGGATGAAGTCCCATACTCTATGAGGGCAGGCCTCTTGCAGGCTTTGCCAATATCCAGAAGTAAGCTCCGCCCGAGGACTCCTTTTGACAGATATCAAGTGGTATACCGGCGCGTCTTCCGATACGGCCGAGTCCCGGTTGCAGTGTCGGAAAGACCGCTCGACCTGATGATAGGCGGCAAATTGAAGGCTCATATTCAAGTCATCTCGAACACATGCCGCAAGCCGGGGAACAAGTCCGAGGAGCTGGTTGACTATCGTGGCTACCGAGGGTAGACAGCGGCGAACCGGGAAGCAAGCTCCAGGGTGAACAGCGGCATCGGCCCCGTGAAGGAGATCTCGACTCTATCCGAGCGAATATGGTTGCTCGTACTCAGCTGGCCGCCAAACTCTGTGGGCCAGTCTTGGACATCCCATTCAAGCCCGTCGGTGGTGATGTTGGTTCGGCCAAGGACGGGAATGATGCCAACGTTCTCTTCGAAAAAGTCGGGTTCGATGAGGACGACATTGGCGCCTTCAGACAACACAAATGTCAGGCTCTGCTCGGAGAGCAGATAGATACGGCCAGACAGAAGCTTTTCGTTGTTGGCGGCCATGTATAGGTGGTGAATTTGTGAGAAGCCTTGGTCTACACGACCACCAAGACCGCCCAGGACAACAACGTCCAACTCCTTCTCACGGTTGTTGATGTCGTTAGTCCATACATCGTTGATCCACTTCAAACATTTGGTGAAGTCAGTCGACATCTGATCTGGATCTCTGATGATCTTGACGCCTTTTCGGCTGTAGTGCTCAGCAACTTCCTTCGTCAATGAATCCAAATCCCCCACAATTGCATCCGGCAGGCGTGTTTTCAGTCCATTGCTGGTCTCCGAGTCGTAATTGTATAGCCGGTCGGCTCCAGCGTCTGCACAGACTAACATCGCCGCGCCGCTGATCACGGCATCCACGGCATTTTTATTCAGAGGCTGATTCAGCAGCAGAACAGCGTAAGCAGATGCAGGCTTCCCACTAAGTAGACCACACGGTCGCCATTCGGTGACCATGTTAGATTCGAGCTCCGGCATCGCCAATCTTAACTAGCATTTCTCCTCATAAAAAGCACGAGGGAACTGCTCCAGACTGGTGGCGGAACAGTAGGTGGAAGGCATGTCCCTACGGTGGATCCGGACAGCCGTATGCATCATCTTCAAAAAAAAGCTTAGGATCGTATGACATGATTGATGCGTTGGATGCACGACACGCTGCGCTTCGCCGAATGTGCCACCCGCCTTTCGTATCCCGTTGCTTTTTGGCGATTGCAGCTTCTGTGACTCTTGAGCGTCCACCATAGTGCTACAGGTTGCGGACTCTTTCCTTATCTCTCCACAATCACCGAACCAACCCTCTCAAGTCCATATTCGTCGGAGATTCCCAAGCAGCCGCCAGTTGTGGCATGCTCGAGCGTGCTGCAGCATGTGTTGAGCCTGCATCACAGGTGTTTTTGCACCGTCTCGAACCTCCCCTTCGCTCCTGCCGTCTTCTCAACCCAAATTTTTTCAAGAACGGGCACAACATCCCGGAAACTTCACCATGGTGGCCGCTGTACCTCAACTCGGTGCGGCAGGTGCCACAAGATCGACGCACTGCTCGAGCAACCTCTCGCCCTATCTCCAGACCGTCAGATTCGTTTGCAAGGGACGAAACATCGCGGTATCAGGCCGCGAAACCTTGTGCCGCGAGATTGCGTCGACGCCCGTCGTATCGGACGTATTCGCGGACCGCAAACAAAAGTGTGGAAGCTGGAAACGCCGAAGCCATTGTAGCAGCCGACGATAAACTCGATTTTCCCGGGCATAGTTTGGGCAACAGTGATGCTGGCTTGGGACAAGAGGAGCGCTTGCGGCCTGCTGAGTATATGCGGCCGGTGAGCCTGGCTGAACGACAGCTCAAAGATCTCCTGCAGGCTGGCACGTTCCCATCGGCTGGTGGTGGACGTTCTTTATACGATGAAATATGGGAGCTGTTCGTTGCCTTGCCTGATCAGGTGCCTTTCGCATCCCGCGTACTGCATCATTTGGCGGCTTCAACAGGCCCGGGTGATATGAACCATGCCTTGTCGGCATTTGCGATCATTCCCACGGAAGATCGTAGCGACTACGACTACAGGATAGCTACGCAGGTGGCTGTACGCCGGAAGCGGTATGCGCTTGTCCTCCAGATTTGCAAAGAAGCGATGGAGAGAGGCCTGGGTGATTCCAGTCGCCAGATCGGGCTTCTGAGTTTCCTGAGAGCAGATTTGTACAAGAATGCGGCTCGACTCTGGCAAGACTGCTGGACCCAGGACGACGTCCTCGATTGCGGTCGTTACGTACCCAGCAGATCGCTGGAACTGCTCGACAATAGCACTGATCTACCTGACATATTCACAAAACTGCATGAGCGCTTGCAGCATGCAGATGCGCTCCTGAGTACTCCTGATAGGGATTGTCTTGAGGGAATTGCAAGAGGTCTTTCCTGGCGGATCGTTGGAAGTGGTAAGATTATGGCTGTTGTGACACTAGAGGGGCTTCTTGCGACATTCGACCGTCTAGATCGCGTTCAACAGCTCAATTCACGACACCTGGTACAATCTATTCAGACGCTCAACTCTTCCCGGTCGCCTCGGAACCGGCACGACCTAGCGATCGCGCTATATCGGAACCTCCGCTTACGATTCAATAATGCTCCAGTGCCAAAAATGATATTGCACGGGCTCCTGTATCTGTGCTACAAGGCTAGGGAACAACGCCAGGCCTTTACTTATCTCCTGGATGAGCTCAGGCGTCCTTACGTGTCCTGGCCCCGAGGGCACGCCTCGCAAGGATGTCCTGGCAGAGATGAATACATTATCGCGCTCAGAGGCCTGGCCTGGCAAGGAGACGCTGAAGGCGTTGAGGAGATCTACTCCGATTTTGCCGCAGACCACGGGAATCCCAAGACCACCGCCGAGGTCTTGCCAGCACTGTATGCGTATGCAATCCTTGGAGACGCCAACGGAACTCAGAAAGTCTTCGACAACCTCGAGTCTAGATGGGGTTTCGCACCTGACCTCCTTTGTTGGAATACCTTGATGTTTGGTTATGCAAGGTCAGACGAACCACACCGAGCTTTCGATGTCCTGGACTTGATGGCCCAGCACAACATCAAGCCCAATGCTTATACATACGGGATACTCGTGAGTCTCTGCGCCTCTGTGGGTGACGCATCAACTGTTCTTTCTTTGCTGGGAATGGCGACTCAGCAGGGGATCGCAGAACTCGGGCCTTTGCTCACTAGCTTGGTCCAAGTGCATTGTCTGAACGGAGAAATCGAAAAAGCCGAAGAGGTCGTTATGAACCTCGACCAATTTAAGCTGGGAGAGTCAACTATCAGGATCTGGAACGAACTATTACGGTACCACGCATACCAATCCGATGAATCCGCGGTGCTTGATCTTCGAGAAAAGATGAAAGATGCAGGAGTCAAGCCCGATGAAATGACTTACGCCACGGTCATGGCCTCGTTGATCCGAACCAAGAGGACCAAAGATGCTCTTCAGATTCTCAGATCGCTACATTTCAATTCTACAATCTCGGCAACACCCTTTCTGTATTCCCTCATCGTGCATGGCTTTCAGAGAGAAGGAAACCGGGACATGACCAACGCCCTCTACAAAGAGATGAAGCAAAGGTTTCCGACTGTCAGTCCCAGCGCTAAGTTGTCTATGCTAAGGTCTGAGCAAGACCGAGGCTTCCTGAAAACACGCCAGCATGTTGCTCGATCTGGGCAGAGCGTTGGGATTGTGCTCGATGATGCTCTGGAATTCTTGCAACAATTTGGCGGATACGAGGCAACCGACAGAGCAACAAAAGATCCTCAACCTGGGTTTCATCGCCGCAATCCTCGTGAAGCCGTACCGTCGATTTACACCGAGGCGGTTTCAGAAGCTCTTGCGATGAACAGAAAGCCTTTGCAAGCCGGAGAGCTGATGAGATGGTACGATGAGACGGTTAAGCCTGTCACTGATACTGCCGAGAACGTTCGCATCCTTACTACGCGCATGCTTGTCGCCGCAAGGCAATATCAACGAAATGAAGTGGATCGTCTCTGGGGACAAATTCTGCACGCCGGCATCAGATCTAGTGTCCCACCGTTGCAGCTTCGGCAGATCTCCTTTTCTCTAGCGACAAACTTTGCAAAACCTGAGCAAGTCATGCAGGAATTGATTGCCAAGCTCAAAGACGCCGATATTGCAATTCTCCCAGCACAGCGCTTTGCGCTCATGTTGCCACTATCAAGGTTCATCTCCACGTTGAATGAGGAGGGTCGACACTCGGAGTTGATATCGGTGATGGAGCTTTTCCCACAGCTTGGGTTTTCGATCACAGGAAAGAACTGGAATCACTACGTCCAGGCTCTGTGTAATTCGACTGATCCGGAGCATCAGCTGCTAGCGTTCTCTGTTTTTGAGCAAGTCCTGTTGCCGAATATGCCGTCCTTCCGTCTTTTGGTAAAGGGCCTTTGGATCGAACCTTCGACAGAGAGGACACCTGGGGGCGTCCCTGTGTCGAGGAAGCTGTTACAACGGCTGCAACCAGGGAAAGCTGTTCCCGAGTATGAGACTTGTGTCTGGTTAACCAGCACCATGAGGCATTTCCAGAGAATGGCACGGCTATCGTCATATCAAGGTGAGGAACCCGGATCCTCTGGCACTCAACCTACTTCCTACTACGCCGAGACTCTCGAAAAGCGTCACACGGAGGTGGCTTGGCGCATGAGCAAACTTCCTTTTCTGAAGGATCGTGTTCAACGGATCCTGCTCCATCAGAAAGGTCCGGTGTACGGTTCGCCTATTTTCAACCAGAATCTTGATATGCAGGATCACGGCATAACCGCGTCCAGGTCCATTCTTGATCAATTACCCGTGGAAAGCGTTGACTGGGTATCTCGCGCACTTGCCTCCAGGCCACAACGCACTGCCGAAAGCATGGCCACGGATATCAGGCTTGCTGAGGAAGCTTTGGGTGAAATTGTCCGCACGCCCTTGTGGCTCGACTACGAGAAGCGATGGGAGGATGAGAGCGAGGTTCATGCTCGTACTCAACGCACAGAATTAGAGTACTTGGAATTGGTGGAGCGGATGGAGCGGAATGTCAAACAATCTCGTCTGGTGATGAATGAGGACGTGGGAGACCCAGTGCATCAGACACCTTGGACTGCACTCACCGGAAATGACTCCAGTTCGGCTGACCAGAAGCTCTTCAAATCAGCTAGTAACATGCTGCGCCAGTCAGGAAAGGCGCCATCTGACGCTTCACTGCCGAAGTCTATACCTCAGACGCCATCCAACCTAGATCAGCATGTCGACCCTGAGGCGAAAGCGGAACTTCTTGCCGCGCGTGCTCGGCTGCCACGTCGTCGCGTCAAAAACACCTACGCTCTCTTTAATCCGCTCTTGCCGCCACCCGTATCAAGACGCGTCCAGCGTGCTTTTGCAGGTGCCAAAGCCAAGCGCCGGGTCAGACTCAGAGATATTCAGCGAGCTCAAGCCGCAGCACCCACGGAGGGAGATGGTCTTGATGAGAATCAGAAATCACTGGCCACTGGCATTGACCTCTTTGTCCGTCTACGAGACGAGCAGCTTCGGCTTGACCAAGAGATGCAGAAGCGGTCGAGTGAGCTTGAACGAGTGCAGAAGGAGCAGCTGAGCCGAACCAGTGGCAGCATGCTGGATGGCGGGGCGCCGGTGAGCGAGAATGTGTGGCGCATGTGGCCGGATAGCTTCCCCCTTGTACAGCCCGTGCCGTCTCAGCACAGGGAGATGCCGGCAATGCGAAGCACCGACGATGCGAGATCATCTCCTGCTCCACCAACGCCTGAGGCGCCTGAGCCAAACTGGCAGAGCACGAGCATGTCTCAGGACGAAAAAAGCGCAGAAGATGATCCCGGCAAGTGGCCGAGTATTTTCTCGCCGTTCGGCCTCGAAGACGAGCGTACTCATGTGTCTCATCAAGGCGCCGGCAACGACGACCACGGTGCGAGAGTCGAGGTCAGAACTCACAAGAAGCACATGAGCAAAAAAGAGAAGAAACGGGCCAAGGCCGAGCATCTCGCTAGCTTGAGAGAAGTCCGAGGCAAGCCTGACGACTTGGAGCCGACTGAGAGTCCCCCAGGACCGAATGAGAAGCAAGAAAGCCAGAAGCACAGAAAGGAGAATGATGACGGCGACGACTCTAGGCCGTTTGGAGGCTGGAGTGAGGGTGGGAGCGGCTTCAAGTTCTGATGTCATGGGGCAGACAAAATAGGACCTGGGGTTTTATAAGCCTATGTGTATACAAGGGCCGTGTACAGTGTGTAGATTACTCGCACTGTCAGATCGAAGTGCAATTGGCAAATGTTACAATATTCGCTGCAGCACCAAGTGTCGATCTCAAGCTTGTTGGTGTTTGCTTCGACGCGCATAGGACGCGGACCGTATGTATCTTTGTAATGTACGCTATGTAATCTTTGCTGTATTCAATATCTTCTTCTACATATCTGTATCTGTATGTAGCCCTCGCAGGAGCGCCTGAGCCATGCGTCATCGTGGAGCAATCATTTTTATCGACGCCCGCTTTTTGCTTCCCTTTCACTTGGGGTGAGAATGTCTGTCTCTATACAGGTCTTTCGAATCGCCCTTCACCAGCGCAAGCACGCACGCACGCACGCCTCTCACCTCGACACCCACGCCGAAACGCCAGCTAATCTCAAGCAACCAAAGCAACCAAAGACTCTAGCCCCTTCACTCTACTCGATACTCATTGCATAATCTCGCCACTGTCCCGCACTAGTCCAGCCGCGACCCCTTCCCCCGCCCGCGACTGCTGCGCCGCCGCATGCTCGCTATCTCGGGCCTTTCCATATCCCTCTCGGCCTGGCTGCCGGTTGCCCTCCTACCGGTCTTGGCATTGGTATTGGCGCGCCCGCTCGGCAGATGTCCGCCCTCGCTGAGCTCGTAGCTCTCGCCGCGCTCGAGAACGTCGTCGAGGACGGCGCAGCTCTCGTCCCTGGTGTCCTCCCCGTCGTCAGCGGTGGTGCGGCCGTTTGATGGAGGCGTGGGACTGCGGCTGCGGCTCTCGTGGTCGTCGTTTTCGGCGGCGGCGGCGGCGCCGTACGCGCCCCCGACGCTCTCCATGACGAAATCACCGGCTGTGGGGGCGTCAAGGATACGCAGCTCGTGGTCGCGGAACCAGCGGGGCATGAGAAAGGTGCGGAAGGGGATGGAGATGATGATGATGACGGGGAAGCCGATGGCGGCGACGGTCTGGGTGATGGCGAAGGTGGCGCCGAAGATGGCGAGTTCGAGCGCGACGAAGGCCCAGATGGCGGTGCGGCGGGGGAGGCGCGCCAGTGGTTCCGAGGAAGGGTCGATGAGGTCGCGGTCCGAGAGGAGGAAGACGAGCTTGAGCGTGATGCCGTTGCCGATCAGGGCTTGGACGCCCATGACGAAGAAGAGGCCCGCGAGGACGCCTTGCGGGATGAGGTGTAGGACCGAGAGGAGGGGCCCGCTCATGGTGACGAGGAAGAGGAGGCCTTGGGCTAGGTTGGAGAGGCGTTGCTCTACAACGTGCGTGGTGACGCGGGTGTAGCGCGCGGGTTTGTTGGGGTCGGGAGGGCTGTCTTTGATGGGGACGGATTTGGTGACGCAGAGGGATTGGGTGTGGAAGGGGGCTTGAGGGATTAGGCCGTTGGGTAGCGGGATGCCAAGGATGCCGGCGATGCCAGTGGTGAGGCCCAGGAGGAAGATGTCCCAATGGAAGCCGGGGGGTTTGCGGAGCGGAAATTCGGAGCCCTGGGCGATTAGTGAGGAGACGTTGTGGTCGAACCAGAATAGAATGGTGAGGAGAATGCCGAAAGGCAAGGCGATGAAGACTTCGGCGGCGGAGACGTCCCAGAAGCTGACGGCCCAGCTGCGGTCAGCCGTGGGGAAGAAGGCGCGGGATGTGGGCAGTTTGGGCAGTTCGACTGAAGCCATGTGTCCGATGTGGACGAAACCTGTGAAAAAGACGATGGTGAGAGGGGTGCCGTAGTCCTCTATGAACTTGCGGACGTGTCGGTGGAAGAGTTTGGATTCGCCGATGACTCCGCAGAGAAAGGCTACTCCTAGAACGAGGAGAGAGATGGTGATTGAGAGGTAGGCTGAGGTGGCATCTGCCTCGCCCCACTGTCGTGTGAGGACCTGTATACCTTTCTGGAGATAGACGAAAGCGACATAGAAGCCAAAGGTGTCGCACGAGAAGCGTGTCACGTAGGTGAGGGCGTTGCAAGAATTGGTGATGGCGAGGATCCAGTGCAGAATGAGCGACCAGATCCCAATCCAGGCCATGAATCCGAAGTAGTTGTAGCTCAAGGGAACCACGATATCATACACGGTGTAGCTGAAGACGGTGATTGGGCCGGTAACGCCGACTATGACTAGAGGCTGAGCGGCGAGGAGGGAGAATACGACACATCCCAAGACGCTGGCCAGAAGGACTTCGTTGACTCCGTATGAGTTGTCGGTCTTGACGAACATGTCTAGCGAAAAGGCCAGGGCGGGCAGAATACTGTGGGAAGTGTCAGTCCATCTAAGATAATTCAGATCGAACGCGTAGGCGATACTGCCGTTCCATGCGCTAAGCGACTGCATCCAGGCTGTCTCGCGTGTGGTCTATAGCATGTATTGCGATTGCAAACGAGGCCAAAGCCAGGAGCAGGCAGAGAAGTCAAGTGCAAGAACTCTAGTTGGGCGTGAAGTGACATACTTAGCAAAATACATGTATACAGTCGCGGGGACGACACGGTAATCCCAGGCATCTCTCCAATCGCTCCAGTAGTAGGGAGCTCGTCTTTTGACATCGTCGAGCATGCCTTTGAAGAGTTGGACCTTCCACCATCTCGGCTGACGGCGTTTGGAGCGTGTCGATGAGCGCGTGTGATGTTTAGATATGGGAGTAACCTCTTCGGGCTCTGGTCTGCTGCGTGAGGTAGATGAGCGGTATAAAGGACCCCGAGATTCCCATGGCTTCTTTTGCGAGTGGGACGAGGAGGTCCGCCGGTGGCGGCTGGTGGAGCTTGGGGCTCTATGGTGAGAAACCACGTCTGTCATGGTCAAGGACTCGAGCAACAGAACTCCATCAACGAAGATAAAGATGCCGACATCGTGCGAAGCTACGCCGTAGTCTTATAGCGAGGGTACGAGGGTATGGTTCACGAGGGTGGCGGTTGGTTGGAGAAAATTTTAGTGGGGAGCGATATGCGATGAGATGGTGACCACGGGAGCGAGTGAGCGACTTTCCCGCTCCAACGAGATCGATGACCGAGAGATTGGAACACTTACTATGATAGTCACCTACCGATGATAGGATTTAGATCTATGTTTGTTAGGCAAAGCCAATGATGAAGACCGTCGCATGAAAGGACGATGAGGTGCCGCATTGGGAGGTGTTGCTGATTGGCGTGTGCGGGGGAATTATTGGGGGGCAGCTGTTGAATCGGAGATGCTCTAGTTCGAGGCTCTATGCAGCTGCAAATCTACCAGTTCAGCGCAGCCATCGTAGGGTTCAAGATGATTTCTGAGGAGAGACCGATGAGACGCGAACTGCTCACAACGCTGAGCATGCTGAGCACAGGCTGGCGGCAGGACGACAACATGTTCAAGAAGGGGCGTCAAGCCATATCTTGGCGTGCATCGGGTTGCGAAAGTACTAGCAACACTCTCGATGAGGTGATGGATCGATGATGCACTACAGTTCATCAACTCTCTACGTCGAACCGTTCGTCTCCGAGTCGCGGTCCAAATGCCGGCACTCTATTGGGTTTCGCGCATCTGCGGCCGGGCGCGCCCAATTGCCTCTATAAGGCCTGTTCGGGCATCATACTGCCGTCGCGACTTGACCTCGAGGTAAAGGCCGATGGCAGGGTGGAGGCAGTCGTAGTGCTTGTGTAGTTCTTATGCAGTTGACCGGTGGATTGCCAAGTCGCCTAAGCACGATACCGATGTAGGCAAAATCTGCCCGGTCAGATATCATTGTTGTTTGCCTTCTCCACGTGTCGCAACACATACACAGCTACGGGTCTACTTGCTCTCCTTGACAATGGTGGCCAGCGCCTTCTCGTACTCCTCAACTTCCTTCGCCCCAACAAGGGTCAAGTCCCGTCGCTTGCCCTCAATCACCACGTAAGGGACGCTGTCGATGCCATTGCCCGCTTGCTCTCGGACCGCCATTTTGACGTCCATTAGGCCCTCATCTGGGTCTTCAATAAACGGCTTTGCCTCTGCTTCTGGTATCCCTGCATCATTAGTAGCCCGCAGAAGTGTCTCATGGGAGGACGGATGCCTCTCGTTCTCAAAGTATTGCGAGTACAGCGCTTTGGAATCGTTAGTGTCCACCCCCTTGCACCGGTAGTGTAGCATACAGTTGATAAGCTTGTCTGCGGTCTCAGGTCCCTTCTCTTCCTGAAAGTGCTGGATAGTTCGGTGCGCGTCCATCGTATTGGCCACGATGCCTCCGAACTTGTAGTTGATGCCCGCACTGACCCCGTAGGCCGACATCAGTGTGGTGTACATTTTCATTTTCTCTTCCGAGTCGGCATAGCGGCTTTTCTTGTACCACTCATACTTATCCTCGCCTTCTTTGGAGGCCTCGGGATACAGTTGGTAGGGACGGTATTGCACCGTAAAGGAGACTGCGCCTGTGTCATCGCTCTCTCGGAACCGGCGCAGAGCTGCACCTGTTAGTCAAGGCTTCCTCCATAGCTCGTAGCCGGACCTTCGTCTAGTCTGCCACATGTAACACATCAACACGTGTCCGACAGAGGCCGCAGCGGACGTCGCACAGCAGCCCTTACCTTCTCTTTGCGAGATACGTCCAAGGACAGATGGTATCCTTTCACGTCAAAACCTGCACAACCGGGATCCGGGGTGCGCATGCTGTCTTACCAAAGTGAAGGAAATGGTTGAATCGTACGTCATTTTCGTTCTTGAGCCCGCTGCAGTGAGCCACCACGACCGTTGAGCGAGACCGGACTTCTGCTACTGTCAAGTTGCATGGCATCCGACAAGTTGAAAATCGTGTGTTGGGTGCGACTTCCTCCGCACGCCCATTCGTGCCCCTCTCGACGTCACACCACACGCACGCCTGCGCGTCTCTTGCACAAACTACCCCAGTGACCCAGGTCGCCGCCTTGTTTTAGCCATCAACACCTGCAATCAAAGCATCGATCGAATCGAATTGCCTGGAAAACGGCTGCCTCGTCGGCGATGCGTTGCTGCATTCAGGGCAGACCCCATGCTCCGTCGTCACCGGCACACCTTTGCCCCATTGTCATTGGCCACGCCGGGGATTCAAGAGCCTCCTGATCACCAGTCCGTGTTTCGATTGTCGAAGTCAACCACGACTGCGCCGACTCCATCCTCGCCCTATCCTGGCGGCTCTGGTCTCCAGCAGTACGGCGGCGCCTGAGTCTTGGCCGGCCCATCTAGTTCAGTTTCAGGTTGACCCGCTGCTGACGGCTTGCCTGTGACTGGCCAGCCTTCTGCAGCTTGGCTCCGCCTCTTCAGGGGCAACCCTCCTTTTCCATCAACGACAACGTCCAGCCTTTGCATGCCGACCGTTCTTGTCGATGCGCACACCACCTGGTGGATATTCCAGAGCACGGTTACATACAACCTTGCCTGTTTTGCGCCCTCCGTAGTGCTCACCTGTGCGCATTGCCCCTATCCCCTAGATACTGACCTCGCAGTACTACCAGTCATGGCTCTCAATCCGTGGTGGAACTCACACAGGCACGTCTCGGCATGGTGCAAAGTATTTGAATCTGTCCCTCTCCCCTCTGATCCTCTGTCTTGTCCTCCATCCCAAAGCTCTCGCTACAGTCTATCGTTGATCAATAGCAGTCCCCTCGTTTACACACTGCTCAATCTATCACTCACACTTAATCAACATGCAAGCCAAGCTCATCCTCGCTCTCGTGGCTTTGGCCGCTGCCGCCCCTCAGCCCCAAGGCTGGTCTGACTCCGGCTCCGGCTCCGGCTCCGGCTCCGGCTCCGGCTCCGGCTCCGGCTCTGGCTCTGGATCCGGCGGTCTCGGCGAACATGGCGGTGGCCAGGGCGGCCAAGGCGGTCAGGGTGGCTTCGGTGGGAACCACGGCGGTCAAGGTGGCTTCGGAGGAGGCAACGAGGGTGGCCAGGGCGGCTTCGGCGGCGACAAGGGTCCTCATGGTGGCAGCGGTAGCGGTGGCGACAGCGGCAGCGGAGGCTGGGGTGACCACGGCGCACCCCCTGCTCCCCCTACCGGCGGCGAGCAGCCTCCACCACCACCAGCTTCTCCTCCCACCCCTCCTACCGGCGGCGAAAAGCCCCCGCCACCTCCTGCCTCTCCTCCCACACCTCCTACTGGTGGTGAGGCGCCCCCACCACCTCCGGCACCACCCGTCCAGCCTCCAACGGGTGGTGAGACGTCCCCGCCGCCTCCAGCACCCCCTGTCCAGCCTCCAACCGGTGGCGAGGGCGGATGGGGTGACGTTCCCAGCGTGCCCGTTGTCAGCAGCACGACTTCTTGCACGACTCCCGTTGTCGTGACCAGCACCCCCGAGTCTACCTGGGCAGATGTACCCTCCGTGCCTGCAAGCACCGTCCCAGAGACCTCTGTCCCGGCGACTTCGTCAGTGTGGGTTGAGGTTCCTCCCCCATCTGCTCCTCCCGCACCTCCTGCGCCTCCTGCACCTCCTGCTTCTACTGCGCCCCCTGCGCCTCCGGTCCCGGCAACCACGCCCGTCTCGCCTTCGCAGCCTCAGCCTGAGCCAGTCAAGCCCTCTGAGCCTGCGGTCAGCACCTTCACTGGTGCCGCCGCTATGCCCACCGCCGCCCTTCAGGCCGTGGGTGCCGGTCTGGCTCTTGCTTTGGCCGCACTGCTGTGAAACCGTCAGCAGACGACACAGCAACCCAACACCAAATTTTCATTTCTGTTTTCAAAGGTCCTTGCGAGGAAGAAGGATTGGGTGAATAATGTCTTATGTGAACCACGAAACGGGTCTTTTTGAATGATCAAAAAAAGGGACCATGGCACATTGCATATCTTGGGGCAAAATTGAATAAGGGAATCATTTGATCTTCTGTACGATAGACATTCTAGCTACGGCTATGGATTTTTAGGTCACCCATGACCAGGCACAAAACCAAATACATGGAACATAGCATAACATTTGCAGACTGATGAAGGAATTTACTATTGCCAAGAGGCAGCAAAAATAACGGATACAGCAGAGTCTACCGTGAGGGTGGTCAATGTCTTCTCCCAACATCTTTGCGTTCCTTCATGCTGGCAGTCCTCGTCGGGTTTCCAATCTCACCTCGAACACCAGAACGCAACCGAATGCGACCAGTCGCCATTCGACATGTCACCACGCCACGCACATCAGATACTGAATCCTTGCCCGTTTGAGGCGCCCGTTGACAGCTTTCAAGCCACTGCCGTCTGGAGACTTTGCTGGAGCCCGGGGCGGGGGGGTCCCGCCGATCCCCTTACAGCTGCATATCCGCCCCTCCTCCACAAGAATCCATCGGTGCTTTTGGAGGGTGGCTGTCGCTCTGAAACCTCGTGAAACAGGCTACCATTACCGCTTCCGGCCATCGAGCGGTAGCCGTTCGATTCGCTTTTCGCCTTCGGCTTGTTGTCGGGTGCATGTGGCTTGGGGAGAGGGGGACCCACCCCGAACTTTCTGATCGGGCCCCCAGACTTTGAAGTTTCGAGATTTTTCCTTTACCGCCCACGACTCCCGACCCCCTTTCTTCGACATTACTCCGTACCTTTAAGGCTCAAGACGCTCTGGCCGTGTTTTCAGCCTTCCACCTGCCTTTTCGGGAGTATTAGCCTGCAGCAGGGGGTTTCTCTCCATCCGGTGGAGAGAGAAAGCAAGGCCTTCAGCAAGGAGCCGCCGCCGTCGCTGCCCTTCGTATGCGAGGAGCAAAAAGTGTATGTTGGGCGGGACTAGTAGGCCAAGGTATCCGGTCTTTCGCTGGGACGATGGCGCGTAATTTGATGTGGACTGTTTCTCCTGAAGGTTGCATAGTCTTTGACTGTTGACTGCACGGATCGCGAGGGCCACTGTCTTGCCGAGTACTGCCGCCTACTATGACGGGCTCTGCGTAACTCATATACTGGGCGGCTTGGGTGACTTTGTTTCAAGGAGTTGCTGGACTCGATATCGAGGCTGTGCTCTACTGTCTGTGTGCTCCGCGAAATCCTCTCTGCGCAAGACAGACGTGCTTTGGCCATGATTCGTGATTGCTCTGGCTGCGGACCGCCCCCCCTGAGGCAGTGGAGGCTTAGTGCTGTGCTGGGTCTAGTGAACGGCTTTCTGGACTTCAAGTGACGGTCGAATGCCTTACATTACATGAGGATCATGGTCGAAGGTAGCCGAGCTGAATGTTAGCTCTACGGGAGAAGTCTGCTCGGTTGCCCTCGTCAATGGCACGTTGACGACCACGACTGCTTCATCGAACGTTCCTTGAAGTCCATCTAACGTTGAGAGAGGGTCCCACCCCTGCCTTGCATTCCACATTCCTGGGTAACCTTATCTCAACCACAACACACTCGCACCTGCCCTGGTCCATGTAGGCTGACTTCTGCATGAGATCCTACGCAGAGTCGGTCGAAATGTATCTGAAATCTTGGTAGAACATGTGTGCTTTATCAACTTGGACGGTGAGATGTGTGCCGGTCTGAACAAAGGGTTCAGGAACCTCATCAAGTGTTTAGCACTGAGTCAGACATCGAAGGGCTTCAGTGCTCTGCTCTTTCCATCGAATAGGGTTGATGAATGACCAAGAGCACCTGTGGGACCAGGCTGGAAGCGCACGCAGATGTGGCAGAAAACCATACGATTCGATGGTAACGACATGGACACTGAACTAATTAATCTCTTATCCTGATCCTCCCGAACGACTCCTCTGTTACTTCCCATTTAGAGCCTGGAAGAGCATAACCAGAGTTGAAAAGTACCAAGACCGCGAGTGAAGATAGCAGCCAACAGCTCTTCCCTGTTTCGTCGATCTTTGCAGGCCCCCATGTGCTTTCCTGCCCTCTACTTCAATGTCATACTCTGCATAATATTAGAACCGCGAAGTCCTGTAGACGGCTGACCTGGTCACTTACATGCACGGTCCAATAGTCTGTCCGGGCAGATTGCTCGAGAAAACGTTCCATGGAGTAAGAAGAGGTGCCACGGCTGGAAGTACTGCATACGCTGCCGGCTGAAGATGTATCACTATGGTTACTCGAGCATTGAGATACAGGTCGTTCTGAACTGACGGCATTCCTGCTGTATACAGTTGCGGGATGACGCTGGGGGATTGTCTCAATCGACATGTTGCCAGGAGATAGAATGTTCCTTGGGCACTGCTTCTAAGTTCTGTTGGGTGGTTTTGTTCAAAATGCAATCACTATACTGCTTGTGAGGCTTTGCTGTCGCTGTGAATGTAGAAGGCGATGCAGCAGAGACATCTCGACAAGAGCTTTATACTTCTATGCTACCTTGACTACAGTCGCAATTGCAACAAGGTCTTTGTATTGTCCATGTACTTTGTCAAAGTAGAAGTATTGTATAAGTCGCGATACTTCCAAAGTAGCTTGACCGCAGGTACTTTTGCGGCCGGGTAAATTCCTATTTGGTGAACAAGGCTTTGTTCCCTTGTTCAAGCAGGGAAGGCAATCTTAAGGACTGCTTACTTATTGACACTGAGATGCGATTTGGCTATAGGTATCTGTTCACACCACATACTTGCTTTTGACCGATCTCATTGATGTGCAGTAGACTGTGCATTACTCGTATAGGTGGTTGGATGCAGACAGTCTGAATTGTGAACCAATTGATCACTTAAACCCCCAAAGGCTCATGCACACTGAGTCTTGGAAGCCTAGCATTGAGTCGTAGTGGCGAAGAGCCTGCAACACGAGCTCTGCATCTAGTAGTTAGTGGATCTACTTTCATGCATGTGCTGAAAGCAAGATGGAGTGTGATTAGTGGAAGGCATAAGTGTCCAAGACCGTCGTTGTGTTCACTACTCACCAGGAGTTAGATGAAGAGGTACTGCATGCTCATGCAAGGTCTTTTGCACTAAAGTATCTGAATGCATGAATCAGAAAGTATCGGGCTTACCCATTTGATTGGGTAGACTCCCCACATGCCACGGGTGACTAGGCATCACCAGGGCGACCTCTTACAAGCAAAAACCTGCCCCAAATTTTTGGTGCCGCTACCTCGTAGTGCTTCATCCTCCTCCACCGTCTTGTCAGGGCCCAACACAGAGCGGAGCCATAGATTCATCCAGAGCTACACCGAAGGAAGCGACGTCTATCACTTTCCAGAGTTGCACTTCACTCTGCACAGTACTCAGGTTCTATCACACGGATCCTTGCCAACGATCATGGGAGCTGTTAGCGTCGTAGCGCAACAGCGGCAATGGCAACCGTCTCTCCACCGCTTCAACCGCGCATCCGAAAACATGCGTGCTCGAGGAATGGACGTCCATCTGAGCTCGATTGGGAGCTGTACAAGCCGGAGATCATGCGCCTTTATCATCCGCAGAGCAAGCTTCACCTGAAGCAGATCGTCGAGAAAATGAGGCGAGATCACGGATTCAAAGCAACGTATTGCACCCACAAGAGCCCGCCAACTGTACAAGACTAACCCCGTACTTAGCGAGGCCATGTACAAAAAGCGCCTGAAGCGCTGGGGAGCCGCGCGAAACGTGAAGAGAAGCAAAATGCCTTCGCCGACGCCTGCGGCGCCGATGGGCACGCATTATCGATGTTTGCATGAAGCTGGATGCTTGACAACAGCACAACTATGTCACAATTTCCACTACGACACAGACTCAAGTGCAGCTCGTGAAGCCACCGTTGACTCAGAGGAATGGTCGATGGTGAGCCTGTGTGACAGGCCAGGTAGCGCCTCCCAAGTATCCACAGCCACATCGCAACGATCGCTTCTGACAAAGAGAAGCTGGCTAAGTAGCCCTCCATGCATGCCATCGGATCTCTCGCCTTCGCAGCGGTCAGGAATTTGGGTCTCAAGTGGCACGACTGCTTTGGACAATGCAGACTGGCCATGTGAAAACGCCTCAGTACCTTACCGAGCAGTGTTGGAACGCTCAGAAACGCGCGCAGTATCCACTGAAAGCCTTGACGGGTTTGACCTCGCTGACACGCATTTGGAGCCTCCGAACATCCTATTGCGTCCTTACTCGGTTGCAGGTACCAACGCAAGTCCGACACATGCCTCCCCTGTACTGTTCCGGCATCCCTCGCTACAGGCCGACCCGACAGAGTTTGTCAATACTTCCCTCCAGTACTGCACGCTTCAATGTGATGGAAGCAGGCCTTTAGAAGCCGAGACAGCGGCCGCAAGAGCATCGACAATATTCTTTTATCTCATCGCGCAGTCTCATCAATCGGCCTTGACCGCGCTCAGTGCAGTTACCATTATACTCTCAATGTTTGACCAAGACGAGGAAGCGCTGACCATCGTTATAAATGCTCGCAAAGCTGCTATGTCGCATCTGAGTGAGGACAATCCGGTCGTTCAGACCATCAATTACATGCAATTGCAAGCTGGTGGCAAGTTCTCTGTCATGACCACCCATCAATTGCAATCAATTTACAACTCCTTTTGCGCCTGGTTGCCAGAAGGTCATCCATATACGTTGGTCGCCGGGTATCAGCTTGCCTGGCGGCTCTCAGCAGATCCGAAAGATGGAAAGCACGTCCTAGATGCTCTTCGCATGCTTGGGCGGCTGCAAGGGGAGTGTGATTTCATCCTCGGAGCAACGCACTTGCTGTCATTAGCAGTATTAATGACTAAATCTAGGGTGCTGCAGGCTTTGGAACTGCCTCTGGACGCACTCCCAGTCATGACTGAACTCATACGCAGAATGAACCTCGCCTGCCCACCATGTCATCCATACCTCCTGGAAGCTCGGAGTCGATACGCTCCTCTCTTATTCTATGCGTATCGCGATCAGGAAGCTGAACATGAGTGGACCGCGGCAGCCTTGGGAAAGGCCGAGATATTCGGCCGTGCACATCCAATAACACGAAAAAGCATCCAATCCGTCGAAGACTTCTTCTTCGACACTGTTGAGAGCCCTCCACCCCCAAGCTTCTACCTAAGGCTTGATGCCGCCCAAGACAAGTATCGCGGCCGACGACCTGACATTCTCACACTACACCGAGGTGCCGATCACCATTCGCAGTCTCAGGCCTCTCATCTGAACGCCGTGTGATCCAGTCTCCTACCTCCGGTCACCGTTGGGGGCACTGGTGGCGGCTTTCGCGGTCCATGTGCGCCCTTAGACGGAGGTGTCGTCACATCACTGATTCTGATGGCATTGCATGAAATAGGAGCATCGGGGAAATGGCCGTCCAGGATCTCGCGCTCGGCATAATCACGCAGACGCTTCCGTTCGACAATTGTCTCTCCGAGGAGCATCCGGTCCTCGAACCTAGGGTCCGTGACAACCACGAAAGGCTCATCTTTCGCCGATCCAGACGGTAGCCCGAGGTCAAGAAATACTGGTCCTACTCCTCGCAGGGCGAACGCTTTGATGTTGCCGAAAACGATAGATTTCTGGCGCCCCTCCGGCTTCCCACCCGCACCGAGCTCTTTCCAAAAGGCAAGGGAGATGAGGTTATCTACTCGTCGCTTGAGATCCGGGTCTACGTCCGCTGTGCAACCATGGTCGATGATAGCACCGGTTCTCCGTGGTGGGTATGTAGCCTGGCTAGTGGTCACATCGCGCAAGACAAGTCGCGACCCCCGTCGCACGGCATTGCCTTCTCCTGGGGTATTCTGGATCCTGATTGCTGTCACTGCTGAGTCACTGTCGGACGAAGCTCTCACGTCGCGTTGCTGCCCGGACGAAATGGAACCAACATCTTCAGTATGGCTGAGGTGCCTCTGAGTTCTTATTGCGGAGGTCTCCTGATGGCGATCACCGTACTGCTGAACCAATTCACGCTGTTGGGGTCTACCCTTTACCTCGGTTGAAGACCCGTGTCGCTCCTCGTGTCGCAGCTCTGGAACCCGCGGGTCATGTCTATCGCCCGACTCCCCAGATGTGTACGAGCGCCCTGCTGGCCGTTGATTTGGATTGCGCGTCTGGTGTCGATCCGAAGCTGCTTTGACCGACTTGGAGTCTGCCGCTTCATCGCGTTCAAATTGAACATCGGACTGTCGAATCAATTGCGTTATCATCTCCTTCGTGGGCGCAGTCGGCGCCGTAATGAGGTATCCTTCCCGGGAGTCAGCCTGTCGATAAGCTTCAGCTGTTGCACCTCGACCGAGTTGCTCCCGCGCCCAGGGCTCGACCAGCCGAGGGTGGATGCGGTCGCCAGGCACAAATACACGGACTTGGGACGGCGCATTCCGTTGGGGCGGCTCGTTGTTGTATGATTGAGTCGGTCGTTGGTTGTGTCTGCCGTACGTTGACTGCTCATCAGGCATTCGGCTTATCTGTGGAGTATCTCTGCCTCTGACGGGCAGGGTTGTGCTTTGTTTCCCAGCATTCGTGTCGTGACGCGAACTGTCCTGTGAACGTACTTCCGCTCGCTCTGAATGTCGCCGCGCTGCCTGCGGCACATAGTCGTCCTGCCGTCTGCTCTTCTCAGAAGAGTCTGGCTTGGACTGTTGTCTCTGAAATGCCGTCTTTGCATCGGCTATATCCTGTCTGAGTTTTCTCGCGGCTGGCCCTTTCTCATCCTTGAGCTCTCCGAGATAGTGTCGCCAGTCTGGTAGTCGCTCGACACATTTGCGCAGCATGCAGGCATGATATAGGAGTCTGTCGGCCTGCGACAACTCTCCATTGCTGTACAAAGCCGCCGACCGAGCAAACAGTGCCTGGGATAGTCCCTGCTCTATGCGCCGTTCATTGCGGACTATGAACTTTGCGATCTCGAGGAGATCTCCCCCTTCTACATCTTCCAACTCTTCTACCAGGGCAGAGTTCCGAGCAGCGCTCGGGGGATCGGGGCGCTGCATGATCACCGCAGATCACGCCTAAGGACGACGGGGGTTATTGTCGAGTTCTCCTACTGCACTTCGAGCGTGGTACGCCTGCTCAGCACGCTATCGCTGAAAGCATGGTTTGGGTGACGAAGGTCAGAGCCCAATTCGCACGTGCGGACGGAATAAGCGTCGGAGAGAGCGTCACGCTTTGCTGCCCGAGCCAAAGGGTTCCCAATGAGCCGCTCACCGATCGCAACCGCTCCGCTACAGTTCACCCTCCTTCATCACCCACGCAATGGGCGCGGTAGGTAACGAGCCGAGCCAGGACGTTGCCCCACCCTCCTTGTCGGCACACGTGTTCCAATGAGGAGTCCCCCGCACTCCAAGGGTGGCGCATTCGGCCTATGGGCAAGCGATGATGCGTTACACAGGCTAAGAATCTCATGTGCGCAGATGCCACACAGCTACGACGCCATCAAAGCCCAACTCACCGGTCAGAGTGGCTGGCGGCAGCAGACCAAACGCCATTGGCGAGACCCCCAGGATCCTTTCTGCGAGCCGGGAAGCTTAACTGTGCCCACGAGGAAGAGGCTCGATCCGGGGGCACGTAGCTTACCCCCACCGACTGCCTCGATGTTGGAGTAGTTCAGCAACCCGACAGAGTTTCTGGCCTTGTGACATTCACGGCGCGGTGTAGTACTGTAGTAGTTTACAGGCGGCCAATCGGCGAAAGGCTGGTGTGTACAAGTATCTGCCAATATCCTCGAAGACATCCTTGTTTCAAGTAGTCGTCAGGCCCACTGCTCCCTATACTATAATGGCTGAATCCCTTCTCGTTGTGAGCGAGCGAATGCCCCGTGAAGGGCAGAACACAATAGGGGACCAGAGCCCGATTATATAGGCTATATCTATCTGTGGCTGAGAGTGGGACCTTAACAACAGGAAGCCTTGATTGGGAGCCCCTTATATATAGCAAATATATATGCTATATATATGGTCTCTTGACGCAAGCAATGCTGACTTGACTTGGCAAACAAGACAGCGACCGTCCTCAAGCTGCCAATAGTAAGAAGCTGGGGTCACAAGCACACACAGAGAGCAATTCCTCGAACTTGAGTTGAAGGCCAGTGCCGTAAAAGCGTCAGCGTACTTGGTACAGAAACAGACACGCGGTCTACGCAGCTGACGGCCCAAACAGCCAGCCAGCTGCTTTCTTACGTACGGTCTTTCCGCTCCGGAGGATTCATCGAGTCACTCTCTTTGAAGATTGATTTTCACAGGGACACTACTTGCGTTACGTGCCCGAACCCACAAATTCCCTCGCTCCAGCACCACAGAAGACGGCCGGCCATCCAGTAAAAGTACCTCTCCCAAGAACAGCGCTGCTGTTGCTGCTGCTGCTTGCGGCATCCAGGCGGCAACCGATGTACCTAGACCTTCCACACTTCATCGAACGATATCAAAAGGAATCCTGAGACTCTTGCGAGCTATTCCGTCTTTCCCCTCCCCTGAACCCCAGTTCTTGACCCTAGCTACCAATACAGAGCAACTCCTGAATTGGGCAAGCTCGCGGATGCCATACTTCCAAACCAACACCAAAACCCGAGGTACAAAAGAAACGCAATCAGTTGGTTTTAACCGGGATCTCAAACGCTCCAAGCCAGTCATTAATTCATGTTCGTCGTCTTCTTTCATGGCAAGCTTTGTTATACAAAAGTAGTCGAAGTGAAGCAAAACAAGGGAAAAGGTATGGTGCTCCATTGAGAAGCGGTACACGAGTGAGACCATCAAATGGCAACAGGGAACTTGAAACCATTAATTTCGATGGTACTCGCCTCGCGCGTTTCTTCCGCCGAGTCGTGCGCGATATGGTCGGACTCCACCGGTAGAGGCTTCTGCAACAAGGCGTCGATACTAGGCACCGGGGCCGCTTTCTGAGCAACTGGCGGAGTGGTGGTCCACAGACTGCTCCTTCTGGACGATGGTGCGGACGCAATCTTGGGCGATTTCTTCCAGATCTCCCATGTCGAGGGAGGAGGGCCCTTGGTGATGCTAGCTTTCCGCTCGCGTGGCATTTCTGTCGCAGACAAAGACGGGTTGGCGGCGACCGGCGCAAAGCCGTTGACGGTTGACAGTCGGTGGGCGAATTTTATCTCCGCCGGGGATACAGGATTTGAGCTAAGAGGCGAAATTCTCTGTGCGCGTGGAGAGTCCATCGTGGTTGACCGAAGGTGGCGTGGGCCGAACCCATGGCTAGTTGTCTCTAGGGGGGGACTCACAGACCGCCCTCGCTGGTTTTGCCTCGAAGCTGACGTCTGGGAGGGTATGGCAGGTAACGGACCACTTGGTGGGGGAGCAATTGGAGGCTGCGACCTGCAGATGAGATTCGGCATACTCTTCTGGCGGCTCATTTCTGGGCATTGGTTCGCTCGCCGTTGCTGTGTCAGCCCTTCCGTGCTTTCAGCCGGCAAGCCCTTACTCTCGTTACTGACTTCAGCATCGGCATCCAACCCAAGCGCTAGAGACTCTCCCGTGACCATAGACCCTTCGCCGCCAAAGCAAGAGTTGGCTTCTTCCTTCACAGATTTCGAAGTAGTGGGATTTCCAGCATCAGATCCGAGCAAAGTCACTGTCTCGGCTGAGGTGGAAAAATCGCGGTGGCCATTCGTCGCGCGGGCAGTGAGGTCTGTACCTGTCTGTCCACTGATACCGAGACCCATAAGATTGCCCACCGAGCGGGCTCGCGAGACCGATTTATCCCGAAAGATCAGAGACGATTTTCTCTGTGGTGCGAGACTATATGGCGGCGGAGCTGCGGACGGTAGCCGAGACAGTGAAGGCCGCTCTGGTCTTTCGTGGGGGGCCATGTCTGTATCGCCTGCAAAACGATCAAACTCTGCCTGGTATTGCAATGCAGGAGTTGATCTCTGGTCGAATTCCCGTAGAGTTCGTTCCATCGATGTGGACCTCGAAGTACTGGAGCTTGAAGAAAAAGGCAGACGCTCTGCACCCGTATACGGTGTGAACTGAAATTTCTCCATAAATGAGAAAGGAGTGAGGTCATGTCTTCCAGGACTGACAGGGGTCACCGGTGATGCAGGCTTGTCAAAGGCACCTGCCATGGTATGTACTGCGTCGGTTGCCAGTGTAGGCGTTCGGGGAAAAGATGGCGACGCCAGGCCCGGAGAGCAGGACGCTGAGCGTCTCCTTGGTCTCGGCAACACAATGATGGGCTGTGGCTTCTTCCGACGGCCAGCTGGAGAGGCTGCATTCGGGGCCTCGAATTGAGTGGCGTCCGTCAGCACAATGTTGATGTCCGGTATGATCTGCTCTTGGATCGAGTCGGCGTAGCTCGACCCAGTTCCACTGTTGAAGGATCTGTTATCTAGCAAACATGAGTCGCGCAGCCTGTCGAGATCGGTAGTGGTGCCAACAGAAGAGCGAGTTGTAGATTGTGGTGACATGGTCACGTCGTCTGATGCATGATAATCCCTGCTGCTGGGCGTGACCGCTGCTGGTGGGATAAAAGGCGCTGACCTACAGTGACCGGATCCAATATCATTGGTGGCAGCGGGCGTCGTTTCGAGCATTGAGACTACACCGCGCGAGTCAGGGCGATACTCAAGACCTCCCAATGCTTCAATCTCTTTGCGGACACATATGAGCCACTGATTGAATTTGCAGTCATTCTCGAAGACAAGGAGCATTTCTCGAGTCTGTTTCTTGGCCTCGGATGACAATCGAGAAAAGAGCCTCGGTCGCGATGGCTTCAGCGACTCGTTTGACGGGGCTGAAGCGTCACTGCCATTATAGACGACATTCAGGACCCAGTGCTTGCCTACTATCGCGTCGCTTGCCACGGAAATAGACTGAGGTCCAAGTTCGAGGACTTTCTCGGGTGTCCTGTTTGACGGTCCATCACACAGATACTGCAGAATGCAAGCATCATCTGTTAGAATGAAGAGCTTGGTCACCAGTGTATGGCTAGCTGAGTTTGAGCGGCTTCCCCGGCCGACTCCTTGACGTGGCGAGGCAACGACGTCGACTGCTAGTGCAGGGGACAGAGCAGCACCCTTGCTGGCTTTCGAAGTGCCTGTCGCCACAGGAGTCTCAAGCTTAGCATGTAAGATGGCGTGCCTGAACGCTTCTGCAAAGGGAGGAGGATTCTTTGCCGAGGAGGCCCTGCCCGGGGAGCATTTACTCGCTTTATGTGATTTGTTGCGGCTGTGACCTGACCATGTTGTACTTCGCGCTCGTGTCGTCGCTGTTGTAGACGCTGGCTCGCGAAGGCAGTCTGGCGACTTGGGACTGGAGGGTCTGGACTTCGGCTTCCGAGGGTGCACAGGCTGAGTAGCTCGGCCACGACTGAGCGTCCTGCTCAAGAGGCCCTTCAATGATCCTGAGGGGGACGGGCTGGGGCTCGGGACATGTGGAGAAGCCAAATGTTGGTGATCCCATGACATTTGCGATGCCATGTTGTGAGATAGTTGTCGGCTGTTGGGTGCATGAAGAGAGTGGAAGGAGTAGAACACGAGACGATGCGCAGGGAGGCACCCATGGCGCTACGTCGGCAGTGTATCCTGAAAGATCTAGGGAGAACGGCAATCGCAGAAAGAGGTGCACACTAGTCAGCTAGCGAAGCAGGCGACAGGAAGCCCCACGAGAGGAACAGGCCTAGTGCCTCGAACTTGATCGACGGGGACCATCACAACGGCGCCGGTGGCGTCGAGGGGTCAGGCCGCTCTGAGTTGTTCCACCGCAGAAGAAACGCTGGATACCGGTAGTGCGGCTCTGGCAGGTTGCGCTAACGAGTTCTGCCCTGGTTCGGCGGCGTGGACATCCTGGCGGCGGGTCGTCCGAGTCGCGTATCCACTGTTTGTGAACTTACTGAGAAGCAGATCACCGTTCTTAAGCTATTGTCAAGGACTGGATGATGAAGGCAGTTTATTCGAGCGGGGGCAATAGCTCCAATCGAGTCCCGTGTACGGAGTACAGGTCTTGACCAGCATGATGCCTGCAAAACACGGCTCATGAGGCACTGGCAAGCAGCCACTCGTTCGAATCCGAGAAGCGATCACTCCCGGCTTTCGGATCCTCGAGTCAGAGCGGAGGAATAAAGCCAAGCGAGATGGATATCAATTTCGTTGTTCAATCCCCGGACAGGTGGAGTGTGTTAGCGTGATGTGGCTAGCCGACCTATCTTCGGGGCCAAGAGACCGCTGATTGAAGGCGAAAGCGATCGACAGGAGAATTCGGAATCATGGTCAGCGTGTCACAACGCGATGGCGCCGCCGCCGGAATGTGCACTGATTGATATAGGACATGTAGCTTGCGTTGAGGTTGAATCCGGCGGTGGGAATACCCGAATGCAATAATGGGATAAGATTCAGGCGTTCAATAGCTAGGCTGAATTAAGACAGGAGCCGGGGTGTACAGAGAAGGACGGTGCGGATCAAGGCTGGACTTTGTCTGCTAAGGTGCGAAAGCTGCAGCCCGTCCCACTGTGACCGAGTTTGACAGCTCGACCTACTCCGTACTGTACTCCGTATGTACACCGGACTCAGCATCTAGGGAAGGTCTAGGTGTTGTGTCGGGACGAAGGAAGGATACTTGGCAGAGCCAGGGGCAGGGCTCGTCATCAGTACTCCGTACTCTGTCTCGACCAGGATCTTATACAATGGTTTTAAGGCTATGAAGTCCAACTGGTTCACAACCCCAAGGTAGTCTTCTCATCTTCAAAGTCGTCGTCCACACTGGCGATGGTGTCCGAGAATCGTCGCTATCGATTGCTCTGCCTGATGTCCGTGCATTTTCTAGCGTAGGGGCTGGAAAGAGGCGCCGCTGCAGAACGTTTGTTAGCTGATGGTCAGGGTCCTCACCACCGCCTGTGCGTTGCAACTTGAGACAGCCGGCTCGGAGTTTTAACGGAGGTCTCGTGTACCAAGCTTAGTACTGGGCAGCCCCAAACTCTGCAGGTGAGGATGAATGTCACGGGATCGCCGAGTTGGGGGTTGGTAAGAAGTATCAAGTCATTGTCTTCCTGGAATCAACGACAACCTGATGGGTCGTTTCCATTATCGTGATTGTACACAGTTGTGGCAGAACCTATCGATGCCTTTCGAAGGGGTATCTCGTCGCCACCTAATGAATTTCCAAACGCTGTTTGTGACCATGACACCGTCGCTATGCTTTCGTAACCACCGTTATGTCTCCTCAATCCGCCCGAGCCTGGCCGTGCTATTAGGAATGCCATTGTGCTGCTCGTATGCTCCAGACTTCCTCTAAGAGTCAGTGTCATTGAGCGGCAAGTCTTTGAGATATGGCCAGCCGACCTCCTCTTCAGGCTTCTCCGGGTCCATCTGCAGCACACGTCGCAGGCAACGTACTTGGCCCTGCAGTCCTGAAATGATCGTGTACTCCTCGCACCACTCATCAGTACGCAGTCGGTTCGCTGTACGAATCATCTCGCGGACTCGTAGGTACTTGGCGAAAATGTCATCTTTCTCCAGACGGCTGGCGAGGTGTTCGTCCTTCTCTTGCTGTAGCAGATTGTTGTAGTGGCGGCGTTGCTCCAAGAAACGGGTCTCGATGCCGTTGCAGTAGTTGCGGATCATCTCGGTGGTATTGCCCATGGCATCTTCGTACATGGCGATGAGATTGGTGTTCTCTTGTTGCTCATGCTTGTAGGCATCGATGACCATATCTTTCTTCGCCAGCTTGCGCTCGAGTTCGCGAATACGGGCTTCTAGGCAGATGTTAGTGAAAATTAGCGGAAAGTCATGAATCAACGTACGGTCACTCTGGACACCTCCCTCACGGTCCTCGGTTTGGTGGCCGTTGCTAGCTTGAGCCTGTGGAACATGGGTCAGTAATTGTTGAGTTGCGGAGTACTGAGTGCTCACTTCGGCTTGCTCGGCTCTTCTGGTGAGCTCCGCGGTACGCGCACGGTTGGCTCTAAGAAGGTTGCTCAACTCTTGGATCTGCTCGTAGAGATAGTTGAGGTCTTGCTGGTGACCGGCGGGGAGAGGCGAGGCGTAGGTAGGATTGTTGCTCGCTCCGTTGGTGCCGGTATAGGAACCTGCACCCGACGAAGCGGACGAGGCGCCACGAATGGGAAGATCGAGCGAAGCTACAGAGGAGTTGGCCATGTTGACAGTAAGTTGCTCCCAGGGATGCTCGTCGGGTAGAGTCTCGAGAAGAAATTGCGCGACCTCGGCACGTTCTTCGTCGCTGAGGTCGGGCGCTGAGAGCAGGCGGGCGGTTCTGGTAGTGATGTCCTGAAGGATGGTCAGTATGAACAAGTTTCCAGCAAGCTGCAGCCCACCGCGGCTAAACACCTTCAGCCTTATCGGCTAATTAACGGGACGGGCCGCACCTTAGAGTCTGGGCATTAACTTACATCCATGACTGCGGTCTGTTACTGCTTCACAGTGCAGCTGCCCTTGACGTTACTGTGCTATTCTACTACCAACTCGGTGAAAGAGGACAGTGGTGATACTGGTTGCTGGAGTGAAATTCAAAAGTGAACACAACCAATGCCAAGAAATTTTGCATGAATGGCCTACCCTTGGGGTCGAAAGAGACCGAGTGGATTCTGTCATGGATCATGGCGAGTATATATACAGTAACTAAGCGATAGTCGTAGCAAAACTGGACGTGCTCTGAACGCGACATAAACCATATCAACCTTCCTGCAACCAGTTCATCAAGCCTCGCTGGGCCTTCTCCCACTATTGATCTGGGCCGCGATCTGCGAATGGCGGAAGATCTCGAACCCTTCTGGATCCTCCTTTTGGAGCACCGACAGCTCCTTTGCATTCATGCCCAGCTCCTTCATCACACTGTCTGCTCCTTCCCTTTCCACTCTCTCACGAATCTCTTCGCCCTTGAAATCCTCGAACTTCCTGCGCAGATCGGCAAGTTGTTCAGGATCCATCTCAATATTGTCCGTCAACTCACTATGTCGGAGAACTTCGCGGCGCACACCTTGGCCGAAGCGATGCATACGACCTTCTTCGTCGGTGTACGCGCGAGCAGCTAAAGAGGTATTTGAGGGCGTTCGCGACAGTTGCATCCGTACGTGGTCGTTGTTCTTGTCTTCTGCTTGCACGTACTCTTCTGCCGAGGGGACTTTCTCCAAATTGCTGGAATTGACACTCGCAGAAACTACCGAGGCGTCTGCCATAGCAGGTCCATAAGACACGCCGTTGAGGGGAGGAGAAGACGCTGGCAAGTCAGGGACCTTGGTCTCCGGATATTCATCCTCGAATCGCTTAATGATACGTTCTAGAGTTTGGTCAAGGAAGAACAATCGCCCTAAAGGAAGCAGTTAGTCCCAAGCACAAATTGAAAGCCCACGTCAAATGACTTACGGAATTTTTCGTCGTTTCCAGCTTTGTCCTCTCTAACCAAAGCAGGCCTCAACCTCATTCTGATCTTCCGCGCACTTTCACAAAGTTCTAGGCTGACGTTGCGAGGTTTCTTCGGCGTCCCAGGCCGCTGAGGGACCTGCCGAGGCGTCGTTGTTCCACTTGCTGAAGGGGTGACCGTTCTAGACTGGGTTCGGCTTGAGCCATCGCCTGTTCCGAGACAGACGCCGAGTGCCTTGACAATGCCAGTAGAGGCAATGACGTAGTCTTCATCTGGAGCTGGTTCATCGTCGTGAGTGTCCTCTACGCCCTCCATGGGTCCAACGAGATGCAGCAAGACTTCTGGAGCGTCCTTGTGGGGCATCGCACTGGTTTTGATGCCGATCTCATCCAAAGCGCTCCGCTCCATATTTCTCAAGCTGTATGCAACGACTTGGGATGCCAACGCTTTCACGACCTCGCTGCTATCTGCGCTTGGCACCTCAATCTCGATGGCCACGATCGTATGTGACACGCGAACTGCGGTCATGAGGGAAGCGAAGAAAGCGCACGCTTCCTCTTGTGACGAGCCATCTTTTGAATTCATCGCATGCTGCAGGAAGTGATTGTTCAAGATCGAGACATGACACATGGACGGACAGTCAGGGAGGATCTCCGCCAATGCGACAACATGGTCTGGGGTCAGTCCAACGTTGGCGAGGTGAATACGTTTGAGCGCCTTCAGCTTAGGAAGCATCTTCCGGAAGATTGGAACAGCAGTGTTTCTGTCCGTGAACAAGGAGCCGTTGCCTGACAAATCAATAAACTTGAGGTTTTGCAGCCGGCACACGTTGTTGAGAACGATTTCGAGATCTTTTGGATCCAGGTGACACCCGGCAAAACTTATTGCGAACAATGGGTTTTCGTCGTCTAATGCCTCGGCGATGGTGGTGACTCGTCTATGCAGATTGTTCCCGCCAAGGTCCAAGCCTTCACAAAGCCCGGAAACAATGTATCGGACGACATGGCCAATCGCCTCCGGATCGAGATTGTTGTCCGCCAGACCAAGCCGCCTGATTTTGCATCTCATGACACTGTCGACGATATCGCTGACACCGGCAGCCGTAAGGCCGCAGTCGCTCAAGATCAGCTCTTCCAGCTTGTCTCCCAGCCGCTCGGCAATTGCCCGTGCGATCAAGGCGCCAAGGTCTGCTGTCTTACCTGAGGCCCCGTTGACTGTAGTGTTGGACCCACTGCTGGCCGTTGTCGATCTCGAAAGATCCACTGAAGCTTTGGGAAAAGGAATGCCTGACAGGTCTATCGCTTTCAGTGATTTTGACATATGCAAGAACAGCGCAAGGTGCCTCCACCCGATATTGGTGATATCAGGGTTGTGTTTGAGGGACAGCTTCTCAATGATGCCAATTTGCTCACGTCCAGGTTTGCCGGTTATCTGCGTCTTCAACTTTCGATTTATTCTCGCTTGTTCTGGGTTCTTGCAGCTTGATAGACCAGAGAGAATGATCCTAACCGCCTCATCGGAGAGGCTGCAGTTGTCGAGAACGAGCTTGCGCACTGGCACTACGGCCAGCCAATCGCCGAACGTTTGTACGTCTTGCAATTGCATGGTTGTGCCAGAGAGGTCAATTACTGCCACTGTGCCAGGAGCCTCCGCTAGTGTGGCTGCAGGTTTTGAGATCTGCTCTTTCACACGGCTCATGACCGTTGTTTCTCGGAGCTGGCAACAGCGCTTATAGATCCTCAACGGATCTGTCGTAGGTGACGCACCTGTCCGAGGCGTCGATACACCTGGTGTGCTTGTAGGGCTGGAATCCGAATCACCATCATCGCGTATCAACTCCATTGGGACGAGGCCGTTAGCCTCAGCATGCCGCCGTTTCCGCTCTCGCCTCTCTTTTCGCTCGGCTTCGGACCGTTTCTTCTTTTCCTTTTTTCGGGTCGTTGTGGGTGCCAGGCTTTCCTCCTGTTTACTGTCCGCTGGACCATCAATGTCTTCTTTCGATTCGTTGGATGCTGATCGTTCTCTGGACATGGCCGTCGGTGGTACAGCTCCGTCGATTTTTGTGGCATTTGGCTTCTCCTTGTCCACTGTTGCAGCAGACGGGTTTTTCAGAGCAGCTCCTTCACCCATATCCTTGTATTTGGCGTCTTTGACATCTTTCTTGTCTTGGTTGTTAGCCTGGTTCTGCCGCTGTGAGACTGGCGGCCTGATGCCATGACCCTCTTCTTCATCCGCTTGAGCTGCTCGTCCGGCAATTTCGACATCCACACAAAACGCGACTCGCTTGAGCTTGTTCTGATCAAACTCTGGAATTCTGACGCGTTCTCGATTCTGGTCGATGTTCATCACTCTTCGAGGACAAATCGCTCCGGTGCCGGCGCTCTTTCCCATCGCAGTATTATTTGAAGAGGAAAGTCTCCGCAAGGCGCTGGACAGAAAGCCCGGCTGCTCCAGCTTCGTCTCTTTGCCCGCCGCCACGAGCACTGAAGGTCGCCGCCCGGGGCTATGAGGGACGACCGGCTTTGGTTCTTCTTTGGCGTTTTGTGCATTCTCTTTCTTGTTGAAAGGATTGCCGAACTCAACCTTTGGACTTGGCTGTGGCGAGGGTGCTGTTGTGGACTTCTGGGAATCAGTAGAGCCGGTTCGTTGCGTGGTAGCATTGGAGGACCCAAATTTCGAGCTTAGACTCGTAATCCAAGAAGGGCGCTTGCCACTGTCTTTCTTCATGTTGCCGCTGGACGATTTACTGATGGTCTTGACGTCGCCGTCATTGGAATTACGTGCAGGCGCCGTGCGACCTTGCTGATCGGGCGTGCTCACACCGTTGACCTGTCTCGGGGTGTCGCGCACCGTTGCTGGTGATTCTTTTGAAGACTCATGTGGAGTGACGCTGATGTCAGGCACTTTGCTCGAAGAGTTGGAGACAACGTCGACCGGCGACTGTGGTGGCGTAGGTTCACTATGTGTTACCGAGGGAAGAGGAGGTGAAGAAACATCGTCCCGAACAGAGCCATTGCTACTATGCGAAGGAGGGTAGTTGGAGTCTATAGATTATTAGCACTGGTCACTTCGGCTGATGTTGCGCAGCTCAGCACTGCACTGCCGGTCAGGTGCCCGAACCGTTTTTATGCAGCAGCCAGTCGACGTCGAGGCTGGAAGTATTGCCAATTGCTGACGACATGTTCCCGACGACTCAATGGAAGCGATCGTAGGTCCGTTACGATCGTGTAGCGCACGATACGGTGAACACGATCGAAGCAAGTCGTAGACGAACGGCAAGAGCAATGGTAGTGAGGAGTCGCAGCGGGGTCCCTTTTTCGGAGGTCTAGATCGCTAGTATGTGGTCATGCTGAGCAGCTGCGGGCAAAACTTGCGATCGGGAGGTTTGGGGGCTATGATGTCGATGGTATGCTGGAGGATCCGCACCCAAACCGCATGAACTACGCACGCCTAGACAGACCCGTGGTATCTTTCAAGTGCAGAAATGTATTTTGCATACGGAGAAGTTTGTGGAACAGTAGCTTCAGTGCTCTCCAAAACACTTACCTATTCGCCTCTCTGATCGCAGTCCAGGCCACTCAGTTGCTGACGCATCGAAAACGAGCGTTGGCAACTGGACAGGCAAATCAGGTGGGCCAGAACCCAGCTCGCACAAGGACTTCGCCCGAAGTCGCCCAGCGGTCGAGGCAACGCCACAACCTCAGGTAAGCACCAGTCCAAGCAGCCTCCATCGAGGCTTATGTCAGAGACTATCGTGCCCCAGTGGTGCCCCAGTCCACAGTTCTAATGGCCGGCACTCTATGGCCGGCACTCTTACTGGCTTAGCAGACTTTGATGTTCACGAGCACACGGCTGGGCGTGTCTATTGTAGCGCCTAGAGGGTTATGTAATGCTCGACGAAAGGCACGTTCTCTGCATTTCAAGTCGTGGGCTTTTCATTTGCATATCTGCCATGCTGATGCATTGGCCTGACGTGTTCGAGGCTATCAATGGGAGAGTCGTAAATGTCGAACACGGAATAACTCCCCTCCTTCCCATCTCCGGAGAGAATGCTCTCGTTCATGTGCGAACCAACTCCAAGCTACTGCTTATGAAGCCAGGTCGGCAATCTTCTGCTTGATACGGGCGTCCTTCTCCTCCTTGGACAGCTTCTCGGTGCGGTACTTCTTGCCCTCGGCCTTCCAGAACTCCTTGTCTTTCTTGTCACCTGCATCCTCATCCTTCTTGAAAGGATCCTCACGAATCGCCTTGTGAGCCTCAGCATAGATATCCTCAATACCATCAGCTTCAATGTCATTCTCAATGTAGCCAGCGAATTGAGTCTTGTAGCGCTCCTCATCGTCATCTTGGAGAGTCTCCATGTACTCAGCGACATGGCCACCGAAGATGTACTTGCGGAGGGTCTCGGCATCCAGCTCCTTGCCCTCGGGATCGTAGCCAGGGAACCGCTTCTCATTGTGAGGAATGTACAGGCCACCATCGGAGGCGCCCTTCATGACACCGAAGATACGGGCACCAGTGGAGGTACGGTGGAGACCAACATCAAGGAAGGCCTTGAAAGGACGGCGCTCATCGTCACCCTCGCCAGCAGCCTCGGTCAATGTGAATTCTCCATCAGGCTCCTCAACACCGGTGAAGTCCTCGTCGAGCTCAAACTTCTTCAGGACACGACGGGCCAGCAGGAGACCGACGGCGTAGCCAGCAGACCAGTTAGTGAGGCCGTTCTCGATGCCATATCTCTTCAGCTCGCGGGCATAGGCCGCAGCATGGACCTTGTCTCCGGTGAGCTCAGCGGTGACGAGCTGGCAGATGATGTCGCGGTTGGTGAAGCGGACAACCAGACGATACTTAGGGGCGTTGTACTTGTTCTTGGCTTGAGAGATGAGCCGCTTGCGGGCGTAGTAGTCGGTCTGCAGAATGTCAACTGCCATTCCGCCTCGCGCTAATAGTCGTTCAACTAACCTTACCCGCGCGTCTGCGCTTGTACTTGGTCTGGAAGCGGGAGAAATAAGGAGAGTTCTTGACACTGCGATCGTTAGCCAGATCAACTTCTTCCGGGGGGGGAAGAACTCACAGTTTGGTGAACGGCATGGTTGCGGTCTTGCGCCTCGATGGACCGAATCAATCAACTGTACCCCGAATCAGCATACTGCAGACCCTTTCCGCAGTAACATGCAAGGATTCTCTCGTACATTCTGTCAGTTGGTCCGGACGATGCACTGTCCTGGAGTTGTCAAAAGGGCTGAACGAAGAAGCGCAGGTTCGCAGTTGCGGAGGTGAACTTTTGGAAAGTGCGCTCGGTCAACGCCAAGATTTTCACCATCGGTCAGTCGATAAAGGTGCGTAGGGGACCACGAACCCAATCACAAAGGCCTCAAGAAACCGGAGCCCCACTTTCACTTTCTCTCTATAGAAGCCATGTGAGAGCAACCACATGTACAGGTGCGTCTATGGTCATTCATTCATTTCATTCATGCTGTCGTAGATGTCTATTACTCGCTCAGTACATAAATGCTATACCGTGCGATTTTCCGTTCATGCAGTCGTTTGGATCGTTTCGCGTCACGCATGTGCCGGCCCCAACTTGAACCCGCAACCCGGCGTCCAAGACACCAGGCGCAAGCTCCCTGGTTGAGCAACGGTACCACTTCTATTATCATGCTTTTGGTTCAACTTGAGGTCGCTCCATGTCTGCTAGGGGCTGTGCTACCCCGATAGTGCGACGCCAGAAGTTCTCACCTCCATTTGCCGTTCCTTGCCGCTGGATTCTGTCTGTCGTAGTCCTAAGGAGCGTGGAAAGCGCGTTTCTGCTGTCCCAATTTCGAATTGTCCATGTCTCCACGTCCTTGCCTTCCTCGTCCTTGCGAAGCCCCGCCTTCATCGGCTCGCTGACGGCAGCGTCCTCCGCCTCATCGAGCCAGTCATTCCAGGCCGGTGTTCTTGGCGCCCATCCTGCTTCTTTAACCCAGTTGCTGGTGCCCGTCACGGCGATGGCTTTCCAAAGAGCCTCGGTGTAGGTGGGCGGAACATTGTCCACGCGCGCTGTCCGTGGAGGCGTCCCCCCTTTGACCATGATTTGAGATACTTCCAGTCGTGAAAGATCCCAGTGCTTCGCGGGCGGAAGTGCCGCAACAATCCAGTAGACTATATTGATAAACATATAAGACGCGGCGAAAGCTGTCTGGTTCTGGATCTTGGCGTTGGCAAGGCAAATTACACCTCCCATCAAACACAGGGTCGAAATAAGGGAGAGGCCTCGGTATATAGTCGTGCTCTTGACAGCGTATATACACCGTTCACTAGGGTTGAAATATAGGTATCGGGCAGTCCGCTCCTGACATTTGACGACGATGAAAGCCCCTTGGGGATATTTGATGACTACATCGCCTTCGGGCGAGTGCGGATCGGGCTTCGGATCATTGGGCGTCGGTGACCACTTATTAGCGATACCTGTATTCGTACTCAGAAATGACAACAAGAGCGTTGCTATCAAGGACATGCTATGACCGTCAGCCGTGTGATCCAACCTCATACCTGCTGTACATACGCATCTCGAAGGACAACGGAAAGCACCAGAAGAGTCACGCTCAGGGCGAAACCAATCAAAGCCAGGATGGCCAATGGACCGAACCTTTTGATAGATGGCCGTGGCCTCTCATTCTCAACTACACGGACGCACTGAACTGTGTTCGGCGGCAATTTATCTCCCCGATGGAGAGCATGTGCAATGTGGTGTATATCTTCTCCCGTATTCCCGGAATGAACGCCAATAACTTTAGCATTGGATGTAGTTTCCAGTTTTTCGGGTCGCGTTGGCCGGATGAAGATCTGGGGCGCTGGAAGGAGACGTGGGACGTAGGCGAGGTTGCTCAGTGTCACAACCTGGGCGATGGTCTCAACGGAGCCTTCTCCGAGGATGGCAAGAAACCCTGAGCAGTATCGTAAGCTTAGAAACATGCAAAGGTGATACCTAGGCCCAAGGACTCACCGACAATATCGAGCTGGAAGTCCAGACTGGATGTCCAGTCCAAGCTGAACCTCCAAGCCATACCGGCTGCCGGTTCAGAAGACAGGTTATGTCAGGCATGCACGACCTCTCTAGAATGTTACTGAAAGTTGATATGCATGACCCACGACCAGAGAGCACCAGAAAATCCTACAACGTCTAATAATGCGTAGGTCTACATGAGGGTGAGAGAGAAATCACTTTGCCGATGAGACATGCAGCGCCAGAGGTTCGTCTTGCCTGATCGGCACCAAGGTTGGTGAGTTGGCTGCCAAGGCCCCCAGCCTCCGCTGCTGGGTCCCTGCAGCTCAAGGATTTCTCCTCTGCGACTGAACGCGCAATATACAGCATGGTGGAACAAGTCGGTGTAAATCACTGGCCGGAGCATCACCAGCACCGGTTTTAGCGTGTTGCGCAGTGCCTTGATTGGATGTATATCTCGGGTTGAAGGTATTTCGATCAATTTGGCCACCGCTTTCGTGCTACCGCTCCGAATGTTTCTATGGTACAAACATGTCCGTCGCCAGACAAAAGTAGTATCTAGTATTGTCATGAGTCATTAACACATTTTGGGTATCTTTTGGATGCAATAACAGGGTCCAGCCTCCCAACACTCAAGAACGCAACGGCTGTCTCACTTGGAGAACCGCTCCTGGATTTCTTTGTTGATCAACGCCTGTCCAGCAGTTCTGCGATCTTCGATGCTGGATGAACGGTCCCTCGCACGGTCACTGGACAAGCCACGAGAGAGCATGCCACGGAACAGGCCATTCCTGGTGTTGCGCTCAGTGACATCTTGCAAAGACGTCGAGATGAACTTGGGCTCATGCCTGTCGATTTGACAGAAAAGTGTCGAAAAAATGAAAGCCTCTCCATGCCCATTGTATAAAGGTAGGTGACGATAGCCTTTTTGCAGGCTGGATAATTTAGCGGTGAACACAGCAATTAGCTTGTCACTCTTGCTGTATGGTTTGCCATCTGGGCAATTGTAGACAATGAAGCGGACGAATACGAGCTCGGGATACTTGGTTTCCAAAGACAGCTCGATCGTCTCATCGAATCGAGGATTGTACCCATTGCCCGTGACTATAGCTGTACGGCGGCGAAAAGGCGACCCGATACCGTGGTAGTCGTTGGGTACTGAGCTCTCTTGGCCGCCTGTGCCATTCGCTATGCCTCTTGCTCTGTCCTCAGCTGAAAACATCTGGACTTCGATGAAGGGATTCAAAGCCTCGTTCTTGCCGACATTTGGCGGCCGTGGCAATTGCTGAGCCGAGATCATCTTGACAGAGAAGCTGATGGCGTACCGAGGCAGTTTTCTTCTTGTTTCGAAAGGCCCTTCTTTGGACCGAAGGTTCCGCAGCGACTCTGGCTTCAAGACATACCCATACTGATCGTTGCCAGCGGCAAACATGGCGTGATGCATTTGCATATGGGCATCGAAAGTTTGCCAGTTCAATGCCACCATCTGGACGCCCCTGCGCCAAAACGTGTTGGGATCGAAATTTGAGGATTGCAAGCGCATGGTTTTGGGGTAGACCCGGCATAGATGGGACACATTGTGATCCTCAAATAGTGCCTTTGTTTCCGCTGGTCGGCAAAGACCCATCGCTGTGTTCTCGTTGATGGAGAAAATATGGTTAAATTGTCGGAATGGAAGATCCTGAGGACCGCGGAGGGTGAACCCCTGTATATAGACACCGAGGCTCGAAAGATACGGTATGATTTTGCTAGTCTTCCGGGCCTTCGAGGGCGTCTCGCTTAGATCCGGTGACACTATATGAGCATCACTTTCCTCGCCTGCGCTGCTCGCACTTGTCGGACCCATGGAGCGATCTAATGGCGAGTAGGTGTGCTCAGACGCCACGGTCATAGCCGGACTAGGCAGAACCGGTATTGGTGGCATGGATGTGGAAGAAACCGTTGGTGTACCACGTCGATAAGGCGAACTAGCAGCTCTCTGCCTTGTTGTATGTGAGTCTTCCCGAGACGGCGCAAGATCAGCGTGGGCCTCGGTGGCTTTGACTTTGACCAGGATCTTATGCTTCAGTTCTTCTGGGGAGGGGAGATCAAAGAGATGGTCAGGGAGCGGCAACAGAAGCAGCTTGTCGCCAAAGACGGACTTCATGATATCGACCATTTTGCGCTGCTGTTCAGGGTTGCAGTGGACCTCAAGAGACACGATGACGGGGTATGGGGACACGTCAAACGCGCAATTGTTGATTGCACGGATGCAGTCGAGGAATGGCACAGATGTCGTGCGCGTGTGTCCATGAGTGACACGTGGATTGCCGTCGGATCCATCCCAACAGTCGACCTCGACACATCGACAGCCATGGCGTAAAGCGGTGATATAAGCTTCGGCAGAAGAATGGCCACCGACTTGCCAGCCAGTAAGGTAGGTATTGTGGGAGCTGGAGATGAAGTATGAGCTGAGGGGCTTGTCAAATTTGGGAACGGGTTTCGGGTCAGCAGTGTAGATATGGCAATCCTTAGATGCAATGAATGATGCAAATGCTGGATAGTCAATCCCATCCCACCGGTTCGAGTTTTCCTCCCGACGGCGTGAGGACTCGATCATGTCGTTGATTTTTTCCTCCCATCTCTGTTTGACGCTACCATCACGTAGCCTGACGCCTTGCACCTCCTCTAAGAACACCTCGAATTGTGTGCGAGTGATGACGGCTGCGTTGGGGGAGCGAATGCTGTCGAATAACATTCGTATGTCCTTACGCTCACGCAAGCGGCGAAGGAAGTCCTTGAACTGGTCATAGTTCAAAGATGCTGCATGGGTGCTGTCCGCTGCTTGGAAGGTATCTTCCAGGTCTTTTGCATGCGCATGGACATGCAGGCGACCACAGAGACTCTGAATTGCGCCGAGGTCAAGCCGTTCCCCCTTGGCAGATTCGGATTTGTGCATGCGTTGACGAATCTCATTGTCCCAGTGGGTTTTTATCAAGGTCTCGCGCTCGAGGGTGCCAGTGAGACTGGTCATGAGGATTTCACGGTGCTTAGCTAGGCTTTCCAGCGTGTCGATCCACAAATCGATTTCCTCCGGCGTTTTGGCCATGAGATGCAGGCTTTTGGCCCGATTTGAGGAATCGGATGCGGCGTAGTTGATTGTGAAGCAGAGCTCTGGGTTAACTGCGTCGCCACGAAGCTCCTGTTGATAGCTCGCAGCCTCTTCGCCCTTACGGATGCTTTTGATGTTATCAATGTGGAAAGACTTGGTGGAGACTTTTCCCTTCCAGTTGACGCGCGACCCAGATGCATCGAGGAAGAAAATCGTTTCTTCAGGCTTGTTCTTCTGAGTGACTTTGATAAGTGTGCTGCCCGCAACTAAGCTGTCCGGTATGGCAGGGGCTTGTCCCTCAGGACTGTAGTCCACCAATGTCGCAGGCTCACTGGTGATGCTCATAGTCTCGTAGAGACCAAGACCACTCTGTGCCAAGCCCATTGATAGATCTGGGGAAAAATGATCGAACGAACCAGTTTCAATGGGTACAGCTGTGGCAGCAGTGGTCTTGCTGTCGCTTCGTCTGCGCGCAATAGGTCCAGTGCTGTCATCCCGCCTTCGATGGTTCGAAGACGACGTCTTACGGCGTAGGGCTTGCTTGGTATTGGAGATTTGACCCTTTGCACTCTGGGAAAGCTTGCGGATAAGACCAGGATTGGAGTCTCTGCTCAGCGAAGGGGCCATTGGAGGGGCCACAACAGGCTCGGGCAGCTCGAAGGGACCAGGATTCATTAGCTGCTGCTGGCTAAGCAGCCCTATTGAGCTGATCGCAGGCGAAGACTGGACCGATGGTAGGTGAGGGCTGGCTGCTCGGGAAACCTGTGACGAGCTGCGCGCCGAGGCTGGGGTGACGGAAAACATTTGAGGGAAGTTCGAACTGTTAATGCGTTGAATAGAGGGCATCTTGTGTAGAGCTCTGGGTTGTCGGCCGGCCGGAGAAGAGTCGCGGCCAGAGTAAACCGTCAAAGCCGGAGAGCCTGAAGAGACGGCCATTGGGACAAGGCTGGGTCGTTTGAAACGCCCGTGGCTGTAGCTAATATAGAGAGAGTCTCAACGACTCGATAATCTTGACAAATAGGAAATGACAGCGGGTGGCAGGTGAGTCCAGCTCTGGGTAATTGTGAAGGAAATCGGCATAGTGGTCTCCTGGACTGGTGTGTCTGAGAAGGTGCCGTCTAGACGAGCAAGTGTCTATACAGCCATGGGGTCTCTTGCCGTTTGACCAGGCGTATGACTAGAAGGGATCTGTGTGATGCGCTTGCCAGCGAGTATTGGTGAAGAGATGCTTGGACAACAAAGCCAGCTCAGTTGTATACACAAATGTTCGATGCGGTAGCCACAGCAAGAAATGATCCGGCTCTGGTGAGGCAATGGGGGTATTTGGAGGGCGCTGGAGGTGGACGAGGCGGATATATGGGTCGTGGCCGTTGTAGTGACAAAGGAGCGAACGAGACAGCGAAGCGGTCTCTGCAAGTCGGGCTAAGATGTGCGCAGCACTGCTAGAGAAAGTTGGGAGGATTGGCAGCAGCCACGCACCATGGACTGGAGGTGCATCAAGGAAAGGATGCGCTGCTGGTGCTGGTGGACATGGACAAGGGCGAGGGAGGCAAAGCAAAGGGCCAAAAGTTAGGTCGTGTAAGGCGGGTCGTTATTTCGATACCAAAGCAGGCCGAAAAAATCCACACGGCTTAGCGTGCCCCTTTGACCCCTGCACATCAAGGCACTTCTGAGGTCATTAGCTGGGGGGACCCGCCCCTGTGTCTCGCTGCCGCTTGTTTAATTCTCCTGGACAGCCGTTGCAGTCCGGTATTGGCTTGTACTGACGGTTTTAACTGTACGTACGATACGGCATGCTTCGGACTCGCAGGCGATTTGCTTGGACGCGAAAGCGGAGGCTGCGTGCACTGCAGCATGGGTTCGCACCGCCTAGATCAGACAGCTCGCAACCAGCCGTTGGACAATAATTGGCAACATATTGGCAGCCTAGTCATTGTATGCATCTACGCATACATGCACGAGCGCCGATACCTGATCCAAGATCTGGGACCCAACGTCCTAGTCTGCCTTGCCCTCTTCCCACCGCCCTATCTCAAACCTTTGTTTGCAACCTATCTGAGGGGCGAGACTCATGCTTCAAGCAACTGCGCATAACGCGCTTGGCGTCGCCGGCGTGGTTTTGGCGCCCCTGCGGCATGCTGCTCTTCCCTGCGAGCGCTGCACAACTGTATCTTGCAATATGTAAATCAGCCACCCCACGCCTGTGGTAATGCTACCCCTCTCGTCTGGCGGAGGACTAACGATAGCATACGTGGCCTCCGTCTTATGGTGCAAGGCGCAGCATGCATAATGCCATGATAGATCATTCACCCAAGCCCGGCCCTCTTCGGCCAGGGCGTGCTGCGCTGCATGACACAGTAATGCATGGTCCTCCGGCCCTGCAATGCAAACCACCAGGTGACCGGTTCGCGTTGCAGAGTGCAGGAGTGAGGTTGCCTTGGCCCGACCGGCTGTGATGTCTCGCAGGTTGCAATCTACTGCCGACCCTTCCGTGCTTGTTCGTACAGGAGCCTCGCAGCTCACGTGCGGTACAGGCCGGAGAAACCATTTGAAATGCGGTTACAACACTCCCAGCGAACAAGGCCTCGGAACCTGGACAATAGACTTCAGCTACAACACGCGGAAGGGACAGCCTACGATAACTCCTGTTCAAGGCTCCAGGAACCAACGCTCTACTAGCCGCCCCTCCCTTTCCGTACTCGCCGGCCCACAGCCAGCTTCGGCTTCTGCGCTCCCCACCTTGGACTTGGAAGTCAGATTCGCCAGTGCTGCCTCCAGAGACTACATTCTTGACAGGCTTGCGCCGGCCATAGCGGAGCGCTCAACTACCATTTGTGAACCCCAAGTCATCACCTGACAAGGTGATAGGACCAACCATGGCGTTGGAACGTGAGCTCAAGCCTGCCAGGAGTCCAGGACTATGGATAGCCGGCATTGTTCCCCTGCCCAGCTATTTCCGTCACCACTGGGTCCGTTTCGTCCAGCGCAGTGTGACGAGATTCGAATTCCATGCCACGCGGGCTCCTCTGTGGATCATCTGACGTCGGCACATAATGATTGCTGCATATTTGTTACGACGGCAAATAAGAATTACTGACCATACATAATTGACGCGGGATAATCGCAAGCGACGCACCATCGGTAGGCACCCCAGATTACTCGTCTTTCTTCGACCCTCGCAGCGTGGGATCGTGGTGCGATACATCACATTCCCCTTTTGTACTGGTTGTCACACGGCTTCCCCCTTGTCCAACGATTGCCCAATTCCAAGCAACGGTGGACCCTACCCCCTTGCTGCTACAATCTCAGCTGTGAGGGCCTTCAGCTTACCTGCCGGTTCCGGCGTCGTGGCTCGTCATCTTCGGTGGCTTGCAGCATTGACAACCTTCTGGAAATGTGAGCGAGTCTAGGCGGGTCCATCACTCAAGCATTGTCCATTGTACCTGGGTGTACTGTATATACAGAGGTTATCATCTGATAGGGTCGTGGCGCCTCTGGCGATTGGAATAGGCACTGCCACGTAGTCGTGGACGACACCACACTGATCAGTTCTGCATTATCGTGGTCGACCAGAGCAGCCACCCCCCGGTCAGCGCAGAATCATCATACAGGGTGCACATTGTTGCGGACTGAGCGTACAGCGATTACCCTTGACCACGCGTGGCCTTCAACTTATCAAATGTGAAACTCGCAAATCTCTTGCCCACTTTCTGCCCCTGAGATCCTGGTGATCACTAATTACCAGACAAACCGCGTCTGCCGCATCACCACGTTAAACGAATTCTGGGGGCGCCCCTTTCCCGAGTTACGACAAGGGCGTTGTCGCCATTCTTTTCCTGACATCCTTGAAGGGTGGCTTCGATAAGCGAACAGCGACAACCTCTGGCGGCCCCAGGTGGAGAATGCCTAGCAGACCCTGAACTCGCCTGAGGCAATCGTGCGGCACTGCGTACCAGTATCTCGGGCCTCACTTTCTATTTTTTGCCATCTATTCGGACCCCCGGTTTTTTCTCTGACAAGGGCCTGATGGATGCCGACTCTCTCAGCATGGCGGTAGTGTCAACATCACTCGCAAGGTCAGGGCCCTTGCGAGGGCTGGATGGTTTTACGCCATCCAGGGCAACGCTGCTCGGACATGAGACAGGCGAGTGATTGAATGACCCGGTAGAACAAAACACAGAGCCCTGGACGGCCGTGCGAAATCGGGCCCAGTAATCCTTCTCCCCTTGGTCGCCTACGCTGGCACAACTGCCAGAGCACGCCCCGATGACTTACTCTCGGCAGACAGCATATCACGCCACCCACGATTGAAGCAAACTTTGCGAATGAAGATCCCGAAATATCAATTACTGCTTATCTCCTCCCATTGCACAACTGTACAGGGACGGCCCCAATCAGAAACTACGTCGTTGGTTCCATGCAGAGTGCGTGGTGCCAAATCAAGGGTACTCAGGCGTTGGTCACGGCCTTATGGGTAAGATATACGACGGCATGGTCCAGCCGACGCTGGCTACCTCATGTATTTCAACAGAATTTGTGGGCTCGAAGAAACACCAGAGTCGTCGCTGTCCATGGCCAAGGCGGCTGTGAAGACACAGCTGTCCCAGAAAAAAACTTCGCCTCATCGGCTACAATCGTGCTGACTGGACGTACGCATTCCTCAAGGGCTTTCATATAAAAGTGGCAGTAGCAGCACACCTGAAGGTCCCGCCGGGGAGATGTCGTCTGCCATGTATCCTCCCCATCATCTTGTGGCCAAAGTCAGTCAACTGTTCAAACCACGGATAGCCTCCTCCACTGAACCACACTGTCTTGGTAAAATACATTTGACACTGTCATTTTCTTTCTTCGCGGTCCTGCCTATGTCCGCGAGCTCGGAGGGACGATCACTGGATACATTTCTAGATTCTGTCACCCACAGGATCGAGCGGGCCTCGTTCTCATGCACTGCGACCTTCACAGCCAGCTCCCGGAGAAACATTTCGTACCACGCCTTAGCCTGGAATATCTTCTGCCGCAATACGCAGTGCCGAGGGCTTGCCGCTTGCTTGATAAAGCAGGGACTTCGAATGCGGCGCCTTGCGCTCGCCTGCGGTCAAGCCGAGCACGCACATCTCCCGATTAAGCAGACTGGGCGTCGACCTACCTCGTGGTGGGCTCACCGCATCATACAAAGGAATCCATAAAGGATCCCGATCGAGGCTCTGATGAGCTATCGAGAAGACCCCACCGCTTACGGCTGTGCGCCCTAGGCCAGCCGCAGCAATGCTGTGCAACCTGCAAGAGAAGCTCTAGCTGGCCCGCTGGCATTCCCGACAGGTACGGTGCCTGAGCATTACATCCATATACCACCCGAACCATGCTTGGGGCGCAACGTGCTATCATGTAACAGAGATGGAAACATCGAGCCGCTCAAGCGCCAGTGAAAACCTGCCCATGAGCTTTTCCGGCCAACATCAAGTTCGCCAAGTCGGTGAGGACAAGCCCCCTACTCCACACTACCGCGAGCCTCATCTCGATGCACACCATGACCTCAAGAAGTACCGCGCATGTCAATGACTCCGAAAAGGATCCTTTGCGCCTGCCCTAGAACTGCACGCTCAAGCCTAACAACGAAGGCGTTAATAACGGAAACGAAGTCGCGCATATCCCCAGCATCAACTACTGACAAATCCTGCCATGAACACGGCCTGCTGCAGAACATTGATCGTGTCAGAGGTTCAGCTGACGCCCGCAATCCAATCCCGGCTAACCAGATGTGCAAAAAGCGCCGTTTCAAAACATACAGACAGATACAGACCACCAGCATGCAGTCTGCACCACGCCTGCCGACGAGGGTCTTGATTGTCGAGGGCGAATCCGCCCCTGCCTAGACTATTCCGCTACAAGCTGGGCCAACCTACGCGTGTCCGAGTGACCGGTGAGTAAAATTGAATCCAAGTTCCTGGGGACTGTTGCGTGCATTGCGTGGACGAGTGGCTCCACTTATTAGGCAACCTTCGATGTGACACGGAACTCCCACTTGCGGCTTGCTGCATAATAGGGCGACGCTTGTCCCGCTGAGTAAGTGGCTAGCGACCTAGCAATGAAGAGATGAGGAGGACTGACAGGGAACATCCTATGGATCGGGTCGCGGCACGTGCCAGACCGACTCTCTGGTAAGCGAGCTGACGACCGTGATCAAACGTTTGGGGAGTGGTGGGACAACATGGGAGAGCGCACTGCGTCGTAGTCAAGTGATCGTTCCGTGAGAAGCTCGTGTGATGGTTGAGCCACGAAGCTGACAACTGACGTGGTCAGGCGTGTGAGTCTGGTCTTGGGGCGCGGAAATGATGTTAGTAGGGGCCGGAAGTCGTACGTCAGCCTCGAGCGTAGCACCACAACACCAGTATCACACGAGGTGATGGAAGTCTCGCTTGGAATCGATAATTCCACCCTTCTCTCAATCTCGGGCTTGAGGAGAGCGTTGTCGTTGTGGATCTGGGAGAACTGCTTGGGCCAGAGTATTGTATCGAAGCATGAAGCTACGCTCGGTGTGCAGCGGTTCAGTTATCATCTTAGAGTGTACACAAGGCAGCTCCTACAATCGAAAGCTATGCCTCCTATCGTGAAGCTCTCTACAACCTTCTAGCTTTGGTTCGGAGTACGTCGACTCGCAAACTACTACCATCGCCACTCCCACTCCCACTGGCCGAGCCCTATTCGGCAATCTTCCTACGCTTTCTCAACGTGCCCCTACCCTCCTCTGCGCCCAGACCCTCCTTCACGGAGGTGGTAGGAGTACTTGCACTCACTTCCTCTGCCAGTGCACTCACCACACTGCCCTGTCTCGCCTTGCCACTCGTATCACCCTCACTTACCCCACCCATAGTAGAGGTATCGCCCCGGCGACTGTCACGCTCTACTTCTCTCCACCGCTGCACCTGCCCATATACATCCTCGAACATCTCCCTCGCGTCGGTTATGATGCCCGTGTCCACCTCACTCTCACTTTCGCTCTCGTCCTCATCACTGCTTGTGGGTTCTGCATCCTCGTTCTCTACGGATGCCGCCGCCCTTTCCTCACTATCGCGTTCCTTCGAGACGACATCGCCGCCCCGCTTTCGCAGCCGCAAATTTCGACCAAATCCCCGCTCCGACGCAGGCAAGGGGTTGAACATGATCGCGTTGGCAAATACCCGAATCAGCTCTGTCTCGAGCTGCGCGGCGTTGACGATGCCTTTCGGTGGGACTAAGTCTTCGGTCTTTCTGACCAAGAACACACCGCTTCCCACCATTCCCTCCTTCTCCTCGCCAGTTTCCGTGACGATGGCGGACTCAAGTCCTTCTCCGTGCTCAGCCTCCAGGACTTCAATGGCAGCTACTGCGGCGCGCCCACCGCGGCCCACTGCTGTTTTGATTCCCTTCAAATCCTGCGGCCGCAGCACAAGGTCTTTGTACCCAGGCGCGTCTCGCTCCGAGAGCGGCTTGGCGAATACGCCTGCAAGTTTGTGTGAAATGATATCATTGAGCATGATTTGAGTAGTCTTAGTGAAGTTCTTGCTGACCAGGACAAGGTGTGGATGGCTTGGGTAGAAATGGTTGTGGTGCCCTGTAACGCGGGACGTCGAAGGCATTGGAGAACCTTGAGAAGGGGACGAGCGTTTGCGTTTGTTTGTGCCAGCGACATTGAGAGGGTTGGATGTGTCAGGGCGCGAGGTAACAGTATTGTTACGACCACGACCACGACGGCCACCGGAGGACCGGGCGTCAGCATTTGCCATGACAGAGTCAGATGGAGTAGGTTCCGGTAAGGGGGTGCTAGGAGCTTCGGTCTTGATGGTGGCAGGCTTTCGAGAATCGGTTTTGTCGATGACAGGGGTCTCCGAAGCCGGCGAGGCAACAGATTGGGATCGCCGAGAAGCAGCGACGCTGGGCGGGCGGCCCCGACGGGCACCGATCTGTTCGCGTTTCGGTACAGAATCTTTGAGAGGAGTGTGTGCTGAATGGGTTGATGCTGCCGGTGTGAATACCACACCCTCGGACTCACTAACAGGGCTAACGCTGCGCTCGGGGCGTGTGGGGCTTGGTGGTCGCATTGTATTGGGAGGGAGAGGCCTCCGTTTCCACGGTGTCGAGGATCCTGGCATGCGGACAATGTTTCTCCTCTGCATATTAGGAACGGGTGTGGTGGCAGCAGAATGTGGTTGGGGATACGGCGAATGCCCCGGTGATGGTTGCCACCCATGTGGTGGTTGATGATATGATACGGGCGCTGTTTGCGGATACGCCTGGTAAGATGTTGGATGGGGAGTCTGAAAATGTGGATGTTGCCTGCCCCCTGGAGACTGCACATAGTACGGTTGATTAGGGTACTGCATGTGGGCAGTGTATGCATTCGATGGAGGATACGGATGCTGCCATTGCGGAGGCGGCTGATGATATGGCTGCTGATATGGCGGATATTGCTGCTGATGGCCTGGGGCAGGAGAGCCTCGAGCGGGCGTAGAAGCTGATGATGATCCTTTGCGACTTCCATACTCCGTTGGAGGCGGCATCTGATGCACGCCAGGACTGTATGCCATCATCTGAGGGTGTCCTTGCGAGGCCTGGCCGTAGCCATGTTGGTGTGGAACTGGTGGTGGTGGGTATGGCTGACGAGACGAGGGGGGGGGAATGGCTCGGTTGTAGGGTCCTGGAGAGTGATGTTGCTGTTGGGTACTGGGAGCGGTTTGTGGCGGCGCGTGGCCCTCTGCTTGGGAATGCTGCGTCTGCGCCGGATGCGGATGCTGCTGCACCGACGGCTGCCCATGTACCGGTCCATCTTGCACTCGTGGTGCTGCACCTTGTACCGGCGTCGGCTGGGTGACAGCATCAGGTTCAGATGGCTTTTGCGCCTGTGCAAGATTGTTTTCGGTCGCATCCAGCTGAGACTGCTTTTCCAGCTCTTGTATTTCTTCTTGCAACTGCAAATATTCGTCTTCATCGCGCTTGATCTCTTTGACGGCTTCTTCGCGAAATCGAGCATAGAGCTTTTCTACAAGTAAATGGATCATCTCTTCCTGGCTCTCTCCATCAGGGCGAGGTGATGCGGACAGCTTCCGCTTGCGTGAATTCGACAAGCTTGCATCACCGTTGATTTTCGGGGAGCCTCCGCTCTCTTGACGAATCAATTCATCGTATAGGTTTTGTAGTGCTGCCGCGGTCAATCGCGTACCATCGTAAGACTCGCTTTCACGGATCAAGTCATTGGCGTTGAGCGCAGCAGCAATGTCGTTGAAAGCTGCCGCATCAGTGCCATATTGGGCGATCGATTGGCAGAGCTTGAGTGTCTCAAACGAGGTATAAGACGTTAGCGACGGCATCCCATCGTGGTTGTGCTGGAGATGACGGGAGAGATGGCTGCACTACTGTAGATTTTTTGCAGTTGGCGTTAGAGGCAGGAACGGCAAGTACCTGAATCGCTGGGCGTGCGTGATTCGTTGCCGGTGCTTAGAATTGCGCCTCTCGAGGTTAAGGACGCTGTTAATGAGGTTTAGCGATGGATGTGGATGAGCCGTCAAATTGCTACGCGTTTTCTGATGAGATTCAGGTTTGGCGAGTGGTGATCGGCACGGTTCAACTTCAAGGGACGCTTGGGGCAAGCCCCAGTCGGCGCCCGGGGCTAGGCAAGATTGCATTCAACCCTCAAACAGCTCCGGCTTGATCATGGATTCCTTGCATATCATACACCCTATATTCAGCGCCCTTTCTGCTGCCTTAAATATAAAGAAATCTGCCAACCCCTACTTGAGCCTGCACTAGACTATACCTCCTTAGCCACCGCAAAAACGTAGCGTTCACCCATCACTCCATCACAACACAATGTCCGGTGCCGACGGTGATAGCAAGCCCCGGGCCCGTCCCCAGTCGTGCGTGCCCCCCAACTTTGTGTCCAAACCCCTACTGATCCTTTTGTCTTAGGACCATGGCCCGCAGCTTCTCCGCTGCGCTCGATGAAATGTTCAAACTCGAAGGCGTTGGCGCCCTAGAACTGTCCCTGGAAAAGAAGTGCGTTAAGCCCCCCTGATCGTCGCATGTGCCGTATATGCATGTACTGAACTCTGCCGCAGGAAAGACGAAGTGGACAGCAAGAAATACCAACTCGACAACCTCGAGTCTCAACTGCGAGAGACTGAGCAACGCCTCAAGGAAATGGAAGCCAAACACCGCCGACGAAGCCAGATGCTCGGTACCAGTCGACGCTCCCCCATCCAAGACGTCTTTTCTGAAGGGCCTGAAACAGATGAAAGTGGCGATAGCGACGCCCAAGGACGATCATCGCCTTCCGATGGCGGCGGACGCCAATAGATGGCCCGTCCTTTTTCGACCGTCTTTTACCTATCCACGTACCTTGTCTATGCGACCTCTGTTTTGGCGACTATATCCTTGGATACGCAACCGGCAATACTGCGCATACGTATGGCGTTGAGGAGTTTCGACCTCTATACCCCCTGAGCAATTGGCTGAATGCTTGACCTCCATTAAAGCGTTGAATGGTTAGGCAGCAACTATTAACCGGTTCAGGGATGAGCGCCCCTATTGCAAGATTGGTTACACGCATACCAATCGCTCAAGAGAACTGGCCTCTGCTAGGAATGATAATGATCCATACCACCCACAACTTAATTACCTGATGAGCAACACCTCAAACGCACACCATCCGGCGTTGCTGCTGCTGCTGCTGCTCCTTCTTAGCATATCCGGGAGTAATAAAGAAGAGAAACATTGAAACGCGCAGGCAGATTTTCCATCTGCTAAGCATCTCTCTCCGCGGAATCCACTCTCTAGCCCATATCTAACCCACCGCCCTGGTCGAGAACGCGTCAGGGTCTGCTTCCTCCCAAACCTTCTTTCCACAGTGCACAGTGCCGAGATCAGGCGAAGATGCCCCGGACCGACCTGAAAACTGGTCCCTCGAATCCGGCATTAGGCTTGATTACCCAAGACGCGGCATGCGAACCTTGAAGTGCACATTGCAGCGACATACATGCCCCAGCCGCATTAGCTAATCCCTCCGCTTGCTCAAATAGACTTTGGGTGCAGAAGGCTCTACCAAAACTTGGCAATATGTCTCCGCACGCGGATCATCTATCGTCCATGCGACGACGTCGCCTTGAGACTTTCTACACTGCGCATTGCATTAGTCGAGCAGGGTTCGAGCCTTTCAGGCATGGCCTAGACACTCAGTGAGTGGCTGACACCCTCGAAAGCGCGGATAGGTACGAAGGTTAGCTAAGCTTTAGTCGCCCGGGGAGGTAAGCGTTGCGTGAATGGGTGGCAAGGTGGATGTTGTGCACATCGCGATGGCTTGAAAGTGACGAGACATATATATCTAGTCACCCTGGGTCCAAGATTGTCAAAGACCTTGCAAGTCCTCTCATCGACACGAATCCTACGCTCTAACACCCTCTGTTCTTGGCCAGCCAGACCCCAGGCCCAAATACCCAAAGTAATTCCCTCTCTGATCGATTCCAAATCGTCCAGCATGGCTTCCGTTATTCCCAAAACGATGCGTGCCGCTGTGGTCCACCAACCGGGCCCTCCCAGCGTCCTCACCCTGAGCAACATCCCAACCCCAACCCCAACTTCCTCGCAGCTCCTCCTGCACATCAAAGCCTTCGGCCTCAACCGATCTGAGCTCTTCACCCGACAAGGCCACTCGCCTGTGAGCGCCGTCCAATTCCCGCGCGTTCTGGGCATTGAGGCGGTGGGCCTCTGCGCCCGCGATCCCAGCGGCACTTACTCGCCAGGCACGCCGCTCGCCGTCTGCATGGGCAACATGGGCCGTGGCTATGACGGCGGCTATGCCGAGTATTGCTGCGTGCCGGTGGCGAACGTGCGTCCTCTCTACGCACAGGTGGCGCCCGGGCAGGAGCCGCCGGCGACAACACTCCCGTGGGAGGTGCTGGGCGCGATGCCCGAGATGTTACAGACTGCGTGGGGAAGCGTAGCAAAGGCGTTGAAGGTAGCTAAGGGGGAAAAAGTGTTGATCCGTGGCGGGTCGACGAGCGTAGGACTCGCGGCGGCTGGAATCTGTAAAGCCGCGGGCGCTCATGTGCTGGCGACGACGAGGAAAGGGGATGAGAAGACGAGGAAGCTGTTGGAAGGGTATGGGGTTGATGAGGTGGTGGTTGACAATGGGAAGGTTAGTGAGCAGTTGGGCGAGGAAGGGAAAGTTGATAAGTGCTTGGAACTGATTGGCACGGTAACGTTGAGAGACAGCTTGAAGTGTGTCAGGAAAGGGGGTGTGTGTTGTATGACAGGCATCGTGGGCAACTCTTGGGCCATGGAGAACTTCGAACCTATGGGAGATATTCCACCAGGAACGTATTTAACGGGCTACTCAGGTTCCACGTTGGAGTTTATGGAAATGCCTCTCCAGGAGATGATCAAGTTGGTTGAGGATGGAAAGATGAAGATACCAATTGGAAGGGTTTTCAAGCTGGAGCAGATTGTAGAAGCTCACGAGCTCATGGAGAAGAACCAGATGCAGGGGAAAGGAGTGGTGCTGACGGACTGAACGGGAAAGGAATGGGGACACAGCTGCGGTGTGTGGCCGCTCGATGAAGATTTGTGCATTTACGATGTTGCAACCATGCGCATAGCCGCCTGCCTCTTCCGTTGCGCTTTCTCGCCGCTCATAGGTTTTCTCTGCCTGGAAGGCTTATCGCGACTTCGCAAAACTCGTCCGTCCTTCCAGATTGACCAGGCACTCATTGACATCCTCGAGCTGACATGCTCACCGTTCGGTGTGAAAACTTCGACAGTGGGATGCTGGGATTGTTGCTGTAATTGTGGCGAATATGGCTTAAAGGCGGTGTGCGGTAGTGACAAATCTGACCCTGGTGATAACTCCGTGTGCTCACCATCAGCCAGGGAGTTTGGGTCCATAAATATTTTCTCTCTTGGCTTACGCCTGACTTGGCAAACCAGCTCGACCCATCCAACACCTTGGATAAGAATATCTGTAGAGTAGACACGGAAAGGAAGGCGTGAAAGTGGCACGCCAGACCGCAGCACTGCGCTTGCATGGTGCTTAGTCACGTCCGTTTCCAGGGAGAAGACCCCGGCCGACTGGAAGTGCGATCCTATGTCAGCTGCCAAGATTGAGGCGATGCCACTCTCACGCTCCTGCTGTTGAGTGCCGATAGCTTTGTCCGTCGAAGTGACATGCGCCTCAAGAGGAACGAAAGGATAAGCCAAAACCACCATGTCTCGATTGGCTTCGCCGAGAACAGGAGTGATCCTAACCACGCCTCCGCCAAGTAACAATGACTGCCCGGGTTTGAGTTTGTGCTGCTTCACTGTCGGTCGGGAGGTCATGACCAGATCAAGCTTATGTTCCGGTTGAATGTACCACTCCAAGTTCCCGCGTTCCAAGCCCGGCATATCAATTAGCTCGCCTTTATTGTTGCCAAAAGGGATGCGTATTGGGGATGCTGTAGTGCCGGGTAGACTCGATACTAGAGGTAGCGTCGGATATGGTACTTCCACCTGCGGTGGTGGTAGCAATTGCGATTCGGGCAAAAAATCGGGTATAATCCGTCGTTCTTCCGCCGCTTCTTGCAGAGGTAGTTCGTTGTGGAGTGATGTTTGCCCACCAGAGCCTTTGGGAAACAGTCCTTCGAAGAGGTTGGATTTGCCGACATTGAACTTTCCTATCATCCAATTCCCACCACCGCGCTCCCGGATCTCTTTCTTGAGCTCTGAAGTCCACCAACCGCGTTTCGAAGATACCAAATGGAGATTTCCTAGTCGCATGCCCTCCCCTGATCGGCCCAGGGCTTTCCTGAGCACTTCCCTGAAGTAGGGCATCAAAGAATCTACTTTCTCCTTCGTGGGTGCGAGCAGGTCCGACCTTGTAATAATAAAGGACATAGTGGGACGGACAGTGTATTGGTGCTGTGAGCGGCGATTCTGACTCCGCGGCTTCGCAAGAGACAGATATGAGTGTATGGATGGAATCAAGGACATCGGGAAATCAGCTGCGTCCAGGACGTGGTACACATGGTTCCGCTTGTGAGGTGATTCGGCGACGGAGTCGGCGATGTTTTCAATGGAAGGATGGTCAATCGAAGTCCCGCGCGAGCTATGAACTAGATCATGGCATCGATCGCAATGCGGAACACTGGATGCAAAACCTGAGGTCTCAGAAGCCTGGCTCTCAGTTGTGTCATCGAGTGCGGCAACTTTCTCGAAGTCGACAGAGACATCGTTTGCTCTAGCATCCTTGAGATAGGTTTTGACTGTCTTCCTCGATCGTGTGTAGTAGCCCGGTGAAGTGGCATCCGACTCTTGAGACAGGGCACCGCACCCCGGGCAGGTCAGAGGCAGCGACGACGGTGGAGAGGGGCGAGATAGATGTGTCTCTACCCAGTTATCACTAGCGGAAGATCTTTGGGCCGAGAGGCTTGTGTTGGATTGAAGCTCGACATTGGGTCCATCATGCGATCTGAAAAAGCTCGACGTCCGATGTTCAGAAATCCGGCGTAGGAGAACGCGAGGAGGTCCAACGCGTGGACACTGCAACGATTTTCGAGCACATCGCGCCACTCGCAAGATTGCTCGACTGAGAGTCCTGGTGTCGACCGCCTGCATGTACTGGCTGACTTGCGTGTAATATTGATGATGGATCAAGCATGAAGCAGTAAGAATCCGCTGGCTGGCTTTAAAGGATGCCAAATCCGCTTAGCTCCGTCCTTCAATCAAAGCTGGGTGGCGATGTTGCATCAACACCTCAAATCAATTATTACCTCAAATCAACTATTATGATCAGGATTCTTCCTCGGATGTGGTTAATTTTAGCATCTCTCTTATGCACTTTCTGAAGCAGCTAGCACGGGCAGGTTCACATCTCTCAGGTCGTTAGTGATGATATTGCCTCTCCCCGAAATCAACATGAAATGCTAGAACGGCCAAGATCCTGCGATGTCAATGTAAGCCATCGGGCTAATCGTCCGTCGTAATTAGGACCAGTTGTTGAACGAAAGCAAGAGCCCAAATAGGTACTAGTCGCTCCCGTTCCAGAGGCGAGCTAGACGACGGGCTGGCTATACAGCTCGACGTGACCAGGAATGTGACAAGATCAAACCGGCGGCAGGATGTGGACGGTCACCATGTGCGAGGTCGGCGTGATCTCCCTACCATCCACAATTCACCGTTCCCCCGGGATTTGAAATAAATGTCAGCACCAGCTCGTACTCACCGCCGACAATATCCTATTACACCTAACACCACCTCCACCCAGCAACAAGTGGAGCAGGTAAGCCAGCTCATCACAGCCTTTATCCTGGTCGGGGCCCTTCGTGCTTACCTTAGTATGTTGGTATAAGTAGAGAAGCCCGCTAGGCATCTCTGAGCAAAGACCGACATCTGGAGCTTAACGTATCGAAGAGTCTAGTATCACAACGAACTCTCACGACAGTATGGCTTCGCCGTCGGAGCCAAAGTACGAATTTATCGTGGTCGGCGCCGGGCCTGCCGGATGTGTTATTGCCTGGAGGCTAGCATCAAGCGCTGCTCGCCCAAAGGTACTGTTGATCGAGGCGGGCGGAGACAATGCAGGCACCGCGAATCGAGTCGATGCAGAACGCTGGATCCATCGCATGTCTCCAGGACAGAATTGGGGGTACCAGTCCATACCTCAGGAACACCTTGGAGGTACCGTCATCCCTCTCGACCGAGGCAAAGGTCTTGGAGGGAGTTCAGGTATGAAGTATCCCCGTCTGGTCAGCATACCTACTGATTCCAACTTAGCCATCAATTTCTCCTGTTGGACCATAGGGCCCAAAGATGATCATGACGAGATCGCAGAACTTGTTGGGGACGACGAATGGAAGTGGTCAAACGCTCAGCCCCGATACAAACGCATTGAGACTTACCATGCCCCTTCCGGACTGGACGGGTACCTTGAGCCAAATCTCGCAGACCACGGACATCAAGGACCTCTCAACATTGGCTTTCCAGCCACTTGGGAGCGTACGCTGGAGCCACTTCTCGAATCGGGAATCCAGTATGGGATGAAGAAGAACGTCGATCCTAACAATGGGGAACCGATCGGTATGGGTATAGTAGCATCAACTGCATACAGTGGACATCGCACGACAGCTGCCGATTTCCTTGTTGGGGCGCCGTCAAATCTGCATGTCCTGACAAGCACCCAAGTGGCGCGAGTGATTTTTGAGGGGCAAACTGCTGTCGGCGTGGAAACCCTGGAATCAGCAAATCTGTTCGCGAGCAAGGAGGTGATCCTCTCCTGTGGCTCGCTTGACACGCCCAAGATCCTGATGCATTCGGGGATTGGACCAGAAGACCAATTGAATAAGTATGGCATTCAAGTGCTTCAGCACAACGCCAATGTTGGACAGCATATGATGGATCATCACCATTTGACGCTCAACTACCTTCGTGCTGATCATACCACTACTCGCCACACCTACTATCGAAGCAAGCAGCTTCAAGCTGCAGCCCGAGCTCAGTGGGAGAAGGACGGCACTGGCCCTCTGTCAGAAATTGGTACAGGCCTAGGGATTGCGTATCTGAAGCTCGACCGAATGTACGAAACGAAGGAGTTCCAGGAGCTGGATGCAAAGACTCAGGCCTTTTTGAAGAGACCAAACGTTCCCCTGTGGGAGCTGCTCGTGAATGGCGCTTCGCCGGCTCACTTCATCGATCCGGAAAATGCCCCTGCGATGACTACTATGTTCATTTTCGTGATGAATACACAATCAAGAGGTACTGTTACGCTCCAGTCATCGAGGCCAGAGGAGCCCCTCGTGTATGATGAAGGTTTCTTCTCGCACCCCTACGACAGAAGACTGGCGATTGAAATGACCCGCGAGGCTCTGAAGTTCGTTGAAAGTCCAGCCTTTTCCAAGGATACTGTGGGCGTGCTCGGTCCTGAATTGCCGGCATCCGCAAGCGAGGAGCAGATTCTGGATGCCTGGCGGAAGGGGACAGGCTCGACTTGGCACATGTCGGGCACGGCAAGAATGGGTCGGAATGCAGAGACTGCTGTGGTGGACAACACATTCAGGGTCTTCGGCGTGGACAAGCTCAGAATCAGTGATATGAGTGTCTACCCGTTACTTCCCAACAATCACACGCAGACAAGCGCGTATCTGGTGGGGCTTATGCTCGGCGACAAGCTGGTCGATGAGTACCATTTAGAGTGAGAAATCTCCTACAGAGAAACGAAAATAGATAGTGGATAGAAATGGATATAACGGCACGGTTGACCGTGACGTGCAACCCAACGACAGCCCGTCAGCTCTGTCAAGCCTTGCATAGCCGGGCGTTCTTATTACTCCGTACCTCTAAAGTGCCCCTGTGCCGGCAGACTGCAGGCCGAGCTTAATAGCTAGCCCGCGTAGATGTAGTCCTTATCCAGCCTAGCCGCGTGGGTGATACAAGGGTCTTTTTTGGCGCCGACTGCGGGGAGATCAATTACTCTACAGGTACTCCGTACAACTGAAACTACCGCCGCGGCCACCACTTTCAGCCAGCCTAAGACTGTGCATCTTGCCACTCTTCACGTGCGCTTGCCGCTGGCTTACCTTACCTTGCAACTTCTCAATTAGTCGCAATATGCTTCGCGAGGGGGGTCCCACGCGCAGCGACTATATGCCCGACGATTGACGGCTTCGACACATCGGACCGCTCCCTAGCCATCTCCTTGTGCAACAAACGAAGCTGCAACAGGTCACAAGACCGATTGTATAACATCTGCAAAGCTGCGCGCTTCTCGATTCATCTCCGTCAGTCGCCGCAAACACTCAACGGCGCTCAATGCCTACCATATACCACGCCCACGAGGCGCACGATAGTACGCCGCCCCGTCCTATCCAAGCCGTCCGTACTCCAACCGAAACTCGAAACCCAATAGACTACAACCGTCCGCTGCCACCGCCGCCAGGATCGTCCGTCGACAACTATGACATTCCAACTCTTCGCCGAAAGCCTCCTGCGGGGGATGACACTTCGCCGTCGCAGGCACATACACGATCTTTTAGCCACCCCATATCCTCCTTCTTCGGGTCCAAGAAGAGCGAGAAGAAGAGTGCCACTCGTGGTGGAAACAAAGAGCACAGCTTAGATGAGCAGAAGCCTGCGCAGACCGCCGCCACCGTGCCTGCATTGAAGTCAAGTAAACCAGAGCCGGTAACCGGGAAGTGTATGACTTGCGATGCAACTGTCAGATGGCCACAAGGTCTCAAGGTGTTCCGTTGCACGACATGCCTCACCATCAACGACTTGGAACCTTTTATCGAAACGATGAACGTTTCTGGACCTACTGTTCCAATTCGAAGACCTGTGCCTATCTCGTTGGATCGTACTCGGTCGATCATAGATCATTGTCTTACTCGATATCTCGAGAGTCAACTACGTGACACCCAGATGCCAATAGCTATAAGCGCTCCTACAGACGACCCGTCTCCCCTGCATCAGAGTGAGAACGATGGACTTTTCACGACATCCTTCCACGATGAAGACTCGCCGCCCCCGTCGCCTCGGCCGCTCTTGAAAGTCAGGAGTACGTCTGATCCTTCTCTGACACCTCTCCGGTCGAGACGGCGCGATGGCGGGTCGGTCCCAGCCACTGATTCGGTGCCAACGGTTGCAGAATGCCCCGAAATGCCAACCAGAATAACGCCTCCGCCCATAAATAACGAAACTATGGCTACTTCACCAGCCCAGAAGGGCCAGATACCCATCTTCAAGGCTCTCGAAAACTACATTGCTGACAGTTTCACTGGCTGCTCAGCCCTGAATGCATCCTTCTTCACGCTCAGACCTCAGCAGGAACAAAGACCATCAACATCGGAACGCGTGCCCAGGCGGCAGTATTCAGAACCTGTATCCACACCGCCTTTGGAACAGGATGTGTTTCTTTCAGATCTGGACGCTAAAACGCTTCTCGTGGGTGACTTTGCAGAGAACGGGTCCTGGTGGACAGGAGGCCGATCATGGAGTCCTGAGAAGGAGGGTGGTCGAAATCGCCACGCCTCGCCGGAAAGATGGAAAGGTATCGTTTCAGCCCGGTCGCCTAGGATTAGCTGGCCAGATCTCGCAGAATGGTATAGGACGGTGATCAATGCAGGAGAGTTGTGGCGCAAAAAGTGGCACGAGATCCGACGAGACCTCGACCCTTCAACAAACGATACGTGGCTTTCCATATCACTGGAGCGCCTGGACCGAGAGATCACAGACTCACAACTGCACTTACAAAGAAGCTTATTGAAATCGACCGAGAACCTCCTTAAGAGGCCCCGCAAGCCGATGAAGCACCCGGAGGACTGCCGATTTCTCCTCATGCTACTGTTCAACCCGCTTATCTATCCATCGGAAACTCAGCTCACAGGTAATCCGAACATCTCAACTCGACAAGTCGAGCAGCATCATACCAGACCCGCCCCAAGGGCAGACCACGCCTCTTCCAGAAGAAGAGCGCCAGGCTCAGGTCGTAGTGAGCGCAATCTGGGACACCATTCTGGCATCATTAAACGTGTGTTAGGTCTCATCGCCAATCTTCCAAATGAGATTCACCAGATCATGGTATCGTGGGTATCTCGATTAGCGGACGCCCACTTTCAGCGCACTGTCGAACTCGTGGGCGGCTTTGTCACATATCGGCTGTCCCGGCAACAGAGGAGACCGACTGCCGAGCCAAACGATCCGACAGCAGGGTTGGTCCCTAGTTTCTCCAATAGAGAAGTGAACCATCCTTCTCGTCTTCATGCGGCACTGGACGCTCGTGCGTCTACAGGCTCCACAAGAACATCGAGCGGTAAGCCGCAACTCTCTGGCTACGGCGAGGATTGGCAAATCAGATCAGCTTCCAGGGTCATGGCACTGTTGTTTTCAGCCAACCTGGGGCACTCTTCACGAAAACGAGAGCTTCCAGCGCATGCAGACCAGCGATTGGGCAATCATGTACTGAACGCCACCTACCATGCGCATGCACATGGTCAGATCGTACCGGTCAGCATTTTTTATAATTCGATGCTCGACTATGCCGACTTGATTGCAGACTTCGAGGCGTGGGAGTCGACAAAGACGAAATTCACCTTTTGCCAATATCCCTTCTTCTTAAGCATATATGCAAAGATTCATATACTAGAGCATGATGCTAGGCGACAAATGGAAGGCAAAGCACGGGAGGCTTTCTTCGACAGTATACTGAGCCGCAAAGCTGTGAGTCAATTCCTGGTGCTGAGAGTCCGACGGGACTGTCTAGTCGAGGATAGTTTGCGAAATGTGAGCGAGGTTGTTGGATCTGGAGGCGGAGACATCAAGAAAGGCCTGCGCATTGACTTTGTCGGTGAAGAAGGCATCGATTCGGGTGGTCTACGAAAAGAATGGTTTCTGCTGCTTGTCAGAGAGATCTTCGACCCAACTCATGGACTCTTCGTTTACGATGAAGACTCGCAGTACTGTTATTTCAACCCGTATTGCTTCGAATCGTCGGAACAATTCTTCCTAGTTGGAGTACTACTGGGTTTGGCAATCTACAATTCAACAATCCTGGATATTGCCTTCCCTCCATTCGTCTTTAAGAAGATGTTGGCTTCGGCGCCGTCTGCAGGCGATAAGCTCACTTCCACACCCAAGATCTCACACGGCTATACACTCGAAGATTTGGCCGAGTTCCGTCCTGCATTGGCTAAGGGGTTGCGTCAACTCCTAGATTTCGAAGGAGACGTCCAGGAGACGTTCTGTCGCGACTTCGTGATCGAGATGGATCGTTACGGGGAGAAAGTCGAGGTTCCCTTGTGTCCTGGTGGTAGTACCCGCGCTGTGACCAACTCAAATCGCAAGGAATTCGTCGACTCGTACATTCGATACATGCTTGACACAGCAGTCGCACGTCAGTACGAGCCATTCAAACGAGGTTTCTTCACGGTCTGTGGAGGTAACGCTTTGTCGCTCTTTCGGCCCGAGGAAATCGAGCTCCTCGTGCGTGGATCCGATGAACCTCTCGACATTGGCAGTCTGCGCGCAGTCGCTGTGTACGAGGGCTGGTCGAAGTCCAAGGATGCACCGCAGCCAGACCGCCAGCCCCAGGTAATATGGTTTTGGGATTTCTTTGCGCGTGTGTCACCTACCGACCAGCGCAAGATCCTGAGCTTCATTACGGGCAGCGACCGAATCCCTGCTTTGGGTACGACAAACCTTATCATCAAGATATCTTTACTCAGGGAGAAAGAAGACCCGATGGACGGCAAGGGCTGGAAGGAGCCGGAAAGGTTTCCGATCGCCAGAACGTGCTTCAATAGCATCGGTCTATATCAATACGGAAGCCGGAAGAAACTAGAGGAGAAGTTGTGGACGGCTGTTACGGGAAGTGAGGGCTTTGGATTGAAATGAATTGGGAGTCTGGAGCCGTTCCTGGGCTGCGCTCAAGATCAAGCCCGTGGGAGCTTTGTTCGGTCGTATACATATACTCTCGAGCAGCAGTTGGAAGCTGCGCTATTCGGGCGAAGAATTGGGTGGGATGAGACACCTGACCAGAGAGTCGTCGATGTGCTTGCCTCCCCTTCCCACTGCTAATGAGTGGATTGAGACAAACAAACGCTTGAACGAATTCGTTTGTATTGCTCGTGATAGTCATAACGTACGTTACGAGCTGCTGCCGACTCTGGTTCGGCGCAGCGCTAGCCGATGCAAAGGCAAGCAGGGAAAGAAGCCTGCTCGGCCGCCGTTACAGCACCTCCGCGAGGTGCCCGGCCGCGTACACTCGGCGCTTGTTTCGTGAGAAGGTCTCCTCCTCCTCACCTGAGATGTCTGCTGCAAGAGCCAAGATCTCGATCTTGAGACTGACTTGATCTCAGTGCCTTCCATCTTCACCATACACAGGCTCGTACAGGGTTTGAGCTGCTGCGCATCTCTTCCATCAGTCATCTCTGATGTGCCCTCCTCAAGCCAACGCTCATGGGCATGCTAAGCCCCCTCGACACCAATACCAAATCCACCGATTCTGCGCTCCGGCGTCCTCCTACCCTCAGCTGCGTCCTCAACATCCGTGCTGACGCCCCGGCCATCCCGAACCAGCTCTCCGTTCTGCCCTGCCGTCGCCTGCAGACTTTCCAACAGCTCGCCAGCCATGCCGTCCAACTCGTCTTCCTTGATACCCGTCGCGATGCCAACTAACTTGCGGTGCTTGCCAATCTTTTCGCCAGTATTCGCATCCCCCATTAGTGCTGCAACCTCAAGCACGAGTTGTCGGCGACGAGCCTGCTGACGTGCCAGCTCCATGGCCCAAGGAGCGAGAGATTGGAGTTCGTCCATGGAGAGGGGCTCGCCACTGCTGTTGGCACGGAACATTGCGGCAGGGGTCTGCTCGTCGAAGCGACGTACCTCGGCTTGAAGGCGGGCGTGCTCGCGGCGCTCGAGGAGGCTTTCGGTCTCGCGGCGCGCAGCGTCTTCTTCAGCACGCAGAGCCACTACGCGGGGTGAGTCTTCCTGCTCGGTTGACTTAGGGTCAGCAAGAAGGCTGTAGGTTTCCTGGCGGACTTTGCGGCGCTGATTTTCGAAGTCAGCGAGCGTGGCTTTCACCTCGGTGATAGTAGTCTCCTTCTCTTTAGCCTCGTTGTCGTACATATCAGCAAGGCGGTCTCGCTGTGATTCGAAGACGCTATTGGTGGACTCGTACATAGACGAAGCGGCGCGGGAGAGTGGGGCCTTGACCGGAGCAGCAGACTTGCGGCGAGACTTGCGGCTATAGGAGCTACCGTGGGCACCAGAAGGGGATGATGGAGGCTGTTCGAGGGAATCCCGCTTCTCACGCAGGGCACGGAGGTGGTCGTTCGCGGTTTCGCCCTTCAGGTTTTGGATCTCACCAGCTTCGGGGCAGTGATTGAGGAGGAAGGTCGCGACTTTGACGCAGCCATTTCGAATGGCGCATAGAGCAGCAGTGTCGTGATTGGCATCAACAGAGGTGAGCAGTGCCTGGACGTAGCTAGAACCCATATCTTGCATCTTGTTGATGAGGACTTCACAGTAGTACCGAGCGCAACTCCATTTTCCGCGCGAGCGACCAGTCTCGGCGATGTGATGAAAGACGGTGGCGCCATAAGCGTCTCGTTCGACAATAGTGTTGGCAAGAAGATCGACTATCCTAGGGAAAGTTTTCTTGTCGTAGTTATTAGTGAAGAGGACTGCACGGATAAGCGGCGTCTCATTCGAAGGGTGATTCTGAGCAGCAGCATTGGCACCACGGCTGAGTAGGTCTCGTGTTACTTGAACATCGCCCATAGCACAGGCCCAGTGCAATGCGTTGTTGCCTTGAGAGTCAATGGGCCGGTCGACATCGAAGCCCTCGGGTGGCTTGGGGGCCAGTATATTAGATTGAGAATCATCACCAGCAGCGACAAAGTAGTCGAGAAGCTCGTCCCCATACATTGTATGTGCAAGATCGTTGTCTTGCTCAGGTTCATAATCTCGCTTACGTTTGCGTGAGGCCGTGGATGTTTGCGACATAGGTAGGTAACCATCGTCGTGCAGAAACGACTCTGGAGTGCCCTCGCGGCTTGGTTCGTTATCATATCGCATATCGTCAGCGGCATATTGCTCTTTGGCAGGGTGATAGTAAGTTGCTACAGAAGTCAGCAAGGCCGGGGGTTGGGGAGACAAAGTCGTACGCTGCTGAACCGGAGCGGCTTTCCTCTGCACTGGCTGTCTGTTGGTCTTTGGCTTGCTCGATGCAGCAGTGGCATGCTTAGGAGCAGGAGGTGGACTGCGATCGCCTGGAACATAATCAAAGATCTTGCTAATACGATCATGTATGCCATGCTTTTCGGCGAGCGACCGTGCTTCGTTCAGCGGAATCCATGTACCTGCAAACATGTCAGTTGCCTGCAGTACAGCGCCAATATTGCGACAAACCCTGGTATTTGCCGTAGCCACCCTGAATCTTCTCATGAACACCGTTCTGGACATCCTTCTCCAAGCATCTTGTCCTCGCTGGCTTGTCAAGACCAGCAATTTTGAGAACATGAGTAGCATTGACCCAGTCGTCAGACCGTCTGCGCATGACATGATCGCCAGCAATCTTTAGTTCATAGACGGGAACCTGCAGTGACCTGATCAGCTTTGTCTTGCAATCGAGGGGCGGGCGCATACGTTGCTGTAGGTTGCGGAGTAAATCTCCCCACCACTAGCCATGATGCGCGACTTGACGAGCCTGTCGGCGCAAATCAATGATCGTAGCAATCCTTATGGTAGGCAGTTGTCCAGTATGCGACTTGACACGCGTTCCACATCTGTAAGTGGACTTTAGTGCAGTTCGGTACAAAATGGCGTTGCGCGGTTCCAGTTGAATTGGCAAGCTGAAATCGCGTCACTTTCGACGCGACTTGGTAGGGCGTTCCAGATTCACCCGTGACGTAGATTCAGCCTCGCAGCCTTGCGCAGACCGCAGCTTTGTACCCGCATCGATGTTCATGGTTGAGCTCAGTGTAGCCATAACCGTTTGTCGCCAGTGGGACGCCTAGTAAACCGAGATCGCCGAGTAAAATCACACCATGACGGTCGCGGAGGCAGTCAAAGACGCCGTTGGGCTCGGTGGAGGTGGTAAGCTGATATACCTCGTTCAGGAAATGGAGCTCTAATGGTTTTGCAGAACCGCGACGAGCGACGAGAGAGGAGATGTCAGAGGCCAAACTTCCGTTGGCGTATCGAGATAGTTGCGCACACCTCCTGATCCCGCTGAACAAATGCCGACACAAAACGTGGTATATGCCCTGGAAGTGTGAGGTGAGTGTGGACAGCAATGATCATGCATCAGAAGCTCACAGATAACCAGAGCGAGCGACACGGCTACGAGAAATGCCAGTACGACGAGTTCATGGAGCGAGTAGCTAAGATGGATGAGATCAGAGCGGCAAAAGGTGGTGCTCGGAGCAATTGAAAGAGGGGTGACGATGTATACCAAATGGAATGGGGCAGCTGTACATACAACGACAAAGCCCGCATCGCATTGAAACGGCGTTCACGACTTGAAAAGAGAACAAGGAAAGCTCCTTGACAGTAGCATAGCCTTCGAATCCATGGTCTTTCATAGCACAAGAATGAGAGCCACAAGGCTGTCTGTGCTAGCTGGGACACAGAATAGGCCATGCCTGAGCAGCTGCTGCCTGCAAGCCAGAGCAGGAACGCCCTTTATCAAGCTCGCAGTTCATTAATCTTGAAACCTGATCCGTGACCACTTCTAATGTCACGTGTTCTTGTAACCAATGTTACCATACCCTCGGACTTGCTTCGACGTCCTACGGCACCGCCACTCCCACCTCAGCCACAAGACACAGTTGACCACAACCTCCATCCCTCTGCTTTGCTTAATTGCAGAACAAAAGAACGGGGAGGTCAGACCAGGTCAGATCGGGTCGGTGAGAAGTACGCGGTCTTGCAGTGTCGTCGGATATGCGCGGTAGGTTATGGGCAAGCCCTGCGCTAGACCTGCAAAAGACTCTTCAACCGGCGTCGTATCCCCACGTCCTGTATGCCAGCTCCGATTCTGGACTTAAGATGATGACTAATTGGCTTTGCAGAACTTTTTGTTCGGCTTTTATCCTTGGGCACATCATGATGATTGTGTCCTTGCAGCTCCAGAAGCCTTCACGAGGCCCTTGTTCAACGCGAGGCCGTCAGAAGTTGACAAGTGATAACCACTATCGGCAGTCTAAGCCCACCCATTTGCTGCATCCTACCACGAGAACGAGCACGTCATGCATCAGGCAGTGATTCACGACATTTCACTCGTCAGCCACCGCTCCAACTAGACCACTTCCAGACCTCCCTCCCTCTTCTGCTGCCCCGACCAGTCGTGCCATATATCTCCATTTGCCGAATGGAGTAACAGGAGTCCTCTTCCTTGCCCTTCCGCCTCTATTAGATTGATATTTGTCCAACATGGGCCTCCTGTTAGTATTCCCAACCTTAAACCACGGTGTAGGCTAATTGAACTGATAGCCAGCTCGGCACACCTCTTCCGTGGCCGGATGCCAAAAAGGCAGCCGACCAAGTCAGAGAGTGGGGCATAGAGGTCGGTGGTATCCAAACGAAGCATCGCAATAGGCTAACGTGTCTAGCAACTGCTCAATATATGGCGTCGAGCAAAGGGAAAGGAACGTGACGCGCTGCTTTGGGGTGATGAGGTCTGCATATCCGAATGAATTTCCCTCTAAGCAGCTAACCTTCCAACCAGATAGAGTATCTTGTCGTAGCTATTGACGAGCAGCAGAAGAAGGCTCGACTATCCCTGTGCCAGGCTCAAGTCCTCGACGCCCTCGCCAAGAACGAAGCGTTGGCCAGAGAGAAGGCTGTGTCCTGTCATCCAGCAGATGATCCTATCGGTCAGGACGCGACTTTACCAACATTCCATCCCGAATTTGGTCGCTTCATGCTGGAGGCAACCCCGGGAAAGCCATGGGGCATAGGCTTCAACGAACTTCTGAAAGTAGAAGCTGACATGAAACTGAGGCGCGTCATTGCAAAGGCACATATGGACAAGAACCAGTTCCCGGTGACTTTGACCACCTTCCCCAGACTCGGTACCAAAGACGACTTCATCGAACCTTACTATCAGCCTTCTGGACCCGCCCTCCGGTCGCAGTTCGTACCAGACGAGATCGCGAATCCCCACATCCGGTTCCCAACTCTTGCCGCTAACATCCGATCACGACGGGGAAGAAAGGTGGAGCTCAATGTTCCTGTGTTCAAGGACATCAAAACCCCGTCCCCTTTCAAGGATCCTACCGTCGATTACGACCTCCACAAGTGGCCAGAAGACGATGATGTTCGCAATGGCGCAGCAAAAGACGACTGCGTGTACATGGACGCCATGGCTTTTGGCATGGGCAGTTGCTGCCTTCAGATTACATTCCAGGCTAAGAACATCCGTGAAGGACGAACCCTATACGACCAGCTATCTCCACTTGGGCCGATACTGCTCGCGCTGACGGCTGCAACCCCAATTTACAAAGGCTTCTTGGTTGATACCGATGTGAGATGGAATCAGATTTCTAGAGCTGTCGATGACCGAACTGCCGAAGAGTTGGGCGAAAAACCCTTGGAGCATGACCGCTGGCGCATACCAAAGTCTCGCTATGCCTCGAACAGCACATACATTTCCGAAGATCCAAGGCTACGGCCAGAGTACTTGGATCCGAACTTGATAGTCGATGAGCGACTTAAGCAGAAGCTTGTGGACGGCGGTATGGACGACCGACTCGCTACGCATTTTGCACATCTTTTCATTCGAGACCCCCTAGTCATCTTCTCTGAGGACCTGAAAGAACTGGATCCCAATGGCTCCAATCATTTTGAAAACTTACAATCAACAAATTGGCAGCACATGCGCTTCAAGCCTCCACCACCAGACGCCGACATTGGATGGCGAGTCGAGTTTCGGTCAATGGAAATACAGATGACTGACTTCGAAAATGCTGCATTCAGTATCTTCATCGTCCTCATCAGTCGCGCCATCCTCTCGTTTGGCCTCAATTTCTATATCCCCATACCACGGACCACGGAAAACATGGAAACAGCACATGCTCGTAATGCAGTGCTAGACTCCAAATTCTGGTTCCGCAAAGATCCTTTCCCTCGAAAGAGAGATCGCCACTCGCTACTGACGAACGGCGAGAGCAGCTCAATACCGTCTGGAGTCAGTACGCCACAGCAGGCCAGCAGGCCCCCGTCTCCCTCCGAGTTACCCCCTGTGGAGGATGAGTACACGCTCATGACTGTGAACGAGATCATCAACGGATCGACTGATCCCGACTGCGGATTTCCTGGCTTGATCCCTATCGTCGAATCGTATCTCAATAGCATGAACATCCCCGTCGTCACGCGTTGCGAGTTGGCGCGCTATCTAGACCTGATACGCCAACGAGCGAACGGTACTCTGTGGACGGGCGCCAAATGGATTCGGGATTTCGTCCGGTCTCACCCAGAATACAAGCACGACTCGGTCGTCAGCGAAAGCATCACGTATGATTTGATCAAAGCCGCAGACAAGATTACGGAATTCGAGGGGAAAGCAGGTACACTTGGTTGGGAGATGCTAAGTGCGAAGCAAAGAGCCAAAAGCTTGGATGAGCGGTAGACAGATTTTACGACATGACATGGAACCCGTCTGTTAGAAGCTATGATACCTTGTCGAGAGAAACTTGACTGTGAGATATCGTGGCCACATAGTCTCAAGCGTGCTCTGATTTGAAAGCGAGCCTGCGCAAGCGCGTGGTTCATCGGTTGCCTGAAAAAGGCGTCCTTGGTCAAGAGAAATTCCAGTTCCGCCTAGTAGACCGCATGCTGGTATCCTACATTCCGAGAATTCGTGCCGAATGTATATACATGCAATTACAAGGTCTGCTCACCCTGATCTTGGGAGCGACTCCAGTTGCAGCAGGCATGAGCCGCAAGCATTCTTATCCCTGGGCCTAAACGCTTGAACGGATATCAGCCTAGCTTGTCACCGCAATAGGCTAGCGATAGGATAGGATCAGGCATCCCGCCTCGATATTTGGTCCACTTGTAATATTGCTGAAGTCTAGAATTATGTTTGGTATCATCATTGCCCCTAAGGGTTGTTGGTTACAAGTATGAAACAGTGCTTACGCCTCGCATACGGCAAGCATATTTATGTCTAATACCCTGAACATCGAGTGCGACCTGCACAATCAGCACCCCTCTTGCCCTCAAAGCGACGCTACTTGGTTAAAGTGGCGTGACAACTGGGCACAACTCAATCTTGAACTGTTTTCGCAGCAGCCTCCGGGTCTTTCGCCGCTGTGTCCTGTGGCTTGTCACTCTCCTTCGCATCGGCACCAGCCTTGGTGTCTGCTGCCGCCGGTCGAGCTTTCGTGGGCGTTGTTGTCTCGTCCTTCTTCTCAGGGGAAGTGGAAGGAGCATCATCTTCGGCAATTGCAACCTCGTCTTCGTCAGGATGCTCCTCGATTTTGATCTGCTCTTCAATTTTCTGAACTTCGGCCCTGTCTGCAATTTCTACAGATGAGCCGCGGTGTGAGCGTGGCTGAGGAAGTGAATGTGGTGTGGCGTCAGGGGAGGCTGCTGAATCTAAGGGCTCTTCGGAGTTGACAGGCGATGGCTGGACAGGTAGGTCCTTCGGCTTGGATTCGTGTGTGGCACCGGTTGCGGGAGTGATCTTTGGATCGGCAGCGTCTTGTTCCGCCGAAGCTTCTGTACTTGGAGAAGTGTCAACTTTCCCACTATCCGTATCCTTGTCCGGTGCTGCTTTTGACGTTGTCACATCGGTGCTATCGGGAAGCGTTGCGGTCTTCGTTGCCGCCACCTCCGCCATGACCTCAGATTGGTCTGACTTGCCCGCAACCTCATCATCTGGCTCTGCTGATATGGACTCATGAAGTCTTGAAGGCTGTTCGACTTGTGTACTCTGTCTTCTCAGATCGAGCACTTGTTCTTCCGTGCTCTTTGTAGCACTCGTGACTGCCGGTTCCGAGACCTCCTCGTTTGTTTCGGCTGTTGTTGCCCTGGCGGAAGTTGGCGAAGTTGGGGTAACAGACTTTGATTCAATTTTGTCAATGCTAGTTCTTTTCGCTCCTTCGGCGGCCAGTTGTGCCGGGGTTTTCGCTGCAGTTACCTCAGGTTCCTGGCTAGGATCACTACTTTCGCGTTCTTTGGCTGATGTAGGAGTGACAGTCGGGGCCACCTCCGTCGCTGGCTGCTCAGTGGACAACGGAGTTGGAACGGCTTTAGGTGTAGTTCCCGAGGTCTTTCTCGAAGCTTCCTTTGCCTTCGCAGCTGCTTCGGCTCCCAGCTGCCGCATAGTCATTGTCATGGGATTTTCTGATGCGGGCTGTGGACTCTTTGCCTCTCTATCCTTTGCAGCAGGCTCCGAGATCGAGATATGCCGTGACTCGGAGGAGGCTCGAGATGAGGCATTCGAAGTAGCAGTCTGATCTGGTTTCCTGCCGGGACCTGGCTGAATGGGTGTGAGTTTATTGGCAACTCCTGGACCAGGTTCAGGGCGTAAGCTGATCGTGTTCGGGTTGGCAGCTGCGCCTGGGTCTTCGAAAAAGTCATCAACAGAATCTAGCTGGTCGTGGAGCTCTCCAAACTCGTTCCATTCCTCGATCTGTTCAAGGTCCTACAGGCGTCAGTACTGCTCGGAGACAGGTGTCAGGACCTACGCCAATCACCTGGCCAAACTTGACAAGGCCGGGGAGCTTTCTTCCTTTCGACCTCCTGCTCCATGTAGTGCGTGCTTTCTCGTCTGTTGCGCAGTCAAGCGCTCTGAAAGGAATCTTATTTGCTTTCAGTATGGTCTCAAGACGAGATGTTGCGGTGATGATGTGCGAGGAGCCGGCAGTAAGCGAGGTGTAAAGGTACAATGTGGGATCAGCCATAGTCGCGGAATAATCGTGTGCGCGTACTACCCCTCAAGGAGGCAAGCAGAGACTCGATGGTTGCCAATGGAAGGAAATTGACAACTTCAGCGTCAGCCTCAGTGTCTTCGCAAGGCTAATTTTGGACGTCGCGGTACGCGTTTCGAATCAGTGTCAGTCAAGCGGTCACAGATACAAGCGCGGTCAGGGATTGACGACCAAGGTGCTCTCACCGCATGCCGTTCTCCATCAAGAAGTGTCGTCAAACAACAATATACGTCATCGCTGCAGATCTTGGCACTTCAGCCTCGTCGCCAACTGCGACGATCCTGGGATAGACATTACTGGCTCATGAAGCCAAGCTACACAATTCAGAGAATCCTCAGTGATCCTCAATTAGCAACCGAATATTTTTCTAGCCTGTCATTCTATTACTGGTGAACGACAAATCCTAATCAAGTCTACAGAATCTCCACTGGGCAATAATACGGCTGGTGAACAACGTAGAGCATTTGGATGCGACCTCGTGGAATTTATGCTCTTCCTACCGGCCAGCTTCCAAACAGCCACGCCATGGAGAACAGCCATGTGGATTTCATAGAGCCAGATGTTCGGAAGAGGCACTGTCCGCCGGTGTTCGCTCCAGAAGGCAACTCCCTTGTTGCAAAAGGGCCACGAACCTATAACTGAGTTTGCTGCCTGATCGCAGCTAACTCGTCGGAGCGGTATGGAATTCGTTTGACACGAACCGGGAATGTGATGCGTCGTATGCGCAATCGTCACCCTGGTCGTGACTTATTCAAGGACCTACATGGAGTCTATATTCTTCTTTCGTCCTGCGAAGTTCTTCCGGAGTACTTGACACACCAAATCAAGGACACCAGCACAGCCACAGATGTTCAGGGTCTTGTGTACTCTCAAATTGTGCGAATACACGGGCTCCAGGCAGGGTCTGCGATGTCTTTTCTACCTGTGCCCGGTTCATAGGGTTGCGGATGTCGTCACTTCTGGGTGCACCTGAAGTTCTTCCGTGTGACCTGCAAACTCCTGGGACCGGGCGTGGAAGCGATCCGAAAGACCAGGGGTATGCGAATCGGGCATTGCAACTGCTGGCCAGGTAAGACAAGAGCTCGGAGGGTGTGTCAGGAAGTTGCGATCGCGTGGTTGTGAGATCTCACGTGCATGTTAGGGGATTCCTTCGAGCAATTTGTGTCAATTCGCGATGTCGGCAGCAGTCAAAAGAATGACGGATTGGGCATCACAGCATGGATGAGACTCGTCACACCAGAACACTGCATCGACCTTCCTGCGATTCGTGTCGTTGGCAAAATGAGGCCACGAATCGCCGTCAGACACTCCGCAAAACAGCCAATCCGGACCGTCGCGACTAGCCGAGCCCGGACCATACCCAGACGGTTGCAGGGCACCTAATGGCGGGTGCAGTCAACTACGGGCGATTGGAAGTGCCCAGTTACTAGATGTTTAGCCCGGCGCGGCCGCTCGGACGCCTATCGATATCCTTGACAAGGGTGGGTTCCGGGTAGCATCCCGCCCGAAAGTGCCTGGCGTGACAGCAGGAAGATTTGCCTGGTCAATCCTCGTGATTCAAAACGATCCACAGGGGATTTCCACCACTCCTCGTCATCTCCCACGCACCCAAGCTTCTTCCTTGGTACTTTCTACGCTGCCTATCCCCTTTCGAGTTCTCTGCGATACGGCACAGAGGATAATAACCCATCCTCGCACTTCCGTCGCTTCTTCTCTCCACACTTTGAACCTGACAATTGCTTCACTTCGAACGTGACCATAAATTTTTTGGGCTTCAACAAGCATTTTTGGGATACTTTCTATCTATTGACAACAATTCATCTATACTGGTATGCTAATGGCATCGCCCGGTGCCACTATGAGGCTGACAATTAGCAGTCTCGTCCTTAGTTAATTACAAAATAGCTCTGGATCTTGGAATGGAGCCTGGACACGCCACTGGACTCATACACGCCATTCAGGCCTACCGAAAGGTCTACGAACATGAAAACCAACACCTATCTGAATGGGAACGCGAACATGGCTGGAAGCAGCAATGGAATTCGATTAGCGCCGAGGTAACTGGCGAACTTGGCCTCCACGAACCTCCCAAAGTCACACCGATGAAACGGCCTGCGTCCAATTCACTTGTTGGTACGGAACCGGCATCCAAGCGTCCCGGCTTTGTAGGTACCCCTATGCGTTGTCTCGCTCTACCGGATTGACTCTTGAAGGACTCTTTGGCGTCTTCTGTCCCGTCCTCGCATCCTCTGCAGCGACAGAAGTCAGCTCCAGCTGGACGTACTGCACCAAGCTCAACCAGAACGGCCAAGCAAGCTTCTGTCGCCAGTTCGGGAACGGCATCCCCCATCGACATCCCCCACCAACAATCTCGAAGAACGTCCGCGGCGGCCTCGGTTCCTGCCCATACCTTTCATCGGTCCGGTCTCGACAACATCGACGAGGTCCAAATCTATTCTCCGGCCGACTTCCTGGCTCGATCTCCGGAAGAATACAAGACTCCCGCCATTTCGGCGGTCCATTCTCCCGCTGTTGAGCGTGGTGAGTTCAACGGCCAGACCCTCACTTACAACCAAGCCTACGACTCACCGAGTGACAATCACACACCAATGACTGCCACCAGCGACTCGAGCTTGGTCTCGGTGCCGACTGTTTTTAGTGAGCCGATGTCTCGCACAAATACTGATGATGTATTGTGCAATGGCCTCGACATGTTCCGCATGAACTCCATGTCGAAGCCAGGATCAGACGGTGCTAAGGCAGACGGTACTGACCAAGCTCCCCTTTTCCCTTATTCACCAGACCTGATACCTGATCAGTATCGTGGTCCTCTCTCCGATCAACCCCTTCCCTTTTCTTTTGGTTCCGAGATGAAGCCATCCCTTTCGTCAGAAAGCGATACTTCAATTTTTTCAAGTCAGTCTCCTAGCTCGCCTCGGACACATGAAGCGAAGTCAATTCGCCTTCTTGCACCGAAGCTGGAGTCCAGTGGCTCGTTGTCGCCCTCCGAGTCCCCAAGGGTCAAACTCGTAGAGGTGATGGGTGAGGACGGCAAGATGAAGCGCAAAGCGGAAATTGCCCGTGCATCGAGGCAAGAGCCCCCTCGTAAGACCATGTACTGCAAATTCTGTGACGAGCAGCCAAACGGTTTCCATGGTGTGCACGAGCTCGATCGTCATATCGATCGTCAGCATACTCTTCGACGCAAGGTGTGGATCTGCAAGGAGGCCATGCCCGGCGGTACCTTTCTCGCTAATTGCAAAGGTGAGTGCCAATGCAGAAAAAGGAAGCATCGTCCGTCCAACCAAGGGCACTTTGCGATCTTCATCACAGTCCATCACTTGTATGGACCAGTTAACTGACTTTGAGCAGCATGCAAAAACAGAAAGACCTATGGTGCAAATTATAATGCGGCCGCCCACCTGCGTCGAGCCCACTTCAACCCGCCAAAGAACAAACGTGGGGGTCGCGGCAAGAAGAGTGAGAACCGTGGAGGCATGGGTGGTGGCAATCAGCCACCGATGGAAGAGCTCAAGCAGTGGATGTACGAAGAGTGGGAGTACAATGTCAATGGCAAGATTGTGTCCCGGGAGATCTCCGTCGTCGACGCTATGGACACCTACCCTGAAGACTACGACTTGGGTGGCGCTGCGGTCGAGGAGTATCCTGCCTTTTACCACACGTCGCCTCAGGAGCCGATCATGATTCCCGATATGCACCAACCGCCTGTCAACTACGCCATGATGCCCACGACCATGGCTGGTCACCCACCTACGAGCGCGCAATATCACCAAACATATATGCCACCCCCTGTTTACAGCATGTGAAGAAGCAAGACGACGTCTCGGATTCGATGAAGTTATGAATGATGAATGACGAGCGGGGGCTTCAGCATCCATGTGAGCTGCGTTGTGTTGCTGCGCCGGAGCTTCTTCACTGTCGGTACAGTCTCGTCGTTCTGAAAAACTGTTGATTTAGGGGCCATAAGCTCAGTACTGTGTCTTCGTTTAGTGTATATGACATCTTCTACACGAGGTCGGATATCATCAATATTATTGATTTCGCTGCAGTGACTTGTTTCTGCGCAGTGATGCCCATGCAATCTGATCTCAGCCAAAGGAGTGAACATTGGTTGTGGCTAAATCTTCAGCCCACCTAGCCTGTAGAACCCTGCCCGATGGCCACGAGTGACGCGCGTCGCTGGCTCTATCCGCCAGGTCCAGTCCATGATCCCAACGTTCAGAAGCATTGCCACCACGACCTCATTGAGGCGCAGTACATGTGATTGAGGCGCTCAGATACAACGCAACCCAGGGATTTCACTGACAGACGAATTCCTCTGGGCGACGAAGGAGTGGCTCAGCTGATTGTTTGGTGGTAGAGGCGGCAGAGGTGGTGTATGTAGCCTAGTCTCCATGCTCAGGGCTTCCATGTTCGGAGTCAAGCTCAGAACTTCCAGCTCTGAAGGCAGACAATTCCACAATTCCTTGCCCTGTGATAACATTCGAACGCCCCTCTCGAAACTGTCCAGAGCAGAGTCACGCCCTCGGACATGAAATTCCCCTTCTAGACAATCGTAAAACATTGGTATTCGGTACTTTGAATATCCATCCCAGACTGCCTCTAGCCTGTGCTTAATCCTCACTAGGTCAGCTAAGCTTTACCGCAAATAAACGCGCCTGCGGTCGTCCCACCTCACCTCACCTTGTCATTCAACCCGCGACCTTTCTTGCGTCCCTCCTTATTGTCGCGTATAGCGCTGTCTATCGCAAGCCTCGTCGCCCCCTCCATCTAGCCTTTAGATCTTGTCGTCAAACTCATCTGCCCCCTTACCGTCGCTCATCTACCGTCCGCAGTCACTATCGCACGCATCGCATCTGCCATTGCATCTCTTCACGACCGATCTCGTCATGGCCAACCAAGGATATTACAACCAAGGGCCCCCTCAAGGCTATGGCCAGCCGCAATACCCGCAGCAAGCCTATAATCAGGGGCCGCCCCCTCAGGGCTACTATCAGCAAGGTGAGGAGATACGCACACGGGGCGGATTGGCGATTAACAAGTCCACCATAGGCCCACCAATGCAGTATCAGCAGCAGCAACCTCAGCAGGTTGTCGTCAAGCAGAAGAAGGATCGCGGTTGTCTGGCGGCCTGGTGAGCTTTCTACCTCAAGCCACCAGATCGAGCTAACACCCTCCCAGTTTGGCCACTCTCTGCTGTTGTTTCCGTAAGTTGTCTCCATCATGGTGTTATTCGTGGTTTTGCAAGCGACGGAGATGTGTCGCATTGTGCTTGAGAGGTGTCCGAGCATGGCTCCGAAGTTTGGGCTGCTTATGCTTATGCCTCAGCTGTTTTGCATTGACCCTTTCGACAAATCACATTTTCATTGGAACATATAAGCTAACCTATGCCTCTAGTCTGCGAGGAGAGCTGTGAATGTTGCTTTGAATGCCTCGAATGCTGCGCGGACTGTTGCTAAGCAGTCGCTCTCACGTAGCAACAAAACGCAAGCGGGAATTTGGTTTTCCCGCCCAGAAACAAGGTATGCAGGCCAACGGGCCTTTTATGTTGTACTGAATGTCACGGGTCGGTTTGGATATGCAAGCTTGTGGGAAGCACATCAAAGGTTCCATCGGGGCCGAAGAACACACGATGAATGTACCAAACTGGTCTGTGAGGTCTTGTTACCGACGCATATGATGGAAACTTTGAGTGTGTGTGCAATTGTTCACCAGACTGTATTTCCAGGCAGACGCAATGCATCCCTTTTCCCTCTAGCCCTTGAGCCTAGGCATTTACGTTTCTTCAGGTTGGCACATGCACACAGGCAAGGGAGTTTGCAGGCTTCAAGATCCGAATCCCCAATCCATCGGCCTGGACTTAATGACACTCGGTCGAGTAAAGTGTTTACTAACCCCAAGAGAAGAAACTCTGATGCTGACACATCTTCCCGGCTTCACAGGTCGTCCACAGAAACATCGGCGAGAAGGTAGTCCTTCCCCGAATCGTTGAAGGCTACGTATTTGAGCTGCACCCGGACGCGATACAGGTGATCTCCAACCTCATCCCATCGATAGTTTTACAGGGCTGCAACCAACGCCGCAGCGGCCGCTCCGAGACCAGCGTACATCCGCACAGCACCACTGTCTGTTTGCTCCGCAGCCTCTGCGCCAGCCGTCTCCGAAGTGGAACCAGAGGCAGCAGCCTCGACGTTCGTGGTAGTTGAGGAGTCGGCGGCTGTGGAGCTCGAGCCGGATCCGGTCGCCGAAGCAGGGCCTTCGCAGTGCCAGTGACTAGGACAGAAGATGTCAGTAAGTGCTACTTCACAGGATTTCAGGAGCTTCCGCCACAGCGGGGGCGATCTCGGGTCGGGCAAGAAATCCGTGTCTTCCCGAGGGCAAATTCAGGGCTTCTTACTCCCCATGCGGTTCACTGTGTTTCGTTAGCCTAAAACCCCGTTTTGCGGCAATGGTGGCTTACCAGCCAATGGATTCCGTGGGGCTGGGCTCGAGCGAGCCGCTACCAACGTCGTCCGTGTGTTCTTCTTCGTGGTCATGGTCGTCATCGTCGGTGGCGGTCGCAGTGGCAGAGATGGCAGAATCCGTTACGGCAGGACCATCGCAGTGCCTGGGCGTGAAGTTAGCGTCGGAGGGACACTCTCGAGGGCGTTCCTTGCCAGTGATCACCATGGGGTTCGCATCCTATCTTTAAGATGTCAGTGTCTTTCACAACGACATGCTGGGAACGGCAAAGAACTGTTATTGAAGTTCTTCGGTTCGTGATGCCAACTTCAACTGAACTCAGGTCTATGTCCGAAGGGCGAACTTACGGACTCTGTGGGGCTGGGCGCGAGTGTCGAGGAGGACTGAGCGTTGACGAAGCCGAGAAAGGCGAGCAAGGCGGCGGCCGTGAAGGTCTGCATCTTAAAGGAGAGACTTAACGGTTAGGAGCAATGAAAGAGGGCTGCTGATAATCGATCTGTCACATGGAAGGGTCTGGCTATGCATGAATATATATCCTTCGCATGCAACTTTGCTACGGAGTATTTACTCGGCGACAAGATTCCCGCTCCATCAAAACTGGGAGACCTCCCAACCATGCAGCACTCGACGAATCAGGCTCCCTCCCTTCAGGATCATATGTTCCCTAGACTCTTGGTATGTCTGCCAGCTGCCCTCGATGGGGCAAGAAGCAGTGAGGACCTTTAACGGAATCCTTGGCATTATCTTGGTTCTCATCTTCACGCCCAGGTACCCATCAGGACTTTGTTGCTTCTCGCATGATCAAGGGCGCAGAATTTGCGCTCCAGTTGATAAAGATCATCCTGGATTATAATGAGCTGGGCAATCTCAAACCATGTGGAAGCGTTGCTGCTACCTATTCTTGGCTATTCAAGCCCCGTTACGGTTCATAGCTAGCGCTGGTGGCATTGAGCAGGGCATTGATGCCAACCACAGACCTGTCGCTGGGCTGTCTGATGCTGTTGTACTCCACGAGCCACAGTGGCAAGTCGCTGACCACCGCCACGAACAAGAGCGAGAACGCCTCCTCCATCGCATCAGGCGGGAGACTGGCAAATGGGACGACAAACATCCGAGATGGAAGATTCTCGAGGCGTTGCACGGTTTTGCTCGGTACAGAGACTTGGCCGGAGCAGAAGTTGATCGCTTTGAGGATTTGTATAAGCACGTTCCCAGCAAGCACAAGAAGGTCGGTCAACAATCACATGCGCAGGTTCATGGCTGAAAGCAGCAGATTCTTGAGTCGGCCATTAAGTACGATAGCAACTTCGATGAAGCCCGTTCATTGCTCGACGTCAACGCCATCGTTTGCAATGAAATCGTGTCTAGCGCTCTGACGTTCTACAACATTAGCCGTATTGAGCTCGACGATTTCATCGATGCCAGAGCAGGTCGAATGGATAAAGGCCTCCGCACTTCAGTCTCCCAAGCGCTCAAACATCTCGTCCGTGACTGGTCCTCCGAAGGCCACGTTGAGCGTGATGTTACCTTTCCTTTCATCTTCGACGCCCTGGACTCTTACCTGCCAGTTCCTAATGCCACCCATCCTGCTACACAGAGCGTCCTCGTCCCGGGCGCAGGGCTAGGTCGCCTGGCTCACGAAATCGCCACTCGGAATCCTCATCTCGCCGTCACTGCTAACGAGTATTCTGCTTACATGAATCTGGCGTATCGCTTCGCTTCCAGCCTCTCCCTCTCAGAGCAGCGAACTATTCACCCTTTCGTCGAGAGCTGGTCCCACGCCCGTACGAGGCACGAACTGTTCCGCCCGATCAGCATTCCTGATGCCTCTGCGCCTACCTATTCTGGTTCAGTGAATAGACCGCTACTGGTAGAAGGTGACTTCACCCGCCTCTTCCCTCACTCGCCACACAGAGGTCCTTGGGACGCCATCGTCACCTTGTTTTTCATCGACACAGCGCGAAATCTGATGCAGTATCTTGAGACTATCCACGGGCTATTGGAAGAAGGAGGCCTCTGGATCAATGTGGGCCCTCTGCTATATGGGAGCGCGCCGTGGGTGCAGCTCAGCCTTGACGAGGTTGTGGCTGTAAGCGAGCGAATGGGATTTGTGTTTGAGAAGCAGGCGTGGGAGGAGAAGGAGGTGCTCTACAACTTCAATGGTAGTAGCTTGTACAAAAACGGGTACGTTGCACAGTTTTGGGTTGCGAGGAAGGCGAGTGCAAAACGAGATGCACGAGGAAATGGTTGGTGGGGGCTTTGGTAACGAGAACGGGGATGCTACGGAATAGAGCACTGCAAAAGAATTATTCATGTCTGCATCAGATCGATATTTCCCTACAGCAGCGGACCGTTCGGGTGATTGTCATGATCAACGAAACGCACATGTCTCAGGCAGTGAATGCAGATGTGAAAGTCTCGGCATTATGGGTCAGCCTCGTAGGTCAAGTCTTCTCCACCAGAACCACCACCTCGGACCCTGCGCTGTAGGACCAATATTTGGGTCATTTGCGGCGTGGTCAACGTCGCCAATCAACATATCTCAATATCAACTGCAAAATCATGGCGCCTTGCAACATCAATGTCCTCATCTCGACCTTCCATGGCCTTTCTCTCCCTCCGACTCTCTGCCTACCACTACCCTCCACAACCACTACCGATGGACTCCTCACGCACCTCACGGACCGCTTCCCACAGCTCCCTCCGTCTACACGCTTGATTATCAGCACTACCGCCGGTCGGCAAATAACGCACTACCCATCTACGACTCCGCTACAATCTATAGTCTCCACCACTACGCATAACGCAACATGTATCCTACCTTTACATCTCTCTGCGCCGCTTGCAGGCGGCAAGGGCGGTTTCGGCTCGCAATTGCGAGCGGCGGGCGGACGCATGTCGTCACGCAAGAAGAAGCAGAACGCCGCGCTCGCGACCGGGTCTGCGCGCAACCTCGACGGGCGCCGGTTAAGAACGATCGCTGAGGCGAAGAACCTGGCGGCGTATCTAGCGACGAAGCCGGACGCGGACGCAAGGGAACGAGAGGAGAAGAGGAGGAGATGGGAGGGGATCGTGGAGATGGCGGAGCAGAGGGAGGCGGAGATGCGTAGTGGGAAAGGCAAAGACGGCCGGCGGAGAGGCCTCGGCGAGGATTGGATGGAGACCAAGGAAGAGGTTGGAGAGAATGTCAAGAGTGCGGTGCAGAAGGCGATGGCGGCGCAAAGCAAGGAGGCCGGGAGCGACAGTGGGAGTGGTGGGAGTGCTGAGGCCAGCGATGTGGAGAGTGATGCAGGGCAAGGGGAGGAAGATGTGATGGAGTTGGATGAAGAGGGAATGGAAAAACTACGAGTGGAGGCGGAGGCAGGGGACGAGGATGCGATGTGGGTGCTGAAGGAAAGACTTAAGATTCCCGAGCGGTATCTGCCGGAGGTGAAGAAACCCAAGATGCCACAAAGGCGATTCGTTGGGTTCGACGACGACGAGGATATATCAAGCAGTGAAGAGGATGAAGAGGCATCAGGGGCAAAAGACAAAGCGAAGGCGATTGTTGATTGAGGACAGCAAGAACGGCAGTTCTGCTTCATATCTGACCATGAGACCCATGGAGCATGAACGAATCAATGCCAGGGAAAGACATTGTGCTACATGCAACAAACGCATTGCCGCTGACGAGCTTCGAAGCGTTTCGATGTAGAAAGTAGCACTAAGAAGAACTTGGGCCTTTGACAGAAGGTCCTCCCAGCACCGGTAAGATTTTAAACGCTAGCCAACGCTGAACTTGTCCGACTTCCGAAAAGCAGCTCGCAGCTGATGCCCTGCAGTTGGATCAATGACGAACAGAAGAGACACCTCACTATCATTGTCAGACACGATACCGGCTCCCCAGTCGTCTCAATCTCATCAGAAGTATTTCACGTAGATGTTGGGATGTACACAAATGCCGCTGGTTTTTCCCATGGCCCATGTCCCAACGGGATCAGCCACACGATTGGGAATAGCGGGTGTGTCCTTTCACCTTCAGCCAGAGTGCTGCAAACCTAATCGTAAAGAAAAGGCGAGCTCTGCTGGCAGGCCTCTTGCGAGAGCGACAGGCTACTTGGACTTGCTCTTCGACCTGTCGACCGGAAATTGACACTATGGGAATGCTTATAATGGCTCCTTGATGTCGAAATGACCACGTTCAACCAGAGACACTCGTATACCGAGGTATGCAAGGCCTGGGATCGTGGCCACAAGTCGTTGATATGGGGAAAGGAAAGGGGAGGACTGCGACACTGGTTGAAACTTTTTGATGGCCGAAACTTGGCGCCAAGGCCGAACGGATATATTTCCCGGTGGCTCGCCTAGAGGATGCTCCAGACATCTGCGAACATATCGTCGCTCAACCGTTGCCGCCGTCTCAGATCTGCATCTAGCTAGAGGCTCTGAAGGTTAGTAACCATGTCTGCTCCTGAAGTGGACGAAATAAACAAAATCAGAAAGTCTCTGGGGCTTCCGCTTCTGCCCTCCGCCACTGCGCCGACCGAAGAGCAAGGTCCCAAATTCAAGGACGCCTCCGATAGTGACAGCGACGATGAGCCAGCTTCTACGCTCGATACTCGTGAAGCCGCGGGCTATGACAACTTCAAGAAGCTGCAGGATGAGAAGCGCCGAGTGATTGAACGCGAGAAGAAGAAAGCAGCCATCCAGAAGGCACGAGATGCTGCGGCTCGATCTGCAAAGCTTGAGGGCAAGGGCCTCGGTGATCTTGGAGATGAAGACGATGTGGATGCAAAGAGTTGGCTGAAGGGCAGCAAGAAGAGGCAGCTGGCCATCGAGAAACAGCGCGCACAGCAACTCGCTAGAGAATTGGCAGAGAGAGAAGAGCAGGCTCGCATTCAGTACAGCTCAAAAGACCTCGCAGGCGTTCGAGTCGCGCATGAGGTTGGTGACTTCGAGGATGCCGAAGGCGAGCAGATCCTGACCCTCCAAGATACGGAGATTGGGAAAGGCGATGATAGTGATGATGAGGACGTGCTGGAGAATGCCGATCTCGTGGCTAAAGACAAACTTCAAGAGAAACTCGACCTCAAGAAGAAGAGAGCCGCCTACGATGTACACGAAGAGGGTGATAAAGGTCTGCTGAGCCAGTACGACGAGAAGAAGAGGAAAGCTTTCACCCTGGATGAAGCAGGCACCGGCATTCAGGAGCGCGAAACAAAACGCCAGGCCATCGGCGATAAGCTCAAGAACACCGTCAGCCTCGATATTTTCAAGCCAGAGCCAGTGTCGGACTATTTGGAGATCAAGATGAAGAAGCCCAAGAAGTCTAAGAAGAAATCGACCCGCAAAAGGGAGGCCGACGAGGATGATATCTTTCCTATCAATGGCAATGCTAACGACTCCATGGATATAGACGTTCCAAGGACCGCCCCGACTCAGAGGAAGGCTGCTGAGTCCGAATTTAATGATGATGAAGACCTGTCTCAGGCCCTCGCGTTCAGTCGCAGAGCAGCCCTCAAGAAGCAAAAGCGAAAACCCGAAGACATTATCAAGCAGTTACGCGAGGAGGAGCAAGAGGACGAAGGTGGAACAGGGGGAGGTTTCGCAACACCCACTCCAGAGGAAGGTAGTCTGACGCTAGACGACACTACTAACTTCCTCGATAATCTCAACTCTCGTCCTCGCTCTGAATCTCCTAAGCCGCGCGGCCGCAATGCTACCTCTGAACCTGCTCGAGACTCACCAAGACCGGCTGAAGATGAAGATACAGATCATCCAATGGCCGAGGTGTCTATCGAAGATGAGGCAGATGAAGCTGCGTTGCTTGAAGCGGCCCGACGCCAGCAGTCATCCACGCAGGACAGCCCACACATCGGATTCGGTGAAGAGGAGGACGTTGAGCAAGGTCTTGGCGCGACCTTGAAGCTACTACGTGAACGAGGCGCGCTGGACGCCGAGAAGGCGGCCTCCGATCGTAACGCTCTTCTCAAGGAGCGTCAGAGCTTCATCATTGAAGCCCGGCTGCGGGAACATGACAACGAGCAGCGAGCTCGTGCCCAGCGCGAGCGTGACCGTACCTCCGGACGTCTCACGCAGATGTCAGCGAAGGAGCGCGAGGAGCATGCCCGCTGGCAGAATACACAGCGTGAGCACCAGAGCAGCATCGAGGCGGCCAGACAGTTCAACGAGCATTATAAGCCGGACGTTAACCTCAAGTACGTGGATGACGAAGGACGGGTGATGGACAGAAAGGAGGCGTTCAAGCATTTGAGCCACATGTTTCACGGCAAAGGGAGCGGAAAGGGGAAGACAGAGAAGAAGATCAAGAAGCGAGAACAGGAGCGCGAACAAATGGCCCGGGGGGTCTTGGATTCGAGTGCTGGCTCCGGTCGTGCTGGCGTGGAGGTCGGAAAGAAGAGGGGTGAGGCTGGTGTCAGACTTGGTTGAGTGCTGCTCGCACTGATGCCAGTCTGTGCCAAGCTCGGTGGCTGAACGATGGCAGTGATGGACATCTACCCTGGTAGCTTCGCACATTGATCGCGTATAGGCCGTGGTCTCTTTGATAATTACGTCAACATTGCGCCTAGAAGACGGAGACAAGGCAAATCCATCGACAAGCGCATCATCAAACATGGTCATAAATCTCTAGCTCTCAAGCGTCTGTGTCGCTCACTGATTGACGAACAAGAACACACCTCGCCCTGCTCCGCGTACCATCGTCGTCCGCGCTGGTCTCAATCGAAGTTGGGATCTATCTCGATCGCGGGTCCCTTCCCCTTCCCGTTCGAGTCGCCGACAGTCGTCTCATGATCCAAACTCCTCGTCTCGAGCTCATCCTCATCCGCCGCCCCGGCCAATGCCGGCACCACGAGCCCCAGCTCCCCCCACCTCCTCTCTTCAAAAACTTCCCTCAACACGTCCATGTCCACGGCCCGACACCTTCTGAAATCCACCTCCTTCAAGCCACATTCCAGCAGCACCTCCACCCACGCAAAGTTCTCCCGCTCCTTCAGCTCCAGCTGCGGGCAGTTCTCGATCTCCAGCCTCGTCAACACCGCCCGCCGCTCCTGGTCCGCATCAGCCAGGAACATCTTGGCGAGGCCCTCGACGAACTCCGCGTCCACGCCCGTCACCATGGCCAGGCACAGCTCGCGCAGCTCCGCGTTGCGCAGCACCCACTCCCGCAGCTGGCGGCTCGTGATGGCCGCACGCCGCACGTGGAGGGACCGCAGGCCGTTCAGCCTCAAGCTGCGGGCGTTGGCGTCGCCGATCCCTGCGAGCAGGTTCCAGGCCGTGCAGCCCTCCTTCTCGATCGGCGGGGCGCTGGCCCAGTAGAAGGCTGGGAGGCACGGGTCGTGGATGGCCGGGTGGCTGAAGTTGAGGGTCAGGTGGCGGAGATGTGAGAGGGAGGAGAGGGCGGATGCCAGGGAGGGCGACAGGAGCGCGTAGCTGTGGAGGCTTAGCGTGGAGAGGTTGCGCATGACGCTGGCGCTGAGGATGCGGGAGAGGTGGGCGTTTTGATGGTGGATTTGCCGCTCGCGGTAGACTTGCGGAGAGACGTTTGGCGTGACGGTGGTGCTGCTGCGAGACCGTCGGCTCCGTGGGCGGCCGGGGTTGTCCTGCTCCGGCAGGCGTATGGGCAGGTTCAGCCACGTCTGCGCGGGTGCTTGCAGGAAGTCGTAGGAGAGGCTGCCCACGTCGGTTTCGGCGCAGTTAAGGTAGGCTAGCACTCCGTGCACGCGCTTGGAGAACACGGCAAGGTGCAGCGACGTGAGGGCACCGGTGGCTAGGGTGAAGCTGTGACGGCTGGTCGAAGCGTAGGTGAGCAGTGATGGAATTGGGAGGTAGGAGAGAATGCAGTGCTGGATCTCAAGAGGAAGAAGGACCAGTGATGCTGGTGGTGGTCGGGAGCTGGTCATGGTCATGGTTGTCGTGTTGGAAGTGATCAAGAGTTGTTGCTCGAGGCTGCAGATGGATAGAGTGATTCAAATCTACAAAATGGGGACGCAAAAGTCCTCAAAATACGATCTTGCCACCACAAGAGGAGCATACGGCATGATGGGGAAACACCAGCCATGGATCACGTTTCCGGGCGGCGATGTGATGGCTGCGCTCATCGATGATCCGGGTCCCCCTCAGCTACAGACCAGTCACGCATGTTGCCGATGGTGGTGCGTGTGGAGTGTTGTACTGAAGGTTCCGCTAGAGTTTTAAGAAGTTTTGATGGGCCAAACCCGGGAGTAGAGGGAAATTCTAGACCAGACAATGAGAACCTTACGGGCGCGTGTGCCGTCTGCAAGCAAGGATCTGAGAGATGAAGTTCCCGATTCTTGGGACCGTCGCTGCGCGGGCATCTGCAGGGCAGCTGCATGACTGTTGCTAACAGGACCAGGGCGTCACGATGGCATGGTTCGCTAGATCCAGATTGCGGGGACCTAGTCGACCTGGGTGCACAGTTCGGTTCCGCGCCTCGGTGAAACCAATGACAGGTTCAGCTTCAGAGCATATGAAAGCAGCATGACATGTGGTGCACGATCAAAACTTGTGGCCAATATCGGAATCTGTTGTACGATAGCGTACCTGATTTCGCTTCAATCTAACAGCAGTATCGAGGGTAATCGATCCGCGTCAAGCAGCAGCGTCCTCGTGGTGTACCGAGCTCCAACCCGCCGATCCTACGGAACAGTTAGCCGACTTACAGACCCTGGCATGGGTGGGCCTAGACAGTCAGCCTTGTCGTATTTTTGGGACGGCCTGCAGATGTCCGCGACAAGCACACCATCCATCATTCATTGCATTATTCGTAAACGATGCCATGTATGTTCGATCATATACCCGGCCTGAATGTTGCACGTTGCACGAGCCATGTGCCATTCAGTGTTGCACAAGCAACCTGTCATCTGCACGGGTCCATTTCCTCACAAGGACAACCAAATGTCATCCTGATCCATTCCTTTGGCTCGTTGACGGGCCTGACGGTTTCGCCTGCTACGAAACTTGCACCACGTACGCCAGATGCATGCTTTGGCTTCAGCGGCACGCACCTGTTCTGCGCAAGCCCGGGCTAAGGTTTGTAGAACCAGTTTCCTGCGCACGATGACCTTGTCCCAGTGTCTGCGCCATGCATTTTGCAGCACCAAGGCGGCGCGTGCTGTCTTCGAGGGGCGCAGAAGGCGGGAACAGAGAAAGGCAATCGATGCAAGTACAAAGTCTCGATCGAATATCTGCTGACCGGCAGCGCTCCCATGGTTGTTCGAGAATAGTCGCGCGAATTCGTCGCTGCAGCCCAAAGCTCCGAGTCGTTCGGCCAAGCTCTTCTGTTTCGAGACGACAGCGCAGCCCTGGAAGAATGGCTGGTATTCTCGGACCAGAGCTTCGAATAGACGTCCGTCTGCAAAATCAGAAGTGAAGTTCCTGACGCGCAGACCATGCGAGATAGCGACCGCTTTCACCCAAGCTTTGAGCAAGCTCTTGAATCGCAGATAGCCCTCATCGTCTTCTTCCAACTCAAGGTCTTCCAAGCAGAGATTCCCGATGCGGCCTTTGGTACGACCCAAGCGTTTGATTTCTGATTTAACGTCGTCCCAATCAACGAGGCCGCCTAAACCCCATTTGCTACTGAGTCCCCAAAGTAGTCTGACCGTCTTCTCGCGAAAGCCATCCACGATGTCTTCTGCAGAAATATCGTGAAGAATGCTGCCTACGCCTTTGACCTCTTTAAGAGCAGACAAGGCGAGTTTCACATTGTACAATCTTGTAGCTCTGCTGATACATGGCATCTTGAGATGCTGAGAGAGGGGCCAATCTTGATCTCCATCCGCAAGATTGATCGTATTTCCAGAAGGTATCACGATGGTCGTTGTCCCTTCCGAGTCCTGGGCATGGCCAAGAGACCGCGATGCTGATCGATACAGCAGGAGCTCAACCAGCCTTGTGAGACGTACGCCGTCCCTAAGGTCCACAGCAAGGCTGGTGATGCGATAATTGAATTCTTCGAGAGGATATTGAACATGGCTGAGTGCATAGCCAAGTTGCTTCAGCGTTCTTGTCGGATCACCTGCGCTAGCATTTAGCTGTTGCATCACAGCAGCCAGTGCGTTCGAGGAAGACTTGAAGCTGGAGTTGGAGCGGAAGAGGTTGGCCGTGGTGTTCAAACTCGCCTCGGTCTTGACCATATCCAGGAGCTTCACCAACATGAGGCTGCGCAAGACTGTTCTGCGATACGACCAGGCCGCTGGCTTTGTCGACTTGCAGTCCGGGGTAGCATCTTCATTGCGAATCATAAATTTCTCGATGAAGCGCTGAATGGGCCGCTGCGCCTTAGGTGCTGGACTCCCCGACTCTTTATCACGGCCATCTGCACTGACGCGTGAAGGAATGATGCGACCCACAACAACTTCAAGCCCTTGCTTGAGTATTTGGTTGTCGTAGGTATCCAGCCAGAATCGTGTATACGATTTGCGCCGTCCAAGATCTCCGTAGAGTTGGTGTCCTTGCTCCAACGTGTCGTACGGTATACTTAGTGATCCGTACAGAAGGGCACCTTGTAGTCGTTTGTACAGCAATGCCATCGATGGCTTGCCATAAACTTCCGTCATTCTCAGTCGTTGAAGATCATCGAGATAGTTTCCTCGCGACACTGGAGAGGCATCGAAAAGATTGTTTATCAGCTGAGTGATCGCGACTTCTTGCTGCCCGAGCCAATCTTCTTCGTACATTGAAGCATCAGCAACGCCTTCCGGCAGAAAGTCATATTGATGCTCGACCACTGTGTCGACATGTGGAACGACAAATCTTGAGGGCACACTAGACTTTGAGAACGTCGCTCGCGTCTCTGAAGTTGTCTCGACCCGGTATTCTTCTTGCTCATGCTGTTGAGTAGTCCGCCGAGGTTTCGGCAGAAGGAAGTTTGAATTCCATGCAGGCTTGGTTTTCTTCCCGGCGTTGACAGTTTTATCTTGAGTGCGACCCAAGGAGCTGGTCATCGGCTCGAGAAGTCGAGACGTGTGATGTTGACCCAATCTTGGCAGTACTGCCTTACCTGGATCTACCCTTTCCTTGCTCGAAGTCGGCCGGTGATCTTTCGGTATCCCACGTACATGTTGTCCGGGTGGTAGGTTTTCCTTCCCTGGCCCTGTCCCTGGACGGTCATGAAGAACATTCGGAGCTTGTGCATCCCGAGACGGATGTAGAGGCCCACGCTTGGGGCTTGTGGCTAGTGTCGACTTCCGTGGACCTCTCCTCTTGTATGCCATCTGCATCGCTAAGCCAGTCATATCTTTTCCTGCATCATGCTCCGCTGCATTTGGTGGGGGATTCTTCAGGGGCGAGAAGATGGACAAAAACATTGACGGCATCGTGGTGTCGTCGGACGGTATATAAATAGTGCCGCGCCGTGCTGGCTTTGCAATCTTTGGAGACGGCACAACTGGCAGCGTATCCTCACAAAGTATAGCTTGACTTGTAGTTTGAGGACGTATAGAATGCCGTCTCGGTGCCTTGGAGAGACCTGTAGGCTGGGCGCTGGCGCAAAGCGCGTCTGCTGAGGAGTCTGCTGCTTGAGCAAAGCTGACGCGCCGCCTAGGATGCTGTAATGGTTTCGATTGTGGAGGACGTAAATCCTTTGTGGCTGTATGTTCAGGCCCTCCCTTGCCTGACGTGTTCAGCTCTTCATCCTCGTGAATCGTAATTCCGACCAGGCCTGCGGTCTTCCTCTTTGTCGGAGGCCTTCTAGGCTTGACATCTCGAAATGAAGCCTTGAATTCGGTCGTGAAATCAAGGTTTGTGGTGGTGTCGTTACTGAAGATCGAATCGCGTCGGTTTATGGTCAGATCTGAGGAAGCAACGGGGCACGGTGTCGCGGACAGCCGCTGGTACATGGTGATAATTTATGTACAACAAGATCCTAGACCGTGTTCTCGATTCATGCAGCACCTGTAGTGTAATAGGATGCTTCAAGTCCGAGAAATGGGCTAGCAGGTCGCGCTCCAATCTCTGTTTACAGAGGGTTGCGAAGGGCAACAACAGCTATCGATAAGCTCGTAGGCATACTTACGGGTACTCCGTACCGACCCTACTTTTGTTCCTGGATACGACAATGACAATGAGATGATGTCGAGCAGAGAACGGTCTGTCATATCGCAAGGCTCATTGAACTCCCCAAGCCTGTCTTCAGTGTCGCGCATGTTGAGCATATTTGGCAACTTCTTACGCTTCTCGCAGCGCTGGCCTTTCAGGGCCCTGCTCGTCTCGTGTGCTGGTTCGTTCTAAGCTTTGATTGAGATGCCTCTCCCACTATGGCAGGCAGGTCTCTCATAGGCAACCGTGTGATGCAGCGTCCGCCGAAACTCGCAGTTTCACTGTCGCCTGTTCATTGAGAAGATTGTTGCGCAACCCTGTCTCAAGTCAAACATCGACCGCCACCAGCAAAGCAGACTTCGCGCGAGTCGCGCGACGAACAATGGCGTTCCCATCTTGAGTTACTTGATGCCGAAGCAGAAGCTCGGGTAGCACAGTTGCGAGCCTGGACGAAACTCGTGAGTTCTGCTAGGCGATTTTGACTCCACAGCGTGCCTGTGCGAGATTGACATCATGTGGTCAAATAGTCATGGCCATGCGTCGCTCTTGCAAGCGAGCGCAGGATACTCCGTACCCTGAGCCCGCCTTCATCAAAATCGCTTCAAACACACCGTACAACAATGGGGCTCGGCACCGAAACAATGAAAACCCCCAGCTCTATCCCAATTCGCAATTCGCTTACGAGAGTCTCCTGCTTTTCTCGGATGCGTCGCACCTGCCCGGCGATCAGGTATGCCCCGACTGTTTGAGAAATTGAGAACGTAATATGGGTTTGTAATCCTACTCCGAATCCAACGTGCTGGATGGTGGATCGGCATGCAATCGCCTGCAACGCTACCGCTGTCAAAATGGCCATTGCGCCAGATGACAGCCGGGAGGATCTGTGTGGCCTTCCAGTTTCGTCTGACCAAAGAAAAAGACCCCGCCATCCTGCATGCACATGGTGGGGGGTCCACGGTGCCCGTAATTATGTACCTGCAGCCCATGCAGCCAAGATGTGGCCTAGGAGTTGCATCTGCACCCCTAATTCTCCTGTGCCTGCTTTCGGCAACAGCCTGCATTGAAGTATGCCACTTTGCGCCTCGGGTGCCAGCTGCACGCCCTCTTCCGACTCTTGGTAGACTTGTAATCGCAATCGATCATGGCGGGCGGGACGACGACTTGGATATCGATAATTTAAAGCGATCTGAGCCTGCTTTTTGGCTTCGGCCCGTGCCATCCCAGCCTTTTCGCCTAAAACTATTACTACTATCGAATCTAACACGCCCCACCCGGGCACCTTTCTCAACATCGTTGAGGGCCGCGGGCCCCGGTATATACCTGGCCTCCTCCGCGCACTTGAGCCGAAGCACGCACCTTCCAACGCTGAGACGATGGCGACTCCGGAAGACGAGACGAGAAAGCCGTCAGTGCTAATAGTTGGTGGCCTCGGTAAGTTCTTACATGCGACTCGGTCAACAGTTTCTCATAGTGTGCGCGACAGGCTACATCGGGCGATTCCTTGCCAAACATATTCACGACCACAATCTTGCTTCTTCTGTTCGTTTGGTCGACAAAGTACTCCCTCAGCTGGCCCACCTGGCACCCGAATTCTCCGAGTCATGTGCCCAGACTTTCTTTGTCCAGGCCGATGCCTCTCGCCAAACATCCATGGATAGGATATTCGAACATCCAGATGGACCCGAGAAGACATGGGACTACGTATTCAATCTGGGTGGAAACACTGCATGGTCCAGAACAGCAGAGGAATACAAGCTGCAATCGACACAGCTGAGCATTACACTGGGCAAAGAAGCTGCCAAACGCGGGGTCAAGGTCTTCGTCGAAGCCAGCACTGGTATGGTCTACAGCCCTGAGAGGAAACCACGGACAGAGCAAGATAAGCTTAAACCCTGGCTCAAGCTGGCGAAGGCCAAACTCGAGGCAGAGCAAGAGCTGGCCCGTATTCCTGGCCTCAACCTCATCATACTCAGGTTTGCCCATGTATATGGTCCATATAATGCTGGCTTCTGTGCTAAGATGCTCTGTCTTGCCCGGGTATACCAGGAGAAGAAAGAAGAATTGAAATGGCTGTGGACCGAAGATCTTCGCATCAACACCGTCTACATCAACGATGCGGTCAGAGCGCTCTGGGCTGCTGCTCAGTGGAGACAAAAGAACTCTGTCATACCCGAGGGCTCTGTTCCGCAGGGTAGCCGAAGGCCAACGCTCTCGTCCAAGGGAGAGGATGCGCCATCCGGAAACGTTCCAATATTCAACATCGTCGATCGTGGTCAAACCTCTCAAGGGACCGCCGCAGATGTGGTCGGCAAAGTATTCGAAATCCGGACCGGCTTTCAGGGCTCTATGATCTCTCAGCTCGCCAAGCTTAATCTTGAACACGTCGTCGATGATCTCAACGAAGACGTTTTGCAGCCATGGGACGATATGCTCGCGGCCAAAAACATCACTAAACCGGGGCCCCTGACCCCCTTCCTGGAGAAGGAGCTTCTGAAAGACACGGATCTCAGTCTCGATGGATCGCTGTTTGAAAAAGTGGCAGGTTTCGAATATGAGAAACCACAAGGCCTCACCGTCGATGGCGTGAAGGAGATGATCGCAAGCTACGAGAAGATGGAATGGTGGCCTTGATCATGTCAGACAGGCCTCATCGGCCTGTTCAGGCCCACCAGCCACTCCAGAACAACCACAAGGGGGCCAGACACAGGTCGGAACTCACTGTACGACTGACGCCAAAGGTATGAGATCAACGGCTATATAACGACCACGATGAATCAGGTGGCGTGACGGGTGAAGAGCGAGGGAGTAGAGACCTGGTTCTTGTTTCGCAATATTTGTATGAACAGCATTAGAACCTGATGTTACCATGAGCGACACAGGCTTTGAGCTGCGTCAGCTACTTTGTGCACATCGTTTTAGGCATTGGATGAATATTAGTTGATCATGATTGTATCCACTATTGGTCTCGTCTCGCTCTGCTTCATTGTCGTGAGTGTTGGCTAGAAAAATTGAGCGAGATTGGCTGGTTCAGAACATGGTCACGTGTGGTCGGCGCTTGTCTCTGCTCAGCCCCGACCCGATTCCAATCACGGCACAGAGGGACGTGACGCGCGCTACATGGCTAAAATTACTTGCAAGGTCTACTGTACAAAATAGTCGTTGCCTTCCTGAGCAGCAATAACAATGTCATGGAAGCCCTAGTCTACGACGAGTCACCGCTCGCTGAAATCCTCGAAGGTGACGCTTCACCACATTACGAATCAGAGCCAGGATCGCCCATCTACACAAGTGCTCCGCAATATGCGCCTCGAGGTCTACCGCGGTTGCGCGACAAGTTGCGTTACATCAGCCGAACAGCCCGATCCGTAACAGATGCCTCCGGCGATCGGTTTCTAGAGAAGTTCAGATACAGCATCGTCGCCTCGCAGCTCCTTTCCGAAGACCCCAAGAGTCGACAGCATACCTCTGTTCCGCCAGATACACAGGCAATACCCCTATCTGTTCGTGGTGCAGCAACCACAACACTCCTATCCTTTGCAACAGCATGGCTGCTCCATTGGCTGCTGCAACGACTACAAGACCCCTTGTCCGTTACGTGGACCGAAACATGGCTATACATACTTTCAAGTGCTTGCGTTATGGCCTTAATCGTCTATGTCGCAAGGAGACAGTATCTGAAGTTCGTGCGCCAAACATCCGCTTTGTTTTGCTCAAAACTCGTCAGTGAAAGTCAGACCTTTGATGAGTCTGCTGGGCAAGCAATACGACTCATTCAAGAGATCGAAGTTGTGGCGCGGGGTTACGAGATCAGCAGCCCTCTACCACCCGTTAGTCGCTTAGACGGCCACTATGCGGAGTTGCAGTGTCGAGAACTACGGAGAGTGGTGGCCAAATCTTTGGGGACCGGCATCACGCAGTTCATTCACTTCCATAACGAATTGCAGCCGCTAACGAATGTGGACGACTTGGGCGGCTATTATCATATCTACGATCTCTCGCCCGACGATTTCACGGGTGCGGTTGGATTTGCCAACGACTTGTCCACAGAAGCCCAAGAATCACTCAAACAGTTGAGATTTCTCTTCCAGCTTCACACGGTTGCGAGAAAGTTCTTCTTGATCGATCTCATGGCACTACGAACCAAGCCATCCTGGTCTGACGTTCATCAGTGGCGTAAAGTGTCTCGAATTGCGTCGAGCCTGGCAGACGACACACAGCTGGCTTCGAGGCAAATCGAGGAGCTAATTAACGAGGACGATGTGCATTCCCAGTACGGCAGTGATTTTGTCGCCAGTCCAGTTCGGCAAGACTTTGTGACGCCAGAGAAGCAGCAATCGAAGGCTCAGGTCAGACGCTTCGAGGCTGTTGGCAACGGCATTCGCGCACTGAATGCCAAAGCCCGCATTGGTCGCGACGATATAACGGATCTGATCTCTAACGGCGCTGGGGACAGGGTCATCAACGCGACCATAGCCAAGCACTATGAGGCAATCGGTTCGGAGATAAGGACCCTTCTTGACGAATGGGAGCATGGCCGGCCGACAATGTTGCTCAATGTCGCCTCCGGTGGGAGAGATACTCGCCTATCCAATGTTCCACGATCTCCTTTGTCGCCATCTCCCAGCCTTGGCGGCATGACCATGGTGGAAGGGGGTGGGCCAGCCGATGCTCTAAGACTGCTCAATGGCGAGAGCGAAAGTGAACACGGCACCGACAGTGGCACCATGGACGAGCAAGTGTTTGAAGCCATCGTTAAGCCGCAGTCTCGCAAGCGTATGTCTCTGGGCGTCAACATGACTCGCGAGGAGAAGATGGCCAAGCTGCAAGAGGAGCGAAAGAAGCGAGCTACCTTTCAAGAACAAGCCGACAACACTACGAACATGCTTCGTGAATTGCAGATGGTGATCAAACACAGACCTCCGCATCGCCAGAACAGCCGCATTACATCGGTCTAAATTTTCATTTCTCTATGTACAACATTTTCGCGACTCGGAGGGGCGAGGGTAACAACACATCATGGCTCGGAATTAGAGATGATCATAACGATACCCAAGTATCAACGAAGACACGACATATTGGGAGGCCAACTGCACATAAAAGGCATCTCTTACGACGAGGAGGCGGTCTAATGTAAAACGACGGTATCTCAGCAGAAGGAGGTCTAATGGATTATAGAGGTGTAATTAGTAAAACATCATGGGATTCTAGATAATCATAATCATCATGGCTGGGACGGGGCGCTGTTTGTGGCGCCGCACCGCTCAATGATACGAGAGGCTTTTTGGGCCCGATTCGCGAAGGTACGATGTAATCTTAGAGAGTATTGTTGTCCTAGTCCATCTTCTGCCTTTCGGGACACCCGGGTGAGCGACTTGATGACATAGCCAAAGTGATAACGTCCAGTACTATTACCAAGATAGCAACTGCTCCTGTCACCGAGAGCCGCTGGTGATGGGGAAGGCCGGAACGGTGTGGGAAGATCAATTCTCCGTTCGAGCCATGGATGGCACTCTTATTGCCGACTACCTCCAGTAATACATCCATTTCAGTGCTTTTACTGCAGCCACGGAGCAATGTATGCCGGAGTGCTCGGTTCATCTGCTCGAATTGGGCAGTCGATGCAGTGACAATGACCTGTAATCTCACCCGATGCATCGTACATCTGCGGCTATGCCGCCTGCCAGAGCATGGCGCAACTGGCAGGCTCCCATCCTTGGCTCGGCTTCGGCCGAGGGTTCAGGTTCAGCGCGGACGCCGGCTCGCATTCGCAAGTCTTTTTCTGCCCTATGGTAGAGAGACGATCCTCGGCGTCCCGTGAATGCCGTTCCGCAACCTCATCTGATGCTCGAAATGCCGCAGTCTAGAACTGATGGCTCTCGTCTCGCGTCCGTCTCTTCCTCTTTTACCTCAATGGACAGCATCCTAGCGTTCCCATCGGTTGTAATGCCGGACCAGCGGCAGAGCGTGCATCGTCACCGATTGCTACCGAGCCATAATGCGCGGGCGTATGAGAGGAGCGTGCTATGTCTGGAATCAGAGCATCCCTGCTGACGCCTATGGAGAGCGTTGGCATATTCGTGGGTGCAGACCAGAGGATCTTGACGCCCCTGGCCTAGGCCAGCCTTACAGCCACGATCACCTTCGTTCGCCGTCAGGACTTTCTCCTCTCGAGCATACATGTCGATCCTCAACTGTTTCCGCCACTCCAGGTGCTCAGCCCAAGCCACTCTTTGCCATTCCACCGGTACGCGATGACGGTTGCCTGTTCTTAGTGTGAGCCTCACCTCGTGATTCCCAAGCAACCGGCACGGTTAATGTCACTTAGGGCTGAAGCCTTTAGAACTCATCGAAAGGTCTTCAGAGCACTGGACTGCGCCATAAAGTGAGTCTCGATATCTATTGCCTGCTGCAGCCTCGCCACATCCATAGGATCCACACATCTAAGGGACTGCTGCTACTTAACCTCGCCACGCTGCTCTTCTGATGGAACGCCCCAGCCAAGCTGTCTACTGGTCCCTGTCAAATCCCGAGATCACTGGGACCGCTGTCTCTCACAGGCTAGCGGATTTCTTTGACGCCATTTAGTCTGTTGCATATCAGCAATTTAGCCACTGATCAGCATTCGTCACTGAGCACTAGCGCATATTCCTCCGGTCTGCCCAAAGGGATCGGGTGTTGTCGAAAGTAGTCAAGCCGCACGGGGACATGCGCGTACCGCATCTGCTGCATACATATATCGACCATTTCGTCGGATCGTCCCAAATGAAGCGCTTAGTCAGGCCCTCAAAATCAATAGTCGTGTTGGGATCGTATCTGAACACGTCTAGTGAGGTCATGTCAAATCAGCAACCCCTTCAACAGTCAGCCTTGTTACGAAATGGCGGCGAAGATGGTGAATCAGGCAACGAGGCTTCATCCGCACAAGAGGACCGTACAATCGCCGAGATCCTCTCCGTGCTGCGAAATCTTCGAATAACAATACCCACGACCCAGACCGAGCTTCACTCGCGACTAAGCACTGCCCGCAACATCATAGCATTCCTCAACGGGTCTTCCTGGCTCGCGAGGCCAGACCGCTATGACGATCAGATCTTCATCATTGCAGAGCTCCAGAACATTTCATACCACGACACAGACTTTGGCGGTGCGCAAGATATCGCCCAGTGGTGTGTACGCTCATATCTGGAACTTCTTGCGCAGAATCGCGCTGATGAAGCACCGGAAGTATTAACGGGTTCGCATATTCTTTGCCCCTCATTACCTTGTTCCTTCCTTGCCCACCAGCATCTGATTACTGCATTTAATACTGACACTCCTAACCATTCAGGACTTGGGCACGCCTGGTTGCTCCGTGCTCAGCGAATACTTGCCCGCATTCATCGCCAGGAGGGCAGCTCGAGTAGTGGCGCTTCCAGCGGTCAACGCAGTGCGGGCCGCGCATATTCGATCACCTCCTCCGAGGATGCAAGGGAGGCAGCGCGCCAGAACATCGAGGCTGACGCGCGCGCTGGCGGACCGGACTACGTGGAGGCTCGAGGGATGCTCCTACCTGCCACGGAACACTTCCAGCGTGCGGTAGCCGCAGCAGAACGTGCCGGACGGTCAAGCGGCGATTGTCTGGCTTCGGTGAGTTTACTTGCTTGATTTCGTCGTACTCTGTTTGAGGCGGCGACACAGACGCTGATGATGGTTGTGTTCCCCAGGCCGCCGAAGCACATATCTCGCTCGGCAACGTGTCGTACTCGCACCACAACGAACAGTACTTCCAGCAAGCGGTGCGCTACCTACAACAAGCAAGTGCTCTCCCCGGGTACCGTCTGTCACCCTATCTTCAAAGGTGTGTTGCCATTTCCTCGCCTATCCTTCGTCTTTCCTTACATTGTGCGTTTGGGTTGGCTCCCTCCACTGGCCTCGACGGCAACGGCGCAGGTACGTCTGGCCGTCGCATCACAGGTCATGCTTCCAGCGATGTAACCATGCCAGGGTTTCTGTGACGTGGAGGCTGGACCCCGAGGACAAAACTCCTCCGGCCACCCACAAACCACCTGGGACAATTGATCTGGATACAAAGGCTAACGGTGTGGAATTCGCAGTTATCTCGACGACTTTGGTAGACTTGTGCCATAAGGAAGTCTACGTGTGGGGTTCGGGTCGGAGGGTATGCTCATGCAATCTGAGAAACGGAGTCGGCCACCGCTAGTGGGCTGGTCAAAAAGCGGCGATGCCATTCATCTGGCTTGTCGATGCTTCCTTGTTGGGAAGCAAAGTCCGATTCTGGAGAGTTTGTTAAAAGGAGCTCTGTTTTTCTGATGATTCGGCTGGAGAGATTGTGGGGCTGATTTGGATACGGGGAAACAGGAGGAAGCAACACATGTTGAAGAGATCCGACCTCGAGCAGATGGAATCGTTGACTAGGCAAAACCGAATCAAGTAGGATGCTCGCTAGACGGTAATCTTCTTATTGCCGTTCGATGGCGTGAATCTCAGGTATCTCAGACTAGTTGGCCAGGACTTTGTGCTTGGCCCTCGAAGGCGACTATGCATATTGTTGTGGGACAGTGCATAGATCTTCGCGGAGCCTTTTCTCAATGGCACTACTTCCATTGGCTAGAGCAAGCTAAGTTAGCACCATATGTGATGACAAAGCGTAGTCATCTGTTACCTTTGCCAGGTAGCCTTTGAATGGAACCCAAGATGTCGAATCTAAATTATGATGGGAATTTCTCCCCGAGCTTTTCGGTGCACTGGTGAACGCAGGCAGATGCTTCGTTTCAGGTGACGGGGAGTTGCCCTATGAGGCGTCATCCCCGCTAGCTTGCCAGGTGCAGTGGGTGCCTGACCCCAAGCTTTCTGCTATCGCCACCCTTGAACGAACCCGAAAGGCTCTACCATTTGGCCACAACCTGTCTTAATGGCTTGCAGTTGCCTCTGATACGCAATCTTGGTTTCAGGAAAGGGTCGTGATAGGACTGATCCATGAGACTGGCTAATTGACATGCCGCATAGCGGTTGTAACATGATCGCATACCCCGACAGTGACGAGTCGATTGAAAACAAGTAAATCTCCACTGCAGGGCGCACGGCCCCGGCGCGCACGATGTTGCCACGAGGCTGCGTTTGTCCTTCTCTTGCAGGGAGTGACTGGCAAGGCAACACCTACCAAGTCCCATGGAGGCCGGTGCTTGCATGCAATGGCTCTCGGTCCCCACATCGTTCCGAACCTTGTAGCGGACACGATTCCAGGTCAAGGATTGGTTAACCGTAGTTCGGCTTGAGCCTGCTCATGTGCTTCTGGCGTACTCGTACCCACACCTTCGACGCTGCTGAAAATTTGTGGCGGGGAATAGCAAAGTGGCCACGTAACACCCACCTGAAGGGTACCGGTGAGGCTAGCGAAGTAGCATAAGCTATCAACATGCCATATCGGTGTATAATATAGGGAAAAGACCACCAGGAAGAATTGAGGTTGTTTTGACGAGACCCTACATCGATCGGGGCCCGTAATTGTCTGCTTCATACAGGAGGGAGAGCGTGGCGATACTTGGATGAGGTTGAATATACGTCAGCCCGTTGCTTTCCAGAATGTAACCTCGGTCGGAGGCCTGGCATCGCACACCGGAGGTGTCCGGAGGGATCCGAGATTCTGCTCCAGCGCGGCGTGGACGAAAGTCACCATTCATCCTCGGCAAGACCGAATGCGAAACATACTCTCACCTCGAGAAGCAGACACCCCGCGATGAGCATGCGGCTTTCACAGTTCATGGCTCCAGAGCTTAGCTTCACGACTTATCGCAGCGAAAAAGAAGCGCGTGATTTCGGCATCGCATTGTGGGACCTAGACTGGAACTCAGAAGACCTTAGCAAGGTTAGGAGCAAGCTGTGAGAAAGAAAGGAGCGGAAGCTTGCTCTTTCTCTCTACCTGGGGCAGTGCCATGGACGATATTGCTTTCTCATCATCGTCAAAGGCCTAGAGACCTTCACCTATGTTGGGCGTTGCGAATCGTTGCCACCCTGCAATGTTGCTAGCTAGTGATGACAGTCTTGTCCTCGACAGTATATATATTATAAAACAACTGTGATCATGCCTGGTTGGAGGAAGCTATGATACCATTGCGTCCCCGAGCGCGGTAGTATATAGGTACTCTAGGGTCTAACTATATTTAGTTAGAAGCTTGGCGTTCAATTAACGCGTGAACGCGTCGATGGATTTCGCGATGGCTCAGTCAATCTGGTCCTTCCAATATCTTCAACATAGCACTTGCCCGTCCACGCAACCTCAAATCAGCCCGTCCGCCACTGTAGAGCTCGACAATTCCTTCAGGCTTGTCCAAAGAATCTAACAATTCGCATTACCTCCCCAAAGTCACCAGTAAGTGCGCCGATGCCCCGCTTGCCAGTCCAGCAAAGCACTCACAATCAATAGTGTTAGAAGCACGCCTCGAGCAGTCGGTGACCTTGAAGAAGGTTCGTAGAGCATCATATCTCATGTGCCAGACGTGCTGACATCATCTAGGTCGTGGATGCTATCAAGGATCTGGTCCAAGACTGCAACTTCGACTGCAATGACTCTGGCATCGCCCTCCAAGCCATGGACAACTCGCACGTCGCTCTTGTCTCCATGATGCTGAAGGCGGAGATGTTCACACCTTTCCGATGCGATCGTAACATTGCCCTGGGGATCAACCTCCAGTCCCTCACGAAAGTCCTCAGAGCGGCTCAAAATGAAGACATCTTAACACTGAAGGCAGAAGACGCACCTGACGTCGTCAACTTGGTCTTCGAGAGCCCTGACACCGATCGGTTGAGCGAGTACGATATTAAGTTGATGGACATCGATCAAGAGCATTTGGGTATTCCTGATACTGAATACGCTGCGACCGTCGAGATGCCTTCGAGCGAGTTTGCCCGCATCTGCCGAGACCTAATCGCCATGTCCGAGTCAGGTGAGAAAGAACAAATTTTCGAGTTTGAGCATTTCTAACGAAGATGCAGTTGGTATTGAGGCCACGAAAGATGGTGTTCGTTTCTCCTGCCAGGGCGATATTGGCAATGGTTCCGTCACTCTCCGCCAGCACACCAATGTTGAAAAGCCCGACAATGATGTGGCCATTCAGCTTACGGAGCCTGTTTCTCTCACATTCTCCCTCAAGTACTTGGTCAACTTCTGCAAGGCTAGTGGCCTGGCTGGTCGCGTCAAGTTGTGCTTGTCGCAAGAGGTTCCTTTACTAGTGGAGTACACACTGTCCGGTACCAGCTACCTACGCTTCTACCTCGCTCCCAAGGTCCGTACATTCATCCCACGGTAGATCATGCTAACGTCTCGCCCAGATTGGAGAAGATGAGTAGAAAAGTACTCGATTGACACAAATGACAACATGCGATTCACGTATTAGCTCCATGCGAAGATGTCTAGATGATCACGATATCACGATGTTGCTAGGATACCTGGGACGTTGAGGTTGGCAATCAAGGAAGCAATTCCAGCGCGATTCAGCATGGCGAATGGAGCATATCTTGCAGTAGACTATGCCGAACGAGCCGCAATGTTGTGCTCTACCGTAGAATGTGGAACCATGTGCTATCGCCAAAGCAATACGGCCCTCATATTAAGTGCGCCTCCCAGTTGAAGGCATGGCTTTTGTGAAGCATTCAGCGGAAGGGGGGGTGCAGCCTTGCACGGCCAGCCTTATGACGAATATCTCCGCAGCGATAACTCAGATAGCCCAAAGAAATAATTTCTCTGCCAAATATCTCAGCTTCTTTGCGCTCTCTGACTGGCACTCCTAAATTAAGCTGTCTTCTTGCAAGCAGTCATGGTAAGCCCAGAGACAAAAGTCTTGGCCATTGCCAGCCATGTAAGTTCAATGCTTCAAATGTGTCCCACGACTTCATGTCCCACGACATTCGTCACAGGGCTTTCTCAGCACCAGAGCGAGCTGTTCTAATCGTTGCCTCGTGATTTTACAGGTAGTTTACGGGTATGTGACCACAAGGGAGATTTTCAGCGGAAGCCACGAGTGTTGACTGAGTCTCTCAGCTATGTGGGCAATACCATGGCTACCTTCGTGATGCAAGCGTTGGGCTGCGACGTGGCCGCTATAAACACAGTCAACTTCAGTGAGTCTCTGCCACGACGCTGCACTCGGTTTCGCATGCGACAAATCGACGACCGGGGTGGCGTACGCAAATCTGGATGGACAATTTGCCCATCAGATCCGTTATGCCAAGCCTCGGAGCGGGAGAACTGCACTTGAACGCCCCCATGACTTAGCCGGTCGCTTGACTGACTCGCCTCAGGCAACCATACCGGCTACCGTCGCTTTCAGGGCACGCGCGCCACCGCCGAGGAGATCACGAACCTCTGGAATGGTCTCAAGTCCTCCTACCTCACCGACTTCTCGGTCCTCCTCTCAGGCTATTGCCCCTCTGCAGCTGTCGTTAACGCTGTCGGCGTGATCGCCCGTGAGCTCCGTCTACGCAGTGAACTGAGCCCTGGCGACTTCTTCTGGGTGCTGGACCCCGTGATGGGCGATCAGGGGAAGCTCTACGTGGCGGAAGAGGAGGTCGACGCGTACGGGCAGTTGGCAGGACAGGCGGACCTGGTTCTGCCGAATCAATTCGAATTGGAGTTGTTGGCAGGGCTAGAAGTGGGCAGTATAGGAAAAGGAGGCATGAAGTCCTGTGTGGAGGCCATGGGGAAGTTGCATGCGACGGGGGTGAGTCACATTGTGGTGACAAGCATCAGAGTAGAAGGACAGGGAGAGGACGAGTTGCAGGTGGTGGGAAGCAGTGTGAACAGCAAAGGCGAGGGCAGATATTTCGTCGTGAAGGTGCCGAAGCTGGACTGCTTCTTTAGTGGGACAGGAGACATGTTTGCTGGGCTGATGGTGGCCAGGTTGAGGGAGGAGTGTGAGCAACAAGGCACGCTTCGCCAAAGAGCATGGATGAGCGACGACGGTGTCGGTCCCGCAGACCTCCCGCTGGCGAGAGCTACGGAGAAAGTATTGAGCAGTATGCAGATGGTATTGGAGAAGACGATGACTGCAAGGGACGAGCAGATGGCTCACTTCGGCCAAAGCCCCGGCGCCAGTATTGGCGGGCTCGATGGAGACCAGATCTCGACGGAGGAGGACAGGCGGTATCTCGCTCAGACACAGGCAGCGGAGGTGAGGGTCGTGCGCAACCAGAAGGACCTGCTGGAACCAGATGAGAGATATAAAGCAGAAGCGGTGTAAACCGTTTATAGATACCCTGAACCCAGTTGTCGGCTTGTGCGACATCTATCGAAAATAGCGCCAGCTTCGACTTTTAGGCAATGCTCAACCCCATTTTCGTCTAATGCCCTATATGTCTGCCCATTCATGCACTTCAGACGAAGGCCCTCTAGTCTGAGTGATAAACTTGATTCGCAACTTCACTTTCTACCAACGCGAACCCATCTACCCGCCTGGATGGCCCTTCGTCCGCAGTCCGGTCGTGATTTGACTATGGAAGATGCAAAGATATGCGTCCCCGGTAGCGAGCATCATGGTGGCTCGTAGTATAACGCAGACGTTCAAGAGGCGTTGACTCCGGTGCTTCCAAACCCGCCAGCGCCGCGCACACTCTCCTCCAAATTCTCCACTTCCACGACCTCTGGTGTGTAGATCCTCTCGAGGACAAGCTGAGCGATGCGGTCACCTTTCTGGACTTCAAAGTCGCTCTCGGCGTGGTTGAAGAGCAAAACCTTGACCTCGCCCCGATAGTCGGCATCGATGACACCCGCGCCAGTGTCGATGAAGTTCTTCGCCGCCAGGCCGGATCTCGGAGCTATGCGGCCGTAAGTGCCCTCAGGAGTCGCAATGGACAAGTCTGTCGACACCAGGGCCTTGCCCCGACTAGGGATAGTGATGGGTTTGGCGGCATATAGGTCGTATCCGGCGGCGAATGCAGAGCCACGGGTCGGCGTTGTGGCATTTTCAGACAGCTTCTTGATGAGTAGAGGAGGTGATGAGGTTGACGTTAGTTTGGGTACTGCTGGCGTCGAATCAGCCATTTTGACCGATGCACCGTTGGCGGTGAGGGTTGCGTCGGGTTTTTGGCGTTTTGGAAGAGGTGAGTTGGGCAGGGATGGAGGCAGATGTTCCGCTTTATCAGATTTCTTCACGGTGGACGGCGGGGTGGTGTCTCTGGTCATTCTTTGACTATGTTAAGCGAGAGTTAATAGAGGGGTACAACGCGCCGACGCGTAGAGTGGAGGAGCGGTCGCGACGAGGCTGGTGCTTGGCAAGTTTGCAAAATGTTTGTTTCTCCAGTCCCGACAACCGAGGCACTGTGAGCTCGGTCTCGTGCGCAGCCCCCCAGAGGCCGGCTCCCCTCTCGTGAGAAGGTATGTGGCACCCGGCGTGCTTCCTCTCTTCAATGTGTTAGTAGACACGGAGTTTCATCATGGCGGGCGAAGTTCGTCAACCAATCGATCTCAAATCGTTGGAACGCTGGGTAGACCAGAATGTCCCAGAGATCAAAACCCCGCTCGGGCTGAAGCAGGTGAGTACTGACAGATTCGCTACCAGTACGTCTCTCACAAGACCTTTAGTTCGGATTCGGTCAATCGAACCCTACGTACCAGATCACCGATGCTACTGGCCAGCGCTTTGTTATGCGCAAGAAGCCACCGGGGCAGCTGCTGTCGAAGACCGCCCACCAGGTGGACCGCGAGTTCAAGATAATAGCTGCGCTAGGACAAACGGACGTGCCTGTACCGAAGGCATACTGTCTTTGCGAAGATGATAGCGTTATTGGGACAGCATTTTACATTATGGAGTTCCTAGACGGTCGATTTGTAACTGAACCGCATTTCCCCGGATTTTCACCCGAGGATAGAAAAGCAGCGTATGGTCCTTGTAAAATCCCGCACAAGCGCAAGCTAACTGCCCAATAGTTGGAAGTCTGCAGTCGACACACTAGCCAAGTTCCATCGTGTGAATTACGATGAGGTTGGCCTTTCAGATTTCGGCCGGCATTATGGCTTCTACGATCGCCAAATCAAGACGTTCACCACCATCTCCGCCAACCAGGCGAAGGCAGAGGACGTCGACACGAAAGAGCCCGTGGGCGATATCCCTCACTTTCGTGACATGTTAGAGTTCTTCAAGAACAAGCAGAAGCAGCCGAAGGATCGATCTACCCTGATACATGGTGATTACAAAATCGACAACCTAGTCTTCCACAAAACCGAGCCTCGAGTAATTGGAATCCTGGACTGGGAAATGGCAACAATCGGTCACCCACTTTCGGATCTAGTCAATCTGTCTGGACCATGGACTTGGACCAACAACAAGTTCACTCAACAGCCTACACTTGGCTCGTACAAGGCGCGCAGTGAGTTCGACGAAGGAGCAATTGAGGGTTTGCCTACGTTACAAGAGGTAGTGCAATGGTATATCGACGCAAGTGGGTATGAGGCAGCCCCAGAACTGAAGTGGGGAAACGCATTTGGCGCCTTCAGAAATTCGGTTATCATGCAAGGCATTGCAGCTCGTTATGCGAGACGACAAGCCAGCGGTACAACGGCAAAGAACTATGGCGCGCAGATGAAGCCCTATGGTGAATGGGCATGGAGTCAGGTGGAGGCGCTGATGCAGACTGAGGATGGCAAGACCAAAGCGAAGTTATAGTAGGAAAATTAAATTTCGATCAGAAAATATAGTCGCATACCGAAAGAACCTACTCCGTGCCCGCAGTCTACATCCGGGAAAGCTCACCTCTGATTATTGACATGCATAGGCCTACACTTTGATAATCAGTCATATATGGTCTCCGCGTAAGATACAACAGCAAGCCACCGTCTCACACGGCGAGGCTATAAGAAACGACATCACTAAATACAATAGCACGAGCCACAGACCAAGCCTTCTCTCCCCCACAGACCGGGAACTAGAGCATCGCCGCGTTCCTTCTTGCCGACCCAGCGCAAGGCAACCAGCCGCCTTGGCGTGCATTCACTGCCTGAAAGTGGGTCACCTGATATACAGCTTCCATAGCCGCTTCCTCCATCTCTCTCCTGCACCAAACCCGCCGACACCTCGTCAGAGCGCTCAACAGCTATCCGAGAACCTATATCTCCCGGCGCCTCAAGCATCCAGCACCAACGCCCGGTGCGAGCACGGATTCGACTTTCTTACCACCACTGTTTCCACAAATTGGGCGCGCGAGCCGTGCAGCAGCATTTCCATACAACGAAAATAATCGGCGTCTGCGTGCTTGAGAGCCTGCACGAGCGTCACGGCTTTTAGGGCTGCAGTAGCTCCTTGTGCTCCGTGGTTATTGAGCGTTGTAAATAAAGGAATTTAGGGGGGGCATTCGGGCCGGCGAAACTCCGGCTAAAATATTGTGTCCGCACAAGGCAACGAGTCCTTGAGTCCGGAGCGTGCGAGGGGCGATGTGTTGCATGGAATGTCACGCTTCATGGCGGAGGCTGATGGGGATGTTTTTCACCTGCTCGAGATCCCAAGTTGTGCAATTGCGATGATACTCTGGAGGCAGCGTGCGACGTGATCACCTTGTATGGCACTGAAGCCGAAGCCGATGGAGGCTTCGCGATACTACCTGTCCTGCATGACCGGGACGCGGAAGAGGCGCGTTCAGATGCATAGGCATCGAGAGTCTGTCAATGAGATGCAGATTCTACAGGGACGGAGCAGCTTCACAAGGACGGGCGCAGCGACAAAGAGTGATATGGCAGCGCCGATACATCCGCTGATGTACACACGCCTCGTTCCGCTTTTTTAGCGAGAACTCACCTTGAGGGCGTTGAGCACGGCCCATGAGTCTTGAGCTACTACGGCGAGTTCATCTCAAAATCAGCATAAGTGTGCAGAAGGCTCCTAGTCGTAACTTACAGGCCGGAAACAGGCAGGAGGGGCGGGCGTAGTGAGGAGAAGAAGAAGAAGCCAGGAAGAAATAGTGCCAATGTGCACCCGACTCGTTGCTTCGCTGACCCAGAAGCATCCGGACGCAGAGCAAGCAGAAAGCCAATGGCGATGAAGTGACTCTGTCAGAATTTGGAAGGAGTAGTCAAGAAACCACTGAGCTTCGTGTCTTAGCGGAGGGACCGCACCGCTTTTTCCCCCTTCTCGTGGCTCTGACACGGGGCACGGTGCTTGCCGAACATGCCACGTGGAATGACTCGGAGAAGTTCTGTTCCTGGATATCCGAAGGGGTGAACCATGTGGTCTGAGCAATGCGATGGATACTGCTTATGGGCCCTGGGCGCTGTATTGTGCGCTTCCCAAGTCACGGTTTAGGTGAGGTGGAGGCTGACGCTGACAAGACCTCTCCGGGCAATATCGCCAAGGCTTGTGAGAGGTGACGGGACTGTCTTGTGGTGCGCATGGAGTGGTCGAACAAAACATGCCTCGATTGCCTCGCTTGTGGCTAATTTGAGGGACCGAGTGGAGGCATCGAGCCTGCACAGCAGGCCGTCTCGAGGACTTGACCTTGCGCTTTAGATGTGGCTGGTCGTTGATAGCGTAGCAGTGCGTGGGCTCCAGCGTCACAGCGAGACTCGGTCATTAGCTAACGCACGGTCTTGGGATTTTGTCGCCTTCATCAGACCTGATGACTCCAATTTGAGATCAGGGGGAAACCCTAGGAAAACCGTGCTTGATCGATGAAGGGCAGATACGTGTTTGGTGGCGTATGCCATTTTCGCAGCTGGCAATCGGTTGCCTAGAAGAACAGCGCATCAGATGTGTCCACATCTGTTACCAAGCAACCCTGGGCCCTCATAGCACAGATTGCCCCTGAAGTACAAGTCAGTCGTTACTGACGGTATGTAAAGAGGATAAAATGCGCTTCTGTACACAAGGGGCTTGCGGCTCTTCTCGGGCTCGCGTGTTCACCAAGCTGCAATTTAGATGACGCAGCCAGCATCATGTCAGCGCCAGCAGTCCCAGACATTCTGGTTTGAATGGAAGAGGAGCTGGAGAGGCTGCGTAACGTGGAAGATTGCTCCGTGGCCGACTCCCTCGCCAGTTCGGGCCGGCAACGGAGGTTCAGGAAGCGAGAATCGGTTTTCGACCGATACAGCCATACTGACTTGGTTACATTCTGTTCAGTATCTCTTCTTTACTTGCAAAAGAAACATTTAAAGAAGGAGTCTGAACCCTTCGCTGCTGGCATAGAGGAAGCTCGTGTGGAGAAGGAAACTCGGGGTTGCCCGAAAAGTTCGAAGGGTGAGAAGGAGTTATTGACCATGGAGCGGTGGCTGAAGAAATGTCCTGGGTTCACAGACATGTTGATGCAGCGGTGCGATTGGTGCATCGTGATCTGGCAGACCACAGTGAATCAAGGACGATGAAGAAAGGACTAATGTACGACAACGAAGGCAACGGTCTCTGGTGATGGTAGGGATGGAAGTGATAGTGTCGATGAGGAATCTTGGGGCAATGGCTGTGGCGACCGGCCGCTGAAGCAGAAGGGGAGCGGCTGGTAGGCGCGTACAACCATCCGACACGCGAAGGCTCAGGTCATGCTCGAGCGTCTCTTGGAGTGCTTCTCTGTATCACTGACCCGAGCCCCTTGGGCTTTGGGCTGCGATGCGCAGCGTCGTTCAAGCCACACTCTTCGGCGAAGAGTATACATCGGACCATCGATTGCAGCAACTCAGCAGGGTACCGGGCGGTCGACAGACTGCCATCTGCGAGGTTCGTCTCCGGTTTCAAGCTGTCTCGCTCGGTGCTTCTCCGGAGGCAGAGTGCCAATCTCCTCGAGCGACTCTCAATCCATCGTACTCCTTCCTGTTGCCACCGGCCGGATATTCACCGCAAGGAGGATCAACGATATGCCCCATAGGATCACGGCGTTGGCGCCACAGCGAACTCGCTATCAGCAAACGATCCGTCGAATCGTAGACGTGGACCAGGTTACAGGTCCTGGCTGATGATAACGGAACCAAAACTCTACTTCATAGCGTTCCAGCTTTGCTCCTGGGGCTCCCATACACCGCCCCGTTTTCCGGGGGATCGCGAACTGCATCGGTCTATTCAAGTCTGGGCTGTGTCGCTTTCGGCCCCGCTGGCAGCACGTACATGCTTCCCAATGCCCCAAAGCATGTTTGTTGAGTTACTGTATGGGCGGTGTAATCCCTTGTCAGGGGGTACCGCCTGGTGGGTCGAGCGTCCCGCATTGATCAACTCAGCCTGGCCGTCACACACACCTTATTTCGACTCATATGCTATTGTTGGGCGGAAGACCGTCGCCCGATGGAGGAGGAATCACGCCGCGGGAAAGCCCCACAACCGCGGAGTGCCTCCTGTAGCTCCAGCCGCAGCATGCTCCATCATGGCAAAGGGGATTCTTCCAGCACGATGAACCATGTTCACCGGAATCTCGCTGACAGAAAGCTTTGGGGCGAGTTGAACTCAGCCCTATGGCCGCGGACAAAATGGAGAAAACATAATCGCATAGCAGACCAAGACAGGCCAGCCAGTGGCAGGGTTCTCCATAGCTTGGTCCTATCATTAATGAACCGATCCGGCGATTAATGCTCGATTCTGCCGGGTGTAATAAGACCTTCGGCCCAGGGTTCTGCGCAAGCGAACCTCGCTCTCGCACCTACAGTATGTGCCAGACATTGTTTCCCGAGCAAGTGGTGCTGGCGATCAGACGGCCGTCGTTCTGCTGACTGCAGTCCCGTGCCAGAGTAAGGGTAGCGAAAAGCCGTCCAATGGAGTGCTGCACCACTTCACATGCACTGCCATTTTATCTCGGTTAGCGTTTCTGCTGGCGTAAGCAACATATGGCAGCTAAAGTTGGCGTAGCACATTTCAGTGATGTTGTAGTTTAGCTGCTGTTGCTTGGGTCACAGTGGAAAGCGGACTTGACGCTACGAGATGAATTTGAGTTTTTGAGGGCATGGCGAAGTCCGATGGCACTCAAGGCATGGCCAAGATCGCGTGCTGAAGACAAGCTCATAGTTGCTGACTGTGTACAGTACGTGTGCGAAGCATGGGCGGATCCTGGTAGTAACAATTGCTGGCGAAGACTTGCGGAATAGGAGAAGATCCGAAGCATTTGTGAGCGTGGTGGGACATTCGCGGTTGTGGTCGTCACGGTCGCGAGGAAGCGGTATTTCGTCTATACCCACAGTACTCCGTACAGCAAAGTGTTACCCACAGCGGGAGGGGCTAAAGCAGCATGATGGGTAAAAGAGCGAGAAGAGGGGATCCCCGTCCGCGACAAAATGATGACCCAATCATTGCGGTGATGGGACAATAGTGTGCTTGCTTAGCAAATTGGCTGGATGGCCACGAATCCTGCTGACTTTAGGCGGTGCCATCGATTGGGGAACTCAAAAGTACTTACTTTTGATAGGGTTTTGTTCGGTACTGGATAGCCGAGTCGCACACTTGCTCCATCCGTGGTTTCAGCCGCAGAGGAGCTCCCAGATTGTGGAAAACAACGAGTCAGCACGGCGGCAGGGGCTCATTGTGCTAGAGGTCGCTTAGCTGACCGTCCGCTCTGCTGATTGCTGCAGTATGGATGGCCGATATGGCGCAAACAAAAGACTGAGTTTCAGCTGTGTGATTCATGTATCAACAGCAGCGAATGGGCATCAAACGATTACCAAAGTACGACCTGTAAGGAAGCTCGACGATCATGGGCATGAGTACGGAGTACGGCGTCAGGTGGTAGGATCTATGCCGAGTTGAGCAACTGCTCTGTATTTCGTATCTTGAGATTCACGGTTGGGTGGTCCCGCTCCACGTGCGAGGAATCGAAAAGGGTGCTTCGTATAATAGTCTGGGAAGCTCGAAAGATCTGCCGGAGCTTGGAGGTATCTCAAATAGTGAAGATCGACGTCGGGTCACCTATTTCGAGCACGTCGTATGTCAGAAGATTGCTTGTACTGGTAGGCGGACGGCCAAGTGTTGTGTAACCGCCAATACCAGCGGTATCAGCAAAGAGCTCCAGGAGACTCTCCGGCACAACAGCTCCGCTTCGCATCAATAGCAGAAATTTGGGTCCGGCAGCTCGTGAGATGCGGGACAGTTGGTTTCGGAATGGTAACGGAAAGTAGCCCACAAGGTATGTATCGTATGGTAAACGGGGAAATGTGCTCCGTTGTCACTGGATGTGGCGTATGCTAAGCATCAACGGCGTAATGGAGATCGACCACTATGAACCAGGGCTGGGATCTGGGTGTGAGCGGGTATCCGCTCGCCGTTGAACCTTCTGTGGCCGCTATGATCCGGCCAGCCCAATGAGACTGAGGTTTCCCGGTACCGAATTGGGGAGGGACCACTTCTTGCTGGAAGTTGCCAGAGGCCATCTCAATCGGTCAAAGTAAAGCCGCGGGGAGGTGGCGGATGAACGCACCGTGCTACGGTCTGCCAAACAGCTCTAATATGAGTTGTCCGACGGTGGAGGCGGCTGATTGGCCAGTTCGTGAGCATTCAGCAGGGGTGTCCGCTGAGGCTCCGCGCCCCGAGGCAACGTCAGATTCTTTGAGAAAACTAATCAGAAAGGTCGAGGAGATGAGTGCTCCTCGTTGCGAGCTCTACATCTGGCATGGCAGAGCAATCGGTAAATGTTCTTGGCCAGAGCTGGCGAAGTTCGCATGCATGAATGCCCATGCTGATACGTGGCCCCCAACTCGCTAGCTCTGGAGGCTCAGCACTGGACAGTAACGGCCCCCATGTTCTGCCGTGTCACGCATGGTACCAGCCCTAGAAGAAAGGGGCGGCTGGGCGATTCCAGAAGAACGGGGCAAGACGCGGCTCCATGCGTGCCATGCGGCACAGCGAAACATCGGGCGCGATTTCCCATTGACCGGTCACATTCGCCCCTGGGAGTGGTCTCGACTAACGTACGACGATAACGGGGGTGCTTTGACCGGTCATCGAAGCTTCACCAGGGCATGTCGATCTGTAGGTTTCCAGAACTTTGAGTGTTCAAGCATAGCATTCAGCGGCGAAGCTGTGGTAGTAAATCTCAGGACATCATTGCTTGCGGAGTGGCAGAACCAGCAGAGCACAGAGTATCGCTGGCCAGGGAGTCACCATGTTGCTGGTCGAACGGTTGCCACTTTGGGTACGGCAAGGCTGCTTGCTTAAGGCGGCAAGCCCCGGGGACTTTTGTTTTGCCCATAGGCTTTCTGCCATTGGAGCTGGGGTCCTCCAGTGCATGGGGTGCACAATCTGGAATTATTAAATACGGATACCGCGATGGTCTTGCTTCGCTTTGCGTTGTCAGTGCGCACATACGCGGGACCCAGTACTCCGTAGTGGGGGCATACGATAGGGCTGTTGGGGATGTGGGTGTGGAGATGCGCAATGCTGACAGTTAAATTGGAGGTGGGCACTGGGAAGCGCGCCAGCCGCTGCATGTCCACGTCTCAAGGGGTGGCGCGACGTTGTTTCAAGGTGATGGTATTCAACAAGGTGCATGGCAGCGAAGATAGGTGCCGAGCGCCCTACCAGTGACAGGGTCTAGCCGAAATCTGGAAGACTTGCGAGTCTCAAGGCGGAGATGATCAAGTGCGGTCAAAGCCAACGTCCCGTCACCGTGACCACTACTCCGGGTAAGATGTGAACCTTAGATTGAAGGATGCTTTGACTTCTGATTCGAGAACTTTGGTTAGATTTGTGGCATCGAACCTTGCAAGTAACGCCGTGATTGGAGCTGCGAAGCTGCGAAGATGCGAAGATGCGGTCCCTCCGCCACGCGTCATGAAGCGGGAGCGTGAAATGTCAACGATGAAGCTCCTCTGGCGTAGCTTGCTCGACCGCCATCTCTCATGCGAGCCGTGCAGCAGCGTGCACCAAGCTCTGATGCACCGACCTCGTGGCTCGAATCACCATGCGGGAATTGCTTACCAAATATCCGTGCCTAACGCCGAGTGGCTTCCCGTGTGATTTGGCCCCCATGAAGGACCCCACCGTACCGGGGCGCATGCCCCTCCGTTGCATAGCCCTACGCGGTGAGAGAGTGCGAGGGGGCGTGCGTGTGCATGTGGATTCAACTGAGCGGCGGGTCACGCCTGCTCTGTGCGACCGAGCACGAGGGCCGAGAAGGACACTAATCCCTGTTCTCACATACGAGGAAAGTGCTGGACAGGGCAAACGTTTGCCAACCATGTACGAGGACTCAAGGTCGCAACAAGCACCTCTCCTCTCTTGGATGTCACTTACGCATACTCTCGAGCACGGAATCTGTCGATGCTACCGTGGCCTCGGTGCACGACTTGGCGGGATAGTTGCTGCTCAGCTCATCTCCAAGTTGGAGCTCTAAACCACTGCCCGTAGCTCCAGGAAGGGAACCTCCGCCTTACGGGGCACGGGCCCGAACAGACTCGGTGATTATCAAAACATCAAGCTTCTCCTGCACGGAGGACCCTCTACAGGGAGCGGCAATGCTGTACCCAGGGGGTGAGCTGTTGCGTCCCGCGGGAGGGCGGTTCCTGAATACTGGGAGCTCGGGCATTACGCCCAATGGTAGATCTCCGGGTATTTGACATTGCTCCCCGGACACTACCAAAAAATAATGCTTGCGAGCACCAGGATGCGGGCGACGGCCCCGAACAAGCTCGCAAGCTCCTCGATGTCCAGCTTCGTGCGTTTGCGCGTTCGCATCAACGTGTTCCTGCATTTGATCGCGTTGACTCATTCTGCCTCTGAGCCTTTGTTGCTAGAAACCCGGCTCAAATTGTTGAGGAGTCCGTCAACGGTGGCTGAGCTCGCGATATTCACCTATCTCGGGTGTTTCGGGTTGGCTTTCGGTGCCGCATGGAGTAGGGCCCCTTTCGTTTCTCCGACACCAAACGTCAGGTTCTCGAGCCGCCCCCAAAGGGCTGAGTAGAGTCTCGATTCACAAGAAGCAGATCCCAGAAAATGGAGAAAGTGTTTGAGTGGCAATGTGGCTTCTACAATGTGCATTATGCGTACATCTGATGACTGTACCTTCTGGCTCCTGGAAAAGTCCAGACAAATGTCTTGTCATGGTCGTGCTGCCAAACTATCGTTCTGTCTCTTGCGAAACCGGGCACAGGTGCGCCCTCGTCTCTGTAAATCCTGTACTATAAACCTCTGGTATCTCATGCAAGTCGTAAAGCCCAGAATTTTCACAAACCCACCCCGCGTTCGCCGTTGCTGTGAGACCTGTATCGTCCACAGGCTATGCTATTGACCCAAAGTAAAATCATGCCTTCGTAAACACACACGCCTGATCTGGCCATGCCAGACGGCCTAGAGAGAGGCTCAGAGTGGCAGCAGCTCACTACCGAGAGCTCTTTTGCTCGTGCTTCTTGTGGATCCTCCGGACATGATCTTTCATGTTGTCCATCCGGCTAAAGATGCGGCCGCATTCTTCGCCATGCACACCCTTCCACTCGCATCTGATGCCGGGGTTGTGCTTCGCCTCGTGCCTCGCACGGTCTTTCTTGCTGCTGAAGCCCCCAGTCAGGGTACCGTCCGTCGAACGCGATGCAGCGGCGGCTTGAGACTGCGGGCATCCATCGACTCTGCAGAAGAGGTGCTTCGAGTGTCTGTTGTAATGTTTACGCAGATCACATCCCCGAGTGAAGGTCGCCCGAGAGGTGCATCCTGGATAGGCACATCGCCAAGCCGGATGGTTGGTAGTAGGGTCTTGCACTGGGATGCCGTAGGCGTGCAGAGAGCTGTTGGACGATGTCGAGTTCGAACGCAGGGTTTGCCGGACGGGGCCAGCCGATCCGTTTGCTGATATTGAGTAGATCCCGGGGCTGGGCGAGCGCGATAGCGAAGAAAGACTGCTGTTGTGGCTACTCTGACGTGAGAATGCGGGCGACGTGGACAGGTGATGCGCGGCAGATCCTGCGCGAGGCAGTGTATTGAAGTCAAATGTTGCAGGCGCGATGTCCTGCGGAGTTGGCGGGATGACGTTGGTGAAGGTGTGCGACATGGTTGTTGTGTCAAAGGGAGGATACTGGGATGTCGAGTTGGAGTCGTAACTGGGAATTGAAGGCTGCTGGGCGTAGGTAGAGTAAGGGATCCAGGCAGTTTGCTGAGATACTGGCGGGTAGGTCGAGGTGTTGAAGGGAGGCATGTCTTGTTCAGGCATTGTTGAGATGGGGAGGAAGGGCGCCTCTGATGAGCCAAAGGAATAGAACATGTCACTGGAATGTTCGGAGTGCTGACTCTCAGGGTAGGACAAGTCAGAAAGACTGTCTTGAGGGAGGCTTAAAGAATCTGACGAGAGCGCGTTCTGATGGTGCGGGCTATGCGAAGGCGCGGGAGAAGGATAGCAGAAACCGGACAGGGAAGGTGAGCAAGTCAGCAGAGCGCTCTTGTCAACCTCATCAAATTCGCTAGGTGGGGGTGTGAGCGAGAACATAGCTTCCTGGTCGAGGGAAGCGGTCATCTTTCGGTGTCCGGCCTAGGGATATGGCGACGTGGGTTGAGATATAAGTAGGCCGAGTGGGTGTTTATGATTGAGTTGGAGGTATCGGTCGAGTACAAAGAACCCTCATACCCTTTTCCAAGCAGATAGGATCTCTGACCAGACCTCGAGGGGGCGAAGGGAATATGAATAGACTGAAGCAGTGGAGCCAAGCTGGCATGTTTCCTGACGATCCTTCTGACTGTTTTTGGGAGGGTCGCACCTGGTAGGGCTATACCCTGGCCCCCTGCTGACATTATCATCGCACGTCTTGTCGATCGCGACATCAGCACGGAGACATTCGTGGCCCGCTTGCGACTTGGAACCAAAGTTCGGTCGAAACTCTGTACGATGTATTGTCAGGTGAATTAGCGTGGTAATAAAAGACCGCGACTCTCACTAGCCAGCATAACGGTGAGCGGCACTCCTGAGTGGCGGGCGGCGCTGATCAGGGCGGGGCAGGGTAGAGTCGGTCTGCGTTGACGGCGTCGCCAGATGGGCTCTCGTTTACTAGTGCGTCCCTTTTGCTCCAATGACACCGGATGCTTGTCCCACAGCAAGTGCCTGTACAGGAATAGCCCGTCTGCCACTGCACCGGGTAGGGCTATGGCTAAGCCGCGTTCCCTGTCATTGTGGCGCACATGGCGGACAGGGGCCCCCAAGCGATTGCTACCTTTTATGGCAATATCCACCAAGGTTTGATCTTTTGGGAACGAGCGAAGTTGACCAAAGTACACTATTTTCGTGACGGAGGGTGGGTATGCGCTAAATCCGCAAAGCGCCCGGGAATCTGAACGTTGGTCGAAGGGAGATTGCTCCGGCTTGCGAAATCCGAGAGAGCTGAAGCATTTGCGAACGATCGCGAGAAGCGCATTTGCGACCGAAGCACTGCTGGGTTGCAACTTCACCGCGTCGTCGTATACAAGGGCCGTCGCTCGCTGCGGCTTTTTCAGGAAACAGTTCCAGGAGGGAGAAGATCGGCACCAGCCCTCGGGGCGCAGCCAATCTGCGCCCTCACCGTTAAGGCCGAGATGGCGATGCGGCGATGCGGCTCTCGGCCGGAAGCAGGGGTGCCGGCACGCTGACAGAACACCCTCAAGGGGCCGGGTGTCTTTCTGAAGCTTCGGATCTGCTGTTCCATTGCATAAGCAGCACCTGCACACGAGTGCGGAGAAGTCTCACACTACACCCCCCAGTCTTCACCACCCAGCCCGCTGGTACAGCATGTTTGCCTTTGAGTTCGGGCGATCTGGGCCACATTTGCGATACAGCCAGTCGCTTTACGCCATATACGATTGGGCCTTATCTCCTGAATTGTAAATTCCTGGGGCTGATGGAGGGGTCTTGAAGACAGCTGAAAGCTGCTACGTCGACCGAGTCACGACAACAGGAAGCTCAAACGAAGGTACCCACAGATTGGATGGCTTATCGCAGATCGAGAACGCAATGTTCTTGTCGTATACTAGTCGAAATGATAAAATCGTGTGGAGCGCGACGAAGGACCAGGGACGGCATTTAGGCGTATCAAAATGCAATCTGAAGGGTAGTAAGGTCCTCGAGAGATAGCACCGAGAATCTAACTGGTGTGTCTCCGTTTACTGGTCACAGAACGGCCACGCCCATCGGTAATGTGAGATTCATACTTACAAACAACGACAAACAAGCTACGCAGCTTCGTTTATTGAACGATTCGGGCAAGCTGTTCTATTTGGCCCCCATCCTCATCTCCACCGTCACGCAAGACGGAGTATCTGGGCGCTTGAGATGCAGCCACCCAGCCAACACAGCATACACCACACCATTAGTCACTCTGCCCAGCCGGCTGCGCTGCACCCTGATTGGGGACACGCACAGCGAACGCACGTGTCGTCCCGCGGTCATGATGCCACTCATGCTTTACTGCCGTATTACATCACCGATCTTCAGGACCCTGGGTCCTTGGACAATGATTTGAATGATGCGGATGGCAGACAATCAGGTTTTGTGCGTGCATGTGTTTGATATGTACAAGCCACTAAAGACTGGCTAGACTCTATTCTATATGTCCAAACGATCGTACAATAATGTGAGCAAGCCACATCGTGATAGCGTACTCCTACCCACCGGCATGGTGCCTTTTCTCCCTGAGAAGTGCTCAGAGAACCAGCGCAAGTCGTCGGTTGAATTTGTGCAAGTACCGAAATTCTGCGGTCAGACCCCCATCTGTCGGCATCTGACTGGCCCCCAACACCGACTTCGTCTACACCAGACGGCCGGGCTTGCTTGTGAAGCGAGTTGGGGCCGAAACAACTACATGATGTCGGAAGGGGCCACGTCAACCCAAGCACAACTTCGATGAACGAGAAAGTGCTTTGCAGCCATATCATCATGGCAGTGACGTCAAAAGAACCATCGTCTCGAAGCTCCAGCACGAGCCTTTCGTCTAGCTTTGCGAGTTTCGCATAATTGAGGACCCGAAGTCGCTCCTGGACGTCAGCTCAATCAGCTTGCCAAGGTCCAGAAGGGCACGTTCTGCGGTGCCTACCAGATGCCAAAGCGTGGCGATTTTGGTCACAGCAATTTGTACTTCGAGCGCTGGATCAGAGGCCTGCCAGACCTGCAGGCACGATGCGTGCGAGGTTCCTTCTGGCGGCAAAGTGTCCATCCTGCTCATGTGCTGCATGCTGCACAATTGCCGTACATGCTGGGACCATAAGAACCACGCCAGGCTTACTTGGAAGGCGTTGCTCGTTGGTAAAAGAAGTTGCCATTTCAGGGCCCAAGGAGCAGGAGTGGCTTCTGAAGACACCGCACCAGAAAGGACTATTTTGATACTGTTTGATTGGGGTACTACTGCTCTGCGTTCGGTGGCATGTACCCATCTGGTTCGTAGCTCTGCAATAGGTGACTTCATGGGGCTCACCTGACCCGTAGCCAGCTGGTAGCGACCTCCTGCACGCCGGGCCACGGAATAATGCTCTCGTCCCTCTCCGGCCGTTTGGTGATCATCGTTACCTTTAGCCACATATCAGACGTTCGGGATGGAATGGTGGTATATGTATTACTGATAGTCTGCGGATATTTTTGCAGTCAATTACTCGGTTCGACGTTGCCGCCACAATGTCCACGCACAATGTATCAGAGCAGCGTAGAGATCCGGGAGAAAGAGCTCGAAGAAATCTGACGACGGAGAGACTGAAAGCCCAGCCGCGTTCACGAAGTGCCACAGAAATTGATGATCCAAACACCGCGTTTGTGCCAAGCTGATGCACGCTCGGCTTGGCGGACGCCCACCCGCGATTGCCACTCCTTGACGCCTTTTTTCGGTTGGCCTTAGGAGCGTTGCCTTCTCGTGACACCTCATTTCATCCTTTGTGCCTTTTTCAATCAACTGAAATTTGTTCCCTTTCCCTTACCTATTCTCCTTGGCTGCCGGATCTGGACAAGAAGCTTTACAGTCACTAGAAACACTCACCGCCCTGTGCAGCACCACAGGCGCTTGTGTTGCGGCCCAACAAAAGACTGGCCGCCCCATCGCCCGCTACTCATGAGCTCTTACACGTCTTTGAGATCTAGGCTTTAACGGTATTTGGCTGGACAAGATGTCGCAACTTCAGAGCGTCTTACCTGATGACGTGCATCCTACCGACATCGAGATCTATGAGCAACTTGCAAGACTTCAAAGCATGTACAATCAGGTTAGTCGGATGGAAGGGTCTTATCGTTGCGACTGTTGACACACATAGGCCAGCGAGCTCCGGACGCTCTTACCGGAGAGACTGATTGAGCCGACGCGCTTTGCGAGACAAGCTCCGCCGGAGAAGGTGGCTGTCCAATTGCGTGGCGCTGCCACATCTGGAAGCGTCCAGATCAAGAACTTCAAGAGAGCTTACCAGAGCGAGGAGATGCGATCTCTTTGGCAAACTGTCAACAACGCCGAGTATCCACAGGGCGACGATGTCTGGACGATGGACTACGCCCAATCTCTTTCGAAGATCAAGAGTCTCAACGGTGCAGACAAAGCTGGTGACTCAACGAATGCGGACCAGAGTTTAAGCGACCATCATTCCGTGTCTGCCATCATTGCAAAGTTCCGAGAATCGCATCCTACCATTCCAATCAACACGCCTGCTGCACCAGATGACCTACCGGTCGAACTTACCGTTGCATCCATGGCGTTTCAAATCGTGGACCAAGGATTAGAAGGCAATCATGTCTACAGTGTAGCGGCAACGGAGGATACAAAGCCTACTGCAACCCAGCTGGCAGTCCTACGGCACATCGAGAGGTCCCACGAACAAGAAAATCTACAGGCGTTGATGGGTCTCTTAGCTTCCTACAGCAATATCATGAGCACGCCATGTCAGAAGTGCCAGAAGGTATTCGATCAGAGCCTCAAGCTACCAATCGTGCGCGAGAAGAAAAATTCGACAACCAGTGGAGGGGACTTGGAGTGGTCAATTCTGCATGATTCTTGTGCCTATGCATCGGATTAGCTCAAAAGCACCGCTCAGGCTGCATTTATTTGTGCTGAACAAGGCCGCCTCCCAGTCTATCGAAATATGGGCACTTGAGAGGCTGTCGAGAAAGCGGTGCGCCAAACGCCGCCAGGCACTATGACCGACCCTTCTGGTTCTGGATATGCCAGGGACGGTCGTGTCGTCAGACGCGTGCGTCGAATGGTCGCATACCAGGAACGCCCCAACAACCACAGCAGTGCATCGAGGGGGATCATGACGCCGGAAGAAGTGAGCATCGCGTCGACTATCAGAACAAGTAACGCAGAGAGTCGGAAAGTGACAGCAGCTGCGACGCATAGCTGTGGAAATGATACGCCTTCAAGGTGGGGCCCCGACTTACAAAAGCGGCGCCAGCGTCCTAGCGTAAGAGCCCAAGGCCAAAATCGCTAGCAGGTCATGGGAGCTCCGTGAAGCTCTTGACCAGAACCTCCGCTGCGAGGACTGCATTGCGATGTGCCGCCGCGAAGAGGCCATGGAGACGGTCTGTAGGCTTCAGCGGTGATCAATATCCAAGATTTTGCGGGAAACAGATATGATTAGACCAGCTACGCCACCTGATGAAACCGTGCAGCCAGTCGATGCGCCGTGCGCTCTTCTGTGCAAACCACGGGTCCAGGAGTTGTCTATACGCAACGAAGGCAGAGCTCCTGTCATGCCTCGGGGTTGTCGATGATGCCCTGATGAGGCGCCAAAACGAGGCTCGTTGCCATGCAAAACATGACTAGCCTAGAACAACCTAGCGCAGGCTTAAATTGGACGCGGATCGTGCTGAGCGGGCCAGACATTGGTGGGCGCAGTCGATAAGCGAGCAAATCAAGCACTTTTCCGTGTCCGCACCCTGGAGACCGAGAGCGTCCGTCCGGCTGTTTGGTGAGACACCTTTCTCGCCATCCTCAACTTTCTGCTCCCTTGCCGTGCATTCTACATTCATTATCTCTATCACCTCTATCGTTACACATCAGTCCTATACTCCCACTCTCGCTACCATTCGTGCAAACGGTCACTCGCTTTCGCCGTTAATATCTTCTGCTCCCGAACTTCGAACCCCTTTTTCCTCCCAACACGAAGTCCGTCCGTGTAGACATTGTCCGTCAGTCGCTCCGCAGGCCATAGTCCGTCACAATGAGGGCCTCCGGCCTCGTCAATACTCTCCTCGCATTTGTCCTTCTTTTTACCACGGTGTCTGCGTCATGGTGGTCACCGTTAGAAGAAAATGCTTTGGTGGGGAGACAGAACGATGATGACAATACCAGCTCGGGAAACAATGACAATGACCAAACTACCAGTGGGGATTCAGCTTCCAGAACGGCAACAGACGAAGATTCTTCCGCGTCAGCATCGAATTCGGACTCACAAGAGACGGATTCCGAATCGGCTTCTGGCACAGGGTCGAGGTCTGGCTCGGGGTCGAGAACCACCTCCAGCAGGACGAGAACGACCAATGTTGATCCTCGCCTGCCGGCCGGCGGCGTTGAGCTCATCACCCCCGCTGCAACTGCTGGCTCTCAGTACTATAAGGTTGGCGACACCATTACCTTCGAATGGAACTACACGAGCCTCTCCAATACCCCCTCCGCAATCGACATCTTCGCGACCTGCTCCCTGAATCAAGCGACCTACACCATCTCTTCTAACATGTCGGTGGAAGAGACAGGCAAAGTGCTCTGGGATACAGGAGACTCTGCCAACGTATCGGCTCCTTTCCCCGTGGCCACCTACACCCTGTTTATTCACGATGCTGCAAGAGATCCTACACAAGTCGCATCGGCTGGTGACCTGGGCGTTTTCAATCAGTTCCGCTTTGGCATGTACACACCACAACCGTACACCCCACTGAATGAGTTCAAGTGTTCCACTTGCAGCGCAGCACTTTCGCTTTACGAACAACAGGCCTTGGGAGTCCTTGGCGTGACTGCTGTTGTCACGGTGCTATCATTTTCATGGTTTGCCAACGGCTTCGGGCTGCTGGGCTGAGTCTGGCGGCCAACGACTATGGTTGTCCATACAAGTTTCCCGCCTAATCTGGATATTTCATCCGTTCAATTTGCATTTCGAGCAAGCATAGCGAAAAGGAAAGGGGCTGGAGTTCTCATGTTGGACACGGAAGAATGGAGTGGTATAGTCTGCGACCTACTGGGGAAGACAGAGAGGTACATTTGGCACGGCAGACCTATAGGGTTTGTGTAAACGACATCTGCCAGCAATCTAATGACTAACAACGGCTTCTTGCACGAAGCAAAAACTATGGCCAAAATCTTAAAACAACAAACACCAACAACGAGAACTGGACGATTGGATGACGGTACCGGAAAATCTACTTGAATGAGTTTGTTGTTTAAGGCTCCAATAGCAGCTAATGAATACGACATTGTGACTTCAGTTCCATTGCTAGCCTCGCAATTATGGGAGCTGATTCGTGCGCGCAATACCCAGGGATCTAACGCATCCGAGTAACGAAAGAGCTTTTTTGTTGCGTACCGTCTACTCTCCGAGCGCACCGCGTCTTCGCTTTCTTGCGAGTGAAATATTGTTGCAGTGATAAAGTGATGAAAATCGACCTGAAGGGTGTATAGGGAGCAAGCAAGACTAGACAGCAGTACGTTGTCAATTAGCAGACCCGCAACATGTGTTTGCGGAGATGGGCGACTTTGAAACTTGACAATCTACTGCTACTCATTATAGACCGCAGCTGCCACTCAACGCCTTGTGTCATGTCGAGTACACGACCAGTCGATCTAGCTCTCAAGCGCACCGTGCTGGAAGAATAGAAACACGTTTCGCCGCCAGTGTCTGCATAAGCGACGTTGTCTATACCATCTCTTCCTGCTTCTACCGTCACAGACGGCACGACAACGACAATGGCAGGAAAGACTCGAGTCCTCCTTATCGGCTGCGGTGGAATTGGTACCATAACGGCTCTGAATCTCGAGGCGTCAGGACAGTGCCACGTTACGGCCGTGCTTCGGTCAAACTATGAGATCGTTAAGGAGCGAGGCTTCTCAATAGACAGCCTTGACCACGGCAAGGTGGAGGGGTATCGTCCCAGTGAGAGTAAGTTGTCCTCCTGGCTGTATCTGATTCAAGCATTCGCTCCCCGGCGTTGGGCTTGTTCTACCCCTACGTGGATCTTCCTCCCTACGAAGTATTGGTTTTCCACTGGGATGCATTTCTTCTGCCGAACACTCGACATCCCTCGATGCATGCTACCTACCCGTCGAAAGCAGGGAAGAAACAAAGCTGACCCACTCTCCCCATCCTCACAGTCCGCACCACGATCCCCGACCTCTCCAAGGAAACGGTAGCCCCCTTTGACTACATCATCGTCACCACCAAGAACATACCGGACGTCCCTCCCCATCTCCCCAGCCTCATCGCCCCAGCTCTCACCCCAGGCCACAGCGCCATCCTCCTGATCCAAAACGGTCTCAACATCCACATCCCCTTCGCCACCGCCTTCCCCTCGGTCCCCATCCTCTCCGGCATCTCTCGCATGGGCGCCAACGAGCTCGCGCCCGGCGTCATCCTCGAGGACGACCCAGACCGCCTCTCGGTCGGCGCGTTTCCGGCCACCGAAGGAGGAGACTCACCCCCTTCAGACGCGGCAGTGGCAGCAGCCAAGCGTTTCGTCGAGTTGTACGCCGTCAGCGGCAAGGCGGTGGTCGAGTACAACGCCAACGTCAAGTTCGAGCGATGGCGAAAGCTCTGTTACAACGCGACCTGGAACCCCGTGTGCGCGCTGACGGGCCTTGATACGGGGCGATTGCGGCTGGTGGGCGAGAAGGCGGACCCGTTCAGTCCTGTGAACCTGCTGCTGAGGCCGGCGATGCGCGAGGTGCTGCGGGTGGCGAGGGCGGACGGTGCGGTGCTGGCGGCGGACGCGGAAGCGGAGGAGAAGCTGGTCGAGGGCGTGGTGGAGGCGGAGCCGCTCGAGGTTTTCTGTCAGCCTAGTATGCTGCAGGATGCGAAGAAGCGGAGGGTGTGGGAAGTGGAGAATCTGCTCGGGGATGTGGTGCGTGTGGCGGCGGACAAGGGTGTCGAAGTGCCGGCGTTGAGCGCGATATATGCGCTGGCGAAGGGCAGAATGTGGGCGTTGAAGGAGGACATGGGGTTGATCAATAAGGACGAGGAGGTCCGCAAGCGTAACGAGGGCATACAGGGCAGATGAACTAAGAGAATGCTGAGCCAAATCAAAACAGTTGACCCGTGTGCTCCTATACTAAATACCCTTACCTCCCCTGGCCAATGCAGCGGGCGAAGAACCTGCCGAGAACATGCAGGTGCCCCCGGAACTACAGACCCCTAAACGCAAAGACCTAAGCATCGGCTCTCACCACGAAATCATGCGGCTCTTCCGCCACCCCCCGTCTCTGCATGTCCGCGCGATGCCTCTCCTCTTCTCTCCTCGCCTCCTTGTCCCTCTTCGCCAGCACGCTGCCCACATCCCCACCCATGGGATGCGGCGCCACCCGCTGACCCATCCCCCCAAACACGCCCATGCCAACGCCTCCCAACCCAACTCCTCCTCCTGCTGCTGCTGCTGCTGCTCCTCCATACATCTGCCTCGCCGCAGCAACCTCCTCTGGCACGTCCCCGCCCTCAACCCGCCCGACGCCCGCCGCCTCAGGACTGACGCCCTCATCCCACACCTGCGAGCCGTCGCTCAGGTTCCGCGCCATGACCATGTTGTAGCCGAAGCGGACGTAGCCCGCGGCGAGGATGCCCTCCCAGGGACACTTGCCCACGCTGTCGCACGGGTAGTCGAAGGGGCAGCAGATGCCGCCCGAGTTGGGGCACTCAATGCAGGAGGGGTTGGGGTCCGTTTTCTGAGTGCTGTTGTTGGCCGAGGGGTCCGTGGCGTTGCGAAGCGATGAACTAAAGGTGACGGTATCGTTGTGGAACCGGTTGGTGCTGTCTTTGTCGGCGGCGGCGGCGTCGACGTCGGAGAGGGGGTCGCTGGTGCCGTTGCTGGCGATGCGGTTGAGGCCGAAGGCCCCGATATCCTCTGATGGGCCGCAGTAGGAGGCGTAAACTTCGACAGTGACGGTCGAGCGGGAGGCTGTGGGAATTGGGGTGTAGACATCGGTGATGGTGAAGGTGCCGCTGCCAGTCTGAGGGTTCGATATTAGTGCCCGTTTCAGGGTGTCTAGTGGTGAGTGGCGACTTACCAGAGTACCGCAGCCCGAAACACGCCCGCTGCCGGAGATGATGCCAGAGGATGTGAAAGAGAGGGTTGTTTGGTCCCTGCCCGCAATGGCGGGCCAGACGGTGCCAGATCCGGTGAGCGTCGCTGTGCCGTTGCCTTCGCCGCCTACAAAGTGTGAGACTGGATTCATCGGAAGAGAACTATGGGATTCACTTACAGCCTGTGATACTGGCGCTGCCGATAAAAGTTCCAGTGCCTATCAAAACACCGCACCCAACAACGAGCGGAGCACTGCCTGTGTGTAGTGTCAGCAGAAGCGAACGAACCGCCACAACCAGCAGACTTACCGCTTGCGATGCCCACCGAGGTCACTGGGAAGAATGGAGCCAGAGCAGGATAAACCGTGCCGGAACCACCTGCATTGGATGATTAGCCCGGAACATCAAGCTGTGATCGGGTCCAACTTACTGACTGTGCCACTGCCACCCGTGACCGTACCACACCCTTCCACCGTGACAGGTGCGGTGGTGATGCTCGGCGGAGCTGCAGTAGTCGCGTCGCTACGTGTGCTGGCGCTGCTGGTGCCACTCCCATCACTAGGACTAATAGTTATAACGGTGATGATTGATGTGGAGCTGGAAGAAGATACGGGCTGCACCGATAGAGTGATCGTGGTGCTCGAAATCACCAGAATGTTGAAACTGGATGTCGAGGGGCGAGATTGCAGGCTTGCACTTGTAGTAGTCAGAGCGGACACTGAGAATGAGGACCTCGAAGACAAGGATCCAGAATAGGAGAGGCCTGTGCCACTTGAGGCCGACGGACTCGTTGAGCTCAGAGTTCCGCTGGCAGATAGGCTGTTGAGCCCCAGACTGAAATCTCCAGGAGGTGATGAGGAGTTGCGCGTACTCGAGGTCATTGTGAACGCGGTGGAGGGGGGTGCTGTGAATGTTGACACAGTCGAATTGCTCGTATATGTCGTGCTCGATACAAATACACCACTAGTGAAACTGTAGGATGGCGTGGTAGAGCTAGTCCTATTCGCCAAGCACGATTCAGGTGTGGTGAAGCAGCAAGGTAGGGTGTAGCTAGATGTCTGCGGACTCGTGAAGATTCCAGAGTACGAGGAGCCAAAGCAGAAGGTGCTTGATCTTGGATCTCTTGATTTGAAAACGCCCTCATGCTCGTTAGTGCTCGTTGAGGTTGTGTGAAGAGACTAGTACCCACGTTATATGGAATCGTCGTACACTCAGGTCTCGTGCTGAAGCCAGTATCCGAGTTGTATGAGCTGGTGTATCCTCCTGCTCCATCTCCTCCACACGGGGTGCAGGTTGGAAATGGAGGGTCGCTTGCAAAGACACCACGTTTGAATACACCTTTGCCGAGTCTTCGTTGTGCCTCCCGTGCTCCTTTATTGTAGTAGATGCTGTACAACGTATGCTGTTCGCCGTATGGTCCCGGGGTGATCAGAGGCGCGATTGCCGTGATCAACGATGGATGAGCTCCTGTGGCTTTCGCAAGGTCCAATTCTGCCAGGTGATGAGGTATTGTAGGGATGCGTGTTTCAATTCGGAGGGTTGTGGCAGAGCCATGGTCCAGATAGGCCTGCACGATGCTGGCGAGCAGCAAGCTGACCCAGACAAAGGCAGATGAAGCCATTGCTTGTTGCACCTCTTTGGCGCGTCGATGGAGTACGCCTTCTGTAGCGCACTCTCACCTTGCTCCCCAAGTACCTAGCGACGATGCTACGCGTATCCTTGAAGCACGGATGTTCGGGCTGGCTTGGAATGCCAGCCGCAATTCCAGAGGTCAGACCAAGGTCTGGCTCGAGCAGATATGGCAAAGCTTTGATAGCAATTGCAGAACGGGCCAGAAGGGTTGATAGATCCCGTACACCCGAAGGATGATTGTTACGTCTCAAGCCATGCATCTATGCCATCAAGAAATTCCGTAAAGCCACCACGAGCTGGCTGAACCCGCAGGCTCATGGTTGACCCTTCCACATGCTGCTCTGCTTCTACTGATTTGCTGTCAATTCGAAAAGCAAGATCGTCTCTGTAAAGCCCGCCTTGTTGACGGCCTGAGGAATTAGGCTCGTGCCTTCCCAGCTGATCATGTACTCAGCTCCCTTGGTACTCATGCCCCAGAGCCAAATGTCGGTCGAGTTTCGAAAGTCGACCTGCCTCTCCTGGCACGTCTCGGTGCCGAGACAGCCGGGAGCATCCCAGTTGTTGAAGAACGTATAATGACCGGATCCATAGTTATAGATATTGCGCGAATTGACAAACCGGAGTCCCCAAGTTCGAGCACAGTTTCCTCTTTCACAGTCCGAGAAGTCAGGATCATGGTATCTCGGATCGACGACAAAGGGATCTGGCGGGGTGGGATTTCCCTGATAGTACGCGGTCTCGTGTTGGATCACGCCTAGCCAAGTGTTCTTGGAGTTGACGAATTGGTAGTCGTAAAGCACCGAGTGTTCCGCTGCGGTTCCCCAGAGCCAGTTGGGTCCTTCTTCACTCTCAATGAGGAAGCCTCTGCTGCCTGTTAGCAAGCTATATCACGAAGTCGAGCTTCGACGTACCGTCCATTGAAGATGTAGATCTGGTCCCTATCGGGGGCATCCAGCTGATGATCAGAGACCCAGCCCCAGACGTTCTCCATGTAAATGTTCGCTTGAGGCGTAACATGGAGGAGTAAGAACGCCCCGAAGCAGTTCTTAACAACGTCCGCGTCATTAGTGATTCGCACGCCTGGTGTTTTGCGACAGGTATCGACTTCAAGTAAAGTGCCTGCGGTGCCGCCGATGCGATAGTGGGCGTCCCACATACCCGCCGCACCCGGAATCGCTTGCTTGATGTTCCATTCCACTAAGATGGCACCGGGGCAGGGCCCTTGCGTTTCGAACACGATATCCACCATCTCCACGGTACCAAGCTCGCCGGGTTCACCCACCCTCCACATCACCTTGGGGTTCCGCATGTCGCTAAATAGCGGACCTCGAGCCATGATGATACTCCAGAGCTCGCCTACAATCTTGAGATCCTTTGGTATTTGAACTGTTTTCTCGACAATATAGGCACCCTTGTCAAGATATGCAACTTGTCCGCTCGCGCTTGCAGCGTTGAAGAACTGTTGCATTGCATCCGAATCATCTGCGGAAGGTCAATACGTGTTCAAACACGCTACCAGCGATCTCACCTGTGGCTCCGTCTGCCTTCAGTCCAAACCCTTTAGCGCTCAGGAATCTGTCATCTGTCAAGTCCTCGTACTGCGGCCGTGGTCGTCCAAACCAGTTCCCTCGCGGATCAACCAGGTTGGCTGGCCTCGGAATCGGGGCCAACTGGCGCTGAATAGTAAGTTCCTGTGCAACACGAACCTGCTGGGATGCATTCTGGAAAACACAGGACGTGCCATTGAAAATTTGCCCGTTTTGCTCTTGTCCGGCCGATGTCCAGGCATTGCCTTGTCCGAACAGTTGAATGTATTGGGCCCCTGGAAGTATGACGCGCGAGCTTGCATCCATGCCAACCGCAACAGCAGTCGGTGAGCCAGTAAAATCGACTCGCTCCAGCATTAGCGAGCCGCCTGACTGCGGTGAGCTATAGCCAGGAGCGTATACAGACAGAACGCCCAACGTGGCCGAGACCAGGCTATCCACGATCATGACAACGCTTACTGCCTGGTTGCCAAATCCGCCATTGGATAAGTCGAAGCCTATGTCGCAGTTCGTTATGATCACTTGACTGAAGAGCCATACCCAGTTGAAGACGAATTTGACGGCAGTGCGTGATCCATCTATGACAATGTTTCGTGACGTGAACTGCTGACTACCAAGGACCATGCCGATCGAGCCGCCATTAATGGTGATATCGCTGAACCAGCCCCCGGATCCGTTCTCCATGTTGATCCCCACTTGAGTGTTACCAGCCGCGCTCTTGGGCCGCATATTGATTCGGATGTTCTGCATGCCTGTTGCTTGAGCGACTTGCCAATGAATAGCGGACGTGTCATTAGGAGCCTGCGTCAAGTCAAAGTTGAAATTGCGAATCTGCCTATAAAAGTTGTTTTGATTGTCCCACCAGGTCTTGCCGGCGCCGCCAAATCCCGGGATATAGATGTTGGCATCAAATGCCGATACACCTATGATCTGGTTAGACTTGGTGTAGTTTGCCGCAACGAAAATCGTGGGCGGATTTATGGCGTCCCCTGAGTCAAACAATTAGCATCACAATTTGTGGGTGATCCCAGAGCTCTCACCGATAGCCTGTGTCATATAGTACAAGACAATAGCATTCGAGATTCTGTAAGTTCCAGCTGGGAAGTAGACAATCGCAGGTTGAATTGTCGACGATCCGCAATCCTGGCCAGCGGGAAAGACGCCGCCGCCACACCGTGATGAATTGCCGTGGGGCGGTTTTCCCAGGGTTCCAGGGAAAGCCACTGCATTGTTGATCGCCGTCGTGTCGTCTGTAATCCCGTCGCCTTCCGATCGTTAGTGAGTGTCTTCAACTCATGTTTATCAACAGACCTTTGGCGCCAAAGTCTTTGACATTGCGATAGTAAGGGTAGTTAGTATTTGGCTGGAACGTTACACTGCCTCTTCTGGTGATGGTTTCCCTCCAATATGGTCTCGGCTGCTGGGCATTGACTCGCGCAAATAGGCACAAAACCTGAAATAACAGAAACGACAGACAGGGAGCTGACAACATGTTGAGACAGGCCTGACAGTAGACAATCATTCACAAACTCAAATGCTGTTAGTGAGTCGAATCGCAAAAGCTTAAAGCTCAAAGCTCAAAGTCCTCTCTTGATCGACGCGAAGAGGGTCGGGGCTCATCGCGGTGGCCCAAGTGTCCTCCTCGACGGGAATGCAACTTCGTTGAGAAATGTGGCCAGGCGGCTCTCGGTCCATGTTTTTGAATGCCTTCCCAGCAAGGGTTAGATTTCACAGTATAATTGGCGGTCAGCACCGAGGGTATCTGAGCAAAGATCCCTACAAGCCATAATGTGGTTGGTTTTGTTCACCACGATCTATGCCGCCGCTCTGGTGGCGGCAGACGAGCCTGAATCCGGGGCGATCGACACAGCAGATATTGCAGACACTGGAGTCGACACTGGTTTTCTGTGTCCTAGTCCCATTGCCGTACATTGTCCGAAAGACGAGTAAGTCTACCTGTTCTGATGTCGTCAATGAGAGACCAAATCACTGACTGGAGTCAAAGCTTTTGTTGCTACTATGCCGAATGCGAGGACGGCGCGTGTCCTATCAAGATCGATCCGAAAGTGATCGACGGCAACTATATCTTCGGTCAGAAGCAATTCAAGCGCAACGGCGTTCAAGAGGAGCACATCAATGTGCCAGTAGAGCGTCGATGGCAGGCCTAAGCGGTGCAGCCAAGCAAAGCCTCTGGGCTCTGGAGCATGCTGAGGCTATGGCTGCACAGCCCTTCCGATAGAAAGCAGAAGCTGGCGAGTTGCAACGAGCAGGGGGAGAAGTTGGTGTTATAAGGCAACCCTGTGGTTAGGCTTTGAGATTAGCTTTCGGGTCTTGGCACCTGTACCCTACAACCCGAGGGCGCAACTGACTTACGCACTCATACTGTACGTTGAGAGTTGCTGTAATGCGTACTCGTGCGAATACTAGAAAAACTTCATATTTTGCAAACCTATTAATCTCGTATCGTCACCGAACGTCACTCATGGGGTATGATGCTTGAACGCCCATGATCGAAATGTAAAGGAGCCACGCGAGACTTCCGGTGCTTCCTCCCTCAAACCCTTCTGACATCGTCCATTTTGGCCTCGTACTATCTGCCATTCCTGAGGTGAGTTATCGGCACAGCTTCCGAGCCGTCTCGCTTAGATGCTGTCTCGATCAAGATTCACCGTAAGCTTCAGCAACCTCCTTCTTGTATTGCTCGAGAATCTTCTTCCGCTGTAGCTTCTGTGCCGCAGAGAGAAATCCCTGGAAAATTGTCAGCTAATTCACTGTTTGTGCCACTACAGCATAGACTTACGTTTTGTGGGGTCCACTCTTCGTCGGCGAGCACCACACCTTCAATGATTTCGATGCCACTCAGGCCCAAGCCTCGGCCGACCTTCTGGAGCTCCTTCAACACAGCTTCCTTCATCTTCTTGTTATGAGCAAGCTCCTCAATGCTGCCTCCCTGAATTCCGTGTTCGGAAGCCATCTTCTTCAGAGGAGCCTCAACGGGCACGACGATTGCAATCGGCCGATTCTTATCTTCCGCAGCATAGACGCAGATGTTGCCCACGACCGAAGCTGTTTTGTAGGTGGATTCGAGTTTTTCGATTGCGATGTACTCGCCGTTCAGGGTCTTCACAAGGTTCTTCTTGCGGTCGATGATCTTGAGATGACCATTGGGATTGAACTCGCCAATGTCGCCGGTCTTGAACCAGCCATCACTGGTCAAGGCCTCCTGAGTCTCCTTATCGTTATCCCAGTAGCCTTCGGTCACAGAAGGACCACGAATCCAGACCTCACCCTGTGGAGGCTTATTGGTCGAGAAGTATCCAGCATCTGCAAAGTCCACTAACTTGACCTCGACACATCCTGGAATGTCACCAAGGGCCAATGGATCCCAAGCCAGTGGGTCCTGAATGGCTCCCATAGCAGACGTCTCGGTCAGGCCGTAGCCGGATATCATAGGAGTGATGGCGTAGCTAATGAACTTGATGGTCTCCTGGGAGATGGGTCCGCCGCCAGAGAAGCCGACGCGAAGTCTGCCGCCGGTGGCTTCTTTGAGTTTCTTGAATACAACTGCATCGAGCACCCCAGCGCCGGGAAGACCCGTGCCCAGAATGGTCTGCTTCAAAGACAAAGCGCCCCAGAACATGTTCTTGACAACAAACGAACTGGAGTTGACCTTGCTAATGATACCTTTCTTGACACTTTCCCATACCGCAGGAACACCAATCAGGATAGTGGGCCTGAATTCGCGGATGTCGCCTTTGCAGTTTCGAACCGAGGCATCGGACAGTGTTTTGGGGTTGCCGTAGCCCATGATGCAGCCCCAGTACAGGCAAGCATTCTCAAAGACGTACTCCAGGATGTGCGACTGGGGGAGATAGGTCAGAATAGCATCACTTGGGCTAAGGTAAGGAGCCACGATGGATTGGATTCCAGCCAAAGACGCAATGACCTGTCTTTGCTTGAGCATGACACCCTTTGGCGGGCCAGTCGATCCCGAAGTGTACATGATGCAACACAGATCATCCGGAGTGGGAGGAACAGGCTCAACGGGCTTTGCAGCACCGGCTTTGCGCAGTTCTTCGAAGCTCTGAACTGTGAGCGAGCTGCGCTTGGCTTTGATCTTCTCCAGGTCCTCGTTGAGTGTTTTGGTCTCGGGTTCTGTATTGTAGATGATGTGCTCAATGCTGGGCGCATCATCGATAATATTGGCAAGTGTTCCGAGCAGATTCGGGTCGAGAAAAATGGCCTTGGAGCTGGTCTGCTTGAGCGAGTGCTTCAGACCGTCTGGGCCCAAGGAGTCGTAGGCTGTGACGATGGGGATTGATTGGGATCCGCAGGCATGGGACATAGCAAGCCAATGAGCACTGTTACGAGCGTCAGTAAATCGCGCGGCATCGCTCGCGCAAGTGGGGTTACTCACCTGGTGGCACCATAGACATGCACCTTCTCCTGCTTGTTCAGGCCCAGGCCAGCGAGGCCCGAAGCCAGCTCATGTACAAGCTTGTCATACTCGATGAAGGTCATGTACTCGTAGCCACTCAGCTCCCAATATGTCCATTTCTTGTCGACCTCCTGCTCCTTACCATCGACCATCTTCTTGACCTTCTTGTTCTCAACATGCTCTTTGATGACCCGGCGAGATCCCATAGCTTTGGCATTGCCAAATTTCTTAACAGCTCGCTTGAGGTTGTCGTATATGGTTGTAATATCAGCAGTGGGCCGACCGATGAGTTCATCTTTGGCAAGAGGATTCCGGCGCGGAATCGTCTCTCCATCTTTCTTCTCAACACCAGGCACTTCGACACTGAAAGGAGGCTTCTTCTTCATATACGGCTGAATGAAGCCATCAACGCGAGGCCTGGTGTCATGATCCAGATTCCCCGACATGGTGGATGGTGCAGGCGACGATCAAATGCGGAAGGTTGGGGAAATGTGAAGCCTGCGCAATGTCACAAGTCTGCGCCTCTTCAGAAAAGCAGGCTTACACAAGGGATGTGTAGCTGTAATCGATTAAACAATGAGAGGGTAAGGAGGATAAATAGAATGTGGCAGTGCGTACACCGTTCGGGCAGGCTTCCAAGGACTGGTGTTTACGAGCTCAACAGTTGCAGGCAAGCACCGTCGCTCTCTTACTTGCCAGGGCAATGCGGAGAGGCGACTTTCGGAGACGTCATTGGCGCCAAGGGGCGCTACCAAGGCACCCAGACTCGCCAGAAAGGCTCGGTCTCCTGCCCCTAGCAACCCAGCAAACCACCGCCCCTGACTCCGCCTCAAAAACCTCTCCGGTGCCAGCAACAAGACTGCCACGGCCAGTCAAGCCGTCAAGTAGGACACTACTGCCTGGCCAAAACGCCACCTGTTCCGCAAACAGTGCCTATCGTATCATTGATCACGCGGACTCTCACGGGTGCCGCTTTGGTAAGACCGTCGTCAGTGCGTGAGATTATCTCTCGCTTACGCCCGGTGCCTGGTCGACCAGCAGGCGGAACGACAATCTTCAACGTTTACTGTACGGTTTGAGCTGAGTATAAGCTGAGGCGCAGCCTCACTTGGTGCTGAGCGTTCCCCACTCTCATGCAAGGCTTTGCTAAGTGCTCTCTCGAGTCGTCATTCCAAGTGCCACTGGCTTTTAATGGTTGAGACTGTGAGCATCGCCGCCTTCATTTCCTGGCTCGGCGATCCGATTGAAGATGCGTCCGAGGAGACGTTCTTCCTTTTCAGCGAAAGCCTGCCTTCAAACAATCTTGGCTTCATTGACAGTAGAGCCCAAGAACTCGACTTGGACGTCGCCGGCCAATCGATTACACTGAAGCAGTCCCCTGGACTGCTCAACTCACAGCGGGATACCGGTACTACAGGTGCTGTGCTTTGGAAAATAACGCCGCTCGTTGCAGCATGGCTCGCCTCATCAGTCTCGGCTCTTCATCGCGCGGGTGTTTTGCGTGCAAATTCCATCGTGGTTGAACTCGGTTGTGGAATCACCGGTCTGATCGGGATTCTAGTAGCCCCAAGTATATCGTCTTACGTTCTCACCGACCAGACTTACATTATGAAGACACTGCGCGAGAACATCACTGCCAACGCTTCCACTCCAGGGGAACAGAGGAGAAAGGGAACTCGTCATGTTCTGGCTCGGCCGAGTACTGTCCCGCTCGATTGGGAGACAGATACGCCATCCCTTGATGGTCTTGGTCTGCAGACGGACCAGATGATCGACTTAGTCATTGTCTGCGACTGCGTGTACAATGAGTACCTAATCAAGCCGTTAGTCGTTACCCTTGAAGACATCTCTCGACTTAATCGAGATGGTTACTCGACAACAATCCTGATCGCTCAGCAACTCCGGTCGGAAACCATATTCGAGCAATTTCTGGCTGCGCTGATGGCATCATTTGCTGTCTGGCGCTTACGGGACGAAGATTTGCCCGAAAATCTACAGATGGGCTCGGGCTACGCTGTGCATCTGGCACTCCCGAAGCCCAAGCCGTGAACGAGAGGCCGTCTCCTGGCGGTAATTTGCTCATAGGCTGGAACTTGGGTTGTAGAGGAGTGGCTCAGCGCTCTTCGTGCCATGTCTGCCCCAAGTCTTGTCCTCATACCCGTCCTCGTCTGTCGCCGTCTCCGTGCAGACACCTTAGTATACGCTGGCGACCGCCACGGATCTTTCAACTCGGTTCGTTAACTCGACTTGATTGTCACGACCACAGCGACAAGACCAGTTCTCCTTCGAACTTCGTAGCTTTGGCACTTTTGCCTTCGTGGACCTGTCAACGCCCTTAAGGAAACGTGCCTCGTACCTGATGTGTCTTGAGAGTGGACCAGTCGGAGCGGACCGACCGATGGATCCACAACGAATTTGCGGCAGTCGTCGACCAATGCCCTGTACAACATCCTGGTGCAGGTTGTCAAATATCCATAGCTGATATGTCATACTTGCAACCAACGTAACGCGGATGTATACCACATATCGCATTGGCTTGGTGTAGACTTGGTACCCGCACCGTGTGGTACGTACTTTGAACAATAGTAACTCAAAGTCGGTGACAGGATGAGGGGCTCAGCCTCGTTTTGTCAGATCAGCCTCGTGGAGTGGACTCCCTAGCTTGGCGCTGTTCCCTGTGCTTTGGCTCTCCCCCTCCACAAGATTTATTCCGCCTGTTCAAGCGTTAGGACGCGTACAATATATCTTTTAGGAACCTTGCCGTTTTGGCGTCAGTGAGTTGGCCCGCCCAAGGGCACGCATCTGGCAAATATGGACCTCCGTAACACTATCGAGTCCACTCTGTCGGCGGATGCCACTGTGCGCCAACAGGCCGAAACAGCGCTCAAATCGGCCGAACAGCATCCAGGTTTCACCACCGCCCTACTCGATATATTGCAGGCCGAAGAAAATGCGGCTGTGCGCCAATCTACTGCCATCTACCTCAAGAACAGGATATCGAGAGGCTGGTCAACCGAAAACCCTGTTCATACTCCCATACCAGAAGGCGAGCGGAAGCCCTTCAGGGACCGTCTCCTGCCCGTCCTTGCCTCCACTCCCTCACAAATCCGGGCTCAACTCGTGCCTGCCCTTCTGACGATCCTACATCACGATTTTCCCTCCAAATGGCCGGAATACATAGATATCACCATCCAACTGGTGGACGGTCAAGATGCCTCGTCTGTCTTCGCAGGTCTACAATGTCTTCTGGCTGTATGTCGGACATATCGCTTCAGAGCAGGCGAGTCGGACCGCGTCAATCTGGATAAGGTGGTCCAAGCATCCTTCCCACGGGTGCTGGCCATCGGCAATAAATTGGTGGACGAAACAAACCCTGAGGCTAGCGAAATGCTGCGACTGGTGGTCAAATGCTACAAGCACGCCATCTACTACGAGCTTCCAACTCCGCTGCGCGAACACCAGACAACGGTCGATTGGTGCACACTTTTCCTTCGCATAATCTCGCACGACCCTCCTGCGTATGCCATGAATGAGGACATCGATGAACGAGAACAAAATCACTGGTGGAAAGCCAAAAAGTGGTGCTATGCCAATCTCAACAGACTCTTCGTCCGCTACGGTAACCCGACAGGTCTGTCCACGAGCCAGGCGAAAGAGTTTGGAGAATTTCCCAAGATGTTCATCACTCACTTCGCGCCGGAGATATTGAAAGGCTACCTCGGCGAGATCGAAAAATGGGTTGGCGGAAATCATTGGTTGAGCAAGCCGTCCCTCTCATATACTCTGATATTCTTGGAGGAGTGTGTAAAGCCCAAGTCTATGTGGGATGTTCTCAAACCCCATATGGACAATCTGGTCAAACACCTGGTATTCCCAGTGCTGTGCTTGTCGGAAGACGACATCGAGGTCTTCAACGACGATCCCGCCGAATATCTTCACCGGAAGCTGAACTATTATGAGGAGGTTTCGGCGCCTGATATTGCAGCCATCAATTTCCTGATTGCATTGACAAAGAGCCGCAAGCAGCAGACATACGTCATTCTGTCCTACGTAAATGAGGTTGTCACCAAATACGAGTCGGCTCCAGACGATCAGAAGAAGCCGGTTGAGAAAGAGGGTGCACTCCGCATGATTGGTTCTCTAGCTTCTGTCATCTTGGGAAAGAAGAGCCCAATTGCCGATCAGGTCGAGTACTTTTTCGTCCGTCATGTCTTCCCTGAGTTCAGGTCCCAGCATGGCTTCCTCCGAGCTCGGGCTTGTGAGACGATGGAGAAGTTCGACCAGCTTGACTTCAAGGATCCCAACAACCTCATGGTCATTTACCGCAATATGCTGGAATCGATGGCTGACCAGGAACTACCTGTACGAGTGCAAGCCTCGCTCGCGTTGCAACCACTGATCAGGCACGACGTGATAAGAACCGCCATGCAGCAAAATATCCCTCAAATCATGCACCAGTTACTGAAGTTGGCGAATGAGGTCGACGTGGATGCCTTGTCCAATGTCATGGAGGATTTCGTCGAAGTCTTTTCCGAGCAGCTCACTCCCTTTGCTGTTGCTTTGTGCGAGCAGTTGCGGGACACCTACCTCCGCATCATTCGGGAACTACTCGAGAAGAACGAGGCAAAGGCGCATTTGAATGGCGAAGCCCCGGAGTATGGAGAATATTTGGACGACAAATCTATCGCCGCCCTTGGAGTGCTGCAGACCATCGGGACACTGATCCTTACTTTAGAGGCCAGTCCTGATGTGCTGCTCCACCTCGAGACGATCCTCATGCCTGTCCTCACGATCACGCTCGAGAACAAGTTATTCGATCTATTCAACGAGGTTTTCGAGATTGTCGATTCTTGCACCTTCGCCTCCAAGTCCATCTCAGACACAATGTGGCAGGCATTCGAATTGATGCATAAGACTTTCAAGGACGGCGCGGAGCTATATCTGGAAGACATGCTGCCAGCCCTCGACAACTTTGTTGCTTATGGCCAGGATCGTTTGGTACAGCATCCGCCTTACCTTCAAGTCCTAGCTGGAATGGTTAGAGATATATTCCAAGACCAGAAGGTTGGCAGTGTCGATCGAATATGCGGTTGCAAGCTCGCCGAGGCCCTCATGCTGCACCTCCGTGGCCGAGGTCCACTCGACACGTATATTGAGACATTCATCAGCCTAGCCATGGACATACTGGCCAATCCCTCTCAAAAAGCCAACATGGTCAAGTCTTATAAACTTCACCTGCTCGAAATGGTCATCAACGCTCTCTACTACAATCCACTACTGGCCCTGCAGATCCTCGAGTCCCATAATTGGACCAATAAGTTTTTCTCTATCTGGTTTGGCAGCATCGACAACTTCCGCCGCGTCCACGACAAGAAACTGTGCATCGCCGCCATCTCTGCTCTGCTGACCATCCGAGGCGAGCAGGTTCCGCAGTCCGTACAGACTGGTTGGCCTAGACTATTGACAGGGGCTACGTATCTATTCCGGACGCTACCCGCGGCTATGAAGGCACGCGAAGAGAACATGCGAGCGAATGATGGTGCAGATCTGGACGATGAATATCTCTCTAGCGAAGACCCCGATGAGTGGAATGACGAACCGGGTGGCGCGCAAGACGCCTCTGAGTGGGGCAACGTCGAATCGGCCACTCTGCCAGATACTAAGGGCGACATCAAAGACGAATCGCAAGCGTATCTGGATTTCCTCTCTGAAGAAGCCAAGAAGTTCAGTTCACTCGTCGAGGATGACGAGGAGAGTATGCTTGAAGATGACAGCGTTCTAGAAAGCCCACTCGACAAATTCGACCCTTACGGTACCTTCAAGGAAAGTCTCGGCAGACTACAGCAGGAGCAGCCACAGCTGTACGGGCAGCTCACGGGCGTACTGGCGCAGGAAGACCGCGATGTATTGACCCAAGTTGTTCAGCATGCGACGACGCAGCAGCAACAACAACAACAACAACAACAAGCTGCCCAACGAGCTGCTGTACAGGAAGGCCAGCCCACTGCTTCCACCTAGTCAGCGCAAGCGGCGAAGATGGAGAGATTGGAGAGACTTGATCAGAAGCTATTCGCCGAGCTACAAGCGGCTCAAAAGAGAACTCAGGACCTCATCAAAGCGGCTGCCGGAATTCTCCTGGGCCACAAGACAGACTAGGCGAGGGCCTGGGACATCGCGTTGACAGCGACAGGGCAGTAAGCTCATGGGTGAAGGGACTCAAGATCTCGGCCGTACCTACAAGCCCACCTCGTTTTAGTAATCCGGCACACCGGAAGGGTTCACAGCGTCAAGGAATAACCGGCAGCATATCAGACGGGAGCAAAGAAGGTTTCGCGGGAAATGACGAGGAGGACAAGCGAGTGCGGACGAAGGGGCACGCCTCAGTAAATGCGGACACTGCAACCTGGTCTGCCTTAAGCTAGTGTTATCCGACAGAGACAGCACCCGACTACCCACCCCACCCAGCCCGACCCAGCATAGCCCAATGTCTAGCACACCCATAAACCCATCCATACGTAGCAAGCGAGTATCTCAAGACACGAACACTGCTTCTCCTGTTTTGTAAGGACACGACGGGTCACACACTTCAGTCTTTGGACCAGAGCATTGCTGGTCCTAACACTTATATTCATCTCTGCCAATAGCACCTGTAGAATCCAGCAAAGCTACAAGCCGCGAGTCGATGGTGATGTTCATTACGTTTCAAACCCAACAGATAGACAAGCTGCCCCTGGACTATTATGGAGGAATGAATATCTCGGGGAAGCAGCAGCAGCAGCAGCAAAAAGCGCCTCTCCTCTTCACTCCACGCCCCATACAGCGCCGCCGGCCTTCTCATATCCGCGATGTCTCTTCTCGAGGCTTCATGTTCATGGTCTTCCTCCTTATCCCGCAATTTTGATACAGCCCACAAAGCTCTCGAAAAGGACCAGTCCGTGACCCCTTCACTATGCCAGTCTCCGGTAGACAGTGCCGTGTAGCAGGCAATACCGTTCCATGCCTGTCCCAGTGTGTCCGGCAATTTATCTACCGAAAACCCAGATTCCCTTTACTTCGCAACCGTGAAATTTACCCGTATCGTCATGCCTGTCCATGCCACTCTTGATGATATTGCACAACCATACACGCAAAAATTCGTTCGCCGAAGACCATTAAAGTCAATCTGCAATTTGTTTCGCAAGGAGAATGAACGGTACTGATAGCACCGCTCACCTCCACATGCATGCCAACACCCGCATAAGGTGTTCAGAACCCAAGTCCAACCACCAGCACCGCCCGCTAGCCTGCACACTGTTTTGCCATAAAGTCAACGTTGGATATCTTTTTGCATTTACCAATCTGTCGAGTAGTAGTCGACCTGCACAATTTGATGTTGAAGGATGCCCATAACCGTTGAAGCACTCGCTAGAGAAGAGCCAGAAGCGCAGGAGCCGGATCGGGTGAGTTTGGCAACGACGCGGAAAAGCCCGGCTTCTAAGCAGGACTTTTAGCGCTTTGAGGGTTGCCATTGCGCCGAGGGGCTTGATTCTCATCGTTGACACTCAAGCCCGACAAACTAGTGTTAAGGAACGCAAAAGGATCGGCGCCTTGGTTGTTGCCGTAAAAGCCATTTTGAGGCGTACCAGTCGATTGCGAGGGAGTATCTGCCGCACCGCTGAAGGCAGCTTGAGCAGCAGGGCCAAAAGAGTGCTGCGACATGCTGCTAGAAGCGTAGCCTGGGGTCATGCCACCCATCTGGGGGAAGCCAGCGGGTGCACCCATACCGGAGGGCATACCGTAGGAATTGGGAGGAGGCTGAGCGAATGCAGACCCTGACCCAAAAGCCTGAGCACCAGCACCATAAGGACCAGGACCGGGCTCATTGCTCATTTGACTGGGAGGCCCCATACCAAAGTTGGGTGGTGGAGCCATGGGCGAGGGGTAGCTTTGTTCAACGACGATGGCCGCCCCAGCTCTTGGAGCACCACACCGCAGACAGTTGACATTCTTGGCAAAGTTGTGGTATGAGCATCCTTCGGCACCGCAACGCCAGTCACCAGCACGGAAGGGGACAGGACCGTTGCCTCGACCACCGCCATGATGGTGCCCTCCATGATGACCGCCATGGTGACCTGGACCTCCGCCATACATGTGACCACCGTAAGGAGGAGGGTACTGGCCGAAGTTGCCAGAGTATGGATCAACGCTAGCGCCTGCCGCGGGGAAGGAGCAGCGGAAGCACGCAGTGCGCCGCTGAAAGTTGGAAAAGCCGCATGATGGACAGTTCCAGTCGCCAGGGCGGGGACGATTCTTCGAAGGTGGGAAAGGAGTGAGAATCTCGGCGGCTCGATCGAGGACTCGGCTAGAGGAGGGAGAGACCTCGATGGCCTTCTCGTTGAGGGCGCGCCCGTTCATACAGAGAGACTCTGCAGCCTGATCAGATAATATCAATTAGTGAACCGTGACGTCAGAAGTGTCGGAGCCACAGATGAGTTGAAGATGAATTGGTGAGGAGGCAACGTGAAGGAAAGTTGCAGGCGAGCTGCAGACAGATTGCTATGAGGTAGGTGGCAAACAAACAGAACTGGGCAGCTAGAAAAGATAGGGTCTCGAGCTCGTTAGGCCACTTACCTCCTCATGAGATGAGAAAACGGCGAATCCAGAACCCGTCGGCTTGTGCTGATCTGGGGTTCGCAATGTCCAGAAAGCAATTGGACGGCCACCAAATTGAGTGAACCAAGATTCTAATTCCGACTGAGTGGTGTCATGGGGCAAGCCGTTCATATGGAGGACCTTGCTTCGCTCCTTTAAGAAGGCGTTGACATCTGCTCTTGCATCCATGGGGCGAGTCAAGATCTCGGGATGATCCTGAGCGGGTTGCGACTTCCGAATGAGACCTCGAAGAACTCTGGTCAGGGTAATGGCTTCTTCCATGGCCCGGCGTGGCGAGGCAGGAGCGAGGGCTTGGAGATGGAAAGGCAAATTGTGCTTGATGGGGGCTGACGATTGCACAGGTTCCACCTCAAGAGCGGCACAGATGTTTGCTAGTGAGCTTGGACCGAACGGCAACGACTCAGGATGGTGTTGCTGCCAGCGGGAATACTCAGAGCGGAGGTCGAAAGTGCGCGAGTGCTGAAGATAGGCAGGTAGCACGACGGCCTTGTCCCGGGCTTCACGAGGCAGTTGGACACGAAGGTCCCAGGCATCCAGTGTGACGAAGGAGAATTCCAGGTTCTTGTTGATCAGTTGTTCCTGGGCAAAAGCATCGAAGCGCGTAATTGCGTCTCGGAAAGAGCCGGCGTTCCTCACATGCTCCCAAGTCAGGGTGGTAAGGCTGGCTGAGACCACAATATCAGCCTCTGTGCAAATTGTGGTGCAGGGGTGAGACACTTACTGCACAATGGGGTGATTGGGGTGTTGACCGGCTTCACCAGGACGCTTTCACGATGCAACTGCAGTGAATGTGATCAGTCTGCGTTCACTTATGGTATGTCTGGGTAGCACTGCCTGCCTACCTCATCGCAAGTCTTGCTGTCGAGCAAGATCCATCCGATCTCTATGACCTCGGCTGAATCTTTGGTCACGTATACGCCATGTTCATCGCAAGTGGTCGCAACATGCATAACCACATAACGGTCAAGTTTGGGGGCCGCGGAAGCTGCAGATGCGGAGGCCATATTGTACAAGGGCAACTGATCTATCGACAGGTAGATTCGTGATAGCTAATGCGATAACGACGACGACCGGAGGTGGCGGCTTGGAAGCTACTGCATCCATTGTCAGCGGCGCTTGCGGAAGTATGGTCGGGAGGGGAACGTACACAGCAAATTGCAGGCAGATGTAAGTCGTGGACGGAAAAGCAGGACCACCGAACTCCGCACCGAGAATCCAGTTATGTCAGGCTCAAGCTGTCAAGTAGCTTGCTCCGAGCACTGGACTGGAAGAACAGACCCTCAAAAGAACGGGACTGATAGAAGGGAGATCGCAAGAAGGATGTGGGAGGAGGTTAGAGGAGAGAGACGGTGGAGTTGGAGGTGAGAAATGATGAAAGTCGGAAGTTCGAGGCAAAAAACTGGTGGACTTGATGCTCGGCTAAACGTCTTTTGGCTTGGTCCAACGCACATGGACATGGCTTCGCTTACGATACGGCACAGGTACACCATTATCCGCATTATTGGTACAGCAGTGGCTTGATCTACATGTATACAGTGGTTGTAGAGGGTTTGGCGACCTTGCAGGCGCTGGCGCCGGCACGTTGACCACGAGCGGCTGCAGTGACAGACCACGAAGTGCAGAAGACGTGCGGAGAACGGCACGTCTCATGGCTATCAGGCGGCTCGTGCAGCGAACACCAACGCTTGCTTCTTCACGGAGAGGGACGATGCTTGCTCGTCAACCTCTCGCAGGCCGTGAACGAGGTGGCGAGCAGCGAGGATACCGCTGTCGTTAGAGGCGGGACAAGAGCAGCTACCCCTCCATTTACCGGTGACTGTGCACACGAATGCCATGCGACGAACTCACTTCGGGCGGTGGACAATTGCATTGACAGCTTGTGCACCGTGCAAGCAGGCGTGAGCAGAAGCGTTGTTGATGCATGCAGCAAACGTGCATGGACGATGGTGCGACAATATCCCGGTCCGCGGGTGGTTCGTAGGCGCCGCTGCTGGGGTATTCCAAGGGTATCCAGTACCCGCTATCTCATCTCGGAACGCTATATCAGAAATTGGCTGCACGCTATCATGATATCGTAGCACTGCTATGACATCGTCCGTTTTCCGATCCGGACGAGGGTCGTTAAGCGGTGACAGATGCAGAAATCTTCTCGGTGAAGCAGTGCCGTTCCTCGCGCAGGTCGCACAGGTTGGCATGGGAGGCCTCCAGATTGACATGATGGACGGCGGTTGGGCGGGAGAGTGCTTCTCGCCTGCGTCACTTCGAGGCTTGTTGGCCCCGTGTCGGCCAGTGCTCAGAGCTGGCGACTGTCACTCCTATTACCCCCAAGAATAATAATGGGGGCGGTTGCTAAGGCCCCAGCGCGGAAAGCATCCCAAACACGCGGCTCTCCCTAGCCGACTGCTCAGGCGGCAATCCGGGTCCTGGGATTAAAAATCATTGGCTCAACCGCCTAAAACGCTGGGGGCCCGCCCGCCTCGTGGCGGTATGGGGGGGTTGCCGGGCCTTCCCAGCCAATGGGCTCACCTTCGGGGGCTCCAACGGGCACAACGATGCAACGGCCGGTATCAAACCACCACGGAGGCTTCTGACTATGACTACCTACTCAACGAAAAGCTGCTCTGCACGAGCACGAACAGTACTGGACGTTGTATGATTGACACTGTTGTCGCTACCGGCATCCCGATACAGACATGTCAAAGATCGACTGCTGCCCAAGACGTTCAGCCACAGTGTGGCAGCGTGTCCGTAAAAGGACGGCCGGGCGCTGTTTCCCTTGCTGATCGACGAAACTGCTGCCTAAAACTTTGCGCACAACTAAAGCCCGTCCTGACCGAAGTAAAGCATCTACAGTCGACTCGCTTCGACCACCGTCAGATCGACGACCGCTTCATAACCACTGTTTGCAGTCATCAGTAAAATGCTAAGACAGCGCCGCTGATGCAACAAGAGGACGATCTGGACTCCGAAGCCCAATCTACGGAGGACTTACTTGTAGGCAACGCCGCGAACGTTCCACGTCGATCGCGGCTGCTCCTGGGTGTTGCCCGCCGCGTCCGTCGCTTTGGCATAGATTTTCCTTCCCTTGCCTGGCGAAATCTTGATTTTCGCGCTCCAAAGGACCCAGCTCCACTTACTGGCCTGATCGCCACCGTCCTCGAGAAGCGAATCGACCCAGGTGACCCCTTCGTCGCCAGAGACCTGCACACGAACCACTGGTCCAGAACGACCCTGTGGAACTGCGTATCCTCTGACCTCAACCAGCCCAGATGCTGGAAGGGTAATGGTTGATTCAGGCTTGGGAGTGGCGACACAGGCATTGACCGGCATCTCCAGCATGGCTGGGGTCTTGGACCAAAACTGTTCAGCAACTTGCATGTCTACTGCTTCAGGTGGCAGAACCTTGTAATCGTGTTGCTGATAGAAGCATGGCGACTCGTCTGTCGATGCGGTGATACGGTCGAGCCATTTGACAGACCTCGCTCCTAACACACCTGGTACGATCGCTCGAACAGGATATCCGTGACGAGGCGGCAACGGCTTGCCATTCATCTACACGAGAAGAACAGTGAGATTTCAATCTGGCCACAGCCTGTGCAAGAACGCCGACCAAACATACCTTGAGCGCCAGGATCACGTCCATGTCTGGGTCCATCGTTCTCGAAAAGGGGATGGAGCCCCCATACCAATCATCTTCCTGGGTCTTACTCCCAAAGCTCGCAAATTGAACGTGCCCAGGTCGTACCCGCCCCTGCAGAGGCTCTTCGTTCACGCCCGCAGCGAGTAGGATGTCGCGAACCAGGGGTCCTTCGAAGACGCAATTCATGAGGGCCCCATCGAACCAATCAACGCCCGAGACTTCCTTGATACGGGTGCGCATACTGTGTCGCCTATTACCGGCACACTGCAGAGCACATGTGACGGTGTGTTGAGGGAAGTCGTGGGCGAGGGAAGCGAGTGACAGCTCTAGCGGGTTTGAGACGAGGCCATCGACCACCACACGGTGTTGATCAGCCGACTTGTGCAGGATCGGGCCATGGTTCCGATCGTATGTGGTCTTTTCGATGCACGTCAGGAAGCTTTGGAATGTTTAGAACCACTAAAAGGCCAGTCTCATCTGGGGTCGACTATATTGACTGGCAGGCTTCCTGGATCCTCAGCAGCAGCTTTGGGAATGATCGTTCCAGGAGCCCTCCCGTCAATGTTGTCGACCCCAGCTGATCTCGTGGAGTAACTTACCTGGAGATGAGTTGTGTCATGTTGGGCTCTCGGTTGACTGGCTTTTTGCAGCAGCCGTCATGAGAAGTGTCGACCTCGGCCTAAGACTTTCGTTATCGCCAGCCCATTCCTATGTGTGGGACGCCTTACGATAGGCATGGGTACTGGTCAGAGGGCAGGACTATAAGTGTACTCAGTGCGGTATTCGCTGATGCTACAATGCTTCAAACAGGGACCGAAGTGTTCCAGAGGAGGATTCGTTGGAAGACAAACGGTCAAGGTCGCGGCGTTACGACGCAGGGCGTGAATGCGACGTGCGTGTACAGCCGGCTACTTGGTGAGCCCTGATTTGCCCTTGGGGATCTATGGGCTATCCGCATTGCGGGGCAAGTGCGGAATTCAGCAACCCCGAGCGCCAACATCCCCAACATCGACTCTGATAGCGTTGCAAAGGTCGTGCTTGGTATTGAGGACATCTTGTGGTGTTGATAAGGGTCGCTAGGTGTAAGAAACTCCACATAAGGCAATACAGGGAGCAAGGCAACGAGATACCCCCAGAAAGGCGTCCTTGACCAATCACCGTGCTTGCTTGTGTCCACGGGGCGATGGTGTGATTTTAGAGAGTTTCCGCCAATTGCCTCTTTGGGATTACTATCCTGGCGACGATCTCCAAAGGTCCCTAGTGAAGGTCACGGGTCGCGACCTCCAAGTTGGTGGTGGTGAAGTGCGCTCGAGGTTTCGAACGTCGCTTCTGCATCCCCAATTCGCTAGAGGGGCCAACTTGGCACACGCTGATTACCGACACCATGCTGAGTCTCGGTGTCGTTAGTCCCGAACGAGAGTTTGTCTAGAAGACTGTTCAAGCTTCTTATCGGACTGGTGTACGGGCAGCAGTTGCGCGGTTGGCTCGCCTGCACGAGCTATACATGCCAAGAAAACATGACACCCCAGATTGACTGACCTACCAAGCATGGCGCACGCGGCGCGATCGGGATACATAATCCTTGAAGACTCACAGTCTGGCTGTGGACGTTTCGACTACTCCTGAAACTTCCAAGATTGACGATATGGCCCAAAAGGAACCTGAAGTGGCGCAAACGGCACCGCGGCTCGATGAGGAAGGTCTCTCTGCGGATGAGATCCAACTTCGCGCACAGGGGCATGTTGGCGAGCTGCCCCGACAATTCTCGCCACTGTCGACGCTGGCTCTGGCCTTCAGCATCACAAATAGTTGGGTTGGATATGCCGGTCAGTCGCTAACTTCGCTGCTTTGTCCACGACAGCCTCACCGATGGGGTACCGCTGACAGATGATAGCCACCTTTGTGACGCCTCTCTATGCCGGCGCAGGTCCAGCAGTCTTTTGGGCGCCAATAATTGCCTGCATCGCCTGCCTGTTCATCACCCTTGGCCTGGCCGAGCAGGCTTCTGCATTCCCCAGCAGTGGCGGGCAGTATCACTTCGCTTTCATGGTCTCGCCCCCAAAGTACCGAGCTGCTGTCGCCTTCACAGCCGGGTGGCTCAGTTCCTTTGCCTGGCTGTTCACAACCGCGTCTGCCAATCTATTCTGCGCGTCACTCTGTGTCAGCTTGGCGACGCTCCAGAACCCGGGCTTTACGCCTACGCAATGGCAAACTTGGCTCATTTACACGGTTTTCATCATCTTATGCACGCTCATCGTGATCTATCTCCCTCGATCTATCCCCAAGCTGGAGACGTTCTTTTTCTGGACATCACTGGTCGGGTTCTTGGTCAACACCATTGTCCTCTTGGCTGTATCGCCATCGAAGCAGACTGGCTCTGCCGTGTTCACCGAGTGGACCAATCTAACTGGTTGGGATAACGGCGTAGCGATGCTCCTCGCAATAGGTCAGTCCATGTATGGATTCCTGGTAAGTCGACTATGTTTGCCCTGTCATGAGTATAACTACTGAGTCAAGATTTCCCGCGTCTGCAGTGCACCGACTCAGCGACACACATCTCGGAAGAGCTCCCGAACCCCTCGCGCCACGTCCCACGCGCAATGTGGATGACCATAGCCATCGGCATAGTGACGACCGTCCCTTTCACCCTCGCAGTCCTGTTCTCCACTCAAGACTTCGAAGCCGTCTCGCTCTCGGGCCTCCCCATCATGGAAGTCTACCTGCAGGCCCTCCGCGGCAACACGTCGGCCGCCCTCTTCTTCACCTTCTGGATCCTCTTCATCTACTTCGGCGCCACCATCGGCCTCGTCGTGACCTCAGGCCGCCTCCTCTGGGCCTTCTCGCGCGACAACGGCCTCCCCTTCTCCGCCATCTTCGCCAAGACCCACCCGACGCGCCACGTCCCCGCCAACGCCACCATCCTCACCGCGTGCTTCTGCATCCTCTACGGCCTGATCTACATCGGCAGCACCACCGCCTTCAACAGCTTCGTCGCCACCGCCATCCTCAGCCTCAACCTCACCTACACCCTCCCCCAATTCATCGCCCTGCTCCGCGGCCGCGACCGCGTCCTCCCCGCCCGCCAATTCAACCTCGGCCCCTACTTCGGCACCTTCTGCAACGCCTTCGCCTGCGCCTGGGTCGCCCTGTACGCTGTGCTCTTCTGCTTCCCCATCTTCCTGCCCGTGACGGCCGACACGATGAATTACGTCAGCGTCGTCATGGCCGGGACGTTCTTGTTCATCGTCGTTATGTGGTGGGTCGCGGGGAAGCGAAAAGTGTTCACGGGGCCGAATATTGGCGTTGAGGGACTGGAGTTGTTGAGCGCCATCAATGCGGGGGATGTGCAGCGGGCGGGTGTGGCTAGGGGGAGTATGGAGGCAAAAGAAGCTGGGAGGTGAGGGAGTGGGGAGTGGGGAGTGGGGAGTGGGGAGTATGAGTGAGAGGTGGAGCAGGTCCGTTGGCTGTTGAGAAGGACGGCTTGAGGGTATCGAGAGTGCACCGAAAGGTCAAGAAGATTGACGGGCGGGAGCCCCCAGATTCACAGCAGTTCAGGACGAGTTGAACAGATAACTACCCCTCGATCCATCTGCAATAGCCTGGCAATGACCACTAGTACCTAGCCGTTGCCAGCAACGCGCAAGCAGGAGTGGCCACGTTCCGGTAGACTTGCAGTTTTCATCACCTTCTCCTCCTTGACCCGCAACACCGCCTCAGGACCGCGTTGAGCCGCTTGCGCACCAAGAACTTATACTGCACGATCCCAATACAGATGACCAATACACAAGCCGTGAACGGCATCGCCACAGCCCAGAACAGCCACTGGCTATCCTTAGTATCCCTGATCTCTTTGGTATTCATGCCCAGCAACCCGGCAACGAACGTCAACGGCAGGAAGATGACCGTCACTGCTGTGAACACGTAGATAGCCTTATTATTATCTTCGCCGCGCACATTGATGAAATGCTGATTCCAGTCCGCCGCCTGGCGTGCGTGCTCGTACAACTTCTTGAAGTGCCGCGCCGTCTCGTCCAGGTGTGCCAGGGTGCGGCGCTTGACGCGCTGGTCGAGGGCCTGCATGGGACTCTCCCGCTTCTTAATGGAGAACAGGTCGTTGACGATGCTGCGCTGCTGCTCAAGAATCTCGCCTACCGTTGCAATCTCCTCGATGAGGAGCTTGACATCCTTGTGAATGCGCGCCGAGGCGTGGCGCTTGGCCTTGACAATGCACTCGGACGTATATTTGCTGTAGACGTGACGAAGGTCAAAATGTGGAGCATCGGGCCGGTCTTCGACCACCGAGCTGTCGGAAATGTCGAGGACATTTTCGACCAGGAGTGCGAGGAGCGTATCTGCAGTGCGCAGTGACTCAAAACCTGCAAAGCGATCGTCGTCTGCTTCTGCATGAACGCGCATGCGGATGAAGGCTGCCTCTGCTTCGCGGAGATGCTCGTAGAACTGGTCTTGAACTTGTGTGAGATGGGAGCTCTCGACGCCATACCGTCTGCTGGCACGCCAGATGCATAGCAGGTATAGCACGATGCTTTCGAAAGCCTGTATCAGAGGGGTTGGCATATTATACCTTATTGCGCCATCGTCATCGCCTGAGTCCGGTCGGATGCCCTTGAGGAGATCAGAACACACGAGCTCCAGTTTCTCAATCTCATCTTTTGCTGCGACCACGTATTTTATTTCGTGGCGGTTCGGGTAGGTTTGCCGTTCACTCTGCAGATTTTAATGTCAGTGAGCCACACAGTATTGCGATAGAATTAGAACCAACCTCCTTCACCGACATACAGCAGATGTCGAATACCATGCCCCATACCTTCGCAATTAGCCTGGACTTGTGTGTTTTGACGTTTATGAAGCAGCGTAGCATGCCATAGACACTCAGAAACAGCTCCTCTTTCACCTCCTGGAAGCTGAACTCTGCACCAGCCTCTGGAGATGGCTGATTTTTAGACTGTCCAGCTTCCAGAGCGGTTCGATCCGCTTGCAACCGCCACATCAGGTCGGAGGCAGAACTGGATGGTGTTTCTTCATAATCTTTAGCTGTGATTGGGAACTCTTGAGGAGGAAAAGGAGCCCCTTTTGACATTTGGTCGTCCACGAGGGCGATTATGGACATGACACCTCCCTCGACCACATCTGCTTCTCCTGAACCACCCACAGCAGGAGCAGAGGTAATACGTCGAAGGTCAGTCGTCTTCGTAGTCGCATCGAAGCCTGGCTGCCGCTCGATCCTGCCTGCTTGCCGTTCAAAGAACGGGACCAGTCTTCCTATGGCTCCAGAAATCCTGTCAGATGCCTGAGCTGAAATCCCGCTCTCCTTTTCGACTTCTTCGCTTTGGCGCGACTCCGTAGATGGTATAGGCGGTCGTCTTGTGTGTACAATATTCGTTGAAGGGAGATCTGTCATGGTCTTCTGACGTCGCGGCGCTGGACGGAACGGAACATTAATCGGTCGCGCTGGCACTCGTAACGCAGCGTCGCCTTCAGCGACCAGTGGTCGACGCAAAGGGCTTGCATCGAACAAAGTTATTTCGGAGCTAGCACCAGATGATGTCGAGTGCCTCCTTGGTGTTTCCAACGGCCTTGATGCAGACGTATGTCTCGTGTCGGGCGTAGCGAACAGATCAAGGTATGGTTCACCATGGAGTTGTTGGCCAAAAACAGTTGCAGATGACCCCCTCAGATGGTGCGTCCGTGAATCGCTTAGTAAAGGGTCCTGGGCCTCTAGGTCAATATCTAAGTAAGGGTCAGTTGCTACCACAGTGTCCCTTGAGGGTGGGAGTCCCAAATTAGCAACTGAAACTTGGCCGCGGCCCACGAAATGGCTGCTCAATGATCTCGGTCTATATGTTGTTGGGCTGGACGATCCGACGGAACCATCTTGAACAACAATGTCCGGCACAGGTTGTCGTGGCGAAGACATACTGACATGCAGCTCGGACGGATCACTAGAGCGTGGATTTCGAGTAGAATGAGAATCGGTTGGAGATGAGGCTCGACTATGCTCTGGTGAATGTCGACCGAAGGAGTAGTGTCGCGGTCCCGAGGTCTTGCGCTGTTTTCGTACCCACGGTTTTGAAGTTGTGGAAGCCTCCGGTCCGTGATTAAGGCCCGGGCCTGTTCTGTCGGGTATCATTAAATGGTACCGTGCAGCGTAGAGCATAAATCTGCTGAGTAGACGACTGCGGTGCAGTACAACAATCCTTTTCCTAAGCTTCGTAATTCGACTTTTCATGTCATCAATCTCTTTGGTTGGTGCCCGGGAACGATGGCGTTGAATGAGTCGTTGTTTCAGAACCTCTAAGTAGAGCCTGGATGCAGTGAGAACCAATGTCCTGATTTGAAACGTCTGGTGTTGTCTTTGAGCAAATTTGAGGCTGAGAACATCGCCTTTGCCGAGTCTCACTACCCGGAGGTGCACGAACTCGGTATGATCATACTGTGAGTCAACGATGTCGATCCAACGGGTACTGTCGACGACTTGAAACCTCAGGTCCACGATCTTGTACTCCGAGTCAGATTGGCGAAGCATCTGTGCCAGATCAATCTCGCGGACGGGATCCTTCTCAGACTCAATGCATGATATGTAGTCGATGAGGCTCTAAAGCGGCGTCAGAGGCGTCCTGTAGGGGTCTACGGTGCGGACTTACATGCCATTGGCGACACTCAAGATCGACCAACCTGCCCTTCCGGTCGGTGTACTTGACAATCGTTCTAGTGTCTTTGCTCACCGGTGATTGCCCGGGCTTGATGTCGGGCGATTGTCGTTCGATATTCTTGCCGCAGAGATCGTCGACACTGAAAGGCGCACATGTGATCAGGGTGACTAGTCCTGGTTAGGTCCAGTAACAGAGGAGGGAGACCTCCACTTACACATATTGACGACTAAAGCCCACAGCTCTGGGACTTGGACAAAGCGTCTGGATGCACCAGCAGCTTTGTTGATCTTCCGAACAACTTGGCTGAGGTCTCGCTCATCATCGATGGCAAGAATGTTCGAGTACTGCAGAAGCGACCTTACTGGATGCAAGTCTGAGCCTCTTATATCTTTCGATGCTGGGTAGACGGGAGCGGAGGCACTTTCGGTCTCAGCATTGAGCAACGCAAATATCGGTATGCTGATGAACGTGGCGCGCACTGGGACCTGCTGCTCTCCGACCCTATGGTCTCTTTCGGACTTGTGCACTGTGTGGTCAAAGAACCGTCCTCTAGCCGAGATCTTTCGGAGGTTCCTGACATCTTCCAGACACTTGGTAGCGACGGCTAGCTCCTCTTCATAAAGACCACTAATGCCTCTAACATGTTGCTAAGTCGTGATCAGTAAGAAAAGTTGTGGTGACAGACTTGACGTACCTGGAACTCGGCGAAGGACACGGGTAGGGTGTGCCGGTGGTGGTGCCTGCTTCAGTCAGACTTGCCATCCCATACGGTGAGGCTGCTCACACCCAGCGGAAAGATCGTCTCGTCCCTTCCGGGGCATGCTGAGATCTGATATCCAATGTCACAACCTCCCTGTCGCGATCGTCGGACCTACTGATCCACTTGGATTTGGTGATGTCGAGCTGTTCTGGAGCTCCCAGACCAGACGTGCTGGTTCCCTGTGTTTTGTCTCTGGAGCGGGGAATTGGGAAGAGCGTCTTGTGTTGCTTGAACTTGGGCTGTTTGTTCTCTGGGGGTGGAGTAGTCGCTGCCTTCTGCCTGTCCACAGCGGCTGGCTTCGCTTTGTCGTCATTGACGATAACCTTGACTGCTTTTTCGCTAGTGGGCGAAGCGGAGTCGTCTGCATGACCGTTGGTCAGCCTTGCGTGGCCGGGAGAAGTGATATTCTGGATGCGGGCTGATTCCATGCCAGCCATTGCGTATTGGCTCTTATTGCGCAGAAGGAGGTAATATCCTGCACACCAGGATGAAGCACTCGTTCATGAGCATATACTTCCAGTTGGAAGGCATGAAGCTGTAGAAACCAGAAGTCCAATTATCAGGCTGGCCTTCGATGTGAACTCGAGGAGGTCGCCATGACCTAGAAGACGACGGAATGCGAACGCTCAGCCGCATCGAACTTGACCGTCGTGTATGCATGGCCTTGCATGGGTAGGTCACAAAGAAATGACACACTGGCTGGGGAGCGGTTCGAGTGGTCCAGAGGTCGAATCCCATGCATGTCGGTGGGGAAGGCGGGGACGGCGCAGCAGGGCCAGTCCAGCGCCAGGTCGTGTTAGGGTGAAGGCCTGATGCTTGGAAGCTAGCTCGCAGGCTTAGGTGTACCGAAAGTCCCCATGGTTCGTGATGACGGCGAATGGGGAGGTCGCTACGGCTGTAACCTCATCCGTGAATATCGCCATCGAACTAGAGCAACAAAAGGACCGAATACATGTAGTCTATACTTCAGCCTTATGCTCTAAACACGTTGCAAACGCATTCTTGATGGACCAGGACAAAGGCATAGACGTGCTGAATCGATGAGGCCACATTTTGGACGGACGCGTAGAGTGGCAAAGACGGGCAAGACTTGGAAGGAGCCGGGGCAGGAACGAATGGACGCACTGTGGGCGGGAGCGTTCGCGCAACGCGGTTTTCATGTGTCCCAATTCGAGCTCGTGGAGTTGAGGCGAATACACGACACGTTTGCTGATATCTTCTGACGCCTACGACCATGATACCCTGTCTTGACCTCTAAAGCTCCACAGCGGCCTTGCGGAGTCGAATAATGTACCGATATTCGAAGCATTCAAGCAGACGTCCTGCCATGAGACCGTGCATAAACATACCACACCAACGTCTTTGTTTGCGCATTGCACCAGGAGAATAAAAATACACCTCCCTTCCCTGTCACGGCTTCTCACTCATCGCCATCGTCGCTGCTTGAAGCTCTTGTCGCCCCATTCGCCACCAGTACCCCTCTTTGCTTTCCCTTTCCTCCCACCCCTAGTGGTTCTCCCGCCCTCTGCAATCAATATGTCCGCGTCGTCGACCACAATGCCCTCCGATTGATCGACAGCCAAGCTTTTTTCGTCTCCCAAGCCCTGGAGCTCATCTTCGTCCATCTCGGACAATTCCTCGCTCATCTCTCTAAGGACTTGCTGCCCAGTCCAACGTTCTTCGAAGATCGTCGTGCCACTGGGGTCGAATTGTTCCACGTACCAAGGGATGCCGCCGTGGCTGAGAGCCGGGTGCGATGCCTGTCCATGCCCTTGGCTTTCGAGAGACATGGGCGGAGTCGGGGGTTCCGGATCTCTGTTGATGGGACCTGAGACAACATTGATAGTCGTCTCTGGACCCGTATCATGATCGTGCTTGATGCCATTAGTAGAAGGAGGAGGAGTGTTTGCAGCGAGTCCGGCAGCCAGGTCAGCAACAGCGCTAAGACCATGTTCGGTGTCACTTTCGGCTGCAGCGCCATCGACGTCCGGTACATCTTTGGCATCAGCTATCACGTCGACCTGCACTTGCTCGTCTGCATCTTGCATCTCGACATCTTGCGGCTCAGGTGTAGCAACACCGTTGGCCTGCTCTATCGACTCGACAATGGTTGCATCCTCCATGGCGTAATCGATTGCCGAGTTCCGCCGAGACAATAAAGCTTGATCAAGCTCTTTCATCTGCTGGGCGAATGGACGGCCGGTCAATTCGGACTCTTTCCGTATCGCATCTTCCAGAAATGGTTGGCACGCTCGTAGAATATGGCGGGCTCGTGAGCGCATTTCTTTCTGCTCCGGAGCCATATCCTCAGCGCGGCCGCTAACTTGCTGTATGATTTCGGAGAAGTTCGACGCGTTTGACCCGAGTTTGTCGGCGAAAACTTGAGCAAACTCTTTCGAGAAAGCCGTCACAGAGGTAAAGACTCCTTCACGGGCACGGTCTTTGAGGGCTAGCAAGCCTTGCCGATACATCCGCTCCTTGTCGTGCCTGGTCCTGTTAGCTGTTGCCGCCTTTGCAATAATGGAAAAGACTTACTTCATAGCTTTGTCAACGATTGGTTCGAGCAAAGGGGGCATGGGGAAGTAGACAATGTTGATAGTGTCCCGAAGTAATCGCGCCTCCGCCAGCTTATCAGCCTCGCGCTGTTTGACCATTTCACAGATTTGTCGGATGCGCTCGAGATCGCGCTCTAGCATCTCCGCAAATTCGATACGCCGATCAAGCCTCGCCCGACCAACTGAGCCTTGGGCCTTGTAGTCGCGGCGTGTCACCTCGAAAGAGCTGAAAGTGTCCATTTGCAACTGAAGGCGTTTGAGCAAGGCAGCGCCACGACGGGCCTCGCGCTTCAGTGTCCAATATTTGCAAAGCTCCGAGACATACTCTTTCTTCTTCTGCACCGAGAAGCGCACGAGAGAGTCTTCGATGGACTTGAGGATGACTTCAGGAATAACAGGCGCACCAGAAGGTAGTCTCCAGATAGTCTTCTGCTTCTGTCCCTTCTTGTTTGTGAGTGTAACTTTGAGCGGGCCCTTCTCGTTGCTTTGTCCGGGAGTATCGTCGATTGCGAGCGCAGAAGCCCGGCTGTCCGCCCAGACTTGACCCTTGAAGTGGCTCTTGCAATGCTTCACCGTCATCTCGTAGGCCCGATCCGTGTTGTGGTCTGCCTTCCAATCGTTGGGGGAGTGTTGATGGCAGTAAGCGCGCAATGCGGCCTGGTCCATCAGGGTATTTTGCCCGCCACCGGTCTTCATCCGAAGGTATAACCCGCCTTGGCGTGCGCAAGTCAAGTGAAAGGCTCGGTAACACCTTCCGTCGCTACATTGTATACTTGCACCCATTGCTTGATTGCAAATATAGCACAACAGCTTCCAACGACTTGGTGGAACCTTCTCGACATCGGTTATCGGTTCCATCAGTGAAGGGTTGCCGATCTGCACCTCCGGAATCCAGATCGCGCAAAACAGGTGAGCCCATTTTGCGTTGTTGGTTTGTTTGAAGGCTCCGCCCTCGTGCGGACAAAAGATGCAGCTCGGTCGGGAGTTGCCCACGAGCTGACACTTCCGACAAAGCCACTGACCTTCCGGGATATAGGGTACGCCATAACATTCCTGATGCACAGCCAGGTCGCATCCATCGCAGAAGACGATCGCATTGGCATTCTCACAGTCACCATCGTCGCAGATAGCACACTTTGTGTCACCTTCTTCACCAGCAGGTTCTCCATTGACCGCCGCCGCCGAGCTTGATCGTGGTCGCTGCGTTTGTGGCGCTTTGGGGTTTGGTTTCGGTATTCTTTTCTCAAGCGCATGCCACTCTTTCTCGATCTTCGTCATCGTGACCTCAAAGATGGCCGGCTTAATCGGGCCTGCACCATCGGCTACCCGTATTCGGTTGAAAGCATCGAGCCATTTGACATCCTGCTCATCCATATCGTACTCAACTCGGCCAACACCACCTGAACCGATCGCCGAGTTCTCGACATTGATCAGCAGATCAGGGCTGAGTTCAAGATCTTCCTCGGCCGATCCTTCAGTCTGCCGAATCATGGCTCTTTCAGGCCGTAAGAAGACCTCGCTCTCTTGATATCCTACACTGGCCATGGTCTTGTCAACATAATTGACCCCATTTGCCTCCTCATATGCTGTGAAAGGATCAAGCTCTCGGAAAGAAGGCTTCGGTAGTGTCAGCCTTTCGCGCGGGTTAGGCCCGGGAGGCGGAACGACTTTTGGTGTCTCTGGTGTCAGGAGTGCATGGAGCATGGAATCGGTGCGACGACCGGGCGGTCGCCCTCGCTTCTTCGGCGATCCAAGGGCAGGTGGAACCTGGAACGATCCGCTATGGTTCTGCAGGTCGTGATCCTCACCATCTGCGGCATGCTTCTTGGCTGTTCCATCAATCGCTTCTGACGCAATTACAGCAAAATCGGCCTCCAGATCGAGGTCAGCATGGAACTCCTCCCATCCCCGCTCTTCTCTAGGCTTGTACCCGTCGCCGTGCGCAGCAGCGGCAGTGGCGGCTGCAGCAGTGCTGTATCTCGGTCGTTGGGCACTTGCACGATTGGCACTTCTCGCGGAGGTGCGGGGGGTTCTAGGCGGCAACGTCTTGTTCGCGTCTTTCCTTGGCCTCCCTCGCGGTCTGGGGGCTGGGGTGGCTTTGGGTGGTGGAGTTACGGCACCCGCATCTTCGAGGTCCACGTGTCTACCACCGCCACCTCTTCCGCCTGGGATCCATTTGGACCTTGAGGTTGTAGCTGATCTTGAGGTCCGCATGCGCTTCAGAGGAGGTTCGTCGTCTTGCGGGGTGGAGGGCATGGTGTCGAAGTCGGAATCGTGATAGCCATTTATTTGCGCCTTAGGGACGGAGCGCCGCGGTCTCGTTCTCGCTTGCGCTGTCCTCAAAGGCGCCATTGCGCCGGAGTAGAATGTGTTGACGACGCGCCTTCAGTGTGCTCAGCCTGACAAATGGCAAGTGCGGCCCGCATCTCTTATTTTCAGGTGCGCATCGCTTCCGTATAAGCGCTTAATATTGAGGAGGTGGTCACGTCAGAGGGTATGCGCGCGTCTTCACCTCACTATCGTCAGAGAGATCGAGGTTTCTGCGCGTGTATTTGTCCTTTGGCGAGATGGACGGTCGTTCACGCAGGAGGCAGCCCACGAACCTAAACTAAACTTGAACTAGCTTAGCGAGCTCCTCCACACTCGTCGGATCCACTCTGTACCCGGCCAATCAGAGGCTAGAGACGAGATGCTCACGCGAAGTAGAGACTTGCCAGCACATGGCGCGCATCGGCTTGTTGTATTTAGTGCTTTGAAATCTTGCTTGCACTCTCTTGAGGTCCAAGTGAGTGACAAACGAGCGTCGAGTGAATAAGTTTGCCTGCGTCCGGCTATATGAGCACAACCGAAGAGTAAGTCCCCGCTCCCTGTCTGCTGCCATCACCCGTACTGCGCATGCAACCATGTCTACTCCGCAGCCTCAGAACCCCAGGTGGTCGCCGTCAAGTGCTAAGTACCGTCCTCCTCACAGCTTTCGCGCAGGCCGCCGCGGCAACGATTCTTCCGCACGAGGAGGAAGTCAACGCAATGCAACCGCGTCTCGGGATGGCACTCCAGGTTCGCAGCAGAACAGAAGAGGAGGAGGATTCAAGCAGCAAAATCATAATGTGAACCGATCTCAGCAGCAACCACAGCAACATCAAGAGCCGAGTGCCGCGAATGGGCCAGCGGCGCCGACTGATCAGCACGTGCCCTTGAATGGGTTCAACGCTGCGGCAGTCGAGAAGTTCCTCGTTCAAGGCGTCGACGCGAAGACGCAGGTCTACAAGCCGACAGCTGGTGGCGAGGCGGCAAAAGGCGGGAATCCTTGGGGTGCAAAGCGTACATTTTCCCAGTACTTATTCCCATCACCGCTGGACCTAGCGCTAACGTTCGCAGCTGGTAGCATGGCCAACAACAAGGATTTCTGGCTCGAGTTGCGAAAGCAAGTCACCACGTTGCAGCAGCAGCAGGCCACTGGTGGGCCGCAGGGCGGTTAAAGTCGCAGACACACACATATGTCTTCCTGTACAGCATTGCATCATGGCAGGATAAGCAGCATTCGGCAAAGGCATTTCACTGTACCAGTTACCCTGCAGGTTGTCGGGATCAATCACGAGCGTTGCATGGAAGTACTGTTTTGCAAGCAAGCGTTGCTACTGAGCATATCGGAGGAACTGCGTTGGACCTCCCCATCCGCAAGCAATCAAAATGAATTCACTTCTTTGTTGTTTGATTGGGTTCGATCTGCAACGCAGCCATCATTCCTCAAGCATCAAAGTCATTGCAAAAAGTCTTCTTCTCTATATCCAGAATTCCCTCTCCATACCCACCGCCCTCCTCACCCGCTGCCCACCGTGGTCAGCGGTGGCATTGCCCCCAACAATCCCGTCTTCGCTCGCCTCACTTGCCCACGCACTATCGAGTTCCCACACCCCAACACTGACACCCGCACCCTCGTTGATGCCACCCACATCAATCTCCACCTCGTCAAGCAATCCCTTGGGGAAGAACGTCTGCGTCGCGCTCCTCTCCCCACCCATGAGGAAGACCTCCCACACGCTGCGATCCACCACCATCAACATCTGCCAACTATCGCCCAGCACCAAGCCGGCACTCACTTTATCGGTGAAGAAGGGGTTCGAGAACGCCGTGGTGTTGCCTCGATCCATCCAGAACGAGGGGTCGCCGCCGAAGCGCTGGCCGGCCAGCAGGCTCTCGCCCGTCTGGCTGCTGCGGACCGTGATGTTCAGGCTTGCGGTGCCAGCGATGCCCGTGGTGTTGAGGTCGGTGATGTTGGCTTGGATCAGCAGCGCGCCGGTCGCGTTCTCGCCTGCGCGGGCAGTCACGGTGCCGTTGCCGACGTTGGAGCTGGAGTTGAGCACTTTGCCTTGCACGGCTTCGATGTCGTACGGGTAGGACATCAGAACGTAGTCGCCTCTCGCCGCGGGGCTTCGCTTGATCCAATTGCGGCGTGGCAAGCTGGTCGCGCTCTGCCAGCCTTCTGCGGGGCCGGTGGGCACGTCGTTGGTGTATTGCCAGTTGGAGGCCCAGGCGATGCTGATGGCATCCGCTGAGCCGTCGTCGCCGTCTCGATAGAAGAACTGCGTGGCGTAATTGTCCTTGCCGAAATCTGCAAGGCGTGCTACGCCATCCACGGCCTCAAAGTGCGTCCCGTTGAAACTGCCCGGGAAATATTCGCCAACAGATCCGCCTAGAGGCGCCCCGGGATTGATCGATACGTACATCAGCCAGATGGGCTCGGCATTTCCGTCGTCATCGATGTAGGGCATCTCCACCAGATTAGGACATTCGTATTGTAGACCGAGGAAGCCAGCATGGGAAAAATTGGAGGCGTGCGTCCAATTGAGGAGATTAGGGGACGTGTAGATACCAACCGTGAAGTCGTGAGCATAGGCTATCACCACCACCCAGGACTCGGCAGCCGAGTGCCAGAACACCTTGGGATCGCGAAACTGTGTGCTGCCTATGGCGAGGACGGGGTTTCCCGAAAAGTACTCCCACGTGTAGCCGTCGTCGTAGGAGTACGCAATGGCTTGGTTTTGATCATCTGGTCCGTTGGCCGTGTACATGACGACGACGCCATTGGTTTGGTTCGGAAAGAAGCCAGAGGTGTTGTTGACATCGACAACGGCTGATCCGGTGAAAATGCCCGTGACATTGCCATATGGCGCAAGAGCAATAGGCTGGTTAGTCCAGTGATAGAGGTCGTCGGAAGTGGCATGGCCCCAGTGCTGATTCCCAGCTATGGTATCTGTTGGGTTGTACTGGTAGTAAAAGTGATAGGTTCCGTTCGCGTCCTGGAACATGCCATTGGGATCATTCATGAACCCATTCGGCGGGGAGAAGTGAACCTGCGGGCGATACAGCCCACTGTAATTGCCCGGTATAGGGCCACTAGGAACATTTTCGTCACTTTGAGCCGAGACGAAACTGCTTGCAAACAGGAAGAGTGCTGTGGCTAGCGCTAGCATCGTGAAGATGACGACGAGACGCCGTACTCGAGATGGGCGGAGGGCAAGTGGCCAGCTCGGCCTGCGTGCGTGACCATGCTGCTTTGTACTCCGCGTGCCAGAGCTCGCGGCCGACATGGGTGAGCTATAGAGTTTAGGATTCGCATGCAGCTTGTCGTCAGGTATATGTCATTCAACCAAGTGGAACACGACCGAGCTACATTTTTGATAGATTCTGCAAACCCCTTCAGCTGAGGCATAGCCAAGCCGTGAACGCTAGGCACACGGATTTGCGCGAGTGCACATGTCTTGCGACCCGCGAACTTTGGGCATGGTCACAGAAGAATTCGTTCAGGAACCGGGCGTGCTTGTTCGTATCGGACCGATTGATCTACAAGCATCCTGGTCGAGGCTGCTTGCCAAGGTAGGTGGGGATGTGGGGAGAAAAGCCTGACCCGAGTCTCCGATGCCTTCTGATTTGACCTGTTCAAGGGTACCTGCGTCCGTTCGCCTTTATGGGTAGCTTGATCAGCCTTCGACGGCAACGACGATACACCATTGGACTTCCTCACATCGTGTCTAATGATAGCGCTCGGAGTCATACATTCCACAAGGATGCGACCTTCAGTCTTGGTAGAAAGCTCATTCGAGCGAGCCTGAGCCATCTGACCATGAATTCGACTGCGGGGATTTTATCCCCGAGTTGCCGTCAAACCAGCCGGTGGGTATTCAGCATCGAGTCGTTAACTCATACGCGGCATATATCGGTACGCACGGGAAAATGGTGTCAACGTCTGGGCAACATGGACCAGGTTTGTCAGTTCCTGAACTGCCTTTTAGGAAAATTCCTGCTGCACGACACCGACAGACCGGATACAGCTTATTTCACGACGTTGTTCAAAGCGTGGCTTGACCGTGGTCGATTTCATACCGAATATGACAGCCGGACCCCCAAAGAACATCGCCCATGGTGCCCCAAGGCATTCGGAGGGCGTTCTGCATGCTTCGTTCATTAGCACGTGATGTTATATATATACTCTCTAGATATACACTCTTTCTAGGTCCAACAATTCCAGCAGGTCCGGTCAACCACAGACGTTGCTGCAATACAGGAGATGTCAATTGCTTTCCCCAGCTCCTGCTCCGGGCAAACGCTATGCGTGCCTCTTCCGGACACCTGGTTGCATCCAGATGACCTGATCTGCGCCGAAAGCTGCCCAGTGGTCTGGATTGACCCCTGACGGCGGACCACGGGTTCCCCCCAAGCTGGCCTCGAGGGTGAAGCTGGTTCCGGACCGCATGGCGGTCACTTCTCTATCGTGTGTGCTGGAGATTTGGCACAGTACGCTGTGAGGGTGGTCGTTGAATCAAGAGAAATGGTTGCTTGGACCCTGTATGCTTTGACGTGTAGGCATTGATGCCTACTAGCTGCTACTTCGGTAACGCTGGCTGCCACATGCTGTATTGCTGCCGTGTAGGAAGCTTGTGGTATGATGGATTTGCGACGTCGAGTCCTGCTTCCTTCACCGATACAACCCCATTGCTCGAAGGTTTCTCTCTCGAACCTCCCTCAAGTACCCAACTTGCTCGTGGTTGACGAGATTGAAAGGCTTTGGGCTGAAGTGTCGAGGATTGAAGGCTCGATGGACAGAATAGCCTACGATCACGGATGCCGCGGCGCAGACGATGACAATCAGAATAACCACCTCTTTGGGAAGAGGATCGGCGCCTGTCTCCGACATTGTGTGCTAAGGGGATTATTCGAGAGGGATACAAGTGATAGGAGTGATCGACGAGGACGGCCAGATGTATACTGTTGCAGGCGCACTTTCTCTCGTGAATCTGGAGGGAGCGCAACCACTTCTTATTCTTGTGGCTCTCCTATCTTTACCATTCAAATTTCCTGGCATAACACAGCGCTGAGGCAGAGAATACTCCGTGGGTGGACCTTCGAATAGCATTCTGGGACCTGGTTGGCTGGTTCGCGTGGCCTGCCCAAAAGGGAATAGTCCAAACGGCCGTTAGTGAGACAGCACAACACAGCGCCTGGTATTCCGTCCTTGGCTGCCCACTGGCATTCTCCCGGACCTTTTTTTCGCTCCCGCTTCTTGACGTGCCCTTAACCTGGGTGTGTCCCAATTAAGGCAGACTGGCTGATTCGTGGGGCAGCTTCATGCCAACCTCAAACAGCCTTCTGCTCGGACAGACTCCGGTTACTGGTGCTGCAACCTAGGCACGGCACACTCATGTCGAGCCGCCGAGCGAGCCATAGCCTCAAAAAGGGGCGTTCATTCTAGACAAGATCCGGTCGTGCGTACTGCAGATGTCGTCCTGTTGCAGTCTCAATGTCCGATTCATGTCTTTGAGCTAGACGAGACAATGGCCTAGCTTGGCGACAAAACTCGTCAACGCCCGCCGAAGACTTTCACATCTCCTATCCCGCTTGCACAGCAGCCTCGAGTGTGTTCCTGAAACTTGATAGCCTCCGGTCGTACATTGCCATATTCATAACCTTCTAGCTTGGGCTTCTTCCATTGCGACCATACTGTTGTTTCAGAAACGTTCATCGCGACAAGCTAGCTCGTGATCATTCATTGCCTCTATGATGCGTAGGCTCAATCTTTCTCGATGGTTCTAGTCCTCGTGCCGGTGCGGGAGCCTCTAATCGTCTTACAAATGCGGATATCGAGAGAAACGTGGATCGGTATCAGGATGACAAGGCGCCATCTTGCCGGTCGACCTGCGGCGGAAAAGTATAATCGTCCCCACCGGTGGCTTCGTCCCGTCCCCACCACCTACACACCATCGCCAAAGACTCTTTGTCAGCATCTTGTTCAAGCGGCGGGTTGTAACCCGAAATCTGAAAGCGACTGTTGCATCCATGCTTGGTGGGCACACACCACTTCCACTTCTCCGGATTGCCTCGCTGATCCAGGTCTACCCAGACTGCCTGCCTTAAATGGAACGACAGTTCGGCTGGAGTCGAGTGATGGTGACGACGGCAAGGGTGCGCAGCGATGGGGTCACCGCTTGTCGCAATGACACGGCACCATACTTTGGCCCTGTCCTTTGACCGATAGTAATAGTGAAGCAGCCACTTCTGACTGAGACCCGTCACGAAATTTGATGCCTGGATATGGCTAATCAGCCTTTCCCGCAACTCGGCAATCGACTGGTTCGGCGACGATTTGACGCCATGTCCCATCGCGCACGTCAGTGCCTCGCGGCAGACCGCGATAGCATCGAGATTTGGCAGTCTCTCCAGAAGTTCGCGACTCCCAGAGCGAGAATTGAACATGACTACACGGATCGAGCTTAACAACTTCGGCGTGAGTGGTGGTAGAGTCTCCATGCCCTCGATGAAGTGCATTTTGAAGGCCAAGACCTTGGGGATTGTCCACAGAACTGGCAGTGCTTCGGCGCGGACCTGCTTCGAGACCTGCAGGAGATTGAGTGCCTTGTGGCTTGTGCTGTGGTAGGGAACGACACTGTTGACGCCGACACTGCCAGTTCGTCGCATGGCAAGAGCAAAGTCCGCCAGGGCGTATTCATAGATTTCGAGTCGAAGCTCAAGAGGGAGTGTCAGTAACGGAGAAGGATTCTCCATGACGCTATCTCAGTCAATGGCGGGCGATATGGGTAGGAGGAAGGAATAAACATGCACTGTCGACGCGACTAATACTCTGATTCTTACTTGTACCTTCTCCTCAGACAGGTGCCTGCTTGTAGTGGAGCTCGATTGCTGAAGCACAGAACCTTGATTGGGCCTGGGCAGCCAAGACCGCCCCAGACTCACCTTCAGGCCCACGAGTTGCAGTCCGGTGTTGCCTCGCGAAGACCATGTAGACCTCGCTTCATGGCTCGTAGCGTGCTGACCATGACTTGCCTCTATTCTAGGGCAAGTGAAAGTGATTTTTGCCCCACGCAAGGCTGATCACGTGATCGCGCCTTAATTTGGTGTTCATTGACGCGCCCCTCCCGAGCGCGTATCCGCGTCCGTTCTCGAGATTGGCTGATTCGAGAGCAAGGAACCCCCCGATGACTCAGACCCGCTTTGCTGTCAACGTGAAAGGATGTAGTATATCAAAGCGGCGATTCAAGTTTCTGTTAAATCACCTCCAGGTTTCCGACCTGACGACTTGCACGACCCAAGCATCCCGACTTCCCGCTCGCAGCCCGCCCTGCGCCACGCGGACCTTACTGGTCTAGCATTTCTATAGCCGCGGCAAACAGGCTCATCACTTTCCCGACAGCACCATGGCCGCCACCAAGCACCTGCCGCCTTCATCCACGCAACATGCCAAGCGCACCACCTTCAAGTCCCGCAGTAGCAAGGTCGCTGCCCCTACCAAGCGCACTAGTTCCTCCTCTAGCAAACCGAAACCGCAACCAATGTCCTCTACAGCCACCACAAAGACCACCGTCACCTCCAACCCCGAATCCCCCTTCTCCGCCAACCGCACCCACATCCCCACGCCCTATCAAACACGTGTCTACGCCCACCTGCTCTGCATCCCCCCGGGACGCGTGAGCACCTACGCCTCGCTGGCACGCGCACTCGGCACGTCGTCGCCGCGCGCGGTCGGCGGCGCGCTGCGCACCAACCCGTTCGCGCCGGAGATCCCCTGTCACCGCGTCATCGCATCAACGGGCTATGTGGGCGGCTTCATTGGCGAGTGGGAGAAGGCGCCGAGCGGGTTTAATCAGACGCTCAAATTGAGGCTGTTGCGGGAGGAAGGGGTCGAGTTTGACGCCAACGGGAAACTTGTCAGTCAGGATGTGTGGTTCGATGGGCCTTGGGATACATCGCATACGGAAGGGGAAATTCAGACACGAATTGCGGCGCAGGCTGACAAGGCCAAGCAGGCGAAGGTGGAGTAGCTTCACGCGGAGAGTATGCCTCGCATGTGGCAATACGGGAAAGGAGCTTTTATGTTTCTAGCATCTGTGTTTGTGCTTTTTTGTGCTATGATGAGTACGACAAATTCTATGACTCAAAACGTCTGCAAGTTCCCCAGGCTGATGCCCATCAATGCCTCTCTGTTGAGGCTGATTCAGCCTGCTCCGATGCGCCCAATATCAGAATATGAACATTTCCCCCTACCACGATATCCTTCAGCCGGTGTACAGCTCGCTTTACAACAGAGTCGCACCAAAGAGAGTGGACAGGACGACAACGGCACCACAGACCAGAGGAGCGAAGGCCATCTGAGGGGCTTGAATGGTGAAGGCGCCAGAGTCAGAACCGCCAGTGCTGCTGGAGCCGCCGCTTCCTCCAGATCTCGTGGGCTCGCCGCTGCCAGCTGTAGCTGTACCACTCGATTCGCCGCCAGCGTTTTGCGAGCCAGGACCGTTGAGACCCGGGCCGGTGCCAGCGCCGTCGGTCATGAACTTCATAGCACCCTCAGGGATGGCGGGAAGGGTGTCGTCTTTGACGTCCCAGTTGGGAGGGTTGTAGGCAGGGCAGCCCGATGCACCACCAGTCTGGTTGTAGCCACCATCGCCATCGGGGTTGGGAGTGCTCTTGAATGCATCCATGAGAGCAGTGAAGTCATCAAGCTCTTCGACCGAGTCGGACGATATCTCGACTAGGCCGTACTTGTTGGGCTCCATGGAGTACTCATAGACCAGACCGCCAGAATAAACGGGCGTCATATCGGTGCTGTAGAGCGACTTGACCTCACCGAAATCGCGCTTGTTGGTGTTGCAACCATACTCTGAGAGGAAGATGGGCAGACCATAGCCGGTGAAGTTCTTGACCTTCTGATCCCAACCGCTGGTCTGGAAGTCGGAAGGATCACACCAGGAGTAATCGTTGAAAGCGAAGAAGTCAGAACGAGCGTCATCAGTACCGCAGTTCATGTACTCGGCCATCTCGAGGCGGTTCTCCTGGACATCAGCGGCCGAGTAGCCGACTGGGACCTCTCTGTAGCCACGGTTACGGATGTATTGACGGATGTCACGGGTGACGGCCTTGACGTAAGGAGCAACCTTGGAGCTCTCCGGGTCGTTGACGACCTCGTTGCCAGAGAAGAAGGCAAGGGTGTTGTCATACTTGGCAAAGATGTCGATTGTGGCAAAGATACTCTGGAGGTAGTGCTCGTTGTACGATGGGTTAGGGTCACCACGGTTGAGGGAGTACTTGGGAGTGTTGACGTCGAGGACAAGGTAGATGCCAGCATCTGCCAATGCGTTCATGCACTCGTCATGGTCGGCCGTGTTGTCGACAGTGTAGACGCGGATGGTGTTGAGACCAAGCTTTTGAAACTGGGAGATGTCACGCTTGCAGCCATCGGCATCGGCAATGGGATCGGCAACGTCGGAGGAACCACCAGGTTGGTAATCGACGCCACGCATGTAGAAGCGGTCATTGCCAGCGAAGAAGGCTGCACCCGTCAGTGTGTGTTCACGATGGTGCTGATAGGAGGCTCACCATTGCCCTTGACGGACACAGACTGCACGTCACGCTTGATGAAGGACGCTGAGGCACCAGCTGCCAAAGCAGTCACGGCGGCGGCGGTACGCATTATGTGAAATAGTGTCTTGAAATCCAAGTGATGATAGTACACGACACAAGAAACGGTCGTGGCGTTGGCAGAAGAGTCGAAGGTTTCGTTGAGATTTGAATGAGTGTAAGTTCTTCAACAAGAACAAAGAGGCAGGAGGGGTATTAGAAAGAAGTACCGTGAATTTGGCGGGACATCCAAATGACAACGAGAGGAAGGAACAGTGCACACCGAAGAACGAAGGTGGTGAAACTGCAGAATGTTTGAGAGAAAGAGTAGTGAAGACACAGATAGGGAGAAAGGGATGTAGCTGTCTTTTTTGGGACGATGCTCGCGCTCGCCGCAGGCTGGCTGTGGCATCCCGTGGTATCTGGTGGCGCCGTCGATGTGCATTACCGGTGGGGTATTTTGCTCCAATGATAAGCTAGACACAAGCTCCTTGCGAGTGCTTAGGCGTGCTTGAACCCGCGACTAATGGCCGCCCCAAGCCACTGAAGCGCGCCCCGGTCCAAGCTTGTTACGCTTGTGTCGCCTGGGCGGTGGAGTCAGGGATGAACCAGGTCTCGAATTGCAGACAGGGGTTCCGCCCACCATGAGAAATCTGCTGCACAATCTTTCTGCACGTCGTTCAATGCCGGAACATTCAACCAACAGCCTCGTCGGGTTCTAAGACACCCAAGACTTTATCCTGCAGAATCGACAAGACATCCGCAGCAAGTTCACGCACTCCCTATCGCATCGCCACCGATAGAGGTCCGACAGCACGCAAGCAGGTTTCCATCGTCGCATCCAGCGAGTCACAGATCTGTGATGATCTGAGTTTCAGATTCCAGCTTTTCCGCTGGTCTGCTGGAGCAAATCTCGTTAAGGAGAATAATTGATGTGCACTGCCACCATCCTTCTCCAGCCTATCGCCGTTGATCCCAGCCTTGCTCAGGGGCGATGATTGCACATTGAGGCCGGGGCCAATGACAGACTTTTCAATCCTCCGATCCAGAGAGAGACATACTCCCAGGCAAATATGAGCGCGACCAAGTTTGTTGTGTGCAGTGATTCGGGCCACTTCGATTTTTGTGATGCGGTCAACCTGTTGAACAATGTCATAGCGCATCAATGTCACCATGCCTTTGGCAGTGTTCATTGTCTATTCGAATGGTGAGTCCTATCTGCACTTGCCATGTAATCGTTCGTAGAAGCTCCAGCAACGTTGTGATATGCCAGCTGCAGCACCAAACCACCAATGTTGTCGTCGATCGCCTATCGCTGCATCACCTCTGTATGCCAGCACCTCTGGTATTCCTGCCAACCCTCTGCTCGCCTGCTCACTCATCTGACACACTCTCGCGCTTGAAGCCGCGCTCCCCATCTTTCAGTGTGAATGCCCTTCTCCAGAATGGCAGTCATCCTCGCCGACGTCGCCGCTGCAGCTTTGGTAGGTCTCTTCACGTCTCCACGGCCCTGATATTCTTGGCCCTCTCTTCAGCCGCGGCAGGACACGGTGCTTGTCGCTGAGCTCTTCTTTTTCGTTAAGTGCTTCACGCAGCTGCTGGCCGTCGCGCTGGATGTCGGAGTAGCCACCACGGTTCGCAAGGTTAGCTCTCGCGTCTAAGATAGCCTCATCAGCAGCGTCGCGCATGTCCTTTTTGAAATTCTGGGCCTTGGTGATATTGTTGAGGAGAGGGGATTCGATGACTCTGCGGCTGTCGTATGTGTACAGTAGTTATCGTAGAAGACGCACTCGTCGGTGGCTCTGGAACGTTGAATGTAATCCTCGAGATCAGCATTTTCAGCACCGAGATAGGCGGGTCCCCGTGGCTCGTCAGTTGTCCGGCCGGCGTCGGTGCAGTTGACGTGAGAAGAGTTCTCAATCGCGCTCTCACCGTTATTAGCAGCGGTGGCAGCAGAGCCGAGAGGGGTGGCGCTGACTGCAGCGTGGCCTTGGACGACTCAACCTACACACACGGCTCAAGTGAGATCCAGTCGACTATGAGGTGCCGTAAGGCGACATGACAGAGCTTTCCTTACGACCACATCGTGTCAAGCCACCAGCAGCCTCACTCAAGCTGCAGAAAACCTTGACCCGCGCCGAGCTGGGCTCTCGACGCAACCAGGCTCCGAGTTAGGCAGAGAAGACGGCGAGAAGCAAATACGAGAGAATGGACTGAGAGGAAAATGGTCGTCCTTGAAGACAGGTACCAGATAACGTAACCGCTCAACGAGCGGTTACAGCGGTAAAGAAACAGGGGACACATAAGTTCTTGTTGCCTAAGATTGTTATTCTCTATGCGCATACGTGTGCTTGTCTATGAAAAGACTTTTACATGCCATCATTGCCGATATGTGTTAAGCAAAAGTTGCCCCTTCCACCGCTGACCTGCTGAATTGTCGCGCGTCTGTCACCGTTGCCCAGTGATAAGCATGTACTGTATGCCTGCTTGTGCGCGCGAAGAAGACTCGATATGTGTGTGTACTGTTGTGTGGAAGGCAATTGTGTGCTGTCGATCTGATCGATTGATACCTTTGCCGAGGGGGTGTGTTGTCTTCGTTGCCTGGGTTTCTGCTGTCCCGTAATGTTATGTGTATGCTCTGAACTGAAGACTGGAGCGTATTCTGCCGCTGATCAGTTCGTCGTTGAGTTCGTTACCGATGTCGACTTCGCTGCGCATGTACCGCTCACTGCGTTATGTGTTGTCTCGTTTCATCTCTGATCTCAGCTCCAACGATCACCTTACTGGCAGGAGGTCCGAGATCTCAGTAACCACTCAGTGGTTGTAAGGACCTCCATTGTAGGCGCCACCACAGCCTCATTCTAATTCAGTAATATATTGGGCCCCTATCTCCAGGACGATACTTGCCGTGCGACCCTGCATCCACCGCTCTTCTGCACTGCTTCATTTCCTTCGCTCTTGCCAGGTGCGCCTTCTTCATCCTCTCAATCTTCCACTTCTTGACCTGGAGAGGATGACTCTGGCACTCTTTGGTTTCCTAGTCGCCGAGTGAAGAGTATGTGCCGTGAGACACAGAGTGCTTTGTGCGGTGAGCGCGATTGGCCGCATCACGTCACTTCCGCCGGGCCACGTCGTAGTGATTGCGGACATTGCTAACAATTGGCTTCTCACAATAGTTGGGGTAGTAGTAGTCAGCGAAGTAGCAGTCATCGGGGTCTTTGAGAAGGAACGACGAGGTCGACGCGTGCTCGGAGTCGTGATCGTCCTCAAGGTCGTCATTGTCTAGCCCAGGCTCCGCTTTGAAGAATGTCGGCTTGGTCTCGGGCGCTGGGCGTGGTGGCGACGACCACTGATCTCGCTGATGGCAAAGATTATCAGAGGCTGGGTTGGCGGTAGCACGATCGTACGCGCTTCTTGACTGCGGGTCGCTTAAGACGATGTACGCTTCGCAGACAAGCTTGAAGTCATCATCATAGCCTCCCGTGTCGGGATGAGTCTGAAGGGACTTTGCGCAATACGCTTCCCTGATGGCGCGAGGGGAAGCCTTACTTGATACGACTCCGAGGATCTCGTAGTAGTCTTCATCGACGTCGAGGTCTGGGCTGCCCATTGTGATCAAGTTGGAATTGCTCGGAATCTCAGTCTTGATGAGAACAAATCCTGTAGGAGCAGCGAAGAGTGGTCAATGGTACGGAGATACTTATGCGAGGATGCGAGGAGTAGAAGCTATAAGTCGAGCCAGGTGAACAATACTATTAGTTGATACCTGTCACAGGAACAGGAACTGACCGAGCCGAACTATAGATGGTATACTAGTACTGTTAAGGTTGTCTCGTATTACTGCTAGAAGATCGTGCATGCGCCAAATATAGCCTGCTGATTTTGATCTTATCTCAGATGCTCATCTCCCTGTATGGGGGAAGAAAGGGTAAGAAGTAGGTTTGGCGATGCTAGGGCTCTTCTAAAGCAGCTTTAAGGCAGTAAATTTGATGACCACCTCAGTCTTGATCACCAATTCGACGCTGGCGCCGGCATGACGGTAGTGTCGGATAATCAAATCGTCGTTTACACAACTTTTGATGCCACTTCCTAGTCTTGGCTTGCTGTTATCCCAACCCAAACCCGACGTTCTCGTAAGGCAACCGGACGCCTTACCAAAGCCTTTGAGGCAACCGACTAAACCAGGGTCCATCGCCTAGCCTTCTGAAGCATACGCGTGGAGCGCATGGACACACTTCCCATTCTAGCTGGCCGCGCCTGAGCCGCTCCGAATCCCAACTCACACTCTCCCCACCAGGTTCAAGCATGATCTCATCCCTCGGCCCGCTCTGCTTGCCTTTAATTCGCCTGCTGTGCATGCTCTGAGTCCGCCTGCTCTGCTTCAATACGGATAACGTTGAAAGCTTTCCCAACATGGACTTTCTTGATATGTCTGATCACACTGTCATACCGCATCAACATCTTCGAACAGCCCTCAATGCCACACTTGTACTTTGTGCCCTTGTGCGACTCAAGGTGCCGCTGCAGACCACTGGACGTCGCATAGGTCTTGTCGCATACCGTACAGGGATGAGTCTTCTTCGAAACTGATGCCTGGGAAGTCGAGGTAGAGGGAGATGCGAAGATGGCAGACGGCTTCGCAGCACCAGGAGCAACGAGATATCGAGGACCGGTAGGCTCGAGTGCCAGGCTCATGGCAATGGCGTTGTGATGATTACTATTGGCTGAGTTGTTCTCGCTGCTGTCACTGCCCTCTTTGCCAGAGGCGGGTTCATCGCCATTTCTTGCTGAGGGAGAGTTATCGGAGTTATTGTGGTCGTTAGTCTCGGGCGACGGAAGTTGAGCGGAAACACCAAGTTGCTCTGTCATGGGCGCCTCGGAAGGTGCAGTGGGTGTCTGCGGGCCAACGTCTCCGGCATAGATGGGTGGGTAGGTATAGGTACGTAGATGGCGCTGCTGCTCCGGAGTATTCTGCAGCATCTGTGCTAGATCCGTATCTGGTTGCGAGTACGCTTCTATGCCAGGAATAGGCTGATAAGGCCGAGGTCTCGGAAGATGCTGAGGAATGTATTGATGAATACCTCTCCACTCCAAGAATTGAAGTTGAGGCATTGGGATGAACCCTGGATAGCTCGAGTCGGACGCTTGCGCGGTTTCCATCGGACCAGATGTTGACAGTTGCGATTGGAGCTGTTGGCCAAGCCAATGCTGACGGAGAGGGGAGTTATCTGGCACATATTTCGTATCTTCTCCGCTATTTGCCATGTCGTAGAATGGACTGTCGGGTGACTCTTTGAACAATCAAGAGACGGAAGGGGGAGTCAAGTTGCTGCGTTAGGTCAAGGTCATGTTCATCTTGGCCATAGCAGATGACTTCCCGTCGCCATGGTGACTCTTCAGGCAGTCGAGGCAGGTAGGTAGGTGACGCGAATGTCAACAAGCATAGTGAAGCAGAAAAGAGAAGGCAGGCTTTATGTGCATTCAGGCATTACTCATTCGATGAGTTCAGAGGTGACAGTCGGGCAGGTTGATTGAATCCGACGCTTCGTACCATAGCGTCGTCCAGCATCGACGATGCAAAAGGTGCATGGCTCCGAACCCCAACTCTTATTGAAAACTAATCAGCTCAGCCTTCGAGTAGGTCCTTGACGGTTGATGTTACCTAGCACAAAAACAGTCTCTGGTCTGGTCTGACGACGGGTTAACCGATGGGGTGTGTAGCTGCCACACTCCAAGCCTTCCACATTGCAACACAGCATCACCTCAGCTCTTCTGATGGCCCTGATACTTAGTCAACACCTCTTTGCCCGCTGTCGCGGTGCAATTCTCAGATGTCCGTGTCTCCAACAACACTCCTGTGTCGATACTCGTCTTCAGGGTATCTGTTCTCGAATCAGCCCCCTTTCTTGCCTAGCGTCATGACATGAATGTTCCAGACGTTGACAATTCTATGCATACGCTTCAAGGATTCCAAACATCTCCCCCGTCCCACTCATCATCGGAACCAACCTCAACGTAACCAGTCTTGAGCTTGGCAGTCCTCATAGTGCGTGGGCGAGTAGCAGTCCTGAAGCGTCGGGCAGCCTCAGCAGCCCGGGAATCCACCTTGCGTCGTCTCTCAACCTCTTTCAGCCACACTTGTCGCTTCTTGAGGCCGTCTTTAGCCTGACGATCCTGCTGGCGCCGAATTTGCTTGAGCTCTTTTGCTCGAGACAAATGTCTCTTCAGGTTTGACTCCCTAGTCCACTTCAGACGTTGCCATGAATCGCGGGTACCCTTTTTGGCATCGAAGACATGCTGCAGTGATTCCTTCTCGTCTGGCGAGCCAGCATAGTTGACATCGACCTTGGCCTTGTCGACAGCCTTACAAGCTTCGCGCCATTTGACCTTGGCGGACTCGGCTCGATCGCGCAGATCTTGGATGAGAGGCTTCTCATTGTAATCGGTGTCGTAGTAATCGAAGAAAGTCCAGTGCTTGCCAGCACTGGGTGAGCTAGGACGGTCCTCATCGGCGTCTTTCTCGGAGTCGGAAGCAAAGTAGAACGCAGCACCGCCCGCATCAGTCGTGCCCGAGCGCTGCGAAGAAGGCGGAGTCGCATAAGCTGTCTGGTCGTGCGAATGTGAGACGTCGAAGGTTTTATCGCCACTAATAAGCACGTTAGCCCTTACAGCTGGGCTTTAAAGGTTTCCCGTGATGACTTACAACCGCTCGGTGGCTGGCGTATGAGGAGGCTGGGAACTGGAACGAAGACCGGATGCGGGAGCACGGAAGTAGGGCTCGCTGGCAATATCGTCAGTACGTTCGACCTTCAGGAGAGTTTGCATGGCTAACCTAGGGCTAGCAGAACCAGCAGCTCTCTTGCGGCCTGTAAAGTTTGCACCCCAAGCAGCCCATATGTCTTCGTTGAGCTCATCATCCTCAAGATCTCGCTCTCTAGTGCCCTTGACGTTGCTCGCAGGCTTGTACGTGAGATCGTACTCGTACTTGCGTTCAGGATCCGCCAGAACTTCGTAGGCTTCTTGGACTTCCTGAAATTGAGTTAGGGCAGAGCGATCCCCTGCGTTCTTATCAGGATGGAACTTGAGCGCAAGAGCATGGTAGGCAGTGCGGATCTCCTTGCGATCGGCGTAATGAGACACCCCGAGTGCTGCGTAATGGTCCTTAGCGGTCAGGGTCGGCAAGCGGAACGCCATCTTGAAGTCTTCAAACTCAAGCGAGATCGCAAGCTAGGTCACATCCAGCAGAAGGTCAGTTGGCGTCGTACACAGCATCAAATAGGTATGTCTATTGTGAGATAGAACTAGCACTAGTTGTACATGGCGAAGTTGAAGCCACGCTGGTAGGTTGACAGTGAATGATACCAGCCGGGGCAAATTGGGATTAGGCAACAGCCAACAACGCCGTTCAAGTCGATCCGAAGTGGTGGTAGCTAGACAGCAGTGAATGCTCAGTATGACCGAAAGCCAATTCGCTGGTTCGTGGCATCGAAGACAACGCCCATGCTCCTGAAGAAGGGCTCCCCTAAGACCCATGTCCCGCGCATACCACTCTCCTCCCAATCGCGTCTGGACTCCATTCTAGTCTCGACCACAGCTCCAATGCAGTGGCCCGTGCCGTTACCCGCCTTCCCCAGGCTGAAACGCCCCCCGGCAGGACCATGGAGGGTATCTGCCCTCGATGTCTCGCCAGATATGGACGGAAAGTTCCATCCACCAAGCTCGAGAACAATGCTGACATGGTTGAGACAGGGGAAGGCGAAGAAGTTATCATGAGGAGCTGGGAGACGCATGCTACCCCCAATGGAGTCATAAAAGCGACTGACAGCCGATGGCGGTGCCAGGATGAAAGGGCACTGAACGTCAAAGAGTACCGGCTGATTTCGGAGCACTTTGACGCCATTGACCCAGACGCCGGGCATAAGTGAGGTCCACCACCCAGCTGCGCCAGACAGGTCGGACCATTTGAAGTGCTGATCAAATTTCGATCCCTCGGGCATCGCCACCTCGAGTTTTAGGTTGAGCTGCTCATCGACCCATTCCGGTGTGGCTAGCGAGTGCCCATAGTGCTGCAACTCGATCTCAGCACGTGTCTTGGCTTCTTCCACCACTTCTGCGAGAGTGCTGCCCAAGCTCAGAATGCCTGTTTCAGCATCAAGGATCGTGATAGACCAGATTGCCTCAGAAATGACCCCACTCATCCGAAGCTGGCTCACAAACTCGGCACCGGGCATACGCGAGAGCGATCCTGGAAGACCAAGGCCAAGAACGCTGCCAGAGGGAAGCAGCGTGAGAGCGGAGGTCTTAGGGGCGATACAGACTGGCAGCTGTAGTCGGACGGGGCTGGCAAGTGCATCAAGGTCGAAAAGCTCAGAGTACTGGCTACAGAGGGAATGTATGAAAGTGTTTTCGCTTGCTGCCGAATCATTAGCGCGGCCAGCGATGGGAAGGTTCAGGCGCCTTGCCCTGGCTCTGCGAGGCGAAGGTATCATATTTAGACCCAACATCACTTGTGGTCATCAGAGTGTAGAGGTCTGGACCGAGCATGTCAAGATCGAATTCGAGGTTCTGCGGAGGGTCGCCGATAGCAAGTGTGGCGTACCTGGATAATTCAGCTCCAAACACCTTCCAGTGTACACTACCTACCAAGCGCCGTCATGTCCTGGAGCTGTGAACAGATAGTCATCGTCTATAACATGATGGCCGGAAGACCACTTCCGGACAAGATGGTTATGCTCGGGTTTTCGATGGGTATGAGTGTACTTCTTCTCAACTCGTGTGAGAGTGTTGGCGAGAAGATCGAGCTTTGCAGGCTCATGGTTGGCGAAACGACCGCCCCGCCGTGACAGTGGTAGATGAATGGATGCTGCACAGATCGTTGGGAGGCAGGATAGCAGGATGAGCAGCAAGACGGTCAGGCTGAGTGGCATCATGCTGATGAATGGATCCGACTTGCGCTTTTGTGTCGCTACTTGGCAATGGTGGTGTTTGCTGGAGAAACAGGGGCGACCCTTGCGGGCTTGTGCAAATGGTTATCTATCTGAAATCTTGCATTTGATTTCGACCCTACCATGAAGTGTCCCTTTCTTGGTGCCCAGCGCCTCGTTCGTCAAAGTACTGCTCCAAATCTTCGATTTCCGACAACTTCAGGGCTTCGTCCACACTGGCTACAAAGTGTCTCTCCCCACCGCATATCTCCATGATCCCGCTTCTCTCAAAGGCTGCGAATACCTTACTCCTTCTTTTCGGTAGTCTGCAGAAGATGACTTTTGCCCCTCGCTTAACGTAATTCTCTACAATCTCCAATAGCACCTGTGTGCCCGAGCCGTCTATACTCGTGACACCGTGAACGTCGAAAATTATGTTCTTATTGCTCTCCTCCTGACGAAGTCGAGGCAGGGACGGATGCGCCTTCTCTGTACCATATTTTTCGAGACGCCTCAATCGATTCTTGAGCTCGCCCGTATTGGCGAAGGTCAGCGGCTCGGGAATTTTGACGATCAGGCAGCCCTCGACATATTCGATGGAGTCTGGAAAGTTTTCCGCATTCTCGAACTGGTTCGTGGTACCCGAGATCTTACCCAGAATTTGTATCCGAGGTTTTGTAGCGTGACGGATGAGTTGAAGGAGCGACAGCCCAATACCAAGAGCGATACCGGTCGACAGATTGTAGAAGATAGTAGCGAAGAAGATGATAGCCATCAAGCTCAGCTCAGTCCAACCCCTGATCTTCACAAAGAACTTGATATCGTGCGGGCATTCCTCGACCAGCGAATATGCGACCACGGAGACCATGGCTGACAGTACACCTTTGGGAAGGTAGTAGAACCATGGCACTACGTAGAAGACACAAATCAGAGTGATTAAGCTGAGCATGATGCTGCTCATCGGAGTTGTGCCTCCTGTGGAAGCATTGACCTTGCTCCGGCCATACCCTCCAAAGGCAGGCAGCGCCATGAAACAGCCTCCGATCAAGTTGGCAGTTCCAAGCGCAACAAGTTCCCGGTTCGCACTGATGTTCATGCCCCGTAAGCCGGTTGTTCCGTCTCCAAGACTTTTCGCCGCGACTGTAGACTCGAAGAAGCCTAGCAAAGCAATCAAAAAGGCTGTGCTCAGTGCGGTGTCGATATGCTTCATGTGCTTGATTTGGAACGGCCAATGAAATGGAATACCTGGCCCGCCGGACGATTTGACAGTGCCTAGAACTTCAAGGCCTTGCTTATCCCAGCCGAATTTCCACGTGAGCACAGCAGATGCAGCGACCACAACAAATCGATCAGGGATATACGCCACTCTTGGGTATCGAGGCTGCAAGCGCTTCTTCAGCTCTCTGAAAACCATGATGATCACGAAGCTTGACAGGGATACCGCCGCGGTCAGGCCGTGGGATTTGTTGATGTTCTGTACCAGAAAGACGAACTTCTGAACAGTGCTGCTGTGTGAGACTTCCTTGTCCGCAAGCTTCGTCAATCCCAGCTCCGGAAGGGCTTGATCAACCAAGATGACCACGCCGATTGCGCTGATGAACCCGCGCAGAAAGGGTCGGCTCAGCACGCTATCAAGAAAGCCAAGCCGCGCAAGTCCAGCAATGAATATCACGGCTCCTGCGATAGTTGTCACGACTCCCGCGACCTCGGCATTCAAAATGTTGTTGTCATCGCTTGAGCCGCTTTGATCGATGCATGTGCGGACCACAGTTCCAACCAGCAAAGACCCAGGTGCTTCAGGCCCCACTACCATCTGCGGACAGGATCCAAGGAAGGCATAGATCAACGGATTGAAGACGAACGCATACATGCCGTTTATGGGAGGGATGTGGCCAAGATTCGAGGCGTATGAGAGTGACATGGGAATGTAGAAGGACGCCATAGTGAGCGCCGCTATAAGATCGCCCTGGAACCAGGCCCACTGGTACTGGGTGATCCACCTGATGAAAGGAAAGTAGTACGAGAGGTACATCCATTTTCGCTTCCGAACACCATGAGCTCGTGCAAGTCTCTGGCTTGTCGTCATGCTCTTACTACCATCGTCTTCACTTGGCGAGGTGAAGATACCTCGCACAAAGCTGATGGGACCTTCGCCCCCAGGACTGTCAACAAAGCTAGGCTCGTAGCTGCGATAATTATCCAGGCTGCTTTGTCGGCTGTGTAGGGATCTTGCTCTCGGCGAGAATGTGCCATGGTTGCAGTTTTTCAGACCACAGACGCGACTGTGGTGATAGGTCTCAAGGAGAGCAGTTCCTTCTCCCACATCGTCGTCTGCCGTAGGCTCGTAGTCCTGTGTCGCAATGGAATCGGGTTCTGCGGTCAATTTACCTACACCGCTGCCGTCGGCGCTGGTAGGGAGCGGGCTGTCAGGATCCGCCGAGGGACCTGATATCTCGTCCGGTGATATGGCAGTGTGATTCCTCAGTCGACTGGGGTTTACCGGAACAGTGGAGTATCTTGTAGTTCCCGGACGGCGAGGCGAAGTCGGCGGACTTGGAGGATTCGACTCCGACGAGGAGTTGGTGGACATTGTGGTAGGGTCGACGCGAGTGTCATAAGAAGTCCATCCCTTTCAAATGTGGGCAGGAGCTCGTTCACTTGATTTGTACTCCAGACATGAAGACTGTGGCAGGTAGCAAAAGCCTGCGAGAAAAACCACTTGTCCCCTCACTTCTGTTACCAATAGAGAAACTCCAATTGATCATGCGGAGCAGTTACAGCAGGATGTGGTCTCTGCGGAAGAAAGTTGACCTCTTACCTAACATGCCGGCCTCATGACGCGTTTCAACAGGGGTAAATTGGGACGCCCCTCGGCTGCAAGCTTTGCACTGTTGGCGCCTAAATCTAGCTGAAGATGAGCACCCGGAGATAATGGACATAGCAGCCCGCCGCATTTGCTTGGCGATTTCACAAATTCTCTGAGTCAACCGCAGCCAAGGAGCATTGTCTTGCGGCGTACAAGTCTGTGAACCTAGACAAACAACCTGTCTCTTCCGAATTCTAGTAGACAGAGATCTTCCACAGGCTCGACTAGACGACACCGCGCCTCGCGCACCCGCCGCCAACATGACATCCGAACCAGATTCTCTGACGAACTGCCGGTTCTACGAAGAAAAGTACCCGGAAATCGAGTCGTTCGTGATGGTCAACGTCAAGCAGGCACGTTCTTTGCAGCTATAGTCTGGCGCTGGTCAGAGAATCTGAAATGCTAACACGAATGGCAGATTGCTGAGATGGGCGCGTATGTCAAACTGCTCGAGTATGACAATATCGACGGCATGATTCTTCTCTCAGAACTCTCGCGAAGACGTATCCGATCGATACAAAAGCTCATCAGAATTGGTCGTAATGAGGTGGTTGTGGTATTGAGAGTGGATAAGGACAAGGGCTATATCGATCTGTCCAAGCGAAGAGTCTCGCCGGAAGACATTGTGCGATGCGAGGAGCGATACAACAAGAGCAAATCGGTACACTCGATAATGCGACACGTTGCCGGCAAGACCAACACGCCGATCCTCAAGCTGTATGAGGAGATTGGCTGGCCGCTGAACCGCAAGTACGGTCACGCGAACGATGCATTCAAGCTTTCGATCACCAACCCCGATGTATGGAATGATGTCAAGTTCCCGAACCAGGTCGTCAAAGAAGAGTTCCAGTCGTACATTGGAAAGAAGCTCACACCTCATCCCACCAAAGTTCGATCTGACGTCGAAGTCACGTGCTTCCGATATGATGGTATCGATGCGATCAAGGACGCGTTGCGGAAAGCTGAAGCCAAGAACACACAAGATGCTGAGGTCAAAGTGAAGCTGGTGTCTCCGCCTCACTACGTTCTGACCAGCCAGTGTCTCGACAAGCAACTGGGCATTCAGCTGCTCGAGCAGGCTATCAAGGATATTGAAGCAAGCATCGAGGCTGCTGGTGGAGGCATCAAAGTCACAATGGCGCCAAAGGCTGTCACCGAGCATGACGATGCCGAACTACAAGCACTCATGGATAAGAGAGCTCGTGAGAATGAGGAGATCAGTGGTGACGAGGATGTCAGTGAAAGTGACGAGGGACCAGAAGTTGCGTAGATAGCATGGCTACTCAGGGCAATGGACGAATGAGTTATGCGCACAACTGGCCGTTGGCCATGGAACGAAGGTCCCGATGCATGCTGCGGGACGCTTAGCACGGAGCAAGTTATCATGAATGAGCAAACAAAGACACCAGCTGCCTTGGTGCTGCCCCTCACGGCTGAGCCTTGCGAGGGGCTTGATATCAAGCGAGGCTAAGCTTTCACCAATTGGGAGCCAACGTCAGATCCCGCGGTTAGAGTTGTTTAGTGGCCGCTTAGGCGAGGAGAAAAGCAAGGCAGCACGCTTCGACAGAGCTTTCAGCTTTGATGTCGTACTAGAAACCAGTGGTAGCACAGATAATTCTTTTAGAGGCTCAAGTTGCTAGCCGTTATTGCAGCTCACGGGACCTGATTGCCTCACACCTGAGGAATTGTATACCCAGGTCATCAGAGCTCCCATAACCTAGTATCAACGCTGCTGGTAACCTGCGCGTCCAATGCGCTGGCAAAAGTTGATCCCGGGCTGGGGCAAAGACCGCCACCTCCACGGATGGGGCGAGGAGACAAGACGCCTCCTCCCGGCACATAGCCATGATCTCGCGCCTTCCGCCTTCCCAGCAGGCGAGGTCACCAAGATTGCTTTACGCCTGAAGTACCAGATCGAAGAAGTCATTCCCATCGAGCTTCCCGAAGAGAAAGTCACGAGCGCCAACAGTCCCATCATCACCCATAAGGTTGTTCTCACCGCCAAAGAGGCTGGTGGCCAGGACTATGCCGCGGCTGTCGTCTACTGCTTGCTGGTCTGCAAGCGCTGGTTTAAGCGGCAAGCCATGCTCGAACTGTGGGACGCGGACCTGCACAACGTGCGCGCTATTGCCGCTGAGGTCATTGCTAAGCGCATAATTGAGGCCGAGGAGAACCAGGACTATCTTCTGCAGGACGTCCTGCTCAAGCGCTTTTCCATTGTCCGCGACGGGCACGAGACCGAGCCCGCAAACGTTATTGAACGCGCTGTGGACCTGCACGCGCTCGAAGTTACCGGCTCTTCCGGCTACCAGAAATGTGTCAAGTATCTCTGGCGTGGCTGGCTGCAGCAGGACGATAAGAACGCGGGCACATTCGTGCCCTTTAAGGGCCGCGACGATACGAGCTACTGGGCACACTTTAACCCCGATCGGATGCGCACACCCCTCTATCAGAACACCCTGCAGATCTCCATCTCGTTGATCTATCTGGGGCTCTACACCGGCGCCATTAACACTGTCAACGAGGACGGCGATCTCGACGTCGTCGAAGGCATCCTCTACCTCATGACGGCCGGCTTCATTTTCGATGAATTCGCCAAGTTCTGGAAGGTCGGCATCTATTACTTCAGCTTCTGGAATGCGTTCAACAGCTGCCTCTACGCGCTGTTGACTGCCTCGTTCGTCATCCGGATGATGGCCATCGCGCACTCACCCGATGAAGATGACGAGCGCCGCGTCGAACTAAACCGCTTGGGTTATCACATCTTTGCTTTTTCTGCACCCATGTTCTGGATGCGTCTGCTCCTCTATCTCGACACGTACCGCTTCTTTGGAGCCATGCTTGTTGTCCTCAAGGTAATGATGCGCGAGTCGCTAATTTTCTTTGCCTTGCTCATCGTCGTGTGCATCGGTTTCCTACAGGTAAGCCCCTCCTGGAATCCTTCTATCTGATTGATATAGATTATCTCACTATACCTTTGACAGGCATTCATCGGCCTCAATCAAGTCGAGGGCAACGACTCGATCACCAGCTTCATTCTCCAAGCCATGGCCAACTCCGTGATGCAATCGCCCGAATTCGACGGCTTCGATGACTACGCCGCGCCCTTCGGCCTGATCCTCTACTACATCTTCACCTTCGTCGTCATGGTCATTCTGCTCAACGTGCTCATCGCACTCTATAATTCCGCCTACGAGGACATCACCGGCAACGCCGACGAGGAGTACATGGCACTCTTCGCCGCCAAGACCATGCAGTTCGTGCGCGCGCCGGACGAGAACGTCTTCATCGCACCCTTCAACCTCATCGAGGTCTTCTTCCTCATCCTGCCGTTCGAGTGGTGGATGGACGACCATACCTATGAGCGTTTGAATCATTACGTCATGGGAATCATTTACAGTCCCTTGCTGGTGTTCACGGCTGCGTACGAGGCCCGGGAGGCAAAGAAGGTCAAGTTCAATCGCAAGCGTGGGGAGGAGGATGATGACACGATCGAGGAGTGGGAGCAGATGGAGGAGGAGCAAGGGACGGACAGCGAGGAGTGGGCTAAGAAGGTGAGTTCCTGGTGCAAACTTGTCTCGTCCTTGCTGACATTTTCGCCTTTAGGTTGCGGCCACGAAGCCGGATGTCGAGGTCGACATCGATGTGGTGGAGATCAGGGAGCTGAAGCAGCAGGTCAAGGAACTGAAAGAAATGATCCAGGCCTTGAGCAAGGACGTCGTGGGCAGCAAGTCCTAAAATAGTGATTGAGTCAGGTGTTGGGCAGCGATAATTGGTACGGCGTATAGTGTAGGCTTATGTACGAGTTGTGCATCAGCCTCTGGAAAATTGACATATAATGAGGTAGTTTGCATCCAGTGGTGAAAGTGTGGCCTTGGACACGATTGTTCACGTCCTACAATTGCACGTACGGTACCCCCAACTCGTCATTACCGTGAGTATGACACTCAGGCACGATTGCAGCCCGATGAGAACGTCAAGGGCACGAAAGAGGAGTTGAGAAGTCATTGTTCTATTGACTTGGGCCATAAGATACTCAGCTTATGAATATGAATCTGAATCGACAACCCACACAGAGTCATTGTCAACATCGCTGGAGCTACTTGGCTCGTTCCGCAACATCCAAAATGCCTCTATGTACTACTCTATGACTTGCGCGTTCTTGTTTGGGAATAGTACTGATCCCTCAAAGCTTTCGAACGAGCAACGACAGTAAAGCCTATCCTGTGCAAATCATCAGCTCCACCACTTATGCTCGTTTCAAGCTAGACGCTCGTCCTGTCGGGGATTCGTAATAGCCAACCGCTTCACCAGGTTCAACGTATTCTTGTGAGCTACTCATCCTCTTGCAGAAGCTGCAATTTTGGGGCCATGATAATGGCTCCAGGTATCGGCTCCACACAACCATCTTAGATTTTGGGATCGAAGATGTAAGCTGAACCAGGGAATATGAGCTGATGGTTCCCGAAGGCGCCACCATAAGCTGCCTGAAAGCGGCCTGTCAGTTGGGGAAACATGGACATCAGGACAACGCGCTCCGCAGCTTGCTCTCCTCCTCGCGTCGAAACCGTAAACTTGCTGAGAGGTAGTGGGAAGCTGAATGTGTAGTCTCCGCCAGCGCTGTCCATGGCCGCTCGCAGCCTCAAGGCCGATGCGAATATGTCTCTGATCTCGATGTCCCATTCTTCCTTCCAGGTGGGCTTCAGGAGATCTGGCGTGGTACCCGAAGTGTCCATGGAAGCGACCGCTTGAGTAACGGGAGCAGCAGCATGAATGGTATCAAGCCGACTACATCTTTCGACATGTTGCCGCCCACAAAGCAGCGGCAGCAGCTGCTGGTCAAGACGCTCTCGCATGACTTCGGCCTTGTCTTGGACCTGTGGTTTCACCTCAGTCTCCACATAGTTCTTGACCACTTGGTCAGCAATATGTGCAGCGCCTCCATAGTGTACTACAAAGGTTAGTTGGTGTGGGTTTCAATTGTTCAGGGGTCGCTCACGTTTTCCAAGATGCCTCACCCAGTATTCTTGTGTCAGCTTGAATTCCGCCGACAACGAAGTCGGCTTGAGCGCCCACTGCGTCACGGCAGCTCCAACAACCGCACAAGCCAACTCTTCAAGACGTGGCGAGTTCTGGGCTGCCACGTTGGTCAGCTGCGCGAATCCTGTCATAGCATCCCCACTGCTTAGCAAAGAGTTCACCAAGCCGTGAATTCCTGGCATATTCTCTAGCTCCATGGCTGTGACTGGGAGATCTGCGACCACCTTGGAAGCACTCAGACGATCTTGTACAGTTCGAACGATGGCAACTCGAATGTTCTCCATCTCCTCGCTGAAGCCCAGGATATTGGGACTGCTCTTCAGTCGGCTGAAGTCGGCTAAAGCCTCAAGCCTTCTAGCGATCTTGTTCTCTGCGTCACCTCTAGTGCTTTGCAGTGGTTGTTTTGTCTGAGCAACGTGTGTCGCGAACGGTGTCGCTTGCTTCACAGGCTGCAAGTCGACTTCTTCATCATCAATCGCTGCTGCTGATAGTTGGGCCTCTTCGTCAACTTGCTCTTGCGAGACTTCACCCGTCAGCATTGATGACAAGACCGTCGGATCCGAGATCTTCTTGCGGCGTTTGTTGGAGACTGTCTCTTGATCGTTCTCATTTGTCCGCTTTCTGCCAGTCGTGGGACCCGACACATCTGGGGCAGCATCGTCTTGATCTCCTGGCACAAGCCCCGAAGAGTCACTGGAAATCTCGATAGTATCCTCAGTCAAGCCAGATCTCTCGCGCGGCAATGATGACGGTCTCTTTGTAGAATGGCGGAGGACTAGCGGAACGCCCTTGTTGGTCGTCTTTGAGATGACTTGCTCTTCATGCGAGGGTTCATCCTCGCCGCTGTCAGCTTCTTCTGAGTGATCCTCAAGCGGAAGGTCGAAGGGGTCGAATCCAGCATCCCATCTCCCTCGCTCTTCGGGTGTCAAGACACTCTCGTTGTAAGATTTGATGTTGACAGCTTTGGTACCGTGCACAAAGAGGTCTTGAAGAGAATAATGCTCCCATTTTGTGGTGGCCTGCCCACGTCTCGTAGTGCCTCGCGTGGGCCAACCCTTGCGCTGCAGGGTTTCGATTTTCATTCTGATCTTCTCTGCTGAATGGTCTTTGCGCCGTGGTGCAGGTACCTTCTCAAAGAGCTCTCGTCGGATTTCCTCACAAGCATGGAGCCTAGTGTTGGGATTTTGGAGCGGACTCTCTTTGCCTTTGGTTTTGCTAAGGTACTGGAATAGGACTCGGTACATCTCATGGCTCCAATGCGCAGTCTTTGCACCAGAGGATCCCTCAAGCTTTGTATCGTTGTCCGCCATGGTTGATATAGCTGGTGAAGACAAGCTCTTAGTGGAAGGTCGACGCTGACATCAACGGCAGCAATCGAGCACAGTGACGCTTGCAGCCGGCTTTTGGAAGATGTGTAAGATAGTCGATGTGCTTAAGTGTTGACAACGTGGACTCAGGTCGAAAATTCTGCAGGTTGCGAGAACTTGAAGTCAGAGCTCACTCGCAACATTCACTTACAACTGAAGGCTGCAGCCTGTTTGGCTTGACCTGAGTCGGCCTTCACAACAAGATCGCTTTCGACTTAAGGGCTGATCTTCTCTGCCCAGCAACAGCATGTGATCTTCTCGACTTCATACTTCGATTCTATTTATTCGACTCATACCCGGCTGTCGTTTCGGTTGATACAACCATCGACGGTCGCCTTCTAGATACCTAGAAGGTCTTCGGTGATGTTACTCTGGATGCAATCTTCTTTCAATTGAAAGTCCACAAGGCACGTTTTAGTATCAATCACTTCCACTTTCGACTATTGGCCACTCAGCTTGGTACACCAGAGCTGTATGCCTATCTTCTCAGAGCTGTGGATCACCTGTTGCCTACATACATGAAAAGTGAGCGCACAGCCTGGAGAATATTTTCCCAACCATGCACTCCTCCATCAGATGTGGCGCCTGCATAGCCTCGGGCCGGCGACTATGTGACTTCGACGAAGCGCTCAAGATGTGCACTGGGTGTGCCAACCGAAAGTTGAAATGCGACTACTACCAGAAACTCCAGCACAGCCGCAAAGACAAACCTCTCAAGGCGATCTACGCTACCATAGAGCCAACTAAGATCGAGCGATTGGAGTATCTACTCAACAAAATCAAACAGTCTCCTCCTCCGCCACCCGCAACAACACACAATGCTACACCTCCTTATAATCTTCTGTTCGATTCTAACTACGAGCTGCTATCCGGTACCGACTTTGGAACGCTTAACTCTTCGACCAGTTTCAAGATTACTCGCACGAATGCCACACTGCGCCCTGACCAGCCGTTCATAACGACGAAGATCTTGGTCCAAGGTTCATTCCGCTAACCCACTCAAGCCTCTGTCGTAGAAGACGGTGCAGGTGGCTTTTGCTTGACCTTCAAGAACGATGAGGACTCGGCCCACGATGTTGAGCGAAATGAAGTATTCCGCTTCCCAAAGCTTCACTTGATTCCCAGGGGCGAGATGGAGACAATGGGATATAAGGGATTTGTGAGAGACGTGCAGTGCCGTAACGAAGCTTTGTTGGCGAAACTCGAGCACGAGAAGAGGTTGCCCGCCCACATCCAATCAATGACCGATGTACTCCTCGAAACATTGCGACACCTCTACCGCACCATCAAAGACGGGATCAAGAACGAATCCGGCATGACAGAAGAGCAGGTCAACTGGATATTGAGGTACAAGACTCGATTCGTTGTTGCTTGCCCTGCTCTGTACCCAGACTATGTGGTTGCCAAGTTCCAGTCTCTCCTTGTTCAGGCTGGGTTCACCCAGCCAGAGATTCGGGGCGAGCCAAAGCTCAGTCTCGCTATTCATGCGCACGAGCAGGAGGCACAGCTACCATTGAGCCAAGATGGCGAAGTTGACACAACCACTGTGCAGGGCCTTCGCAGTCTTGTAGGTCTGACACTGGTTTTGGTCGATATCGGTTGTGGCACTACGGTGAGTCCAGATTCAGTAGTACAGTATTGACACATAGCTAACACTTATTGCAGGACATATCGCAGATGGTGCTTACCGGACTCTATCCCAAGATGACGTTCAAGGCCGTTGCTGTAGGCACCGGATCACTGAGCGGCAGTCAGCTTCTGAACCAGTACTGCAAAGAGTCTATTCGAGCTCTGCTCGGTGATCATTTGGCTGTGTGCGCAAAGGCATGCTCCTATTCTGAAGAAGACATCTTGGACATGTTTGAGCTGGGCTTCGAGCGCCCGAAACGCAAATTCTCATCCGAAAATACGACCCCGATGAAGATCTACCTCCCGCACGGTTCGAAGCAGCTGCCTATATCAGACCGCTTACCAGAGCTGGCCCCCACATTCATCAAGTTGAACAAGAAACAGTTGCAGGCGATCTTTGACAGATACATCGCCGAGCTGATCAAACCTATTCAAGCACAACTGGATCTAGTCAACGGTAGCCCTGGTGCATGGCCAGTCCTGGTCTTCTCCGGGGGCGGAAGCCTAATCCCATACATCCAGGAGAAGATGAAGAAGCAATTTGAGGGTAGATATCCGATCAAGTTCCCTAACGACGCCGAGTGAGTACGTTCTCCCAGTCTGGCTCCACTGCTAACACTGCTCAGCCGCTCTACGGTTGCTGAAGGTGCTGTACTTGCTGCTCAGGACCCAGAGATTGGCACCCGCAGCTTCGCTCGTACTGGCTACGGTGTGTGTCAGAATATGGAGTACAACCCAGAGCTCCATGCGGAGACCGAAGCGATAGACGCGCCAGACTATCTCAACTACTCGAGCCAGAAACAGGTTGAGGGCTGCTACTTTCCCGTCATCAAGCCTGGAGAATCTGTCGCAGGTGCGGGAATGGAAGGCTGGCTCGAAATCAACGAGAGCGACCTTTCCATCAACAAGGACGGAACTAGGTGGTTCAATATTCGAACAGACATCTACCAGCCTGCAACAGACAAGCTTGCGAAGAAGAAGGACTGGAAGGCGGGAGACCAGGTCAAATATGCCTACAAGCTGGGGATGAATATCAGAAACGATCAGCTCAAAGTGAGACCGGTCGAAGGTGTCTACACCATCAGCTATCGCGCGGTGCCGATGTGGGATGGCCTCTGCCTGCGATGGTTCATGGTCGTGCACCCCAACGGATACTTTCCCGAGAAGGACTATGAGGATTACCATTACGTGAAGGGCTGCTTTGTTGCTGAGATCGAGATGAAGGATGCTCAGGTGCGTCAAGATGATGAGGAGTAGGACGACAGTGAGGAGTGGGAAGTTGGCGATGATACCGCCGGTAGGTGTGTGCATGCCATGAGCTAAAGCGCTGCTCGGGGCCCCTGAATACGACCGCCTGATATGCGAGTCATGACAATGAAGTCATCACGATCACTGACTCGTGCCAAATATTCTTCCTGCACCCTCTTGCGTTGCATACCCGTGTACGATCCCACATCTCTAGACCCGTAGCACGGGGCAGTCCAGCTGTACCGACGAGACACAGGTATCTCAGCGCACCAGTCTCTAATCTTTGTGCACGACAGCCCTCCACTATGGCCGAAGTCCACCCCAACAACGACCCTCCAGCACCATCAACACACGACACTCCCGCCTCACACTCCGCCCACCCTCTCCCCTACCCATTCACAACCACCACACCCCCACCAACGCTGATAGCCCAAGGCGCCGAAGCCCTGCTGTACCGCACCTGCTACCTTGACCCCTCCAGACCCGCGGCCCTGAAAGTGCGCCCCAGCAAAAAATACCGGCACCGCATCCTCGACGAGCGCCTCACCAAGCAGCGCGTGCTCGCGGAGGCGCGCGTGCTGGTCAAACTCGGCGGCGTGGCTGACAGAGAGGGCTGGGCTGTGCCGGCGGTGTGGGGAGTAGAGTGGGATGTTGGGCGGAAGGTGAGGGGGCTGCCAAGGGAGATTAGGCCTGTGGGGCAGACGGGTGCGGGGACTATGGAGGGAGAGGAGGTCGCGGAGGAGAGTGGCGAGAGCAATGGGAAAGGGGCGTGGTTGCTGATGGAGTGGGTGGAGGGGAAGACGGTTAAGGAGTTGGTGAGGGAGTGGGATGCGTGGTGGCGGGGGAAGGGGCTGACAGCACAGGAGAAGGCCGAGGGTGAGGAGGAGATGAAGGGCTTGTTGAGGAGGATGGGAAGGGCAGTGGCGGGAATGCATGCGAGAGGGGGTGTGGTGCATGGGGACCTGACGAGCAGTAATATCATCATTCGGCGGGTGGGTGCTACGGCGGATGGAGGGGGCCAAGTCGAGCAGGCAAATGTAGGTGGGAGGCCAAACTTGAGCGGAGAGGTGGTGCTCATTGATTTTGGATTGGCGACGCAGGCAATTCAGGATGAGGACCGGGCGGTGGATTTGTATGTGCTTGAGAGGGCGTTTGGGTCGACGCATCCTCGCCAGGAGCAGTGGTTCGACCAAGAGGTCCTACAGAGCCAAGAGGGGTACAGAGGTGTGTGGAAGGGCGCGCCTATTGTCCTCAAGCGGCTAGACGAAGTGCGGTTGCGAGGAAGAAAGAGAAGCATGATCGGATGAACCCCGAAGCTATGATTGAAGGACGACAAAACACCTACCAACGCCTTGCTGGAGAGGATACTTTCGGAGGGTAGCCCTCACTGGGCAAGTGACGCCTTGTCCTCGATGCAAGTACCAAGCTGCGCCACTGCGAAGTATCCCTTGTTCTCGATCACTCCACGATCTTTGACGACTGCGGTATACTTGATCACCCACTGAGGCTCAATGTCACCCTTCAAACCCGCATCTTCGTCTCCGGCATCGGATCCCGCTGCGATGATGCGGGCACCCTGCTGACCGGGTCCTAACAACTCTCGAGTTGTACCGGGTGGCAGAATGTCGGTGCAGTCGTTATGCGTCAGCAGCTCGATGTTGTGCTCCTTCGCATACATGATCAGGGTCTTAGGCACGACGCAACAGTCCTTGACGTTGATCTGATCAACGCTTGGGCGGATCTTGACCTCGGGCAGAAACCTCTCCAATCGAGTTGAGCTGAACTCAGACAGACCGAGTTGCGATATCGTACCCTTTTCATGCAGGGCCTCGAGCACCTGCCATGTCTTTATTTGGGCCTCGAAGCCCTCGTCCTCGCTATTCCCACTGTCCTCTTCATCGACAGAGGCCTCCTCTTCACCATCGTCATCGGCATCGAAGCTGACGCCTGGATAGCTCACGATCAAGAGATCGATGCTTGACACACCAAGCTCTTTCAATACCAACTCGATCGCGTCTCTAGTATGTCTGCAACGTCTCGAAGACGGAATACCAGGTAGATAGAATAGTTTCGCAGTGATATCGTACGACTCGCGTGGTTCACTCAAGGGCGTGGGTCGCCATGAAGGAATGTATATATCGTCTCCTTCCTGTTTCACCCACGCTGGCAGGCTACTTGAGGCTGGACTGCCACCCTCATCCGAGACATGAATGTCGAAGTTAGAGTGGAGGGAATTAATCAGCTCAACATTGGATTTCGAGAAAGTCGGTCGCCGGAGCACCGCCTGCCCCGACGACATTATGTTGCTAATGCTTTGTCAATATACAGCGTCATCAGCACGTGTTGTCTTAGGCTTACGATGTCGAGAGTATAAGTTTCATCTTGTCCGCCAGGCGGTGATCTCGGAGTCAAGTGAGACTGGTCACGCAAAGGCTTGCCGGCAGCTTGCTTGCGGCCAAGACGGAGCCAGGAAATTGACCTGCACAGATTATAATCTCGGTCAGGTTGTCTCTAAGAGGGTCGTCAGGCTGGTCACTCAGCAGAGGATGTTAGGTGGTGGTCCGGCGGATTCAGAGTCGCAGCGGCGGGGCATTCGCGGAGATTTTATCCGGAGAAAGTGCGCGCTGGAGGCACCACTTTTCGTACTTGCTCCTTGACACTCTCACGCTTCTTCACCACCGCACCATCTGGCCCAGCAGGATGCCTGTCAAGTACGATATACTGATGGTGGGAGCTCTGGACGATCTTGACTGACTGGCTTTTAGCTACCTAATCTTGCTCAGCCGCCAGGGCAAAGTGGTTAGCAACCCCCCATGGTCACCCACTTTCCTACCAAAATACATAGGCTAATCTCAAATTTTACCTCTTCTACAGAGACTTGCCAAATGGTTCGTCACGCTGTCTCCAAAGGACAAAGCAAAGATTGTTCGCGATGTGTCCCAGCTGGTCCTATCTCGAAGGACACGCATGTGCAATTTCCTTGAATACAAAGGTCAATCCTCCTTGCTCCATCCCGAGCCACAATGTGTCCTTGAAGAGTGTGATCTAATACTGCTCTCTTTACAGACAGCAAAGTCGTCTATCGTCGATATGCTTCGTTGTTCTTCATTGCCGGCTGCGACTCCACAGACAACGAACTGATCACCCTCGAGATCGTTCACCGCTACGTTGAGCAAATGGACAAGTACTATGGCAATGTCTGCGAACTAGACATCATCTTCAACTTTCAAAAGGCATACTTCATACTGGATGAGTTGCTTCTCGCTGGCGAGATGCAGGAAAGCAGCAAGAAGAATGTTCTCCGCTGCATCAGCCAAGAGGACAGCCTCGAAGACATGGAGGTAAGTGATGTTAGGGCTGTGCTCTGATATTGTACCATGTGCACCTCGCGCTCTCACGTTTGTTCATTGTTTGGATTGCGCACTCCTCCAGAGGTCTCTTGGACTAATGGCGAGTTTCGTCGATCTCACAGGTCGAAGAAGAAGTCACCAAGATTATGTGAAAAAGCGACGCTTCGAAAAGTGCGCTATCAAAAGAAGGACAACAAACTACGCCGCATCCATTTCGTTCTGAATTCGATTTGTGTTTTGAACGACCAGCGATCTAATACCTGCTTTTACAGGAGGTCGAAACGAACCTCAAAGGCGTTGGTTTGATGTGACTGGAGGGGATGAAGAAATCAAACCAACTCAATGAATCCTTCAAGCATAGCGATGGCGCCTGGCGACGGTAAGAGTGGGTAAGCAGATATACTGTACTCTGTGGCTTTGCAAACAAGGTCAGATATCACGATCCTCGGCCGAGGCGTGACCAGTGTATACAGCGATCGAGCTACGCCGGCGTGCAGCTCAGGCGGACAAGAAATCAATCGTCACACGCAAGCTCATCCAGCCCGACTGTCACTTCTGTCGCTGAGCAGCAGGGCCGAAAGTCTCGTCTCGGTCATGCCATGTTCTCGTTTGAATCTGAACACCTGACTTGCGCCTACTGACATCAATTCCCAATGCACGTTGACAGCAAAGCAGGCTTCTCACAACGGCCTCGACAACATGTTCTGGCCACTGCCCGGTTGCCTGAGTGCCATCATGCCACGTTCGCCACTTGTGATTGGTCACACGGCTCTTTCTCCACCTTGGCTTGGCCCGACGACCTCACGCCTCGACCGCAACCCCTCTCGATTGACCTCCTCCTCGCTGCCATACCTTCTACTCATCACTGCTATGGATACTCGTCAAACAATTACTGCCTGCTAGACGGTCTCCGTCTAGCTACTTGACTTACGGTAGAGCCGTCTCTGCAGCCAGCCGGGATAACTCCACAAGTAATCATCTAGTTTGTCAGGTCAGACAAGCCCATCACACACCCAACAAAGAGCAAACGATCCATTGTGGCCTTGAATGCGCCAGACTGTTACAAATCTACTCTATACAACCCAAACCGCCTTGCGATTGCATCCAAAGCGCGTGTCACCCCGCTTATCTGGCTCAGACTGCGATGCGCCTGCTAGGCTGACGCAGCTGCTCGGTAATCCGCCATCATGAAGGTTAGTCGCCTAGTCATCGCGCCAATGCTTTTTATGCATCGTACTGACTTCCCGTGCAGTTCATGCCTAATCGCGATCTCGATATCGTTACCTCCGCGCTCAATTTCTCTACCCCTGATCTGCATATAGTTGGAGGATGCGATCTCTATACTACAAAAGCCGCCGGAGGCGACAAGAAGCTCTACAAGAACATTGAAAATGGACTGGAAGCGCAATACCAGGCGAAGCTTAACCTGTCGTATTCTCTCTCACCGCCGCAAGCCAAGCTCATGGCTCCGAGCCTGAATCTCAGCCGCAGCAGTCCATTCGGAAATCTAGACAAGATAAGCTCCAGAAGAACGTACGCATACCTAATAGCGACGCTCAACGCGAGCCATCCGGACTACGATTTCTCGCATACGCTGCGGCCAACCGACTTCAAGAGAGAGAAGAGTCTGCGCGCGGTGATAAACAACATCGACTCTACACTGTACAACCTGCGACCTCGACCAATGAACTCGTATCTGGTCCCTGGACTGAAGCCCGGATCTGTTGCACCGCCTCCGGGGCAGATGGGCTGGGGCCCCGCAATGTGGGGCCTGATTGATCAACAGATGAGTTTGAAGGAGTGCAACATCTATCGTTACGCACCCGATCTCGACCCGTTCGAGGACGACGAAGATGGCACAATATGGTCTGTGAACTATTTCTTCTTCAACAAAGCTCGCAAGCGCGTGTGCTACTTGTATCTCCGAGGCATCAGTGCTCTTACACATGACGACAAAGACGGCCTGATGACGCCAATCAAGACGAAAAGACTCGCAGATGATGAAAGTGACGGTTGGTTAACCCCCGATCTCGGCGCACGAAAGCGAGCACGTTACTGGCTAGGCAATCGCGATGGCGTTGAAGTCGCCGACCCCGATTATGAACCCGGGACTGCGGTCCTCGGCGCCCCAATTGGTGTACCCACCACGTCTGAGGAAAGAAGTGACGAAGAGATATTCGGTCCGCCGCCGAGACCGGTCGTTGATGAGAACCACAATTACCTTCTGAGTGACGAAGAGACGCGTAGCGTGCGGAGCGTGAGCAAGTCGACGATGCGAGGCACGAGTGAGGAGGTTGTTGGTCCCATGGAATTGGGAGTTTAAGCTTGTTTACGGCACCGGCGTTCTATTGGAGTGTATTATTAATGATACCATGCAGCATGGCGTTCAGGCCGGTGAGGGCGGCTTCGACACGCTATGTACGAACATGTTTGAGCAAGCCATCCAATGCTTGTGTTAGTGGTTGTTGGAATGAGGCGACTGGCAGAACACTTTCTTTGTAGCTCGATTACGGTTTCTACCATTAATGTCCTGTGCTATCTATTTTACTGCGGCCTCTCTTGTTCCCTAAGATGTCCGAGGCGATCAGACATGTGCTTGGTCTTTCAGGCAACGTCACTCATTCTCGCCGTTCCCCACACAATCTGATTGGACCAACGCTCAACGACACCTCGCCGCAACAATTCGACGACTTCACCCTGCAGTGAACCTCTTACTGCCGCACTAACGTCTGTCTGACATCATGGGCAAGGAAGAAGACAAGGAGAAGGCCGAGAAGCTTGCGGCCGCAAAGAAAAGGGTAAGTGCTGTTCTCGAGCAGCCCCTGCGATATCCACAGAAACAGCACGCCTCATGCAACCATGGCCCAGTCCTTCGCCTCAGAATCCTACTGATGAGACTTTATACTAGGTCGCTCAGCTACAGAAGAAGAAAAAGGCTGGCGCAAAATCCGGTGCTACGTCCAAAGACAAGTCCACTAAGGATGACACTCCCAAGTCGCCTACCAAGGACGCGGCCGATGCAGAGCCTGAGGAGGATGGACCTACAGAGACCGAGGAGAAACCCCTAGAAGACAACAAGACCACCTCAGAAGAACCTGTCGACGCCGACGAAGCAGACTTCAATGCCGCTATCGCAGCAGCCACCTCACCTCCTCCAGATGAGGGTTCTGCTGCCAAATCGCCTGAAGATGATACATTCCCTGCCGATGCGCCCTCACGCGCTCGTCATATCGGCCGACAAGCCTCTATCTCCCTCCAGTCCAAACTTCGCAGCACCTCCTTCCGGGACACAGCGCCTGGCCCGACGTCCCCAGGCGCCGGCCCTCTAGCCCGAGTCGAAGAACTAGAGCGCGAGAACAAGCGTCTAGCGGAAGAAGCCGCCTCACATGAGTCCCGATGGCGGCGTACAGAAGAACAACTCGAAGAGCTTCGGGAAGAGTCGGTCGCGGGAGAAAGCAAAACCATCGAGAGCCTGAAATCCGAGATCGAGCTACTAAAGCGCCAGCAACGCACCGGATCCACGAGCGGTGGAGGAGGCAAGACATCACGACGAGAAAGTTCTGCAAATGCACTCCACGACAGTGCAGCACAGTCGCACTTGAAAGACCTCGAGGCCAAAGACGCGACCATTGCAGACATGCAGCTGGAAATCAGCCGCATGCGCGGCCAACTCTCCTCACAAACCGAAGGCTGCGAAACACACGGCGAGCAGATTTCCTCCCTTCAATCAACACTCTCCTCCACCGAGACGAAGCTACGCACCATCGAAACTGAGCTCGCAGACACGAAAAAAGCCCTCCATCGCGCCTCCGAGAAGGCCGTGTCCGATGGCACAGAGCGCACCTCCAAAGACACGCGCATCCGGTCCCTCGAGCGCGAAATCGCCGAGGCCACGTCCTCCCTCGCCGAAGCGGCCAGGAAGGCCGACCAGCTCGAGAAGAAGGTCGAGGTCATGAACAAACTGCACCGCGAAGCCGAGGGCCGCGCGGGGAGCAAGCTCAGCGCCGCCGAAGCGGCCGCGAGGGAGATCCCCGCCCTGCGCGCCAAAGTTGCCACGTTGGAGGCGGAGAACGCGAAGCTGCGCGAGAAGCACAAGCGCGCCATGTCTGGCGGAGGCGCAGACGAAGGAATCGACGACCTGGAAGACGAGGAGCGCCGCAAGCTGGAGCGCCGCATTCGCGAGCTCGAGGGCCAGGTCTTTGAGCTGCAGCGCGGCGTGTGGCGGGACAAGCGCACCGCTTTGCAACCCGGCATGGGTGGCGGATCCGGCACCGACGCCAATGCTGCCGCCGGAAGGCCGAGTCTCGAGGGCCGCGCCACGCAGGAAGAAGGCTTCGACGAAGTCGACCTGTCCGGCGCCGCCGCAACGTCGCGCCGCGCATCCAGTTTCTTCGGGGCCTCCTCGCGCGGCGCCACCGCCAGTCCGGGCACCCAACAGCAGCAGCAGAAACACAGCAATTTCACGCAATACCTCTCCTCGGGATTCAACGCATTTCTGGGCCCGCAGTCGCCTGGCGCTGGTGCTGCTACCACCGGTGGTGGTGCAGGTCGGCCTCGGAACGACTCACTCCTACAAGACTTCGACGGGGATGAGGGTGGAGATGGTTTCGACGAGGCGGCGTTTGCGCGCGCGCAGCGCGAGGAGGAGATGAAGAAGATGGTGGAGCATGTAAGGGAGGTGAAGAGGGGGTTGGGGAGGTGGAAGGGCTGGCGGCTGGATTTGGTGGAGACGAGGAAGGGGGATGGCGTTGGTGCGGGTGAGGTTTTTGAGGTTTGAAGGGGCCGGAGGTTTGAGGCAGAGGGAGAGGTGGAATGGAATGGAATGGATGATTGACTGACACAGACAGACAGACAGGTGGGTGGGTGTCTAGATGTACGATTGTGTGCTTGGTGGGTTATTGGGCACGTGTGTGGGATTTGCATGACAGACAAGGCGAGGTTTCATGGCTGGAAAGAGTTGTGGTGCTATCAAATTATCAAAGTATCAAAGCAGAAGAGAACGAGAACGAAAGCAATTACCGCCAACAGGGCTTGCGTTGTCGTAGAATTGCTATATCCTATTCGTGTCTACGTACTACCAGGTCATCGCGATGCGAGACGCCATACCCATCGTCAATCCATTCATAGATGCTTGCCATCACATTTCCCTCCTGTGTCGTATCACGCTCATGGGCTTTATCGCCGCAAGTAACTTCTCAAGACCACCGTTCTCCATATGACGACGGGCCCCGGAAACCAAACCGTGCTGCTCCGTCAGAACAGAGCCTTCACCTTCCCAAGCACATCTTCATCAACCCCCTTCCCGAGCAACCAAGCCTTAGCCTTCTCAACCACCATCTCCCACACTTCCTCGTCGCCCTGCTTCTTGGCCTCCAACCACGCCACCGCCGCTGTCGTCGCCGCCACTTCGTCTGCCAAGCTGCTCTGCGCAGCGGCCACCTGAGATTCTTCGATGCCGAGCAGCCTCCACAGCGCCTCGGTGTTGGCCCAGGAACCATCAAAGTTCTGCATTCCGATCAGGCGATGCATCTCGTCTTCGTTGTCGCTTGGGTCCGACACCTCCTCGTCAATTGGGTCCGACACCTTCGCCTCCTCGGCCTGGGCCCCGGCGAAATCGGCATACATCATCCCCTCGCTGCTGCTGCCACCACTAATACCAACTCTCGCAGCGCGCTTTTTCTTCTTTCCAGAGTTGGACGCAAAGGAGTTCATGCTGCCGAATAGGCTACTGGTCTGTGAAGCGAGCGGGGCGGCGGGCGGCGCACCGAAGTTCTGAACACTGCCGAAGGCACTACTAGCCGATTGCGCGGGCGCGGGCGGAGGCGGGAGCGGGGGCGAGGCCATGGCGGCATAAATTGGTTGGCTACTGCCGAACAAAGAGGCGCCGCCACCAGTGGTCGTGTTGCTGCTGCTGCTGCTGCCGCCGAACAGACCCGCTGACGCTTGCGAGGCTTTCTGTAAGCGCGGCGCAGCAGCAGAACGGGCATTGGCGAAAGCCATGTTGGCGTATCTGGCACCGCTATGAAGGTCGACGTTGGTTCTTGGGCGCTCGGGCATGACCTGGACAAAGTCCTCCTGCTGCGAGTCGCCCTCGGCCTCCTCTCCTTTTGCCTTCTTCTCCACGGCGACGAAGGAAGTGTACTTGCCCGCAACCTGGAATTGTGTGCCGAGGCGGACGCACTCGCGCTCAACAATGAGATCCCAGCGGCCCTCGTGTTGCTCTTTGAGGGATTGTCCGGAGTCAGACTTGAGGGTGGTCAGCCAGCCACGGCCTTGTTCAAGCTCCTGCACGGCCTTCTTGGCAGCAAGTTGGTGAATCGTTTCGCCAGGGGTGTCAAGAGTTTGTATTGGGACGTTGAGCTCAAGCGGGCCAGACGGTGAAGTACCTCGCAAGGTGAGTGAGACAGGGTTCGAATTGATGGTAGATTGAGACAGGAGCAAGTACACGCTGGTACGGTTGAAGGGGTAGAGTGGCGGAATCGTGTGCGGTGCTTGCAAGGTGTCAGGCACGGACACTGCAGGAACACCTTCATACCGGGAGGCATGTGACTTGGTGGGCGCGTCTTGCTCCTTAGCAGTGGGGTCGAAGAGCGAGATGGGCTTCTTCTCGAAGGGTTCAGCGGTCACAGTCTTCTCGGTGGTGGTAGACGAAGACTCGATAACCTCAAACCCTTCGTCATGCTCCTCGGAGTATTGAACAGAGAGGCGATAATCAGTGACATGAGGGGTAAGCGCCGCCTTGAGCATACGTACGACTCGCTTGTCCATCTTCTCGTTGCTGTCGACGAACTGTGCAAAGCCGTTGCCGGCGCGAGCGATGCCCTCCACCAGCGAAGATGATGCACCAGAGCCAATGCCGAGTGAGAAGAAGCGAACGTTCTGCTGCTCGTTGATGAAGTCGAACAGCGCTTGCTGGTTGTTGATCTGGCCATCAGTCAGGAGCATCACTTCGAGGGGCATGTCTTTGTATCGCTGCTCGCAAGTCCGCTTAATAGGCTCCAGTATTTTGGTTCCACCGTAGTTGGCATCGAAGGTGCCAACGTGTTTGAGGGCCTCATCAAGACTTGATTGGTTGTAGTCGCGGCTGCGGTCGAAGAGGAAGCTGTAAGTGGTGCCGAAGCTGCAGATGTTGAACTTGATGCCATTGACTGGGAGGGATTTGAGAAAGATCTTTAGTGCAGAGATGACGATGGGAATATCGCTATTCATGCTGCCGCTACGATCGACGACGAAGACGATTTCTGGGACGATGTTGGGGATGTTGAACTTGGGAACAAGGGTAGCCATGATGGCACGCTGGTTCGGAATGGTGGAATGGGTTTCGAGCAGCGCTTGGGGTGTTCCTTGGTCCTTCGAGACGAACACAATCACGAAGTCCTTCCCAAGCTCCGCTGACTCAAGTGCTAGGGTTGCAGAAGCACGGCAGTTATCGAAGGCGTCTTCCTCCATGATCGAAGTTCGACCCATGGTCACGGCAATGGGGTGGCTCGGGGACTGTAGGGTCCGGATGATGGATGCTTTGTCGAGTTCAATATCGACCGAGATGTTAATGCCGTTGCTATCATCTGCTCCGACAGTGTTGATGGCCTTGGAGGTCTCGGATGACGCAGAGCCATAACGAGGGCCAATGATGGTTGGAATGGTGAAACGTGATCCATCCGTCTCAGCATCATGCTTCAGTTCGCCAAGATAGACGATCTGGACATAGATCCGCTCGTTGGCCGGGACGTTTCCAATGGTGGTGGTGAAGACATCGCCAGCCTCTGGAATCTGTTCCAGAAGACCGGCCGTTTCGCCGCGGTCGACGGCCTCCTTGAAGTCGGCACGAGCCTGCTGCTTCTCTTTCACGACGCCAACCACGGTCTTCTTACCGATAGTGCACTTGAAGCTAACGACTGAGACACCATCATAGAGTGGGAATGTGTACTGGACCTCGTCAAGCTTGCCTTCGGTGGTGTTAAGAAAAGTTTGCTGTAGTTCGGTGCGCGAGGTCGTTGACAGGATCTTGGTGTAAGATTTCAATTCGATGCGAGGGAGATACTGCTTCTCAACGCGGTAGCCATTCTTGATAGGAAACCAACAACCGCAGAACGGCATTGTTTGGTATCCACGGTCAACCCGGTTCAGACGCATAGTTGCAGTGTCTGCAGTGCTGTCGGGACAGCTTCGGTAATCAATTCGGAAATATTCAACGAGCACAGTATGGGCGGTGAGTGCTAGAGAGCATGGATCAATAGGTAAGAGGGAGAGGTTATCAGGAAGACTTTATAGGTTTTGGCAGTTGTTGCACGAGGCTGCCTGCAGCGGTGTTGCCTAGCGCGTCACTCGCAGGGATACTGCATGTCTTGGCCCAAAGAGAGCAATGACTCAGGCACCCAAGACTCACAGACTTGGCTTCGGATTGCTCGACTGCGCCGATCAGTGACATGTACGAAGCACTCTGTAGCTAGCGATCGTTTGTCCTGCAGTTCGGGGGAGGCGCAGTGAGCCAAGCTTCTGGGAAGGCGCCTAAGCACGAACTGTACGGAAGCTTCTTGTCTTAAGAAGAGCAAGGCCAGATGTCCGGCTTTGTTCTGCGGTATTGTACTGGGTCACTACATTCAGTTCACTTTATCTTCACAATGTAACCTGAGACCTGCGATAGTAGTGCAAGAAGCCTTGCTGAGGAGGAAGAATTGAGGTCGAAAGAAGGCGCCAGTCGCCAAGGCGCTACTACTCCGCCGGCACGTGCAGCTGCGGGAAGGATTCGACGGCAGTTACGTTCATATCAGGCTGCCATTTCCAGAACCCAATGGTCAAAAAACAATGGAGGATAGCGTTGACTGAACGGTTAGAAGAGTTGTCAAAGAGACTGCAGACCTTGATCCCTCTTTTGAGATCTCTTGGTCGCTGCTGCCTTTATCCTATTGTACACCTTAATCCAAACACCCCCGACGTCACACTGACAGTATTGTGGATACATAGCATTCTCCGAGAGCAGCCTGCCATCCACACGCCATACTCGACATCCCGACCATGTCTTCGCGTAATGTAACTTGAAAACGCCTCCGTAGTGTACAGTAAATGAATGACAGCGTCCGGCCTTGCGAGCAGGCGCAGGCCTCAAGGATCAATATCACCCGAGTCTTCTGACTCGAGGCCGTCAGGAGCTCTGCACCCCGCCGCAATCTCGTATTGGTCGTGGATGTCTCCCTCAAACCCGGCAATCGCCGATGCCACAGCGACGGCATTGGCCGCTAGAGTCGATTCGGCTGGCTGGGCACTGTATTCGACATCTTATCAAGATGTCGCAGGAGCTGGCTCAAGATTCGATTGAACCAGCGCCGCAGTATCAACATTTTCTTCCGCCTCGACGTCGTTGTCTGAAAAAGCTCGTTGCTCGACTGCTCCCATCGAGCTCGATTCGTTCGCAGATCCGCATTCAAGACCAATTGCTCTTTTGAAGACCTGCTCAGCATTATCGATGATCTCGAGGACGGACTTGCGCATGCTGCGTTGCTGGCGGGGAAGGGCGTCCAAGCCAGAGCTGTTGTCCTGACTGACGAGAACGCCGGTGTAGTCTCGTTCCACCGCCAGGTAACAAGCGTCAACTTTTGTCAGGAGCTCCTGCTGAACAGTCTCGAGCATCTCCTTGATCAGTCCTTGAACGTGCACGATCGCACCTTCGAACATTGTGCGCTTCTCTTGCTCCACGTGGCGATCCATGTGCCCCTTCATTCGCGCAAATGAGCCGGGGCCGCTTTCTTGAACGCACACATCGTAGGCGTGCACCATGTACTCCGTCAGCTTCGGCTCGAATTCACGATTAATATCACGCTGGTCTTCGGTAATGCGCCCCCGCGCCTCGCCGGCCGCGTCCCTCAACGTCTCTTTATGGACGAGAATCTGCTGCTTCAGCATTTGGAGTGAAATCACAGGCGTGCCATTGCGGATGGCTCGACTCTCAAGATCGTCATGGAAGCTGGTCAAGATGTGCGCCGCATTCAGGGGCAGACCGTTGAGGATGCCAGGCACACGACGTGCAAAGACCGCTTCCCATGGACCGGCCAGGCGCTGGATGATAGGCTCTAACAGCTGCTCATTGAAGTTGTTTGAGCCGTTTACATTTGACAACGACCCGTTGCGGCGGCATACAGCCTTATATGTAGACCAATAAAGTCCACCCGCTGCCCGGTTGTCTCGATCGACAGCGGAGCCCCATTTGCGAACAGTGTCGTTTGCCCCAGACTTTGCAACCGAGATGGCAGATTCGCAGACGTCATACACCTTGTCCGAGAGCTCATCGTTGATTTCGTCAACGATGGTGCCGACGGCCTTCGCCAGAGCCTGAACACAATTAGTACGTTGGCTCATGAATACAGATAATAAACGAATGATTGGGGAGACTCACCGAGTCAAGTTTGCCGAGCTTTCCTTTCAAGATCTCAGCTTCCCGCTGCATCTGACCCTCCGTCAGATTGCTGCCAGTGCCATCATTCAATGCCCAAAGATGCAGCGAGTTGAAGAGCTGGAACATGCTACTGAGAACCTTCCGGCAAGATGCCTGACGCCCAGCAGTCGTCAATTGAATGCAATGAGCTTGAAGTGCTGGGATCTCCGTTTCTTCCGTCTGGTTGAAGCCTGGCGGCATCTTGTCTTTCTTGAGCCTGCCCTGTAGCTTCTGGTACGCGCGTGAGGACACGCAGAAGACAGGTAAGTTGCGCGCGACTTCGTCATAGTCTCGAGCGTCTGCTTCAGGGTCGAAGTTCGCCGCGTCTTCTTCCTCAGCAAGCTCCTGGTCGAGTCCACGGATGCCGGCCGCATAATCTTGTCGAATAGCTTCACGGGAATACTCGTTTCGGCCAGCGATGCATTTGGCTGAGAGTTCGGCATCAATACCTCCCGCTTCCTCATTGATTGCAGCCACCAGGCGACGGATATCCTTGAGACTATCATCGGCCTTTATTTTCTCGATGCGGCCATCTTTTTTTGAACTCCTTAGTTCGGCGATCTTCATGGCGATATCGACCTCGGTCAGAGGCTCGCCTTGCTCTTCAGGCGAGGCGTAATCTGACCTAGCATCGCTGCGGGTATCGTCATCGTCGAAGAAGTCATCGTCAGAGTCTGGCTCTGTATACTTCGACTTCTTGCGTACGGGACTGGACTGCTCGGTACGTTTTCGCTTCTGCGATTTCTCCTTCGGCCGATAGACAGCAGTACCATCAGCAGCTTGCTCCTGAAGCTTTTCCCACTTCTCAAGCTCTTCGTCGACCACGTCCATAGCTGCAGTGATGTCTGCTTTTGTCTGTTTTAGACTGTCTGTTTGGCGCTTGAGATCCTTTTTCTGCACTCGGAGTTCTTCGGACTTCGCCCACTTGGGACCTAATTCGGTTTCGAGGCCAAGCGAATCCTGGGCTTCGGTGAGTGAAATATCGTCTGTCTTGCTGCAGATAAAGGTGACCGAATCGTAGCCGCCGTCCATCTTCAGCTGACGCTTGAAAGATTCACCCAAGAGGTTCTTTGCAGATTTGTCGTCGACCGCACGGTTGATCGGCGCGACTATCCACAGTCCTGTACACTGTTTCATATAGCTTCGTGCCACGGCAGCACGCGCTTGGTTTGAGTCGTGCACACCCGGCAAGTCCACAATGACTGCGCCAGTCGCCAGTGCCGGCGACTTGACATAAAGGCGAACAACGCGGATCAGAGGCCAAAACTCCATTTCACATGGCTTCTTCGCTGGGTCATGGACGCCTTTGATACCACTGGTCTTTTCTTTGCTGTCCACATAGCTCTGGAGATCTTTGTAGAAGTCTGTGCCATCATCAGAGTCGAGCTTGAGGGTGGTGTCGAGACATTTGGCGTTGGCATGAGACATTAGTCGGTCGATGGGAGCCTTCTCCATCTCTTCCTTGGTAAGTTCAGGATACACAGCCTTGATCTGGGCGTAGGCAACGCCTGCCTCACTGTCCTCATTCGTGTATTCTCGAGATACGTGGCCAGTTCCGTCAAGAACCTCTTGAAACAGAATTTTGAGCATCTTGAGCCAGTCCTGCCGTGAGATGAACTCGATGTCGGCTTTGTACTTGGGTCCCTCTTCATAGTTGTAGCTGATCTCAGTCACTACTGCTGTGCAGGCTCTCATGCAATTGGTGGGAACCAGACGTTCTTCATCCATTATAGCATTGATGACGGACGATTTTCCTGCTCCAGTGGCGCCGACAACTCCGACGATGGTTTTGTTGCGTTTAGCTTGTTTACGGACGTTTTCAATTGCCTCGGCCCACTGAGCTATATCTTTCGAGGGATTTTGTTGCAGAATCTTCTCGACATCCGTCATGAGCTCAATGCCTCGTTCAGCGCTCTTTTCCAGTTGCTCGGGCGTACGGCCATCGAAAAGCTCGGCCATGCTGAGGCGGGTCGTAACAGGATTCTGGACTTGGGAGGCATTCTCAACATCTACATGGAAGTCGATTTTTGGGTTGGCCGCATCAGGATTGAGCGCTGAACCATGGCTAGATCGTGGTGGTAAACCTGATTCTACGTCAGGTCGTGCAGCCGGAGCAGAGCCTTGTATCTCTGAATTTGATTGGCGTAAGACAGGGGAGATGACGATTCGTGGTGGAGGGCGTAAGTCGACATCGTAGTGCTGCTGTGCAGTGTTGACGAGTTGGACACCTTCATCTCTCCATTCTCTTCTCGCAGCCCATGAAAGCTGCTCCCATAAAGAGATTTGCCAGTCGGCGTACGATCGCTGAAATTCCCAACCACAGTGAGCATCCCATGCGCTACTCTTCGCGAGCCAGTAATTCTTGTAATAGAAACACCAGAACCCCGCATGTTCAACGTACGGTGACGCAGTGTGGAAAGCTATGGCTATAAGGCGGTTGCCTCTCGCAATATAGTAGGATTTCTGACCCTGGTTGAGCGAATCCCAGTCAGGCTGAATCGAGGCGGTTTGCTGGATTTGATCGTGCTCGGGAAAAGGGAAATGTCTGCGACGAGCAGGGGTTTGTCTCTGGCATGCAAGGCGCTCGAAGACAAAGTCGCGCCAACCAGTCTGTTCCAAATCTGTTGTGCCGAGATCGCTATCGACAGAACTCGCGTTGTGCTGCGGATGGAGTGTAAAGTCGGCCTGAATCGGGCTTGGACACGTCGAAGGAAACTCGCTGGGAGCGAAAGGACTCTGCCGAGATTTCGATGTCACCGGCGCCGAGGCAGGTCTGGTAGGCTCGCAGTCTGGGTGCGTGCCCGCCTCCGAGATAGCTCCAACAGTGGCAGGGAGGCTGGCCCGGGGAGCGATCTCTTCAAGAGGTGGACGACTTGGTACAGCCACCTTTCTCGTGTCTACATCCCCTAGACATACAGCCTCGAGGGCAATGAAGTTGCCCGGCGGCCGAAGAGGGAGTGCGGATACCTTGGTGCGGGAGTCGAGCAGCTTAAAGTTATGCTTCAGCACAATCTCGCCAGCATCTGGGCACTGCTTCTCGTAGGCTTTGATCAACGCGGAGATGGACTTTTCCGGCGTACACTTCACCCAGAGCACATCGGCCTGTTCGAAGTCTTGAGTGGGGAGCTTGTCGTAGTGGAGTATTGCCACGAATACTGAACCTGGTTTGACGGGCTCATCTGGCTTGAGAGCATGCACCTTGTAGAAGAAATCGCTATTGAGTATTAGCATACGGCGGGCAGAAACGATGATGAACCACTTACGTAGCAGTCGCCATTTTTGGCTCTCCACTCCCCCAGACGGTGCGTCAATTCAGCCTGTCAGCGAGAAGTCGGCAAGAACTCGGAGTGGTAGTAGCGCGCACAGCGGAGCGGGAATGTTTACTTTGGACAAGGTGAATGGTTCGACGCGACGGAACGCGCCTCGCGAAAGTGGAGTCGTCCGCACCCCACTACCCCACCATCCCACCTTCCACATTAGGCCCTAGGTACTCTTGCTACTCAGCGCCTGTGACCTGATGAAAGCACTCCCGTCCCCAGGTTGCCTCATGGCGTCGTCGTGTAGATATGCCATATCACCTGGTTGACACACCGACGACTCAATCCCGTCGTAGTCCCGGCCAACAGTGGGCCTCGGCTCCGGCTCCGGTTCCTCCAGATGTGCCGCTGCCGTGGCCTCTCTCCACAGCAAGATTGTTTCTCGATATGAGGGTGGCTGGCCGTCATAATTGCCGTAATACCTTGGTAAGGGCGTCGTGGCCATTTTTGTGGCAGCAGGCCTTTGACTGCGATTGTCTGTAGATTCAATGGCCTTGCTATTGAAAGCGAAATCTGCCTGCGTGGGGGAGGTGCCTGTCGCCTGGAGACGGACGTCCGAGGAGCCTTCTGATTGCCAATACTTCCGTGCTTGCATCCTTCTCAATAGCTTGATGCAGATGAACACCACGATCACCAACGCACAGATCCCGCCCAAAGCGATGCCCAGCAGTTCCAGATGGGTTGGGCCCCCTTCGCCAAATTGTCGAGGTCGCAGGGTCGACGCTCGAGGGCCGGGCGGTGCCATGTCCTCTGCCTCCACGTTTTACGCACACTGACGCAGCGGAGCGTGTAGACAGACTCTATAAAAGATTTCCCTAACCACCGTGTTTGATGATAAGAACCATATCTACTCCTGCTCAGTCTGGAATGTTAATTCGAGAGGTGATTTCAGCCATGGCATTCTACCCGTGGATGGAATTCCTCAATCTCACGTAGACCAGACCTTATCTTTAGGAGCCGCTCATATCCTTCATAAGATATATCGTGTCAAGCCTCCGAGCATCAGTGGCGCTGGTCAGAAACGTGTAAATGAATCTAATACTCACGTGCGACCCCTCTTGTACCCAACACCTTTTAGACGACCGACTTGCTCGAAACCCCACTTGTTGACATACCAGTCTCGAAGGTCAAGACCACCATTGGGTGCTTCGTCATCGACTGCCATAATGGCAAGTAACTTTTGCACCTGAAACTCCTGAGGACTATCCTCGTAGCCTACCTCGTGAGTGACATGCTTCGCCTGTTTCAGCTCTGACAGCAGACGAAGCATGAGCTTGCTCCCGATACCCTGGGAACAATACTCCGGGTGACAGAAGACTGAAATTTCGACGGAATGCCCGTAGCCTATCATAAACCCCCGAAAGCCGGAGGCATAGCTGTACCCCAGGATCTTGCCGGTGGCTTGATTGACAGCTACGAGGTACGGAAGGTTCCGACTTCTTGCTGCCTCGAAGCGTGACGCGATGTAAGTTGCTGGTGGCTTCTGGATCAGAAAGGCAGCGACAGTATTGAGAACGTAGTGGGTGTAGATGCTAGACACTTCGGACAGATCCTCCTGTCTTGCCGGGCGGATGTCAACAGCCATGGCAAACGGCTTGGGACTTTAGTAAAAACAACAATGTGCGGATCCGCTGCTTCCATAAAAGGATCAATCTGCGTCGGCGGGGTCAAGCTGCGGCTCAGCTTACCTATAAGCCGCCGACTCCGCATAAACAAACACCCCCATTGATCTTAGCCTCCTACCTATTATTCCTTTGAAATCCGGGGCGCAGTTGATTGAGAATGCGACACTGTCCAGGCTCACGCGTGCAAGGCTTCGGTCGCATTGATCTCCCATTGTGATTTACGGAAATGGCCCCCCATGGAATGGCCTAGCCCTATACATTCAGGCAAGATGGGCCTGGCACCGGGCGCCTGACGCGACAAAGTGCCTTTTCCTCAAGCTGCACCACCGAATCCGAATGTGAGATCTGATTCCAAGGTGTGCTTTGATTCTGTTGGCTGTTCTCGCTATAGAGCACTATCATATACAGTAGATCGGATCCACAAATTTCCGGAGCAGGTATCCGGGCAGCATTAATTCTGGGATTGAATCATGTCCAATCCACTTCGAGACACAGTAGCGTTTAGGCACAGGCACTTCCTGCTGCAAGCAGCCTCGATGTCATTGAATCAATTGCTTGCCGTTCGGACATAGCAAACCAGAAGCCTAGGTAAGCAAAGGTCGAGTAGGTTCCTGCCAGTAGCGACAAGCGGTCTCACGAATGCGGACCCTCATCGCACTTTGCCTCCTGCCTGAATCGGTAGCGGCAGCACACGGCAGTGCATATTAGCAACGCGTAGGGTGGCGCCGGCGACAGCAACAACAATAACAGCACCATGGTCAGTATCATGCTCAGCCTGCAACGATCCCTTCTCACCTATTCTCACCTAACCAAAGTCCCGGCGTCTACGGGCGTATGGGTATAGGTCTAGCCTCTTGGTATTTTTAGCTACCATGGGAACTGTGGTACCTGCATTAGGCGCTCGACTTTCCCAGCCTTGGTGGCCGCCACAATACCTCCTGCGGTGGCAGCCCGGGACTATATAACAAGCATGAAGTATTGTTGAGAAGCTGATCGCAACCACGAGCATACACACAAGCTTCCAAACACACGTACACACCAACACCAACACGTATATACAACGTCCATCGTCGTCTGTCCCCACAAACTCAACGAATGGCCGATCCCATAAGCCTCGGCGTGGCAGTCACTGGTGTGGGAATTGCAGGGGCCACCCTCGCGCTTCAAGGTGCCAGCTCAGCTTGTTCAGCCTACAAAGTCTACCACCTCAAGCGCAAAGAAAAGAAGCAGGGGCCCGCCGCCGTACAGAACACAGTCGCTGCAACTCAACCGGCAGTTGTCCCCGCGCAGAACACAGTCGTCCCCTTCGGACAAGTACCGCCAGAAGTGACATCGTACAACTATGGTGGCAGCAGCAGCCTCAACACCATACCAAACGGTATGTTAACGAACGGTATCAACGGTGGAAACTTCGCGTGGGGAACGATCCGGACAACAGAATCAGTGTGCGTTGAAAATGGGAGGCCTGTCTCCTGGGAGAACAAAGTCGAGCTCATCCAGTCGGCACAACATCCACCAATCCAATCCTTGACACCAGCTGGCGCCCTCTCTGAAACGACGCAATTTGCTTATCCCGCCGCCTCGCAACCACAACAGTTGTCGCTTCCAATGTACAACTCGGGGTCCAAAATCTCCCCAGTGCAGGAGATAGGGCCACCACCAGCGTACGAGACCACATTCGTCTCGGTGCCTCGCAAGCGGGATCGTTTCAGGCTGTGATGGGCTACACGTTGTTTCAGAGCGTTGGACTTCGCATGGTGTTCAGGAATGGAAGATGTCATAAAACGAGACCAAAGCGTATCTTTAGCAGTTTTAATTCGTTGATCAAAATCTGCTATATCAATCATCCTGTCGAGAGACCTACCTACTTTAAGATCTTGTGGCCTCTCGTGATCAATGTCTCCGCATTCAGAGACACACGAATGGCAGCGCCGACATGGGCAGCCATCACAGTGTTGGTAGTATCCAGATGCTTGAGCCTTTCAGCCTGGACTGTCAGTACGGTAGAAGAGCATTGACAGCCTCATGTGTAGAGCCGCAAGGCCAACATCTCGGTGCTCAACGCTTGACCTGCCGCTTGATCTGCTGTTTCCACAGTGTGAATGGTAGTGACAAAGCTGTTCAAGTGATAAACACCTCGTGCGGTTGCTTACATCAGCCTCGTGTCTGCTGGTATCAGCCTGATAGTGACGTCACATTGCTGGGGCCAGGGGCGCCTCAGCCTTGTGTGGGGACGCCTCTTTCACTTGCTCCTAACGTGGTCATTAGACATTCATCACTCTTGACCACTTTGTCTGCCTCTTGAACATCCTTTTGCATCGCTCACATACCCTTTCAAGAAGACCATCAACATCACTCCTAGTCTGCGCATGCCATTAGCTCGATTGCCCTCTCGCACTATGGCGTCCCGCCTTCTTAAGATCCAGGATATGCCAACGGTGTCCCAACTGTACCGGAACAGGCAGATCGAAGCCTCGAAGAACGACAAGCTGCCGTCACCAAATCAGGAGTTCAACAACAAGGTCTGCACCATCCAGTATGACATTACCAAGCTGGATATCGACGCCATTGTCAATGCGGCCAACACGTCTCTGCTAGGTGGTGGAGGAGTCGACGGTGCCATTCATCGCGCGGCTGGCCCTCAGCTCGTCGAGGAGTGCCGCACGCTCCATGGCTGCGACACCGGCTCTGCGAAGATCACCGAAGGATATGACTTACCGGCCAAGAAGGTCATCCACACTGTCGGACCCCGATACAGAAGTGATGAAGCATCCGAGCCTTACTTGCGCGGATGCTACAAGACTTCTCTTCAGTTGGCGGTTGACAACGGCTGCAAAAGCATTGCATTCAGTGCAATCTCAACAGGCATCTACGGTTACCCAGGAAGCTCGGCTGCGAAAGTCGCCATCGGCGAAACCCTCAACTTTCTTGGTACCCCCGCAGGCAACCAACTTGACAAAGTCATCTTCTGCAACTTCCTCGACAAGGACGTCAAGATCTACGCAAACATTCTACCGTATGTTTGTGTCCTCTTATCTCCAACCTTTTGAATCATACTGATCTCTCTGCAGACAATTCTTCCCGCCGACCGAGGCTGACCTAGCCGAAGCTAGTGAGTATCACGACGACTCTACCCCGGGAGATAACTTGCCAACCTCTATTCAGACCCGTCCGAGGGAAACCTTTAACACTTCTAACCCATTCAACTACAACATCACTATCAAGATGGGCAACACTACTTCCCGTACTCAGAAGGTAGTTCCTCGCGTTCGGCGGCAGGTGGCCGCCAAGTCGAGACGCACACCGAGCAAGCTAACCACTTCTCCCCACTTCAGACTCACAACGCTACTGGCGAGAGCAAGAACGCTGCGGACAATAGCGTCGACAAGATCAACGAATGGGCCATGGTTCCGACCATTGGCGAAGAAGAGCTTGGTGGTTTGGTGACCGACCTGGATCTCAACGGTAACTTTTGGTTCCTCTTTTCAAGTTCCAGTGCATATCTAACGTGAATCAGAGGCCTTGTCCATCGTCGGCGCGTCTCGCAAGGCGAGCCTCGTCCCCGCTGTGGGCCCCTGCGAGAAGGGGGAGCACCAGTGGGAGATCTACACCGCCGAAGCCACCAAGGGATTGTGGCCGGCCGGAAAGTCTCGCTGCACGGTGTGCGGCAAGTGGGTGGCCGCCTAGATGGCAAAAGTTATTTCACAGGGTGAATTACCATAACGGGTTTATTCAAGATGAGCGAGGCGTCAAGGCGCAGCTTCGTCTTCACCAAGGGATTCGGGTTTCTGGTCGCCTTAAAAAGGCAGATCCAATGAAAGGTCTCTTCAAAATTCACCGTTCTTGTCGGTCTTTTTCGTGTGCTAGAGGCCTCCCAGATCACATCTGACCTGTGGAGCCCTTTTCCTAAGCCAGGTACCTGACTCTTAGCCCAGGTCGCCCATAATTGCGGGAGGCCTCCCCGTGCTCATAAGAGTCAACTAATGGTTCTCCAGCCTAGGCCGCCGATGATTGCGGAAGGCTTCCCCATGCCCAGAAGAGTCAACTCACTGTTTCTTAGTGCAGATCGCTGATAGTTACGTAAAGCCTCCGGATTAATTATCCGCACCCTGACTGCGGCAGCTATAAAACCATAAGCGGTGCCCTTTACTCCTTGGCGGTTCCTTAGGGCTCAGTCCCGGGTCCAGCATACCGTTGCCAACCAAAGTCTCTGCGACTTCGTTCAGATCCTGTCCAAAGACCATATGGGAACTCGCTCAAAAGCCTCCATGCGCCACACGAGGCGCCTGCAACGTCGCTATCTTGGCAGATGTCGATCCCTCCCATGCGAGACCTCGCTTCAGGAGCTGCCGAGCTCCTTATCTATAGACGACTCCGCAGCATGGTAGCATGGTAGCATTGGACTCGGCATATCAGAAAACTCATTAACAAATATACGCATTAAATTCCCGATGGGGACGGAACGCTGCTCGCTTTTCACCTTCTGCAGGAAATTGTCGTTTGTGTCCAACACCTACTACAGACTCGATGTTCGGCCAACGCGACGACAACGCCGGACGGGCGCCCGCCGCCGAAAGCAATGCCGACGACATCATCAAGGCTGAAGTTGCGGCTCTGAACCAGCTCGGATACCGGCAAGAGCTCAAGCGCGACTTCTCGCTCTGGGGCATCGTCGCCTTCTCGTTCTCCATCGTCACTTCATGGACCGCGTTATCGGGTGTCATGATTATAGGCGTCCAGTCCGGTGGCCCGCCGGTGATCATCTGGTCTTGGATCGCCATCTGCCTGCTCACGCTTGCCGTTGCCTACAGTCTGGCCGAGATGTGCTCGGCGTACCCGGTGGCTGGAGGCCAGTATTGCTGGGTGGCGGTGTTCGCGCCCAAGAAGCTGCGTCGCGGCATGAGTTATGTCTGCGGATGGTACGCGACCCTGAAGGACTCTCCCGAAATGGTAGTGGGTGGCTGACTTGCAGCAGGTTTCTGTTGATAGGCATCTTGGCCATGGGCGCGACGAGTCACTTCGTTACCGCGAACTTCGTTATGGGCCTCGCCAACCTCAACAATAGAGCCTTCGTCATCCAGCGGTGGCATACGGTTCTCGTGGCTTGGGCGATTGCCACAGGAACGCTCGTGTTCAATGCCTTCTTTGCGCGCCTGCTGAATCGGACGTCGCAAGGGTTCTTGATCCTGTAAGTCTGCGAGCCTTCTACGCCGAAAGGCTGAACTGATGTCTTCCCAGCAACATTTCTGGTTTCGTCATCATTGTCATCACTATCCTCGTGATGAACGACAACAAAAACTCGGCCAGCTTTGTTTTTGCTGACTTTGTGAATCTGACCGGATTCTCTGACTCGTACACCGCGATTCTCGGCCTGCTGCAGGCAGCTTTCGGCATGTGGTGCGTTGGCATTTTCCTCTTCATGAGCATCTCTCAGCTAACCAGCGATCTAGCTGCTATGACAGTGCCAGTCGAATGACCGAAGAAGTCAAGAATGCCCGAAAGCAGGCACCTCGTGCTATCGTCATGGCTGTCTACATTGGATTCTTCACCGGCTTTGTCTTCCTGATCGCGGCATGCTACTGTATGGGCGACGTGGCAGATATGGCCGCCAGCACCACCGGGGTGCCCATCATCGAGATCTTCTACCACTCTACTGGCACTGAAGCAGGCGCAACCGGACTTGCTTCTCTCATCCTCGTGATCGGCCTCGGCGCCTCAAACGGCCTCACAGCCACCGGAGGCCGGTCCATCTACGCCTTTGCTCGGGACAACGGCCTGCCATTCTCGAAATTCCTGAGCAAGGTCAATGAAGGCAATTCTACTCCGATGAACGCACTCTGCGCTGCGGTCTTTGTGCAGTTCGTCCTTTTGGCTATCTATTTTGGTGCGGTCCAAGGTTTCAATACTGTTATCGCCATCGCTACTGAAGGCTTCTGTAAGATGTCCCGCTTGATACAGTCAAGGACTCAAGGCCATTTTGTGCTGACCATACTAGACGTTTCATACGCGATCCCCCTCCTAGCTCGCCTCCTCTCCCTAGTGACATCCGAGCCTGCCTGGAAGATCGACGGCCAGTACAGTCTGGGCCGCTACAGCATCCCGCTGAACATCATCGGCCTCATCTATCTCCTGTTCACGGTCATCACCTTTAACTTCCCCAGCGTGTCCCCTGTCGACAGCGAGAATATGAATTACACGTCCGCCGCAGTTGGCGTCATCATGGTTATCGCCTTGATCACCTGGTTCACGACCGGTCGCCGGCATTTCCGCGGTCCGCAGAGCGGTGGCGTTGTTCTGGAGGGCGATCAAGTGCATATTCCTGGGGCAAAGAGTGGCGCAAATATTGGTAGCTCGGATGGCAGTGACTCTGAGAAAAGGCCTGCGAGTGTTGTAAGGCCTTGATTTGGATTGAGAGGGATTGCGACAGCACCTGGCAGCACGAGGAATGGACATCGTACCTTGCCTGTTGGCTTGAGAAGTGATCGAAGACAGGCTCGCCGAAGCAACCGTGCGACCCTCGCTGCAACACTGGTCTAGAAACGGCTACGCTCGTTTTTCGAGCTCTCATTCACTGTTGTTTGCTGCCCACACAAGCCCACAGTGCGCCTTAACCCAGCCTCCGGTGCCAAAAAGTCCCAACGTCGCCAAAAAAGAATCAAAAAGAACAGAGGAATGTGCTCCCATAATAGGAGGTCTCGTGGACCCATGTACTGATATACTAGTACAACTCCTACTGAGAGATCTTGACTTTTGGCTTCTTATGGCATCTTTTTTTCGAAGCATTCCTCCCCGAAAACTACCTGCTGCAAACCAATTTGTTGCTCTTCAGGCGTCAAAGTTTTCAGTGGCATCGACTCCGACCCCAGGACTTAATGGTTTTCTCCTGCCTGGTTTTGTGGGTTTGTAGGTCTGTGCGAATGTTGAGAGGGTTTTCAGGATCTCTAATATTTGAGGAGTGGTTGCCAGGCAGCAGGGGGTTGGGAGGCAGGGCTGCAGTGGAAGAGTGACTGCGGTCGCGAAGTGAATGCAGAGTACAGGTGCGACAGCAGCCACTCGAGTCGAGATTGAGACAGTTGAATGTTCTGAATCCTATCGGCTCTATTTAGCAACAACACAAGTCTGTAGTAGTAGGCCGCATTCCCCCAAGCCCTCTACCTACGCCTTGCCCTGCTTCCCCGATGCCACGCCCCTCTGCTTGCCCAACCGCACCACCTCGCTCTGCACCGCCTCGGTAACCTCCTTGGTGCCCGCGCTCCCACCCAGATCCTTAGTCTTGACGCCCTCACCCATAACATTCTCCACCGCCTCCATCAGCAGCTCCGCCGCGCTCTCATGCCCCAACCACCTCACCATCTCGGCACAGGTCCAGAACGTACCCACGGGATTCGCGACGCCCTTGCCGGCAATATCCCACGCGGAGCCATGAATTGGCTCAAACATGCTGGGATTCTTGCGCGTCGGATCCAGATTCGACGTGGGCGCGATGCCGATACTGCCCGCGAGCGCGGCGGCCAGATCGCTCAAGATGTCGGCGTGCAAGTTCGTCGCCACCACGGTATCGATGCTCTCCGGCTGCAGCGCCATGCGGCACGTCATGGCGTCGACGAGCATCTTGTCGGACGTCACGTCCGGGTAGTCGGCCCGCACGCGCTCGTGCACCTCGTCCCACAGCACCATGCCGTTGCGCTGCGCGTTGCTCTTGGTCACGAAGGTGAGGCGCTTGCGCGGGCGGGAGCGCGCCACCTCGTACGCGAAGCGCATGATGCGCTCCACGCCGTGTCGCGTGAAGATGCTGACCTCCGTGGCGGTTTCCCAGGGTTGGCCCACGTGGCTGCGTCCGCCTTGCCCCGCGTACTCGCCCTCGGAGTTCTCGCGGATGATGACCCAGTCGAGTTTCGAGGGGTCGGCTTGGCAGGCGCTGAGTGGGGAGGTCACGCCTTTGAGGACGCGGGTGGGCCGCACGTTGGCGAATTGTTGCAGCGGCTGGCAGATGGCGAGGCGGAGGCCCCACAGGGAGATGTGGTCGGGCACGCGGAGGTCGCCGACCGCGCCGAAGAGGATGGCGTCGTGGGCGCGCAGCTGCTCGAGGCCGTTGGTCGGGATGTATTTGCCCGTGCTGAGGTAGGTGTCCGAGGACCAGTCGAAGTGCGTGAAGGTGAAGGAGAAGGAGCCGTATGTGGAGGCGAGGGTTTCGAGCACGGCGATGCCGGCAGAGATGACTTCGGGGCCGATGCCGTCTGCTGGGATTGAGGCGATCTTGTATGTAGGATTGTCTGTGGACGGGGGAGGGGCAAGAGCCTGGTCGTTGCCAATGGAGCCCATGGTGTTGATTTCCTGATGGGCGTTCTGGGTGTGGATGAGACGTGAGACTGGTATCGTTCTGCTGCTCTAGATGTAGTGAAGAAGACGGTGAGGGGAAGAAGAGCAGCAAGTAGGAAGTACGCAGTATATATTATGAGCAGGTCGTCGTCGACTTCGGTAAATCCTTCTACCTGTTTCGCGGGAGCCAATCAGCACTGGTGAGGCTGGCAAATCAGGAGCCGGCGAAGTTGTGCTAAGAGAAAAATGTCGGCGTACAGGGCCGTACCAAGCCGTTCGCGGCCTGGACTCGACGCCTTGAGAAGTCTACCCTATATGTGCCTCATACTGACCCGAAAGGAAGTGTGCGACTGTCGGCTGCGTATGTGGTCGCTCCTTTCATTTGCATGCATTCGTCGATGTTTCCGGCATGTGGAAGGGCACTGCGGACGTTGGAAATGCGACGGCATAGGCGGATTTATATTCAGCTATGCGTAAAGAGCACCATAAAATAACACTGTTGGGAGCGGTTCAGTTTTCACAGGAGTGCAGTAAAGCGCGGAGTTGCATTGCATGCTCATCTATGGTTGGCAGATGTAAAATCGCATTCGTCCAACAGGCAGGTATCATGCCTAAGCAATCCCGAGAGAAAGGGTCGGGTAGCGAATTGTGGCTGGTAGCGATTCTGACAATACCTTAATGGCATATTAGATGACTCGGCTTCGTGCCCACTCCCGCTGTGCTTTCGCATCTTAACCAGTTATGCCCAACACATGGATGAGATATGCATCCAAACCACAGCATATTCAACACCCTGACGACTGACTTCTAGTCAGCTCATAGCAAGTCTGCAGACTTACCATAGCAATCATCGAATGTGCTGCACGTGACTCTGCCGGGCAAGGTGCCACAAGCCGCCATGGCATACAGTCTGTCTTTAAAGCCCGCGCACACACCTCGAAGAGTATGACTATGATATCGCCTTCAGACAAAGTCCACCGAGTGGCCACTGCTAAGGAGCCGTCCCACGCAGATATCCGTCTCACCTATGGAGGGCGGCTAGAACGGTCTCAAGCTGAAGAGACCGAGCGCCGAGTTCTGGGGCGGAACAGGCCCGATGACATTTCTCATCATCCACAGTGGGGACCTGAGACCAATACCTGCAACTCACTCACCTCGGTACCGCAGGTTGAGATCTTTTCGGTCCACCCTTACTGTAGACAGGTCTTGAATGGCTGGGACGGTATCGAGAGGGGTGCGCCGAGTTGGTGGATCAGCGAAAATGCCTGAACAACTAGGCCTCATGACGGACCAATTTGTCAATTCGTGGAGTATAGTGGCCCAGTTCTGGGGAGAGAGCCTGATAGCACCGCAAATCACCCTGCAAACCTGTATTCGATCGTGATAAGCCGAAACCATGGTATTAGTCCAACTATTGTCGTTTTCAGTCGAAGTTCCACAAATCCTTGACGAAGTCTTTGTCGCCGTCTTCGACGAGCTCTCCTTCCTCTCGAGCGAAAATTCGTCTGGGAATTTTGTACTCAACGACGGGCTCTCTCTCCTTCTTGCCTTCTTTCTTTTTCAGTTCCGCGTCCATCAAGGTCCCATATCCATGATCCAGGAAATCCTCGAGGTTGTAGTGCTGTTTCGTAAATTGCTCACTGATGATCCGCGCTATACTGGCCACGGTCGGATGGTAATGGCTCTGTAGCGTGTCTAATTCCCAAAGCGAGCTGTCTATTGCTCCTGTCGTCTGAGGATCTGTTTCTGCTGGGTCGTACGGGTCGACCCCCAGATCTGTCTTCGACTTTGTATATGGTGGGAACGGATTTCTGTGAATCATGAATGTCGTCGAAGGGTGCTGCTTCAACAAGTTGTAGATGAAGGGCACCACGGCGACGATCGCTGAAGGAGGTGCAAACAAGCATAACCGCGACAGACGCTTGATGAAGCTGGCTATCGTTGCGACCGGTAGATGATTGGTAGGTGCTAGAAAGGTATCCAAATGGCGCATTACTTTTGAGCGGTATTTACTGTGTAGCAGGTCCTGGTCGAGGAGGGAGTAGAGGCGCGGATAGAAATGTGGGTAGTCGAGGTTGCGGGTCGTGATGAGATGGAACAAGCCTGTTAGCGCAGGAACAGATAATGAAAGATCTCCCATGTTCAGACTGTCGGTGAAGAAGTCCATGAGAATCTCGGGTCGCCGTAACGAGGAAATGGTCGACGGTGGTTGCACTTTGCGGAGGAGGGCCTTGCGCTCCGACAGATTCATGGGTCGAGTAACGAGGCTGGAGACATTATCGGTAGATGGAGGTGACCCTCCATCTTCCCCCTTCTTTACTTTCGGCATGGCAACGTCTGCTCTTGGTCGAACCATCCGTGATGGCATGCGCAATGGAGCGCATCGAACGTCGAGAATCTCTCGAGGCAGTCGGAGAAAATGTTAGGGTTAGGGGTTTGATCACTTGGCGGCTAGTCCAGATTGGGTGCTAGAGCTCTTGCAACTTCCGATTGAGCTTTTGACGTTTGACCTCAGCGACACGTCCTCGTAGCTACAGTATCCCAGCACAATGGCGTCGAGGTTAGCACGGAGCGCGGCTGGTAAGTCTCAGACTACCTCTCCATACCCGGCGAGAATCATGTACTGATCAGGTCCCCACAGGCGCCGCCAAACTCCGCCCATCCATTCTCCCACGCTCCTCCCTACCCGCCCTCCCTCTCACCTCTGCCCGCTACCAGTCCAACGTTCCCGCTGAGGAGCCCAAGAAGAAGGCGCAGTCCATCGTCGATGCCTTGCCAGGCAACAGCTTGGTCAGCAAGACGGCCATCCTCTCCGCCGGCGCCGGTATCTCCACCTGGGCTATCTCCAATGAGCTGTACGTGCTCAACGAGGAAACCGTTGTCGCCTTCTGCCTGCTGTCCGTCTTCTATGGAATCTTCAAATACGGTGGCCCCATGTACAATGAGTGGGCTGAGAACACCACGACCCGCATCAAGGGCATTCTCGATGAAGCCAGGAAGGGCCACGCCGATGCCGTCCGCACACGTATCGAGGATGTGAAGCCCCTCGGCAACGTTGTTGAGATCACCAAGTCTCTCTTCGAAGTGTCCAAGGTATGACTACCACTTTGCCTGCCCCTGTCTTTAGATTTCCACCTGTCTTCCCATGAGTCCTGATCTAACCCACCACAGGAAACCGCCAAGCTTGAGGCCCAGGCTTTCGAATTGGAGCAACGTACCGCGCTCGCTAGCGAAGCCAAGAACGTGCTGGACAGCTGGGTGCGTTACGAGTCGCAGGTGAAGCAGCGCCAGCAGCGCGAGTTGGCTGAAAGCGTCATCGCCAAGATCAACAAGGAGCTCGAGAACCCTAAGGTCCTGCAGCAGATCCTGCAGCAGTCCATTGCGGATATCGAGCGCGTTGTGCAGCAGAAGCCTGGCCAGTAGATGTATTGGCTTTTTGGGATGGTGATTGACATGAGGTGAGGTGAAGCGAAGGCTTGATAGGCGCCGAGGAGGCCTGATAGCATGGCGTGGTAGAAGTGAAGCGAAGTGTCATCCGAATCATCGGAACAGACCTTTTCTTGTGTTTGTACATAAGAATAAAAACAAAACCAGAGTTCAGCATAAGCCATATCCGCACTCAGCGGCGCCCTTTCGCTCAAGTGAAAATAAGTGTGTTCTTTAGTAAGACCCACGAAAAGTCCCGGCACCGCCCACACTACCTTGACTAGAACGACTCTTCATAAGCTATGCAATACAGCTATAAATCTTCCCATTACAGACGCCTCGCTTCTGCTACCCGGCTAAAGAGCCAGCAGCAGGAAAATCCTAAAAAACGAGGCAGTACACTCACTATATCGACAGTTGCAAGCCTACAACGACAAGGTCAAGTTTTTATATGTCCAACATCATCGCTGTCACCCTCTCCCTTCTTCTTTCACCTTCAGGTTCTGGTTCTCGCATCCCCTCCTCTCCTCCTCACAACCCCATCTCTTTCGACCCCCTTGGAGTCACCATCTCATGCCCTGCAGCATTTCATCCCCCAAATCAGCTAGCCGTATACCTCCCACTCACCAAACCCCTCTTCGTACTCACCTCCACCCAGCCCGCCTCACTCGCCACGCTCTCCACGCCTTCCAACTCCCCACCATCATCCGCAAACGGATCATGCACCTTCTCCCGCTTGGGCGCCTCTCCACCCTTCCTCTCCACGCCCACCAGACTCGCCGTCCTCCCCTGCGCCTCGAACCTGACCTCCACAGGCCCCTTCTTCGGCACGCCCGCCCCGGTCGTAAACCGCACCAGCAGCCTCTCCTGCTCGGGCTTGACGCTCAGTTCCGCGAAACGCCACGTGACGGCGCCGTGCTTGCGCTTGAAGCTCGCGCCTTGAGTCGGGCTCATCATCGCGGCCGTGGGCTTGACTGCTACGGCGTCGGCGCCACCGGTCACGTCCAGCGCCACACTGATGACGACGTTCTTGAACGTCGTGGCCTCGGATGCGAAGGCTGGGTTGAGGCTGTATAGTAGGATGGCGGAGGCTTGGCCCTCGACGAGCTGCCATGCGGGGGTTAGTAGGATCGGGCTGTAGGCTGCGAGGTTGGCCTCGTCGATATGTAGCTGGTATTTGAGACCCACTGTGGGTGCGGCGCGTTTGATGTTGTTCAACGTGACAGTGTACGTGCCTGCATGCTCCTCGGAGCTGGTGGCTGAGTCTTTGGCCGCGGATGTGACGAACGTAGGGTTGGCGGCGACTTTTTCAAGAACCTCAAAGTGTTGCAGGCGGATTGTCTCGGATTCGGATGCAGTGCCGAGAGCGGGAGGGTTGTAGGCGAGTGCGATTTCGCCCGTAACGAAGGCTTTGGTGACGCCGGTGGCGGAGAACCACGTATTGACCGTCTCGACTATCGAAGCGTTGAGGCCTGGTTCATGGAGTTCAGGGTGGTGAGCTAGGCCAGCCAGAGAGTGAGTGGAGTGCACGGACGTCGTGTCGCTGCCGAGATTATGGTCCTCAAGAATGGTCCTCTGGCGTGGTTGCTGTATTGGGGATGCGAGATCGGTGGCACTGGTAGAGGCGGGCAGGCTCGGAGAAGTGGCGGGCGGAGAGCTTGTAGGTGGAGCGGCACCACCAGTATTGAGGATATCAACGCCGGCGGGAATGAACATGGTATTTCGCACATCGCGGCGACCACGAACGGAGCCTTGGACACGATTAATGCCCGAGGTAGCGCCTTGCATGCGCAGTTGGTTGGCCATGTTAGACATGGCCATTTGAGCCTCCGACTCATCCTCCTTGATCGGTTGGTCGCGGATAGCGAAGGCACGCGCTCTCTCTTCGGCCTCCGTAGCGCCTGTTGTCTGTGGCTCAAGCGGGGATATCTGAGTCGGAGGTTCTGGTTGTGTGGTCAAAGAGGCGATAGGCGAAGCAGGTTCCTCGGCAATGGTGGCAGGTGGCGGCGCTGCTTGAGTAGCAATCTGTGAGGGAGGGGGACCTGGTGGCGGTTGGAACTCAGATGTACCATTGGTCATGGGTGCTGGGGGTTCAGCACTTTGACGACTGGCAAGGTTATCTCTGGATGAGGCTTCTGCGGACGGCAGCTGCGTGATCGAGCCGTGAGATGGCTGATGTGATTGAACAGGGGTTAGGTCTCTGCCAGTTTCCTCAAGATCTTGGAAACTCCTCGATGAGTCGCCTCGTCGGAAAGGCATCATTGATCTTCTGTCTTTCTTTTTCTCCGGTACCGGCGGAGGCGGCATAGTGCTCTTCCTCCGGCTCATGACGGTTCCCAAGCGCTTCAGTCCTCCCAGTTTACTCTTAGTGGGCGTCTGTTCTGATAACGATGGCAACCGATCTTGATTAGAAGTTGAGCTTGCTCGTCTGGAGTTGTTCGGTCTTAACGGAGGTTCTGGTGGTGCAAGCATGCCTGAGGTAGGCGGTCTTGTGGCTGTCGCTGATGACCTCCGACGTTGCAAGTTGCTTCGGCCAGCCGCGACCTTCTCTGTAAAAGTCTTGATCTCATCCGCTGTCTCGAGGGTGAGCAGTGCATTCAGGCACGACTCAGCACTAGCACGGCTTCGCTCAACCTGATCCGCCTCGTGCGTCTGCAACTGCGTAAGGACATCCCGTAGATGGTTCACGCGCTGCTCGTCGAGGACCTGGAGCTGCTCGAAAATGTATGGCGCTTGCGACTCCCACTGGCGCGAGGCATCGTCGACCCCGGAGCTCGTCTCGCCCTCCTTTTTGCCACCTCTTGCTTTTTCGGCTTTTTTCTGGGCGGCACTGAGCTCTCTGGCCATGTTGGCAAGATTACTTTGGGAGCTTGTCGCAGCCTTCATCTCGGTGTTACGTGTATGAAACTGGCGAAGCGGCTTCTCAATATCAGTCTCGATTTTTTGCGCCAGTCTCTCGTGGGAGGCGGCGGAGTTCTCGACCCCGGAAACAATGCGCTGCCATGGCACCTGGAAAATACTGGCAGTCCGTCAGATGTGGTCCAGGAGAGCGACTGTGACTGTACCCTACCCCAGAGCAGCAGCATCATGCTGTGAACGACTCCCCAACTTTCTGAGTCCTATGACATATGCCTCCTCGACCTTCCGGCGCTCCTGCGATCTTTGTTGGCCACGCGTTGAGGTACTGTGGTGGCTACACTTACCTGCAACCAGTCGGCGATGTCTGAATTGACTTTGGAGATGAGGGCGACTCGATCGTTGAATACGCCGACAGCCTGATCCGGGCTCAGGCTCGCCTGTTACCATCGTTAGCAAGTGCGCTCATTAGACCGTCAGATTGGTGCGTGTACAAGTAGAGCGGGATACTCGGTTCGGCCCTCCATTGGATATACTGCTCGCTATGAGTGTCGCCAGGGGAGTTGGTGCATCTGCACTACAGCACGTAGTTACGACACTATACAGACAAGGATAAAGACCGACGCGCAGCACAGGAGCGGTGGGTGCAGTACGGATGTGATATTGGGTTGCAGTGTTTGAAACGAATTCTAGAAGCTGGCTCGAATGCGATGCGGCCTGGGGCTGGCGGGCCGAAAGGCGTCGCGATGGAGACGCCCAGGCGGGCTCGCCCATGTCATCAGAAAGTCAGCTTCATCCGCCCAGCTCCGATTAGGTAAGATACGTAGGGAAGTGACTGGTGTTTTACTTGCGGTGCTGCTGCCGTAGCATTTCTGGCAGAACATTGTGGCTGTAGATTGGGCATTGGAGGGCTCTTGGGTATCTCTCAAAGCTAGGTACAGCAGCAAGGGAACCCTGAAGTCCAATCTGCCGCTGCCCCCAGCAAAACTACGACTACCAAAGTTTGATGCTACCACCGTCCTGGAGAAACGTTTTCTACCATGGATGTGGGGTTCACGGAGAGAATTGGCAATGTCGTCGCTCTGTAAGAAAGTGAGCAAGGGCTTCACGACATCATTCTGACCCCAGCTCAGGACATCAGCGTTGACACACCTGGGCCAGGATGCGGCAGAGGCGAAGGAGCAAGCTCGTACTCTTGAGGACCAAATCTTCAAGATTTCCACGACCACGGTAGGAGCAGCTGATAGGTGCCTCATATTGATCTGACCCCGCTGCAGGACGAGTATCAAGGCCAGGTGTCGAGACTGCTAGCTCATCTGCAACCTACGCAGCCAGAAGAGCAGCCACCAGCAGTGAGCGCTGATCCAGACGAGATCTTGAATCCAGACGGCCCTACCTTTGGTCACTATCAATTTGCTACGTTCTACAGAGATGGCCAGATGTCGACAGTCTTCAAGGCCAAGGACAGCAGTTGGATCTCTCCGGATAGGATTGTAGCTCTTAAAGTGACACACCCGTCCTCAATGAGCGCACCTCACAACTCTAAGCGGGAAGCGAGGCTGTTAGCAGAGTGCCATCACGACGCTGTTGTCCCACTGCTGGAGTCATTCAACGAATCTGATGGTCGCTTTGTTCTGGTCTTTCCATTCCTTCGGCAAGACCTCGAGAATCTGCTCCGCAGTGGCACGCTGAACGGCAAACAAAAGAGCATGGTCTTCAACGGTCTCTTCAACGCGTTGGCTCACATTCATAGTCTTGGCATCATCCATCGCGATATCAAGCCATCCAATATCCTCTTGAAGAGCATGGACGGTCCAGTCTATCTTGCTGACTTTGGCATTGCCTGGTCACCACGCGATGCAGACTCCGAGCCAGCTGATGCTAAGATCACGGATGTTGGAACAACGTCTTATCGACCTCCTGAATTGTTATTCGGCCACCGTTCCTACGATGCGTCACTTGATCTCTGGGCGGCAGGCTGTGTGGTAGGTGAGATGGTCAAGCAGGGTCACTACCCTCTCTTCGATGGTGGTCCGTTGGGTAGCGAGTTGGGTTTGATCAAGTCGCTTTTTACCACACTAGGTACTCCTAGTGATGAGACGTGGCCTGTAAGTCAACGCTGCTGGGAGTCGGTCGCTTACTGATCCGGACAGTCTGCTACTTTGTACCCAGACTGGGACAAGATGACCTTTGCGCAGTTTCCCGCCAAACCATGGGAGGAAATTTTGCCTGGCGCATCCGCGACTGCCATTGGTTTTGTCTCAAAGACCGTCTGCTTCGAGTCGATGCACAGGCTGACAGCAGTTGAGGTAGGAAGATCAAAGCCCGAGAGCTGGTTCAGGCACTTACAAAGTATAGGCATTGCAGCATCCTCTCGCCAGTGAATTGGCTCGCGAGACATGAGCTGCGCCATTGTCCAGACAGCCAGCTCCTTTCACCCACGCCGCAGGTGTACAACGCGGGTCTGAGGCGCCTCAATACGCTCCCAATCCGCACTGTCGACGCCCATGGACCACGCGTCTGCTTGCCAATAACCGGGAGTGCTCGGATGGCTGCCGGTAGACATACTTGATCACCATTGTCGGTTTGTGATACATTCAGAAATATCTATTGACAGCATGCACCGAACTACGGTTCATAGCTGGAGAACATCGCGTGGCCCAAACGCACACCATCGACAGACGATCATAAATATCGTCGAATGAGCGACCAGACGTTGCCGAAGCGTTTGTTGTGGGCACGATCGCAAGATGAAGATAGCAATGTGGGCAGCTAATTTCGGAACCGTGATATGGGTGGAGACGTCGCATCCGCAGCCTTGCAGCCTCATCTCACGCTGACACAAGGGCGGCTTGGTATATTGCGCCGAGGGGTATGGCCTGTCTGAAACATCGTCGATGGTGCTGGGATCGAAGCTTGGGCTACTTGGAGCAAGACCAGTCGTCATGGTAGCATGTTGGCCCCTGAACGATTTCGACTCCAAGCAGACTCGGGTAATGCGTGTAGCAGTTGTTGGTCGAGAGGATGGCGTGTGTAGCAGGCGAATCTTGTAGCCGACTGACTGTCCATGACGTGAACGATGCCTACCGCGTGCGTCTCCGCGCCCATTTCCACGAGTGTACCCAGTTTGTATGTGTCTTGATGAATGTCGCGCATCTGGGGCCACAGTTCGCAATTTCCGGTGAGGGGGGCTGCCTTAAGCGCTAACTGGGCCTGTTTGGAGGAGCTTAGCGGCGTAGCGCGTGCTGGGTGTCAGGTACACCAATCAGCAGTGCTCCATCCCCTGCCGAGCAAATGCGCACCAAACCACTTGTGAACCCGCTTGCAGACTGCGGCCAAGCCACCCTCAAGCCATCAAGCCGTCCTCCTCCTTGGTCTCTTCTCCTCTCGACCTCGCTGTCGCTGCCTGGATTCATCTCATCGCACTCTTGTTGCGCGCGCAGACGCCTCTACCCTTCCCTTCTTCCCCACCTTCTTGTGCTGGTCTACCGTCCTTCTTTTATCGGTAGCCTCACTGCCACTCTTTCTATTCGTACCATACTCCAAAACTATTTCCTGTTTCGCCCGTGTCGACCACGAAGCTGCGCTGGATACCTTTCTACAGGCCCTCACCTCGTCCGACTTCAGCACTCGCACGGCCCAACGACCTAATTCCAAACCCACAATCTGGTCCAACACCTAAACAACCCAAGCCATGGCTCACGTTCATCAACAATTCCACAAATTGTTCGCCAGACATAACGAGCGACGCGATGTCACCACAATCAATGGTCAGGTTGTCTCAGTCGTCTATGTGACCGAATCACCCACCTTTAACGGTGTCATCGGCGGCTACTCCACCGTCACAGATGGCGGTAACTCGCCTGCGGCAACTGCGAGTGCTATCTCGGTTTCAGTCTCTGCTGCAAATGGTGCTTCTGCCTCGGCCGATAATGACTCTATTCCCGAAGCTGCCACTGCCACTGGTCTCCCAACTACCTCTCGAACCATTGCCACTTCTTCACGCAGCACCGCAACATCAACTCCCAACACTGCCGTAGCTGGTCCAGCGGTTACCTCTACCTCCGACTCGAACTCAAGCTCCAGCTCCGCTAACGAAGGCATGTCTACTGGTGCCAAAGCTGGCTTGGCTATTGGTATCATTGCTGGTATTGGTTTGATTGCAGCTCTTCTGCTTTTCTGCATCGGCAAGAAGAAGAAGGAACGGAAAGCCAGAGAAGCTGCTGCAGCCGATGATGAGAAGAAAACTTTCGGTGCCAGTCGCAACGCTATCGGCATGCAAAGCCAACCCATCAACACCGCTGGCCCAGCTCCTCGACTCAGCATCCGCCCCATGTCTAAGAACCTACTCGGCGACTACGGCTTTGGTGGTACCCAGAGAAGGAGTGCTGGAAACATGCTCAACGCTGTCGGCGAGGACCGCTCGCGAACGGCCTCGCCCTCTCCCCAGCCTCGCACCCAGACTCCTGAGAACCCTTTTGCCGACCCGCAGAACCCCTTCGCAGATCCTGAGAAGGGCGCGGACGCCGCCATGTCTGCTCCGAGAACCGCTCCACCGATGGCCGGCCCTGCTCCGATGGCGCCTCGCACTGTGCCCAACCCGGACAGAATTGCTTTTACTGGCTCTTGGCCCACTGCTCCTGCCGGCTACGAAGGTCAGCGAGAGGCGCCCATCGAGATGCCCAAGCCCACTCCAGCCCCTATGTCCGAACCTGATGACCTGCCTATCATGGGAGCTCCAACTCCCATAATACCCATGCCTTCGCCAACCGTCGCTTCTTCTCCGGCTGCCGTTCCTGGCGCTGCCGCGGCAGGTCCCGCTGCTGCGATCGCCGTTGCTGCCGCCGCTGGCGCCGCTTCTTCCAGGAAGCAAGAACGTCGTCCTGAACCCTCTCGCCCACAGCCTCAGCCTCGCGCCCAGGAAGAGCCACGAGAGCAGGTCTCCGAACCAGCAAGAGATGAACCTCGCGAGCCCCTGCCCGAAACACCCAGAGAAGCTGTTCCTTCCCCTGGTCCTGCGCCATCGTCAGCATTCGCCGGTGCAGCCGCTGCTGCACGCGATGTGCCGAGCTCCCCAGCACCAAGCGCTACCAGCAGCCAAGGCCCGACTCAGAACGGTGGCAACGTTTACCGCGTCATCATGGACTTTGTGCCATCAATGGACGATGAATTGGAGATGAAGAGCGGTCAGCTTGTCCGCATGTTGCACGAATACGATGATGGATGGGTAAGTTTTGACCGAGTTTCATACGATGGTTCTGACTAATATCACTAGGCGCTTTGTATCAGACTGGATCGCTCACAGCAAGGTGTCGCTCCCCGTACTTGCCTCGCTGCGAAACCCTCGAAACCCAAGCCATCGCATCTTGGTCAGTATGCTCGCAGCCCGGGCCCTCAAGGTCGTCCCATGTCACCAGCTGGCGATCCTCGCGGCCGTCCAATGACTCCAACCGGCGGTAGCAACAGCCCAGCAATGAATCGCCCCATGTCTCCTGGTATGGGCCGACCGATGTCTCCCGGCATGGGTCGCCCAATGTCACCTGCTGGTGGCCCCATGCGACCGATGTCTCCCGGTGGCCGCCAAATGCGTCCTATGTCTCCGGCGGGTGCTAGAGGCCCTGGACCACGTGGACCGCCCGGTCCTCCTGGCTCCAATAGGCCTATGAGCCCCGGTGGCTTCAATCAGGCTCCTCGCCCTCTATCTCCAGGTCCTATGCGCGGTGGGCCTCCTCGACGCAGCCAGTCTCCCGGCCCATATGGCGCTGCCGGCCCTCTGCCCATGCCCAGTGCTCCCATGCGGAGGAGAAGCAACTCGGCCAACGCCATGAACTTCCAAGACCGCCGTATGTCCCCTCCAGGCCCTTCCAAGCTCGGCCCGGGCCAGGGCTTCCGCCCCATGAGCCCAGCTGGTATGGGTATGGCCATCTAAAGAATGACAAGACTTGGAGCATTCCGAACCCGTTACCTCTCGTCGCACATAGACCACTCTAAACCACCAAACGAACCGAAATACCCGCCGACGACCTAATCTTTTCGCTTTGAGTGTACGATACATTGCGTTGGCTATAGTGCGTTTTCTCATGCTTTGAGCCCCCAGAGAGATCTCCACGGATCTCCCTCTCAGTCTGGCTACATACCAATACCATACATCCAGAATCGTACATACAGTCATACACGGAGGCTGTTTCTACCTTCCATCCAACCTTTTAGAGGATGCAAGTTTGAAGTCGTTGCAGGGTTATTATTGCTCATAAGTTTTTCAAAGGCTCGATGGCGCGGAGGAGGGATAGACGGCAGCAGCTTCTTATGCCGGATATTATCTTATCTTGTCATGGTGTGTTTTCTGCCCATCCAGGCAATAAAGTGGCAAGCAAGTACAAGCAAAGTAGCTAGCTACAAACGAAGAAAAATGGAAATCTATTCTCCCCCGTCCCGCGCTATGCTTGCTCCATATGCCAGTCCAGTCCAGTCCAGTCCGTGAAGCGGCGATTATCAAAGCCGTGCCCCCAGCTACGTCGCGTAGCGGCTCGCCCTGTATGATTGATTTCCACAGCTTCGATTCCGTTTGGAACAGAGCTAGATACAACGAAGAAGAGAATGTGGAAAACTTACGAATCCCCGTTTTCGCGTCACGTCGTTTCATATTGCTGGGGTTTTCGACTCTCTTGCGGGAGGTTGACTCTCATGCCAGCATTTCTGCTGTAACCTGTCTGGAGGAAATATAGTCGATCTAGACTCAGTGCCATCACTTCCACCTTCCGCCGCTCGGCATATTGCCTGTCTGACCGGGACTGCGGAGGATGATTTCCCCTGCTACAAGCATCTTCCAAGCTTTCCTGCACGATACAGCTGTCGTGGGGTATCGACTCTGAGCTGGCCAGCCGGCGCTTCCATCATGAGATCGGCGGGTGAAAATGATGAATTAGTCGGATAGATGCTTCGAGGTATGCGGTTCTGCGTGTCTCTGGTTGTGATTTGTCAGGGCCGCGGCGGCCATTGTTGCCATTCATCGCCGGTCCAGTGCCCGTAGCTCTCTATCCACTTCGCTCGATCAGTAGCTCGATCCATAAGCCTACCACTCGATACAGGTTCGCTGCCCTTGTCTTTTTGACCACGAAGCTTTCCCTCAGCATGGCTTAGCCTAGCTGCAAACGGAGAGTGGCTCTTCTTCGCACCGACTGTGGAGCCGAATCTCGAAGTACCGCAGCGCACACAGTTGGCTCGGCGAGGGAAGTTGAGCGTTGAGCAGCTTTCAGAATTGCAGCGCCAGTATATAATAGGTGGCGGTTGGGTGATGCTGCGACCTTCAATGTCACGGCTCTCCCAATGATGGCTCTCCGAATGATAATCGAAATAAGCTGATGGTTTGGGGAATATGGCATTGGTGGCATTGGTGGTGTTGGCGGCGGCGACAGCTAGTGGTGTCATTCCGTAGATATCTCTCGCTTCTTCCTGTTCGCTTTGCAAGCCAAAGATGGTCATGTTGTCGGTCTCGGCAGCCAGGTGTGAAACTTGCCTTCGGAGGATATCTGTCTCGGTGTAAGTCTCTGGCGAAAGCAGGAATTGAGCCGCCTGAGGTCTTCCGTAGTACACTGCCGTATGCACCGCCGGAAATGCAGGGTTGATGTTGGCGAAAAAGTATGCGAAGCGATGGTCATGGAAACTTGGCTTCAGTGCCTCGAAAGCCGCGGATGCTCGACGTGACATGCTCCGAAAGATAGCGGCTTCATTCGGGTCCGCACCTAGGCCAGGCAATTGAGTCCCTGCCTGTGCAGGAAAACGATATCGTTCCTGTAGCTTGAGAGCATCAAGGCGCAGCTCTTCAGCCTCGAAAGCATCGTCAAGCGAGCGTTCGTAGTGATAGGCGAGCTGGGAGAGGACCACGACTAGCTGTTGAGCAATCTGCTTACTCTCGGTAGAATCTTCATCTCTCGCAGTGGCAATCTCGAGATACCGATGAACCCGGCGTGAAAAGCGCTGCAGTATATTTTCTTTCTCTGTAGGATTGGAAATTCGAGGTAAATGGTGTAATACAGTGTTGCAGAGATGACCAAACTCGTTGAGAGCGGCAGAAACCGCCATCCACAGGCCACCTTCAATGTCCTCAAAAGTGGTCAAGCGACGTGGTGTCCTCATGCCTAGACAGACCTGCAACATCGTCAGTGGTTTTGATAGTCGGGAGTCGCATTGACCAAAGATTACAACTCATGGATCTTGGCGCCTGCTGCGCTTATACGTACCTCATATCTATTCACGAGACACTTGTAAGTGATGCAAAGATCACCGAGTCTCTGCAGGCTGTAAAACGTCAGCAGCTGATACTTTCAGTCGGCCTGCGAAGCGGGTATTTCAATAAGGGGCCCAGACATCTGCCACCATACGAGATTGCTGAATGTGACGTATCATTTGATGATACCAGGGCACGTCGATTCGGGTACACAGTGCCGCGCGGAAGCTCTTTAACGTACGCTGACATACAAAGCCATTTGTATGCCCACGAACGTGCGAGGAAAGGACAGCCCATAGCAGCAGGCTCCTGCCTTGTCGGCGCGGAGGCTAATGCGCCGTGGCCATCGGACGAGACCGACAGACTTAACGAATGCAACAGTATGAGACAACTTACGCTACTTTGATTTTTTCCTTTGCATCGCGCGCTAGATGACCCTCTCGACGTTGCGACTGTGACGGTGTTGTGTCGGGCGTTGCGATGGGAGCCGCCTGCCGCGAAGAGGCTGGGGACCGATCAGAAACCATCACAGTAGATGTCCTTCGATTTGACTCTGGTGGAGTCTTCCGGGTCGAGGAGAGATCGGAAAGAGAATCGGTGTCCGCGCCCCGGGATGTACGAGCTGTCAGGGCTGTCCTGCCATCGTTGCTCGCAGCTACCTTGCCCGAGGCATCTGACCGCTCTATTGAGTATTTCAAGAAGCTCCAGATGCTGAAATTCACCTCGTCTGCATCGTATCGCCGCTTTTCCCACCTGAGGTGAGGCGGAAGGAAAGACTCAGGCGTTTGCGCTAACACAGAATTCGGATATTTGTACTGTGCTGGAAGAAGCAGCGACATATTCAACTGCTGCTGAATCGATTCCTGAAGCCGTATTGCAGGTATCACATATGCTCGAGACGAACCGGGATCTCCCGCAACAATATGGCCCCGAAAAGAGGTATACCCGTCGCTAATAGAGCTTTTGCTGTACACCCAGGTACCACAGTGGCCAGGTTCTAGTGTCCAAGTCAGCCATGACGAAGAGTCCAAGGGGTCGTCACTCACGAAACTCGAAGTTCGGCATGTGTACTTCAGCCACGCTGATCAACTCCGTGGCACCAGGCAGTCGTATACGTATGGGACTAACATCAATGTACCCCTGATATTCGACTTTAGAAACGATCATTGTAACTTTCGAGACATCGTCCGCTTCCAAACGTGTTCGCAGTACGTCCCGATAGAATGTCATATCTGAAAGGCCCGATGAAGGGTCAAACGATGTTTGAGGTGATGAGATCTTTATCAGTGCCCAATCTGCAGCGTCGTTGACATCGCCTACTGACATATAAGCGACATGTCCGAGCAGATCGAGTTGATGCTCTTGAAGAATGGAGTCAAGGGCCGAGCCTGCATTCTCGAATCCAGCTTGCGTAGCACCGACAGTATACGCCTCCTCGGACGAGATAATGTCGAGGGAGATATCGCTGCTGGATGTTTCCGAGGCGCAATCGGTACCCTGAGAATCAGGAGAATCAGGAAAGTCTTCATCTCTTGGACATAAGCTTTCCAAGAATTCGTCATCGAGATCTAGAGTGTCTGGCTCTGAATTAGGCGTTGAAACATTGTTGAAGGATGCAGCGCTATGCGCCGTGGTCAGGCCATAGACTTCTCTTCCAAGTACCACGAAACCTCCAAGGACAGCCTTTCTGTAGCCCTCTGGGAACTTGAAGTATATCGGAGTACCCCAGCGTATGGGCTCCGTACGCGGGGTGTACACACAGCGATCTACCTGCCGCTGTCTATCAAGACGCATCGGAAAATCTTCGCCCAACTGCATGGGGGGCTTTCCGAGAAAAGGCACCACAATGAATGCCTGATGATGTGTGGAGTTGAAAGTGATCCAGTCAGGATGTTCAGTAATTGCTGCAACGGCGCTTCGAAACGCAGAGGCACTAGAGCACCAGATACCGACGCATGGCCGAGCTGTCTTGCATTTGCGACCGGCCATATAGCAGCGAACGCCGTTGACAGGGTCATATGTATGAGTTCCCTCGTGTAATTCTTCGTGATTCTTGAGGCAAGAATATATCGTAGACTCGATGCTTCTGTATGCATCCCGAGCAGGTCCTGTGATGTACCATAACTTTACACCGAGACACCGGTCCCGCAGACCTTTAATGTCTCGATTGGGCCACTGGAGTGGCTGTCTGTGCTGGTCGCAGGAGTCGGCGGGATTTGGCCAAATTTCGGGTTTGGCAGCCATGCGGATGGTTGTACTGGAATAGTGCTGAGTCACCGTCCGTGACATAGTAAAGCTGGAGAGCAACTGCTGCGAATACTGGCAACGGAGCGGATTGTCTGGTTTCGAGAAGTCTTCGAAGGATGGAGTGGTGAACTGTACGATTAAGAGCGGGGCTGTGATGTTCCTACAAGTCTCGCAGGCGGTATAGCGTCAGGTGGCTGTGCCGGGCGCATCTCGACTTGGCAGCAGACACCCCTGCCGTTGCTTTCTGCAAGGACAAAACCGGTAATCCAAGGCTGAATCAAAGTGGGTTAAAGAGCAGAAGAGCTGCCAGTCGCGAAACTGGACCTCGTTTGCCTTGTGCTATCAAATAGCATGGCTACAACACTCAAGACACCACTGTCTCAAAGAGACCGAATCTTCGTCCTCGAAACAGTATGGGATCGGTCGCCGAATGATTCCAGACGTGAGGAAGTGGCACTCTCGACGTACTTTGCACGTTATGATACGCTCTGCCTACACCGCCTGTCGATGCTGGATGATTGGTCTCATGAGAATATCGCAACGCTGGCCAAGGACATGCTGTCACTTACCAAAGATGCCTGTGCAAAGCAGTTAGCAGCCATCGCTCAGCCAGCAACACCCACGGAACAAGAAACTAGCCAGATCCTTGACTTTGTTGCAAGGTTGATTTTCTGCCTCGACCTGGTCGGCTGGGAGCCTTCACAGACTTTGCAAGCTCACCTTCACTCAATGTTTCCAAGGTCCACGCAAGACGACAGATATCGCATACCTCGATCTTTCAACCTCTGCACAATTGCCCACATCACCGATATCAATATCACATGGACAGTAGACCTGAATCGACATCTCCAGGTAACGGAAGACAACGGCGACATCGCAGTCTTCCACTGTGTCACAGTCCTGGACCTGTTCAGGTCTTCAGCAAATGCAAAGCAATTGTTTCCTGCCGGGCTTATAGATGAAACAATAAAGTCGCTGAGCCTTATGTGCCCGGGCGAAAACCAACAGGTGAAAACTTGGCTGAGGAAGGAACAGCGAAGGTGTAATGAAGAGCTAGACCCACGTCTCATATCCCTACATGCTCGGCACAAGCTGGGAGTTGCTGGCCGAAAGATAGATCAATTCGATTTCTGGCGTGACCAGCTCATCATTGTCAAAGAGGTCTTCGACGACAGAGAACCACGAAATATCCTTCACTTGTGGAGAGATTATCGGAAGCCATCGCAGTGGTGGACATTCTGGATAGCTCTGACGGCTTTCCTGCTGTCTTTGATCGCTTGCATCGAAGGAGCGATGCAAGTGTACAAGGCTTACCACCCGTCATAGAGCGACAATATCCGAGGGAACCCTTGGGAAGGCGTGGGCGTGGCTTCTGATATTGTGCTATAGTCAAGCTGTACTGCTGCACTAGACAACATTGTGGCAGGCGGCCGAAAATGGCACGATATGCTCCGACTAGTTTGACCGCTGAAGGAAAACCAAGATGCCAGAAGAAGAAGACCGACATGAAGTGAAATCTTGCTTTCTCTAAGCTGGCCTTGGCAGGTACCTAGGTAACCTTGCCGAGGACGTGGAGACTGCCTCTCGTAACGCCGATGCTTCCCAGCTGGTGCCTTATGTGTAGAACGCTGTCCGCGCCTGTCGCCAAAAACATCTAGACTCATCTATCGCGGCTGCGGCGTTCAATATCTTACATCATGTTGTGTCTCCTCTGTGCTCGGATCCACGACCTCCCAGCCGCTCGCACTTCCTCGTCTCAAACCCTTTGATCTTTCTTCGACGTCTTTCATCTCCCCCATCATCACATCGTTGAAATGATCTGGGCTATCAAGATAGACATGATGACCTGCTTTCTTGATGATAACGACCTTTGCACCGCCCTGGTCGTTCTTCCTCTCTTCCTCGCTCTTCCCCTCCAATGCGCGTTCACGTTCCGCGTCGATCTTCCTTTTGGCGGCATACCCACCCTTGATGTCCATCCAATCGTTCTCGCCGTACATCAGAACGACTGGCAGTCCGCTTTCTTGAGTGCCGTTTGGCAAAGTCTGGCGGCCGAGGCCTTGTATTCTGCGGATTAAGGGCGACCGCGCGAAGGCGCCCGGAGCGAGGATGTATGCAAGCGCGTACTCGCCGGACCCACGTAGCCGGAACAGACTGTAAGAATAATCGTGCAGAGCCTCGGCCTCCTCCTGAGGTAGGTGTGAGAAACGGCGAGACGTCCAGCCTGACACCAGCCGTGGGCCGAGGGGGCCAGACCAACGAACGAGCGAGAACGGCGAGACATTGGCATCCCAGAGGTAGGTGACCCATTTAGGGATGCGCCGGGGAGGGGCGTCAGGCGACGTCTTCTGACTTGGTTGGGAGCCACGTCTTTGTTGCTCCTCCTCGGCTTTCTTGCGAGCATTGAGAAAGTTGTTGTTGTCGGTCTGAACGGTCTCGGTCTCTTGATCTTGCGTGAACTCGTTCGCGAGTGTAGATTCAGGTGGCTCGGGCATGGCTGCTTGAACTGCATAGGGGTCCTCCGGGATACCGACAGGAGATGCCAGGATGAGCTTATTGAGATTTCCAGGATACTTCAGAGCGTAGCAAACAGCCATGTAGCCGCCCATTGAGTGCCCAACGAGGGTCATCTTGTCGATCCTCTTCTTCTTGCGCCATTCTTCTAACGAGTCTACGAACCAATCCTCGGCTTCGGTAATCTGCTGCTCCCGGGTCTTGCCGTGAATCCGGAATGGTGGCCGTGACGAGCGGCCCATTCCCAGCATGTCCAGGGCGTATAGCTGCCAGCCCTTTGCACGGGACAGCGGCTCGAAGTTCTTGTAGAAGAACCCCAGACCGGCTCCGTACCCATGTATTATAACGAGATTCTGCTCCGTTGGCTCCTGGTTTCGCTCGACGGAGAATTCGTTGAGCGCTCGGTGCTTCCCTGATAGCTCAACCATACGGGAGTACCATGTTCGCGGACCGTATGGATCGTTGATGGAGTTCGTCCGGACAGGGGCGGCTTTTGCCGCCGGATCGTTGTTTAATGATACTGCTGAAGGGTTGACCGAAGGTGGTTCTGAGCCAGTCTGAGTGTGTGTTGGAGGTTTCTGGAGATACGGAACATATGACAGGACCTTGTGTTCGGTCTGCGCTGCCGTTGGCGCGCACCACCACTGGCTGAAACCTTCTTTGTAGGTCATTGGGAACATGTTCTCAAATCTGCCCTTCTTCTGGCCATCATTGGCAGCTCTATGCCGAGCGAGGGGGCTCTGTTGGGTTCGCCCGCTGATCTCGCTGTCGCTGTCGGCTGTTCCCGACATGACGGGCGGCTGATATCGGTGCGGTGGGAGGTTGTTCTGTTGTGTCCACGCTGAGGAGGACTGTGCTCGTGAAGGGGACGCTACTCGGAAGGGTTGTGGAAGCTGAAGCTGCCTTGCCCGCCTCATACGAGGCTGTTGGGGGTGGCTGTCAATGCGCACGAAAGCTGAGAGATGAGAAGAACCGGGAGCGAGGCGGGCGGCGAAACGTCAATTTATTTGAGCCAGTTATTCAGGTACGATGCGGCGCTGCTGAAAATGGTTGCTCGGTTGAATGCTGGTCCGTCCGCCAGTGCGGATTGAGTCTGACTCCTGGCGTCATCGTACTGCACGCCTGCTGCCGCTCCGGACTTAACACTTTCCCATCTCCATCCTCCACTACACGAACCTCTCGGAGCTATCATTATTCTTGCAGCCTAGATTCAGGGGCCCTGCCACGCGATATCGAGCCTCATTGAAATCCGAGCATCTCCGGACCGAGCTCTTGTTCGCGATCCTGGCTCGCCCAGCCTCGTCGCGGTGGCAGCGGGCGAAGCGCATCTTGAGGCTGACGGCACATGTGCATGTTGCACGTTGCAGAAACGAGAAAGTCCCCACCTGCGCCATTGAATTCCACAGGATAGTTCTGCATACCTAGCAGCATTACCTCCTCCATCACTGCCAACATCGATTTGAGGCACACCATCTCTACCGGCTCGCGCACCGCGCGCAACACCCACCCTCCGTACCACCCAGTATCATGCCGTCCGAGACCTCACTCAACCAGCTAGTCAAAGGCGCACCGACGGCGTCGGTCAACTCATCACCTCCCGCTCCACTCCCTCCTTTAGCACAGGCTGCGTCCAACAACACCACAGACCAATACTCCTCTGATCTTTCCGCTCTCCCCTCCTCCCCACCACAGATCTACCTCAACCTTCTGATCCTCGAATCCTCTCTTCGCTCGCAATACCTACATCTCCTCTCGCGCCGCCGCCTCAACACCTTCTTCACCCTTTCGGTGACGCTTTGGAACGCATTCTTCCTCTACGCTTTGTTTCTCCGCCCTCGCGAAGATGGCGTTGGTATCGGCGGCTCTATCTACTGGGTCATCGAAGTATCGGAGAAGCTGGCACTGATGGGTGGCCTGGTGACGGCGCTTCTGATTTGGGCCACGGGCCAATGGGAACGCGGTGTGCGATGGCCACGACGCTGGCTCAGCACCACGAACCGAGGCCTGCGCGTCTTCAACCTGCGCTCGGTGATCCTACGACGCAAATGGTACCGTGAGTGGCTGGGACATTTGTCGTTCCTTATCCCCTTTGGCCTCCTTTGGAGCGATGAGGGCGGTGGCTTCAGCGACTGGCATTTCGTGGAACACGAGAATGGCGTGGTCATCGAAGAAGATCTCGCCAAGGGCGGCGACTACATCATGCTACTTCTGCAGCCGAAGGCCTTTAGCCCAGAATTCCGCGAGAACTGGGAAGAATATAGGTCCGAGTACTGGGCAAAGGAGAACGAGCGGCGCGCAGCCTTGCGCAAGAAGGTCAAGCTGCAGCGCAGAACCAAGGCCAAGGAGATGGGCGGATGGAAATGGCATTCCGGCCTGTGGCGGCTGATGCCACGCGCCGGCCACAGGAGGCACAATCAGGATCTGGAGAAGCATCCCACGCATCTTCATGGGCACCACGCACCCCACACTAGCCATCAGAGCCACCAACGCGGCAGCTCGCGCACCGGCCTATCAGAGAAGGACGCGCTGAAGCAGTCTCGCCGACGATCGCTACGCAGCGACTCAGCCTCGCATTCCCGACAGAGTTCACGGTCCAGCACGCCCACGGTTGGCGAATGCGACGGCGCGAGCGACTTGCCCAGGGTGCGAAGAGGCAGCAGCGTCAGCAGCACGGCGAGCGTGCGGAGGAAAACAAGAGGTGAAAGGGTCAGCCCTCTGACGAGCACGACTACCGGCGCGATCGCGGAGGGCCAAGATAGGCCCAGGAGGAAACGCATCGACAGGGATGCGCAGAGGCCGACGACGCCAGATAGCGATAGTGGTGTCGGGGAGGGGGCGTGGAAGATCAAGAAAGAGGGCGAGGGGAGGATGGGGGGTGTTGCTTAGCCACATCCAGTGCTGTGTACTGGAAGCTGGCTGCAAATGATAAATATACCCAATGACGGGCGTTTGAGATTTCGTTCTATCATTCCACTCCACGCGATTTTGGCTGCACATCCGTCATTGGGATCCGATCCAAGTGTCCCAAGAAAGTCCCATCTATCCCTTCCCGAAGAAGCCATGCAGATTCTCATATCGTAGATCATTTTACAGCTTCTCATGCTTCCCATCCAAGACCCCACTACCAATACTGCCGCCCCTCCGTCTCCGTCCCCAGACCTCATACGCCCACTCGGTCAACTGGAACATCCAGCCGCCTCCAACAATGACGCCGGAAATGACGTTGACGAGACGCACCAGCAGCGCCAGCAGACTCTGGCGCTGCTCCGCCACGATGAGCAGCACGGGCTCGATGTCGTACTTGAAAAACACCCCTGGGATGGTGTTGTGGTTGACCTCGTGGCTCTGCGACTGGGCGGCGTACTGGTTCGTGAAGATGGATTTGGCGTCGGCGTTGACGCCCGGGTTGGCCACGTGGCGCACCTGGCCATCCTTGTCCTTCTTGGTCGCGGGCTGGAGGTCTAGGGTGGGGGGTTGGGGCACGGCGGCCGGGTCGAGGGTGCCGCTGGGGGTGGAGACGCGGCGTTTGGTGAAGATGGTGGGCACGATGGAGAGGAAGTATTGGTATTTGTAGAAGTGGGCTTCGGTGGCCGAGGTGGTTTTGTCGAGTGGGTTGAGGAGGTTGGGGTAGTGTGGACCGAAGGAGAGTTCGTTGATGTGGTGCGAGAAGTTGAAGGCTGAGTGGTCGAGGTGCGAGGGCTGTCCGAATTCCATGTAGCCGTGACCGCGGGCTGTGATGTGGAAGTCGCCCTGCACTTTGTTGCCCTCAAGGGAGCCGTAGATGCGGCAGGCGTCCGTAGGGGAGCCGCGGGGGATTTTGGGAGTTTTGACGAACTTGCGCGAAGGGTTCTCGCGCATGTGGCCTAGCACGTGCGCGACGTGCGAGTCTTCCTCTTCGGCGGCTTTGCGGGCCGGTGTTCGTTGGTTGACGGTCTGGTAGACAGGAGAGCGGCGCGAGCCCGAGGTCCACAGGGCGTAGTTGGTGGCTTCTTTGGTGAGGCGATCACCGGCAACGATGCGGTCCATGGCGGCGTCCTGGACGTTGACGTGCAGGTCACTACATTGCATGGCTACAATGATGTCGAGGTTGAGCTGCAGCTCGTGTCCGACACCACGCTCGACGCTGAAGTGATGCTTTTCGGTACCAATCCACCAGGTACGGAGTTCAGTGAAGGTGAGGAGGGTACAGAGGATGAGGACGGCGAGGGTAAATTGTCCTCCACGGGCGGAGGGGGAGGTATATGTCGGCTTTACTTTTGCTGGAGAGTGACGGTCAGTATCCGTCCCATCACGCAGTGTTAGGACTACATACGGAAGGCATCGAATGTTTTGAGGGCGGACAAGCCTGCCTTCTCGCCAAAGGCATCCTCGTCCAGCCCATGGCCTGCGAAGTCTCCCATTCCTAGGGTCACCTGCGCTGGGTGAGATGTGCTTCAAGATGTTGCGACATGTATAACGTGTCGAAGCGCGTCAAGAATTAAGACACAGGTGACCTCGCCGCCAGCAGTGAAGTTGCGCTTGGTCTCCAGATACTATAAACTGTTCGACTGCGGAGGTGTCCTCTTCGGGAGTTCACGACGTCTGCAAGGCTGACGATCAGCCTCGTTGGAGATCTCCTTCGTTGCTGTGGTTTGGACTACTAGGCAGTGGTTGTAGTACAAAGAACTCGAGCTGCAAACAGCAGGATTCATTGCCAGAAGGCATCGTAATTCTGTGTGCTATGATGGTGCTAAAGCGACGCTGCGTGTGGGTATCTGGGTATCTCAGGCTGTTAAGTCAAGTTAATGCTGTCCGCCAATTCGTATGCAGCCACCCTTGCTCGTGTTTCAACGAGTGGAAATGCTTATGCCGTATGAGCCCGTTCTCGGGCCGAGAACATTCGGGCTTGATAATGAAAATGCCATATTGTTCTCGTCATTCTTCGATGGGTTCCAACGAGAAATCCGCCCTTCTTTCAGCTCCACATACTGACCAGCGCTTTCGTTCCTTGTTGCTTCGTAGATTGCTGGCTCGTATTTCCAGTGAGCTTCTCCTTCTCATGTCGGCGCCGTCGCCATCTTCAGATCTTCGAGCGTCCTCCTCGTCCAGCATGGCCTGCTCCTCGGCGTCTGGCGTGTCTTCGATAGTCTCAAGCGAGCTAATTGATGGCGAACGGGAGCGAATGGAAGTTGGGGTGCTGGGTACGCTTGACGCAGAGCTATAGTAGGTTGGGTATGGCTCGGTCATGTACTTGGAGGCCACAAATGATGGTGATACGCTGCGTGAATGGCCCGGGCTTCCGCCTCGGGCGTAAAGTGAGGGAGCACTGGCACTTTGGTGCAGTGGACTTGTTGGACGTCTCCTAGATCGTGGGAATGTGTTCGAGTATGAGGGGACTGGTGAAGTCTGATAGTCCGAGTCGAAGGTAATTTCCAGCTCTTCGTTTTCAGGAATATTGGGCTCGATGCTTAGACCGCTCCAAGAGTTGTATGAGTCTTCAACGGACGGGCGGAGTGGACTCCTTCTCCGCCCACCGTTTAGAGGGGATGTTGGTCTGCGTGGCGTAACGAAGGAAGGTGTGACAAATCTACCAGAAGAGTCAACTCCTGGTGATGAATGAGCTCGCTGCATCATGGGTGCGCCGGTTGCTGTGTGAGGTCGCATGGCGGGGCGTGAGGGCGACTGAGTTCGAGGTCGATACGGGAGTGAAACACTCGCGCTTGATGAGAGTGTGTTGATTGCAGTTGTTGGAGGAAATACGATTCCTGGAGAACTGGCTGTAGGTCGCGGAGAAGAGTTGCCAAAGGCATCTTCTTCTTCACCTGGTGGTGACGGCGGCAGCTTAATGTCTTTGGGCAAGATATGGGGTCGTGCAGAGTCTAGAGATCTGCGCTCGGTAACAAGGGAGGACTTAGGAGCAGGTCGGACATTGGCGGCGAGCGGACCGTGAGTGGCAGCCATTGCAGCGTGTCGACCGAGGACGTGTTGGAGATAGTGGAAAGGTTGGTCCGTTAGCAGCGAGGCATAATGCGAAGAGGGTGGCGGCAAGAGTGTTGCAGTCCAGATCGGTTATTGTCGCAGGCAGGGTGAGAAGTGGGAGGTGGGTGTCACAGCATTCCATCACATGTTCGGGTGAGGGTCGCTGCACTTCAAGCCTCGCGGCAGGTACACAGTTGCATGGACCGATGTGGCTGGCGAAGAAGGACCCAAAGCGCCTGTAAAGTCGTAGAAACGAGACTTTTCCAAGGGAGGTGGTGCATTAGTTAGCAGTAGATGGAGCGGGCGGGAAGCACATCAATACTAGGGTAAATTCGGCAGGGCCCTGAAGGGTACCAAAGAAGGGTCTCAGGGGGGCGAGATGGGGTCAACAAAATCGCCCCCCTCTCTCCACACTGACTGACTCGCGCTCCAGGCTATTACCGCCCGCCGAAGGGGCTCTATCACTATTGTCTTTTACCCGTATCAGATGCCTGTGTGCATTCTCCCTTTCCGCTACTATTTATCATTGCACTCCCTTGGGGGTTTGGACGCCTGTCGACGGAGCGTATATACGTTATGATGTCGTCATCAAACGAGAGTCTGGCCTTGTATCGATATGAGCATTCCTCGGATAAGTCCTTTTGCCGGATGCCTGTTGTGACCTCACTGGTATCAGTATGGCAGCAACAAAGTCTTCAAATAAAACATGAGAGTCTCGCCTACTAGTACAGCTCAAGCAGTGTCAGGCCAGCGCTTAACGCATACTGACCCCGTGCAAGGGCAAACTGTCACCTATTCGAGTGGCAGACCTTATCACGGCAGCTACTGCTTTGGATCCATCATCGGCTCTCAACCAGCGTCTGCAAACAGGCAAGTTGAGCATTATTCCTTCAAATCTCAAACAAAGCTCTCTCAAAGTATAGCCCATTAATCTTGTTGCGACCCGTCTCGCTCGGTTAGCGACCATGTAACGAAGTAAATATAGCACTTGGCGTCTAAGGTTTCCCAGACTCGACAAGCATCAGTATCTGGTAAAATTACTATACACGGTCACGTTCCAGCAAGCACACCCGAGAGAGCCTCAGGGTACTGTGATCGCCGTCTCCCCGGCACCGATCCGTCAAGCTATCGGTCGCTTACCGAAAGCCTGACAGGGGTCCGATGGTCTTGACAGCTTGACGTCTGCCACGAATTCTCCGAGACTCGGTCGAAGCAAGAGGAGTCATGTAACAGCACCAGCATTATTTACCTAAGTTCTTGTGTCTCGTCGGGTTGCTAACGGTGGAGACTCGGACGAGAATGCTTCAAACTGCGATCGTTTCCCCCCAATCATGAATCTCGACCCCCGCGCCGCGGGGCAAATGTGCTGCATCCATAGCCTAAAGAGAGCACCCCACCGTGGGGTTACCGGCCTTTGCGATCGCCCCTCATATCACACAGAAGAGACCCTGATGGAGTAGTTGTAGGTACGTCCAGGCGAGACCAAGCTCCGGCGGGCGCAGCTACTATAGCCATGCAGGGAGGTCTGATGTGTTACGGGCGCGCCTCACTCCGGTGGGCTCGCTGTAGCTTGGGCCGAGTAGAGACTTGGAATCTACATGTCAAGCCCGCGCAATCCTTTCCCTGCTCTGAAGACCACTATCCCATTCCGAGCTCCGAGAAACCCGTGAACGGCGACGGGCCTGGACAGCAGCCATGAAGTTCACCCAGGGCATGTGGTAGGCAGCCTCTTGGATTCCTCCTTGAACAGATGCTCATGGTTGCAGGCGTACACGCGAAGGCATCGAATTCAACTGGATGGGACATGCTGAGCGAGTGACCACCACTGACTCCGAAGCCAACATCCTCCTTACCCAACCTCAACGCCGTCGAGGCGATCAGCTCAACAAAGGTACCCTCACCGCCAACATCCGGTCTCCGCTGGACGGCGTCACAGCTGTCAAACTCACCCACTGGGACGGTGCCGATGACCCAGGTCCAAACTTCCCTCTCAACGAGGCCTCACCCGCTGTGAGCATCGAGAACAAACCAGCGAAGTCTCTCATCTACAGTACTGGACCATTATCTCTCGACGTCGACACCGCCCCAAATTCACTGTCCTTCACTTACAACGACATAACCGGCCCGACTGCCCGCAAATTGACATCTCACTCCTTCCGCTCCCTCGCTTACGTCTCCGACGCCAACACCTCGACCTACAGTGCCTCTGACGAACTTTACGCCGAGAAGGACAACCACATCCTCTTCGCTCTTGACCTCTCCGTTCACGAGAAGATCTACGGCCTCGGCGAGCGCTTTGGGCCCTTCGTGAAGAACGGCCAGGCCATCGATATTTGGAACGAAGATGGCGGTACCTCGTCGGAATTGACATACAAGAACATCCCCTTCTACCTCAGCAGCCGCGGCTATGGCGTCTTCGTCAACCACCCAGGCAAGATCATGCTGGAGGTGCAGAGCGAGCGCACCACACGGGTCAACGTGGCCGTGCAGGCAGAGAGCGTCGAGTACATGGTGGTGGCTGGGCCGACACCCAAGGCCATCCTCGATCGCTACACGGCCCTCACGGGCCGCCCAGGCCTACCGCCAGCATGGAGCTACGGCCTCTGGCTCACGACGTCTTTCACGACCAGCTACGACGAGGCAACGGTGACGGGCTTCCTAGACGGGTTCCGCCAGCGCGATATCCCGCTCAGCGTCTTCCACTTCGACAGCTTCTGGATGAAGGGCTTCCACTGGTGCGACTTCGAGTTCGACGCCGACCTGTTCCCGGACCCGAAAGCGTACCTGGCCCGGCTCCGCGAGCGCGGCATCAAGGTCTGCGTGTGGATCAACCCGTACGTCGGACAGGCGTCCAAGCTGTTCCGCGAGGGGAAAGAGAAAGGGTACTTCGTCCTGCGCGCCGACACGGCCACGCGCACGGTCTGGCAGTGGGATAACTGGCAGGCCGGCATGGCGCTGGTGGACTTCACCAACCCGGCCGCCACGGAATGGTATGTAGGCAAGCTGAAGGGCCTGATGGACCTGGGCGTCGATGCGTTTAAGACCGATTTCGGCGAGCGCATCCCCTTTGACGCGCGCAAGATCAAATACTTTGACGGCAGCGACCCGCGGCGCATGCACAACTTCTATTCGTTCCTGTACAACAAGGCCGTCTACGAGGGCATGCAGGCCCACGGCAAGGACGCGTGCCTCTTTGCCCGCAGCGCCACCACCGGCGGCCAGCGCTTCCCAGTGCACTGGGGCGGCGACTGCGAGAGCACGTACGAAGCCATGGCGGAGACGCTGCGCGGGGGCTTGAGCCTGGGCCTGTGTGGCTTTGGGAGCTGGGCGCACGACATCGGCGGGTTCGAAGGCCTGCCGGACCCGGGGCTGTATAAGCGGTGGGTGCAGTTTGGGCTGCTGGGCAGCCACAGCCGGCTGCACGGCAGTGGGAGCTACCGTGTGCCATGGATCTTTGAGGAGAAGTATCCCGGCGAGGATGAGAAGTGTAGTAAGGTGTTGAGGGAGGCGGTGCGCAGGAAGTTGAGCTTGATGCCGTATCTGTTGCGCGTTGCGGCCGAGGCGGGCGAGAAGGGCACGCCCGTCATGAGGGCAATGCTGTTGGAGGTTCCGGAGGATCAGAATGTCTGGAATGTGGATACGCAGTATATGCTGGGGGACGCGTTGCTGGTGGCACCTGTGTTTGACAAGGACGGGTGGGTGAGGTTTTATGTGCCGGAGACTGAGGGAAATGGGCTGTGGAGGAGCTGGTTTGATGGCAAGAAAACCTACAGTGGGGGCAAGTGGTATGAGGAGCAACATGCATTTGATAGCCTGCCTTTGCTGGTCAAGCCGGGCGCCGTGGTGCCGGTCAATTACAAGCTGAAGGACTTTGAGGGTGACGTGTTGAATGGATTGGAGCTTTTGGTCAATGGACCCCTGGACAGTGAGAAGGAAGTCAAGATCGTGGAAGCGAAGGATGTCGCAAGCGTCAGCAAGACGTTGGTGGTTGGCAAAGATCTTAGTGTCAAAGGAGCGAACGGGATCATGGTGAAGCAGCTTGAGTAAACGGACAGGCATGTGTCTTTATTCACTGTCTTAAACGCTCTTGGGTCTTGTTGACAGATTTATGGTCTCAACTGTATCCTGCAAGACATTACTCGGGATTGCGGCCAGTTCCGACCAAGCCTTTCCACTCCCAAGTGAAATTGTTGTCGCCATACTTATCTCGCAGGTACTCTTCGACAGCCGTTGACGCCGGGATCATAAAGGTGTCCCGCTGCTCTTGTGTCCATAGTTTTGACGCGAACATGCCAATCGTGCCAGGCGTCATTGAAACAGCATCATCCACATTCAAGGTCAAGATGTGAGTCGCACGTTGGACCTTGATATCGGTGAAGCCATGTGTCTTGAGGTGGGCCTCAACTCCCGCAGCAGTGTCCCATGGGTGGGGCGCAGAAGCCGTGGAGAAGAGGCGTTGAAGCTCGTCATGCGCGGGATAGGGAGGGAATTCGGGATGCTGCTCGAAGACGGGCCGGTATTCGTCTATCCAGGGAACATGCTCCCAAGTTGTGAGTCCCAGGGTGCCGCTTGGCTGTAGCATACGTTTGCATTCACGCATTCCAGCGGCGGGGTCAGGTAGTAGAAAGGGGCCGAAGTTGAAGAGGATGTGAGTGAAACTGGACGAAGGTAGCTTCGTATCCATAGCATCCGCTCGTACTGTTTTGACGTTTGACCATCCCGCGGCGGTGGCATTGTCCTTGGTGGCATTGACCATCGCCCCAGCGAAGTCGGCACAGGTAAGATCCAGTGTCGAGCAGAGGGCTGTGCTGATCAGATTGCCACCCATGAGCTTTGCCATGACTACACCTGTCCCGCAAGCATTGTCGAGAACCACAGCTTTATCATGCTCGTAAGATGGCAGGCCCGATTGTTTGATCATGTCCTCCGCAAAGGGGCCGGTGACTCGCTCTGCCAGCTTGTACATTCTAGAGAGGTCAGCCTGGTTACAGTTTTGAAAATTGCGGCAACTCACTTTGCGAAGGATGGTGAATCCCATACTAGCTTTTCTTCCCCTTGTGTAGCCATACTGAACGCGGAGGAAAGTCGTCTGTACTGCGGATGCGCCAGGTTAGTCCCTACTCGAGATAGATATATACTCATACCGCAGCACGGAAGTAGAGAAAATGTGCCCGAAAGCGTCCGCAGCGCCGCCATTCCGAAATTACCGCATGCTGGACTTCCTGGGCAGGGTAAGGTCTTCACTTGGGACACTCAGGACGACACAAATCAACTCTGAATGTTCCGTTCGGGCTCATCAGTGGTTCTCGGAGGCGTTTTCAAAGTCGCGGCGACATTATCAAGATTAAGTTCCGATCAGGTATTTAGAACCAGAAAAGGGACACATCGTGCGAGCTGCTTGACTCTGGCTACGAGAAGTGATCAGTGAGTTGCAAGTACGATGTTGCTCGCTGACGAAGCTCAACCAGAGGACTGATTATGGCTATGGATGGTGTGGAAGAACAGCGCCGCATTCGAAGGAGTAGAAGACGTTCGGAGACATTAGGATGCCAAGTCTTATAATGACCGTTTCTAATGACCGGCGGCCTGCCGTGGAGAGGACTCGGAAGGGAGGGGCCGCTACAACACAATGCTAAGTCCCAGACACATCTTCGTTCGGCCAAGGCGCAAGATATCCGACATAGCGTCATCTTGTCTGTGTGTCGTTAGCCTGACAAAAGGTCTTGCGCCCCTTCAAAAGCTATCTGAGTGGCGCGTAAGATGCCTATTCCGACTCGATCTCAATCAGTAAGAGGAACGTCCGCTCAAGCCAAAACCGCCACTTCCTCGGAACAGTCACAAACAAGCCGTGAACCACGGACAACTGTTGCCAATACTGGAGCGAGCTCAGGGAGCGGCCACACTGTGTCGCGTATAGCCAGGCCGGGAGCCGCAACGCGTCCGAACGCGGTGCAAATCTCCAACTTTGGCCATGCACGAAGCCAATCTACGTCTCAAGCCGGTATGCCACGCCCCGGAGCTACCACGAGACTCCCTGTAGCGAACCCAAGCTCGACTATTCCAACACCATCAGCACGAGGTGCGATCCACACTAGGTCCCAAAGTGTAATATATCCTAAAACCGGTGCCACTACTGGAAGTGCCCAGCATCTTCAGACGTCGACATCACAACCTATTGCTCGGGTGCCCTCGCAATCAGTCCGACCACCGCCCAAGCTGAAACCTACCTTCACCGCCTATCAGCAGCATTTTAGTCCTCAAAAGCCCCAACCAAGCTCGTGGTCTGTACCAGATGTCTCCACGAGTCGAGGCGCCGTTTCCAGCACTAATCCAACGAAGAACATAACCTCATCTCGCCTTGAAGACGAGCTGCTTCAGTTGAGCGCAGTCTACAAGGACTCGCATTCTACTTTGCGGCGATTCGAGGATAGCGTCAGAGGACGAATAGAGAGCTCGGACTTGGCGCTTCAGAAAGAAGAGGATGCAGTTCAGGCTCTGGAGGAACAGAGGCAAGCCGATATCAATGCCGCAGCACTATCTCGGTGGCTTCAACATGATACAGAATCTCCGAGAAACCGGAGCGTGCAAAACTTGGGTTTCTGCATTGCCGAATTGTCGGAGCTGAACAGCGAACACGGTCTATACACTCATTGTATGCAAGAGTTCGACAAATGGCTCCAGCAAGTACAACATACTATTCAGAAGCGCGCATCGCAGACACAAATGCAGCTAGTCGAGCCGATTGGACATACCTGGGCACGGAATATACGCGAATTAGAGCCACGGCTGGCAGTTTGCGAGCATCTTTTAACTGAGCTGAGTGAGCAGGATTGTCAAGCGGGATCGGCGCTGGCGTTTACCCTAGACCAATATCAGCGCCTCCTCCGCACAATGAAGTCGTCCCTGGCAGAGAGTCAGGCTATCACACAGGCTGTACTTTCCAGCCAGCAAAATTGGGTTGCAGAGACCATTTCTGACATTCTGTTGAGATCCAGCGATAGTCACGAAGGGTTGCCATGTAGGCAAGGTGTTTGGAGCTAGCTTGTCTTCGCCAGCCATTTAATGTCACCATCTTAAGACATCGACAAATTGGACTCGAGCATCATTTATGCTCCTGAGAGCGAGGGACGTTAACAGACCAGGCTTAATTTGCGCCACCAGACCTGCCCTGGTAGTGGACGATGACGACCTGAACCTCATGACACCTTCAGCGCAAACGCGTACAATAGTTGCTCAAAACCGCTGCGAGAAGCCGGGTTGCTTACTCATGGTCGGGCTGAGCCCTTGGAACGTCACCAGGGACGATATGCAACCGCAAAGTCCGATGAAAGTTGGAAACATCGGGACTACAGCTCCAAGGATTACTCTCTAGAACGACGACTAATGATACAGTGGGTTCGCCGAGTAGGCACGACCGCTGCCCGGGTCGAGCTAGCCGTCGGAGTTGGGCAGCCATGGTAACAGGGGCTTTTACACAACATGTTCACGGAAAGTTACTCGTCCACGAACGTAGACCTGCCTCACAGGCAACAGCTACCCGACACAGTTGAGCCTGCGATCGGAAGGGCGCCTTGCCGTTCTTGTGGCTTAATGGCTTGATGGTCTTGGCCACATGGAGACAGTATAGCCGATACTCTGTTGCTGTTTAGCCCATTGACGTTTGAGTCCTCCGAACTCTGAAGTCTCCCCACATCAGGTCAGGCTCACGTTGCAGTGTAAAGCATTGGGAGGGCTGCAACGATCCTCACCAGCCTAGTCCGAGGCATCCGGGGTCGTCGTCAGAGCTCCGGAGGGTAGACTGTCAGCTAGCATTTAATTATACATGATCCGTCAGCACGGCTTGCGTCATGGCTCGTGTCATTGGTCTCTGGGGGACGCGAAGCACCACGGTTCGTCGGCAGGTCGCTCAAGGTCGTAGCCTGTGCTCCCAAACGGCTAGAGTACTCGTCCAGCAATCGGCCAAGGGATAACGAAGCTACTAGCATCGTTGGTGGTGAGGATTTACGGAGCCACCAACGCCCCGAGCAGGGCGAGCTGTGTGAACTATGGGAGCTGCGCCGGTTACATAAGCAGCACTAGACGGATCTCTAAATGGCCATCGTACCGCATCCTCAACCCAGTGTAGCCACGAGGTAACGGAGCCGATCCACACTTGCAAGATGACATGATGGGCGTCGATGTCAGAAACGTTGGAGTCCACTCCCAGAAAAGCAACCGGTGATGGTTCTGCAATTATGCACCCCCATGCCTACCAGCGCCCAATGGCAGTGTGCCGCCTCAACAGACATCAGACAACTTTTTCTGGCGGCATATCGCAACCAGAAAGGAATACTCTCGTCGCGGATGCGATGCGGATCGTTCCTCACCTTGAGCTTCTCAGCAAACAAGCGAAATCTTGCCGGCAGGGTTCGGGCGGTCATCGTAGATGCAGGGAATCAAGCTTGGAACATCGTTACTCAATCATTTGCCAAACTGTTTTCTCCCTCAAGCACATTTTTCGTCATCTCTCAGCGCGCTAAACGTCCTCGTACGCGCTATACTGCAATATCCATGACTCGGGCTGCTGACTGCTACAGCCCTGGCCACGGGCGCACCCTATGCCCAGACCCGAAGGCCGAGTCGCGATACAGTGGTGGGCCGCTGCGCACCTCATCGTGGCTTCGCGTACCTATCGAGTGTCACCTGCTGACTTCAGGTTCCTCCTCGCTTTCGCACTCTGCTTCGCAGAACAGTCATTCGTTCTCTCGAGCTCCACTCGTTAGCGACTGAACGGCGATCAGGATACAACCTGTCTTGTACCTGCTTTCTTCGTGCTACCTCAAGATCGACAGAGAATCTTCTCCCTCTGCGTGCCTTTACATCCTGCCTAATCGTCCCCAAGCACCCTCGAACACCTAATGGACCCCGATACCCGCACATGAAAGTGTGTAAATCATGCCCCTACTCGCAGCGAACCTTCGCCCGCGTTGTCCACCACGAAAACTTAGGCTAGGTCTGGTGCTAAGTATCTTAAATCCATTCTTCGATGCTCGGAGCAAACGGGATATTGCTTGTGAGGAGCCCTAGCTGGATGAATGCCTGCGGCTGTGATGGACAATGACCACAATATACATACACCTGAGAACAAGCCTTCCTCCCCGAAGACCACAAAGCCGTCGTCACTTTCCCTGTCGCGTGTTTTTAGCGCCCCAGAGGTCCGGCAAGTCGATGAACATTCGAGCCCGACTGAGACCCGCGTGCCCCCACACAGGTCTCCGTGGCCCTGGAACTATCGCGAGAGCTCGTCAACGTCTTCCCAGAAATGGGAAGTGCCATCGTCCGATCCTCCAGCTATCCTAGTGGAAGCCGGCGAAAGACCAGAAAAGAGGCCTCGGCTCCATCCTACAACCAGTACGGTATCTGCTGAGAACATAGTACACAGTACAGAACCATTGGTAGGTCCCATCATGATGAAATATTGAGTTGCTACATCGCCGAGGGTCTGAAGGTATCAGTGACCATGTCACTGGCCGCAAGCTTCTTCTACACAAGCAGCCTCATTGCAGCCAGGGGTGTGTTTGCCGCGTCGTTCCTCGGGTTCCCTAGACAGACCTCTCGCTGACGCAGCCGTGTACCACAGCGGCGACAACAACAGCATGACCGAGACCGGATGGATGCCCCAGATTCGGGCTCTTTGGCGAGGCTATCAGCCGCGGACCATGATGTGCACCGATATTGCGATAACTGTTGGGGCAGCGATCACGACCTATCTTCGGTTGTGCGTGGCATGGCCGATCTGCAGACCGAGTTGGCAAGGCTTCGACTTGGAGACTCTGCGACGGCCTTGCACCACCAGCCAGTAAGTCTGCAGCACTTAGTCAGAGCTGAACTCGAGAACAAGACGTGCTAATAAGGCCCACCAAGACAGTGGTTACAGAAGTGACTAAGCATGGCCTCAGATATGCCTTGGGGTGGGCGGCCAACGAGATGCGGAACACGCTAAGAGCTGTGCAAGGCTTCACAACGTCCGCCACCACCTCGCAAAGCCGCTTACCTCCCCTTACCGGAATAGCTCAACCTGCCTCGGCAAATCCTCGCACCACGCGCCGTCTCTCAGCCCAGAGCCAAACGGGACCTGTTGCCACCCCGGGACATGACACCCAATATATTCCCCATTCGGTAGAGCACGCTAGGCTGGACGAACACCACCGGCGCACTTCGGACTCTTCGAAAGATCGCTTTCATTCTTCCTACGATAGTCTACCACCCCTTATCCCGCCAGATGAGATGAAACGAAGCCATCATTATGAGCATGCCCAGCCTGGCTCCGCTCAGTCACCACAAACGTTATCATCAGGTAGCTCTATCTACGGACCAGGCCAGTCACCCATGCAATCGCAGCACCTTGCTCGTGCTCTGCCCTCACCACCAGGCAGTCACTTCCCGCACACAGTCTTGCCACCACCGGGACCTGCTGCCGGGCCCGCGAACCAGGCCGCTCACACATCGCATCTACAGGACCTGCAGCATCAGATTTCTACCAAGACGCTGGCACTACAAACGTTGCAGCGCGAGCATGACCAACTGCTGGCGGCATTCTCTCGATCTCAAATCCGGTGCAATACCCTAGACAAGAAGTCCCAGGTATCTGACCATGAGATCAATAGCCTGACCGAGGAAAAGATCCGACTCCAGCAACAGGTGGAAATGCTCGAAGCCCAGGTAGAGGATCTGGCTAAGGCACGTGACGAAGTGCAGAAGCAGTCGTCCGCGGACGGAGCGCAGTGGCGACAGATTGTGGCCATGTCTTCCCAGCTGCAGATGAAGAGTGCCGAAGAGGCACGACTACACAAAGCCACCAAAGATGCATGGGCCGAGGACCGCGCCAAACTGGAGGGCCGCATCCGGGAACTGGAAGGTGCCAATCCGACCGTTCGGCAGAATTCTCACAAGCATTCGCAGAAGTTCCCGGAAGGCAAAGAGGATGTGGTCAGCTCTAGCTCGCTAGATTTGCTGCGAGATGAGATCTCAAGCTTACGACGCCGGTGTACCAGTCTGGAAACTACTCTTCGCGAGGTAACGGGGGAAACGGAGCAGCTGGATCGAGCAATGAAAGCAATGGCCAATATCCGCGCTCGCGTTGCTGACCAGATCCGAGGCGGCGAGGAAGGCGCTAGCTGAAACGTGTCTTTGCTTGCAAGAAACTTCCAGGCTAATGGCGAGCTGCAATGCGGAATATGCCAGTGAGCGGCATATCCCGCACGGCCTCAGGACCAGTGTGATGGTGTTTGGGCAGGGAATATTCACGCAAAAGATGGTGTGGCAACAGGGATCAGCATACTGCCAGGGTTGAGTTCCCCTGCCGCTGGTGGGTGGCGTTGTATTGAGTTTGTGGAGTCTGTCGTTGTGCGACCAAATGGACATTATGAATGATACCCGAGCCTGTGGCACAGATGTTGAATTGATAGAGAATGAAGACTGACCGATAGCGATTCTTGCGCATGGCCGGGGCCTTGATGCCGCGCGTATGACGCATTGGAGATAGCGACATTAACGCAACGAGGACTACGGTCCGAGGCGCTTGCGAATACATCGTCGTGTTGCTTGAGTCTATCTGTGCTCCTCAGGGGAGGATCTTGCTGACAAAAACTTATTGCTGGTGCTGGCTCGGAGCGGGGAGTAGGCAACGCGATCGGAGCCCAAGTGAAGTGAGAGCGACCGATGATGCCAAGCCTTAAACTCAGGAAAGCATATCCGAACCTCGTACGATGCGCCATGACATGCGCTGTGCTAACTGCCCCGCCTACGCTCCATTACATGTACGTTGGCACCCATCACTCAGCAGCCTGCTACTCTATCATTCACCTACGCTTCTGCAATACTCGCCGCTGTCTCACTACGTCCTCTTGAGGCCGACAACTGATACTCGACCCATTACGTGGCTGTTCCGTAGGCTGATTCCATGTAAGCCGTCCTGAAATTGCCGCAACTTTGCCTCCTCTGCCTACGATAGCCTCCTTCGCCCAGTCACGACCCGAGCTCCGATAGCGATCTGTCCGTACGAAACAGGGCATTCAAGTCCTTGTTCCTTTGCAGTCGCCACACTCTAAGTCCGATGGTCCCCTAGCGTAAGCCCTGCTGCCATGGCAGAGAGTTTCGATGCGGCGCTATTGAGAGCGAGGCTGGGTGTTCTGCAGCCACACCGCTCCGTCAAGAGGTTGTGCGGCCACCCGTCCTGGATAGAAGACTTGGATATTGTCAATGAGTTAGGTAAGCGCTACATTTTGCCAATCACAGAACCAAGAAAGCCCTCGGGGTCAAGGCCAGCACTGGTTCTCAACTCTGGTACCGGTCCTTACACGGGACCTAGCCATACACAAGCCTACGTCCAATTGCGGCCAATGCTCTCTTGCAGATCCTCTCTGCCACACGCACCCCCACAGCTCAATTTCGCTGATCGTTTGATTTAGGTGGACATAGCGGATGTGTCAACGCCCTCAGGTAAGCCAGTGCACCTTCCTGATACGGATATATGCCTGATTTGCGATAGTTGGTCGTCTGGTGGCACGCTCCTTGCAAGTGGATCGGACGATACAAACCTGGTCCTTTGGGACTACAACCCCACCAGTCTAGCCAAACCATTCACTCTCAACACTAGTGTCAGCACCGGCCACCATGCCAACATCTTCTCGGTCAAGTTTATGCCGCATACACAGGATAGAACGGTAGTCACCTGTGCTGGGGACTCTGAGGTGAGGGTGTTCGACATTGAGTCCTCGGGATCAGCTCAATCCAATGCTTCCGCTTCCGCCTTCGCGACTAGCACCCGAAGCCGGAGATTCAGTGACTTCTTCCCCCATGCTCGGTGGCTCTCTGAGACCAATACGAATGCTCGCGTCTATCGCAGCCACGCTGACCGGGCCAAGCGCATCGTGACTGAGAGCTCACCCCATCTGTTCCTGACTTGCTCAGAAGATGGCGAGGTCGGTTACTACTAGTCAGAGAAGATGGGTCGTTCTGACAAATTGACAGGTAAGACAATGGGATCTGAGACTCCCGTCAAGTGCATATCCAGCCCCTCGCAATGCCCGAGGCTTGGGTCGCTTCCACCGGACCTCGGACGAGGGATCTGACAACGTACCTCCACCACTGATATCCTACAAGAAGTATGCATTAGATCTCAACAGCATCAGTTGTGCGGCGAGCCAGCCTCATTACATTGCACTTGGGGGTGCCCATCTCCACTGCTTCTTGCACGACCGTCGTATGCTTGGTCGAGATCTTGAAATGGAGGCAGGCCGACCAGCCAGCAAGAAACCAAAGGTGGGCATGAATGAAGATGATGCAATGAGCTCCGCTACACGCTGCGTTCGTCGTTTTGCCCCTAATGATAAGAGACGTATGGCAACCCACGATCACGGGCATATCACTGCATGCAAGATCAGTGATGCTAGACCAAACGAGATGCTGGTATCGTGGAGTGGGGATTACGTCTACTCTTTCGACTTGGTCAAAAGTCCCGATGCGCGGGACGCTGACGCGCAAAAAGACGAGTCGTTCCAGGCCAACCGTCTAAGCAACCGCCTCGATCGTAAGCGAAAGAGAAAGCAACCCACTGCCTCGGCTGCGAGCGCGACGGAGAAAGGGAACGCGCCTAGCAGACTGCGCCGTGTCTCAGACCACGAAACAGAAGATGGTAGCACTGCTCTCCAAGTTCGATTTGAGAATGGCGAGACCGAAGAACTCCCACTCGACTTCCAATCTGAATCTGTGGACCCGGAGATTGATGAAGCTCTTCAAGAATCCTTGTTGAATGAGACTCAGCGGCTTGCTTCCAGCATTGCCCATGGCTTGACCCGCCTGAGAAAGGAGATTTTTGACTTCTCGACCATGCTTGAAGCAGAAGGAGCTATGGCAATGGAGAATTCCTCTGAGCTCACCCCGTACACGAGTCGGTTTACCGCCGCCCTTGGTTCCTCATCCTCGTTACTGCCTCAAATGAACGAGGTCATGCGGGAGTGGTCTTACCCAATGGACCCCAGTGAAGACGATGTTGTAATTCAGAACACCTTTCGCCGTAATCGTCAAGCTGCCTGGCGGTTTGTTCAAGCTTCCGGCTGCCTCAGCATAGTGCTTGGAGGACGACTTCAGACTCTGAGCTCGGTTCCCGACCCGAGACTCGAGCTGTTTCGGCAAATCAAACCCGCTGTACATGAAGGTAAGCACATGGGCCGTAAGTCAAGATTCTGCTACGATTTCTTGAAAGCTATCCTATTGTGGATTGAAGGTGGTCAAGATGCAGTGATCAAAGCTTTCATCAGACCGACTACTGTCCCCATGGATTCGCCCCGATTCCCCTTAGCGGAGAGTGACAACATCGAAACTAGTCTCAGGAAGCTCCACGAATACTTGACCAATCTTGCCGACGAGGAGACGCCGGTGATTAACCTAGACACGAATAGATTCGAGGTGGACGAGAACAGACAAATTTTCCCGAGCCAAACCGCCGCAGTCCAAGCGTTTTCTCGGGCTTTGGCTGGTATCGAACTCCAGCTTCGTCATGGCCAATCCGAGTTTCGCATTGATCTATCCACCGCCACTGGTACAAAACGAATCATGGACAAGGGTGCAGCGGCCCGTTTCTGGGGGGCCAAGGTAGGACGTTCGCTGCTGATGCAGGCTGCGGAGGATGTTACGTATGACACTTGCCTGCGCGCTTTTGGCGGAGTCCGTGTTCGCGTGGCGGCCGAAGAGTCCGAGTCCTCCCTGGGAGAGATCGATCCTGACCAAGAAGAAAGAGTGGTGGAGGAGATTGACGTTGTCAGAACGGCCCCCACGACTCAAAATGGAGCCGCAGACACGGGCTCGGAAACAAGCCGAGAAATTCCCGGCGTGCCAAATATTACTGTCCAAGCCGGAGGTGATACAGACGATGAGGATGAGAATATGGAAGACGTATCGTCCAATGAAGGGGAATCTGAATCTGAGGATGAGCCGATGCAGACGCTATTTCGGCGGCGGGTGGCTTTTGGACGGTCTCGCGAGCGTGCGGGAGTCAACCTGTCAGTGCCGTACTCGTCGCACAGCCGCGTCTACAAAGGACACTGCAACACTAGAACGGTGAAGGACGTCAACTACTTGGGGCTGGACGATGAGTATGTCGTCAGTGGCAGTGATGATGGCCACTTCTTTATCTGGGACCGCAAGACGTCACGCATTGTGAATATCCTCAAAGGCGACGGTGAAGTGGTCAATGTCGTTCAGGGACATCCTTACGAGCCTATGGTTGCCGTGAGCGGGATTGACAGCACGGTGAAGATCTTTGGCGCCGGCGGCGAGAGCCGAGAACGAGATCACGCCAGCAAAGGAATCGACGTGGCCAATCCCAGCGGATCGATTCATAGCTCCCTACGATTTGGAGGTCGCAGACGCCGTGCACGGCAGGACGATGATGACGATGATGATGAAGACGGGACGCCGGCTGGAGCAGCGGAGGATACTACGGCGGAGGAAGCACAGGCTAATGGACGGGGTCTTCGCTCTCGGCAAGCCATGCATGACTCATACCGAATCATTCAATCCAACGACGAAGAACGACGGTCTGGTCTGTCGGAGGCGTATGTCAGTGTAAGTGAGCTCGAGAACCTTGACATGGGGCGGATCATGCGCATGTGGTTGCTTAATCAGTTCCGCGTTGGCTAATGCACCTAATCTGCCCAACACTTTGTTGCGGGTATCCCTGGTATGCTTTCTGGCCTTGATGAGGTGGAAACTGACAATGATGGATCTTATAGGAGGGAATGCTTGCTCGCCTTGCTGCTGCACTGCAACGTGGACAAATTCAGGCTGTGGTTGGAGCGCAGGGGCAAGCGGGGGCCGGGGGTCAGCTTGTGATCAACGAAGACTGCGAGGTACGTATTGCCAATGGCTCATTCCGTTGGTTGCAACATCAGACTCGTGATTTCACACGAGGATGATTTCTGTTACAGCGATTAGCTTTGGGCCAAAGTACCAGTGCTACTCCCGAGTGGAGTACATGGCTCCCGTGCCCGTTTGAGCTTATTTGCCACTCCGAGCGAGACAGCAATACGAGAGAGACTCCTTGCTGACTATTCTTCAGGTAATGTGAAACATGATCGAATACGAAACTTTTCGAGGACAACGAAAGGATCGAGGCCCGGAAATAAAAAAAAAATCAGCCAATATCTTGTCCACGGCGTCTGATGACGAATGAGGAATTCAGCCGTAGGGAAACCTGATCCCGCGAGAAGGGCGTACGGCGTACGGATCAGGTGAGTTCCGTGCTGTGTATGACCTTCTTCTACAGAGGCAGAAAACGATGGTGTTTTGCTCCGCGGACATTCGAGGGCTCGCGGGACGGTCTATCTCAGGTCCCGACTCCCGCGGAGTTCACGGACGAGATGTGATGGAGTGTCGGCAGATTGAAAAGGGAAGGTTAGTTACACTTCTCACTGGCTGGTGGAGTGTGTGTATGTAAGTAGTGGGAGCTCACAGAAAGATACCATCCCAGCGGTGTACTGTATGCTCGAGTATCCGAGGCGCCTACTTAGCATTTGATTTGGGAATACAGGCTGGAACTGAGGCGGAACGGGATGAATGACGTCCCTCGATCGCTGCTGTTTACTCACTGGGAGGGTAGTCCTAGGGCGGCCGCATGCGTTCCTTGTGCTCGAATCGACTTTCTTCCTCGTTGTTCTCCTCACCATCATCGTCCCCTGGCTTCTCTCTTCTGGCAAGAGGCTTTAGCACTAACCAGTAGTCCATAACCGTCCACCCCCTCTGGATACGCTAGCACATGTGGGCCTGCAACATGGGCGTTGAAGATGGCGTAGGCCCCCAGACAATCAGATGTCAGCTTAGATAATCGGGATGACCCTTTTGTGTGTCGCAACGCGAGCTGCTTCCAGCAGGTGTTCAGCCTAGTTTAGGTGGTCTATGACCTATGCCACAAGTCTCCGCCACCCCATCCGCGCCACGTAAAGGTGCAAGGTGGCGCATGGGAAATTACCGGAACCCGTTTGCCCCGTCTTCGATACGACAGTAGATTCACTACCCCGGCAGGTTTTCTATACGACGTATACGACACAGGGTCAGGTTAGGCGCAGAGAACAAGAGAGACGTGCAATCCGAGGGATTTTGTTTCATTGCCGTCGGCACGAAATGGGATAGCGATTCTACTCGAGTACGCCTGGCTTGAGAAGCAGATTGCTGACTAACACCTCCGGAATCTCAATCCACATGCCCAAATCCGAAAGTCCAGTTTTAGGATGATTGAATGACGGAGCTGCAGTTTAAGCGCGAGGCTTGGCGAAGCAGGCGAAAAGGCGAACCGGCGGGGTGGATAGTTTTAATTCGATTTTCCGGAATTTCCACGTCCACGTCCACGCCGAGAGCTCGCCGTCTGGATTTCTGCAGGCTCTACTTTTGTACAGTGGGACCCCCCAACCCAGCCACATACCCTTCACCTCACCCCTGGTCCCACGCCATCCTTTTTCGGTCACCGGTCAACCAGAGGGAGGAAAGGAAATAGTCATCGCGTCGACGCTTACTACCGTGGGGTGGAACGGAGGCTGAGTCCAAGCTTCTCGACAAGCTTTACCCTGCTCGTCCTGCTGCGGAATACGAGTAACGCCAAGTTGTGAGACTGTTGTGGGTGAGTGACTAAGTGATTGCCGGAAGGTGCCTTGGTAGGGAAGGTGCGTGACAAAGAGTACGAGAGGGGGGAAAAGTTGGGGAGAGTCCATTGGCTTGAAAGGGGAAGGAAGAATACGAGGTCGTGGAAAACCGGTGTTTGACGGCGAGGGTCTGTGGGTCGGGAGTCTGAGGTGGACGTGACGAGAGGAAGGTTGCGTTGGTTGGTGGTGACTCAGGCGAAGGGTTGCGAAAGGCGAGGTAAGGCAGTCACTGGTGACGTGGGCGAAGGTCTCTCCGAGGTGCACTGAGTTTGGTCGTTTGGAAGATTCGAGCGACGTACCCGCTGTTGTGGGCAAGAACGTCTCTAAGCCACGAACTTTGCGGCTGCGAAGAGGAACCGGACAGCCATCATCGCCGTTTCCGGCACGTGTCTGGCCTTTAGTGGTGACTGTCACGATCGGGCAGGGCTGCCAGCTTCTCTACATCTCGGTACAGCGAGGCTGAGCGCCTCAGGGGCTCCATATCCGCTCACAACTCCCTTCGAGGCAGTTCCACATTATGGATGATACCAGCACGACAGCACCAACCAATAACTCCGCTGCCACGACTTCTGAAAACGAAAACGAAAACATGCCTCGGACCAACTCGCCAGTCCCGCCAACAGCAACGTCCACAGCTCCTCCTCCCCTCCCCCCACGCCAGCCACCCCTTTCAACAACAACAGACCCTCCCGCTCCCGCTCCCACCACTCCCACACAGTACACGCTCGCCACCCTCCCACTCTACCTCCAAGACCTCTATCGCGTGCTCCCCATCCCCACGACCCCCACCACCCCCCTCCTCACCCTCCCTCAAATCCACGCCCTCCCCGCACGCCCACAACAATACGCCGCGCTCCTCCTCCGCCGGCACCACCTAACCTCGCAACTCGAGCAGGACGGTCTGCGGCCTGAGATCCTGGTTGCGCGCGCACGGACGCATGAGGCGTTGGCGTACCCGGAGTTGGCGGTCGGGGATGCGTATGTCGCGTTCACGGTGGGTGAGTATGAGGAGGATGGGGGTGGGGATTTGAAGGGGGTGTGGGGGGTTGGTGGTGGTGATGGTGAGGAGGAAGGGGATGAGGAGGAGGTGCTGGGCAGGAGGGTGAGGAGCGTGAAGAGGAAAGCGGCCAGGGTGCTGTGTCGGTGTTTGGAGGGGTTGGGGTGTGATGATAGGGTGTTGGGGAGGTGGGAGGGGATGTTGCGCGGGCTTGGGGAGGATGAGGGTGAGGGAGACGGTGGCGTTGACGAAGAAGGGATGGAGGATGTGCAAGACGAGGGCTGGTGCATATTCGCGCCAGACGAGGTCGTGAGCATCGACGACTCGGCGCATTTCGGCCTCTCGCGTCGTGAAGTCTATCCTTGGAACAGGTATGAAGGCGATCGCATGAGCGATGCTGCGCTGGCTGAGATCAATTCCCGTCTGAGTATTGCGAGCGAGGGGCAACTCGAGGTCCGCAAGACGATCCTGCCTGACCTCTACTCCAAGAATGGTGCAATTCCCACCTTGGAAGACCAGACCGCCGACATGCGACTCGACAGTGAGGAGGTGCCTGCGACCAAGAAGGAGAACGCCCAGCTCGGCCTCTTTGCCACTCGAGATCTGCCCCCCAATACACGCATTTTGACGGAACGCTCAGCGCTAACCGCCATCCGCCCGCACGGCGAGAGCCTGTGTGATGCTTGTGCCGGCGACATCTCGCTGCTACCCGCCTCCGAGCGCCAGGCCTGTCCTGGCTGCGGTATCCCTTTCTGCTCTCCTGAATGCCACGACGTGGCGATGAAGACCTACCATGCACCCAACATCGACGACGAGGAGACAGAGGAAGGCTACCCGCCGGCCACAGCGCCGTTCTGTCCCGGTAGCACCGGCGAGGCGGACATTGCCAATCTCGGACGCGCAGAGAGCAGCGACACACCCGAATGGGACCTGTATTTTCTGTTGGTGGTGAGGGCGCTGCAGATGGCGGAAACGCTCGACTGCCATCCGCTCGAGATCTGGGAGTGTAAGTACCTTTGGGGATCGTTCGAGGCGGGCCCATCGTTGGGTATGATGGCGGCTGCAGGCAGTCCCTCTGGAGCAAAGGTGAGACTGAAACGCAGCTTGCCGTTCAGTCTCCAGCATCACGTGGAGCTGCCGCTGCAGTGGTTTGAGCTGCTGATGCTGAGTCGCGAGGATAGCGCGCCGTACACGAGGAAATGGATATGGAGGTATGATTGGTGGGTGGTGCAGACGTTGTACGCCAAATTTCGCGGGGTGGCGGATGCAAGAATGAGCAGCTGGACGGGTGAGCCAGAGACGGCTGGAGTCTTTGCTCTGTGGTGCACAGCCAATCATAGCTGTGAGCCTGGAGTGAGGTGGGAGGGCGGTGGCATTCGGACACTGACTGTCAGGGCAGAGCGGGTTGGGCAACCACAGGATGGAGAGGGCGAGTGGAGGGGTCTGAAAGGAGGAGAGGAGGTTTGGAACCATTATACGGATGTCGAGGAGAAGGATTTTAAGGTGAGGAGAGACTGGTTGAGAGAGGTGTTGGGTGGTGATTGTCGTTGCCAGAGGTGTGAGAGGGAGGAGCGAGAGGGTAGGGAGGCTCAGACCACTTGATTCACAGTGCGAGCCGTATCATGTCTCTACCATGCAAGCCGAATCGTCATTACTGGCCACACTTGGATATTCTCACGAGACGAGTCGTGCTTGGTTCCCAGACTACGAAGCGGAACATTAGCTGCTTCTTGTCCCTGCACGGCAAAAGAACGCCGTCGCTGGCCTGCTACAATACGAGCCACTTCTCGTTTGTACACAAGCCAAGAAACTGTGGCTCGATTAGGTCTCTTCCAGGCATGGATATAAGATGGTTCGTTGCATACAGTCTCCGACAGACATGCCAAGACTTCCGCGGGTCGAGCATGGCGGCACCCGGGGGCCCTTATGGCGCGATAGCGACTCTCAGAGCCTCGTGATTCATTCTGCCAGGACATAGAGGAAGGATGTATGCAGACTTCGCTATGGCGGAATTTCGATGTCGGCAATTCAGGCAGCGGACTTGGCAGTCGTCGTCAGCCAAGGCAGCACAGCCGGAAGTTGGAACCTCGCGTGACCACGCACCCCTTTATATATGCGACCAACGATCGACGCTACAACGGACGTGATTGCTTAATGCTAGAGGCTGTGCTTGATCTGAGCTAATTTTGGCCAGCACCAAGGTATTCTTGCCTGGCCGACAGTGGTGAGTGTTGGTAGTGGCTTCGCGCTTCACTTGAGGCAAGTCCAAGTTATTTTCCGCACGGTCGTCGCTTCCAAGTTTACACACCACCTTCTTCCTGCCTGCCTCGTTTGCTCTACCTGTTCTTTGTCACCCCATGGAAGCTACGGAGCTATCATCAACATCAACTTGATTCCCAGTGACCATCAACATTCGCGCACCGTACCGATATTGTTACCAACGTCGACATCAATCCTCTGCGGCTCTGTCCCCGATGCACGTGCCAACACATCCAGTCCGGGAGCCGCAACGCGCACGCTTCGCCGATGGCCTCCGCCCTCTGCGCGCCATCCCGTTCAATGGCTCCGCCTTCCACACCCTCGCCACCGACCTCCGCCTCTGGTTCCTGTCCACCTGGCTCGACTGGCTGTTCCTGATCCTCGCCGGCGCCGCTGCCGCTGCCGTCTGGGTCATCCCCCACACCCACAACCGTCTGTTCCCCGTCACCTACTTCGACGGCTCTGGTGACGTGGTTTGGCCAGAGATCGCCTTCCCCTACGTCGAACCCATCTTCGACTCCACCGCCGCCGGCATCTTGTGCGCCGCTATCCCCATCCTGTCCATGCTGATCGCGCAGATCTGGATCCGCAGCTTCCTGGATTTCGCAAACGGCTGTCTCGGCCTCGTGTACGCTTTGGTCACTGGCACGCTGTTTCAGGTCGTGCTCAAGAAAGTCATCGGTGGGCTGCGCCCGCATTTCCTGGCGGTTTGTGAGCCTGTCCTTCCGCCGCGAGATGGGAGTTCGGGTGTCGGGTTTCAGGGATTGATGTTTACTGTCGACCAGGTGTGCACCGGTGACAAGGATAAGATCGCCAACGCCATCGAGAGCTTCCCTTCCGGCCACTCGAATATCGCGTGGGCGGGTATGGGATATCTGGCCATCTACCTATGGGCCCACTTAGGCATTCGCAGTGTGAGCATGCGGCGGCCGAGCTTCTGGCGCATGTTGATGGTGATCGCCCCTATGTGGTTCGCAACGTACATCTGCTCCTCAGTGGCATTGGGTTATCACCATCACGGCTATGACGTTATCTTCGGTAGCCTGATCGGCATGGTCATGGCTGTCTTTGGTTATCGCATGGTGTTTGCAAGCGTCTTGGACAGGAGGTGGAACACCGTCCCACTCGTCAGAGGGCAACGAGGACAAATCGACGACGAGGAGCAGCAGATCAGAGGCGCCGATGGCACGACTGATGACAACACGCGGCGTGGGGCCCGCAAGATCAGAGATAGCGAGGATACTTATCCCACGCGAAGCCGCTCAAGGAGTCTTCTGCGAGGTATCCGTGAAGACATGCCAGCTGGAAACCCGCAGCCTCAATGATCCCGAGAGCGTGGGGTAGAGAACGTTCACATAGTCGACAGTAATTGCTTTGCAAAACACATCATCGTGTCTTGCAAGAGGTGATAGAAAGCCATGCCAGCATCATCAGCGCAACTAAACATCCTTGCCATTTGGGCAAGATAACTGAAGGCAGGCACAGCAGACCCTTCGGAAGACCTTTCGATGACACAGCCCTCCGCTACGAGGTACTCGTCGCGTCTACACGACCGACACACCCCCTACAGCTGAGCAACCGAGCAGCAAACAGCAATAGCGCGCCCTTTTTACGTCGACAGAAACGCACTGACGAGCATGACAGCCAGCGTAGACCAGACCAACGGCGTCGCTAGAAGCATCGTCGACCCACCGCTCCCCTCCGTCGCCGGCTGCGCTCCTCCCCCGTCCCCTCCAGCTCCACTCTCACTCTCGTTCCCAGCCGCGAACTCAAGCCTCAAGCCCGCCACATCACTGCTACCCTCGATCCCTCGAAACGCGTCGTACGCACGCTGCGCGCGCTCCGCCCCGACCACGATGGCAGCCTGCTGCAAGAACTTGTCCCTCAGCTGCTCCACCGTCATGGGGTTCGTCAGGCTGCCGAGCGTGTCGTTGACGTACCTCGTCAGGTTGGTGCCGTCGGCGAAGCGGGCGGACAGGTAGACCTGGTCGCGCGGCACGGTGTCGTCGACCGTGGTGCCGACCTTGTCGCGCAGGGCCATGACGGTGTCGTTGTGCACGACCTCGTCCGTGAACTCGCTGGGCGTGGCGCGCCCGTAGAGCAGGCCGACGGCGGCGGCGTGGTAGACGGAGAATTTGGCTTCGAGGCCTGTTTGGGGGTCGCGCTTGCCCGTTAGGGTCAGGACGTAGGGGTTGACGCGGGCGTCGACGGCGGAGATGTCGGCGATGGAGAGGTTTTGGTCCAGGGCGTCTTGACGGAGGCGGATGCAGGCGTCGATGGTGGGGTGGATGACGATGCCGCAGGGAAAGGGCTTGAAGGTGTTTTTCGAGATTTCCCACGTCTCCCCGAGGGAGTCGAAGACGTCGGTGGTGTTTTCGCGGGTGCTGGCCACGTGTGTCCAGCCGTACTTGGCTTCTAGGGCGCCTTCGGAGCTGGTGAAGCCGTTGGATACCAGCAGGGCAGCGAGCATGCCGCTTTGCGCAGCGCGGCCAATGTGGAATGACTTGGTGTCGGACCCGAAGAACTCTTGCATGCCAATCACTTGCGTCGATGCGATACCGATGGCCTGGCGCATCTGAGATTCATCCAGGTTTAGGAGCTTACCAACGGCAACGGCGGCGCCGATCGAGCCGGTTGTGCTGGTGATATGCCAGCCAATCGCATAGTGCTCAGGCGAGACGGAAATTCCGAGCTTGCATTCGGCCTCGACGCCGGCGACAAAAGCGGTAAGGAAGTCTGTGCCGGTAATGGGACCTTGCCACTCACTTATGGCTAGTAGTGCCGAAGCAATCGGTCCAGCTGGATGGATGACCGTTTCCAGATGTGTATCATCGTAATCATCGACATGGGAAGCAATGCCGTTGACCAGAGCTGCGGTGTACGGATCGACGAGAATGGAGTCGTTCGAAGCTAGAATACTCGAAGAGCCACTACTATTCGTGTTCCAGATGGACGACGTCTCTAAGGCGATTGAGGGCGCTGGTTGATGGTAGCCGCCGATCGCGCAGCCAGCCCAGTTGTAGATGCTCTTGACTGCGGCATCCTTGACCGGGTCTGTCAAGTTCGCATATTGAAGGGCCAGCGCCCATGTGGCGAGCTTTTGGGTCGCGTTCATCTATGCTAGGCGGCCGGCTTCCCTTCTCTGCAACACAGCAGGTATGGTACCGGGATTTTCGCCGCATATATAGTGCCCTTGAGGCAGAATGTTTCTCCAGGCATACCCCCAACTACCCCGAAGCAATCCACTATTGCTGTCGTACTCCAGACGGCGATTGCTTGATGGGGCTTAAATCGATAAAGAGTGCGCCGATGTGACAATGATGTCGAGAAGATCGTCGCTATTACTCCAATTGCTTGCGGGGGGGATCGTCTGCCGACCAGCGGCGGAGAGGAGGGACCATTTGAGTATTTGCCGATTCGTTGCCATGAATGTAGGAACGTACTCATTGCTTCCCACTAGCATATGGTTGCCAGGCAGCTGCCTGGAGTTGTCGAAACGGAAACAGAAAGGAAGATTGTTGGGCGTTGGAATATACTTTCTCCAGTTTGGGAACTTTCCTTGGGCGTGGCTTTTGGTACCACTTCTCTTTCCTCGCAGCAATGATCTGGCATCGCACCCACCGATAAGAGATGAAGCATCTGGTCGTAGTGGGTGCATGTTATCTCGACACTATTCTCACCGTCCCTCACTATCCGGGCGAGGATGAAAAGCTACGTGCAACGTCTATCAGCCACCGACGGGGCGGAAACGGTCCGGTAAGTCGAAAACAGGGGATCTATGATAGCGTCTGCCATGGTCGAGACGCAAGGATGTATGTGATCGAGGGCTGCTCTCCCAGGTTGGCACTCTAGGAAAGGTCGAACACGCGTCAGACAAGCAGCAGCGGCCCCAAATTCACTACACAGACGCCGTCGTCTCCCTAAAGAGCCGCTGGTTAACAGATTGATGCTTAGAATACTCTCGAAGTCCTTGCTCAGCTTCTCCACCACAAGATCCCCGACAACACACGGCATCCCACTACGATACCTCAGCCTGCGTCGCCCCGACCGAGCCTCCACCTGATTTCTACGCTCCCTTCAAAACAGTCCCAAGCGGTATCAAATATCGCCTCGTCACTGGACCCCACTGTGGATATCGATCACAGCATTTTCCGTGAGTCACACACCGAGCCTGCCTCCAGCTATATCGTACGCAGCTCTACATCTGGCAGCCGCACGATCGTCAACTACAATGATCTGCCAGAGATGACGGAGCATGATTTTCAGTCCGCCGCAGAACAGCTTCTTTCGGACGCCGAAAGTGGAAGTCGAACTGCAACAGCAGCCACGCATGCAGCTTGGTGGTCAGCTTGGTGGTTCCATTTCGAAGGCCGCATTCCAGAGGTAACGCTGCGGTGCATCAGATATGTCCGCGAGCGATGTCCTGAAGCGACGGTAAGTGTCGAGGTGGAGAAGCCGCAACGAGAAGGTCTCGAGGATCTGGCGCGGGCAGCGGATGTGGTTTTCTACTCACGAAGCTGGGCAGCGGCACGCGGATACACGAGTGCGGCAGAATGCGTCAAGGAACAAGCTGTGCGGACGCGCCGAGACACAAGGCAAATGCCTAGACACGCGGGCACTCCCAGTATGCTGTCAATATGTACATGGGGAGAGCATGGAGCTGCACTTTACGCGCCTGCGTGGCAGGAGCCAGTCGAGGCGCCAGCCCTAGAAATTGCAGATGGAAAGGTTGTTGAGTGAGTACTTCTCCCATCTAGGACTCGGCGGAGTCGGTATCTGGGTATCCAAGGGCTGAACCAAATTTGCAGCACGATTGGCGCTGGAGATACGTTCATCGCGGGCATGTTACACGGTTTCCTGAGCGTTCAGGAGCGTTTTGCTGACTTTGTGCGGATTCTGGTATTCGCTAACGAGCTGGCTGGGTTAAAGGTCATGCGCGAGGGATTTGACGGGCTGGCTGAAGATGTCTACCGGAGAGCGACGGATCTCGAGCGCGTGATTCTAGGCATGGAGTGACATTGTAAGGGTGCCGCATGATCTATACGGCAACGACTATTGATACAGGAGCTTTCAAGGACCTCGTCTTACCGTAGAGTCGAAGTGTTGTTGACAATGTTGACCAAGGATCACTCCGGATTCTGGAACCCCAATGCCAAGCCTGAATATGTACTAGGCCCAAAGTGGGATAGTATTCCACTCTCGCTACGCCAACCACCCGTGAGAGTTCATTACCTCTCTTCCTTTGATACAACTGTCCATCTACGTTTCGCTGTAGTTACCTCTCCATCATTTCTGCTCGACAGGGTCACCCCGCCCACATCAAACATGTCGTCAAAGAAGGATATGCGCCGGTCCGACCTGGGTAAGCAGTAGGGAGTGGGATCCCAGAGCTCAGCTAATAAAGCCCCAAGTGATTCCTTATGTCGAGCCGAAGCCAGACGATAAGGCCGACTTTAGCTCGACGTTCAGCAGCACAATGCCCATGGCTGCGGTAAGTCATGTATGATTCGAATGGCAAAGCTCGCGGCTGACAAGTGTCAACGCAGATGTTTACAAGGAACAAGTAAGGTCTTCCATTTCCTAATGCTAGAGTATGGGCTAACTCCGAGGCAGGATGATCGGCTGGTATGATTGAAACCCACATCTTTAGGAGAGCGATAATTGACGAGGTCAGGCTTGCGCTGATGATGTCTCTCCTGAATTGGCTGGGAGAAACCCCAGCTCAGAGGGCGACTGCCACCCAGCCTGGTTACCTTACCTTTGGCATGTCAAGTAAGTCATGACAGTCCTGTTCAGCGAAGATATCGGAACTAACAGCAACCAGTTCTTGCCGTCGCCGTGGTATGTGGTGTCCAAGATTATGTGGGAAATGCGCTAACACGTACAAAGACGTATATGCCTCTGTTTCTGCCCCCTACAGCACAGCGCGGCGCCCCGGCCGCAGCCGCAACACCATCATAGCGTAGGGCCGTTCTTAGATCTGCGCTTCCACACAGCCTTGCATAGCGACAACAAAAAGCGATCTCTTGGAGGGTCTGGTGGCGACCATTGGGCACCTCAAAGCTTTGATGCCTACCATATGTACTCAACCACCTGTAGATCTATAACGGCAGAATGTGCAATAATACGCTTCTGACACATGGGTTTATCACATGTCGTTGACTCGCCTCGCCTCGCCACAACCAGATGTTGGATCTTGGGCTCATGTTTCGGGATTCGCCACGGGCGCGGAAAAACTAAGAGTCCGCGGGCTTGGCGGTCGAGGCCTGCGCCCGCAAGGCCAACTTTGCCTTCAACCGCCCGGGCTTCCTCCTCTTCTCTTCATATCCAACAACATCTTCACGAACCAGACTCTCCACTCCTCAACTCGCACACGGTCGTCGATAAATCCCACAGACAATTCTCCCACATTACCCAACCCCAGAAGAACCACAAACGCACGCGTTTATGTCAACTCAAATCCAAAATCTCAAGACATTTGGTAAGCTTGCCCCTCCTTGGCCCAACTCGTCACAACATCATCGCAGCCTCACTTTCCGACAACGACGTAGCACATTCGATATCGCCCAAGACAACGGCGTCCCTTCTGCGCGTGCTTCAGATTCTATCGCATGAAGGGATCCGACTTGCAAATTGCACTGCTACGTGACGGCGGCTAACAAATGACTCAGACCCCTTCGCGGAGGCCGACGACGATACTGGGGAATCCAAGCAAACCCAGAACTACATCCACATCCGCATCCAACGTAAGCCATATTGTCGCCATGCCAGAATCGCACTAATCCGTCTCAGAGCGCAATGGTCGTAAGACTCTGACCACTGTTCAAGGCCTCCCGAAGAAGTTCGACCAGAAGAAGATTCTCAAGGTCAGCAGCCCACAGAATACAACCCAACACATGCTGAGCAATGTATTAGGTGATCAAGAAGAAGTTCGCCTGCAATGGCACCATCGTCGCCGATAGTGAGATGGGCGAGGTGATTCAGCTCCAGGGTGATCAGCGAAAGGATGTGCAAGAGTTCTTGGTCGCCAAAGATGGCCTCGAACTCGATGCGAAGACTATCAAGGTACGACACATTCTCACTACAATCGTCGCTGCAAACTACTGACAAACCGATCCAGGTCCACGGTTTCTAAACGCTTCAGCTGGTGTCCCGCGCGCTTCTGCTCAGCCATGGAGGACGATTAACGAAGTGTACCCACGAACCAGACCATCTTTGAGTCGGATCCGAGATCCCTTCTGGGCTTGCGCCTCTACGGCTTCATCAGAAGCCTTATCAGCATAGCGACATCCGGGACATGAGTCAGGGCGTTTGATACCCACGATAGACAGGTGTGCTCGAAGCAATGACGGATTACGGAGGCATGACACGATGACGAGCCTCGTCTTTGGGCAAAGGTATCGTGACGGTCCCAGTATCATTTTCGAAGTGCAACGGGAGTGAGGGCCAGCCTTTCCTTCATCTCAAGGCCGTCGCAAACTACAGGAGCAGCATCGTCAACAATGGCATCTGATTCTGTATTACTCTTCTAGCCACTGTGCATTGGTCGTTTGAACATGTGTCATTGCATGTTCCGTGAAGGATGCCGGCTCAGAGTTAAGCAATTCCTTTTCGTGTCCGCCATGCACCATCGTAAAGCCCATCGATTTGCCAAGATCTATCCGATCGCTGACTCGGATCGGTCCCTAAATTGAACCATCCCCGAAGAGCTGTTGTCATTACTCAACCGTTTGAGTCAAACCTCCAATAAACTCCCCTTTATGCTGCTACAAAATTACAAAAAGAAAAAACAGCGTCTACCTCAACTGTACCTGCCCACCCACCTTCATACCCTGTAACTTCTCCACCATCGCCACGCCCTCCATGATCCCGCGCCGCAGGCCGTCCGACCCAACACCAGCAGGAACACCAACACCACCGGCACCACTACCACCATCAGTAGGAGGCAGCCGCCCCAAAGCCTTCTCATACATGGCCCTAGCCACGCCATAGTGTCCCTGCGACGCGTACCCTTTCCCCAGAACGGCCAAACAGTTGACCGTGATGAGCGCGTGCGCGCCGACCCGCGACTCCAGCCCCGCCAGGCACGCCGTCAGGACCGCCAGGGCGTCGCCGACGCGCGGCCCCTCGCTCGAGAGGTGCCAGCCTCGGTAGAAGTCGATGACGAGCATGCTTGGCTCTGTGGCGGCGCGATGGGGGTGATGGGGGTCATGGTGGTGATGGTAGTGCAGGGAGTCGCTGACGCGGGTCATGAGTGAGAAGTGCAGTTCTGTGGCGATCGGGTCGTGACGCAGGCGGGCGTGCAGGTAGTTGAAGGGGGCGGCGAGCGGGTTGGGTGGGTTGGTGGGTGGGGCGGTGTTGAGGATGTTGCAGCAGGTTGAGAGGTAGTGTTCGAGGCGCTGGGCGTCGGCTGGGTCTGAGGCGAAGCTCATGCTGGCCCAGTGCAGGAATGTGAGGATGTATTCGTTGGGTGGGGTCTGAGTCAGCAGCTTCTCGAGCTGCGAGGCTGCTGCTGCGGCGCCCGCTGCTGGTGGTGATGATGATGGTGGTGAGGTCTGGGTGCCGGTCGGTTGCAACAGGTAGGGAGCGGCGCAGGAGACGACCGTGCGGCGCTGTTGGTGGCTTCTCGATAGGGGAGGCAGCATGATCGACCCTGCGGACGACTTGACGGCGCACGCTTCCAGTTCTACGTCGGCCTTGAAATGGTGCGCTGCCTGCTCCAAGTTGCAGCGTTGGGGTGGTGGCATCGGTCGCGGCTTGCAGCTGGGGGCAAGACGAGGGCTCTGCCTAACCCACGTGTAGATGCCGACATGGCCCAGCATTCTATATGCCCGCTGAAGCCACATGTCGTCGAACCGGCGATCTCGGTCATCCAATGCAGGTCGTTTGGGCAGCTGGCTCGCCTGCATGACCGAGCCATCCCACACCAGGACGAAATGGGTGCCCAGCGGCCCTGCCCCGTTCGTGCTGACGACGATGTCCATGGCCTCCAGGACCTGGACAGGCAGGCGTTCAAACGATTTCACCATCCGATTGATCCTCCGGCGATACTTGGAGGCGGGTGGACAGAACCCGCTCTCGTTCTTCATCAGAATGCGCGTCTCTTCGAGGGACCGGCCCTCCCGTCGATACAGGTCGCAGATACGAGGCAGCTGGGCTGCCCATTCCGAGTCGCTGGGGTTGGTGCGTAGGATGAACTTCATGTTCTCACACAAGACAGTCGAAAGGTTCCTTTCTTTATGTTGAGTTGGGCGCTGCTGGCTTCTGCGTGAGATGAAATGTTGTACGTTGGAGGAGGGGAGTAGAGAGCGGTATGCCACGCGCATTGCTGTATACACACCCTGGTTGCATCGGATCTACCTTGGGGCCGGATGCTTTAACCGCCGGCAAGCATAAACCTCCTGAAGAATGTCATGTTATGTCAAGTCATGCACTCATCCACCAACCCGCTCTCTCTTCACGTAAATTCAGCTGCCCTGCCTTCAATCTTGCCCCAGCGGTGATGATCGATCCCTCAAGAGCAGTACTTGTTCTGCGGGCTGCATTTCTCCCCTCTCCAGACGTTGTCGCGTTCGTCTTTGAGAAACGCAAATGAGCAATGAATGTGTGTGGGAGGAGTGGGCCAACGATGCGTGCAAATGAAACGACGCAAGGCAGCAAACTAGCAAGGCGTAACTTGGGGCATGATCTGCAATGTGCAAGCAGTCAAAAGGGGGACAGGCATTGGAAATACATATTGCTTTACGAGACAGTGAGGCGAGGGGTGGAGGAAGGCGGGGAGGGGCGTCGGGAGAATCTAGTTAAGGAAAGCTGCTTGAAATAGAGAACTAAAAAGACCAGGGGCCTAGGGTCCCGCATGAGGCCTTCTTCATGGGCCAATCGAAGTTATGTGGTGAGAAAAGCACAGAAGCGGCTCTTAAGCTACGGGAAAGAAGTCTGGCGTTTTTACAGAGGAGTGTGCGTAGCATTTCTATCAAACCTATCTCATCCCCTCCCCTTCCAGCCCCGAATCCCCAAAACCGGCCTCACACAAGAATCTGTTTCAAAAGTAGTCGGGGCGACTGCAATGCCGAAATCATCGCTCTAACTTGGGTGACTGCCTTGGAAGCCTGGCGAAATCTAGAGGAGAGAGATCGGGCTGCACTGCACGTTGACGAGGCCCTGCAGGGAGTCAGTATTGAGTGCTGAAGTGGCGAATTGGGAAAAATTGTCTTACGTTCTGGTCGCCCTGGCAGCAGGCAGCGATGTTGTTGCCGCAGGCCTTGTTGAGGGGCACTTGGACGCCGAGGACTAAGGTGAAAGAATCGTTAGTGAAAAAGGAATCATGAGGGAAGTGAAATGTACCAGCGACGGGAATCTGAACACAGTTTCCGCCCAGAATACCGTCGAGCAGGCCGCCCAACAGGCCGTCGGCAGAGTCGCTAGAGGCGGAGTTGCAGCAGGAGATGGTTTGGTTGTTCCCGCACTGCTGGGCAGCTTCGCCCACAGTCACGTCGCTGTCGCTGGTGCCGGCGGCCTGAGGAGCGGCCAGGACGGAAGTAGCCATGATGGCGGTGAGAGCAGTGAAGGCTTTGGCGAACATCTTGAAAAGTTGTTTGGGGGTGTTTGGGCAGGTAAGTTGCTCGAAGGTTGAGTAGGTGAATGGGTTATTGATGAACGAGAGGCTGTGAGGCTTGATGGATGACTGGAACTGCTCGGAGTGAGGTTTGAGGTTGCTCTTATACCCTTTTCTTCGAACTTTTCAGCCAGGATGAAGAATGTTGATCGGCATCAGGTCGCTGCGAAACTTGTTGATGTTATGCAGACTTGCTACGGCTGCTCACTGCAACAGCCAGTTTCCCAAGAGCCTTTCCGCTCCACCAACGCATCCACAATCCTGTCATCACATAGCAAGGCAAGGCCAACTTGTTCCCAAGATTCTTCCTGAGGTCTCGTCAAACTTAGTTTCTTAACTCAAGATTCAGGGGCTCGCAATAGTGTACGCTCAGTTGGCACAGTACTGCACCCAAAAGGAGGCGGACATGTAGGATACTGCTGGAAGAAAGTAGAAGATGGAATTAGCCTTCTAGCTACCTCTCAGGCCTGTGCCTCTACGCATGATCGTTGCACCGTGGTTCGAGTCCTGCACTGTAGCACACTGTCTAGGTCGGACTTGTACTGAATGTAAGGCCTGATGCAGTGGAATGTGCTCTCAGCTAGGGCGAGTCAGGACAGTGCCTAACTAAGCACCCGGAGGCTTTGTCGTCGGATTGCTCACCACGACGGCTCCGTCCATCCGACGCTGTTTTCCATCCGGTGCATATTGCCTCTACACCCAAAGCGGATGTATGAATGACTCGCAGGAGGTCAATATAGAATTTTAGTAGCGTTCCAGCCGGGATCGACAAAGTGGAAACGTCAAAGTACGTAAAACGTCCAATACGCTGGCACATCCGAGAAGCAAGAATACATAGTACTCGGAAGCCGGAAGATGGTCCGAGCTCCTTTCGCAGCGTCCTACGTATCATTGGATCTTCTTAAATCTGCAGGGAGACCAACCTTCGCGGAATGAGCCGACATCCCATCCAGATTAGGACCCCAGAGGGTTGCTGATCTTGATCTACTTTGGTCAGGCGGATCATTAGCTCCACGACGGATGAGCTGCCCCGTATGCCTGACCATGTATTACCGTAAAGTCTTGTTGTCGCAGCAGGTCAACCTTGCATTCTTCAACATATCGCGCGGTCTCCTTCGATGCAAGAGGGAGCATGCGCGCAATGATTCGCTATGCGCCCTTGAATTCTTGGAAGACCAGATGCCAACATCGCCCGATCTCACGCAGTGGAAGGTCACTGTGAGTGAGAAAGAAAAGGCTCAATGTCATAATGACATTCTTGGCGCGGTTGGGTCGGCTGGCGACTCGGGGACCAGATGACAGGCCGGTCGTAGTTGCCAGGCAATTGCAGAATCTGTCAAGCGCCCGGAAAATGAGGCCAGGTGACCATGCTGGACGAACGACCGGTTATGTGAAATTGAACGTCGAGTGGTAGGTAAGTAGGACTGTAGGAGGTGAGTACCTGACAGCCACGAGGTCGGGTCGGAATTTCCTTGATCCGGCAACGACTTATTACTACAGCCTCGCCAACGTCCTAGAGAGCTTCACTAGTCTGGGCCGTTGCGACTTTCCGCGTTACTCGGGCGCCTCCTAGGATCCCACCTTGTCTTTCCCATAAGATCCTAAGGCTCTGAAGCCTTTTCGAGTACCCACACAACCGCCTTCCCAAAGCGATGCGGCCGCCTGTCGCCGCAGACCACAGTATCGCTGGCGTTCCAAGATGACCCGGCACCACCATACGAACGGTCATTGACCCAACCACCGGCACCAGCACCGGCAGCAGCGACAAGCACGAGGGCCGTTGAAGAAGATGGAGCTGCACTCGCCAGAAGAAGCGCACGCTACCCACGCGTAGCCGTCGCGCTGGGAGTCCGCAAGAGATGGTACATTCCGCTGGTGATATGTCGGGCTTCGTGTACTAGCACGGCCATCGTGTGGGCACTTGTGGCAGCTCTGCAGCTATTTCACCTCGTCAAGCATGGGGAGACATATGACGTGCTCACCGGCAGGAGTATCGTGGAGGAGGATGTGTATCATTCGTCCTATCTGGAACACTACCGCTTGGCCGTGGTGCAGATTGCGCTGAGCTATCTCTGGGTAAGTGCTCTCTCGTAAAGGCCTCTCATGAATGCAATGCAGTGGATGCCTCGTCCATGAAGGACCGGTATCTGAGATGGAATGTTGCATCCTAGAAGATGACTGACGCTCTGCACAGGCCAGCACGGCAGCGTATCTTGCGCATATCTTTGCATCGTCACTCATGTCACGATGGCTCTTGCACTACTCTCCTCTGGCTGTCACGCTTCGACTGTGTAGCATCTCTATCATGCTGTCCTACATCGGCATGCAATCGTTCCGAATCTTCGGCGCCGTTGATCCCAATCTGGTAGCGTTGAGCCGCAGTCTCCCCATCTGGATCATCATTTCGATTGTCCTCCTGGTGCTCTATTTCACGACACAGCAAGACATCTCGATAGAAAGGGATCGGGATGACCGAAGGAGGAGGCTGCTTTTACGCATCAAGTGTCTCTACGCTATCGCTGGCAGCAGCCTACTCAGCTTGCTGATGCTAGTCTGTTTATTGCAAATCAACACCGTGGATTGGGCGGATGAGACCTGGAGGCAATGGATCTGGAGGCAGGTATTGAGCCTTGAGGCCTATTGGAACGAGCGGGTGAAAGGGACTAAGCTCGAGTTATAGGGTATTTGGTCTTAATATCAGGAAGCTCTGCTTAAGAGCATTGGGTATCTGTCTTTCTTTCTGTAAATTGAGGCCTTTCATCATTATGTGTTGTTTAAGCCAGCTCTGGCGTGGTGCCAATCCACCATGCGGCCAGGTCATGTGACCGAAACCGAGACCAGGCCCCGAAGCCTCGCCGCTTGAACTTTCTCACTCCTCGATTTCCGCATGCGCTCTCCATGCTTCCCTGCGCACTCTAATTTATCAACTTCGAAGAATCGCAGCCATCATGTCGTGGCGCAACCAGGGCATCACTGGCTCCAATAACATTCCTCTCGGAAATCGTCGTCGGTTCGGCGACAGTAATGGTGACTCGCGCGATGGTACCAATTCTCCGTACAACGGAGATTCTGGCAAGCGTGGTCGCAGTCCTACCAGAGGTGAGTCTGTCTCCTTTTCAGCTTCAATACTTACACCATATACTAAACGCAAATAGCTGAACCTGCTGCCGATGGCGTGAAACGACGTAGGAAGCGTAACCGGTGGGGTGATGCTACCGACAACAAGGCGGCTGGCCTCATGGGTCTCCCGACCAAGATTGAAGCCAACATGACCTCTGAACAGCTTGAAGCATACACTTTGCACTTGCGTATCGAAGAAATCAGTCAGAAGCTCCGAATCAACGATGTCGTTCCTGGTGATGGCGACAGGTACGTTGTCCTCAACCCTCCTAAAACACCCATCACTGACTTTCTACAGATCTCCTTCGCCGCCTCCGCAGTACGACAACTTCGGTCGCCGTGTCAACACTCGCGAGTTCCGTTATCGCAAGCGTCTCGAAGACGAGCGTCACAAACTTGTCGAGAAGGCCATGAAGACTATTCCCAACTACCACCCGCCATCTGACTATAGACGTCCTACTAAGACACAGGAGAAAGTCTACGTGCCTGTCAACGACTATCCCGAGATTAACTTCAGTATGCTAACTAACCCTCTAACTCTGTTTCAAGCTTTCTGCTTTCTAACCCTGCTGGCCTACCTTTTGCGCACCTCCATGCGATTGGTAGCCGCGTCCCCATCCACTAACCATGCCGTCCGCCTGTTTTTACCAAGATACAATGACTAACACTTAGCTTCCTCCTTTTTAAAGTTGGTCTACTCATAGGTCCCCGTGGTAACACTCTCAAGAAGATGGAGACTGAGTCTGGTGCAAAGATTGCAATCCGTGGCAAGGGCTCTGTCAAGGAAGGCAAAGGTCGCTCTGATGCCGCTCACACCAGCAATCAAGAGGAGGACCTTCACTGCTTGATCATGGCCGACACCGAAGACAAGGTCAACAAAGCCAAAGAGCTAATCCATAATGTCATCGAAACCGCCGCCTCCATCCCCGAGGGCCAGAACGAGCTCAAGCGAAACCAGCTACGCGAATTGGCGGCTCTCAACGGTACCCTCCGTGACGACGAGAACCAAGCTTGCCAGAATTGTAAGATCTCCCCACCACGCTCCATCATGCAGGACTAATCTAGAACAGGCGGCCAGATTGGTCATCGCAAGTACGATTGCCCCGAGCAGCGCAACTTCACTGCCAACATCATCTGTCGCGTGTGCGGCAATGCCGGTCACATGGCTCGCGATTGCCCCGACCGACAACGAGGCAGCGATGCACGCAATCAAGTTCCGGGCTTCGGCGCCCCACCCAGACGCCTCGGCGCAGGCGATGCTGTCGACCAAGAGATGGAGGTAAGCCAGATTCTCCTTTCGCAACTAAGCTGAAGCTAACACACGCAGAATCTTATGCAGGAACTCTCGGGCAACCCATCGAATGGTCCAGCCGCGCGCATCGAAGCTGCCCCTGGTGGTGGGAACCCCTGGGACCAAGGCGGCTACGGCGGCGGGGCTGGTGTTGGCGACGCTGCTCGTCCTTGGGAATCTCGTCCACCTGCGCAATCTGGCGGTGCTGCTCCTTGGGCTCGCGAACAGCAAGACAGCTACGGCAGTGGTGGCGCAGCTCCATGGGCTCAACGACAAGACAGCGGCGGCTATGGCAATTACGGCGGAGCTCCTGGAGCCCCTGGTGCTCCCGGCAGCGGTGCTGCGCCGTGGCAAAGCCAGCCCCCTCCCCCACCACCCCCGGGGGGCGGCTACGGCTATGGTGGCTATCCTGGCTACGATCAAGGTGGCTATGGTGGCGCCCCTGCAGCTCCTCCCCCGGGTCTCAGCGACTTCCTTCAGCAGTACAGCCAGCAGGCCCCTCCGCCACCTCCTTCTGACATCCCTGCTCCTCCCCCTGGCCAGGCCCCTCCTCCACCTCCTGGAGATGTGCCGCCTCCACCGCCTCCATCTTAGTTGGGCAACGATGTGGCCGACAAAGGGACACACTTGGACGTTGAGGCAAATGACTATGTTCGCGGTTGCTGGGTCGCCCCTACCAGGGCCTATGCTACGGTGGAGCAAGGATACGAATTTGAACATTCAGTGGTGGAGCCGCAACCAAAGTATTGCAATAGCTTGGCTACAGGTTGGTTGTGAGTAGAAAGGTGGCAAGTAGGAGCTCGATAGGATCGTTTCGCAGCAGTCATTGTACGAACAGGCACTCCAGGGGGCGTCTAGGCCGTAATACTATTCCTCAATGCTTCGTGTACAGAGTTTCCTGCCTTGGTGCTTCCAGACGTTTCCTAACACCGAGGTTCCGAAAGGACCAATCAGAGCTGTGCATGGACCCATCTGCTTCGATGGAGACGAAAGTGAAAGTTGCCTTCCATCTTCAACTGCACTTCTCATTTCATTCCTTCTTACCTATCCTTAACACGGTCGTCCCATTTCAACCTCTTCCATCTCGAAATCCACTCAAGATGCCTCGCTCATCTCGCGGTTCAAGCCCTCGTGCGGCGCCTCCTCGGCCCGCCCCTGCTCCTGCCAGAGCTCCCCAACAGCAGCAGCAGCGACCCATGACTACACAAACCGCCCGACCTCCTGCGCAACAAGCACCCCCTGCTCAAGCTGGCCAGAGTCCTGGACTGTTTGGCCAGATGGCCTCCACTGCTGCGTAAGTCATCTTCATATATTCCTTGTGGCAAGATAGGGCACCCTCTCGAGCTCATCACTGGAAAGTCAAGACCTCACTAACCTCTACACAGTGGCGTCGCAGTCGGCTCATCCATCGGCCACGCCATCGGCGGCTTTTTCGGCGGCGGTTCCTCACAAGCAGCTTCTGAGCAGCAGCAGCAGTACCAGCAGCCCGCCGAGTCGTACGCTCAGCCCGGCGGCGCCATGGACTCAGGCCTCTACAACAGCTCCTCTAATGCCAACGCCGCCTCCGGTCCTTGTGCGATGAACATCAAGCAGTATACCGACTGCATGAATCAGAACCAGGGAGACATGAACATCTGCGGATGGTATCTGGACCAGCTGCGGGCTTGCCAGCAGGCTGCGAAGCAGTACTAAAGTGGCTGTTCCTGAGTAGTAGGCTGAGGGTGGGGGAGCATGGGGAATTTATAAAATGTGGTACATTTGCATAGCATGGCGGTTTGGTGGCCAAAATTTCAAGAACAAGACAAATGACAAAACGCATTGCTGGCATGAATAAGGAAAGGATTAGCATAGAGGAGAAAAGAGACGGAGACGTTATTGAATGAGATTCAAATCTTCACTCATACGACTGTCACATCAGGTATTGCTGTCTCGTCCTCTCCTCCTTGTACAGCTACAGATCGATGAGGAGGCCCATGAGACAATTACTCTTGCCTCTTTTACACTGACGGAGAGTCCTGCTAACAAATTTGAAGCTGTGGCAGCCAAACTCGCCCGAGGCTTGTGTCGTGGACTGCCCAGGTCAAAGATACCTCGTCTGGCCTTACTTTGCGTTCACTTCCCCCTTACCTGTACCTGACACCTCGAGCGCGCCTCAGACGCGTGCCTTCCAAACAACCAATTTTCACTTCAAGTCTGAACTCCCACTTGGCCAGTTCTTCTTCCGTTCTCAACTTCTCTCTCCCACTCTCAAGGATTGGGTGTCTCAATAGCGTGCTCCAATTTGATCTCTACATCCCCACTACTCCCCCTCAAGAGCAGGTCTTGTCGAGAAGTACCCGTGCGGACTTCGCAGTATAAAGGAGCACTCGGCCGCGCAGTGGAAATGGCACTTTAGTAGTGGCAATAACCTACTGAAGAAGCAAATAAGAACCTTCGAGTTCCAGCGAAACAGGGCAGACCAAGGATGGGAACAACGAGAATGCGAAACCTGCAGGGTCTGGGTCAAAGAAGACGAAGAAGCGAAATGAAGCCCGCTGAAAGGCGAAGAAGGCCAAAGATGCTGCGGCCGCGGAAGGCAACGACAAAGCTAGCACGGAGCTGACCGGTGATGGAGTCAAGGTGTCGGAGGTTGAAGGTGAGGATGAGGTCATGACAGCTTCTGCAGAAGCGCTGTTCGAAAGCCTTGATGGCTTGCCCTTTGTTCCAGCCGAGAGTTCAGTTCACTGAGCATGTCTTTGGCGCACAAATCCATGATTTATGGCCAACAGCAATACGTGCTGGCGGCCATCGTCCATATGCAACGACCATGACGACAAGGCTCAACATCGAGGAAGAACACTGACATCGGACCGCGACGGGAAGCCCGAGACTCCGTTTCAAGAAGTCATGAAAGTGCCTGAGACGATCATCGGCTTCTATGGAGTGAGCACTTTAGTTCACTATCATTGTGGCAAGCACGGTGCTGCAAGGAAATGCTTATGATAATAATATCGGGATGTCTCTATCGACTGAGCTCAGAAATTCGAAAAAGTAAGGCGTTAACGAGGACACTATCATCATCACTAGATAAATAAGGGGTCACAGTCTTTCATGAGAGGCTATTTAGTTGACAGTGCTTGCTGAGGTAATGAGAAGGCCTGTCACAGAATTCCCATAAAACAGAACCCGCTAAAATTTACTGCGCTGTGTCACGAACTGCCAACCCTCTTTTTGATATGCTTGAGTCTTCTTCGATAACAAACCAAAAGATCAGACGCATAACAGTACTGGAACACAAAGTTCCTCCTCAAATGCCAGGGGCCGATAAAGACCTAAAACCTCGCGCAAATTCTACTCTGGACTCTCCTCCTGTAGACCTTCCTAGTTCAAGTGCACAATACACTCTATCTCACCCTGCTTTTCGTCAGCGTCCTATTGCTTCCCCTTAATCTCCCATTTCTCGTGTCTGCTTTGACAGAGATATTTGACCTGTGGGGAGAACTCGAAGCTTTAGGGATAGAATGACTTGTCTTTGATGAGTTACTGGGTGACTCGAGGACTTGAGTTGAACCTTGATTTCTAGGCACGCAGAGAACTTGGTTAGGGGAGGAATAGTGGAGATACAGGGCTGAGCAACGTCAGGGGCAGCCAGGGACTTTATCTTTTTCACAGTGGCTCGCTCATCCACTATAGTGTATAATACATGCTATAACCGGAAATCAAGGTTCAAGACACGAGCTCGAGTTATGGTACGCCCACCGGCGGTAGAACCAGCGATGGATGCTGTCCTTGAGGTCAAGATAGAGGTCCGTTTGGTCGGGGAAGTGCTTCTGCAAGGCGGATATTGGCACGGCATGCTTTTCTGGATCCATTTCGAGCTGTTCCAACGACTCAGAACCAAAGGAAAGATGCGCTGCAGAGATGTTACGTAGATTACTGCATCCACGCCGTGCCTGTAGCGATACTGTCCTCTCTCCTGTTTGGCCGTTCGCTACCAGTCTCGCCACCAACTCACTGGAACCATATCGACGACAGCCCTTTTTGGGCGGACACCACCCTACGACATCCTTTGCCTGAAAGCCAATTCTCTAGGATCTCTCCACATCGTGCACGGATTGAATCGCCAAGCACCACGATGCTCCCTACCAAACCAGTAGTGTATGATAAAAGGCACAAAGAACGGCACGGCGGGGAAGTCGTGCATGCCACCTTCGAAGGTCCTGTCAGCGGTGCCGAACACGAGCGGGGCGATTCGCCGCTACGCTCTGGTCAGTAACATTCACGGACTGCTAGGGTAGAAAATAGCATACGTTGTCCGTGGCCATCAAGATCTTCTCCAAACGCTTATAGGCTTGTCGTATCCGCTCGCCGTCGTAAACGTCGAGAGCTCGCAGCGTCTCCACCTCATTGGAGAGATGCCGTGTCAAGGGCTCTGCAAAGCCTTCGATGAGACTCTTGAGCTGCCCTCCGTCATAATCCCTGGGAAGACAGGTGCGAGAGTACTCGTAAAATCGATCGAACCCTGGCGTGAATGCTCGATGCTGTTCGACGTTGCGCTCCATGATCCCCGGCACGCCCGAGATCTGCTCGATGCTCGGGAAGAAGCTCTGTTCTTCTGCATCGTGGTGGTGATGCATGGATTCACACCAGCACTGGCAATAAATCAGGAAGTCCTGGACAGCGCTCGAGTCACCGCGCGGTATGTGAGCTGCCTGGAGATAGATGGCATTGAGTCCTCGCAGAATGCCATTGTGAGCAAGCGCCATTTGTGTTGCCACATAGTATGCCGCATGAGAGGACTACAGGCGTACGTTGAGTGATGCGGAGGCAAAGCAGAGGACTGGAATACATACATCCTTCGAGAAAGGTTCGGTAGAAATCAAATCGTACGGCTTATCAGCCCATGGGGAAGACAGGACAATTCATCAAGTACTCGCAGCCGAAGGCGACATCGCCTCGTAGTACGATGGGCCTACTCGTATATACTATACAAGCAGGGCTTGCGAAGCGCGGCTCGACTCGACCCCGGCTGAGTTATCGAAGAAAGCAAGAGGTGTAACTCGCCTCCGATCTACAAGGTAATAGCAGTCATTCGGACGTGATGTTGGCCAAAGGTGCGGGTGGTCCGGATACCCCCGGCTTCTTCCACCATCGAAACGGGTGGGGGCCTAGATCGCGGAGACGAGCCTGATGATCGACCTTGCGAGACTAAGCTAACTTGATGCATGTAACCAAAGTTCTTCTCGGCGTTTTGTGTAGAGCTTTCGACTCAAGGCTGCGCCTTGCAGAACTCTGCCTTGGGTTGAGTGCCTTGCTGCCTAGAATGACGACACCGCCCATTCGTATGGATGGCATCTTTGTGCCGTTTGTCGCCAGCGAGGACCGCCAGATAGTCATCCGGATGACTTGATGCTTTGCGTGCAGAATTAGTAGAACCTACTTTCGTATAGCTTGATCCAGTCTGCGTCACGATGGCTGAGGACTGGGGTCTAGCCTCACTGATAGTCGCACTATGCGCACTTACGCTGACACTTTCCCCAGTGTCTCTGGGTTTCATCGCAAGCGTCATATCGCCTATCCTGAGCACCATATGGCCCTCGCTAGGAAAATGCGAGACCTTTGAATGGACGGACATTCCAGACGGGGCTCTTCACACTTGTGAACACCCCCCACAGTCTTGCAGCCACGTTGGCGCCCAGATCACCCCGGAGAGCTGGGAGGCAGCAGCGTCACACTTCTTCGCATTCAGGCGTGGCAACTTCGTTCGAAAGCCCAAACAATTAAGCCTGACCACGAGATACATCCGGACTGATACGAAGACACTAAAAGCATTCCTGTCACTTCTGAACGGTCACGCACTTTACGAAACCGGAAGATCTTTCCAAATTGTCTTCAAACCAGTCGGGGGATTGACGACTGCGTATGTGAAGATACAACGCGGACTTCCAAACAGTCTCAATCATTTCTGCAGGCTGGATGTCACCAAGCGCGAGATGGAACTCATTTTCCAAGGGTATCCGCCATGGTATCAGAACCCGCTTTCCGTGGGCAGGGGCCGCCATGTGACGCATCCAATCATTGACGAAAGTGATCTGCATCGGGGAGGATGGATATTCGCCGTCGGACTGAGTCCGACGCGCCCAACCCTTGGGAACTTCCTGGAGATCAAGGGCGGCTCTATGCTCATCGTAGAGCGGGGTCTCAGGCGCGTGATCCGCTGTTTAAAAAATCTCGAGTTGGCCTTCTACGGTGAATTGAGAGTATCGGCTGCACATACACTGGTGGAAGGCCTTCATTGGTGGTACGCGGTTGGCGGTGGCTACGGTCCTAGTCGAGCGCGAGAACTCTTCTACAAGGCAGGTTTCAAAGACCTCCTTGTCGGTCCGGACTTCATCGAAGGTCTAACGGACTCACAAATCATTACAGGGATGAAAGTTTTCAATTACGATGAGCCACTCACGGACAAGGAGATAACGCAACTGCGGCCTGTGCTTGAGAGTGTTGTCCGGGCGTCGGTGCTAGGGGTTCGAAAGGTCATCGATCACGTAGGTATTCCTATTATTAGCACAGAGGAGATCATGCCTTGCAGTCTGCCACCTGAACTGACAAACGATGGGTATGTGTACGTTCGAGAGAGATGGGATTCTCTGGAGGATTGATCAATGCTGTTAGAGAGCTGCAGCCCAACGCCCCGACTATGCCACGGTAGTAGAATCAGCTGGGATCTGGGACTCGCTGCCTGAACAAACTTGGTCGAGGCTCAAGTTCAAGCAGCAAGTACTAGGTTGTAAACATACCAAGCTTGAGTGAAGATAAACTTGATGTTCTTCTCGCAGTGGACTCCTGACGAGTTCGCAACAACTTTAATCTAACCAATACACCACACCCCCAATCCGACACCCACTGCCTCGACATCACTCTACAACTGCGCCCGATCCTTCATCCCCGCCTTGACCTGCCCCTTGACCCGCTTCGACACGCTTTTGATCTCCGACTTGAGCGCCTTCTTCTCCTCCCTCGACCACTTCACCTCACCACTCTTCTTGGCCCGCCGCATGTCCTGCGCGTACGCGGTCAAGATACTCGCCGTCTTCTCGAACGCGCACTCGGTGCAGTGGCCCTCTTCCACGGCGTCCTGCAGCGCGGCGATCAGCGCGGTGACGAAGCCCTTGGCTTTGGGTTGCTGGAGTTCGTGGTCGAGGTGGGGGGTTTGAGAGGGGCCGTGCTTGGAGCAGGGACCTGGAGATGAAGGCCTGTTGAGACATTACAAGTTAGTTGCCTCGGCGGGCTTGAATGTGGGATCCAGACTGACTCTCGCTTTTCATCGGGAGGGTACGCCCGTGCCTCGGTGGTATCGTAGGCTGGGAGGCTGCCCGCCCAGTGGGATTCCATCTCGGTGGTAGGGGACACGGCTTGCTGGGTCATTTTTTTGTTGATTTACGCTTGATCAAGTTGTAATTAATCTCCAGAATGGTTGACTTATTGTACAGATCCGTCCATGGACGCCATTCCGCCGTCTATAAGTATTCCATCTCCAGATATGCAGCTGCCTAGAGGTCTGCTCGGCCGAAGCACCCTCGCTGCGAGCCTCGCCACACCGAGCCCGAGGAAGGCCCGCCATTGGCTTGATCAACTTATGTTGCTGCCTACCTGCTTGTGGTAGTCTCACCGACGGTCCTTGCATCTGTCCGAAGCCAGACTGTGTCAGTGAAGAGTGTCACCTTGACTCTCAAGGCCCCCTCGGCGCGACCGCAGAACAGGTTACTTGTCTTGAGGCAGTGGTAGGTAGACGCACGCCGACCATAGACGCAGTCCACACCGCCGTGGGGCAGTTTTCAATATTTCAACATTTCATATTCGTCCGTCGATCTTGCTAATCGCTTAATTTCTTGACTCATACGCTTGTTAGTACCACACGCAGACCCTGCATGTTGCATTCGGGAGGAGCCTTAGTGCCCCTGACAGCGCTATAGACTGTTGGCATTGGTCGTACACGCGCAAAATCCTACTGTGTCCGGACCTCGGTCATTACCATTGAGTCACACGCCACTACGTCGGTTTACACCGGCAAACAATTGTATATAGATTCTTTGTCCAGTACCCTCGACGAATCTCGCACCAGATTCCCCCGAATCCTCTCTCACCACCCCAAACCACCCCCACCATGAACCCCTCCCAACCGCGCCAACGCGTCCGCTCCCTCCTCCCCCACCTCCATCTCGGCTTCCACGCTCCGGGCCCCCTCAACTCCCTGACCGACGTTCCCGGCGTCCTCGTGCACACCAGCTCCATTCACCGGCCGGCAGGCCACAACCCGTCACGCCCCGCCTCCGTAATCAACACGGGCGTCACCACCATCCTCCCGCGCCGCGCCTGGTTCGACTCGGCCTGCTACGCCGCCATCTTCAGCTTCAACGGCTCCGGCGAACTCACCGGCAGCCACTGGATCAACGAGACCGGCCTGCTCAACAGCCCCGTCGTGCTGACCAACAGCTTCTCGGTCGGGTCCTGCTACGAGGGCATCTACCGCTACGCCGCGCGCGAATACGCCGACAAACACACCGGCCTCGCCGATTTCTTCCTGGTGCCGGTTGTGGGCGAGACCTACGATGGCTTCATGAACGACATTGCCGCCATGGCCGTGACGCCGGACATGGTGGTGAAAGGCATCGAGGCCGCGAGCGCCGATGCCGTGCCGGAGGGGAACACCGGCGGCGGCACGGGCATGCTGACCATGGGCTTCAAAGCCGGGACGGGCAGCGCCAGTCGCGTCGTACGAGGTATCGTCCGCGGCGAGAAGCGCGATTTCACCGTAGGCGCCCTCGTCCAGTCCAACTTTGGCAAGATGCAGGACTTGCATTTCGGCAGCGTACCCGTGGGGCGGATCTTTGAGGAGCAGGACCGGCAGAAGAAGGAGCAAGAGCAAAATCAAAGCCAACCCTTGCCCGAGCGCAAGAAAGATGGCTCCATCATCGTCATCCTCGCGACCGACGCCCCGCTCCACCCCACGCAGCTGGGCCGGCTCGTCAAGCGCGCCACCGTCGGCCTCTCGCGCGCCGGCGGCTTCGGCTCCAACTCGTCGGGCGACATTTTCCTCGCCTTCTCCACCGCCAGCGAGGTTCCCCGGGAGCCGCCCACGGACGCCGGCATGAGCACGTGGGACGCGCGGCTGACGGCACGGGTGGAGCAGAGTGTCGACGTGGTGCAGGACACGACCATCAATGGCCTGTTTGAGGCGGCGGCCGAGGTCGTGCACGAGGCGATTCTGAATGCCATGTGCATGGCCGAGGGGATGGAGGGGCCGGAGGGCCAGAGGATGGAGGCGATTGATTTGGAGAGGGTGAGGGCCGTGGTGGAGGGGTATGGGGCGGGGAGGTGAGGTGTGTGTGTGCTCTGCATGACCTATACCAAAGCTGAGAGGAGAACCGGTCCGTCCATTTGATAAGACTGTTTTTTCGGTACGCGGACACATTACACGTGGACACAGGGCAAAACCCCCTCCCTCCGAACCAAACAATGCGGCCGATCTACCAAAATGACTACCACTCAAACACATCATTCTTCCAATCCCTAAACCCACCACCCGTCGTCTTCCGCGACGCCCCATCAATATTCCTCATCAGCCCCTCACACACCCGGTCCAGCGGCTGCATCACCTTCAACATCCGCTCCACCAACTCCCTCGGCGCCTGACTCATGTCAAACATCCTCGTCAAATCCGTCTTGACGGGCCCTGGCGTCATCCTATTTTTGCCACGGTCAGCTCTCACAACACAAATCCAATCAGATTCAATCCAGCCTTATCCCATCCTTCCCTACTCAAGTAGTGGCCGACAAACAAACTCCAACGCCCGACAAACGGGATTCAATAAACCGGTGGGAAATGGGCGGTGAGTGAGTGAATGAGTGAGTGAAGAAAACTTACATCTCAATATCAACATCCTCCCCGACCTCAAAAAACGCCTTGCGCATCACATGGTTCATCGCCGCCTTACTCGCGCCGTACGCGGGCGTGCTCGCGTGCAAATGCCTGTCAATCATGCCCGTCGACCCAATCGCCGACGAAACCGCGATGAATTTCGCCTCATAGCCTTCTTGGGCTTCCTTGGCCTTCCTCGCCTCTCGCAGCAACGGCAGCGTCGCCTGCAACAGCAACACGGGCGCCGTGCAGTTGATGGCCATGTGCGCCGCGATCTCCTCGGGAGTCAGAGTGGCCACGGGCCCGCGCGAGAGGATGGCGCCGGCGTTGGCGATGACGACGTCGATGCGGGAGATGGCGTGCTGGGTTTGTAGGGTGGTGATGGCGCTGAGGGCAGCGGTGGGCGAGGTGCCTTCGTAGGGGAGCATGATGACCCGCGTGCCGGGGGCGCCGGAGGGGTTGGATTGGAGGGAGAGGGAGGTGGGGTGGGAGGGGTCGCGCACGAGGGCGATCAGGGTGGTATTGGGGCGGCGGAGGAGGATGTCGGCGAGGCCGCGGCCGATGCCGCGGTTGGCGCCGGTGATGAGGTAGGTGGTGGTGCTTGTGGTTGGGTGGAAGGCCATGGTGGTGTTCTGTCGCAGAGCGGGGTTTTGTCTGGGTAGTTGCTGGGCGAAGGAATGGATGGAATTGCTGCAAACCTTGGAGACCCTGTGAGAATAGAGTCTGCCGTACGACCTGCGATGCGGGAGCAGGTCCAATACTTATAGACTGAAAGCCCTTCGATCAGTAGACCAGACGCGACGCGTCTACGCATTGACTTGAAGTCGAAGCGTACATCGATACCACTCAGCCAATAGCTAGGGATCAAGCGCCCCCGAGTCCAGTATCAAGTAGGCTCGAGCAGTGCCCCCATACCAGGCCTCCGATGCTATTGCCGTTAAGCCCGAGAGAGTTTCAGGCGTCAGAGTGGAGCCTCCATACGAAAAGGTTGCCTGAAAAGTCCCCGCGGGCTCGTACAACACCCACAACGGTTAGCCTTTCTCTGGTCTCTTTTCTAGGGCCGTGGCGTGAAACTTCACCCAACACAGAGATTGATGCCTGGTCTGGTCAAAGTACAGGATCGCCGGGATGTTGGAGAAGAGCGGCCGCCGTTCCACCGAGCATTCCATTGGTCGAATGCCAGGTGGGTGAACGGACCGAGTCGCATGCATTGATAAAACATATATTATGCCTGGTCCTAACTCCCTGCGTCAAACCAACACGATCTCCTTGTCCGTCTCGCGGGCCAATACCGCTCCAAAGACATTGGTATCATTGACGCGGAAGTACCCCAGTCTTTCAGCCAGGATCATATCGTCGACCGGCTTCGCGACAACGACGAGACCATGGTATTCATACACTTCATCAACGTATCCCGTTGTCGAGTCCCAGGTCGGCCGCCGACGCTGCAGCCCAACCAGGGGCAGCAAGCCAATCTCAAAACTCGGCCCTGATCGGCGAAGCTTGACCGTGAACTCTTCCATGTCGTCCATGTAACATTGCACATCGGTCTGCAGCACGCGGTGACGGGCCACGCTGGCAGAGTTGCGGGTGAATCGCCGCAGGATTGTGGCGTGGACTTCGCCCGTATGCAAGCTGATCCTGAGCTTGTGGCTTTCCAGCTCGTCGGCCGTTGGCCACCGCACCCGCTCCTCGGGTATGACTCGTCCGACCAGTCTGAGCTCACCACCGCTGACTTGACCCCAAGGGTGGTCCTCGAACACGGGGGTCGTGGAGGCGTATGACGGCTCGGCCAGGTGCACGCCATCTGTTTTGGCACCCCACGACTGGTAGATGCTCGCGTTGATCAAGCCGTTGATGCTGGCCCAAGTCCAACTAGGAGCACTTGGGGTGCCTGGGATACGCTGGCTAGGCTTGCCGTTGACCTGCCTGCCGTTGAGGACGTGCCACAAGAGGCATGGAATGAGGTCGTACTTCCACAAGCCTGCTAGGTAGTCCCCGCTCGGTCGAGAAGCCTCGTGGTGGTACTCCCAATGCTGCTCTGCGAAAGCTCCTCCAGCACGAGGTAGAGCTAGCGTGCGTAAATACGCTACCACATCTGCCTGATTCTCCGTGAGATAGGATGAGGAGAGGCCGAACATCTGCGCCAGCCCGGAGATGGCAACGAGTTTGTCAGTCTCCCGCGTCAAGGAGCATGCTGAGTACAGCTCGGCGAGATAGAACCAACCGAAGAGATCTCTGTGACAGGTCAAGGACGGAAACGAAGGAAGTGGAAGCGGCTTGCTGGGAGACACAACCCGGGACGTCAGGCTCCGAGACGGCTTCTTGTGCTCGAATACCGCAGTCGGAGATTGGGTTATCAGAGTTGCGGCGCGCGCCAGCGTTTGCGGAATGGTCTTGGGCAGTCCCTCTGGGAAGGTCTCGCAGGCAAGCAGCTCGCGGCACTCCCAAAAGACCTGGTCCGGGCCGAAGTGCACTATGCGGTGAGACAGGAGCCGCTCCTGAAGGACCCAGCCTCTCCTGTTTATTGGATTGCCAATCAATTCGTCGCGCGCGAAATCTTCTTCCACAATCCAGAACGTGCCTTGAACAGATGCTGGTGGGGGCTTCTTTGTGTGAGAACGAAGTACGGGTCGATTCAGCTCTCGAGAAATGTTAATCTTGAAAGGCTCAATATCCCGCACGCTAGGTGTCTTGAAAAGGCCATAAGGGCCGGCGTCTGTGTCTCTGCCAGCCTGAATGTTGAGAAAAGCATGTCGGTAGACCTCACCCATTCGAGCGGCCTCCTTCTGCCAGTCTGCCTCCCAGCCGGGACCTGTTTGTAGGATACAAAGCGAGTCGATCCACAGATAGCGGATCTTTAGTCTTCGTGCAACATCGATGGCGTCTTGAAAGGTCCGGGTCAGGATTTTGGGATCAATATTCTTCTCCCATTCTGACAGCATATCCACATCCAGTCGGGGCATCGTCTCTGGTCGGATACTCCATCGGTGAGTCAGAGAAGCGTATCGCTGGTCCCTGCGATCACCTGGAGCACAATCAAGCCGCAGCTTATTGTCATGCAGGTCGAGAATGCGAGTTGGCTGGAAGCGGTGCTTGGCGTTATCGCCTGGATGAGGATTGTTATAGCCAGCTCGACATGCTTTGTGGCTTTCGGTACAAGCTGTATACCATCTTTGGACAAGGCGTTGGATACGGGGAGTCCACATGGAATAGGTGTGAATATGAGCCGTCTGGGCTGTGGGTATCAGGTCTTGGTTCCGCAGTGGCGATACCGGGGAAACGGGCGAGACCAGCTCATGATCAATGGGAGTGGCTTCGTCGTCGTCGCTGTCGTCGTCATCGCAGCTTTCCTTGGTTGGCATGATCCGAAAGATGACCTTCTTCCACGAAGGCTTGTCTCCGAATTGAAAACATATCCCGAAATCCTCCTTGGAAAACCACACGGGTGACCACGAGTAGTGGGCTAGGGGAGAACTCCAGAGACGCTGCAGACCTTGGCTGAAGCGGTGGAGGTAGGTGTTGGACCAGGTGTTAAGGAGGACAGCCCGCTCGCTGTCGGACAGCTTTCGCCATATGATGACACAGATGTGGCATCCATCACGAGCGGCGGCGGCTAACTGAGCGGGCGAGCCATGGTGTTGATAGGCTGGGATTGACAGCGCTCGCTCGTGGATGTGGTACCAGGGCCTGTCAGTGCGAGTGAAGAGCGATGTGCAGGCGGAGCATAGCATGACGCGCGTCAGCAGCTATAGCTCCGAGTGCCTCACTCGGCGCTGGAAGTCCATGGAGCGCGATTCCCTTTGGTCACGTATTCGTGAAGATCGGTATTGGACTCCGGTCGCGCTTTTTCGAGGAAACAGTTTCCAAGACGAGTTGATATCCGTTGATGAAAGTTCTTGTGCAACAGACCGACGTGTTGTTCATTATGATTCCGACTAGGGAGGTGGCTGGCGGGGTCCGATCCTTCCAAGTACGGCACACCTAAAGCGGCGAGAGCCTCAGCCGCCGCTTACCGCCAAGATTCAGGCAAACTATCAACAGAGAAGCACAGAGAAGAGCGTACAGTAGACTGAGTAGAAGGAATTACTGATCTATTATATGGCCACTTGACCAACAAAGACACCGACGCTATGTACCATAGTCACGCTTCCCACCCATTATCATTATTCGTAGCCAATCCGTTGCCCACTAGGCCCTCCCCTCCCGACTGCTTCCAAAACCATTGACGCTGATCTCATAGGGTAGGCCGAGACCAACATCTCGGTTGGCCGCATCTTCCGTAACCAGTCTGATGACACTACCCTGTGTCCCAGCACTCCTGCTGCTTCGACTTGTTGCCGCAGACTTGAAGCTGTTGTTGCTTTGCGTCTGCCTCAGGCTTGGTCGCGAGCGCGACGTGCCTTGTCTGACATAACTAGGCCTGCTATTAAAGCTCTGCTGAGGCCTCGACTGCGAGTGAGAAGCCGACTGTGGGGCGGTGTACGTGGTGTACATGCTGTGGGTGCCTTCGTCAAGAGAGGTACTCGACATACTAGGCACCGAGTCTTCATATACCTCTAGTGGCGCCGATGGGTTGTGCACAATCGACGACGCTGACAAGCTTGAATTTCCCGAAGGCGAAGAAGATCGAGGCTTGGCGTCGATATCGTCTCCCTCGTCGTCGGAGAAAGTCAAGAGATCGACAGCAGGCCCCGTCATGCTCCGAAGAAGCTCGGCGAACATGCGCATCATGCCTTGAAACTCGGTCTCCGTCAAAGGTTTGCCACTGAAGCGTGAGTATTCGTAAGTGGACACGAACTCGTCTGTGAGATCGGCATCAGGCAGCATGCCCACGTCTGCCAGTTCTGCCAGGTAGTTTCGCATCCCCATGTCTGGAGGTCGGGCGAGCATATCAACGATCCTGGCATCTGGCTGTGGGACCCCACTTTCGTCCAGCGCAAGCGGGCTGTCGCCAGGAGCCAAGCTGACAGCCTTTGCTTCGATGAGGTCGATCAGTTCGTCCGCAACACCCGCATATTCGAGATTCGCCATTTCGTCCGAAGCGGGTGACTGCCAGCCGGCGTGGACCACAGTGCCCCATTGCGGCTCCAACAATACACGCTCGTGTGGTGTGATCGAATGCTCGTGATGATGCTGCTTGATCTGCTTGGTGATCACTAGCATGCGCTCACCCGCACCCTCAAGTTCAGTCTCGATACGCCGACTGCGCGGCTTTGCATGATATGCCACGACGGCTGATCGTGCAAACGTCTCTTGAATGAGTCGATGAACATTGCGCCCGGGAAGATCTTCCCGTTCAATGGGGAGGAACGTTTTGGGGATGTCTCGGAGTATCGAGCGATTCGTGTAGAGGCGAGTGCCGTATAGGAAGGCCGCGATCAATGCGGTCAGCACCCATGCGGCTGCAACGATGATTATGTCGATGACTCGTCGCCGGTGATACGACTCGTACAGCTTGTCGGCCGGCGCGACACCTACAAAGGCTATGAGCAGTAGGAAGACCGCGGTAAAGGAAGAGCTGTAGAAGATCTTGAAGAGGACTTCACGGGTACGAGCCATATCGAAGGCGGCCTCATTGTGTTGCCCCAACTGATACTACGTGCAAATTATGGATTAAAAGAGAATTAATGCTGCTGAGTAGCAATCATGATGAAATGTAGACAAGACCGCACGAAGCTGCGGTGAAGTGACGGCACAGTGCCCAAACTACCCAGCAGCATCTACGGTGGCGCTGGAGGACAGGATGTGCAGTTGTTGCAAAGAACAAGTAACCCGAGCCCAGTATTTGCTTTCTGATCCTTTCATGTCACTGTCGAACAAGTGTGCCTGTTGTATCACCACCCACATCCTTTACGACCGCATGCCAGACGTCGTGTCTCATGGATTCATGCACTCTTCTCGTTGAGATTGTCGAGCTCGTATGCGGCGCCGAGACCTGCTCAGCATTACACACCAGCCGGCGCCAACATCCGCCTACCTCTGGGATTGCGGACTAGAGCATGGGCTAGCCTACAATAGCTGCGCTACATGCGGTCACTCGAGTATTCGACTCCGTCGGTGCCACTCTGGGAATCATGCTCGGCCAGTTCCTTCCAGAAGTGCTGGTCCAGTGGCCGAAATTTCCCGCATTTGATGCAATACTCAAATGGCTTGTGGCCCAAGTAAACACCGACACGCTCCTTCAGGTTTGTTCACTATTCTTCCGCGCCTCGCAGGAGAGGGTTTCCTCCCACATCTCTGACAGTAGGTGAATATCGTTCTCGCGCATCTCTCTTTGTTTCTTGTCAGCATTATGGCAGACTCTATTTAAAGGGATGTGGACGCGGAACAGGATACCTCGATTGATTACCTGCGTCTATGCCCAGTGTTCAGCTGATGACTGAAGTCGACCATTGCACTGTGCCGAGGCCAATGGCAAATCAGCCAGTCAGCGAATACGAGGTCTTGACTCTTCAGCTCAAGCGTGCGTGCTTCCTGAGAATCGCCTCTTGAATAATCCTACGCGAGCCTCGTACGCCAACAGACTTACCTAATTTGTACACCTGCAGACGGACATCTATAAGTGTCGGTCGTGCTCGAGAAAAGTCCAACAGCGCAGTACTCTTCTGTTCACAAGCAATATTACACCATGTCCGCCAAACGCGACCGAAATGTGCCACCGGGAATATTGGATGCCAGACGCCGGATCATAAGCAACAAGGTAATGAAAGACACGATACATGTGGACAAGTATGGCTTTGAAACAAAGGGCGAGTACACGCAGGGAACGCTCTTATGCAAACCTGGTGGTGGGCCTCCCCTGCACTTCCATCGAAGTTACTCTGAAAAGTTCGTCGCGCTCGAAGGAGATCTGATTGTCTACCTGGATGGGGAGAAACTCACACTCAAGCCGGGAGAAAGCGCCACAGTGCCCGCCGGCAAGACCCATACCTTTACTGCTGAAGGCGAGACGGATATAAAATTCACGGGCTATTGTATTCCAGCACATTCAGGTGAGTAGAAATGCTGGCCTCGGTGTTGCCTTTCCCCCTGACGTTCAGTCACAAACTGACAAGATACACTGTACTGACCCAAGCAGGTTTCGAAAAGTCGCTGTACATCATGTATGGTCTGGCGAACGACGGATTCGCAGACGAGGAGGGCTTGCCAAAATCACTTGTCCAGAAGGCGCTTATCGCAGACATGTCCGATATGAGGTTCACCGGAGGCGCTGGAGGGTTCATGAATTTGGTGAATGGCCTTTTGGCAGGGTACGCAAGGTGGTCGGGCGAAGAAGAGCGCCTCCTGCGGAAGTACTGGGACTGACACTCGAATTGTGGCGCTGATGAGCTCACTTGGAATAGATAGCAGTGTACACGACTTGTTTAGCCGCATTTTGGAGGGATCATGTTAATAACAACCTTACCACATAAAACCTCGCCTAAAACTGCCTTCTCCAGGCGTCCCTGAGCGGAGACACCCCCTTGCCCCAGGGGTCACAAGGCTCGCCCCACGCGTGGTGACGCACCCCGGAAACGATCCCCGAATTGACCCCAACCATCTCAAAAAAAAGTTGTGACACGCCCTATACCTCTCTCTTTTGCATCAACATCAACATATCTGCAATTCGTCGGACAGCCCCTCAACCCGAAAACCAACGATTCGTAACTCCACAGGCCCTTTCGATTCTACCATCTCGCCGCCACCCACCTACCTATCCACCATGTCCACATCCGCGACCGCCGTCCTTGAGAAAACCCCACCCACCACCCTCGCCCTCTCCGTCTCAACCCTCCTCCTCGGCCTCGTCGCAGGCTATTTCATCGGCAGCGGCTCTTCCCTGGGCCTCTTCTCCACCCCCTATTCCACCCCATCCTCCTCCGGATCAAGAACAAAATCCTCCAAACGCAGTAAGAAGCAGGCCCCCAAATCCTCCTGGCCCAACTCCTACGACGTCACCGTCCAACCAGGCGACTCCTCCGACGAAGAATTCGCGCGCGCCATTCACACCGGCACCGGCACCGGCGACGCCGACGACGAGGACTCCTCTCCCGACGAAGACACCTCTCAGGAAGAAGACGAGGACGACGACGACGACGAAGAAGACCTAGCCGTCGACACCACCGCGCTAAAAGAGCAAGCCAAGTCGCCCGACGAGGTCAAGCTGATGCTCGTGGTGCGCACCGACCTCGGCATGACCAAGGGCAAGATCGCCGCGCAGTGTGGGCACGCCACGCTTGCCGTGTACAAGACTCTGGCGGGCAGTGCGGCGGGCGTGCCGTTGCTGAGGCGGTGGGAGAATGGCGGGCAGCCGAAGATTGCGGTCAAGTGCGAGAGCGAGGAGGAGTTGCTGTTGTTGCAGGGGCAGGCGATGAGTTTGGGGCTGGTGGCGCGCGTTATCAGAGATGCGGGCCGGACGCAGATTCAGGCGGGGAGTGCGACGGTGTTGGGCGTCTTGGGGCCCAAGGGGGCTGTGGATGGGATTACGGGGGGGTTGAAGCTGTTGTGAGAGTCGGGAGATGTGATTTGTCAGACATTGGTCTTCTATGGCTGCTGGCCATATCTAGAGTCTGAAAGCAGCAGAACGCTTTTTGTCCAAGGTTTGTGTGGAACCCCTGGGGTCTAGTCTGATGCATCATTTCATGCTTCAGCGCGTCTATCGCGCTGTCTGTCGATGTCCGTGCTTTCTAGGATCCACCAATAGCAGCTGGCAAGCCATCCTTGTCAGCGCTGCCCAGAGCCCGCGCCTTTTCAGAATCAGCCTGAGAGATATGGCATATCGCAACCAGCGCACTCCCCTTCAACACTCGATCTCCTACTCCTCCAGCGTCGACTCGTCCCCGTTTTTGTCTTCGCTCTCTTCTTCATCTTCACTCTCTTCTTCATCTTCACCCTCTTCTTCATCTTCACCCTCTTCTTCATCTTCACCCTCTTCTTCATCTTCACCCTCTTCTTCATCTTCACCCTCTT